TTGCTTTACCGTTTAATCCTAGCTCTATCGAACCCTTTCGTACTTAAGCGTAACGCTAAGCGCGCGGTTCGTAGGGTCCCCGACGGTATTACGTACGAACGATTAGAAATCCTCCTACGTATAGCTCGGCGTAAGCGCCTCGATATCGTGCTCGTTATACTACGACTCCGCGGCGTCTCCTCCTAGCTATATAACGCTATAGAGGACCTTATTATAGTTACTCTCTAGGCTAGTAGTAGTATTAGCGAAGATTATCTTAAGTTAGCGTAGGAATTCGCGTGCCTCTTTAATAGAATCCCCTAAGAATAGTTTAGGATCCTTTATCTTAGGTCTTACGCCTACTCCGCTACGCGTATACGCTACGCTTAAACTCGAGGTGCTTATAGCATCCGGATCTTCCTTATATAAGAGGCGCGTAGGTACGCCGCGACGGGGTATAGTAGTAGCTACGCTAGCGTCGGCGCGGTTACGATTACGCTTTATTTATTAGACTTCTAACTAAAGTTAGCGAATCGTCTCTTACTACTATAAAGACTACTTCTCGCCTTCGAGGCGCTAGATTATCTTATTAGCCGTCTCTTCCTTATCGCGTTCGTTTTCTCCGTAATCTATCGTGTCTTCGTCTAGAGTAGGCTATATAAGCTCTACGGTAGCGACTTCTTCGACATCTCCGTAGTTAGGGAGTTCTTCGACGCGTTCTTCTTCGTAGCGCTACTCGGGAGTAGTCGCTTCGCGGGCGGCGCGCCTAGGGGCTATTCTATTAGGATCTAATAGATCGCTACCCTTAGAGAAGAAGAAGAATTAGAATTATAAGGGTAAAGATGTAGTAATATATTAGACACCCGTAATTACTCGATTAGAGATAAGACTAATTCTTATAGGTTAAATGTACGCTATACGTAGGAGTTATATATACGCTAAGCCTACGCTAAGCAGTCGGGTTATATTATACTCCCTTCTCTAAGGTTAGTTAATCTAGCTACCTCTATTAATCCTATTATTATAAGGGCTCTTATACGGCCCTTATAAGAGCCTACGGATACTAATTATACGTAAAAGCTCTACTACTAATATATTAAGAAGCGCCGCTCTACGTATTAAGTAGATAAGGACGATATAGGTACGCGGAATAAGAAGTCGTTCGGTTAGTTACTCGAGCCGTATAAAGTTACCTTTTTAGCGGTAATCTAACTAGACGGTAATAATAAGCTAGTTTTAATTAAACTAGTACGTGGACAGCATAAAGGACTACACTTACATAGCCTCGAACAGTATAACTCTCGCCGTACGAATAAGCTCCTAAAGGACCTAATACGTAAGCGTATAGATAACAGCCCTCGAGCCTCTCGAATAGTAGACGTATTAAAGGAAGAGCATAGTGATATTGGCGGTAAGCAGTTGACGTACTAACACGCTTATAACCAAGGGCGTTCATTACCACACCATAACTTGGATAAGCGATACGTCCGCAAGGGCGCGGATACTGCAGATGCATAGACCACCGTAACATCGGCAGCGCGGAGCCGGAGTCAAGCTCCGTGACGTGACAGTCCAGCGCGGAGCCGGAGTCGAGCTCCGTACCCTAACGGCCAAGATCTCCGGCGGACTTTGTGACGAACGAAAGACTAATATATCCTGGAGCTTATCTTCCGCAGCCGGAGCGATATCGTATGTGCAATTGAGGGATATGGGGACGTCAGGAAGGCAGGTAATGTCGCGGTAGTCAGCATGTATCGATGTAAGAACCTCACGGCGACCGAAATTGAGCCCTTTGTGGTACAATGACAGTATATCGGTGCCTTCTTCAACCTAACCAGTTCGGGGGCCTGCTCGTTCCCGGGGCACGTGCTCGCTTCCGAGCCCACTATACCTTGCAAAAGCCAAAGAGCGAGGGAACTCTGATCCTGCCCTCTTTATATTGGAACTTCCTGAAGAATTGCCACCAGGAATCCACCGATGTTGGATCAACGCCAGCTTGCCAATTCTCTTCATGGTTGCTTGGTGCACGTTGGAGCACGCACAAACCGCCCTTTCCACCACATCCGAAACCCGCCAACTGCCCGTCTGGTGTCGCATAGCATCATCCTTGGTGCGTGGCTGCTTTTCTCGCCACTTTCCTTCATGCAATTCCTGAGGCCTCCGAGTGCGATATCTGAGTCGCGAGGAGGAAAGATGGTCTAACGGGACCTAACGATCCTCAGCCATTGAGCTTGATCTCTTCCTGCTAGACGTGGCAGCATCCCTACTGGTGCCATCCCGGAGCACCACTCTGCTAAATTACCCTGCTCCACATCCACCTTGCCCTCCAACATGGCATCCGCGTCGGGTACGTATGAGTCTGCGGACAGTGCCCAGCGTCGGGAGCGAGCTGCTATTGCAGCGCAGGCTTGTCAAACATGCCGCACACGGTGGGCATTACAAATATGCAGATAACTTGCTGATTGCATGCTCACCATCTGCTAGGAAGAGCAAATGTGACGAAGCACGCCCAAAGTGTAAGATTTTGCAGGATGAACTTGCCCAGACTCCCATCGTTAACGCCCGGCAGGTGGACTATGTCGGCGCTTAAACGTCGAATGTCTCTATCGAGAACCCTTGCCAACCAAGTGAGTCGAAGCGGAGAGGGTGGTGTCGAGCATCGAAGTGCTAATTMAACAACGCAGAAAAGACAAGACCATGGTCCACATTCTCGACACATTAGCGCGATTGGAGAACAAATTCGACAACCTTGCTCTCACGAATGTTGCTAGTAGCAGTCCGGACACGAATCGCCAGAATGAATATGGCGTTGCACGCTTCCCTCTGGAATTACAACAGGGCTACCACCATCTCGCCGTTCCACACAAGGTCATCCTGTGGCCCAGCATATACATCAGTCTCATAAACTCTGGCATAGGGGCGACATCTGACCTGCAATTCGTYCTGCAAGAAGGTACTCCGTGGTTCATTCGACAAGAGATGGCAAGTCACAAGGAACTACTCGATCCTGAGCCTGGTCTGAGTGCTTTCGTACTGGACGGTCGACAACACATCCCAGGCCAGCCCTCGCGATTTGCCTTCTCCGGTCTCACAATCCACCGCATCCAGGAACTGTGTGAATCATACTTTAACTCATTCAACGTCTTGGCTCCGGTATTGAACAGGGATACATTCATGGCAGACACAATGGGCCCTATCCTGCAGGATGGTTTTGCAGACGGCGACGCCAAAACGGTACTCTGCCTGTTCGTCATTGCACTGGGTCAAGTGGCTGTGGAGGGAGTCTTCGAGCATCCCATTGGGATTGTGAATGGCACACCAAGCGGCTTTCGCGGCGGGTCTATACACAGGCCACCTGGGCTGGAGATCTTCAACGAGGGTCGGAGAAGAGTTGGCTTTGTGGCAACGGAGATGACGTTAATCAACGTGCAAATCATGCTGTTACAAGCAACATACTATGAAGCCACTGCTAGACATCTCGACTTCTGGCGATCCACTGTCACTGCGTCAATGGCTTGTCAGGTTCTGATTCGGTGTCAGACCGTGGACTGGCAGTCACCGTCTGGAGACATGCTGAAGCGCGCATACTGGACTTGCGTGTTGAGTGAAGATTTGTACCATCTCGACTTGGATCTACCTCAAACTGGCGTTCAAGATTTGGAAGATACAGTGCCACTACCCTACTTTCACGAGGGTTCAGAATCCGCCGCGCAGGATGACCGATCGAACTTTCAATATCACTTTTTGGCCATGATCGCGTTGCGACGTTTGATACATCGCATACATGAAGTGATACACGAGTGTGAGTAGTTCAAAGCCCGCACCGAAAGCACACGACTGACATCAACTAGCCTCTGCGACCCAGGCAGAGAGTGCAGACGACTATGGCGGCCCGCCGGTCACCGTCATCAGAGAAATGGCTCGACAGCTCGAGTCCTGGCGCTCACTGCTCCCACGTCCCTTACAATGGCAGGATAGCGACAAGCTGGACTTCCCCAACATCGACCCTTCAGGTCGCCGGCCGAACGAGGCGCTGTTCTCCCCAGATCAAGGACCAGTACCCATTGGACACAAGCACAGTCTCGATCTAGTGACAGCTCAGCTACGGACCCGCTTCTACTATGCAAGATTTGTCCTCTACCGACCCTTTGTCTACAAAGCGCTACACTTTCCCGAGCTCATGACGACCGAGGACGCGAACTGCTGTGCGTTGGCGATCAAATCAGCACTGTCCTGGCCCATTGCAATGGCGCCGTCCAAGAACAAGAAACGTCTGGTACCGCATTTATTCGCGTGGACGCAGAATTTCATGAGCATATTGCTGATCTTGCGCATGACGACCGAGAATGAATGTCTGAAGCGGATTTGCGAGGAGCAGGTGAATCGAGAGGAGCTTCAAAAGACTGTGTTGCTTATGTTGGAGTGGGTGAGAGATGTGCGTCAAGTCGATGGCATCGCGGAGTGGTTGTGGAAGATCCTGGAACCGTTGTATTCTGGTCCTGGTGGTGGTGTTGTTCCTAGCCTTGGTGGGAGTGCATAGTCTGCCAGTCTACAGGCTACGAGCTTGTCTGATCAGACAGTATTTCGAGACAGGGGGCATCTGCTCGATGCAATGCCCCCCCGTCCCTGTACCAACCCACAAGGCATCGATGCCAGATTTCCTAGCACTCAAACGGGACACAGTGTAGCTGTTCTCAGGAACAGAGAGGAATCTTCCCGAACAAATCAATCATCAAACCAACCGGCTGATCGCAATTCCCAAGGACAAACTCGGAAGCACGAATCACGTAGGATATGACGAGATGGCATGATGGCAAGCATAATCAATCCTTTGCTCTTTAGTCGCATCTAGGCCCTCCAGATGTAGCTTATGATCGATATGAACAGGAGTGCCCGTCTGGTATCATTCAGAAATTCGGTCTCAGAATGACGAAGGTGAGAAACACTCTGCTTTTGATCTCGCGCGGTGGTGTATGGCTGGCTAGGTATGATGGTTCTCTCTGGCGCGGTACAAGGGAGATTCTCRGCAGACAAGTCTTGCTCTTCACCGCTAGAACAACTCGTCGACATCATTATTACTTCTCCTTCTAAATATCACACTCACCCACAAGAGGACATCCGTATGTTAACTGTAACGACTAATTCGTTAATTCACTGGACTCTACGAATGCTCACACGTGGGCCTGTAGCGTGAACAACTACATTCCTCAAAGCTATCGACATCCGACAGCGAAGACAATGCTCTCCCAAGCAAATATGGAACAAGAAATAAGCAAGAAACCCCCATGATCCGACATCAGATCAGGCCATTCCGTCATTTTCCATCAAAGGAAAGCAAAATTCCGCAAAAGAAATACAGCCATAAGAATCGCAACATCAGTTGTCCGCATAGGAACATTGTCGTAAATCATAGATCGTCAAAACATGGTCGTCCGGTCATGCGTGGGAAAGGATGGTGGAGGAAGCTTTCAGCCTTGCCGGGAGTATGGCTTGTTCATAGCCGCAATCTCGCGAGAAATGGTGGCCCATTCGAGTTCGCGACGTAGAGGCTTGCCACGCTTCTGGCATTGGAATTCCTCCCACTTGAGAAGTTCGTAGCTGATGGGATCATTAGTCGCGGAAAGAGGTCTGCAGGAACGGTGCACTCACGAGAAGCGAAGATGTGGTTGGATAATCACATTCAACCGTCTGGCCCGAACGAAACAGTACGCGCGAGGAAATGACAAGCCCAGCTCGTTCATCACCTCGGCGATGCAGATTGTTGCAGATCTGGAGACCCCAACACGGCAGTGTACAAGCGTAGCAGTGCCCTTCTTGCGTCCATTTTCTGCGAGAACGGTCAGCAAAGATGAACGGCTGCAGCGGTATCGAATCGACTTACCGATGAATTCCAGGCACCGGCCAAAGTCCTCGGTGAGCGGATCAACTCCATTGTCCTGCACCTTGTCCACGAAGAGCAGATCTTCCCTGGGCCAAGAACCCATCGCCTCTTGAGGCCAATTGATGGGCTCTCCGACACTGAGGATCTGGCCGATCCCCATCTCCTTGAGCAAGTCAGGATTGTTCGCATGACCCAAGTTTCCAAGATACATATAAGGAAGGACACGACTTGGCAACGAGCCATCCATCTTTTCCAGCCAATCGGGAGAAGGTGGACAAAGCTGCTTGATATTCCCCGAATGCTTGGGTGATGCTTGCAGCAGACGCGGCTGTATTGCGCGAAGCAAGTGGACGTCGGAAGCGTATGCGAAGAAGTTGCGACCTTTATCGCAATGCATTTGCAGCCAAGCATCGTGGACTGGAACACAGTTGGCGTACATGTAGTAAGCCAACGCGAGAAGCGAAGACTCAGTATAGCCATCAGTGCAGTGGATCAGCACTTGCTTCCCGGGCACTTCGGACGAGGAGGACTGTTGCATGAAGCTATCGCCTTGAGCATCGACTGTTGGCGACAGGGCAAGCTTGCTATCTCGGCGCTCGTGTGTGGAGCGACAGGTCGCTTGCTTGTGAATCCACTGGCAGGTAGCTAGGAGACCGTCAACTTCCGCCTGGGACCAGGTAGGTGGCATGATGGAGCCGGAGCCAGGAAATTCTAGCTGGTGCACCACATTTTCATTCCACGCAGTATCATCCTTTTGCTTCAGAAGTTCCTCCAGGAAATCAAAGGCCTTTGCGTCGGGCATTTGAGCAATGTCACTACACTCTACCAAGATTTCAAAGTTCGGATGACTGTCAGCTGTACAAAGGCCATCGGGTCCCATCGAGAGTGACGGGTCTGGTGTTGGTCCGAGCCAGACGTTCGGTGCAATTTCGCTAGGTGCTGACATGGAGCACATCTCCAGCCTCTCCCAGTGGAAAAAGTCCATGACCTTGCCAGTCATGCAACCTTCAGAGTCAAGAGCAATCAGATCGGGATAATCACACTCTACTATCTCATAGTCGTCTGCAGAAGGTGAGTCGATGTTTGAGATTCATCCTCGAGGCATGCTTACCGGACAGGATGAACGTATTGAACAAGCGAGCACCAGCATCTGGGCCCTCCATCTTGATCTGCCAGGCGGTCTGCGCCTTTGCAATCCTCTTTGCGAGCCGCGCGACCTCTTCACGTGGAGTTTGACAGTCCCCGTACACAACAATATCACTCACCGTCGCCATCTTGCATGTCTGGATATGGAAGTTGCGTACGCTGAAGCCTTCCTTGGGATCAACGTCGATGAACTCTGGTTCCGCTTTCTTGCTCCTGGGAAGTGGTGCGGGCTTCAGCAGTTCCTCGGGCGCAATGGCACCCTTCAGCCGGCTGTGCGACAAATCGCCGCCGGCCTTGACCACGGTCAACCCCCGGATGCATTTCGGAGTCCGGCGTAACGACCTCTTCCTCGCAATGAAGAATGCGAGCTGCAGCTGGTTCTCGGCGTGCAGTCCGTGAAGCCAAGGAAACACCTGCTTGGTGGAGGGTAGTGGCTGCGTGGCGATGTGGTCCAAGGCCCTCGCAAGATTGTCTGCCGTTATGCAGTAGACTGGTGGATCGTTGAACACTTTGTCGGCAGCATTGGGCGGGTGGGTGAGCGACGTCGTCTCGATTAATTGCGTTGAAGATGGCGGGGAAGCGGGCGGGGTATCAAGCTGCCGAGTGGTCGGTCGTGGGCCTGGAGAGCAGTATGGAATGTGTTTGTTGGGGATTGGTGCGGGAGTTCCTCGCTGCGATGTGTTGATGGAGAGTTGGGGTGGAGGAGTAGGGGAAGCGGTTCTCTCGCGTTCGACGATCGGCGAAGGTCTAGCAAGCAGCGTGGCCATTGTTTCAGAGGCCGAGGGAAAATGGGGTTCTATAGACGGCACGTTCGGAAACGTGAGATGGTGAGGTACGGTAGGTAGGTAGGTAGGTAGCGTTGGCGGATGAGTGATTCGCCTCACGATTGTTGCGAGGGCAGGAACGAAGCAATGGGTCGTGACTCGCCGCGGGAAAAAATGTTCCCTTCAAGGACAGCAGCAGCAGCAGCAAGCAAGCAAGCAGCACGCAACGCCTGCCCGCCGTCTGTTTTGAATGTGGGCTGGGGACGGGAATGCGAGGTGTTTCAGGTGGTCTAAAGCGGCGACATGCAGCGTGTTTTAGTGACGACAGCAGCGAGTGTTTTAATGGAGGATAAGGAATGAAATCGAGATGGATTGCAAATTATTGGGGGCGAAACTTGCAAAAAGTCGCGATGCGATTGCATTTCCCAGCTCTGGCAGTCGCCCGGGGGGTTTTGTTTGGCGATGCTGCAGCCCCAAAAGCAGGGTGGTCGTGATCTTTGGCTCTTCTTGCCCCGCTTTCCAGATACAAAGATAGCTAGTAGCTACTCGCACTAACGCTAGAGTAGCTAGAGCCATACCCTCTCATCGTGTCGGATCAGGCGTTCATCACACATCACACARTCACACAAACAGCCGGGTCGCTATCGCTGCGTCCATGGGTGCTTGTCCGGATCCTGGCCGCTGTGCAACGCCGTGTCGCCATCGGTAACCTCGCCGCTATTGCTGAGATATTGGAAGTGCTCGCTGGCTCCGCGTGGTAAGAAAGGGTCCAACACGTCCAAAACTTGCGACCAGGCGTAGGTGGGCGCAAAGTCTGGAATCCTTTGAAGTCTGGACGCCATCGGCCGATGCAGGCACAGGTACCTAGGATGTGTGTACCCTCCCTCACGACGACACGACGCCTCGCGGAAGCGAACCACCAAAATGCAGGTTGATTCAAGGACCCGCATGTCTGATGGCCATGGCATCGGTTGCTGTGCACCAAACACACCTCCATTGTCAGGTCGGATCAATGCTTCTCACAATGATGCGTGAAAGACGCCCCCTGCACGTGGCTCTCGGCTTGCCTCTCCGCAGATCGGACCCCATCGCGGCATCTATTGTAAGCGCCAGCGACTAGCGACATGCAAAGCCAACGTCAACATGGTACATGTGTACATTGGTGATTCGCACCACGTAACCATCATCAAAGGTCTGTTCATACTCATATGACGTTTCTTCTGTCGTCGAACAATCTCGCTGAGGCCCTTCACTCAATTTCGAGAAGCTGAGAGGTGGTCTCAATCGCTAAGTCTCCAACTCATACACAGCATTCATGCTCGCGCTTCGTGTCAACGCGCGAGCTTTCTCCAACATCTCGTTGGCCAATCGCTCTAGATAGAATCCGCTGACATCTGCTGGTAGATCCTCAAAGGTCTTGACGATCTTCGCGACATCTTTCCTGCCTTTTTCATATGCGGCCAGATCTCTATTTCCATAAACATCTCGCCCTGCCGCGTATCCATTTTGCAGATTGCGAAAGAAAACGTTCACCGCGATACTCATGCCTTCTGTTGGAGAAGCGGCGTGGAACCACATGCTAGGGATGAAGAGAATATCGCCCGGCTCCAGCAACACTTCGTGAGGATGGACGTGGGCCAACGCAGGATTGGGCATCGTGTTCTCGAAAACGTTGACAGACGAGCTCGAAGCGCCGGGACCAAAACCAAGATGAGAAACATCGCTAGGCGGGAACAGAAGCAACCTCTTCCTTCCACGGACCTGGCAAAGGACGTTCGCCATCGTATCGTAGTGCAACCAGATATTGACTGGACCCGATATGCGCAATGGGGAACTGTGTGCACTTCGCTTGACTATGTTCAGCTCTGGAGGGAGGTGGAAGTCGTCTGCAATAGCCGGGAAATCTTCAGCAAGGTTGGTGGGTTTGCTACTTGGAGCGTCTTTTGAGAGCGCTCGCAAATAAAGCCTCTCGCCATGCTCGACAGCGTCAATGAACGACCCAAACTCTTGATTGACGTACTCGAAATTCTTCTTCTGAAAGTCCATCGTTTCGCAAGGGGAAGAATGCACAGAGACCTTTCGATCGGCTCCAATGGCTTGTTTGAGGTATTCTGTGGTCCACGCTGTGGTGCAAGCTCCAATCTGGCAACCTTTGAGAACGACTGGTCTTGCTGCTTCAATGAAGTGCTCAAATTTCACATTAGGAGTGAGGTGGATCTCCTGCACCATGGCAGGTGATGGCATTTTGCCTGATGGGACGATCTGCGCGGTGGATGACTCGATGTAGGGGGCACTCTCTTCCGCCGTCGGCTGATCGGCATCCAGTGTAGATTGCAGTTGCCACCTCATGTCGAAGGAACCAGCCAGAGCGTCGTTTAGTAGACAGGAGCGATTCCATGTCGTTCCAAATGAGAAGCATGTGGCTCCTCCGCCAAGTACAAGAAGACCACCATCAACATCCTGTAGAGAGTGTCCGATGAAGAGCGGTCGTGGTCCTAAACCATAGTTAGCAAGTGCAGTATTCTTCCTTTCAAACATGACTGACCCTTTATTGGCGCTGGTCGTAATGATTTCATGTTCAAGATTTCATCCTGACGTGTAAGCATCCTTGCCCCCGTGATGCCGCCGACCATGAGGATACCTCTGCTCGACCTCACCAATTGCGCACCAAATCGTCCCAGAATGCATGAATCCGCTTTGAGGAAAGCTGTTGCGCGACTAGTCACATTACGACAAGTCAAAGTCATGTCCTGCTCCAGGCTCCAATGCCAGAAGTCGTTGAGAACGCGGCCGGCGCTGGTCATACCTCCGACAAGCACCCCAGAGGTACCTTCGCGAGAGTCCGTTATCATGCAGGCACCAAATCGAGCAGCCGGCCTCTCAGTGCCGGCAATCGTCACCTGTTGCCAACCAGTCTCGCCTGTCCAGATGAGCCATTCGTCGAGAACCTCGCCGCTGCTTGTTTTGCCGCCGAACATTATGATCGTGTGTGCGGGTCGAGGTTGTGTTGGAAGCACCAGCGGGACCGCGCAGTGTCGATATCGGGCCTGAGGCAGATCCTGTACCCTCCTCCATCTTCCGTCCAGTCTCAGCCACGACTCGGCGCTCGCTTTGTCCGGCGACGTTCTGCCGCCTGTCAGTAAGCAATTCGCGGTGCTACCGAGACGAGTCACTGCGTGGCACATCAGTCCGTTTCGCAAAGGCGGGCCTTGAATGGGGATGGCATTGGCATCGCACGAATATGTTGTGCAACTCTCTAGTCTCCCTTGTGTTCCCATGCCGCCTAGAAGACCAATACACTCATCAGAGCTTTCACTTTCCGATGGAACGAGGGTCGCGAAACGGCGGAAGTGATGCGGCTCCAGTATCTCATGAGTCTGCAAGTTGTCTGCTGGCTCAAAATGGTAGTGAGGAGCATCATTCTCCGACGAAGGTCTCGAGGAGACAGAGCCACGAGTAGATCCAGCAAAGACGGAGGATTTCGATGCCCTGCYCGAGAATGTTTGTGAATAGTCCCGACCAGGTTCTTTCTCAGCTATGAGAAGAAAGTAGTGGGAGCCGAAGAGAGCGAATTCCTCCCACTCATCGAATGGCTCTACCCGATCCAATGCTCGTCGTTCTTCCGCGCCGAGAAAAGCCGGATCAGACCACAACTCCCACAGAGAGCGAATTTCTGTTCCACTCTCAGGATAGCCAGCGGCGACAAATCGGTTCTTCATCTGATCCATGGYTCCGACAGTACGTAGAGGTGTCCGTAGCTTATCGAAATGCGCCATCATGGTAGCTGCGAAAGGGTGATCTACGCCGTCTGGGATATGCTGTTCGAGCAGGCAGAATCGAACGTGGCTGTAGGAAGCTGTCCATCTGAACACCGCTTGTGATGCGTCGAGTTCCATGTAGGCTGTCGACACCTCGGATGTAAATAAAATGGTAACGTCGTCGTCTTCCATGCCCAGATGGCTCCGCAGAACGTCCTGTAGGGGCGCGAGGTCTCCCAGATCACAGCCAATGGCAACGTAGGGAACGCTAGAGCAAAGCAGTCCTTCACTCTGGCTAGTTGCGGTGAACTTGGGCAGTAGAGACAGGAGCTCTTGGGTTTTAGAGATGATGCCAATTTTGTTTCTCATGAGTGTAGGATAGTCGACGTCCACAAAAGTTGTGTTCTCGCAGAGCTCCGGTCTTTTGCCCAAGAACAGCCATGGTAATGGATCGCTAGCGCATGTAAGTCACCAGCTTGAAAAGTAGATCATGTTCGTACGTACTATCCGCAACCCAGATTGACCACGACTTTCCTCTTTGCTGTCCTCTCAGACAGAAATCGAGCTACTGCATACTCTATCGCCTTCATGCGCAGCCAATAGCCTCGATTGATGAGCGGGGAGCGTCGCTTGAACTTTGCAACGAAATGGCGAAAGTATTCAGGCTGGCCCTCGTAGTAGAGCTTCTCGACTGAACGTTTAGACACAATGCTGCTCTTGTTCGTGTCCATGATGAGTCCATCTCGTTGCTCCTTCCTCGGATCCACGACTTTGGACTTGGATTTTCCAGTCCGGACGACCATGGGCATGGAGCTGCTGCGTTTCACCGCAGACGCCATTAGAGGCTTCTCATTCTGGAGCATTTTCCCGCTGGAGCGGTTGTCGAAGTCGTACTCGCTGCTAGTCGTCTCGGAGGTGGGAGTAGAGATACCAAGTACGCGCAGCGCCTTGTCAGAGCTAGTCGCTGTCTCGACTTTTGAGCCCGGCGGACTGCTAATAATAATATCCCGGTCGGAGGATGCCATGGCCAGTGATCCCGACCCTTRGGACTCTGTAGAGACCAAGAGGAAGTGGGAGAGACAGAAGTCTAGCACTGGACAGCTGAGGACTGAAAAATCACGATGACGAGCTCATCAGCGGATAACACTTATCGCGTCAACGATATTCCGGCTCTCCATTGCCGTCGTTGTTGCTTGTGGTGAGGACTTCTAAGTTCTCTGGCGTGGTTTACTTTCTTTTTATAGTTCCCGACGGCGGCCCGCGACGGGAACCCACGTGCGCAAGTCAAAAGTTGCAATGTCACTTCTGAAGGAGATGGTCACTTCTGGACACCGTCTCCTTGTATCAAATTTATTTCTGGCGACTAAAGATCACATTTCGCCGCAATCTGGGGAATTTCGATCCGCTACAAGCGCATCGATTACTGACCAGGGTACTTAAGAGTACTCTGCGGGCCTAAACAACATCCGATGCGAAAAGACGCTGCAAGGCTGTAACATACCCACTACAGGATCGAATTTCTGCTCCGTCGATACACATTGCATCATGGTAACCAAGATTGAGATGAAAAGGCCACTCGAATCGGTAACGAAATCAAGTCTATACTGTCACTATCCGCAATGCATGCCACATCTACGGACTGCCCTTCGTACACCTTCCTACTTGCCAAAGTACGGCATCTCTGGCTTGGGACCCATGTTGGTGACGTAACTGGTACTCATCTTCCAACGGCTGTCCTCCCAAACCCATACATCGTCGCACTTATAAAATATCCGGTAAGTCTTCTTGATGTCGTCTAGGCTTGTCTCATCCCAGTGCGAGTAAGTGATGCTATAGGAAGTGGTGAGCGTTGACGGAAGAAGGCTAGGAAGCAGCCAAGGGAAGATGTGACAACATACTAGGTAATGACTCGCGCTTTCGTTGGGGACATCAGTTCCTTGAGGTAGAGATTGGTCACCAGGTGCTCGACTTTGGAKTGCCCGATAGCTTCTTGAAGCGCCTTCTTGACTTGATCCAGGCCCACAGCCTTGCCACCATATACACCAAGGCTTGAACTATCATACTGGACGTCCTTTGTCATGGTCTCTCCGAGGGCGGTGTAGTTCTTGGTGTCGATCAGGTATGCGGTCTTGTAGCCGGCTTGAGTCAATCCATCAATGAGAGAGTAACCAGCATCAGGTGCGATGAGCGAACGGGCCACGGAAGTGGAGAGCCATGCGGCCAATGCGAAGGCAACTCGTAAGCCATGCATCGTGGTGCTGTGTGGGGACTGGCCTGGATGTCAGAATGGACGTGCTGGGAAGACAAGAGAGAGCAGCAGACTTCGGGGGGGGCTTTGATCGTATAAGAACAACACAGGACCCCAGTCAGTGTTGGCCCAAGGGTTGATCCGGCGCAATAGATACAGCACTCCATGGTTGGACGTTCGTCTGGTAACATGCGTGGCATGGGCTAGAACAATGGCTTCTTGCTCGGTTAACAAAACACCCCAATGACTCGCGAGCGGACTATGTGGCATCGGGGCTGTTTTGTCGGTGAATGACTCGTTGTGGGGAACCTGTAGGCCAGAAAACACACAAAATACTCCTCTTCGATCGTGGCAGTTGCTGGGTAGCCCAGACATAACCATTCAGAGCCTGACTTCATCATGTCCACATCCTCTGACGGAGAGCGCTAGCATCTTGCGACTCGAAGAACGCCATCAAATCACCCAGTTGCTGAGACACCTCGCGCCCAACAAGCCTGCTTCTCCATCGAGGTCCAGGGCCCGGCGGAATTGCAGTGCGCTGCTCCGTCTGCAAAGACCTGACTCTCCGCAAGGCTGCTTGAATTTGTAGGCGTAGCTACCTGTTCGCAAACGTTACCGTCAATTGAATTCCAGGAAAGCCAATAAGCTTCAAATTTGCCATGCCTTGGTCCATCATGACCGCCGCTTCTGCCTCCTCCGTACCATAAGGGCTCAATAACAGCCATTCTACATAGTTTGCGAAGCATCCGCAGGACCACCTCTAATGACCCCGGTCTCCTCATCAAAACACGCCCTCAGTGAACGCCCATGAGAACGTCCACAGTCGTCTGTAGCGGGGAGATCGCTGTTTCCATTTGAGGCGTCTACTCTGATGCACCTCTGGAATTTTAGGATCACACCAATTCAAACTGCGCCAGTATGCCCAGTCTGCCATATGTGCCTCTCAAATATTGCCAGCTAGGATGCGGGCATTGACAGGCAGGTTGTTCTCCACTGACCAGGCCAAGGTATTTTCAGGCCATGACTTGTTTGTAGTCCGGAAGACCTGCCAGAGCAACGTGCACAATCATGCCCATCTGTTATCTGTGGCGCGAGACGCGTTCATTCTTCGTCTTCGATAGCAATGCCTTGGCGTACTCCGCGGACTCTAGGCCTACGACTTCAGCGAATTCTTCGCTCGCGGCTTGTCGAAGCCCATTCATGCTGACTTCGAGGAAATTAAAGACGGAAAGGTCGGGGAACCTCAATTCTCCACCCAAGCGGAGCAGGATGCAGCCAAGCGCCTTGCCTGAGCTTGAATACAGCGTCGAAGTTCCTGAACAGATAAATAGAGAGCGCATCTTGAGGTACCGTATGCCATCTTGAACGCAATAGTATTGGACGTGAGCTCAGACGCTGCTGGAGTGATCAATGCCCAGCCTGATGACCTGATCTTAATCGGATTTTATGTGGAAAAGTAAACGGTCCAAGGTAACGGGAAGATTGCGGATCATAACGAACATGCTGAGCAGATCATGGGCTGCTAAGGTACCCGGACGCACTTCATCTTTCATGGTGTACCGAGAATATGCAAATTTGGGATTCGTTGGGATGATGGCAGGCGGAAAGTCAGGTAGAGGCTTATCCGCGTCCTGCCGGGATGGACTGTCGATATACGTATCAAGAACTTGGGAAGGACGCCCAGCACCGACCGAGCTTCGCGGTGGTCTTAATGTTTCCCCATTCCAGACAGGGGGAGGGTGAACGATTCGGTCTGGATGCCGGTCATAGGGCGCGCCATCCGGCGTGGGCGGATCCCCCATTCTGATTTCAGGAGGCTGACGTGCGTTTCCAAGCACCAGCCAAACTTCCGGGTTGTTGGTCAGTCTGACGATAAGATCGCCCTCGGGCTCGCCGAGAGCATGGAGCGAATCGCTGCGGTCCCATGCTGACTCTGATTCTGGCTCCGTTTCGAGAATTTGAATCATAGAGAGTAGAAACAACACAGTTCATAGGGAAGTGGAGAAGCGCAGAGTCGAGTGCTGAAGAGAAGAATGTCTTTGTTCGTACACCAGGGAGGCGGTAGCGGGAAGTAGAGAGATAGTGTGCAGATGCAGTGCTTGCCTCTGAGACGGTGGTACAGAGACAGTGATCGAAATTTGTTTCAACGATCCTTCCATCACGAAAGTGGCTCACATCACTCGAGGCTCCTCTCAGATGACTGGGCGTTGGTACGAATTGACGGAACGACGGGAGTCTCAACTTAGGCGAATGTTGGCGGAGTGAAGCCAGAGCACATCGCGATGATAGTCCTGTTATATCACTGCTTGGGCTAGCAATCTATCCTCGAGCATCTGCACTTGGTATATTAGGCATAAAGAAGACCTGCACTGTGGTTCGACGCAGTGATGTTTAGTTCATCTGTTTTGTAGCGTGCAGTTACCTCTTGACATTTCGATCTCGACGAGATCACCGCGGTACTTGCTAGTCCAAAGGCTTCCAGAGGCCGCACTTGCTCTTGATGAGACGACAGGCCGTCGGAGGTGAGAACGTGGTCGGAGGAGATGGAAGCTGCCAGACTTTCGCGTTGACCGTCGATCCCTCGTCACTAGAAGCGGAAGCGGCCCGCGCTCCGGCAGCACGAGCTCTTGAATGTGCAGTTCGGCCGACCAAGCTTCTCCATCTTTCAACTCTCAAGGATCATCATCAAGACAATTCCAGCACACAAACACAAGCCTTCTTTCGATCCATGCGCCGGGAGTGCATGCGCCTTCGACATTATTTCCCATCATGTCGGGCCTGAACTATGTCACCTTCAACCAGGATCACTCACTGCTGGCCGTTGGTATGCTGTATCCATCACCTGAAATCGCAAGAACGTACTGACTCGCGTGATGTCTCCCAGCGACCACGCGCGGTCTGCGAGTCTACAGCACCGATCCGTTCGAGCTCACCAATCACTCATACGAAGAAGACATCTCGCTTGTCGAACAGCTCTTTTCCACCTCGCTCGTTGCCATGATTCTGACCCCGCGGCTGCTTCGGATCGTGAACACCAAGGTGCGACATCTTGATACTTGTGCCAGGAACTTTCGTTGATCTAATATCCGCGCGTAGAAAAACTCGACGATATGCGAGCTTACATTCCATGGCATGGTCGTGGCGGTGAGGATGAATCGGAAACGGCTGATTGTGATGTTGGAGGAGGTTGTATTCATATACGACATCAGCAACATGAAGATGCTCCACCAGCAAATGACACCGATGAACCCAGGAGGAATCTGTGCCATTTCCAACAACTCCGAAAGCAATTACCTCGCCCTTCCTCATTACACGAAGACGCCACACAACGCGCACCCGACTGCTTCGCACGTCCCCAAATCGATCGTCAAAGAGCCGATTAATGGTGATGTGCTGCTATACGATCTGAACAAAATGGAGGAGGTCACAGTCATCCAGGCACATCAAGCTCCACTTTCGCATATTTCTATCAACAAGGATGGCACACTCATGGCGACTTCCTCCGAAAAAGGAACAGTTATTCGAGTCTTCTCAATACCAGACGGAAAGAAGCTGTACCAGTTCAGACGAGGGAGCATACCGGCGAGAATATACAGCATGAGCTTCAACGCAACCGCAACCCTCCTCTGCGTATCATCCGCAACGGAGACCGTCCACGTCTTCAAGCTCGCACCTCCTGGCAGCTATAGCACGAATGGWGGACGTCCGCTGTCTCCACCTTCCTCACCWCAACAAGCCGCGTTCTCAGGCCGGGACCGTAGCGAGAGTCCGACAGACGAGCCTCGGGATGAAGTAGACGGCGATCCCTCTGCACTCTCAGGTGCTCGGCAACCCCGACAGCCCGGCTTCATGTCGCTGGTGAGGAGGACTTCACAGAATGTGTCCACATCTCTGGTATCTCGTGCTGCAGGCTATCTCCCAAGTTCCGTCACAGAAATGTGGGAGCCACAGAGGGATTTTGCGTGGGTACGGGTTCCGCGAGGAGCGAACGGACAGCCCGTGCGATGCGTCGTGACGATGGCAAACAACGTACCCCACGTCATGGTTGCTACGAACGAGGGCGATTTCTACGTCTACAGTGTGGATTTGGAGAAGGGTGGGGAGGGAACCCTGGTCAAGCGGTTTGAGTAAGCGGTATCCTGAACTTTGACCGCGAGAGAGAATATATGCTAACATTTGCCTGATAGTGAAATTCAAGGGCTCAAATACCGAAGAGGGCAGGATTCCGACGAGTAGAATTTAATCGATATTCCGAGGTCTGAGGCATTCACATGGGCAGGCATTTATCATGGAGCGTTCAAGCGTTGGCGCTATTGGGGCAGACCTCGAGCGTGATGTACTCGCAGAATGAAGGTYAGGATTGGTAGCGAACGTATTGCATGAATGATCATGAAGTCATTGAGTGAATATGGTTGACGGCCGAAGCCCTGGCTCTATTTCCTCATCCGGCTCACATGAGATGGGTCTGCCGTAAAAATCGACGATGCTGAGGACCGAAATTGCTCTCGCTACCATTCCTTCTTGACCTCGAAGGTCCAATCGAACTGCAAATGAGTGTGGCTGTCGTCGTCGATGAATTTGGAGACAGCCTTGTATTTACCTCTTGCGAGCATGCCAGAGGGAGCAGTGTCGGCCTCGACTGGGATGCGTCAGTTCTGGTAGTAAAGACTCCATCGGGGCGGATACATACACTTCTTCTCGTATTCCCTCTTGTCCGTCGTGTTTGGCGAGTAAGAGCCCTGAGTACAGGTCAGAGACATTCGAGGTAGGAGAGCGCTAACGTTACAACATACAATCATTTCCTGCGACTTGTTCTTCAAGCCCGCCCTGCTCACGACCTGCACATACTTCATTCCACTAAGGACATCGTGCTGCACGCGGAACCTCGCCTTCATGCGGAAAGTGCAGCCTTCCTTGATGGTGAAAGGGTGGTTCTTGAGATCCTCAAGAGCGTTTGCCTTTTCCAAGTCCAGAATGATGTCGGGCCGGCCTTCAACTTCCAAACCCAAGGAGAGGATCACCACACGACGAGGATCATTGGGGTCTGCGATAGGAGTACCAGAGCCGATTCCGAGAGACTCCTTCCATTTTCGAAGAGACTCATCATTTTGGTCTAGCTGTTGGTACTCATCGATTGTCCTGAAAGACGGAGTCAGCAAGCAAGGCGGATATCAAGTGGGACAAGGCGCGGGGCGGACTTCTTCTCTCCCACCACGAAACCCTCAGTGGTCTCTGGCTCGAGGTCGTCACGGGGTGTTGCAGACATGATGAGGATGAGGTTGGACACTTGCTTCAACTGTGATGGAAGTTGAAGATGTTGCTTGCAAGATGCTTGCTCCAGGCGAGGATGATGATGGGAGAGAAGAGCTGATGTTTCCCGTGTTTCAGATACCAATTTTAGTGCTTGTAGTTTGTACCCAACTAGAATAATATCCCCACCACGCCCACCACGCTTGTGCTCGTGCCTGCCCTGCCTACCTTACCTTACCTTACCTTACCTTACACCGCTTACAAAGGGATGGCGACAACACCAGGAATGTTGCTGTGGTGAGTCGCCAAACTTCGACGTTGAATAATCTTTGAGGGGCTCGGTCGTCAGAGAGGCGTTCTCATGTGTGATGCTTGCAAAAAGCCACGTGGATGACCTTTTTCACGCGCACAGTGCGGTTATGCGATCAGTGCATCCATGTGCTGAAGGTGCCGACATTATCTTCCTCGTCCTTGTGCGAAGAGCATTGACGTCGCTCGTCCATCATTTCCAAATTGCATAACTCACACTCAAAAAAATCTCCGTGGCTGGCAAACTTACCCGCCACTTTTGGGAGCAAGGACCGAAGCGTGTGGAGTTCGCCGTACCAAACTTCAAATCCCGTCCGAGGCCGCCGTATTGCCTTGCCTCGTCTCGTCTCTGTCTTCACACGCCGAGTGGTATACCTTGCAACCAGAACCCGTGATCGATATTCGCACCTGCCTCAGCTCCGCCAAATCAACGCGATATAGCCGCAAAGGCACRCGTGCACATCCACCAATCTCCCGCCGACCTCTAGCGTGTATTTGCTCATCGACCCTCGGAGCATCATACCCAAAGACCACTGACACGCGCATCCATCTTCGCATCGCATCGACGACCCTCGGCGCAAGAATCTCTCATCGCGAGCTATTCATCATGACCAAACGCCCACACCTCCCAGAGTACCGCAACGCGCTGTTGGAGGAGGATCGCGCCCCATTGCGTACGTGCCAAAGACGCGAAGAATAGGAATGGCGCATGCAATATCGGGATACTGTCGCTAATACATTTCGCGTTGCAGACGAGAATCTGGTCGAAAGACGATGCTTGGGACAGACCGAGTTGAAGGTCAAGCCTGGTCAGGTGGGCACGTCCAATGCGACCAAGCTGGAAAATCTGGGCGTGCTCGACTACGCGCATTTGCGCGTTCCACTCCCCAAAGACTTGTCAGGCAGTGGCATCTTCGCGAGAGGATCTAACCGCAAGTGGCCCGAGGCATACTTCCTGATGGTACGTACGCGCGACGCGCCGACGCAGACTTTGCGATGCAGGCGGTGTGGCTGACCAAAGTGGTGACATAGCGACGTTCGAGCGATGGCTTCATCAGTGCAACGGGCATGTTCAAGGCGGCCTTTCCATACGCGCAGCAGGAAGACGAAGTGAGGGAAAAAGAGTATGTCAAGACGCTCCCAGCTGCATCGAGCGAAGAGGTCGCGGGTAACGTCTGGATCGACCCTCACCAAGGTTTGTTTCRCCTTCACTTGAATGGGTTTGCCGCGCTAACCCCTGCATAGCTCTCGAATTAGCCGAAGAATACGGCATCAAACTATGGATCGCTGCGCTGCTCGACCCAGAACCGATCACCCACGGCATTAGCGATCCCAAGAAAGGCATCAAGTCACCTCCTGCATTCCACATCAAGGAAACGGTCAAGGGAATCGGCCGTACTCCAGACGATAAGGGTCGCCGATCAACCCGAGGCGTGCGAAGCATGCGATCAGAGTCCCCGACAAAGGGGAAAACCCCACGCAAAATGGCAACTCCCAGAAAGACGCGCAAGCCGCGTGGTGGCCTTACCAACCTCGATGAGACGGCATCGATCGCAGAGGAGTCGGTGGCGGAAGGGGACGTCGATCATGCAAAGGTTGTGGTTGAGACAACGACTGTGCCGGGCGTGAACGGAGAGGCGGACACGGAGACGACCAAGGCGACAATCACCATGCCAAATGGGAACCCAGCTTTGGAACTACCAAGCGATGCACAGGCGATGCWTGCGCAAGCACGCGCAATGGTGAAGGAAGCACAGAAGCTCGACGCTACTCAGAGCAGCAAGGGGAAGCGGAAGGCGGATGAGCTTGAAGAGGACGATATTCTCGAAGCAGAGAGCTCCCTACGGCCAGCCAAGAGAGTCCGACAGGAGGTTGAGCTCAGGAAGGAGAAGATTATGCGAAGGGCTGCGACAGGCATAGTAGCCAGTCTAGCGCTTGGGTAAGTCTTGCTATGTTCCTCCCTGCCTTGACACTGCTGACATATTCGCAGCGCACTGATACCGAGCATCATCGCCGCGTTCCCGTGGTAACACGTGGACAACCACATGGCACACTTGATAGTGCCTCACTTTTTCTTTATTGTCATTAGTACGTCTGCGATACCACTAGTCTAGTCGGAGTTTGGCGCTTCTTCGACGAGTGCGCGAGAGAAAGGGCGGCAGGATTTGGGCGGGAAAAAGATAGGTGTGGTTGAACTTCACTTCTCGATACCATGCCTTGAAGGGTCCCGCAAGAGGGTCTAAGAGCGATTGGGCGGAAGTACATGAAAGGTACGAATGGTGCAGGTCGAGAGGATGTGTCGCTGTGATCACATCAGATGGATTTTGTAGCAGCTGAGAGATATTGCAATAACTTGCAAGTGCGGGTTTCAAGATGCTCGTGTTTCCTTCCGATATCAGGACTGACGAGGTGAAGCATTTGATCAAATAATGCAGGTGGTTCTGGCAGCTCCACGGAAGAACCACTCAAATGTTGTTGCGTTGTTGTCACATGGATGGTGGCAAGAGGCCAATCACGATTACATCGCAGCAAATGCGTTTTCACGAGCGGCCACTCAAATCGGCGACGGAGAGATTCATATGCTTGATGCATTTCCATTCGTCTGCGAGACCCTGTCCGGAAAGCACAGAAGTCTCCGCTCTGACATGTCCCTCGCAATGCTAGTGGTATATCCGCGTCCATTGCCTCCACCACACGAATCCAGCATCACAGTTCCTCCAATCTCGGTATCCTTTAAGCAGAAGCAGCGGTGATGGCAGACTCAACGGCAGGTGGGTTCGCGCCGACGACCTCGTTGATCTTCTCGCCGTCCTTGTAGATCATGAAAGTAGGCATGGCGCGAACACCGACCTCCTGAGCGACCTCTGGGACCTCGTCGACGTCGAGCTTGTAGAAGCGAACGTTGGTGTGCTTGTCGGAGAATCTACGCGGCGGGGAATACACTCGTCAGTCTTTCTCAATCTTTTAACGTGAGAGCGCGGGAAAAAGAGGACGCACTCGACAATCTTGGGCGCAATGACCTTGCAAGGTCCACACCATACGGCGAAGAAGTCGACGATGGCGACACCCTTCTCGGACATGGCAGAGTCCCACTCAGCCTTGTTCTTGATGTTGTGGACACCCATTCTTGCGGTTGTGGTGGAGAAGAGTTTGGTGTTTGTGATGAGTGGTTGATAGAGGCGGGTGTTGGTGGTTGTTGTTGTTGTTGCGGGTCTGAGAGATGCAGTTGTGAGTAAGGTACGTCGGAGAGCAGACATAAATGCAAGTGAAGTGAGTGGCCGGTGATATCAGGCAGATATGTATGCGGCGGCGGCGAAGAATGTCCATTTTAGGTTATGACATTTCAAAGCTTTTGTCAGCCGCTGTTTGCGGCCTGAGTTGCTTGCTTCGCCGTTGCTGCGGCATCGTGCCTCGCGGCTTGAGTTCAAGAAGATTCCACGTACCTGAAGTGTTTGAAATTGGTAAGAATAGCACTGTGATACACGATTCGCAAGATGTACGTCCTACCCAGTCTGTGGAAGGCAGCTCGTTCTCACCTGCAGATGAAGTTCGCCGCTGCTTCGGGGTCCGAGAGACGGTGACGTGATGGCGGGGTCCGTCATTCACTTCACTTCGCTTAAGTTTTCTTTGTTGATGTGAAAACAATAGCATGTCATCCCACCATCGCCTGAACATGCATTCAAACATCATAGGTCAAATACACGACGTCTGTATTGCGAGGTCGAACATTCCGGCTGCGACATGGCAGAGTCTCGAATGTTAACCCACAATAGTAACTACACTGAGTTGTGAGACGATGGAGAGACTGGATGCCAGCACCAGAACGTGCTCTCCGACAAACGTAACAGCAGGAACGATCTTGMCGCCAAAGCCAAGGATAGACGTGCGGTGACTCACTTGGAGAGGTCGAGAGGCTGTACAAGAGCGAGACATTGTAGAGCCGCCACGTCGCTTCAGCCGCCACCAATGGCGGCATTGCAAAGGCAGGGAAGATCGGATCAGGGGTTGAGTGACGGCTGTGTGCAGCGAAAAGCCTTGTTGTCCAGATGTGGTCTTACTACTCAAGTCGTTTGCTCGATATGCTACAAGCCACGCGAGACACCCCTGCTTTGATTGCCCTTCAAACCAACACAGCTTAGCGAGCATTCAAGACAAATTTACTGCAGTGAATGCATCCAAAACAATAGGCCGCCCATAATACCAGACTGCTTTCCGGATCCATTAGCAGCAGCTCATCGCCGCCTTCATGTCGCTTCAAAGTCTCTACACCATGGCTGATACCCCTCTGTCCACCATCTACCTACGGATCTCTAGCTTAATCAACTTTCCAATAGCACTCACAACACGGAGATACTGTGACAGCAATGAGGGTGACGGAGGTGGTAGTCCAGAGTATGGATTTCTAGGAATCGGGAAAGACTACGCATTCGATCGGTGGGTGGACGACCTATTAACTCTTGGACCAGATGCTGCCCTATCTTCAAACGTGCAAGTGCGCAAGCAGCTAACGTTGTAGGTCGCTTAACCTGCAGACCATTCCCCTGGACACGGTCTCTTAAGACTGGGCTAATGATTCTGGGTTCCGGGGCATTGTAACTAAAAGCCCCAATCTTGAAAATGTATCCGACATGACTTGAAAATATCTTCAGTCTGGAGAGCGATCAGAGCTTAGATGCCCAGGCAATTGATCACCTGGCCCAATTCCGTCGTGGGTATGATCAATCGAACAATCCAACCCACTCTACACACCCAATGTTGCCGCTCTTGGCTTTGTTCAAGAAATCATTCAACATCCCCAGACGCTCATCGACATGCTCCTTACAAATCCCAATCAGCGTAGCCGAACCAAAAAACTTGATAAACCGTTCGCGATTCCCACTCTCAAGCAGCTGCGACACAGAAGTCCGTTTCTCAAGATCATCTGCCGCGCAGAGATGATCGAAAGCGTTTTGGAAGGTTTTCGCGCGAAGGCTGAATTTCTCGAAGAGCGTCTTCGCAAGTTCCAGCAAAGGGATCGCTTCCTTGAGGATCGCGAGTGCGCGTGAGATTTCGTCGGGGGATGATAGAGGGGCCCTGGTGAAATCCGAGAGAAGTGTGTAGAGTGGTTCTATTGAGGCCTTGTGGAGATTGATTTGTAGAGCTTCGTAGTTATCTGCAACGGCTTGGAACTCCATGAGGAAATTGTCGATGCGTTGGGTGAAAGGTCTCATTGTACGCTGTTGTTGGYCTGACATTGTGGTTTTGGTAAATGCTAGTCTTGGATGGGGGAAGAGCGCGATAGAGTGTGTTATATGGCATTTATGCCAGCAGTGCATGTGTGCGGTCTTGTTGCTCCTCGATCATTACTTTGCGCCAGTTTGCAAACATGATGCAGAGATCGTTGACACAGACGATCGATTGCTGTGGACCATCTCTCTCACGGAAAGCAGATAATATCCGACAGCGATCTGGCCACGTCGAATCCCACCAGATCGAACAGGAACCACAAAGAGTTTACATATGCTCCTCGGGATTTGTGCTCTTTGGGGACGAGTGAAACCATTGCCTGCGACTGAACAGCAATGGCGACACTCATAGCTGGATTTCATACTCATGTGAACCATTCTGTCGCTCAAAGGTATTCATACGTCGCTGTGAAAAGATCCATTCACTCGATAATGCTGAGCGTGGTGGTAGCGTGCTCATTACGCTCCCCGCAAGATCTGAGAATTACAGATCTCCGTTCCTGCCATGATGTCTCGTCGAGGTCCTGTACGCCCGAAATGGCGAGATCTCATCAGCCCACTCAGTGGTGCCAACGATATCACTCTTAGCCTGCTCCAAACATCTGCCATAGTATTCTTTGGTCGTTTCCGACTCGTGCGCGAGAGATGAAGTCAAACCCATCAAACCAAACAGGGCGAGAAAGAGGTCTTGCTGCTCGTGGGCGAAGATTTCCGACTTTAACTCCACAAACCCCTCTAGGTGTTCGTTGGCCAATTCCAGACATTCGTCTTCGAGCTCGGAGAAGCGCTCGTGATTTGCCTCAACACGGGGTACAAGCTCTTCCAATGTCGGGATGGCGGCTATGTAGGCCTCTTTAGCGGCTGCGATGTGTGGCGATGAAGGGATGGCGAAACTGAGGCTCAATGCGCTGCGGGCTTGACGCATGTTGCGAATGAGAGGGTCTTGGTTGAGGACGCTCTCTGCTGTTTCATATTCCTCGGTCAGGGGTGCGAGCTCTGTGCATAGTGCCTCGATTTGTTGACTGAGACCTTGGGCGGTTGGTTCTTCAAGGTCTGACATGTTTCGTTGGAGTTGTCGTGATGGTCGTCGATGTCAACGGTTGAAGCTGGTGAGTGACTATCGAATGGGTGGGTATCGGTTGAAGGGACAGGAACGCTGTTGATCATCTTAAGTGCTCTGACGTATAAGCATGCTTGCTCTCATCGTAAGTAACATGCGGGCAAACACGACGCATGTGGTGTGGCTCACGCGATTACAGAGATGTGCCGCGTGCCTGTTGGCTTCTTGGGGTGGTGATGGAGATCTTCTTGAATCTCCGATCCAAACCATCTGAGCATCCTGAATATGATGGAGCCGCAGAGTGTTGTAATGTGTAGRTSKSKGKKSKCRSMGWAYMMTWMMMARARRRATTCTGTTGTACTTGAAATGATCGTATAACGCCCGCGTCCACGATCCAGCCATTGCCATTAGATCTATGTCATGTCATTTCATCTCGTCTCATCATCGTATCGTCGGTAACACGCATAGAAATCAGGTCTCTCTCATCTGACGTCAACGGGCGGCCGCGAGCGACTCCTTCCATCATACCTGCTCGCCCTATCTGTCTCCCGTCTGCCAGTCCCAGGTCTCTCGCCGGTGGAGCGATCATCAAATGATGCTGCACCATGCGACCCTCTACGCGATCTTGCTCTATCTTCCCTGCGATCTGAATCTGGTGGCGCTTCAAGCTGTTTGGGTGCTGCCGGCTCGCTGTCCTCACTGTGGATAGAGGAGGTCTCCACAAATCCGATGCGTCTCCCTTCAGTGATGATTTCCTCCCTTTCCCACCTCGATGCCTCCTTCCACTCTCGCTCTTCCGCCCTTCTCTCTCGTTCCTCTTCCTCGCGCTCATACCGCTCCTCGTCGCGCCGCCGCTTGGCCTTGGCCTTTTCAAAGTCTCGCCGCCGTTCCTGCTGATGCTGTGACTTGTACCTCTCCGAGTCCTTCTTGTTCATCCACATGGAGAAGCAGGTCGAGACCACCTGCACAAAGATTACTCCCAGGGCGACTTTTCCCAGAGTGGATGCCGCGCTGTGCTCCTCGTCTACATGTGGAGCAGACGTGCGGCGTCTCCTGCCATGGGGGGTAGAGCGGCTGTAGTTGGTGTCGGGAGATGTTGAGTATCTGCGAGTTCGAGGCCTGCGAGCGCCGTTGAATGTGCTGTCGTCGCTGTGGTAGTGGTAGTGGTGTCCCGATGCCATGATGATTTTGATGAAAGTGGCGGGTTTTGTGATGATGAATGGTGTGAATGTGTTAGGTGCATGCTAGGTAAAGTAGGTACTGTACTGCAGACTGCCACAGCCTCACTTGTCGTTGCCTGCCACAATCCGAAACTTGCTTGCATGTGCACGTTGTTTGGGAGGACATACCGAGTCATGAGTGGCGGACCCGTGCCGTGAACCGTGGTGCGTCAGGTAAGGCGGGGGCGGGTATACCCGATCGCCGACATTTAGACGAGATGCTCGCAAAGTCGACGGCGGCATGCACGATTGACATTGATGTCACATTGAGCGAATGGCATACACTCTCGCCTCAACATCAAGATGCTTTCTCCCAACGTCGTTGATCGCCGCAGTATCGTTAATCTCCACACGACCTCCAACGAAGATGGTCACCGTCTAGAGGAGAAAGTAAAACCGGATGAACCATCCACCTGTGCTCCTCCATGCTCACTGCTGGAAACGCTCCGCCGAACGCCGATTCCAGGTTGATAGCGAAATTCATATCGCAATCCTTGAACGACCCGACATGCTATCCTGGCCTTTCACGGCGTATCCGACAGGCTTAGGAGGTACCAGCGGCCGATGATCTCATGGGTGAGCTCGATGACGTTGGCGCTCCAGAGGCCATTGATTTGTATAAAAAGTCTACATATAGTACACTACAATCTTGCTGCGGGTGGTGAGAGTGCAGTCGTGGCGTGTCGAGGTCGATGGCTCGAAGCCTTCGGACCTTGGACGTGCGGTCGAGATGCGAGAAGCAAACGGCATTGGAATGTCTAGATTGCACGTGCCCCGACGCTAGAGCAGCTTCACAAATTCACAATCGCTCCCGTCTGCATTTGATTATTCTACCTGGTACCTCCGTCATCATCATCCCCAGCTTGAATATTTCGCATGGTGAGGGAGATGTGTCCCCAACCATCTGTGTATCTCAAGGTTCAATGACTGCTCGCTGGAAATGGTCGTATCTTTCAGATCAGACGTCAGCACCAGCAGTGAGTACTGTACGACAGCAACAGCACCCCTTCGCGGACCCGGACCCACACCACACTCGGGGCTCGGTGCGGCTGACAATGTGCTCACGCGAGGTGCTGCCAAATCAGATGCCCGCATTTCCACTGCGAACATGCGGCGTTCCGTAGCCCTTCTCGAAGCCTTTTAGCTTCTGTCGCATTTGGGTCGCCTCCGCGATACGGCCTTTCTTTTAGCGGCCGAGACCTCATCCGCGGCGATAGCCAAGCACGCCGTAGGCTGGGCAGAGTTTTTTAGCGTACCCTGCAGTAGCCGACCAACGGGCACGTGCGGTTGTGCCCTACTGGCCTACTTATCAGAAAGACTGGGTCCTTGCGCTCGGTGGAAGCGGGTTCCTGACATCCAACGGATTCAACGCGCTGACATTCGGGTTTCTTTGACACTTCAGCTGTGGTCCCTCACCACACCCAATTCATGTACTCGCAATCCATTTCATAGACGAGGAAATCCACCTTCCTTTCGCCTCCGCCGATCCTTCCAATCCCGCTGCAGCCTTTTCACAGATCAGGATCCACAGACCTGGAACGAAGATCACCCAGAGCGACAATTATACCCACAGAAGCAGCAGTGAAATATCCGCGCGCCCTCTTCAGGATCCGTCCTTGCCCAAAGCCAAAGCAACAACCTCACTCCCGAAAAGCCATACGCGACAACTCCCGAAAGCGACACTACGAGAACCCGGCTCGTGATTGACTGTACATCTTTTCGTTGTATATATTGACCAGCTATTGTTATCGACCCATGGCCAACATGATGAAGTCCGAGAACTCGGACCTATATCCGCGGCATGGCTCCAGAGTATCTGGCATGTCAAAGGAATTCCMAYGAAAAGTGTCCCGAGTAGAAGCAAGTGCTGAACATGCGGACGAGCTTCTCGAGGCGTTGGGTTACACATCTGAGCTCGCCAGATCACGATCGACGTTGAGTGTGGCATTCATGGCATTTGTGCTGGCTTCAGTTCCTTATGGTCTATCGACAACACTCTACTATCCGTTGACTGGAGGCGGCCCGACTACAGTGATTTGGGGATGGGTGGCCGTGTGCGCTCTGATGATGTGTGTCGCCATCTCGCTGGGAGAGATCACTTCGGTACGTCTTGACAATCTTGTAAAGTGCTATACTTGTGGTATACACTCATGCGGAAGTTGGATGAAGTGGACTAAACGAAACCGCAGGTCTACCCAACAGCTGGCGGTGTCTACTACCAAACTTTCATGCTCTCTCCCCGTAAATACCGTGCAGCAATGGCGTGGGTCACAGGCTGGTGTTTCCTGCTTGGCAACGTTATCATCACGCTCTCCGTCAACTTTGGCACAACCCTGTTCCTCATCGGCTGCTTGAACATTTTCACAAAGGCTGGCATGGTGGCAGATCCCAACGATCCCACAGGACTGACTATGATTCCTGGTCAAGTTGGGATCTTCGCCAATGGCCAACCCTACCAGACATGGCTCATCTTCTTGGCCATCACTCTAGCTTGTAATGCCATCTCCGCATTGGGCAACAAGTGGCTCCCCCTGCTGGATACCTGTACGATCCCATTCACTATTGTGGGCGTACTCGCCATCCTCGTCTCCGTCCTGGCCGTCGCTGCAGAGGGAAGGAAAAGTGCAAGCTACGTCTTTGGAGGATTCGAGCCAATCTCTGGATGGACGCCACCTGGATGGGCCTTTTGCGTTGGTCTCCTCCATGCTGCTTATGCTACCTCCGCTACCGGCATGGTTGTGTCCATGTGTGAAGAGGTGGAGAAGCCTGCCTCTCAGGTTCCCAAGGCCATTGTTGGCGCACTCTTGATGAACTTCACGTGTGGACTGATCTTCTTGATTCCGCTGTGCTTCGTTCTGCCAGACTTGATGGCCTTTGTCAACGACCCGTACGCTCAGCCTCTGCCTGTCATTCTGAGCTCGGCTATCGGTAATCAGGGCGGTGCGTTTGCTCTGACCGTCCCTATGATTATTTTGGGTGTCCTATGTGGTACAAGCTGCACCACAGCTGCTTCCCGATGCTTGTGGGCTTTCGCTCGGTATGTGTTTCACAGGAGAGGGTGCTAGAAAGTCGCTAATATTCAAGCAGAGATGGTGCTGTCCCAGGTTCGCGCCGTTTTGGTTTCAACAGGGTCAACAACAAGCTTGGCATGCCACTGAACGCAATGATGTTGAGTATGGTGGTTCAGATTCTCCTCGGTCTGATTTATCTGGGATCTGCCGCTGCTTTCAATGCCTTCAACGGATCTGGCGTCATTTTCTTGACGCTCAGCTATGTCATCCCCGTGGCCATTTCTCTCTTCACCGGCCGCTCAAAGACACTGGCAGGTGGAAAGTACAACCTTGGCATGTTCGGACTTGTGTGCAATGTTGTGTCGATTGGTGAGTCTGGATGGAAATGCATTGTAAAGATTTGTACTGATTACATGACAGCATGGTGTGCTTTTGCCATCCCACTCTTTTCCATGCCCTCGGGTTTGCCAGTCACTCTCGCTGGCATGAACTACGCTTCAGCGGTATTCGTCGGCGGTGTGGTCATCTCGGCATTGTCTTACTTCCTCTATGGAAAGAAGCACTACTCTGGGCCTCAGGTCGGAGAGGACATGGAGCCTCCGGGCTACTCATCATGAAAAGGGCTGCATAGTCTGGAATGTGCATGTGTATAGATTCTTGAATGTCACTCAACATGGGTGTTCTTTTAAAGTCGACATTGGATCTGTGATAGGCTCTCGTCTGTGTGAATTCCGACGACTCTCTTCGCTGCCGACCATGCAGCTCGACAACGGGCCTTGCAGTAAACGGAGACTGTAAATCAAAAGGTCCCATTCATGGGCTCGCGAACGCTTAGTACTAACTAACCATTGCTGAGAACTGAGGATGCTTCATCGACGGCTCGAAGAAGCTTCTCACTCAATAAATCCAAGCCTCCTGTCTAATATGTCAGCACTGTCGGTACTCACGGTGTCGCTACCGTAGACGCCGAAGCCACTAAAGCTGCCAACAAACTCTACAAGACACATGCGTTGACTATACAGCCCGAAAAGAGTGCAAAAAGAGGGATTATGACGACCTTACTCTATGCCCTCAAAATGAGCAAAAGATGAGCTCCCCACCCGGGTCGAACGAGTGACCTTAGGATGATTGCGGACTGCAATCCCACGCTCTACCACTGAGCTAGAGGAGCTTCTATGAGTGGGCGAAGGTTCTTATTGATCATGATGCTGACGCAAAGATCTGCCGAGCTTCGGCCGGGACGCCGAGGCGATCGTTGCGATCCTCTCGTTGGAAAACGCGCATTCGAGCCGACTTGTGAGCATCCTTGGAATTATCTGCTTACTCGATGAAGTGGTACGCACTTGACCCGCCCTCGATGGTAGTGTAGGTCTGTTAAAGGGACTCGGACTCGGCGTGTAGCTATCGCTATGATACGTTGCCTTGGATCTCAGCATTCAAAAGTCTCTGCTATCGATACGTCAACCCGGCAAGTACCTTACCTAGGCTAGGTACCTACCTTATCATTCCCCTGTTATAACTTGACTACGCAAAATGGAAGTCGCTTGGAATTACAACTGCCCGTTCAACCTAGAATTTGATGAGGCACGCAGCATGAGATTCGAGCGTGATCTCAAACTGATCAGAGCAACAAGCATCTAGTTCCAGCTGCACAAGGTGAGATTTCGCTCCTAGATTTGACTTAGCGGAGGGCCGACATGAATGCGAAATCCAATATAGAAGCTATATTGGCGAGGGTTGGTTGGACTACCTTTTCTGCCACTTAATGATCCTAATAAATTCGATGTTGCTGCTTTCATCCCACCATGTGATAGTTATCAGGAACGCTGGCGCAGTAGAGTCCAATAATGCTGCTCTGTACAAGTAGTAAAAGGATACGCCTGCCGCCTACTAACCTCGAGGCAAAAGAGAAAGAACAGGCGCTTGGTTTTCAAGACAAGAAAAACGCAAAAAAGAAGGCAGAATGTGATTTGGATTCCAAATCCGGGAGTCGAACCCGGCTCTACCCGGTTCGATGTGAACATGAAAGCGGGTGATGCTAGCCGATACACCAATTTGGAGTGCGAGTCCTGTATGCTGTGAGGCATGAAGGAAAGCTCGTCAATAGCGTATATATAGCTCTCAACCATCTGCCGGCGTTTCGCCGATTTTCGGAATCGACCTCAGAAGGTGCATTGTACCTCGCCTCGAATACACACACAATACACAACGACGGTCGTTGCATCGAATAACCACGACATTGATTCYCGAGATGAGCACAAATACCCCAGCCCACGAGCTCGTCGCTCTCATCTTCTCTCCGTCCACGGAAACCTCGACTGCATGGCAGCACATCTTCACCAATGTTGCAGCAACGCTGGAAAATCACTTTGGTCACGCTCTGCCGACTTTGAGTTTCCGCTGGCTTGACAGTAATTGCAAGACGACGGATCCCGACCAATTCGCATCGCCAGGCCGTGTCCTTGAAGCCAAGTTCTCCATCCCAAACGCCATCAGTCTCCGCGAATGCAAAACTCTCACCGACACCATCCTGCAGCCCATCCAATCGAAGCATAAAATTGAGCTCCTCCTTCAACCAAGCTTGCTACATCGCTCTCATGCACTACCAGGCCTCGCCGTCTTCGACATGGACAGCACTCTTATCCAGCAAGAAGTCATTGACGAGCTTGCACGTGCAGTCAATCTCTACGAAGAATGTGCTGCCATCACAGCGGCGGCCATGCGGGGCGAGGAACCCTACACGGATTTCGCTGCCAGTCTGCGCGCGAGAGTGAGACTCCTCAAGGGCGTTCCCCTCAGCATATGGGACGATCTCAAGCGGGACGTCATCACTTTCACCCCCGGAGCCAGAGAGCTGATCAAGGCATTGCGAGGACTAGGCTGGAAAACTGCCGTTCTTAGTGGAGGCTTCATGCCGCTCGCGCAATGGGTTCAGTCAGAGCTAGGTCTCGATTTCGCCCTTGCGAATCATCTCCAAGAAGATGCCGAGAACCAGTGTCTGACCGGGGAGCTAGTTGATGGGAGAGTGATTGTTGATGGCGACATGAAGAGGACTGTCTTGATGAGCTTGAGCGAGGAGCATGCAATTCCCAAGGAGAGGATCATTGCGGTCGGCGATGGTGCGAACGATTTGAAAATGATGGAGGCTGCGGGCCTGGGAATCGCGTTTCATGCCAAGCCAAAGGTACAGCTCGCTGCAACCAGTCGATTGAACACGGAGAGTCTTCAGGATGTTCTGTACGTTCTCGGACGCACCAAGGACGAGGTTCAGTCGCTTTTGGGTGCCAAATGAGGGCTGCGGCAGATGACCTTTACACAGCCAGTATGCGATCGCGCGGCAGAAGTAGGACTCAAGCAGGGACCGGTCGTGGAGACATCTTCGATCAGGAATGACTATGCCAAGCCTAAAGCTCAAAGATCAATCTTTACGGTATACCTGGATATATCCGGACGTCATCATTAGGAGGCTGCAAGAAGTCATCAGCAACGTCCACTGCCATCTGATGTGATTCAGCCCAGCCCCTGATCGCCTCAAAATCTCGACACATGTGCAGCGTGTTGAAGTCGACAAATGGTCGGACATTGTTGCCGTCCGCGTCGCTCACCCAGACTTGGCCCATCACTCCCATGTCAACGGTGCACATCAGCTGCTGACGTAGAATATCAAGACAATGAGCTTGGAGTTGTATCAGCCTCAGTCGTCACAAGAGCACCTCTATAAAGGACTTTCACACTCACTGATATGCTTCTCCACCAGCCACTTCTCGTTCTTCCAGGCCCCATTTCCTTGCAAGCGATAATGCTCGATGTTGAAGTATAGAGCTTGCCGCAGGAGATTCTGCACGTTCCCATTAGCTCGATCCTTGACATCTAACCCCTGGCAGCGTACAAGACAGTGTAGATGGTGTAAACCCTCAATATTCGCCGGAAATCCTCCCCCATACTTGTCATTCACACGAACGTGGTCCTGCAAGCCCATGCTTTCTCCGGACGACCCAGGGACAACGATAGGTCGATCTGCCAGCAAAGTCAGTACAGCGACATCCCTGACTCTGTATACTGGACGAACAATCTAGGCCCAACGCATCCCACGCAGCGTCGACTTCTGCTCCTGCCGGATAGCGATACACATTTTCCTTGAACAAGGAGCCGTTAAAAGYGATCTGAGCCCAGTTTGGATTGRCTTCAGGTATCAAAGGCGCTGCTCGTCCATTTTTGTCAGCATCGACACAATAACCGCTGCTCGTAAATCTTACATGGCCGCGCAATGCGTTCCAAGCAGACGACATCTATCACTCGGTTCTTCCAATGGATTCCAACCAGTATTCCCATGAAAAATGCATATGTCGTCAGCGCGATAAACACAACAGTGAGGCTGGATTGGTTTATGCACTTTTTCCATTTGTGTTTTCGTATTTCTCTCGTGTTAGCTGTGTAAGTCTCATCCGTTGTTCGCTCGGTTTGGCTGGGGGAAAGGAGTCTCTCGTTGACTTCTTCATCCATACCATCCCCTTCGTTAGGAAAGACTGATTTCCGCCCCGTTTTCGTCATCGAGGGCATGGAGAACAATACTCGACACACGTTCGAGAGTGCAAACACAACGGGAAGAGAAATCCAATCATGTACAAAGCGTGTTCCCAACTGCACGACTTCAGCCGGAGGGTCTTCCGTCGGGTACAACTGAGGTGTGCGACATCGCATTCCATAACCATTCAGCATGAGAAATACTCGAACATTCTGAGTGCGACCGTGTCACCGCCTGAGGCCTGAGACGCACCATCTTGWTACAGGACTTGACGCAGGCATCAGCGATAATGATGCGGTCCTCCTGGAAACAAATTCTCAACGCCCGGTTCGACGCATGTGTTGATGTGAKTGCCATTGTGGCTTGTCCTGTCATCCAGCAAGGAATTGCAACCCTGTGTGTTTGCTTCAATGCCGGTTCCCCATCAGCACCGCCGAAAAGATTTGTCTTCCGCCTTTGTCATGAGATCTTGCGGGATGTTTCGGTGGGGTTGATATAAGAGCATCGGCGGCGTTGCACTCCATTCGCAGCAAAGAAATCTACCCGACACAACTGCCTGAATACTTCACGATGAATTACTCCCTTTACATCAGCATCCTGATCGCTGGCCTTTTGTCAATCGCATGGGCAGCTCCGGTCCCTCCAGAGGATCCTTCGAACAAAGTCGAAAACTTTGCTGTGTGGGCTAGCGTACGAGACATTGTCATGGTTATGGTCTCGAAATTGTGCTGACTTTTCGCATAGTACGGCGCTTATGACATGCCGCTTTCCACCTACGGCGACTACAGTGGTGGCATCAACCCGCCTCCCCCAGCAGAGTGATGAGCAAAGAAGGACATATGGGCTTCTCCGCAGTCAAGTGCCGTATTCCTTCTTGGGTTGTGATGGCAAGTCTCAGTCTAGCAAGGTCTGTCGCGAGGCTACACAATTTAAACGGGATGGAAGGTGGATGCTGTTTAATACTCGCGCCACTACTCGACATCTCCATAGTGAGGTCAATTGTCGTTACAAAAGAATCCTTTGGGGTTTAAACATATTCCTGTCCTCTTCTCTTTCTCCCTTCAGCACTACTCCTCCACCCGCCGACTTTAGACGTCTTGCCTCCCATCCTCACGCATCCAGTAAGATGCTGGATACCCGCAACAACGCCATCCACACACTGCACTTGCTCCGTTTCCACTGCCGCCTCCACTGCCGTCTTCAGCATACTCATGCCCGCACAACCCAACGTCAAGACCTCTGCTCCGTCTGCGATCAGCTTTCTTGCAACATCACGCAAGATAGCCACAACTTCTTCTGAAGGACGGCTCTCGAGTTCAAGGACACCGAGATTGCAGGATTCAATGCCCGCACAGAAAGATTCACATCCATAGGCTCTGACCGCGTCTCTATGTATTATTTTCGATCTTGCAGAGGTTGCGATCAATCCAAAGCGACCTCCCAGCGTTCGAGCATACAGTAGGGAGGCTTCCATGATGCCAATGACAGGAATCGTGAATTCCTCGCGGAGCATTTTGATCAGGGGAATGTCGGAGTAGCATGCAACGAGAATCGCATCAAATGAATGCTGTTTCTGAAGGGGGAGAATGGCGCGGAAACAGGCTGCWGATGCGAGAATACTGTCTGTTGTGCTCTCAATCGCAGTGGGAGCGTCTCCAGCGGGAGCCGTGAAAGGTGTGACATGAACATCTGAAGGCAGGAATGGAGTGAGGGTTGAGAGGCAGGAATTGGTCATGCTTTCGGTGGCATTTGGATTGACGAGGAGGATGCTGATTGGTCTGGAAGACGGCATAGCAGACGTTTGCAAGCCTTGCTGTTCGTTCATGCTTGTGGTGATTGGTGATGGGGTGACCTCAGGTGTCTAAATCAGCGCCAAGAAAGTTTAAGAGACAAGTGAGTGACTGTTAGGTAAGATGAAAGAAGCTTACGCCCTGTCCTGTACATGTACAAGCGAGAGCTACCTTGCCTGTCTCTTTTTGGACCCTGATCATGCACGCACAATCATACACTGCAAGGCGATTGATTATATGGCCGGGCCGGTGCCAAAAGCGCCGGCGGCGGCGTCGTCGTCGAGCTGTGAGTGGGGAGCTGTCTTGTGCTATCGACGGATGTTGATAAAGACTCGAGGTGCCGGCGCCAGTTCTTCGCATGGAATTCTACCGGTGGCGTCCAAGTTTGGCGTCAACTTCGGCATCCAGTCATCGTTGATTGTACATAAGATGCTTTGGTAGAGGCATGGCCATAGGGCGGTGGGAGCTGAACGGCAGAACGAGCGCGGTTCAAAATTCTTCCCTCGACTACCCGAAAGGGTACATCATTATCAACCTTGGGCATTTGATGGGGTAAAACCAAAGCAGCTAATTCGTGCCCTCGGTGGATCCTGTCGATAAACCAGGATGCTCGGATATCGGATCGTCGCCACGTGCGTTACGGGATGCCGATAGCGGCCTAGTTGACGCGGAGTCCGATGTAACCATATGCAACTCCTCTGCTGCGATGACCGCCTGCCTCGCAAACCATATGCTGTGGCACCTCAGGCTGCGAGCGTGCGGCACGCATCGCCCTGCCGCATCGGTGGCGACATGAGCCGAAGCACCTACATATCACTAATAATCGGCACTGTCGGCCGCTATCGGAGGCAGTAGCTCGTGTGAACATATCACGGCAGCGCAACACCGCGCGCACTACTCCAGGATACGACGTATACTTACAGGGACCCGGGGTGGATCAAACGAAGCACCGTGAAGCTCGCGCCGCCAGTCTGCACTATCGCCAATCAGCCAGTATCGCCCCCCCCAAGCAAATCAGTGAGAGAGACTAGTTGTCGCAGGCAATCATCGTCTGGTGGAGCCGCAGTTGACTACCCATTGCACTTGGCCTGGTCATATTGAGACTCCTCGCCTGCAAGTGTTGGCTGCAACTCCTCCCTCCCTTGAGCCACCACATCGGCATACATACTCCAACTTGTCCGCCATGTCGTCCATCGATGAGCAGAGCCAGACGCCTCCGTTGTTGACGGCCACCTCAACTGCCACCCCGACTCCACCCCCGCCTGCCACGAAGCCACAATCATCCAACACGGAAACTGATCGAGCAAGGGCGTACAAATCGCGCAACAAGAGACCTTGTGACTTTTGTACGTCGCCATCCTTTTTGTTGAACGAATGCAGAGATCCAATGCATTGCCTCTGTGGGGGCCTCGAGCGCAACAGTCTTTATCGTTGGAACATGTGATGGGTATTGACTCTTACATCTCTAGGTCGATACAAGAAAGCTGCGTGCCACCTGGAGAGCAGTCCTCCGTGTGAACTTTGCATCCGTTACGGCAAGGAATGCACTTTTGTTGAATCGCCCGCCAAGCGCAGACGACCAAACGAGCAGCCTCCAGACGGACTGGCTAGATTGAGCGATCAGAGCGTTGACAGTGGAAAGCTGTTAACGGAGAATACCATGTTCAAGCACTCGGGCGAGAGCAGTCTATTCAAAAGCTCAGCTGCGTTTGGGCACGGAAGGCTGAGCAGCATTGATATGCCGCAAGACTTGCTTCCTTGGGAGAACGGTATGAACCCTTTCCATCTGCCAGAGCTAGGTGGAATCTCGCCCGAGTTCCCTTTCGACCCGCAGTTGTATTCGGAGCCGATATTCGAAAGCTTCGAACCCATGTCCGCCTCGACCACCACCAACAACACAGGCAACTTTCACCATCGAACCAGCATGGACACCACATCCCCTCAGTCCYTTTCTGGCGTCTTGCTTCCCTCTGATCTGCAACTACCACACGAATCGACCGCCGGCGAACCCTCTCTCGATCRCCAACACTGCTCCAATGCTCAGATCGTGGGCGCGAGTGGGGAGATTGATCCTTACCTGCTCTCGAAATACCAATACAACGAATACAACGAGGCAACCTTCCAATCTGTGAGATTGCGTAAGATGAGCAGCGGGCCCGAGGAGGCTGAGGAATCGCAATCGAGCATGCCAACATTCTTCATGATCCAACACAACGCTCTTGCATCAAAAGCGCAGCCACAAGACAGATCGGAAACGGATGATAAATGGCGCCGCGAATTGGAGGATATCGTCAGCGATGAGATCGGCAAGAGATTGATACGACTCTTCTACAAATACGTTCAACCTTACTTCCCAATCCTCACTCGTGAGGGAGGAGATCGAGATGTCGACGGTGTTCGGGACATTCGGAACATACATCCATGCGTGCTTGCGGCCATCTATGGCCACGCCCTACCATTCTGCGCTTGGGATGAGAAGCTCTGCGTGGAAGTCTATACGCCTCCCTCGGCAGACCGACTCTTCACCATAGCCTGGCAATCTTGCCAGACACTACTCCACACGCCAAACATTAGCCTGATGCAAACACTGCTCCTACTAGTCCAACGCAGACCCACGAACCGCCACGTCAGCGATACGCCCTTTAAATGGGCTATGATGAGCACAGCAGTTAGCATAGCCCAGTCTCTCGGCCTCAATCGTGATCCTACCAACTGGCCGATTCCGAGCTGGGAGATGAAAGTCAGAAAACGTCTTGCATGGGCCGTCTTCGTGCAAGACAAATGGCTCGCACTAAACTTCGGCAGGGCTTCGCATATCCAATCTGATGACTGGGACGTCCCTATGTTGACAGAAGAAGATTTCCCAGAACTGGATACGCGTTACGAGGATTCCGAGACCTCTGACAAGTTCTGTTCTCGGCACTTTATCAACCTCTGCACTTTGACTACCATTGTCGACGACATCCTGCGGGGGCTTTTCAGTGTCAAGGCCGTAAGACGCCTCCACACTAGTCTTGAGGCAACTCTTGAGGTCGCCAAGCCCCTCCGCATGCGATTAACGGAATGGTATCAAGCTCTTCCGCCTGGAACTTCACTGCCCAACACCACAGGTGCCTCCTTTTCTCCAGCCTCAGAACCTCGCACTGGAAGAAGGACTTCCACTCATCCGTCTCTGGAGTTGAATGGGAACGCTTCGTTACAACTGGCATACATTACTGCGAAAATCGAGCTYTTCCGTGCGATGCTTCGCCCTCCTATGACTTCTTCGAACTCAAACGCAGTCCGTGCTTTACGGACTGGAGCATTGGCTGTTGCTAGGGAAATGAACGAGTTTCTCGAGGGACTGCAGGCTAGGGAGCTCGAAGCATTTTGGGGAAGTTATGGACGAGTCAACTTCACGCTTGCAAGTGGATTCATGTTGTTGCTATTCTTCACGAGTCCCACTGWAGAAGACGCCAGACTCTGTCTCGACTTGTTGGAAGGATGGAGAGGGCTGTTGAGAATCAAGAGTCGGAGCTGCGATTTGTTGGCATTGGCATTGTTGAGATTGGAAAGTGGGTTTGGGATGGTGAGAGATGGTGGCGTTGCCTTTAGTGAAGGGGCTAAACTTGCTTGGGAAGAGAGCGGAGCTTGATTGTTGCGACCGTCTCGGGGATGGGGATCTTGTTAACGACGCGAGATGTGATGAATGATTAGACGAGTCATATACAATTTGTCATTGGCGATACAATGTACTGAACACTTTTGGACGATCGGATCCACGAAAGAAGCAATTGCAGTAAGTAAAGCTCTACGAGCGCTCTACTTACAGTGACCTCTTTCCCATCCGCAAGGCCTTTCACAAAAATTCAACGGCGTCGCTCTGCTGTTCAATCATTGGACATGGCCAAAGTCCAAAACGCTTGTCGACCTGCAGACTCCTTCACCATCGGCCAGCTAGCAGAGTCATCCCATGGACTGACTGCCCCATGAGAACAACACCAGTCTCTCGATAGTGCCTGAGCGCTGAGCGCTACCCCAACAAATCCCCAGGCATCAGTCAGATATTCAAGTCATCTCCCTTCGAGGTTAGATCTCCACATTCCTGCACTGTACATTCTCAAATTACTTTGCTGTAGCTTCTGCGCCACTCCAGCCAGCTAGAGCGACCAAGCTATCTTCCTCTCTTATCAAATGTATGGAAGTGTACTTTTGTAGAAGCTTCATACAGGCGCAAACGGGATACTCTTTGCGCACGTGCTCGATCTTTCTACGAGCAAGTGCGGAGCACTAGTAGTCTTTTAAAACAACCATGGTACTCAGCGCTCCACATTGACAGTCGCGTGATTCCTCGCATTCCTAAAGGATCTCATGGCGGTCAAACTAGGAGGTCTTGTAGGGCCCAGCATCGGTTTAAAAGAGGTTGAGCATTGAGTTGAGAGTCTGAATGGTGGCTCTGTGGTCGTGGTGTGTTGGACGTGGTACCTCGCGGATCAGAACATTGAATAGGAATGGAGCAGGATGTGTGTAACGCCTATTCGATATCGACATCGATGAAGCAACTTGCAGCAAAATCCGCGGCGTCCTTGGCGCGTTTGTCCAGGTAGGAGGAGCCTTAGACTGGAAACATTCAATTGGCTTCGTTGTTCCAGTCAGCAAAGTCCTCCTGAAGGATAAAGTGAACCAATCCATATGTATCTGATGTCTTTTTCCAGCTGGCGAGGGACGTGAATCGCATCTTGGTGAGTTTTTGGAAGCTTTGCAAGTTCGATGTCGTTGGTAGTCAGCCCTTTCTATGCTCCATTCTCCAACTTGACGGATGGTTAGCAATGTCTGGGGGTAGTGCATGGAGCTTCATGCTCATTTTCATGTTCGACCACAACCTGGTCTGAACATATGTTCAGCACTCGGTATGGCAACTTGGTTGCCTCTCTAGGGCGGCAAGAATGGTCATCGTTACAGGAGCGGACCCAGGAAGTTAGAAAATTGAGGGCCTCCGGTGATCCTGTAGGGGAGTCCCGGTCTAGGGAACCCAAGACAAGTCTCCGGGTATGAGGAAACAAGAATGCTTCCAAAAGTAACCAGTCCCAGTCTTGATAAATCAGGTCCCAGAAGCCCACATGTGCCTCAAAACATTCTCATGTCGTACACTCTTCCTCAGCCGCAGTTGTTTCATGTCTCCACGTTGCGCCAAAGGCTACGAGCCTTACATCAGGCCCCCTGCATTCAATACTACACCCGCTTACTTCCCTGCAAGCAGCCGTGTGGGACAACGTCGCCGACTGTGCTCAATTTGCATTGTTGCGGCTGCTTGCCTTTTCGACTGACAGATCCCAACCGCCAAGGCCAAAGTATGACTTCGATGAATCATGCGGTCTTCCCGTTCGTGAATTTGGAGAGGTGGCTAGAGTAGTGCAGAGAGAGAGAGCGGGCCAACAGTGGCTTGTTACTGATTAGACAAGCGAGAGTAGCTCGCCGTTAGAAATGCCTCGAGAATACTGACCTTTCTACAATGTGGCTCAACAGCGCCAGGTCCACTACTTACTTGAGAGCGTCGCTGTACACATATTTATTGTGGCTTGCCGTAATAAGGCATCTTCGTCCGCCTGACTGGCGTTCGATACAGGATGGTTGATTGCGCGCGGCAACTCGGACTGTTTTGCACGCGTCGTTCAGTCGCTTCCTGCATGCGAGCACCGACGTATAGCCTGGCGAGGTCGGGGGGCGGAAACATGTCCTGATCTAGGTAGGCGGCGGAGTTGATTCGATAGACTGAGTCCCGCCTCAGCCCCACGTGATTCGAGGCGTGCAGGGGAGGATGAAAGAAGTTCCGATTGAGCATCGCCGTTTGTTGTGGTGAGAAGGAGAAAGTAGCGTGTACTGTACCTAGCCAAGAGACGCGATGGCGGTAGGCCGGTGGACGAGCCGTGTTTTGAGGGCAATCGGCCGGCAACGTGTAGGAACAATGGAAGAGGTGCGTCGTGTTTTCGACGGTCGCTCAGTCAGTCAGTCCGTCAATGAGCGTGTCTCTGCAAGCGAAAGAGCATGGCTGGGTAGAAGAAAGGACAGAACTTCTGTGTGAGGACTGTAGGAGGGTGTTTTGACACCTCGCAGCGCCCCACTTCCCGCCGTGTTTCCCTCGTCCATCGCCTGCGGCTCCACATTTTCTCCACAAAATCCACATGGCGTTTCGAGGCAAGCACAACGCTGTGACCGCTTGTTGACGAATCGTGCGACTTGGCTTCCTTGTCGGAGATGCAACTTGGTGGGGAGTATATATATAACCAGCCTGGTACCTGATTCGGCATCACTAAATTAGTCCCACCATTGTGAGTAATCTGTAGTCTTCAGCTGACTACCTTAATGCCAGGCACGAGATACTCTTCTCGGTCAGGCGGCCGGCCTCATCTTCTGCATTGCTTGGGTCATTCGTTTGTTGCTCCGTGCCTAAGATAAAACAAGCTTGGAATTGGACAGACATCTCGAGGTTGATTGAACCTTGGCTGAAACATCCCTCGACAACATCGTCCACCATGCTTTACGCCGCATCACTGCTCGCATTGAGCGCCACCGCCTCGGCTATCAACCTGTTCGTCTCCGACTACAGTGGGAATGTCACCACCCTCTCGCTCGAATCCAGCAACGGCAACTACTCCCTCACCAAGACCCACGCCAGTGATGGCTGTTTCCCCAACCCCTCCTGGTTGGAGATCGATGCTGCCAATGGCCTTCTATACTGCTCCAACGAAGGTCTAGAAACGGTCAACGGCTCTCTTTCTACCTTCTCCATTGCCCGTGATGGCAGCATCAGTCTCATCCAAAATACCACGACCATCTCCGGACCAGTCAGCAGCACAATCTATGGCGATCCATCTGGTCGCAAAGCCCTTGCTCTGGCGCATTACACCGGATCTGCGGTCAGCACTTACCTCCTCGACCCATTCACGCCCGGCAACATATCACTCAGCCAAGAATTCACCTACACCTTGGACCATCCCCCTCCGACCGAACGCCAGCTGACACCTCATCCTCACGAGATATTCACGGATCCCACCGGTGAATACCTTCTCGTTCCAGATCTCGGCGCTGATCTTGTCAGAATCTTCTGCTACGACTCGGAAACCCTCAAGCTCACTCCTACTGCACCACTCAAGGTCCCCGCGGGCTCTGGACCACGCCACGGTGTTTTCTACAACCCTTCCGGCTTTGTAGGTGGAGCGACTTACTTCTATCTCGTGTCGGAATTGACGGCCAAAGTCACAAGCTACGCTGTGACCTACCTTCCCCACAACAAAGGACTGGAGTTCAAGGAGATGACATCCGTTGGCACGAGCTTTCTCTTCAACATCCCCGAACAAGGTGCGCCAGCAGAGATTGCCATTTCCCCAGACAACCGCTTCCTGGTCATCTCCAACCGAAATACTACCGCTTTTACCCTCCCTCTCGACGGAGGCGTATCGGATTCCCTTTCCACCTGGGCGCTCAAAGACGATGGATCGTTCCGCTTCCACCAGCTCTGGCCCACGGGCGGCGAGTGGCCGCGTCACTTTTCGATGAACGCCGTGGGAAACTTTGTCGCTGTAGGCAACCAGAATAGTCAGAGTGTGGTCATTCTCGAAAGGGATGTCCAGAGTGGTTTGGTTGGAGAGCCGGTTGCAAAGATTACGCTCGGAGGAAATGTCACTACGGTCGTCTGGGATGAGCGAAGTGCTCTGGGTCGGCTGGGAAGTTAGGAGCTTGACAGGCCGAGTCCCTCTGGAATGGGCGTTCGCAGGTTGCTTCAGTGGTGGATGGGTAGCTAGAGTCATCAGCAGCTCGTCTGAGATGCGAAACCGCGGCTCGAGGAAACTGGAGCGTATGAGCGAGCTTAACTCGCGCCCTAACAACCTGACATTAGAGACCTATCACACGCTAATTATTGGAACGAATTCTCACGTCACAATCAACAATGACACTACACCTGAGCTGAAAGACGGAAGAAGATGTGAAGCACTTTTTGCATTCCCGATGAATTATGAAATGAAACTAAAGCCCGTGCTGTCGTCAAGGTCATGTCGTCGTTCCAATGCAATCCCATGCAGCCCCATATTCAGACGCAGCAATCCACGAAGACATTATGCGCCTCTCATGTAATGTATGCCATGTACGCATTTGTATGTCGTAATGTAAGAATCTTTTCTTCCTCCTTCCCTCTCATTGCTCAGACCACCTGGCTGAAAGCTTCAGTGAGCGAGAGGTTGCTGGATCCAGTAGCGACCCGCGAGCCATAGCCAGTGGGAGTCTCGCCGCCCAGAAGGGTGACGGTCTTGATCGAACAACCAACATCGTAGCCAAAAGTGCCGCTGGAGGTCAAGACGCCATCGGCGTACTCGAAGTGAATGTAGGTGGTGGAAGCCTGCTCTAAGCTCTCTCCATCATCGAGGTAGAGATCTCCAGAAGCCTTGCCGTCGGCATCGGGCGCGATGACAATCTCAAAGTCCAGCTTGCGCAAGTCGGTAGTGGTGTTGGCACCGCTCTCACGCTGAGCCAGAATGCTGCCTCCCTTGTAGTAGAGAGGAATGGTGGTGTAAGCCACATCCGTCAGCGTGACCATCTCACCCGTGCCRATGATCTTCTCGTGCGTATAGAAGTCGTAGAAGATATCATCAGGCATGTAGAAGGTCGTGGTGGTGCTGTTCTCCTCGGTCACTGGAGCGACCAACAGACCAGGTCCGTAGAAGTACTGGAAGCCAAGCGGGAATGTGTTGCTGTCCTCGGGGTAGTGGAAGAACATGGGCTGAATCAAGGGTGTGCCGCTGACGGTCTGCTCGTAAAATGCGGTGTAGATGTAATCAAGGAGCTTGTAGCGGATCTCGATCGCATTCCGAGCAGCCTCGGCGACAATGTCCCAACGGTAAAACTCCTGGAAGATCGCATCGTTCTGCGCGTGGTTGCGGTAGAAGGGAGCGAAAGCACCAAGAGTGGCCCAGCGCGCGCAGAGCAACTCATTCGTGTTGCCACCGAAACCGCAGACGTCAGTGCCGACCATGGGCATTCCGTAGAAGGCGGCAAACTCGAGGATCTCAGAGATGGAGATCAGATAGTGTTGCCAGATGGAAAGGTTGTCGCCGAGCCACTTGCCAACGAAGCTGCCGGCGCCCGCGAATGTGGACCGCGTGATGAWCAGCGGGCGGACGTTAGGTCGGCGGGCAAGCATTGATGTACGAGAGGCGGTCGACATCATGTGGCCGTAGATGTTGTGGACATCGTACTCGACATGGCCACCGTAGTGGACAATGTCAACGTCCGCAGTCTTGCTGCTGAGGTCTGTGCCAGCATCGTTGGCGATCTCGTACAGTGGGTTGAGGAGATCACGACCGGGAAGACCGAGCTTGTTGCCTGTAGCCTGGCGCTTCTCGTTGGAAGCGGGGTGGTCCAGGTAAGAGAACTCGGTAAAGCGACGCGCCTTCGCTGAGACGGGAGAAGTGGAAGTAATGGTGAGGTTGGAAACCTGCGCCGTACTGTCGCAATCGCCGGTGGTGACGGTGCGGTTGGCACCAGTCTCGTAGACAAACGAGCCGTCGGTCTGTGTACGAACGAATTGGTAGCTGACGAGGGTGTTGGCTGGCAGATCGACCGTGGCGCTCCACACRGGATAGCTGTTGGCGTTGAGAGGAGCGGCACCAGTGATATCTGTGCTGTTGCCAATAGTGATTGCGCTGCCGAACAAAACAATGTTCTCCCCAAAGTTGGTCGATGCAGTGACACTGAAAGTGACCTGTGCCTTGCATTGTGGCTGGAAATCATCGGGGAAGCCAGCGATCGCGCGTGGAGATCCGAGACGGATAGCGGGTGCCTGGGGAGGGAAGCCGTTGGCGGATGCGTATGCGTCGGGATCACTGCAGGGATAGTCGCAGAAGTTGCTTGGCTCGTTCATGTCGATCCAGAGTGCGTCAATATCGACACCAGTATCGCCATCAAAGAAAGTGAGGAACTCCGAGTTCCAATAGTCTTGTGTGTTTGGATGGAACCAATCAGGAAATGCGGTGACACCAGGCCAGACGACACCCTTGTAGATCGAACCGTTGGAAGAGACCATGAACGCATCAGCGGCGGCACCGTTGTTGAATGCGTCGTAGTTCTCGTAGGCAACCGCAGGGTCAACCATGACCACATATTTCTGGTCGTTGGCGTGCAGTGTGGAGACAAGCTGGCGCATGAGCGCCAATGGGAAGCGGTACTCGTCCAGGGTGAAGACCCAGCGAAGATGCATGTAGTCAATGTCGGTCCACATGACTTCGAGAGGAATGTTGGCGGCAGAGTAGTTGGCGACAACTTCGGCGACCTCGTAAACATCGCGGTATCCGTATTTGCACTGTTGAAAGCCAAGACCTGTACGACAGCAGAAGGTTAGCAAAGCTTCATAGAATGTAGGGGTATGACTATGGCGAGGGCTGTTTGCCGGCGGCCATCGCCTTGTTGATTTCCTTACCCCAGTACGGCATCATGACGGCCTTTCCAACGACCTCGGAATACTGCTGAGAGACCTCGACAGGTGTGGGACCAGCCAAGAAATAGAAATCCAAGACGCCACCCGTCAAGTCGTACTCGAGGTGCTGGCCACCTGTGTTATCAATCTTAAAGTCCATGCCGTTCGAGTTGAGAAGGAAGACACCGTGAGTGCCATTCTCGCCGCGGTGGTCGAAGTAGATTGGGTGAGTGCCGTAAAGATTGGAGCCTGCTGGTGTGCCGTAGGCGTCACGGTTCCAGGCAGTGCGCGTGTAATCGGTGGTGTTCAACATGCTAGAGAATTCAATTAGTTCTTGTCCACAAAGTAGTGAAGGAAGGACCGAGGCTTACAATGGATCAGTGTGCTCTCCAGTGCCGTAAAGGCTGGGGTTTTCGGGAAGAGATGTTCGCAGGCGAACATACTGATCCTCGAAGATCAGAGAAGCAGCCGAGGTATCAAACAAGACCTCGCCGGAAGCACGACGCTTGACCTTGAAGCTGAATGGCTCCACGACGTAGTCAAAAATGTGCGCGCTCGAGCCATTCTTAGACGAGCCACCAGTTGGAGGGGACAGGACCGACTCGGGAACTTGGTAGACCTGCTGGTCCGCGTCCTGGATCAGGACATGGAGACGAGAGTCTGCGCGCACGGTAGTTAGGTCTCTGGCATGTCATCAACTCGAATGTCTCGACTTACCAGTCTGGTACTCAACAGTCAAAGTGAGGTCCTCGAGGTCAGTCCCATAAAGGTTGCAGGGAGCTCCAGCGAGTGTGAGCTTCGCGGACAAGCCATTGGCGGTAGTCTTGATATCGCTGGCACGATATCCTGGGCAGGTCGAGTTCGAGTCGGTGGAATTTTGGCGAGGGTAGATTGGAGAGAATGAGCTAGCGGTGACGGAAGAAGAAGCAAGTGCGAGTGTCGCGCAAAGAGCGGTGGAGAGGCGAGTCATCTTGCCAACATGCAATTGGTCGTGGAAGATGGGTGGTGTTGTTGAAGTGAAATGTGACGAAGAAAGAGAGGATGAAGAGTGGCACGACAAACGACTTTTATGGTGGAAAAAGTGTGGATGCGGAGCCGTTCAATTCACTTGTTTCTGCGGGTGTCCCTCCCTTGCGGAAGTCACCTGAACATGTGGGGTTGAGAGACCGCGATATTCACTTCATACAAACGCTTGTGGAGGAGTGGAGGCTTAGCACATGTGCCTCGTTGTGGAGCAACAGCATACGACTTTGGTCAAGTGAATCAGTCCAGGCCTCGAGCATTGGAATCGTTACAGCTTCCCCAGTCTTTGCCCCATGTCGGTGCAGAGCTACCCCGGTCTTCCACGCAGGTTCGCCCGCACAAGCGCGCATAAACGGACATGGATGCGGCACACGTCGAGTGAATAATCACCTACCGCTCTGCGCCTGATCGGAGGAATCACTGTGCAAATGGATCCGTGGCGCAATTGCAGGACGACTCCGGAAGGCACAACGACGAGCTCGTGATCTCGTAGATCCGCAATATCGGACCGTTTTGGTGCATCTGCACGTCTTTCCGCGGCGCCTGATGGAGCTCGCCGTCACCGCCGAGCCAGTCGCCGAGCGAGTTGCGGCTTGGGCTACATTCCTCACTGACATGTGAAGCCACGTGCGAGGAGGAAGGAGAATATCCCTGGTGCCTAATGGCCTTGATTCGTTCGATGCGAGGCACGGCACGGAGCACTCATCCTCAGCTACGTGACCACGCTGTCGTGCATTATGCGGTGTACGCCGTGCAACGCGATGACTGGAGTCTTGAAGGCCCGCGCTGCCGTCGTCATGGTCATGCTCGGGGAGCTCAGCATTGTTTGTCTTCATTTCCGGCTCCCAGGTTCCAAGCGAGTCTCATCTGGGATGGCATTTTGATCGGAATGTGAACGCCCTCATGGGATCGTGATGATGTCAATATGAATACCTTAACAAATTGGATGTCGAGGGTAGATGACGGGAAGGGTGTCGGAAGGAGTTGGGAGCGTGAAAGTTGGGCCGGGCGGAAAAGCGGAAAGTCCCCATGGTGGTCCATGCTCACGACGGCCGTCGGGGCAAGTCTTGCCGGCGACATCACTCTCCTCTTGAACCTTTTCATGCTCCTCTCTGCTATACATCATCCTCCATCTAGCGCGTTGGGATCAAGAACTTGTGAGAAAACATAAATTACTACAGCCTATCAGGCCTTGCGCCGCCTTCCGTGGAATCCGCGAGGACGCCGTACTACACGTATTGAATATAGAGCTGATCAAGATCAGCTGGAGGAGCATCATTAATGATATGCAGAGACTCTCCAATCCGGCCGAAGGGCGTCGCAGAAGTTCGCTCAATAGCGAAGGGCCAAAATGCCGGCCAACAACGAGCTTGCTGGGTATTCCCGGGCCTCGAAGATCGTCTCGCTTCAGCATTACCCCAGACTGTCTTGGATGCAACGGTTTCAACCAGAGCCTCGAATTCAGATGAGACATGTCTCGTTGTGGAATCTGCCTGGTCAATATTGCCAGACGCTAATGCGAAGAGCAGATCATGGTCAATGCGGGCTCGTGTTCGATGGCCGACTACAGTATCAACGTGTCCGTACACTTCAAGTCTCGACTGAACGTGGTAGGAGTGTCAAGAGCCAGCGGTCATGTCTCGACAGTAGTGAATACCTCCAGTGACTTGTTTGATGAAGTTCATCATGCACATCTTGGTCATTCAGGAGTGACAAAAAGCGAGGTAACTATATCTCGTGACTTTTCTTCGGCTCGCTGCTTTCTATAACCATTCTCTGCGACGACACCAACACTGAATTCAATATCACACTCAATATGGCTACCACATGTGAGTACAGAATCAATATCGAAGCCGCTGTTAAAAAAACGCCTCGATTTCTTTTTCGCTTCTGGCATAGCGACTCAGGAGGCGATCCACGCCTCAACACAATTGATGCAATCACTCCTCGGGCTTTCCTGCCCGACAACCATAAGTATCAGCTGGACTCGTTCTTCGACATCCCAAAAGAAGAGCTTGCCAATACCGCCAGGCGTCACGTCCACAGCGACAGATCCATTCAGACCACTTTCTCCTCTTGGTCGCAATCACTGGGTCTTGTGCTCTCCTTGGCAAGACAAAGCGATGTGAACTCTACCATCCACATCAGTATACTCGACACCAGCAAACTTCCTTCGGCTAACGTGGTCTTGCATTCCAGCTTCATGAAGAGTCACATTGATACCTCGATCCCCGATTATCATGTTGAGTACCTGATATTTGGCGTCATTAAAGGCGACACTTACGAGTCTCGGCCGCTGTCATTGTTCAATGAGGCATTGACGAGGCCCTTCACGGTACGACTACAACGTTGGCGTGGAACCATCTTCGACAACGCAACGCATCCTTTCGACGAAAGCAAAAATATCTGGATCACTTACCAGGGCATTGAAGCTGCAATCACTCTTGGTAACCTCTACGGTGGTGAGTTTGCCATGCCCTTTGCAGCCCATCTTCTCGGACTGCGCTGCAAGCATCTACTGCCTCGTCAAAGAGCGCATTTCACGTCCAGGCTGGCAGCAATGAGCATTCCCCCTAAATGGGCGGCAGACTCGTCGATCATGTCCCTTGAAAACATCTTCACAAATAAATTCTGGGAGTCCGAAGTCGCTGCTTTGCTGATCAAAGAAGCTGTCCAGACCAAATACCCGTGAGAGACACTGCCCATAAGATCTTGAACCTGCCGTGGCCGTGAAGCTTGACAAAGCCGTCGAAGTTCACCCACGCCAAAGTAAGGCAAGCAGGAACCAAAATCCCACGGCAGACGTTCACAACTCACCTGTCTGGGCAATGCTCATAATTTCAGCGGCCAGGGGCTGTGGTGATGATCGTTACGTTGATATCGCTGTGCAGCGGACAAGACAACCCTGGCGTTTCTCGCTTTCGAACACTACCGCTGGAACAAAGAAAGGCCCTGGGTAGAATAGAACGCTGGAATTGAGCTGCCAGCTATAGCTGAGGCAAAACATCTTCGGTATCTATTCCTTGGCCAAGGTGGTAGTTCAAGACTGATTTGCAAGATTAAAGTAGCCAAAGTGAGATTCATACGGCCATGACATGTCATATTCCACCTCACCAGAGTGAGCTTTGTACGGTAACGCGACGTGATGGCTTTATGCYMACATACTTCCGCATTTGAAGTGGTCTTTGTTCTTCCTTAGTCCACATCGAGTTTGGCAGTACGCACATCAAGTGAGATGGCGGTTGTTCATCGCTCCCCACTACAGTACGCTGCATACTACTCCTCACTACAATACGCTGTATAGTATCGCCTCACTGCAATACGCTGTATACCCTCGTCCATTCCTCCTCACTTCAATACGCTGTATACCCCCCTCCCTTCGATTTGCTTCCAGAAAGACTCAAGACTACCGGTAGCAGCAACAGCTAACTTATCGAGCACCCTTACCTGCTACCACCTACTCCAAAGCAACCCATAACGCCATGATCTGGGGCGAATGTCCCAAATTCTGCCACACGGGGTTCTACACGTACGCAGACCAACCGCTCACAAACCCTCCCGATCTCACCAACCCGATATGCACCATCCTCAGCAGAGAGCGTTTTCAACCAGATGTAGACTACTCGATATTCGAAATGTCCCTTCGATTGGTCTCCCGGTTCCTTACATTGGACAACGTGGTACGTCACATCGTGATCATGACGGATGGAGTGAAAACCCAGCTCCCGAATTCAGGAGGCCTGCATCATATAGCACGCACTGCAGGTCCCCAGAAACATCCTGATGACCACAGTCCTGATCTACCAGAAGATAACGACAACTACTACCATTGGCGCGCGAACGAGATTCTTCAACAAGCAGCAGAGCATATCCAATTCTTCGTCAACGATGATCATTTCGATCATGAGAAAGGAGCTACGACTCGGCATCGAGAAGGTCCGTGGACTGTAGCCCAAACAGCCAGACTCAAAGCAGTTGGCGTCGGCAGTAACATCCACATTGGAAATTTTTATTATCGAAGTCTAGCGGCCAATGCGGCTCGGAATAGGAACGGCGAGATTCTCAGCGAAGAGAATAAAGTCCAGAAGCTCGCCAGCGAATTTGAATTCGCGCGAACCATCGTGCATGAGCTGGCGCATGCTCTCGAGAATCTCTATACGGGATGGGGCATATGCGAACACTTCTGCGAGGGCAACGAGGCTTCTGAGCGGGGGTTCGATATGGAGGCGGCTATTTTGGGGGGAATCGTCGATGTAGGTTGGAGCAGGAGTATAATGAACGGTCGCAGAGGGGAGTATTGTGTCGCTGGTCAAAAAAGGAAATCCCCTCATCCGTGCTTGCTTCACTATCCATGGCCGAATCGCTTGTATACCTGGATATATGAACGGAGGCGGCTCAAGATGGGGGTCGCGCAGAGCATGGCTTTCCCCGATCACTCGTGCATGGCTCACAGAGTACCTCACCATTTCGCCCAAAGCCTTTTCTTGACCGCGTATTGGGACGCAGTCAGGAACACTGGTCAGCAGTCTCTCGTTGTTACTACCGTTGAGAAGCCCTGGTGTTTACGATGGTTCAGCTCGAACAATGTGAGAGAACAGGGGGTTCAACCTTGGCTGACGGAAGCGGAAGCAAAATTGGGCATTGCAGCCAATCAGCCATAAGAAGCATGAGAGTGCTTTTACCGTGCTGGCAGGACACTAACGTGCGATGCAAGCTATGTTAATGTCGAATACAGCATCAATGGATTGATAACTTGATCCATCATGGTTCTTATCACTTCGCAGTACTGATCGGACCCTGTCCCGAAGATCTTCTCTTCACTCTTATTCCTGCTAGCGTGGAGTTACAGCCACGGAGCAGCAACGCGTCTAATCCAGCCACTTCTTATCCAGACCATCCAAAAATGCCAGATCCACATTGACAAAACTCTTGAAGAAATCAATCTCTAGCCTCCAGGGATTCGTCTGCAGCGCGAACGTGGCAGCAGTAGTCAGCCGTTCCAGATCCTCTTCATCCTCGCCCATCACCAAAACCATATCCCTCTTCACCTCCGTCTTGCTCCTGAAATGTTGGCGGAAGCGTGGAGCTGCTCTGCTTGGCGGCAGGATCATAGGTTGTCCCCGAGGACCCGTTCCGAGCTTTGGCAGCGCAGCACCATACAGGCGATCCTCCACGCTTTTCTGCATGCTGATTTCAGATGTCGGCATGTCTTTAGGTAGGAAGTTCCACTCCCAGCATCTTCCGACGGTGTCCTGAAAACATGTGTCTTCTCTGCTTTCCTGGCCAAGCGTCAAAGGGTAAAACACGGGGTGCGACCAGATCCTCAGAAGAGAGAAGCGCGCATTGTCATGCTTCTGTGCAAAGGCCTGCGCTCTGGGTAACAAGTGTATCTTGCTGGGATCACGGAGGTTGTCCAAGTTCTCGGGCCAGTATTCCTTGATAGCACGGTAATCCAATGTCAAGTGCGGAAAGAGTCCGGTCTCAGCGGTAGCGGTGGCCCTGCCGMACGGATTTGGATAATAGCCGGGTTTGACAATCCCAGCTCTAGCCAATTGTGCGACTTGTGGGCGGCAGTGCACATCCCATGCACGTAAAACGCCATTCTTCGCGGTCTTGCGCACAAGATCAAGTCCCTCCCAGAAGTCTTTGGTTCGTGTCTTGTTGCTACTCGGTGACCTTGCGTGAGGTTCCATCGACTTGGCTCTTCCAACATTGTCGCTTAGCGTCAGTCTTTCCTTGTTAGCAGACTCATTCGAATCAATCAAGAGGTGCTGGGCGTCTCCGGATTCACGTTTGAAGAAGAACGTCATGGCGGCCTTGGCGTCCCACATGTCGTCCAATACCCGTCTGTGTTCTTCCGGACGCACGCCGAGCCACATGAGAATGTGCAAGGCATCGATAATCGAGGGAATGTCCTGATTGACTGACACTCTGCGTTCTTTGACCAGCTCTTGCATCTCGGACCAGCGTGCTCGTAACTCGTCATTGAACTCAGCAGTATGCCACATCTTTTTGAAGAATTTGGATTTCTCTCGATCCATGAACACCGTAAAGTCCGRTTCAGTATCTCTGGTCTGATCCTCATCACCACTATGGCAGACGTCAGCTGCATTGCTTTTTGCCACAAATTCGAATCACCACCTCCCGCGACTCACCTCGGTTCGTCAAAGATGAAGCTTATAAGGCGGCCCGCCTCGTTGTGATCTTTTATCGAAGCTTTCACATCCAACGGGGTGATTGGTCTGTCAAGTCAGTCATGTTCATCCACTCCAAAAGCCTAAGAGGACTTACGCATGGCCGTCACGCTTTATGCCGTCTTCGAGGCTGGGAAGAAGCACCGGATCATTTTGCTCCCACCATTGACACTCTGGGCAGTGGCAGTCCCTAGCGTTTGGATTCGGACACAAGGGCACGTCTTTTGGTGGCATCGGCCAGTCCTTATCGCAATCCTCGGTCTCCCAGTCCCCTTCCGCAGTGATTTGCTTTAGGGCAGCTGGCTGGGATTCGATGGCCCGTTTATCGAGCAGATCTGCAAATGGGTCGTCCATGTCTTGTTCGTCCTCGTCACTGTCGAGATCCAAAACGAAGCGCTTCATGTTCGGCAGCACAAGTTCGGGGAATGCGAGATCCCCTGCAAAAGATCCGGTGATGGCCTTTTTCGACACACCAGCTGCTTCATCAGGGAATAGGATGAGATCTTCCGCAGCATCAACGTCGTTGTAGAAGTAATTCGCCGGCTGTTCGTAGTGCGTCTCGCCAAATTCGCCAGTGAGTGGATCAACATCCCGGCTGGATAATTTGATCAGTACAAGCACCATTTCGAAAAGGATTTTCACCTATCAGAACTCACTAGATGTGCATGCCATCACTACCAGACACTTCATCGTAGAGCGTGATTTCACCGGGCCGAGCGTCACGCACCCTGCCGATTTGTTCTTTGCTCTCTTTGACCTCGCGATGAAGTGTCTTCATGATAGGGGCAACCGAATCGTAAAAACCCATTGAATCGCAGATCCTGCGAGCTTTCCTCATGGCCTATGCAAGCAAGAATGTCAGCCGTAACGTCCGCATCTTTCACATCAGGATAGTGCCGCGAGGACGGAAGCTCTTCGAGAAGAAGAGTCTCGCCAGAACCCCTTTTATGGGACAACCCCGGGGACAATCGACATCTCACCTCGTGAACAGTTGACCAGATATTGTTGCAATGCTCGCCGGGGAGCAGGTCCCAGACGGTAACGTCATACTAGCAAAAGCGTCAGCGATGTCTTGGACAATATGGGGGTGGAACAAAGCTTGCGTAGCATGACACACTTCTGTATCCTGCTGCGGGCCGTTTGCATGGGAGCTTGCGTACATAATCGTTGAATCCAAATTTCCAAGATTCGGATCGACGGTCCTCGAGAAGGCCGTACAGCTCGTCGTCGCCAACGTGCAGTTTTTCCACCCAGTCGTCCCTACCAAGGCCACCTTGTACACGCATGAGCCATGTGTGCTCTTCGGGCGGTTTGACCAAGGTCTTGCCGGTCTTGGCATCGCGAACCATCAAGCAGACATATCGGGTCTGCATCGAGAGATATTGGTCAAATCGCCGTGAGATGGGATCGTTGCGTTTGATGCAGAAGCCAGTCACGTTTTTGAACTGTATGGCAGGCTGCGCTACGCCTCCAAAGCCCCTGCGGCCTGGTTGCCGTTTCAGTGTCAACTGGTCTGCTTTGTTGAAGTCCAGGTAAGAGATTATGCCAAGCTGGAGCTGCTGAGTTCGGGTTGGTTGTCCTGACCATTGCGCCACCCAAGTAGTAGATGAGAAGTAGTTGAATATGACCAGATTGCTTAGCTCCCAGAACTCGTTCCAGTGCCGACAAAGCTCGACGGCATGCTCAAAGCGGCAGTTTTTGGCTATGACGGAAAAGTGGTACCATCCACCTCGAGCAAGGACTTTCTCGCTCGGGTAATTCCAGATGCTCTTACCGCAAACGCGCACTCTTATTTTTCGCTGGCGGAACTCGCCATCCTTGTCGATGTCGCCGAAGTCGACTATAACCTTTTCAAAGCCTTGTTGAGCGAGCTGTCGACGCTGTGCGGACTTCTTCTCGACGTTCTGCTCATGCTTTGTACCGTGCCGCATTTCTAGGCGTCTCCTTCTCCAGGCGTCCTTTTGGTATTTGTCTTGAACGGCAAGCTCATGTGCGGTCTGTTCATCGTCTTCGTCTTCGTCCTCGTCGTCGGAGGCTTCGCCATCACCGCGGACGAAGTCGGCGCAGGCATCGCGTATTTCCTGCAACTTTGGCTGCTCGTATCTGAGGCAAAGGTCTCGCAGATCTGAAAGATTCAGCTCTGGGTCCGCGAAGAACTCTGTGAGATTGCATGCTCGGAGCCCAATGGGTAGCAGGTTCGATTGGGACAGAATCAGGCGGCACAGCAAAAGCTCCTTGATTTCCGCCACTTCATCAAGAAGATGGTCAACTTCTGACTCTGGGATGCCRGGGATGTCAAATGGCACTCCCACCCGATCGTCCATGTCGTAAAAGGCGCGTCCTCCGTGTTCTTTGGCGCTCAAGCCTTTGACCAGACGCTGGCGCATTTCCTCGCGAGTCTCGTTGACCTCAATCTTCGGCCCTCCGTCGTCTGCGACGTTGTTCTTGGCGTCATCTCGGGACGTGTCGCCAGCACCTTTCGCTTTCGCTTTCGCCTTGGCACGCTTTCTGGCATTCTTGGAGAGAGCCTTGGTACCTTGGCTGTTGGTTGTAGGAGCGGGATCCACGTTTTCCATGTTTGTCGTTGGGGATTCTTGATCCTCGTGGCGTGAGCTGGGCGTAGCAATGTTGTGTGACGACGAATCGTTGGCCTGCTCCTGAGGCTCGGGCTCATCTGCCTTTTGAGACCTCTCAAGCCACAAAAGTCTGTGCATGAGGTCGACCAGATCGTCTCTTTCCCCTTTGATGATGGTCTCGATGGGATCCCATTCTTCGCTGCTTTCCTCGTCGTATTGCAAGCGTTCTTCGTACGCTTCGTTGAGGAAAGCTTCCTGTCTCTTCTTGTCCTCTCGACGCTGCTTGCGTTGCATCCTAGCTTCCATCTCGTTCCTGTAGCGCCTGAAAAGTTGTGCCTCTTTCTTGACCTTGACAACCTCTTTCTCCTGGTTGAGGTCCTCTTCCTCCTGGCATTCTCGTACAAATGCGAACCACTTCTTCTGCTTGTGGTTTACGTGCGTCGATCTACGGCGAAGTCTGCGACGAAGTGTTAATGACTGAACAACCGCCATGGTTTGTACGCATGTGTTGAGAGGGGGGTTACCTGTTCAATGCGAGTAGGACGACGTTCTTGTCATTGACCAACTTGTCCAAGTACGACTTGTGCCCATAGTCCAAGTTTTCGGCGTAGAAATGGGTGTGATGCTTCTTCCGAGCCAATATGACTCGGTCGATCAGTCGATACCTCTCGTAAAGCCAATCCTCGAGCTCTCTCAGCTCGTTGGCGTCTTCAACGTCGGAAAAGTCCTCGTTGCGGAGTGTTCGCTTTGAAGAGGCCAGATACGCAGGTGGAGCAGCCTCGAGTGCATCCAGTCGGGCATTTCTCTTCTTGTACCCGCTATACAGACCTTGAACCTGTCTTGCATGGTAACGACAAAAAAAGCCACTGGAATTGGTGGCCCGCTCCGTGCAGTGGGATTCATCGGCAATGTTCAATGCTTGACATATTCCGCTCGTATTCGCGGTCATGGTGATGATGTAGAGAGATCTGCTCTGCTGAAGCTGCTGAAGAAGATGGAACCTACGTTTGGATAGGCATGTACTGTGTGTAACTAGGTATACCTCAAGCTGAAGAATCCGTGATGTTGGTGTTCTCGAGGTCGCTGGGGCATGCATGGGTCCAGAACTCAAAGGTGACGCGACCCTTGGCTTGGACCACGCGACTTGCTGAAAATTGGCAGGGAATGTCGACCTCACCTCTTTCTCTTCCTCCCTCTCCATGTCACCCTCGGACTGTGAATCTACCAATGTGAGAGTGATGGCTGGAAAGTGTTTTGTCGGATGTGCTTGCTCTTATGATGAGATGGAAGCCCCCGACTTCAGACTTCCATTGGAGACTCTGCTCGAGCCTCGAGATGWGGATCAGCTGGAGGGCTTCCATGACAATGGCCCTCTCGTGGCCAACTCTTTGGAGAGAAGGGATTGAGATGGAACCCAAAACACAGTCAAAGGTAGGTACATTACTGCTGTCGATCAAAATGCAACACTCTTCGCTCTCTGCAGTGCACTATGCGAGCGGAGTCGTGCGGCTACCAAACGACGCGAGGCTCTTTGGATTCGGGCTCAGCGTGCCGACCTCGTTATAAGGGAAGGTCATGCAGCCAGTCTCGCTCAAGCGATCAAGCAGACTGTGACCTTTGATTTTTCGGGCTTTCGTGGTGTTGCTCTCAACTCGCACGCCTGGCCACAGCGCCGAGGAGTATATAATCGTTGATTCACGGGCATTTCATGTTGTTGCTCTCAACTCGCTTGCTTGCTTGGTCACAGCGCTGTCGTCGCCGTTTGTCGGCGGCCTCCAACTTTCCTTCCTCCACCACACCTCCACAACCACAAACCACGCTCTGTCCTGGCCATCGGTGATCATCCGCGCATCCACCATCCAACGATGTCAATCCCCTTCTACGTCTGCGGGCTGGCAGAGTTCGGCAAGGATGAAGCGTTTCATGGCCTGGACGCTGAGCTGCAAGCATTGCGAATTGACGCCACTACGGTCACCGGTCGAGACGCCGCCAATCTCATGACGAGACTCTCGCGGCAAGGTCAGCTTCGGCATCCCACCTTCCCAGTTCCCTTTGAGTGCTCAATCATTGTTCTCGACCATCAAAAGAGCTGCGGGTCCGTCTGTGAGCACGACAAGCACTGCGCCTCCAATGCATCGTCATGGTACCCACTGAAAGACCAAAAGCACCCTCGATACGCTGGGGAACTATCGGATGGCCTTGCCCAGCACCTCATCACCTTCTTTTCCAACGACACGGAGGAGTTGCGGACGACACTGGCCGCCACGCTGGCGTCTCATGGTGACGCCATATTGAAGAGGTGGAAGAAACTCTCCAAGGCGAAGAGAGGCCTTCTCCTTGCCAACATCTCCCCTCGCATGTTTGGCCCGTGGCCAGTCGAGGTCACGCGGTGCAGCAATTCAAGCTGTTCCGAGGATCACACCCACTTTTGGCTGGGTGGGCGTTGGCTTTTCCTGGCTGAAATGGCGGATGACTGGCACGTATCCGAACTATTCACAGCTACACGTGAGTGTTATACTGACGGGCTACCAGGACGAGACTTGTATCGCTTCTCCATGTAAGAACCTTGCACAGCGCCGCATCATGGTCCGCTTTCGACACCCGCAAAAACCACATGGCGTGGTGCACCTCATATTACCCCGCGTGGTTCAGCAAGCGGTGTGTCACCATGTGCGGTAGCAACTATGCATCGCTGTCAGATTTTGACGAGGAGCTCTGCCACCGCTGGGCCATGATGGGATTTCCAAGGGCATTGATGACCATGCAGATCCAGCACGAACTGATGTATACACTTCGAGACATCGTGGATGCTCTCATCGGTGGGCAAGACAGCAGTGGCATGGAGGCATGGACGAACCTTGTGAGTGGTGGTCTGCATCCGGCAGGCCGTGACAAAGCTTGGAACCCATATACGTGCCAGCCGTACACGCATCCGCCCAGTTTCTCCCCAAAGCAGATGGCCGGAACCGCTCAGAATCGTTTGAATATGATCACGGACGAACTGTCTCTGATGCAAACGGATCCAGCGTACATGCAACAGCTGATCAAAGCAAAGCGGGTCGCGATTGGCAACATCACTACGGACATTCAGCGTAAACACCAGCTCAGCCACGCCGGTCCCCTGTTGATGATTGAGCACATCAACCGTTACCTGATCTGGCAGCTCGTTTCATCACAGTGCCATGGGCTTGCTGAGGTGTTCGAACAGTTCGGGCCACGTTGTGATCCTGGCTTGCTCATACCGAGCGATGCCAGCCATCGAATGAGTGACTTCAGCCGTGTACTCGACACTTGCTTCCGCTCAGCTAGCAAGAACTTCGAGGGCATTTTGCACAGCACGAGGGCAATGCAGCACAAATTCCAAGGTCATCAGGTTGCGGGCCAGCTCTATATCAACGAGAACGAGGGCGCACTTGACCCTGACAACCCAGCGGATCGCCTCCTCCGGCGCATCAGAACTTTTCACAAGACCGCAGATGGCCCAATACCCGCCGACGGACTTTCGGCAAAGTTTGTGGACCTATTCGCAGACGAGCAGTGTGTACAGGTCATGGACAAGCCCACCGAAGATCACGTCTCTGATTTGGTGATCCTGGATGACATGCGCACGTTAATGACGTGGTGTCAGCGTGGGTGCTGCTGGGATCAAGAACCACCCGGGGAAACGACAGGGAACCATAGCTGTGTCCATGAAGATCCAGATACCCGCCCACCCGAGCTTGTCTTCGAATACCAGTGGCAGCAGCGGATCGATATCCTGATTCGGAGTTTTATGGACGCGCCATGGCCAAATGGCAGAAAAGATCTTGCCTGGCTGGCAAAGGCCGACGAGACGAGAAAGCGTCTTGCGGCTCTCTGGTGTGGCATCGCGGAAGCACACGAGAAAGCAGAGAAAGCTGGAGGCCAGCATTCGCTTGCAGGACAGCGGCTCATTTCCGCAATCACCTCTTCCAACACAGACGCGAACTATCTGGCAGCCCTTGATCAAGAACGCTCACTGTGCGCAGAGGAATCTCGGAGAATGAATGCCATTGCGGAAGTCAATGCCATGAAGCTCCTGAATTACGCGCCGCAGTCGGAATGGGGTGTGAATTAAGTAGAATCGCGCAATCATCGCAAGGCACGGAAGTCGAAGGCGCCGGCGAAGCCTCCTGCTGTGTAATAAAACGAGCTGGTCCGTATTGCTGACTGCACCATCGGGACCGAGGTAAGTAAATCGCGTGCAGTGCTGTTTGATATATTCACGGTCAAAGACCAAAAAAATCGACCTTTCAATGAATCTCAGCAAATGCTACTGGAAGAGGGAGCAACAGGCCCAGCAAACACAGGTATAGACTCAATCGAAGCACTACCAGCCAAGGCAAGAAACATGACCCTCTCTAACCTTCCCAATCGCTCGCACTTCGAAGTAAAGGACATCATCAAGCACATCTGGACAGGTCTTGATCTCCCAGAGGACGCTCTAGCAGCTATCTACCTGCCCCGTACTGAACAGAACATTCTACCTTCATCATTCAAAATTGGGCACCTCGCGCAGGCCTCAATCGCACTTTCAGTCCTCGCTGCCGCTCTAGTGGACTCGGCACACAATAATGCAACACCGATAAAGAGAGTCACGGTACCTTTGGAATCTGCCGCTGTAGAATTTGCTTCCGAGCGAGTATACATCCTTGATGACACCCCATCTCCAAGCAGCTGGGGTTCTATTGGTGGTTTGTACAAGACAGTAGATGGCCATGTGAGAATTCACGATTCTTTCATCAATCATCGCAGGGCCGCGTTGGAAATACTAGGATGCGAAGCAACTGCCACGATGGGTGAGATAGCACAAAAGGTCCTGGATTGGAAGAGTCTTGATCTTGAGGAAGCAGCGCAAAAGCACAAGGCTGTCATCTATGCCCTTCGTTCCTATAAGGAATGGGATGCTACGCCTCAAGCAAAAGCAATTTCGGACTTTCCTCTCTCACTCCGCCTGATCGCGGAGTCTGCAGCTAGATTGTCTCCCAGCATTCAGACCAACGGCGACCGATGTCTTCGTGGTCTACGAGTCCTTGAAATTAGTCGTGTGATCGCAGCACCAGTAGCTGGTCGAACCCTTGCTGCTCATGGCGCGGACGTACTCTGGGTGACGTCTCCCAATCTACCCGCCTTACCAGGCATCGATATAGACGTCAGTCGTGGAAAACGTACCATCCAGCTCGACCTCGACAACGAAGAGGATCGCAATACTATGAAGCGGCTGGCTCAAGAAGCAGACGTGTTCATCCAGAGTTATCGGCCAGGTGCATTGGCCAACAAAGGCTTCAGTCCCGAAGATCTGACGGCAATGTGTCCTAATGGCATTATTTATGCGAACTTGAGTGCGTGGGGTGTCAAAGGACCTTGGGCTGGTGAGCGCGGGTTTGATAGTATGGTGCAGACRGTCTCTGGACTCAACGTCAATGAAGCAGCGCACTTTGGAGAGGGTGCAGCTGCTCGCCCATTGCCTGTACAGGCTCTCGATCACGCTGCTGGGTATTTACTGGCCACCGGCATTCTCGCGGCGGTGTATAAACAGACTCAACTGGGCGGTAGCTGGGAGGTCAATGTAAGTTTGGYGGGTGTTGGAAAGTACTTGAGGAGTCTAGGACAGATTCCTGGCAAGCAGGGATTCGAGTGCGAAATTCCCAACATCTCTGAGCATGCCAAAGCATATCTAGAAGAGAGGGAGTGTGGTTTTGGACTCCTGAAAGCCGTCAGACATGCAGCCAATGTCGACGGCAAGACTCCAGGCTGGGATCACATGCCAAAGAAGCTTGGAAGCGACAAAGCTGAGTGGCTCGAACAATCGCAACGAGCGGTGTCATAAAACTCATCAAATCGTTAAGAATATAGGAATGCAAGGAACCCTCTACGAGTCCTCTCCCCAGCCATATGCATCTCCACCTCGCCCATTAAGAGAGTTCCACACGCCGAGGCCTCCTTGCAAAAAGCTCACAGCAGTGTCGACATTCGCATTTCCCGTCTGCGGCACGCCTCTCGAAGATGATCGACGCTGCTCATCAGCGTCCAGCGGGAGATCTGTCGCATCGCCATGGAACTTGTCCAGTACCATACTCTTGATCAAGTTGGCGTGCCTCTTAACCCATGCTGCCTCGCTGATGGTCGCATAGACCTTGTTCCGTCGGTTATTGTCGTCCTGCACTGATCGGGAGAACCGCCATTCGACTTGGTATACACTCCAGCGTTTGGTGGTGAATAGAAGAATCGGCCATGTGAAGATCCACAGAAAGGTGAGGTAGAAGATCCACCGCACCCAGCCTATCCTTGCTTGGTTGACCCAGTGAGGCGTGTATATGTCGACATTCTTGTCAGCTATCGGGAAGGTGATGTCAACGTGTCCACGGTAGTTAGTCTGCCTCACAAGCGGTTCAATCTGCTGTTTGATATACTCGGTATCCAGACCTGTCACGCTACGAGCCACACGAAAGATTTTCAATGCAGACTTGTTGGTGCAAAAGTCCTCACACCAGTCCAACAGCTCCGGCTTACGATCTGGCCCGACTTCAAGATCACGGCTATAGCCTTTCGCACGACTCTTTCGCCATCGACCCCGATGGACTTTCTCGCTATTCTCCGGGGTACTGGGTATCCACCAATCATTCTCTTGGTCTCTGTTTGATGCTTTGGGGAGGAAAGGCTGCAGAGACAATACAACGTCAAAGTCATAGACTCGTTCTTGCTCGTTCTTGTTGTTCTTTCTCCGAGTCTGCCAATGCCAGCCCTGCACACGAACAGCAGGCCGAGGCTGTATAACACGTAGGTAGTCGAATACATAATCGTAGAGCTGCGTAGCATCCGATAGACGCTCATCCATCCTGACCGTCGTCTCACAGCCGATGCTGACTGTTTGAGAACAGCTCTTGTTTGCGGAGTTGCGGTTACGCCAGCCATCAGTGGCGGATTTGGGAGGTGTGATGATTTGGTATTCGTCTGCTGGTGGGAGATTGCTGGAAGAGGGTTGCACGGTGTTGTCTGCCACGACGCTGTCGGTGTATGAGGGCAGCTCGGCGGCATCTTCATAGTCGTAATCGCTCCGAGTCGTGTGCATCGAGACGGCATCCTCCTCATCTCGATATCTATCGGGCTGTGAGGTCTTGGAGGGAGCCTTCATCGCTCCAGACTTGCCGTCCATGCTGACCTTCTGTTGTACTGTATAGGATGTTTGAAAGTTCTGGAGATGGTGGAGAAGGGAATGAGCAGACAAACCGTAAGGAACAAAGACGTGAGATCTATAAATATAAGCGCGCCTGTTGACAATACGCGTTTCGACGCCTCCGTCCGATGGGCTGATGATCCTTCAAGGCAGCCATTACGGAGGGAGGATACGGTAGCGATGTCTCGGGGCAAGCGAGTTATGACTAAGGCGTCTCTTACATTCGAATCTAACGCGTAATAAGGTAGTTGGAAGTCGGCCAGTCTCATCAAGCGATCAAACGAGCAAACCTCTTCAGAAGACGACAGTAATGACTCCGAATCCAACTCCCGGCTGCTCATACATATAATGGCCATTGGCAACTGACCGCTGCCGTTTCTCGCGCACGGCTGGGGAACGCCGAATGTGGGTCCGTCATCTCACCGGTTTTATACGAGAGGGTGTATGTATTCTTCGCAACTTATTAATGTTCCTTCCAGAATATTGATCACGTTCATTGAGCTACTCCAACAGATGTTCTGGCATCTACGACGCCATTCGCTCAGAGCGTTGCGACGGCTCCTTGATAAGATCGCTGCCGGCCTTCGTTGCCTGGTCAAGAGTYTCTACCGGTAAACCAAGCAAATCATTACCTATGTGCCTTCTCTCCGCAGTTCCCAGGATCTTCCGGGGGGAAGCCTCTCGCATACCTTACAGCAGCTTGCTAGGTAACGCCAGGCATGTCGCCTTTGTTTACTAGCGCAGGACCCTCATTATATAATTCCTTCCAGGTTCGAATCAACATCTGCAACGGTCCAGTCCGCATTGGTCGTGCCATTACACGTTTACCTAACACTCTCGACGATATTGCGCTAGCTGACCACGAAGCTGTTGAGATATACCGGCTTGTTTGACCAGTCCGACACCGACAAGCTCATATCGTTTTCATCCTGAAGCATGAGCTTAAGACTTAGCACTCTAGCCACCGTATGACTGACCTGCGCTGGCGTTGATGTCGAGTTCTTAATGTTGCCATCGTCGAAGAAAGTCACCTGCCGTTGGGCAAAGTCGAACCGAATCGCGACTCGCCGCCTGTGAGGCTGTAATCGTACCACAACCCGCAGCAGACAGCAATCCACTACATTCCGAGCTCTTCGAATTCATCTCCGCTGGCTTGCGCTATAGGCCCGAGCATTATTTCCTTTCCGAGTTGGAACTGGTCGATGTCGCCCGCGTGCATTGGCACCAGAGTCTTGAGCTTGGGAAGTTGTCCCTCCGCATTTTCTGTTGCGATACGCAGGGCTGAGTAGCTCTAGCAAGGGCAGTGATACCTCTGGGTTACTATTTCTTAATGCCACGATGAATTGAACCAGGGTTTAAGTTTCGGCATTGCAGATCACCAGCGGTGGAAGTGCTGGATACGGCCAATGATCAATGGATTCGAGGTTGATATGCGGAAGGATCCAAACTACCTTACTTTGACAGCTCAAAATTAGCGCACGTCTACTCTAAACTCCAGCCTCAGCCTTGACTTCTCCCATGCTCAATGCACTCTTCCGAACTCACTCTTTGATCAACAGCCTCATCCGAAGTGAAACTCAGCGGAAGATGACACAACCAATGGGGTCCTTGCGAGTCGCAATATCTGGCGGAGGCCTGGCCGGAGCGTCGCTCTTCCACGCGCTTACAAGACAAGCCCATTTGGATGTCCACATCTTCGAATCTGCTCCGGAATTCAGAGAGGCTGGGGCCGCAGTCGGCATCGCTAACGAAGCACAGACTGCGTTGCGGCTTATCGGCCCATCGGCAGTAGAGAGCTTCCAGCGAGCGGGCGCAGTCTTTCAGAAAGGCGCTCACTTGGTGTTGGCTCAAGGATCAAACGCTGGAGAGACGGTTGGACGTATTGGAGGCGACAWGAATGCTACCGGAATCGTTCATCGAGCCGAGTTTCTACGAGAACTGCTTGCTCGAGCTCCAGCGGACCGCATGCATGTTTCAAAGAAGGTCGTCAAAGTCGAACAGAATGAAGACGGCCCGGTCACCTTGGAGTTCTCTGACGGTACCAGCCATGAGTGCGACGTCCTTATTGGCGCCGATGGTATTCACAGCTCGGTTCGGAAATATGTCCTCGGTGATGACCCTGCTGCATCGCCCGTGCCTGCCGGATGGTGGCTCGTACAAGTCCTGAAGCCATACGACGAGGTCGCTGCCCTTATGAGCAAGTCTTTCCTCGACACCTACCTCAATCTCAGCAGTCCGGGCGAGGTCGGATGGATTGGAGACGGCACTCTAATCTTCCACAGTCCTTTGAGCGAGGGCAAACTGGTCCAGTTCGTTATTGTATCTTGCCACGACGAGGCTTCCACGGATTGGCAAAAGGTCGTCAGCTCCGAGGAGATCCGCGAGAAATTTTCGGATTGGCCAGCCGAGCTCTCAAATGCTGTGGATAAAGTATGTTGAGCTGAAAAGCCACAGTCCGCACAACAACATCCAAGATATGGACACCACTGACCGTCTGTTCCAGCTGATCTGCACCGCCGAAGACTCGCACAATGCCGTATGTTTCTGGCAGCATCTGCCTGCTAAAACCTATGTTCGGGGAAATGTAGCTGTTACAGGCRACGCTGCACATGCGACCACGCCGTGGCAAGGTTCCGGTGCTGGCATGTCCATCGAGGACTCAATGATTCTCGCCACTCTGTTAGAGCGTGCCAAATCTGCGTCTGAGGCACGCGTAGCCCTGCAAGTTTTTGACTCGGTCCGCCGAGAGCGCACTCAGAGAGTCGTTGAGTCCAGCAAAGGCACAGGCCGAATGGTAACCGGTCAGGATCCAGAGACGAGATTGAATGCGGCCAAGTTACAGGACGCGCTTCGGCATAGATGGGATTTCCTCATGTACTTTGATGTTGAAGAACACCGAGATGAGGCGTTGCGTCAGATGGAGGCTAAGCTGAAAGTATAGGCGCTAGATGAATGCAATGAACACGTCCACGATTGGAAACGTAGGTAGCTCAGGCATTGAATGTTACTTCGTGTTCCATATTGAGATGTACTTGTAGAATGCAGAGAAGTGCCGGCTGCTGTCAATTTGTATTTCTTCTGGTACAATAACAGTCGTAGTCAGGTGGCACTTCCCGTAAGATAACTCCTGTCATCAGCGTAATAATCGGTGTTTCGAAGGCTACCTTATTGATAAGAGTAGCGATACCAAAGCCGAAGTCTTAGTTTTGTGCGTTGTAGAGCGTCGGCGGAGGAGAAAGGAGTCGATTCTAAACGCGGTAGTAACAACAGCGCGCTAGACCCGATAGAACTACACAAAAGTGAGTGGTCTGGGTCTCGACTCTCGGCGGCTCCACTTTCACGTGCCGAGAACCGATATATGTAGCCGCCGTGCATGCCCTGTCTTGACGATAACAACATCCATAACAACATCGACAAATCGGACACTCGAGGAGCTGTAGCCGTTCCTTCCATCAGTCTCATCAGACTCTATAATAATGGAAGCAGCGGATGATGATCCGACAGACCGGAGTCTACCCTCGTGCGCACCACACCGGCCTTAAATCTGAGTAATGCCTTCAAAAGCATCACGACAGGCCCGAATTGTCTGGTGGACTAGTGGAAGAACGCGGGAGAGGCAGCGATCATACACTCTTTTACACATTGGTCCCATCCCCGGGAAGTAGCTGAATTACCAGTCAATCGAGGATGATGACATTTGACTTCGTGCCATTTGTCTGCGCGGTGTGGGACGCTACTGGGTGTCGAGAGCGTATCTCAGGAAGATCTCACCTAAGGATCGGACTACCAAGATGAATCAAGATGAGTGCATACCAGCTCCTTGGACATGGGATGTCTATGAAGAAGCTCGCCGTAGCCATTCATGGTTGAGGTAATCGGGAAACTTGTCCTTCTGAAGGGAATCAGCTTGTTGACGGTGGACACACACACACACACACACACACACACACACACACACACACACGCCACGCATGTATTATCGTTACTTGGCATTTCATTCATATCGCAAATTTCGCTAAAAACTAACATCCCAATGGCAAAACGCTCAAGCCCCCTGGCTGCCAATCTAGTACAATCAAGCGTGCTTGGTAAACACTGGATTAAGGAAAGTCTTGAAAAAAACGAAGGAGATATCCTTCGCCTGGAGTTCTGGAGTCCCTGCTCACACGCTCTGTCCCCTGGACATCGCCTCTTCTCCATCCCAGACATTCATGCCCGGAAGCGCTGTTAMCGCGCTCTTATTTTTGGGCAACCTCGCCTTTCAATAGGCATGAGGATTAGCACCGGGCGACATGCTGTTGTAGTCACGACCAATCGTCCAGCGAGATCTCGGTCGGCCTGCACTGCTCATGCTATCATAGGCATAGCCTGTGGTCGAAGGAGATTCCGGGCGGGAAAGCTTGGTGAAGATGGTGAGTGGGTGGAGACGACTGATCGACCAGCGTTTGCTGGATGAACGCCTCCCGCGTTTGGGAGTGTCGTAGTTGCCTTCCATCGATGATAGGGAACATGCGCTGGAAGATGTGTTGGAAGTGGCGGAACTGATGCTGATGTTTCGAAGATGTTCGATGTTMCAGTTCGAGTCCGACAAGCTTTCAAAGCTGTCGTGCTTGAGACCCATGGAGGAGATACACTCTGAGGTGAAGGATTGCGAGCAGGGACTGATGGGTTGGAGCAGGTCAACCGTCCAAGTTTTGGTCGAGTAGCTTTCGACGCTATCTGGRGTGTCGCATTCGAAGTCCAGATCCGGAGTGGATGCCCTCGAGGTGACGCTTTCCGACCGAAGTGCCGGGTGGAGTGCTGTTGGTGGCCTTGCTTGAGTGGCGGTTGGAACGAATGAGTACCGCTCGACGGGCTTCTTCGGGTAGGTGTTGTGTGTGGAAGGAGAGGAGCTGATGACCTCGCAGAATGCGAATGAAAGGGCTTGCTTGTATTCGGCAATGTCGTGCATGTTGTCTGTCTATTTCAGAAGTATGGTTCTTGTGGCTGGTCTGTCTGATGCAGGATATGATTCTCGTGTTTTGTTTGTCTGATACCGGAGAATGGCTCTCGTATTCTGTCTGTCTGGTATGGCCAAAGGCTGCTGCTTGAAAGAAAGTGAAAAAAAGGTTAAAGAAAAGAGAAGTAAACAATCCAACCGATCAACAGTCGAAAGAGGTGTATTAGGATGGGAACAATCACAAGGGAGGCATTGCCCTCTTATCTCTATACCGACCATCCCCCCAACGCCCATGACCATTCCAGGCTGAAACCTCGTCCACACCGAACGTCCCGCGCCAAACCATCGCGGCATCCCGTATATACCAAGGCAACCCCAGACAGACAGCGTCCAGACAGACATCCAACCCCAAGCCATCCGAGTTCCGACGTCTCAGAAGTCCCGTACCTCGTTGCTAATTGGTTGCTTGGGTCAGACTTACGACGTTGTATTGGGGGGACAACGACTCGTATCCTCAACGGGGATGACATCTTCGTCGCTTTCGTGTGAAATTTCACGMATAAAGGTTTCAGACACGTTTCATGGGACGTTGTGCCGAGGGAACTGGTATGTATAATAGACTTCTTGAGTCGTGAATCAGGGAGATATTCGAGTTGACTCGGGGTCTGTGGACTAGCCCTATATTATTGTAGGAGGGCAACAAGGTTCGCCATCATACTGACAGCATTTTATCAACAACACCTCTGTCAGGGTCTCCAGAAGGGCCACTCCGTTGTTTGAGGCGAATGGCGCGGTCCGGCGTCCGCTGTCTCTTTCTTGTATATCATGTTCCCGTCAACCAATTGAGGACGTTGAAGTTGAGTGGAGAGTTCATAGTACGACTCGTATAGCGCCGGCGGTGGCTCCCCCCTCCCGCCTTGTGCAAATCATGCGTTCGTCTTACATGTTAACTGCCGGGAGTTTGGTGGCGACTGGCAGCAGAAGGGGTTTTCCTACTCAGGGAGTCAGGGCTTGGTTGGAAATGATGATGATGATTGACGGTAGGAAAACCGTTGTGTTCAAAACAACAACTCTCGACGTCCCGAAAATCTCACTCACATGGCATGGTGATGATCATGATGATGGTGACGATGCGTGCGTTGCTATTTTAAACTGCTTCGACGTTGTTGGGCATTGCATTTGCAGTCTGTAGATCGATTCTAGAGCGGCGCCACCAACATAAGCCTCGTGGTTCGAATTGGTGCTAATGGAAATGTCATAATAAAGCGATTATGATATGCGTGTTCGAATAAGGCATGCGAGATGCAAGAATCCTGCTAAATCTATCGATAGACATTCTAGGCACCAATGGCCATTACATGCCTTTCTTATAGTCCCCAACTTCAACAATGAGATGTTTGGCGGTAGTAGGGTTAGGGTTTAGGTAGTAGGATGAAGCGCGACGACGGCGATGTACTGTTTTGATGTTCGCAATGCTTGTGACATTAGCCTTCATTTGAGAATCAGACGTTTCCAACACACGCTTTAGTTCTCGTCGTTGAATTTGGCGCTTTATAGGCTTCTTGTGACATATTCGCAGTTCAATTCACTCGTAGTCGGAATTGTTCTATAGTATGAACTCATCATCATGCTTTCCTACCTTAGAGAAAAGTACGGGTTCCGATAGATGATTTGGAAGCGAAGCTGAGATAGACCACAACGAACGATTAGAATCGTCAAGTGAAATCAATCGAAAGAGAGTTCAAAACAATGCCAAATGAAAAGCGTCAATCTTGGCCAACTACATACTGCCAGCAACTCAACCCCCCCATACGCATTCCCCTACTTACACCTTCCCAAACCCAGCCCTAGGCAAAACATACCCAACCGTATCCCCCGACGCACCAGCACTAGGAACACTCCTCCCCTTAAAATTCGCCAAAGCCTGATCAACACTCCCCACGCCAGCAAACGGTCCCGAACTTCCAAAAGCATTCAACACGCAACTCCTGCCCAAATACCCGCCACACAACGCATTGGAATTCGCATCCGGAGCCGTGAAAATGTACCCGTTACTCTCAATAGAAGCCGTCTCGATCGGGTTGGCGATATTTTGAAAAGCGTTGCCTTCGGCGAGAATCCGGGCTCCACTACCGATTTCAAAGGCGTGGGAGGGGTTATCGTAGAAGTAATTGTTGAGGGCGTGTAAGAGAGTGTTTCCGGAGACTTTGGGGGAGCGTCCCGAGGTGGAGTGGATGTAGTTATTTTTGAAAGTGATGAGGTCTGAGGAACCTGTGAAATATAAGGCCCAGTAGTGTTTTCCATTACAGGTTGCCGAGTAATCGCTTCGGCCGTCGAAGTCGTTGGAGGAGATTGTTACGCGGTTCGAGGGCCCGTTGCCGAGGACTACGTGTTGGCGACCGATGTGGTAGGTGGTGATGTGGTCGATCCAGACCATGTCGGCGTTGTCTAGAGCGATGGCGTCGCCTCCCCAGACATATTGGGGGTTGAGTTCTTGGATTTTGATGTTTTGGATGATGATGTTTTTGGCTCCGTTGGCGATGTAGAGGCCTTTTCCTTGGATGATGCCTTTGTCGTTTACCCCGACGAGAGTCTTTTGGGAGGCGACTCGGATGGGGTTGAGGGCTGCGTTGTCGTAGTTGACGGCGACCTTGGGGGCGTTCTTTTGGTAATTGGTGCACCCTGCATTGTCCGTCTGTCAGTACAAAATAGGGCATGGATCTTCTTCTTCACATCGAACTCACAATTGTTCGCGTTGATGGCTGTCTGGCAAGAGGCACCAGTCCCAAAGGGAGCACATCCCGTTGCACTTGTGCGGCCTTCGGATCCGATAAAGTTGAATGTACGGTCCAAGACGATGACTCGGGGAGTGCTGTCTCCCAAGTAGCTGATCAGCTCAGCATTACTCTTGGGGAAGACCTCTGCGGCGTTGCCACCTCCAGTAACGCCTTTAGCGAAGCCTTCTGCTGCACCGACAACGCGGACGGCTGTTGCGGTAGATGTAAGGAGAAGGAGGAAAGCGAAAGTCTTCATTGTTTGCGATCTGGGGGGAGGTGTGAAAAGGAATGTTATTCTGATGAGCAGGAAGTGAAGAAGTAGCGAATGCAACCTACATATATACATACACACACACCTACAACCTCTAGTAGAGATAGAAAGAGGGAACAGACGGAGAGGCTTCCAGCAGACTTACTGTAGAAACTAACGCATCAGAATCCTTCAGACACCGACCCGACCTGCACAATCAGGTTGATTTTGACTCCACCAAGACGTCTAACGAGTATAGAACTACCGAAGTCATATCCCGCACCATCTCCCACAGCGAGACAGCGAGTAAGAATCGCCGTCAACCGCACGAGCAGTGCAGTGCTAATCGAATCCACAGTGTCGGAGAGACCATCGAAAGAGTAGAAGTGTTAGCTGTGGCGTCTGCAGCTTAACCATTGAACCGTCGCTAGTATAGATCTTCCTTCCAATCCGCTCCGCTCGGTTGGCGAAGGATAGATTGTGAAGAGCTAGCTAGGGCTGTAGCGAGAGATGTGGAGCACTTTGTAGATCTTTTCTTCTCCATGAATGAACGCGTCCGTTATCAGCGGCCCATGCCTCGTCTGTCTGCATAATGGCCAGGATCCTTCTCATTCAAGTAATCTTTGGAAAATGTCCACACGCAGAACAATGAGTATACGTCTACTCACCTTCTCCAGTTATCAGTCCAGCTAGAAAGTACTGTTACCGATGCATTAAAGCAGAGTACAGTAGTAGAAGTAAAAACCAAAACCAAAACTAAACGTAGAAGAAAAGGCATCCAACATGTACAAACCTCCGCTCCCAATTCCTAAACCGTCACAGTCCATCCTCCATTCCATCTCCTCCGGATCCAAAGCAGGTAAGGTAAAGGAGGTAATTCCCTCTCCAAAAGCCGACAGACAAATCTCTCGTTWACGCGGGATGGGATGGCTCTGTGTGTGCATGGAAGAAAGAGAAGTCGGTAAATCACGGTGTTGAAGGATTGTGGATCGATCTTTGTGGGTCGTCGTGGGGGGACGGGAGGATGATCAAAGATTTTTGAGTTGAAAGGGACAAAAAAGGCAAAGGCAAAGTTTCTCCAAGCGATGGGAAAATAATAGATTATGTTCGGCGGTACCTCACCCGAAGTACCCGAAGTACGCGTTTGTCGTGAATAGGGGTTCAATCTTCACGGTCCGGGCTCCCTCACGTCACATCACATTCGAGTAGATTTTTGTTAAAAACTGCCGTTCTTTTCATCTGTGATCCTATTCAGCTGCTCGAGCATGATAACCCTACAGTGGTGGTAGTGTAGTAGAAACGCCTTCGCTTCTCAAACATGCCCGCTCGCAGAGTCATTCCTCATCCCCTCACAACTCGTCCTTCGTAGCCTTGGCCGCGTCAGCCTCTGCTTCAGCAGTGGCCTGCGCGTCTGCGACAATCTTTTCCTTTTCAACGTCGGCATCCACAGCTCCCGCGGCTGCGGGTGCGGTCTTCACATCTCCAGCATCCAACTGCCCGCTCGTCTCTGGGTCCACGCCATCCGCCCTGGTTCCGGCCTCGACGTCCTCGCCCTTTTCGACGAATCCTTCATCGTTGACTTCATTTCCGTATCTGTCGCGAAGAATTAGTCGAGGGTCGGTAAATGGAAGTAGATCTTGCAACTCACTGGTCAATCATCCTAGTCCTGGTCTCATACCGTGTTGAAAATGAGACCTTGCCCTCAAGCGCAGCGACCTGCGCCTCATCGAGAAGGTTACCATCCTCATCGCGATACTCAACCTTCTCCTCCGTGATGGCTCCACCATTTGCTCCTGGAGTTACGACCACATCCTTTTGAGGGTCATCAGCAACAGGAGGCGCGGGACCTCCAACAGCAGCTTGCCCGGTGGGAGCTGGGCCGGAGGCACTGGGTACTGCGAGCGAGTACTCCGCGTACTATAACAGATATTGTCAGCATCACCATCACTACCGATAAACAAGTTCAGGACCTACCGAATCGTAAAAGGTGTTGCAATCCCAATCCCACGTATCAAACAACTTGACCCGTGAACACTCCTTCTTCGTCCATTGCCCACCGTATGTAAGTGGAGCATACARCGCAAAGACGGCGACACTGAGACCTAAAAACACCGTCGCGGCGGTCATCCCCGCCCAGGGCTTGTCTCTCAGCGTGAAAGATCCAATCTTCATGCGAGCAAAGTTAAAGTCAAAGACCTGACAGAGAGTGAGGATGGCAAAGTACAGCGCGGGAAAGTAGTGGTGCAAGAACAGCTGGCGCTGCATGAGGTAGAAGGGGAAGTAGTGGAATGCCCATCCCAAGACAGTCATGCCGATTTCGTAGTCGAAGCGACGGAAGGTGACGTGCTGGTAGTCACCACAGCTGCGCTGCCATCTCAGCACCGCCAATCCCTTGAATGCAATGTACAGTCCAATCGCAGCGGTGCTTGCCCACCAGATGAGCGGGTTCCCGATGAGGTAGATTTGGCGATGGTCTTTGCCCCAAAAGTTGATACCTCTCTTGAGCACGGGCCACGATGGAGGGCGAGAGTCCCAGGCGTGCGATTCCACCAGACCGGCGTTAGTGGTCCACATGACTTGCTGAAGTTCCCAGAACTTCCCGAAGAAGCCCGGGTTGCGATAGTTGACCTTTTCGGCCGTATCTCCCAGCTTGGGGTGGTTGTTGGATTCCACGTACCAGATGCTGTTGGGGAGCGTACCGCCCTTGGCGCAGGTGACTTCCTGCTGCTCGAAACCCCAGTCGGGGAGCTTGACCTTGTGGGAGAAGAGGGTGCAGCCGGTCATGATGTGGACGAGCTTGAACTTGGATTGGATGGTGCGAAGTCGCTCCTTGGCCTCCTTTCCATCGGACATTTTCTTGACGATTTCCACCCGGAAGAGATCGTTGGCGTCTCCTTCGAAGCCTGCGTAGCCATACGCCGAGACCTCATTCTGCCAGTCGGCCTCGGTGACGGGTGGGCGGACATCGTGAGAGTGCACGCGGCGATCGGAATTGACGTGATAGAGACGAATGATGCTGCCATCGACAATCCACTCCGGGTCGTAGTTGTCCCATGCCAGAGGTCCCGCAACGCTCGTGTTTCCGGTGGGATCGGCAGCCCAGTCGATTGGCTGCGTCTGGTTCTCGGCGATGAAGACGTTGTTCTCGTCCTTGTGCGGGTAGAGGGTGATTTGCTGCTGCTTACTTCCTGTAGGGTACATGTGGGCGTGGGAGTGGAGGTAGCCACCCTGGGTGTTGTGATGGCGCAGGCTGATGCGCGAGCCAAAGGCCACGTCGGCGGGGACGTCTGCCATTCCCTTGGAGTTGAGGGTCGACTGGAACTCGCTGCTCATGAAACCATCGCCATCGCCGGGGTTGACCAGACAGATGAAGTGAATGGCGAACATGGCCATGTAGAAGGTGACGGGGATGATGATTAAACAGAAGATGCGCGCGAAGAGGTGCTTGAACCAGACGCGTGTGGTGACGTTCTTGGTGTCTCCGAGGAGGACCCAGAGTTGGAGGACGGTTAGAGATCCGACCCAGGCGATGGTGAAGAGACCGACCCACTTGACACTGGCCGTAGCACCCAAGGTGAGACCGGTCGCGGCCAGCCAGAACCACCAGCTCGGCTTAAAGGCGTACTTGGGGCCCAATTCATGCTGGTTGATAAAGGAGAACCAGGACAAGCTGGTCAGAGCGGTGAAGATGATCAAGGGGGAGTCCAAGAGAATGAGCCTCGACTGGGTCACGAAGCCGTTTTCAAAGGTCAAGAGGCCGGCTCCCAGGGCAGCGGTGGTGGTGCGACATCCCATGGCCTTGAGGGTGAGGTACATGGTGGGCACGGCCAAGACGCCCAACAAGGCGGGCAGCAGGCGCATGGCGACATAGGGGACCTTGGGTTCGAGGTAGTCCTTGCCAATGTCCTTAAAGTCAAAGTTGCCGTCGAAGCCAGCCAGCCAGCCGGCGAGGGTGATGAGCAATTTGGCCAAGGGAGGGTGAACATCCATGAAGAAGCGACCCTTGATGTATTTGCTAGCGAAGCCTCCAAAGTGCACCTCATCGAAGACGACGCTGGTGGGCTGGTAGATGCGAAACAGGCGGATGAACAATGCCAGGAGCGTGACTCCGCCGAGCAGTTCCCAGTCGGTGCTTCCCAGGTGGAAGATGTTGTTGTCTTTGACTCCCACTGAGGTGTATTCGGTCGTGTTGTCGGCATTGGCAGGTTTGTCGCGGCGCACGGCGGATGCGGATGTGGTGTCGCCCTTGCGCGGGGCTGCCTGGTTGTTGGCCATGTTGGCGACAATCAATGGCGACAATCAATGGCCGAGTCGATCGAGGGCGCGATGGAAGACGAGACGTGAATCGCGTGCCGGGTCGCGTCGCGAGGGATGCGGAGTGGAAGTGGAAGAAGGGTAAAGTTTCCTGGGATYGGAAGTTCTGGCGGATGATTAGAAGTCGAGGGCCATGTGAAGAAATGGCCTGTGATTGATTGAATGGATTGATTGAATGGAATTGAATGGTAGGGAAGAGGAAGGAGAGACTCGAGCGTCTCAATGGACGTCTACAAACTAGGTAGACGAAGGGAGAAGATGGGGGAAGGGAGGAGTTCTCCTGCCCCAGTTCAGCTCAGCTCGAATGGAAGACGGGATCTTTACGAAGACGTGRCTATTTGCAGATCCAATCCCGAGGACGAGAACTTCCTTGAGACCCTGACGGGACTGCCCGCCCATCAATCAATTCTCTATCTTAGCGCGGGAAACATTCAAGCTAGGTAAGGTTCAATTCCATCAATCTTCAGCTGATCCAGTCGAATTGGGTTTGGTCAGGAAAGTCGCCTGTTTCCACCATTCTTCCCCATCACATCCATCCACCACGTCTGCCAGGAACAATRGCCGCCTCCACCCAACCCGAGGAGTCGGACTTGAAATCGCGGGTGCCCGAGGGCGTCGTGATCCCTCCCGTCGCCATTCGCGCCAAAATCGAAACGGTCGCTGGCTATGTCATTCGCAGTGGCCCGCAGTTCGAGGAGGTGGTGCGCAAGAAGAATGCCGGAACCAACCAAACCACCTTCCTCGAGCCCGCCGACGCCTACGAACCCTACTACCGCTGGAGATTGGTCGAGATCAAGGCGGGACGCGGTTTCAATGAGAATGATCGCGCCATTGCCTCCAAAACCGATGTCACCTTCGCTGGTCGCGAACACAAGGCTCCCCCGAAACCCGAAGAGTTCAGGTTCAGCGCGCGAATGCCCAACATCAGTCCGCAGGATTTGGACATTGTCAAGTTGACGGCGCAATACGCGGCCAAGAATGGACGGGCGTGGGTCACACAGCTCAGCCAGCGCGAGGGCKGCAACTATCAATTCGATTTCCTCCGACAGCAGCATTCCCTCAACATGTTCTTCAACCGTCTGACGGAGCAATACGAGGATTTGTTGGAGGGCGAGACGTCCAACGGAGGAGCGGCGCAAAAGGCGCGGATGGAGGAATTGGAGCGCAATCTCCACGATCGCCTGCACATTCTGGAGCGGGCCAAGCAGCGCGCGCAATACGTCAAGTATCAGGAATCACAACGGATGGAGGTGGACGAGAAGAAGGCCAAGAAGGACATGGACTTTGCCCAGATCGACTGGCACGACTTTACCGTCATTGCGACCATCACCCACGATGAGCGCGACCAGCACACGGAAATGCCCCCGCCCAAATCCCTCAACGACATGCAGAGCTTGAGTCTGGAGGATAAGCAGAAGATGCGCATTGGTTACGACCGGCGAATTGAGGAAGCGGTGCCCGACTTCAACGATTACGAAACCGTCTTTGGTCACGCACCGCAGATGCCCGCCGCCCAGATGCCGCAGGGCTGGGGTCAACATCCCACCCCTCCACAACACCACTCTCCCTATGCCGCTCCTGCTCCCGACCTGGCGACGGAACGCGCCGCCGCACGTGCTGCAACCGCCGCTGCTGCCTCGCAACCTCCCAACGCCAAGACTCGCATTCGCAACGATCACGTCCCCCAAGCCGCCGCGGCCCGTGCTCGCGCCCAAGCCAACACGTCGATATGTCCCAACTGCAAACACGCCATTCCCAACGATGAGATGCAGGAACATTTGCGCATTGAATTGTTGGATCCACAGTGGAGAGAGCAATCCCGAAAGGATCAGCAGCGCTCCAGCACCACCAATCTCAGCACGCAGGATGTCGCGGCCAATCTGAAGAGACTGGCGAGTCAGAGGAGTGATGTCTTTGACCCGGCGACGGGTAGAGCGATTGGGGATGAGGGAGGGGGCAAGACGCGAAAGGTGGACAATACGAATGGCGGGGGAGATGTCAACGACCAGATTCGGAGGATTCACGAGAAGCATGGAAAGTGAGGCATCTACCATTATGAGACTGGTGGATTGACAAACAGGCATCGATCAAGATCAAAGGTGAGGCACTGGGGACATTCCTCGCGCCCGTCTGACGTGTGCCAGGGGACTCCATTCGGACTACTGTCCGTCGGGTGGTGTTGAAGGGAGAAAGTCGCAGGAAGTCGTCCTCGCCATTCCATTTGAGAAGCGTGGATCGCTGCGAACTCCTTCACCGCTCTCCAGGCACGGGAGATTCCAAGATGTTGCGGGAATCGCTCACCAGAGATATCATGAGCAGCAGCGCGACTTGTGACCTTGACCAGGATGGGACGTTGTATTTGACCAGGATGGGACATTGTATACAACCCTTTGTACACTAAGGTACCACCTACCACATGCCTTCCACCTCTCCCACTTTCAAATTCTCACAAAGACTCTTGATACTGACTGACCGCTTGTACCTGCCTCTAACGCCATCAAAGATAACCTCCCGGAATGCTAATCAAAAGAACAATACTAATCCTCCTCGTCAAATGTCTTTGTCACTTTCGAAGCACCTACATACACTTCAACATGGCCATGTAAACTCTCCTCTGTATCACCTCCTCCCGCAATGGATCTCCCAGACTCCAAAATGGAAGCCCACGCCTCCAAGATCCTGACCATCGCTTCCCGCATCAAGACCTTCCACGCCGCAAATCAAAAGTTCCGCATCTCGCACGGCTCCACCAACAGCACCCGCAACCAATCCTTCCGCGACAAACAAAACATCATCGACACGAGCGGTCTGACCGGCATCCTCGAAGTGAATCCCTCGAAGAAAACCATCCTCGTCGGAGCCAATGTCCCCATGGACCGTCTTGTAGAAGCCACTCTAGCCCACAATCTCATCCCGCCCGTCGTGGCCGATTTCCCCGGCATCACAGTCGGAGGAGGGTATTCCGGCACGACGGGGGAGAGTTCGAGTTACAAACACGGCTTCTTCGACCGTACCGTCACCCGCGTAGAAATGATTCTCGGGACGGGAGAAATCGTCTACCTCTCCGAGACGGAGAACCAGGATCTCTTCCGTGGTGCGGCGGGGAGTTTGGGGACTTTGGGAGTGGTGACTTTGTTGGAGATATCACTCGTGGAGGCGAAGCGGTTTGTGGAAGTTGTGTATCATCCCGTGAGGAGTATTGGGGAAGCGGTGGCCAAGTGTAAAGAGGAAACTAGTGGGGAGAAAGGGGAGAGGAATGATTATGTGGATGGGATTCTGTTCTCTCCTACTTCGGGGTTCATCATTACTGGACGACGAGTTCAGGATGCTGAGAAGGGGAGTCCTATTAGGAGATTCAGCGGGAGGAAAGATCCTTGGTTTTATATGCACGTTCAATCCCTGCTTTCCAAAACATCATCATCACCACAAAACCAAGATAATGGAGAATCAGGAGGAGTAATCAAAGAATTCTTCCCCCTACCAGAATACCTCTTCCGCTACGACCGCGGCTCCTTCTGGACAGGCCGCTCCCTCTTCACCATGACCTCCTGGCTCCCCTTCAACCCCTTCACGCGCTACCTCCTCGACGACTTCTGCAAAACCCGCATGCTCTACGCCGCCATGCACTCCCAACCCATCAACATCATGATTCTACACGACTGTGGCGTTCCTTACCCTTCAGCCGAGAATTTCATCGAGTGGGCGGGGGAATGTACGGGGATATGGCCTGTGTGGTTGTGTCCTTTGAAACAGAGTCCGAGACCTACGTTGCATCCGCATTTGAAGGATGGAGATGATGGGGAGGAGGAGGCGGGGATTTTGAATGTGGGGATTTGGGGTGCTCCGAGGGGTGGAGGGGATGTTGGGGAGTATTTGAGGGAGAATGAGGAGTTGGAGGGGAGGTTGAAGGGGATTGGGGGGTTGAAGTGGTTGTATTCTCCTCAGTGGGCTGAAGGTATGTTTTTTCCCTCTCTTCCTATCTCTCTGTTTGTGGAATTAATATGCTAACCTGTGATGATGTTTTTTCTTGTTTTAGAGGAAGAATTCTACAAACAATTCAATCGTAAATGGTACGAAGATCTCCGCACCAAATACTCCGCGACGAGATTACCGACGATTTATGATAAAGCACGTACGGACCCGGGGGAATTGCAGAGGAAATTGGATGGGATGACTTGGAGGGATGTTCGGCCTGCGTTTTTTCCTGGGTGGATGTTGCATTGTTGTCGGAAAGCTTGGGTTTCGGGGCAGTGGAGGGCTGGGAGGAAGGCGACTTGGATGGAGTGGGTTGGTAGGGGAAAGGGGGAGTAGGTACCTAGGGAGGAAGGGAGGGGAGGTGGGAGGTGGGAGGGTAAGGGGGAGTGGCGATTTATGGATGATTTGGTCTTTGTGGATTGGGAGACGGCTAGCGGATGGTAATGTTTGAGTGGTGTTGTTGTTGAAATGGCAAAGTCTAGCACTAGGAGTATCAATTACACAGAACGAACTCTGATTCGACTCAATGGAGAGTTAGGTAGTCGAAGCCCAGCTATGGCATATTCCATTATAGAAAATCCTGTCTATAGGTAGTAGCATACAAGTTAGTAGCCTAGACAACGACATAGAAACCTTTCCCTCCCTCCAATTTAGGAAGTAAAGTAAAGTAGTCTACTCCTAGTAAAAGGTGTCTCTCTCGCGTACCTTATAATTAGTTCTACTCCCCCCACCCCTCCCACCCACTCTTGATTAAAACGCCACGTCTCGATAATCCTCGACTCGTACAACGCCTGCTGCGGTCCGGAACTAGTGTATGTAGGAGGGGGAGCCAATCGTTTATTGTGGTGGTGGGTACATGAGAGGAGGAGGGGTTTTTCATTCTCTTTCTCTTATTTTTATCCTTATTTTATCGTGGTGGTGTGGGTGTAGGTGGCTGTGGAAGTGGAAGTTTTCTCTGAAGGGGCGCGTGATTCTGATCGATTGGATTGGAATGTTTCTAGGAGGGATGTTTTGTTTTGGGAGGGATGGATGGATTATGTGGGGAGAGGTGTAATCTTTTTTTTTTTTTTACTTTTCCATGGGTGAGTGAGCTTGAATTTGAGCTTGGGGGATAGGTATGTAGGTAGGTAGGTGGATAGGTGGGTTTGTATTTCTATCAAGTCGAAGGAATGTTGTTTTGCAACTCTCGACGATGGAATAATGAGCATTTTCATGTCGATACTTTGTTGTGTTGATTAGACAACTAGTCGATGGTTGAATTTCCATCTCCCTGTCTCCAAATAATCATGCATGCTCAGTCTTCCTACGACGCTCTACATCTCTTCCTCTCTCTCTCGTCTACAATGCAACCAACCCCCTCGAAGCAGAAATCCAATCCAATCCAAGACTCCAGAGATATCTAGATCTACCATCAACTGTCGCTCTGTCGGGTCGTCTGGTGATGAGTCTCCGAGACTCTCAACGACGAATCGCAAGAAATGTCCGTCTTGGTAGAAACATGGCCGCTTCCTTCTTCATTGTCCGTGGGTAAACCGGGTGGAAACATCAATTTCGTCTCGGGAGCTCGACGCGCGAAAACGACATCGCGAATCGATGAGAGGATGAGGTGGAATGTGTCCTAGAGTCGAGCATTAGATGCATTTTATTGGTGAGAGGGATTGGACGGTGAGATAACAGCAGTAGTCGACTGGATAAATAGTAGAGAGGACTACGACTTGCCATGCTTGAGTTATTGCTGCTTTCATCAAAAGAATCGCGTCGTCTCGTATTAATCATCGCTCGTTTGTGTCGTGAATAGTAGTAAATGCTAGAATATGTCTTCCCCTCTCCAACCACATCTGAGAGTGGAGCGCCGGCTTCATCTTATATAGATCCCTCGCCTTGCATGCCTTTGCCATCATCTAGCGCTCATGAGGCGCGTGATTGTGGGGATCGGGGAATGTTATACTCCATGGAGTAAGTGAGCACGCGACACTKCATCGTATCGTCTTCGGGGTCCGAATCGCATCCTTCCGGTCTGGAATTTCAGAAAATGAAAATAATCAATCCTTAAGATCCTCACAGGGATATCGTATCATTCCCCTTGAGCTGGTCAAGGTTGTTCTACTTCATTTGGACTTCTTGGCGTCCTTTCCCTCGGTCTTGGGGTACTTGATCGTCAAGCAGTAAATGTCAAGATAATCGCAAATGGAGACGATGACGTCCAAAATGAAGCTTCCATGAACGCCGATGGCGAGTCCGAGACAGGTGAACATGAATGCGACTTGATAGACCTCATCTCCGAGCGCGCTGGGCCAGCCAAATCCGAGCTTGTTCTGCAGGACGGGTCCAAGAGAATCAAGCACTCCATACACAAGAGGCAGAGGTAGAATGTTGTGGTAGGGGAATCTGGACTTGGTGAGATGTGCCGTAATCATCAGTCCCACAGAGTAGGCGTTGATCAGTCCGATGTAGAGAATGAAGGGGACCAGATGGTTGTGGAGGATGTTGGGCTGCAGAGCGAGGTATGAGATGATGAGCACCCATGAGCCAGCAAATGGAAGGAGGCCAAGGAGAGCTTTCCTGGCTCGCTGGCCACGCTGCCGACGTACTTCCATGACATTCCGAGCGCTGTAGCTTGTTAGTGGGAGAGTCATGTATTGTGAAGGATCCATTTACCTCTCAACAACGTTGCCAATCAAGATGATACCACCTTGCCACATGTAAAAGTCACCAAAGTCCATCTTGTAGAGAACTTCTGGCAGGAACTTGTAGTGCGGTACGCCGAGAGCGGCGAGCGCAGGCTGCTGCCAATAGCTTCCTCCAGTATAGGCAGTGAAGGCGTATACTCCGCATAGGATCAGAATGCCCTCGACCGGACCCGACACCAGGCCAAGTGTGAGCGTCTTGGTGTGGTATTCATCCCAGGTTTGTACGTAAAACGTCAATAGACCTTTACACAATCAGCATCCATTACGGCGAGATGAGAAGGAGGGAACATACTTCCAAAAGCCACCGCGACTGTTCGCCAACCCTGACCAAATCGCATGGCAGCTGCAAATACCAATACCTCCAGACTCGTGTTGAGAGCGTCGACACCATGATCAAACAATTCTCCCAATGGCCCACTCTGCCCTGTTCGTCGAGCTTGTGATCCGTCGATGGCGTCGAAGGTCTGGTAGAGGAAAAGACCARTCGCCCAGCTTGCGTACACCCATCCTGGGCATTCCTGAGACAAGTCCGGAGTGTAATACAGCAGAGTGAAGACGTTTGCAATGACAAACTGAAGTGATCAAGTCAGCAATTGCCAACGTTCACATGTAATTTCATCTCAAGATGGACCTACACCAAATCCCGAGAGGGTGATGGCATTCGGTGCCATGGACAGGGGGAACAGCTCAATGACCTGGCTCCACCAGTATGGTTTCAAGACATATTTGGACACCAGACTCTTGTCGACGGCTAGATTGGTGTTCAATGTCAGTCGCGTTATCCATCCTTCAGGCGCGTCGCGTTGCGATTTCCGTCACTTACAGCTGTACTTGTACTCCTTGAGCTTGGGCAGCTGTTCTTGCCGGATGTAGCCCATCTTTGCCGTGATCCACGCGTGGTGAAATATGCGGAGGCGTGTTGGGCTTAGTGTTTGAAGGAGGTTGTTAGATTTTTGGGGATTGGTATTGGCTTGTCAGAGCAAGATTTCTAAAGCCCGCGACATTCCAAAATGACGTAGCCTTCTCCTGACCGAAACAGCTTCCAAGGAGGACTCGATCACGGACGACTCCAGAGGTTGTGGGAGGGATTGATATACTTCACTGCTCCTTCACATGTCATGCAGAGGACTTGGCAATCAGTTGGGGATGCCGTCGTTGCTTTTCCCTCATGCATTCATTCATTATTCGCCAAGTTGCATAAATTTAGAGTTTATGCTCACACCTGGATAGCCCCACATCTAGTCGCTGAGGCATTCAAGAATCATCAATCCCTCGCCTATTACAACATCTGCACCGACTCATGAATTTCTCCATCTTTGTGAAAGTGCTGAACGCCCTAACAAAGCGCGCAAATCGACCACTCTCAAGATTCGAAATCCTCTGAACATATTGTGTGTTTGTTGGATCGACCTGGAGAAGAATGCCCCCGAGACTTGCACATAAGAAGACGCGATCGGCAAGTAACCTTATCCTCTGCCCAACCAAAATATCCTGCAGTACTGACCGCCTCCAACAGGGATGCAAACGATGCAAGGCTCGCAAAGTGAAGTGCGATGAAGTCAAGCCACATTGTACAGCTTGCACTCGCCACGGAGTGAGCTGTGAATATGCAGATTCCCTGCAGGGAGACTATCGAAGTCCATCTCACGATGTAGGATCGAATCACATTTCCGAGCATGAAATGGAATTGCGCTTGTTGCATGAGTGGATGGCATACACGTCCGAGACTCTTTCAACGACCGTCGACTTCTGGAAGATACGAGCACCGCTGCTAGCACTGCAGAATCGCTTCGTGTTCGAAGCGCTCTTGGCTCTTGCTGCCCTCCACGGGTCACGAAAAGAAGCAAAGGCGTGGTCGGGTCTGCATGGCCGTGAAGTAGCTGTATCGTCAAACAGCGTTGCCACAAACGAGCAAGGGTCCGAAGCTACCACGCCGAACGAGTGGAAAAAGTGGAAGGCATTCGGGGGAGAAAGTCTTCCTACTGGTTCTGCTAGTGTCCTCAACGCCACCCCAGAAGCTCGCCGGGGGATGCTGGAAGTATCAAGAAAGTACTTTTCCCGTGCCCTTGAGGGCCAGCAGAAGGCGGTCGCTTCCATCAGCTCGCAGACCATCCAATCGAGCTAGTAGGTTGATACCCAGATGGCCTAGAATATCTCATGCTGACCTCTCATCTTCTCCCAGCCTCTGCTCTATGCTGGTCAACTACTACTCTTTGTTCACTTTGAGCGACGGTGATGATGACGGCAGTGGTGTGCCAGTTGGCCTCATGAACTGGATCCGAGTATCGCGCGGTGTACGCCACATCATAAATCAGATGACACAGTTATCTGCAGGATCGCTTCAAGGTGACCACAACATATATTGTATTGTGACAAGTTGCATGCTAATCATCCCTTCCAGCGGAGTCAATGCATGCGGAACCCGATCTCTCTGACACGGACGAGTTATTCCACCCCGTCCACATGGAACCATTCAAGTACCTGCTGTCGAATGTCGAAGGAGATGAAGTCGCAGAGGAAGATCGCACCGCATACGAGCATACATTGAGCTACGTCGGATTGATCTACAAAGGGATCGTGCAGAATCTGGACTCCCCGCTGGCCACAGGTCGTCGATGCAATGCAATGCCAGCGAGCGTACCAATGCGCTTCCTGGATCTCGTCGAGGCCAATCAACCTCGRGCAATGGCCATCATGGCGCATGTCTTCGCATCCATGCAACTTGTCCAGGAGAGTTACCCGTGGTTCAAGGGTATTGCCGAGCATCAGATCCCGCTCATCTGTAGGTCATTGCCGCGGCAGTGGACCGAGTTTGTTCAGTGGCCTCTACAGATCATCCAAGGTGGTGGCGAGAATGGATCCGGGCATGTCGTCCATGCTGAGAATGATGGCGTATGAGATCAGGTGAAGATGTATGCATGTACAGGAAACTTGGCCAAGGCCATAACACCACAAACAGCACGCTGGCTTTCTCTCGGGCCGCAGATCTGGCCCATATCACAGCGAGAGCAGGACGCTTGTTGTAGTATACTTGGAATCGAGCCCGCAGATGGAACTAGCCCCGACCATCATCGAGATGGCTATTCCACTGGTCCTCCCAGGGACATTCGCGGAAATCGCACCGGGCGCAGACGATGTTCTCATACCGGCTGCAAGAACTCGCGCAGACAGATCTGTGGATGCTGCTACGTCGAGAGAAACGGCATGGTCGGGGTTACTCGACAGAAGCGCAGATGATGAAAGCGCAAGCCGCGAAGTAGCTGAGCGACACGACAGATGTGTTCGATGATCAGAGATCACATTGACTGTAGTGGGAAAATTGGCGCTCCATTACGTGGTAATCCCGCCCCAGAAGTCAGTCACTGAGCTCTCAAATGTGAGTATTTCGATCCCAAGTGATTCAGGAGGCGCCCTGATAAGAACCCAAAGCACGCTCTCTCGTCATTCCCGCAGCCTTCGCCGTGTTTCAACCAAGATGAAGTTTTCGAGTCTTTGTTGCGAATACAGGGATCTTCAATGTGTACTCCTTAGATGGGCGTGTTGCCTGTCATTCATCGGCTATGGGGTGGCGGACTCGTATCGACTGGATCTGTGATGCATGTTCACTGAGCTGGCAGTGTTGAGCCTCTATAGCAAGAAGATGATGCTCACGCCGACTGCTGCTTACCTTAGGTAGTGCTTAATAAACTTCTTCTGGCCCTTGGATTTTGGCTTTGCCCTCTGGTAACCTCACTTCTTCTGATGAGGCCGCTTCGGTCCTCTGTTCACAAAACATCGCTCGAATTGGAGAGCAACCTGAGAAACTAGGACCCGAACCATATCGAAACTGATGTCCGGCTTGGATTGTGAAGGCTTCTGCTATTGGCAACCACCAAGACACTGCGTGCCATGTCAACATAGCACGACCTGTAATCCCAGACGGAACTCGTGATCGAGGTAACAATGATCGTTTCCAGTTTTTCCTAACTAGCTTAGACTTAATCACCAACGCTCAGTAATGCCTAGACAATGCTTCGCTTGCCCTGTACTTGGTCACTCCTCCCTCCAAAAACGCCGTGCGCTCACAGTTGAGCTTGTCGTATTCTTCCAAAAAAGGACAGTGATCAACCGATTGGGCTCCATGGCAGAGGCATCATGATGCGGCTCTTCATCGACTGAATGAGTGGGACCGTCTTGTGAACCTGCGAAAGAGATGTGTGAGCTAGCAAGATTATACCGAGTGGAGAGTGTTGCGTACCGTCTCGCCCCAGCCTGTTATGCTCCAGCTCTGTTCTCTCCTAGATCGGCGTTCCTCGAGGTCAGGGAACTGCCACAGGTGGTGAACCTCGTTAAGCGCTCCTATCTGCGTGAACCATGCTGTTACATTGTTAGTGAATGCATTTTCCCTGCAGACGCTGTTAATTGTCCCAACATACCTCCAACACCCTCCATGACCTCCCTCCTCGCAGCCAAGCCCTTCTGCCAATGTGTCTCCCACTCAAGCAGATTGCCTGGGTGCAGGGTGTATGTTMGCAGCTCGAAGACACCTCCCAGCTGACGTGGAGGCGATGTAGGCCAGAAACGGAACTCCTGCATAAGTGAGACGCTCTTAGACTTGATCATCTTCTTCAGTCTCCGGTCGAACTCGGCAAACTCCGGGTGGTTCTGGATTCTGTGCAGCGATTCGTGGTACCCAGAGTAGCGTTGGTACTCCCAAATGTGGACTTTCTCTGGAGTCAGTCTGCCGTCGCCATTGTGTTTCGTGGCACCGCCAACATACCGAACGTGTCGCAGTCTCCGACTTCTGTCCTCCAGCTGCCGACCAAATGTACCTTGTTGTCCGGGTCGCTCGCCATGCGAGGGTACCAGCTGCCCACCAGCTCAACGTATTCGTCCACCTTGCTCGGCTTGACCTCGTGCATCACAATGCTGTGGACGTACTTGCCACGGGCAAGGACCTGCGAGAAGCTGCGTTCGATCTCGCGGTCCATTTCACGCCCCTCCTCGGTGCCATGAATCAAGGTGCTGAGGAGACCACCGCTTTTCTTTTTATCGGTCTCTTGTGCGCGGGCTTCTTGTCCTACATTTTGACTGAGTGAGCCAAGGCCCTGAGACACGACATCAGGGGTATCAATGGCCATGGGAGGGATGGAAGGGGAAGGGGAAGAAGATGACTTAGCGGCAGTGGCAGAACCGGACGCAGACTGACTCTCTTTCTCTTTTTTGGCGCGGTGGTGCTCGGCCAGGTTGGCGCGGAAACTCTTCTGTTTGGCGTCGAAGGTGGCCGACTGGTCGGGCGCAATGTCGGAGAGCGCAGGCGCCTTCGTGGTCGTCTTGTGGTCTTTGTCCCATTGCGTGGCGGAGCGGGAGAAGGGGCGAAGAGTGGAAGATGTGGGAGCGGCGAKGTTGCTGCTGCTGCTGCTCAGGCGCAGAAGCAAGCGGCGCGAGTACATGTTGATGGGCTGATGTAAATACCAGCTCGGAGCTCGTATACAATGCTTGTGGAATGGATACCGTATGGGAGAATGGTGTGTGTGATTGCTTGCGGCCTCGCGGTCACGTCGGGTGTGAAGGGTGGTGATCCGAATGGTGATGAGTGGTCCAGCTATTCGTCTGTACCTCTTCGCGTACTTTCTGCTTAGTCTGTCTGCGTCTCTGCTGCCCTCTGCCCTGCTGCCGTACGGTTGTTTTGGGCAAGAACCCTTGTCACATGGGGCAGAGCTACAGCTTCTTGGGGGAGGTAGCCGAGATATACCCCACATTTCACGCCGCCGCCCAATCACGTACGGATCTAGTAGCGGAGAACCCTGTATAGCAGCACGGCGAGCTCATGCGAGTAGAACGTGTTCACATGTTCTCAAGCAGAGAGCTTGTTGCACCCGAGTGCTGTTTGGTGAGTTAAGCGCGCCTGTCGGAAGTTTCCCGAAATGGCAAGGTAAGGTATAGAGTGTTGCGAACGCTTATTAGTATCAACACGATGCTCGCTATATCGCCAAGGTATGCTCAAAACATCTACTTCCAATCCGCAGCAACCCACTTCTTCACAGCTTTCATGAACTTGAAGAAGCCGACGTTGAACTCCTCATGCCCGTACTTCTTGTCCACCACTCTCTCCGGAAAAGCAATACCTGCTCCAAACAAGCCTGGCAATTGCGCGAGATCCCCAATCTTGCCGCAGTCGCTCTCCTGGACGTGGTGGAAGACTCCTCTATCATGATCGAAACGTGGCGTGATGGGTTTGCCCTTGCTAGACTTCAACTCTGGGAGCGGGTTGCGTTCGTAGCCAATGGCTTGTATCACGTATGTAGTCCCCGGGAGATGTTTGGCGTACACCTCCTTTTCAGTACCTTTCTCGTAAGCAATCTTCTCAATGCAGTTGGCGACGGAGCTGTTGGGGAATGTGTCGGGTTCCAAGTTCTCGCGAGCCCACACGGAGGCTGCTCCCTTCAAACCAGTATTGTCGCGGGCGATGAAGCCATCCTCGTACTCGGCATATCGAAGTGGATGTCTAGTAAACCACTTGATCTTGAGATCCGGTTTGGCAGAGAGTGCAAGATGCGAGAGGTTCATGAGGACGAGAATAGCAGAGTGCGAGGCACCAATAACTGCCACCGTCGTGGGACCGAGCGGAGAGAAGATCTTGGAAAGATGCGTAGGTGACAGGGCGTCGTCAAGATTGATGTGTTCAACGTCGAAATCGGTCGGAAGGGGTGGATCGCTAGGTGTTGAGCCAGTGCAAAGGATCAATCTTTTCGCTTGCACGCTGGTGATGTCGTTAGATGAAGGCTTGCTACTTGCAACGTTCACCGTCCACTGCAATGCTTCTTCGTCGAGGACGGCCTCGCTCACCCGCCCTTGATGTGCGGTAACRCCAGGGGCCCTTTTCAGTCCATGAGTGAGCATCAAGCACATATCTGCTGCATGACTAAGATGGCAGCCCTTTTCCTGGTCGAGTTTTCGCAAGTCCTGTAGTTTGTCCTGCTGGCCATCGATTGGCACACCGTYACTGGCGCTTGGTTCCTCCCATCGGTCACGCGAAGGAATTCCACTGACTATCTTCCGAAAAGGTGCAACAGCGGTCGCAAAGTCAATGAAAAGCTTTACTTTGGTGTTCGACGGCACCTCGCGGTAGTATTGGTTGACTCGACCGCCGTTGAAGGAATCGTCAACCCATAAGATCTTGTCGAGACGGTTCTCCAGCAAGTTTCCGACAGCAGTAATGCCCGCCGGACCAGCGCCCACAACAACAGCCTCGTACGTTTCATGCGGCTCAGACATGGTCGATGCTGCTCGGGAATGGGTGGTCTTAATGATGAATTTCTTAGTCAAAGGTTGCGGCGAGGATGGTACAGTCGAAGGAGACTTTCTCCCAATAATATCTCGGAAAGATCTGTGTTCGCCATGGCGATGGGCCGCGAATGCAGTAGATAAAGCTCTCGCACCAAACGGGGAGCCTACGTAGACTCTTCCCATCTTAGGTGTGGGCCTACAGCACCTGCTGGCACCCCACGCAACGCCATGCTGCAGACGCGATAGACTCTGCATTGCCCTTTTTGTTGGGACTTGTGCAGAGAGAGACATGTGTCAAGATACCCGCTTCGCAAAAACTGGCCCGGGACGTGCTTCAACGACGAAGCCTCTTTTCCACTAGTAGACTAGGAGATGGACCGAGAGCGGGCTCTTGATACGCGGATGGGCGTCGTAGCCCACACACGGCTATCTCTCGTGTAGAGGCCGAGTGATGCACAAGCAGTGCCGCGTGAGGTTGATGTGGGCTATCGGTGCGACGATCCGAGAAGTTTGCTGAGATGGCTGCCGATCGTCCTCGTCTGTCCTGGGAAGAGGATATTTCTTTTTTCAACTTCCCATCGACGAAAATGCTGAATGGTCCAGGGAGAAAGTGCAATCGCAGGATGTTTTCCAGAGTGGCGTTCAAAGAAAGCTGAAGAAAGAGAAGTCCGAGTCCGAAGTGGCAATCTACCAAGTCTTGGCAGAGAAAGGTTCTCTAGATTCACCCTCTTGGAATAATGTCCTCAGTGCAATGTCCTCAGTGCTTGCGCCTGGAATCATACGTTTGTGCGGATGAGATGAAGGGAAGAGTCACGAAATTGCATTCTATGGCGGAGTTCTGAAGGCGTTGCAATTGAAGATGGGTAGTCTCCAGATCGCGTCATCGAGCACGACATTTTTTTCAAGCAAACATCTGATTGTAGCAGCGCCTCTTGCTCCAGGGCTGTGCGAGCGGACATTGCTGCTCGAATATCTCAACGCGCCAGAAAGCTGGCAGTCAGCATGAAAAAAGCCATCTGTCGACATCAAAACCATCGTCTTCCTTCCAGCTTCGCCTTCCTTCGACTACTTTCCATCTCCTCCCTAGGTCCCTGAAAGTCCAAGCAAACATTTCCCAGCGCACTCTGACCAATGTGAAGGTCAACGTCAAAGACACCTCCCCAGTCGCCAATGCAAAAGGAAGCTCGCACATGCACGCCGCCCTTTCTCTTCTTGGCCTTTTCGCTCAAGAACGGCCCGATGAAATTGGTGATTCTCCAAGCGAGAGCATCGGGGGCATATTTCGTGACAAGCTCCTTTTCCCAACCTTCTGGCTCTTCATCGTTGATGCAGACCAGCGCAAGTGACTCCGAAGATCGTTGATTGTACCAGTATTGTATGACCTCAGCATCGTTTGACTGTCGACCCTCGAATGCCGTGGTCAACCAAAGGCTAAGGATGAGAGAGTCTAGGTTGTGGAAATGCTTCAAGGCCGAGAAGAGCGGCGTGGTAATTGGTGTGGGGTCAAACAGTAGAGCGGAGCCTTTATATCCACAGAACTTCAGCTCAGTGATGGTATCTGCGTGGAAGGAGGCCAGTGTGTGGAGCATGGGCGCCGTACCACTCCAGCCGAATTGCGGCTCAAACACGAAATTGTGAGGAGGGGGCTGCGGCGTCTTGACCCCCAGCTCAAACACAGCACGTCTGTCTTCTTCTTCCAGGTCGTCCACGTCTTCGTTCTCGACAGCATGCCGGGCGTCCTCGCCGCCAGCACCCCAAGTATTGCCAACGGTACTGCACACCCCAATCATCACAATCTTCTTCAGTGGACAGGCGTGCATAGCGCGAACGATTTCTCGTCTCTCGTCTCTCGGGAGGCCACCTTCGATCTTGATGCTCTCACATCTGGTCATCTTGGCCGCGAACTCGCTTATGAACCGCAACCGGCGTTTCCTGGCAGCTGCGAATGWCAACAATCTGCGTAAAGACTCGATTGAGCGTCACTCACCAATGTCTTTGCAGTGCAGAGCCTCGCTGCTCATTTCGCCAGTACCGCTGTATAGAGCGTCGACTCGCAGGTCCAACAACGTTCGTCCGAGATTCTCCACCACGGCTTGCACTCGCGTCGATACTTCTGCAGGAGGAGATACATGCGAGAAGAAATGATCCACAGGCCACGCCAAGCAAACGATACCAGGGTGCGCTTCGAGGAACTCCAGACCTGCCAGATCTTTGACCGCAGCGCCGGGAGTATTGGAGTCGTTCGGATCAGAGTTAGCAAAATTCGAACTTGAGCAATCTAACAGGTACAGTCCTCCTGGCATCCTAGTGTCGGATACAACACAGTTCCTCCACTGGAAGCTGCGAAGATGCGGAAAGCGGCAGCTGAACAGATCTTGATAAATCTTCGGCCAGGACCGAAGAGCTGTAGAGTCTACCGGACCGAATCTTGTAGGAGCACAGTAGACCCAGTCAAGATTTAAATGTGTAAGTGTTTCAGCAGTGCTTCTAAGCATTGAAATCGCTGCATCGGAGGATGGGATTCGTTCACGCTGCACGACTGGCAACCTAGATTCTTCAAGCGCAAGTGTGGCCGGATCGGGATCGAGCCAGTCGCCTCTATACGCCTGCATCGCACGGTTCCCGAATGTCATCTGCCCAAGACGCAAGACTTCTGGGGGTAATTCCTGCATATGAAAATGAGACTACTCGTGATTTATCAGTCTCAAGGGATGTCAAAGGCTCACCTGGTCCTCGGCGAGATTTTCATAAATACGCTGGTCATACTGGTGCGCAGTCTCATACATAATCTCAAGCGGAGAATCCTCGTATTCATCTGCAGATGGATCGAAGGAATTGAGTGTTCGCTCCTGTACAACAACGGCGAATTAGCCAATCTGACAGATTAGTGTAGCCTGCAGCAATGGAGCATGAACAAAATGTAAAGCCTCGTCGGCTGCTCTCGTGGTTGTTCGCTCACAGCGATTGTTGTCCTCGAAGGCTTTGCGGTACTCTCAACTGGCGGAGTTGMTTGTCGACTTGCCGAGAGACCTACTGAGAGGGCCGCTCTTGTACGAGGATGCTCATCGCGACAAGTCCGAAAGTACACGGCTCACCAGGCAGAATTATAGCTCGTACGAAGGTACGTATAACTTACCGACAGCCATGTAGCATGGTCCAAAGCAGCTCGAGACTCAACATCGACGTCTTGAACCGTGGTTTCGTACATGCCACCCAGACCATCCTGAAGGCGTTGAAGTCTGCCACCTCTCGAATACACCACGCCTTGCGGTAGAACATGGGAGCTTGCAGATCTCATGGGCAAGCGTCTAATACGTACCGACTCCAGACCAAGGAAGCTCAACTGGGGTGGTAATCCATAAGGGTTGCCATCGTCTAGGTTGATATTTAGACCCGCAGAGATTCTGCAGTTCTCCAGCCATAGCTTGCGCACCGGTATTACACCATCTACCTTTTGCCGGCGAACGTCGAAGAAGCTGCGGATAAGAGCATCTGTCAAGGTAGCATGTCCTAGAATTATGCGCAGAGTATGGACTTGGGTCATGTTTCTAGCTGCCAGCTGTACGAGTTTGATGGTTCGAGGGTCGGTAGACAGAGTTTGGCTGTTGAAAGGATTGCCTGGAAGCTCCCCGAATATTGCCGGAGGTGAAAGATGACATCTGTGTGTTAGGGTACGAACACAAGACGCCAACCAAGGATTTCGCACGAAGAGTAGCAGCTTCTGGATGATTCGGGTGTCGTCGTGCTCATCAAATTCGTCCCCATCGTGGTAAGTTCGACAATCCGTCAACTCCACATCACTCCATATTCGGGGCGTTGCAACCAGATAACCCCATCGGGAGACCACATTGAGTGAGGTTAGATCGCTTTGCTCCAATCGCTCGATCACATCTTGAAGAAGTTCTTCCGGCAGCTCCGATAGCACATGGCCTTCTGCCCGCATCTTGCGGCGGGGACGGGATGAATGAGCTGCAGGATGTTTTTTGCGTCCGTTGACTCTTTGAATGGGAATTTGATGCGCCAGTGACACTTGAGAGTCCGTGGAGTTGTGGTTTAGGTATAGAGACAGGTGCATTACTGATGGTGATGTTTTACCAGACAGCGTGATGTTGGTTCGTGGATCGCAAAAATGCGCTAGCGACAGCTCCGCATGTCGCTCCTCCGTGACGATGCCACAGTCCCTAGCAGATGTAACTACGGCAGTGTAAAGCTAGGTCTTGGAGCAGCTGATGTAGCCCAGGCAGTTGTATCCTGATGAGTAGTAGGGTAGCAGGCAGGCCAAAAAATGGTATATGTAATGATCCCACAGACGTTCCAAAGCGAATGACTCAAATCAGCACCGCTTGAAGAATGACATGGCCTACATGGTGTCAGACGTTTTGCCGAGTTGTACCATATTCTATAACGTTGTGCTCGATTGGTTGTTGAGGAGCACTTTAACAATGTCGCTACGCTACGCGACCAATATTCGTGATGGTGGGCGATTGGAAGGAGTCGAGGACCATTGGAAGACAGGAAGAGTCCTCCGCAAAACAGCATGGCGTTTTTAGTGTCGATCAGTTGTTCCCCTGATTCTTGGTGAAACCCGATTTCCGAGGCACCCTGGGACGGAAGAGATTGCCACGCGACGGACGTGTTGCTAACACACTAATGTCTCACACAAGTACGGTGAAATCCATGTGTCCACTATAGACGGGCGGACGGTAAGAGAGATGCAAAAAAACACCCGTTTTCCACTGCGGAGGACTCGACCACAAATCCGAGATCTTGGGTGCATATTCTAAGAAGAAGGTTCGTTCGTTCGACGCTGAGGCCAGCCTGCGGCCTGTGGATCCTTCCCTCGTCCCGGCCTCCTATGCAACCATTTATTCGAAGGCCCCAAAATTATTCCAAGATCCAACAGCAGCTGGCCCAGGTTCTTGTAGCAGGAGACGTCGACACCGTGGAGCAGGATTCCTCTCGAGAAACGGTCACACTGCTCGCTCGCGGGTGTACTGCAGGGCGCGTGTTTCTGCTCCCGTCCCCTTGGCAATTGGTGCTCCCTACGAACCTCTGCTCGCTCCGCGCCCACGCCCGGCCGACCCATTCCTCTCCAACCTCCCTCCCCGCCGACCACGGGAAGAGGCGCCAACGCGCACGCCGACGCGATCTGGCTTGCATGATTTGACGGAGATTTTGCGCCGCCACGCCAGAGCCTGTCGTTGCGCCGCGCTGAAGCAGTACAATCACACCATTCACGGATCCTTGACCTCAGCACTGCGAGACGAGGCGGAACAACATCTCGGCCATGTCCTTTCTCTTCAAGTCGTCGAAGAAGGGCACGCCAGGCCCCAATCCCGCGGTGCCTCAGAATCTACCGCAGCCGGGCAGAGACATGCGTTTGGCGGATGGAAGAGAGAGTATGATACCAGTGCCGCCCAATGGCTCAAAGCCAAGCTCGCCCACGCCGGGTCAGAGTATCAACAGCAGCATCAACTCAATCACCAGTCTCGAACATGCCCAGCCAATGTCGCGACCTGGCGATGACCGCATCGCGCTCGCACGCGACGACAGCGCGCGACCTCTTAGCCCGGAACAAAAGGCGCTGCGTGAAGGCAGCCGGGACACGAGTCGTGAAGTTGTATGTCCTCCCTCCGATGCGATGGAAAGCAATGAACTGACTAGCACCGCGTACAGCAGCAGAGAGCGCCCATGCATACACAGGGTCGACCCTCCGCCGACAGCTCGCCATATCCATGGTCGCAGCGTCGTCTGAACTTTACGGTTACGCACACAAATCCCTTTCCGCGATATGGCGCCGCAGTCAACGGGAGCGCCAGCAAAGACGGCTCGGTCTATCTGATGGGTGGTCTGATCAATGGTAGTACCGTGAAGGGAGATCTTTGGATGGTAGAGGCTGGCGTCGGCAATATGAGCTGCTTTCCCGTCGCGACTACAAGCGAAGGACCGGGTCCGAGAGTAGGACACGCCAGTCTGCTCGTGGGCAACGCCTTCATCGTGTTTGGAGGAGACACAAAGATGGATGAAGGTGACATGCTGGACGACACACTGTACCTCCTCAATACTTGTAGGTTGCCTTGCGGGCTACGTGAGCATACATTACAAGCACTAACAAAAGTACTCAGCCACAAAACAATGGTCAAGAGCATTGCCGGCAGGCCCACGACCACCTGGAAGATATGGCCACACCCTGAACATCCTGGGCAGCAAGATCTACATTTTCGGAGGCCAGGTGGAGGGCTACTTCTTCAATGACCTTGTGGCGTTTGATCTGAATGCATTGCAGCAGGCCACCAACCGCTGGGAAATCCTCAWTCAAAACACCATCGATGGAGGACCACCGCATGGCCAGATCCCGCCTGCTCGCACAAACCACACCATGATCACTTACGGAGATAGATTATACCTTTTCGGTGGCACGGATGGTGTACACTGGTTCAATGACGTCTGGTCGTACTCACCGCAGTCCAATTCCTGGACGCAACTCGAATGCATTGGTTATATCCCATCTCCGCGCGAGGGCCACGCTGCGGCACTCGTGGGAGATGTGATGTATGTCTTTGGTGGTCGCACAGAGGRGGGCAATGATCTTGGAGACCTTGCCGCTTTCCGCATTTCATCGCGAAGGTGGTATACATTCCAGAACATGGGTCCCAGTCCAAGCCCGCGATCTGGTCATAGCATGACCACTGTCGGCAAGCAAATCGTCGTCCTTGCGGGTGAGCCAAGCAGTGCGCCGAGAGATCCTGTCGAGCTTGGCATGGCCTATTTCCTGGACACGAGTAAGATTCGATATCCACCAGACTCTGCCACTACGACTCCGACCAACGAGCGCGTCCAGCCCCTCCGACGTCCCAGCGGTGATCGTTCGACTCTACCCATCGGAGCAAACCGCGGCCCGGTCGTCAAAGAGATTACAGATCGCGTGGAGGCACCCAGCGGCGAAAGGATCCGATCTCCGGACAGCGGTTCGCGCTTGCCGAGGGCGCAAGCGCAGCTGCCAGCACCGGTGGGGCCGCCGCCGCAGGCGCCAGTGCAGCCTCGACAGAGCAGCATCACGCTGGCTTCAAGACAACCCACGCGAGCTGCAGACCGAGCCTTGAGCCCCGAGAACGAGCGCCCTCGACGGTTTGATGCAACAAATGCACCGGCATCAGAGGGCGCCCGCTCTTCGCCTGTCGCAAAGGTCGGGACCTATCAAAGATCCTCATCGTACGACGCAGAGTCAGGTTACTATGGCAGCGAGCAGCAAACAGACCAGCAGATGCGTCAAAAGCCGGAGACGTACCAACCGACTCAGGATCAGACGAACGAGAGCGGCCCGAGAAGTGCATCCAGTGCATCGCGTGCGCGAGGCGTTGAACCCGGCTCCAGAAGCGGCTCAAGCGCCTCCCGAGTACACGGACTTCGAACAGATCTCGCAAACTTTGATGAGACACCAAGGCAGTCTGTCGACCAGTCAGATTCAGCCTCCAGGTTTGGAAAGATTTCCGAGGAACACGAGCGGCCACAGGACTCTGGCCTTGGCTCTTCGCCCGCACTTACACATCAAAACGACAGTATGGCCAGGGAGTTGGAACAAACCAAGCAGCGGAATGCCTGGTATGCCTCGGAGCTGGCGCTCGCACGAAAGTCCGGGTACCAATCTCGCTCGGCCGAGTCACCTGTGTTTGATGAGCGTGCCACCGAAGGTTTTAGTGATGCTGACAGACCTCTCATCGAGGCTCTACTGCAGATGCGGGCTGAGCTGGCTCGAGTCCAAGAGACCATTGACGAGCAGAGCAAGAGTGCAGCCGGTCGGATCGCTGAGGTGGRGAAGCAGCGAGATGCTGCGGTTAGTGAAGCAGTTTTCGCCAAGGCGAAACTTGCCGGCCAGAGCAGTCCACAGCTCGACGAAGGTGGCAAAGACGATCGCAACAGCGACCTCAATCGGCGGCTGGTCTCGTCTCTCGAAGCGCAAAGCGAGCTCAGCCGTCGTGTCGATGCACTGATCAAGGATATGGAATCTGAAAAGACTGCTCGTGAGCTAGCAGAGGAGACCGCCACGGCCGCGCAGAAGAGAGCAACAGAGCTAGACGTCTACCGACAGCAACACACTTCGGAGATTGAGAGCTTGAGGTCGGAGCTACACGAGGCTCAGAAGCAGTCGAGAGAAGCTGCCGCCAGCCACGCAGAGATCCTTGCTCAACACAAAATGCTAGCCGTGGACAAAACAGAGCTCAAGAAGAAACTTGAGCAGGCCACTGCTAATGATCAGAGCCACAGTTCAGTGCTGGCGTCCCTACGCGAGGCCGTCACGGCTTCAACAGACAAAGCTGAGCTTCTCGAGCGACAACTTGAGGAGGAGCGCAACAAACGTAATGAGGCTGAAAGTGCTCTACGGGAGCTCAGGTCTCAGCACGATGCGCGGAAGGACGAGCTTGAAAGTACAACCCAGCGCCTACGAGACGCGGAGGAACTCGCGCAAAAGCACGCCGAAGAAGCCCGAACTCATCGCTCCGTGGTGCTGGCTGGCTTCGGCAAGACTTCCGAGCGTGGTGGTGAAGTCGACGAAGCCAATGAGGAGCGCATTGCCATTCTACAGCAACAGGTGGAAGCTGCCAACGTCATGGTCCGTCAGAATCAGGCCGCGGCTGATGCTGCGTCGGAGAAGCTGCGTCGCGCTGAAGAAAGGATCGCCGGCCTGGAGACCTACCAGGAGCAAGCTAGTCGCGAAGGCCTGAATATTCGCAAACAACTGCAGATCGCCATGAAGGAGAATCAGGGCCTCAATAGCGAAAAGGCCGACATGGAGCAGAGGCTCGAAAGGCACATGTTAGAGACCAATGCGCTCTCGGTGCAACACGCATCCCTCAAAGACATTCTTGGTGAGCGAGGCCTTAGTGGGACAGACAAGCGCCGATCTCGCGCACTCGACTCCCCTGGCAGCAGMCGATTTAGTACCCCGGATTTGCATCGCGTCAGGGAGCTAGAGCAACAATTGGAGACTAGTCTCAAGGGCCAGGATGAGATCAGGACCCAATACGAGGAGATTTCTGAGCGGGGCGATAAGATGAAGCGCGAATACGAAGAGAAGCTGACCGCGCTGGATAACGACCATCAAGCTGCAGTCAAGTATCTCCGTGGTACGGAGAAGATGCTGTCAAAGATGAAGCAAGAGCTACAGCGCGTCAAGAATGACAATGGAGATCTCAAGAAGAAACTCGACAAAGCCATGGAAGACGCACAAAACAGTAAACGAACCACCCCGGATACTTCCTCTCGCGCATGGGAGGCGGAGAAGGAGTCTCTTCAGCGGGAGGTATCTGCTGTACAAGCGAGCATGCAACAATCTGTTTCGCAGCTGGAAGGCAAAATCACGACAATGCAGCAACAACTTCAGAACACGCAGTCGGATTTGCAAGAAGAGCGCAACCGTCACACAGCGGCGCAGACAGACCTTTCCAGCCTGCAGACGAACTTCACGCAGTCGCGCGCCGATATTGAGCGTCTCCAGAAAGAAAATGTACACCTGGAAGAGCGCGCCAGAGATGCGGAGAACAAGGTGCAACTTCTACTGGACCAGGTAGAGTCGAGCGTCGACAACTACCGCCGCCAATCCCGTGCTAGCAACACAGGAACCGGAACTCCAATCATGAACGGCGGACTGAACCCACGCGCACCAAGCATCAGCGAAGCCTCTGAAAGCTCTCCCATTCACGCGAAGACACACAGTCGCGATCCCTCCGGTACAGCATCCATTGATGGCGAGTCTGCTGCGGGCGATTCTCGCGACTCCATTGCCCTAGATTCGCTCGCCACGGAACTTGATGCGCTTCGCTCCCATTGGGAGACCACAAACAAGAACTATCGTTTAAGCGATCGCTTTGACTTTGAGTCCACCCCTGCATCCGCCTCTACTATCCCAGCCGGTTCGGGACTCTCAGACTGGCGGAGAGGACTTGAGCTCGACGATGACGACGACCAGACACGACCCTCGACGGCCAATGGCCCGACGAAACCACAGCCGGTTAGTGGCCACCAACGAGCCCCCAGCGATGGCACTCCCACCCCCACTGGCACGAGCCACGCAGCGCCGACCTCGAGTGGAGCTTAATGATTGCGATTATCTGTTTTTGTTGTTTGATTGACATATTACGCTACGAGGGAGAGGATCCGGATAGGACGATTTTGACACTCGCCCCACACGTGTCCAGACCCTCGCGATTCCTCGACTGTGGACCACTGCTACGACACTGAAGTGAAATGGAGGACTGCGGGTTCGGCCTGAACTAAGAACGGAATGGAATGAGTGATGCCGGCGCGAACGGAGTTCGTATCATGAGGAGGACATCTATGGGAGGTTTTTTTTCTTGTTCCTTTTTCGCGATATTGTTCAGATTCATACGCATGCGTTCACGAATGCATTGAGGATGGATTGYTGTACTGTTGTAGATATATACCCCACTGCTGTTCTTGCTTGCCGAGGACAGAAGGCTGCGCGAGAAGAGGGTTTGTTTTGTACAGTATCTCACCACTATGGAGAACCAATCCAGATTTTATCTTTCAGCATCGCTTTCCTATGCATGGCAATGTCCAAGGGTGTTCCCTCGGCATTCAGTAGGGGTTGTTGTTGCTTGGATCAGTGATTGGGATGCTCACCGCATGGGTGATGTTGAGGGATCGACAACCGTAATTAGAGTTAGACTAGCCAGGCCACATGAGCTTCACCTATATGCACTAATCCAACTCTCTGCACATGCATATGCACAAACACAAGTCACCCTGCGCATCGAGACTGTTGACACCCGCACCCATGCGCCAATCTATCTGCGACCACGAAGCATGACGCGCGCGTCGACCAACGGCATGTCGCCCCAAGAGGTGGAAGAGTTTCGTTCCAAGAGTCCGGGAGAACGGCTCGCCGCGGTGAATGCTGCCTTGCGACCGTCGCACATCGACTTTACGAACTCATATCCTTACCGGCCTTCGACTGCAAAGTCGTCGTCGCCGTCGAAGCAGAATGGCCACCGTAGCGAGGAGAGCGATTCCGACGAGGAGGAGGCAGGACTGCAAATGGCAACTACAAATGGACGTGGCCCAAACAGAGGTAAGCCTGTTCTCTCGCGGGCCACGAGCGAGTTTGGGGGGAGCCGGCAGCAGCAGCAAGGTGTCAGTGCAAGTGGAAGTTGGGGTGAGGGACGTACGGGCAGTGAGGGACACCGACGGCGCAACGGCGTGGGCGAGGCCAACATGCGACATGGCTGGGAAGCGCAGCTGCTCAATGAGGAGGTCACACGCAATCTCAGCGAAAACTTCTTCATGTACTACGAGGACAAGCGACACGACTCTGCAGGAAATCTTCCGGAACCCGGGGACGAGACGGAGGTGCTGCAAGAATGGCGAATGAAGGATCGCCTTAAGACTGTCTCGGCGTTACTCGCCGTCTGCTTGAACGTTGGCGTTGATCCTCCGGATGTTATCAAGACCAACCCTTGTGCCCGACTGGAGTGCTGGATCGACCCAGTACCGCCGGAGAGCACCAATCAAAACTCCAACAACACCAATGCACAGATTGGCAAGAACTTACAATCACAATACGAGAACCTTTCCCTACGTACAAGGTACAAGGTGATTCTGGATCCCACCATTGAGGAATTGAAGAAGTACACAATCCAGCTCAGACGGACTGCCCATGCGGAACGCCTTCTCTTCCATTACAACGGACACGGCGTACCCAAGCCTACCTCCAGCGGAGAGGTATGGTGCTTCAATCGCAGTTATACGCAGTACATCCCGATCAGTCTCTTTGACATTCAGGAGTGGGTCGGCGCTCCAGGACTTTGGGTTTGGGATTGTGGAGGTGCTGGTGGCATCATTCAGGGCTTTCTCGAGGCCGCGCAGAAGCACAATTCGAACCAGGAAGATGCTTTGGCGCGAGATCCGAACCGATCGCAGCAACAACCGGCTATAAAATGGATGGACTGCATTCATCTGGCAGCCTGCAGGCACGACCAGGTCTTGCCGACAAATCCCGACCTTCCAGCTGATCTTTTCACGGCGTGCCTGACCACGCCGATAACTATGGCTGTTCGCTTTTTCATTCTCCAAAATCCACTGACGTCCACGTCCGGGGTGAGCCTTGCGCAAGCAAGAAACATCCCTGGGAAGGTCAGCGAGCGCAGAACGCCACTTGGGGAGCTTAATTGGATCTTCACGGCCATTACTGACACCATTGCGTGGAACATGCTCCCCAAACAACTGTTCAAAAAGCTTTTCAGACAAGACCTGATGGTAGCGGCGCTGTTTCGCAATTTTCTGCTTGCGCAAAGGGTCATGCGAATGTACCATTGCAATCCAGTGTCCTACCCAAGCATCACGGAAACCTTTGATCATCCTCTCTGGAAGAGCTGGGATTTGGCGGTGGAAATGATACTAGCGCAGCTTCCCAAGCTAATTGAGCAGACAAAAGCGAACGAAGCTGCAGCGGAAAACGTTCAGAACGGCCAGCCACAACCCATTGCCGAGCTCGAATACCAGCACTCTGACTTCTTCGCTGATCAGCTTTCGGCCTTTGAAGTGTATCTGAGCTCCGCACCCAGTAATCCTGGTGCAGTCGATTACGCCAAGCCACCTGAGCAACTGCCGATAGTATTGCAGGTTCTGCTGTCCCAGGTCCACCGACTGCGTGCTCTGTGTTCACTCTCCAAGTTTCTGGATCTTGGGCCGTGGGCCGTGAGCCTTGCCCTTAACATTGGCATATTCCCATATGTCCTGAAGCTGCTGCAATCCCAAGCCCAAGAACTGAAAGGTCCCATGGTCTTCATCTGGACGCGCATCTTAGCGGTGGACTCTAGCTGCCAGAACGACCTTCTGAAGGACCACGGCTATAACTACTTCACCGGCGTTCTCGTTTCTGGCACTGGGATCCCACTGGGTAGCATGGCTGAACATCGCGCCATGTGCGCTTTCGTCATCGCCGTGTTTTGTAAAGACATGAAACCGGCGAAGCTGGCCATTCTGGAGAGCAGCCCTGAAGTCATCGAGAACTGCCTTAGCCATCTCCACGATATGGACAACCCACTGTTGAGGCAGTTCAGCTTACTCTGCTTGAGCCACTTGGTCCGGGATTGTGGTGTTCTCAAGGAAGTGTTCGTTGCGCAGCATGCTCCGACACGAATCGTTGATCGAAGTCACGACCCGGTCCCAGAAGTACGGGTTGCTTGCCTACATGCATTGACTAGCTTCATCTCTGCGCCTGATTCAGAAGCGTTTGTTCACACCGCCGCGCAAGGTAACCTCAGGCGGCAGGAAGAGCACCTCCTCGCAGTTATTCAGACCATGGGTGTCGACGGATCTAGTCTCGTGCGCAAGGAGCTAACAATTTTGTACTCTGAATTCGTTCTCAAGTACATGCCTCGTTTCCTCTGCGCGGCCTGGGAGCAGCTCTTGGAGGAGCAGGACAAGAAACGGGGAAACGAACAGAATGCCGACGACTTTGTTGCCATGCAATCCAGTGGGACAAACGACCTTCAGACCATCAATGGTACTCGCTCAACACACCACCGCAGTGTTTCTGCTTCAGTCTCGCAGGCCTCCATGCCAAAGAGTAGACCGGAGGTATCAAGAGGGACTGTATATCGCGCTGTGTGGCGACAGTTGATGATTCTCTCTGCCGACCCACACCCAGAGATAGCACGCAACGCCGGGATCATTGTCGACAATGTCCTCAACAACTTGCTCGAATCTCCTTTGGGCCCACAAGCAGAGGTTGTCCTGGACACTCTGTCGACGCAAATCCGTGTCGATGTTACTACATCAAACAACACCCCCGCCGCGGAGCATCTCACCCGCCAAAAGTCCCGTGACACCATTCCGGAGACTCCACCAAGTCCTGCGCCGTCATCTACGTCAAGACCAGACGGATACTTTGCACTCTCCCGCACCGCAAGTGTCGCTGCAGCGATGAAGAATATGCTGTGGGGTGGCGGCAAGGCACCCGCTGAGCCTCCATCTCCCGGATCACCCACACATACGCGCAGGGGCTCGTTGTACAGTAACTCAACAAACTACCGCTCACGGCCGCTGACACCCTACGATGCGGCACTTCTTCCGCCAGATGCTCTTGACAGCATCTCGAATCGCCCTCTCCACCAGGAGAAAGCGCCAGTCCCGCCTACTCCATTTTTCAAGGAGCGTGACCGAAGGACTCTACCACGACTGCCTCTCAAATCAGAATTCTTTGAGTGGGCCGCCTCTCATTTCCGTGAGCCGCAACTGCGCCCGTCTGAGGCAGATGAGCCAGGCTCGAAGGATTACAATGAGAGGCTGTGGCGTCGTAATCGCAATGACAAGATCATAGCATCCACTCAGCCTCTCAAAGAAGCTGCCGGAAGTCAGCCATGGGACAAGCCTTGCGGATACTTCGGCATTGGCGCAGCTCCCGTGAAGATGGTGTTTCACCAATTCGAAAACCACCTTGTTACGAGTGATGACCGAGACAGTATCGCCGTTTGGGACTGGGCGAAGGTCAAACAGACTTGTCGTTTCAGCAATAACAATCCATATGGTAGCAGAGTGACCGAGGTGAAGTTCATCAACGAAGACGATATTGCCATGCTCATGGTCGGCTCGAGTGATGGTGTCATCAAGATCTACAGAAATTACAACGATCAGGACAAGGTYCAGCAAGTCGCAAGCTTCCGCGCGTTGTCGGACCTCGTTCCTAGCGATAAAGGAGGCTCAGGTCTCGTGTTCGATTGGCAACAAGGTCAAGGCAAAGCACTAGTCGCAGGAGACGATCGTGTCGTCCGAGTGTGGCAAGTCGGTACCGAGATGTCCACCCGCGATATCAATACACGATCTAGCGCGTGCATCACATCTCTCACATCTGACCAGGTCGAAGGCAATGTCTTTGTCGCAGGCTTCGGCACTGGTTCCGTCAAGGCGTACGACCAGCGCTGTGATGATAATTCCTGCATGATCAAAGCTTGGAACGAGCACAAGTCCTGGGTTGTCGGCGTCCATCTTCAGCGCGGTGGTTTGCGGGAGCTGATCTCTGCGGAGAGCAATGGATGTGTTCGTCTATGGGATCTTCGCTTCTCTGGCGCCGTCGCTTCCCTCGATCCTCCTGGCAAGCGCGAGACTAGAAGTCTTCGTACTCTGAGCGTTCACGAGCATGCGCCGGTATTTGCCACTGGAGGCAAAGATCACACGATCCGAACATACAACACCCAGCTACAGCCTCTCTCCACATTTGAGCCATACATGAGTTACCTGCGGACGGGTCTTACCGGCGCAACCAGGAATGCACCCATCACCGCCACGGCATTTCATCCCCATCGTATGATGCTGGCTTGTGGCGCTGTCAACGATGGGCATGTCAATTTGTTCAAGTGCGACGTCGAGGCGGAGGGTAAGCCGATTGTGGAAGAATGGGGGGTTTAAAGAGAAGTCTGATGCTTTCTGTGGGGTGTGAATATTGTCGATTTATTAGCAAGGCGTTGGTGGTGTACGGTAGGAGGGCATTTCTGCCCTCGTAATGGTGACGGTCGCTTTTACTCTCGGGTGATGGATGGGTGCATTGCATTATAAGGAGCATTCGGTGCATGACATTGGCGTTTGGGAGAGGATATATCTTTCGTGTCGCTGCGCATAGCCAGCCGATAGCATCGTTCATATTGGGGGGTACGTACAATCTATCGTTAACGTAACCTTCAGTCTCTTGCACAACACAATTAATTACCTGGAAACCACCCGACTGCTCGTTTCGCTGGGGTCCGCAATGCGTGGATGTCGGGCGGCTATGAGCGGGTTAAGCCAGCTTGAGCTTCTGATTGGTGCGTCACGGTTCGCGCCTCGCGTCTCATCTTAGACCCCAATGCTTGATCTTTCTTCTTTGTCCTCTACCAACAATAGCACCAGCGGTTGAGCTGGGGTAGGCCGTTGCCATCTGTTTGTACTCACTCGTAGAGTTGGCAGCGTCACATGAGCTCTGYACTCCATACAGCCGTTGATTTCCGCTACCGTTCTGTTGATGCTCACGTGCGTCGGCTTAAGCAAGAGACCACATTTGATAATTACTACCGTACTTCCAACAGTGCTGCGGTAAGACCGACTCTTCTTTCATCTCTTATACAACAATGTTCCTCTCAAGCGCTCTCGCTGGTTCGCCTGTTGGCTTGCTKAGTCTATCTCTGGGAGGTCTAGCCATCTACGCTCTCGGCGTGATCGTCTATCGACTTTACTTCCACCCATTGGCAAAGTATCCGGGGCCTTTGGTTGCCAAGCTCACAGATTTGTACTCGACGTACCACGCTCTGCGTGGGGACCGACACTTGGAGTTCTGGCGCTGTCACGAAAAGTATGGCAATGTCGTGCGATTCGGACCCAACAGCCTGTCGTTCAACAGCAACACCGCGCTGAAGGACATCTATGGCTTCAAATCGAATGCTAGGAAAGCAGACTTCTACAAAGCTTTCTGGGCTAGCAAAGACTCTGCAAGTACTCACAGCTCAATCGATAAATCCATACATGCGCGGAAGAGACGAGTTTTGAGCCATGCATTTTCAGATGCTGCCATCAAGTACGGACATGATCTCCCCAAGATATCGTGCATACACTGACGTTTTGATCAAGATCCTACGAGAATCATATCCTCGCACATATTCGGCAATTTTGTCAGAACCTTGCTGGACTTACCAGCTTTGCCGACTCACAAACCCCAGAGAAGAAGGGATACGGTCAGGCGATTGACGTTGCGGACCAGGCCAACTACCTCACGTTTGATGTACGTCCACACTCAAGCTCGCCATTTCGTTGAGATGCTGACAAGYGATTCCAGATCATGGGTGATCTTTGCTTTGGAAAGGCGTTCGGTATGCTCGAAAGACCAGACAACCGGTTTGCCATTGATCTAATCGGCAACGCTGCTCATCGTCACTTGATTTGCGGCACATATTTACCAATCCATGACTACCACCTTGACAAGCTCTTCTTCCGCAAGATCGCGGCTGGTCGAGCACGCTACATGCAGTATTCCAAGGGACAAGCTGCGGAACGCATGAAGATGGGCATGGATGTTGACCGGAAAGACTTCTTCTACCACCTTCTCAAAGCGAAAGACCCGGAAACTGGAGCTGGGTTCACGACTCCCGAACTTTGGGGCGAGAGTAATCTATTGATCATCGCCGGCTCGGATACGACTTCCACAGCGCTGGCTGCCACCATCTTCTACTTGGTACACCACCCTGAAGCATTAAGAAAAGTCACGCAGGAGGTTCGTTCGGCCTTTGAGGATGTTGAGGATATCAGAATCGGTGCCACGCTTTCCAGCTTGCACTACGTCCGGGCTTGCGTTGATGAAGCCATGAGAATGTCGCCTTCAGTCGGCGGTATCCTACCTAGGGAGGTCCTTGCAGGCGGCATGGATATCGACGGCTTGCAGATCCCCGCTGGAACTGTTGTTGGTGTTCCTCACTACACATTACAGCACAACAGCGCATATTACCCAGCGCCGTTCGAGTACAAGCCCGAAAGGTGGATGGCCGGTTCAAGCAACGATGTCACTGCCGACACTGTTGCTGTGACGCAATCCGCGTTCTGTCCCTTCAGTGTGGGTCCTCGCGGGTGCATCGGCAAGTCCATGGCGTATGCTGAGATGACCACAACCTTGGCACGGATCGTGCACATGTACGATATGCGGCTGGCACCGGGCAGTACCGCTGGCGAAGGAAAGGCGAGCTTTGAATACGGCCGTCACAGATCGCAGGAGTATCAGCTAAAGGATTGTTTTACGAGCATGAAGGAAGGCCCGCTGGTTCAGTTCCGAGCGAGGTCATGATGAGATTCCACGGTGATCAATAGCAACCTGAAGTCAATCTCGACCTCTGCAATACTGTCATTGTCACGCCGTGTGTTGGAGACGTAAGTTTGTCCGATGCCAGAGAACGGTCATGTGATGGTGGGAAAGGCTGCGGCAGTGGTGTTTTTGACACCGTAGACGTCGCTCGTGGTAGTGAATGACGATGTGCACCCTCAGATGCGATGGTCGTTGGTCGACGCGCCCTTTTTTAAGTCTGCCACAGATCAGTGCCCCTATCTCAAAGGCGACATCACTATAGCTTTCATGAGACAGAATTCCACAGACCATCGTCTCCTTACAAAATCAGCGTAAAGTAGACGACTATAGCGGTCGTCCTGTCCGTTTCGTCGCCCGGGCTCGCTACCCCAACCCTAACCCTTACCGTCAGCCCTTCAGCACGTCAGCACAAATCTCCGAGAGAATCCGCAACTCTCTTTTCGACATCTTCCACTCTCTGCGCTGTTGATGCTCAGTCCAAATCCTGAGTGCTCTTCTCGATGACACCAGACAGGCCGCTTTCGCTGGAATGGTATACATACACGAGCTCGTTAGCGGGAATGTGAAGATAGTAAGACCCCAAGGGGACGCGACGCGACGCGACCAAGAACAATGACCCGCCCCATTGCACTCGGACGGATTAGCAACTCTCTTCATGAGGCCAAGCCTTCTTCATGATGGTAAACCGCGGAGGAAGCGGCGTCAACACCGGTCGGTAGCAAACGTCCGCTCACCGAAGCCTTAGAAGTATAAGCCAGGACAGATGTAAGAATCCTGCATACATGGCATTATTTCCACCCATCCATCATGACTACGAAGTTCGAACAGCCACAACAGGGTAAGCTCATGTCAGCCGAGACATCGTTTGCGCAAAGCAGTGGCTGTAACTACAAGCTTTCTGCCGAAGGCTTGCATGGTGCCCATACCTTCTCAAACTTGCTCATCTATCCTTAACTTATATGTAGGGAGAGTCGAAGTCCGAACCTCACATTTCCATTTCTTGCAGTATGAAACGCTCGGATGAACGACATTCCCACGAGGAACCTGGCTAGTCGCGCCGAGTAGGTTCCACTCGAGCAATTGCGGTCCGGCGTAATGTCAAACCAGAGAGCATGCTGGATACCTGGACCTCGTGTCAAACCGAGCGAGACACACGACGGAAAGGGGCACTGCATAGCGCATGTCATGTTTGGGCACAGAACACGGTTCCCACTTTCGGTGAACACAAAGCAAAGGAAACCTGTTCGCTACCTATGCACGATCGACATCCAAGCCGGCTCTCAAACCAGGCCTGTTAAGCAGTAGATGGAACTGTACTGGACTGTCGTGGAATATGGCGGAACCAGTGGCAATTGATGAAATAATGCAGTGTCTTGCATGCCACCACATGACGACACAACAGCTCTGGAAGCTTTGCGAAACTACTGCGACCAGATACCTGCTACAGTCCAATAGCACAACTCTGTAAAGACCGTTCACTAGAGGCATTCTGCGGGTTCCTCGTCGGACCGGACACGGATATGTGGACAAGAACACCGGCGAGTTGTATCCGCGTCTTGCTTATCTTGGCTCCTGCTTGTTCGAGCTTCGATTCCGGGCTCATGCGCAAAAGAGTCAAGATGAGATACGGCAGCATTCAGTGTAACACCGGGGCACAAACTACTGGTTGGGTTCCTTATCTCCTCCCCACACGACGCCAAGAGAGCACGGGTCTGCTGTCCCTGTCGCTCATTTGTCCCAGTGCCTCTCGAGACACCCAACGACTCGCTCAGTCACCCTAAGGTCCACATTTCTTTCAAATACGCCTTATCCGAGGTTCCTGTATTTTCCACAGCTTGCTACTCGGGGCGGCTTCACAGAGCATGGTTTCTTGGCTGCAGCTTTCCGCCAAGCGAGATCGCCGCCGCTATCAAATCACGCAACAGCTTCAAGGCAACCCCAAGAATTCGCCCAGCCCACTGGTGCAGGCTAGCGAGCACGAATGGACACGACTTGAAGGTTGGCTGTCTGTGTTAGGAAGGTCTCATCGCGTCGTGGCTGCCACCAGAGGACCGCTGCTCATCAGTGGGGGCCATCACACTGCTACGAGTCTCGTATTATGTCCGGCGTTACTTGTTATAAGATGGTAGGTTATCCCCACAGAGTGTAGGTTGGAAAGTAGCTTTTCGATCGCATTCAATCTCTGGTGATAGTCGCAAAAATGAAGTTTTCCGCTATCACGCTTTTGCCGGCGCTGGCTTCGGCCGCATACTTTGCTGAAGAAGAGTATCGATCTGGAGCTGTTATGCAAAGCATGATGGAGCGCAAGGAGGTGAGTTGATACTTTGTCACATGTGTTCAAACAAAGTACTGACATATCATGAACCAGGCGTCGTGGGCCTCTCAGCGAGCTGCCGGCAAGTTCATCAGCAAGAAGTGGAGCGGATTCCTTCCAAAGAAGGTCAGCTGCAAGAACGGACTCGCGGTTGCCAAGAAAGGAGACCCGCTGCAGACCTTCAAATGTAACGGCATCGACATGTACGACTTCAAGTCTCATGAAGAGCTTGGCAGCCCAACCGGAGAGGGCTCCGGCTCATGGGGTTGGCAATACGGCGGACGCGAGTTCATAGCTCTCGGACAATCAGACGGTACCGCCTTCGCGGAGGTCACCAAGCTCGGCAAGCTCGTCTACCTCGGACGACTCCCCCAGCAATCAACACCCGTCATCTGGCGAGAGATCAAAGTCAACGGCAACTATCTCGTTGTTGGGAGCGAAGCGGTCGACCACGGTATTCAAATTTTCGATATGCGAAAGTTGTTGACTGTCAGCCCACTCCGGCCAAAGACTTTCTCGACCACGACCGACCTTACCGGACTATTCACTGACCTCCCTGTCGGACGCTCGCACAATGTTGTCGTCAACGAGGAGTTAGGCTATGCCGTTGCAGTGGGCGCCGCCCCTCGAAACTCCTCCTGTGCTGGTGGACTCATCTTCATCGACATGAATGACCCTACCAAACCAACATCGCCTGGATGTGCGCCGCAGGACGGCTATGTCCACGATGCGCAATGCTTGGTTTACCGAGGACCCGACAAAAAGTACTACGGACGTGACATCTGCTATGGATACAACGAAGACACCCTCACCATTTATGATGTGACGAACAAGACCGGCCCACAGGCAGCAAAGATCATTTCCCGCACTCCCTACGTCGGTGCAACATATACCCACCAAGGCTGGGTCAACAACCCTCAATGGCAGACCCGTTTGATCATGGATGACGAGATTGATGAGGAGGAAATGGCTGGTCCTGCCGCTGACCAGTTCCCTGTCAGCTACATCTGGGACATTGAGTCGTTGGAGAACCCAATCAACACTGGATTCTACAAGACCTCTGTTCGCGGCATCGACCACAACCAGGTATGCCAGCTCCCATGCAACAAGGCCCGCAGCATAATACGAAAGTATCTTATGCCACGCAAGCTTCATTCCATCTTCATCTTGTCTCAAACATCGCTAACGCTTTTACCTGCAGTACATTTACGACGGACTCGCTTACCAATCAAACTACGGTGCCGGACTACGTATTCTTGACGTCAGCAGCCTCGACGAGGATCCCACCGGAAAGTCCGTGGAGGAAGTTGCCTTCTTCGACATTTATCCCGAGGACGATAACCTTCCCGGAGGCGGTATTGTCGACTATGTTGGTACTTGGTCCCACTACACTTTCCCATCAGGCTGGATTGTTGTAAACACCATTGAGCGTGGAGCGTTCCTTGTGCGCATGAGCAAGTTTAAGCTGAGAGGCTTTGGAAAGCGTCACGTTAACCGCGCTTAGAGATGAAACTATGTAGTGACGAATAATTGAAGCGATTTGTAGAAATGACTGCAATGTTCCACAACAGATAAACTTGGGACCAAGTTCGACTGAAGTGAGATGAAGTTATTCTGACAGGATTACGGACCCCTGTCCTACTTGCTATGTCAATGTCGACTTGCTGGTACTTGTTTGCCAGTAAGAACATCGATCGCATCGATTGCATCAGCGCGAACCTTCCCCTCACATCGTACCGAAAGCCTCATACTTTCTCCTGACCTCTCTCCTCAACATACTCAGAATCCTCCCCCTGCAACTTCCTCGCATTCCTCTCCCCACGCTCCAAAGCAAGAGCATGTTGAGTCTGAACCTTGGTCGTCCAAGGCCTCGTTCCAATCCCCGGAATACCCCGAGGATCCTCAAACATGAGCTCAATTTCCTCGAGCGTCTTACCAGCGGTTTCTGGGAAGAGCAACGCCGCGTGGATGAACATGGCCAAGTTGAAAACTCCAAAGATCAGGTAGACTTGCCAGCGGATGTTGACGAAAGCTTCGGGGACAAATGCTCCCAAGGCTGTGTTGAAGGCCCAGTTTGCGCTTGTTGCGAGTGCGACGGCTTTACCGCGGACACGGAGGGGGTAGAGTTCAGGGGGGTATACTGTAGGAGTAAGAGGGTTAGTAAAGTTTTCGACATATAGTCAGTCGCTGAAACGCAGAGATGTGCTCATGCAATCGCGACCCATTATTCTGTTGTATAACTCACCCCAGCTCGTCGGACCCCATGTACATGCAAAGCTAGCGACGAACAGATATGTCGAAGCGATCAAGCCCTTTGCAGGTGCTCCAGAAACTTGCATGGAAGCGGCTGCGATTCCGTTGACACCGCCAGGGACTACTTCTCCATACGTGGCCAAGATCCCAGCATTAGTAAACATCCAGATCATCATCAAAGCTGCCCCGACCAGCATCGTTGGACGACGACCCCAGCGATCCAGGTAGATTAGCGCTGGAATCGTCATCAGGACATTGATGATGTATTGAATTGAGCTGGCGAGAAGGTTCGCATTGCCCTCGTAGCCTGCCATTGCGAATACGTAGGTGATGTAGTACATCATGACATTCATGCCGGTGAGCTGGGACCAGATCTGTGTGAAGATACCGATGTGCGTGCCTGTGGAAGGAAGGGGGTCAATCTATCAGTGACTTGAGAAAAGGTGAGTGTAATGACTCACGATTGAATAGCTTCGGCGTGAACAGTTCCCAGTAAGTAACATCCGAGTTCCTCGCTTCGAACTCACACATGTCGCGGATTTCAGCGAGCTCCTGGGATACAAGCGGGCTGTTGGGATCTCCCTTTCCGTGCACTAGAATGAGGACTCCATGACATTCCTCCCATCGGTCTTTCCTCGCAAGCCTGTGTTGTCGACGCGTCAGATGTGGTAGCGAGACAGGGTTCTGTTGATGCTTACTTACCATCGAGGAGACTCGGGCAGGAGGAACATGGCGAAGAACAGTAAGACTGCTGGTAACATCTGCAAACCCCAAGGAAGGCGGAAAGTGGTGGTGCTGTAATCCTGCGAGGTGGTTCCTCCAATAAAGGATGCACCATAGGAGATGTAGTACAAGATCAAGATACCCCAAGTAATGGCCCACTGTTGAAAAGCAACCAGTCTGCCTCGTTTGGAAGGGGGAGCGATTTCAGATACGTAGACGGGGACTTGAGCCGATTCGATGCCGACGCAGAAGCCGTTGATGATGCGACCAACGACGAGCATTGGAATGTTTTGAGAAGCGCAAATGATGGCCGAACCAATACACCAGATAATGCATCCAATCATTATGGACTTTTTGCGACCTAGGATATCGCTCAGGTAGCCAGAGATGAGAGCTCCGAGCCATGAGCCAGCGGGCATCGCTGCTGAGATTCCGCCTTGCGTGGAAGCGGTAGGACCGGAGCAGTTGAGATCATCGGAGTAGGGTGGACCCAGGGGCCCTTGATTGAAATAACATAGGTAGGATGGCGTGGAGATGATTGCGGACATGGAGCTGATATCGAAGCCTGCTTGATGGTGAGATGACGGTATAGGGGAGGGAGTATTATCTTCTAGACTCACCAAAGAGCCCGCCTCCAATCACAGCCACGGCTGTTATGGCATAGATATTGCCCACCTTGTACATGGTGATGGATGTAATCAATCACAATCGATGAAGCGGTGCAGCAGTCAGCACGTGCAGAGAAATCTGACAGCCTGGGGCTTTGCGGGGACACATATATGCCATCCTAGCTTCCACATGCCGACCTTGTAGCACGATCATCGTGGGGTTGGAGGCCAGAAGAGGTAAAACGGCAAGAGCTCTCCACACCGGGAGGATGATGCCACTGACATTGTGCCAAGTCTTGGGTAAGCTTGGCTTCTTGCCATGTTTCAGGTCATYGTAGGTTACTAGAGGCGATACCTCGAGGATGTCAGATGGTCGATGGCTGGGTGAAATCGCCTATTGGACTGTTGGATATCCTGGTAGACGTGCCCAGAAACCAACCGACATGCGTTCGGGAACCGTTGCTTTTGCGATCGTTCCTCCACATGGCCTCCTTTATGTGAGGCCTATGATTCCTTGACACCAAATCTCCATTGACCACGTGCTACTTACATACAGTCTCGTGGTGAATACGGCACATCGGCTCCATGACGTGTTTGCCAGTCTCATGGGTACGAAATGGCAGATTTGAGACTGGATCTGAGCGAGCGTAGGTGGTGACCCCACACATCATATTGAACGTAGAGGTCATAAACAGTGCAAGACCAGGACATCCTTTGCTCCTTCGATAAAATGCGTAAACACTTGACGCTGCAGCAGTTGCACCTTGCCAATGTCCGCGAAGTATAGTAGTAGTTGCATTCTCTCATGTCTCATCTTTCATTGTGTTCATATATAGCCATCGTACTGTTAACAAGGACCAAGAGATAGGTAGGATTGAAGAGCATGTTGGACTGAGAAGTGTGAGTGAGCGTTGTGTCCAAGATGCAATCGCAATCGAGGTCTTGGCAAGCGGTATGCGGAGTATTGTCGGGTATTTGGTGACAGCCGAAAGCCGGCCGGCAATGGAGTCAACAAACCTTCTTTCGCGGTTCTCCTTTACTTCTACAACACTTTAGACAAGCTCTGCAAGTTCACCATTGCTATGCCATCTCATCATTATCAGGCTTGTCATTGATTTCAAGTGGGGCTCCCGATGAAGCACGCATGCAGAATCTGCAAGTTGTCCAACACAAAGGCTACCGTCCTGCAGTTGCGAATTGAAATGTCAAAAGGCCGGCGTCAGTCTCAGCCCACCATTAGATCGATGGAGGGAAAGGGGTGTCATTCCTGAGGAAGAAGGCAGTGTCTGTTTGTGGGTGTTCCTTCTTCACTGCTCCGCCCGGACACAGCCTTAAGCCGCCCCACACGAACGAATCCTTCAGGATTCGGTCCATTTTTCAACGGACGACAGAAGGTTGACCACAGATAATTGGCGCATATCATGGTCAGCAGATATGACTACACCGCCTTGCGGCCTCAATCTCGCGTCAGGGATGAGGCCCCATCATGCTCTACGAGAAGAAGGCACTAATCACATGCATGCAGAGCCACGATCAGCCTCAGTGCTCAAATTCGTAGCAATTGATATAAATAAGAGCCAGCAACAACTATATTCTCAGGTAATCAAAACATACTATCGAGCGAACATCGGTACCAACAACATCTATCCCACGTTGACGCACCGTACGAAAACATCTTCAAGCACGTTCCTTGAGCAGAATCCACATCAAGTTACACTTTCACACACAACGCAGCAGAGTCGACTACTCAAACAACAATGGGTTGCGGTATGAGTACGCCCGCTGGTAGGCGAGCTGGCCATTCCACAAGCTACCACCAGATGCGTAGCTCACGAGGAGGGCATGGCGGAGGCGGAGGACATGTTGGATTTAGTGCAGGAGGCGGATTTTTTGGAGGAGGCGGAGGAGGTTGTGATGGTGGAGGCGGAGGTGGAGGAGGAGATGGCGGCGGAGGTGGAGGTGGAGGCGGAGGTTGTTGAGGTGTACATCGACAACGCTTCCGCTTTTCCGTGGACTGTACAAACAATGGTACGTTGAAGCAGAAGAATCTCATACTTAATAGACAGCGAACTAACACTCAGAGGTGATAGAGGAACAAATTGCCTGATGAAGCACACTCGATCACAGATGTATGAAAGCAAGCCACTTGTGTTGTCACTTGAACCTTTTCAAGTCATTCACCTACCATTTGCAATATCACAGGACCTGGTAGCAGTATATCGGCAGTCAAATAGCCTAAACGGGCTTACACCCAGACATTCTCAAGCCACCAAGTCTTCAACCTCCTCCTAGCTCCACTTCTCTCTGCCCGATTTTGCCGACGCTCCGCCGTTGATACGGTGGCCTATCACACTAGGCGCTGGTTACTACATGTGGATGTAACGCTACCTAAAGAGATGGCGGATTCATATCTAATAGTGCCCTTTATGGAAAATCAAATCATCCCACTCTCAATCATCTTACACGATGATCTCCTCACTAGGAGTCACCCTACTGCTAACATGTGCTACTTTTACAGCGCAATGTCTTGGAATCACCCACCAAGAAGATTTGCTCACTCAAAGCATGTCGTTCATGGATCGAATCTACGATCCGGAAGCTGGTTACCTCTTCTATTTGAACAGCGCTTTGCTGCACGAGACTAGATCATCMGCTTGGTATGCTGCAGGCCTACTCGCTCGAGACGAAAACGATGATCGGGATCAAGCTATCAAAATCATCGGCAACATCATCAAGCCGCAATTCCGTAATGCCAGCGAACAATGGTTAGTGTAGCTCTCCCCGTTTTGCTGAACTTACTGACGAGTATAGGTATGGCGACTACCAGTCGTATCCCGAGCAGCCAGATCCAGGCACAGAAGCATATCCCGCAGATATCTGTAAGCCGTTGCTCCATTCTGTGAATTGAAAATGTCTATTAATACAGTCCAAGACGACACCTGGGATCCTAATTGGCGCGGCTTCATTGGGACAACCTTTATTGTGATCCTCGAGGAGTTTCACTCGCTACTCCCCCAAACACTTCAGGATAACATGCTCCAAAGCCTTCACTTGAACGCCATAGGCGATACGTATCGAGTCGGTGGTGTCGACGATGATAACCTCTACCCAGAGTACAGCAATGCCGCAATCATGCACGCAACGGTCTCAGGTTGGGTGGGGAGGAAGACCGGCGATACGAATCTCACTGCCGATGGTGAGAAGTGGGCCAGTGACATCGTGGCTCTCTTCGATCGAAACGGCACACTTTCAGAATTTAATGGTCCGACATATGCGGGTGTTTCACTATTTGGGCTTACGCTCTGGGCGAAATATCTTCCTCAAGATTCCGTCATGGGGGCTAATGGCGGGAGGATGATAACCGCAGTTTGGGATAGTATCGGCTCTTTGTATAATGCTAATTTGAAGAATATCGCTGGACCATGGGATCGAAGCTACGGTTTCGACATGATCCGGTACAGCCCCTATCCTCCCCAATATCTATCCAACACCTGCTAACATTGACCAGGTACCTCTCAATCATATCACTCTACATCTGGACACTCATCGGCCTCCCCGCCTCGCCCCTATACCACAACCCTCAAGCGGTAGCCCACACCGACGACTTTGAAATCGGACCTCTAGTCGCGATCCTCGCCCCATTCCACTCCACATTCGTCTCCCCAACCGCTCTAGCATCCCTAACGACTTTTCCCGGAACACATTTCGTCCACACATCAGCATATTCCCCTTTTGCAGATCTCGCACCAAGAAACTACACCACATATCTCTCCCCAGGCCTAACGATCGGAGCGCAGAGTTTCAGCGAGAATGTCATTGGAGGACCGAGTATTAATCCCAGCCAATTCAATCCTGTGGTGGCACAGTGGGAGCGAGAAGAGGGAAATAATAGCATTGGGTTCTTTTCGCTGTATGCGCAGGAAAAGGCTTTGCAGGCTGATGTTGGGGAGGGGAGATTGGAACTTTGGTATCCTGAGGGGAATTGTTCGAGCACTTTTACGTTTCTTGTTAGTCCTAATGATATTTCGGGTCCTAGGAATGTGCGGTCTTGGGAAGATGTTAAGGGGATTTCGGTGAATGTTTCTGCTGGGACGGTTGATTTTGTGCCTACGATTGCTTTTTGTGGGCTGAGAGGTGGACTTTGCGATGCTATCAAGTAAGTGCTTTGGCTTTTGGTTTTGGTTTTGATATGATTTTTTGACTGATTGATCTGTTGCAGTGGCTTTGATGTATGGAATATCACGTATTATATGCCGGAGGGCAGTACGGCGATCCCTAGCATCGTTCTTGATATTGCACTCGAATAAGGAGGGTTTCGTACACTCCGTTGGTATCAAGATAGCCCGGAATGAGGGAGTGTCTTTGAGACTAGAGTCCTTCGACGTGCTTTTGCCGACCGCATGGCCGATCCTGTTCGCAGTGAACGTCCAAAGAAATCATGGTATCACCCAGAAATTCGAGTCGCTTATCGAATGACGGATAGTTCAGAAACCGATCAATTCATCGTCCCAGCCTCCTCCGATCCCCCCTCACTCAAGTTCTAAAGTGTCTCGCCGAGGAACTTGAGCTGCGCCTTGATGTTATCCTCATAGCCTGTTCCATGATAGGGATCGAAATGTCCAGTATTCCGCAGCAGGACCAACGTCTTGGGCTCATATGCCGTCGCAAAAGCTTTGAGTTGCGACACAGTCGGCGACGAGTCATCATTTCCCACAACCACCATCAAAAGCGGCGTTGGTGCGATTCGATGAACAAAAGCTAAAGGCTCAAAAGCAGCCAGATTGAGCAGCGTCTGTGGGGTAACAAAAGGAGACCAGGGGATATTCCCAGCCTTGAGAGCCTCCAAGAATGCCACCAAACTAGGATCTTGCACCATCGCATTATGATCCCCACTTGTAGCAATCGTGGGGTCGTCTGCGAACAACTTGATCAATGGCGGCGGGTTACCCGCTTTTACTTGTCGCCTGGCCGCGTAAAGGGATTCAGCCCGAGGAGCGAGTCCCACGGCGAGATTTTCGCCAGAAACAAAAGGAACCTGGGAAATGACTGCAGCGATTCTATGATCCAAAGCCGCGGCATGAATGACGGCGCCTCCGCTCATGCTACTACCCCAGTAGACGATCTTCGTATCATCAACCTCTGGCAGGGAAGCCGCAAAGTCGAATGCGTCGGAGTAGTCCCGCGCTTGCTGGATAGGATCTGTTTCATTTCGTGGATTTCCCTCGCTCGCGCCCCAGTTTCGATGATCGTAGAGGAGAACGCTGTAGCCGGCAGCTTGGAAGGCTTCGGCGAAAGTTGGTAGGAATTGCTCCTTTAGACCCGCGATCTGCACTTCCGTTAGTGGAAGTTTGAGATTGGATCCTATGGGCCAGGCCACTCACCCCATGTGTCATTATGATACATGGACGCTTATTACCCTCGCTTGCACTTCTACCTGCACTGTAGAACCAGCCCCTTAATGTGGTTCCATCGATCGTCGGGAACTCAACATCGCGTCGATTAGGTGCCATCCTTAAGTAAGCCTTGCGTAGTGGTAGAAGCAAAAAAGGGGGTTAGAATGGTTGTAGTATGCTATATCTTATTGTCTGTGGCAGGACTTGTCCTTGGAATGGTTACATATATGTATATCTATACAAGGCTCACTAATCATTTCGGGGATTGAGCGCTCCGAAAGACCGTAGTATCAACTAGGTAGCTATGCAGTCCTAATAGAACAGGGCGAGCTTGGGATGCGGTGGTTGGGAACGGGACATGGATTGATATATCACACTCCGTAAGCGTGGCAAGATGCTGCGTCTACGTCTCGCTAGTAAGCTCTTGTTTGGTTCAAGAAAATCTACAATGTGGACGACCAATGAAGCACTCAACACGGATAGCCATCACGGTTCTAATGGGAGACGTCGACATTGAACAAAAACCGCTAAATACATCACAGTGAACATCATGGATGCTGGTGAACTACGCGCTAAATCTGGATGTGATTACTACTCGCCGCCGATGCACGACAATGATTACTCAACATCGCCCAGCAGACGAAGAGGGAGAAGAAGGCCGAGGTACTGTAGAGCGGTAGGATGTAGTTATGCTCATTGGCAGAATGTAGGTCAGGTAGCCACACTCAACCTCTCAGGCGTGGGTGCTAGCATCAGCACCCACCACTCTCGACGCAGCGCCGCCTCTCAGCAGACCAGCACCCGTCCGGTCAGCTCAGTTGTCCGCTGAACTTCAGATACCTTGAAGGTCTGATTCGGCTGTGTTGAATCTGTGTTCATAATCCTGTTGTGTACATCACTTCTGTGTGCATCACCTTCTAGAAACCACGGGCACAGCGGGTGTGTCGAGATTCTCTGTCTCGATTGCACTGAGCGCTTGTTGAAGTTTTTACACTTGATTCTCCATAGCTGCTAACTGTGTTGGACTGTATGATCAAATTTGAGTCGCCGTCGTGATAGAGCTTCGAGATTTTTCAAAACATTCACTCATTCACTCACTCACGCGGCTAAAACGCCTTACCCACAGAATTTCGAGCTAGCGCCAAAATGGTATTTGTGGTGTAGCTTCACCTCGAAATACCTCTGCTTCTTAATTGTGTAACTTTAAAAGCTGAGGAGTGTCCTGCGACTTGCTTAACATATAAGCACAGAGATTGACAAATATGCCATTGGTTTGGAGATAAGTCTTTTCTGTGGACTGCTCCATTGTGCGTTTGCACATGTAAGAGTGAGATGCCAAGACTCTAGGGTGCCCCTCGTGTGCTCATGGCGGCTCGGCATCACCACAGCGTACTTTATCGAGCATGACAATGAAAAGATGAGTGATTTGCTCGGCTATCTTGCGTGTGAATGGCTCTCCTTTGATACCCTTTGAATCATATGCTAGAGACTCCTATCCAAAGTTCCGATTACAAGTTCAAGTGAGCGAATCCATGCAAGTGAATGTTCCCGAATGTTCTTAACAGATAACACGGTATATTCGGTGAATCACTTCACGTAGCGCGTGTAATATATCTATAAAGTGAGGCCGTTCGCATTAAACTTGCAGGGTTCTTTCTAAGGCTAACAGATCTATAGTCACTTGCCAACGTCGAGCGGCTTTCTTACTGCACCCCTCAAAATAAGAACGCACAGCATCTCTTTAGTTTCAGCTTCTTACTTAAGTCTGGTCATGAAGAGCCTCAGCTTCACAGCAGCATTGTTACGGCCTTCAATACACAAATTGTCATCATAAAGATCCTGGGTCAAAAGGCCCATCTACACGACATAATATTGTTTTTCTCTCATACTTTACAAGCCTATGCTCCAACTTGACAAGGCTTGAAACATTGCCACTACTTTTGCTTAATATTTGCAGTCCAATGACAACACATCATCCCTAGTCCCATTCGACGATCCAGCATTTGCCAATTCCAAGCCAATCGCACCACACGAAGTGAGCTTCGACCGAACGCTCGGTGTGCCTAGTAGACAAGGGAATAAATACTACCTGGAAATGAAGAATCTCCATCGGCGAAATAGCTTTACCAAGCACTATATACTTCAAAACCAAATACAACACTCGGTCAATCTCTATTATCGCACACACGGACTTCGAACCAAGCTGGCCACAACCTGGAAATATCAATCCGGCCTTCGCGGTAGAGACTCGATTTTCGTCTCAAATTAACGAGTCCTGTATCTGTCACTTCTAGGCTAACCTTCCCCAAAACATCTCAGATGCTTGGAGCTCGTCTTCCTCCTGCCGTAGCGCCATCGGCACCGGACGTGAACCACAGACATCATCGGTTTATAGGCAATCTGCTAGGACGCGATCCCGGGAACCATTCAACTATCTATCTTCGACCTGCCTGTGCGGGCTTCTTTGGTGCTGCGACTGGAACTTTCAATACACAGGGGTATTGTAAGCCCGCCCTCCCCCTGTCGCTTATACAACACAACATCATCCACTGATAAGCTCATGTATTATGACTGGAGGTTTCGGTTAGATTAGTAGTGCCAGAGGTAGTGACATGGAATACCAGAGTGGTGATCGTAGGGCTTGGACGGTCACTGATAGCTATGCTCCTCGGCCTCCACTACTTTGGAGTTGGCTGAGTATTGGCTGTACAGTGATAAGTATGACAAGGTCGCATAGGAAGCACGTCCTTGCTACGACAAAGAAAGGAAGAGGCGAGATCGAGCCATCTCAAAAACATACATTATTTTATATAGCTAGCCCCCTTTTTCGATTTAAAGTTCGTCACTTTCTGTTGACTACCCAAGGACCGATCAATACGACACCTCATTCACAGACAATCGACGCAAGTACAGAACCAGTACAACTCTACGTAATATTTCAAAAATGCACAAAGGACGCGTCGTCTCTAAAAGACACTTCCAAGCAACACTGATCAACGTTCGACGCGTGGCCTTTAGCGCCAAGACATGTCGCAGAAGTTCACTCATAGTGACTCTTTGAACTTTACAAATCCTTCTCCCCCAAATGAAAGTGAACGGAGAGGTGTGATCGATAAATCGATCATACGAGGCTTCGAAGTCCACTCAATCGTCTAGTCGGAGCGAGTTATTCTTAGTTGCAGAGCCTCTAGCCGCCGCTATTTTCGATGGTTGACTTGAGAGCAGTACGCAGCGATTGCAATTGCATGAGTAATGGGTAGATGTAACAGTAAAGAAAGCCTCTTGCATAAATTATAAAGAGATGCACACATTCCCTACCCTGAGTTTCTTTATTCCAATCCCACTCCTCATCCTCTCCACAGCACAATCACCACAATGCCTTTCTACTCAGCAACCAACAACACCAACACCGCCATCACAACCACCCCATCCTTTCGCATCCTCATCCCAATCTGGCTCTTCAACCTCATCGCCACAATCCTCATCCTCGTCTCCTCCGCCACGAAATTCATAACCTGGTCCCACTGGAAATCTTACCCAGCGAGATCATCCGTCAACGATGATGAAGACTCTCAATGGTACCGACGTGAGGCTCCAGGATACCTGTGAGTTCCTCCCACTTTCCATAAATCCTGATAATAGTTATACTGATTTACAACTCCAACAATAACAGGGCATGGGCCTCCATACTCCTCATCCTAGGACTCGTAACTCTTTCCCTCAATATCCTCTCCTACGTATTTGTAGCTAGGAAGTGGCAGCGCGCTACTGCAGTTCTGACTGGTGGAGGCGCTCTTACATTTGTTATTTGGGCGGTTGTGATGGTTTGTATTTGGGCTATTCCGCCTGGTAATGCGGATGTTTGGCAACTTTGTGGGAATTCTACCTTCTTGTAAGTGCTTTTCTCTCTAATCCTCGAATTACAATATGCTCTGTTTGAGGCACAAGCTAATGATATGGGACCGATAGAATGACGGGTATCTGGCAATTTACTTATGCGTATAAGCTGCGTCGAGCTGGAAGGGTGGGAGAATCGGGGGCTAGGAAGATGTTTGATGATGAGGATGGGGAGAAGAGGCAGGATATGATTGAGGAGGATAAGAAGATGCCGGGTGTTAAGGTCGTGGTGGAGTAGTGTGTTGGGACGGGTTCGATATGGGCTGGAGGTGGAGAGTCTTGAATGGAATGGAATGGGTTGTAATGGCGATCGTATAGATGATCCTCATTGATTGTAAGAACAAGAATGGAAAGTTTCTCAAAGTGATCCTCAATTGAGACTTTTACAAAGAGCTCTTTCGAGCGTCCTGGCATTATTGTGTTGTAAGTGGAACAAATCTCGTGAAATTGAAGCCAAAGCGGAGCTTCAACCGTCAAGAAAAGCTTCCGATGTAAAGAGACGCTGTACTTGCTATATCGTAAGCGGCATGGGGCAATTTCTACTCGAACTACTTATTGGTACGTTTCGTTGAGACTTCTGTGAATGTATCCAAAAGCCGAGCAGCGACGATTCGTGATAAGTTGTGGCTTTCCATGGCCCACTCGTACCATGATTTCTATTATTCTAGCGTGTTAGGTCATAAACATCGTAATTCTATACTACGAAGCCGCTTGGAAGCTCGCCCACCCCCCCCAGAAGCTTTCACTCTCGCGGAGCTGCTTTCCAGGTTCAACATGAACATCAATGAAAGCTACTCCCTCTTKACGCTGCCAATCCATCCGTTCAGCCAAAGACCTATCGGTATAGCAGTAACTCCACTAAATAATCCCAAGACCCATCCCATCGTACCCCAATTAGATTTCTCTTTAAGGGATCCCGCAAGCAAAGGTCCAAGCAAGGTTCCTGCTGCAAAAGCGCAGATGAACAAAGCATAGCCTTGTCCCACAGCCCCCCTACTGCCGAATACACCGGGATGCTTCTGTTCGAAGGCAGCGATACCTTGGTTGATTTCAATCATCAGTGGCGGAGCAGTCATGGCGATACAGAGTCCTATAATTGCGAGCAGGCCGCAAAGAAGGACCACCTGGCCTGTGTCTCCACCTTTGACCAGACGGAGAAGTACCAATGGAGGCATTGCGCATAGAAATCCTGCCGCTGCGATAAATCTCCCGGCTCGTGGATGTTTATCGCACCAGTGGCCAAAGAGAGGATCGAAGAGGGATGGGAGGATGAGCGGTATGAAGATGAGTCCGGCACCGGTTGCAGTGAAGTGGAAGTTCGTCTCTACGAACAATGGTAGTACCGTTTCAAACGCCGCCAAGAGTAGAGCCGTTACAAAACTTCCCACTATCGCGATGAAGATCCGGTAGGAAGCTAGAAGTTGAATCATCAGGGGGAGACGACGCTTCCAAGCCCGTTGAGGTTGGATGTCGGCGTTTGATGGAGGTTGATCCACCACAATAGAGTCGGTGTTGATTGTTGATTCGGTTGGCTTTTCAGATGTCTCTTTCTTGATCCATTTCGCTGCGTCGGTCTTCTCAATCATGATTATCCGCAGGATGACATCCACCATGAGTACTCCGAATGCCATTCCATAGACTGCATAATAGCCTCCATGGTCATACACGATTCCACCGAGGATAGGACCAGCCATACCGCCCATATTCAAGGCAAGAGCCGCGAGTCCTAATGCCTTCCCAACTTCCGCTTCCTGAATATTGGCAATGATCATGGCGGCAGATGCTGTCCAGACAATGGCTGCAGAAGCTCCGGAGACGACCCTTCCGGCAATCAGCAGGCCCGTCGAGTTCCCCACGCAAATCATGGCAGTCCCTCCAATGAGCGTGATGAGGCCAGTGAGAAAGGGTATCCTGCGAGATGAGCATTTATCGAGGATGTAGCCTGTGATTGGGGCTGCCACCAAAAGTGTTGCGCCATATATCGCCAGCAGAATGGAGAGCCAGGATTGAACGTTTTCTGGATGGACATTCGCACGGGTGACTAGCGATGTGGGGAAGACGGGCACGACGATGGAGTAAAGGAAGGTATCCGTGAAGCTGGCCATGGTAATGGTGCAAAGGATCATGCGTTTTGACGACCTGAAACGCAAGAGAAGGGGCTCTCGCCCGGGTTTGCTGTTTTCGTCCTTTGATGGAGTCATGGTTGACAAGTCGACGAGGTGGATTTCTGGTGCCCATCTTCACCGGAATCCGCAAAGACGACTTCTATATGAATCAGCAGCCATTGATGCCTTTTCTCACATGATTTTACAGAACATTCCGACCTCCAGCGGCCGACGGAATCCGCGGATTCCGAACGGTGCCAAGACCTGGTCAGGGACGAATCCGTAACGGCATCATCCTTCTTCTATCAATAAGCCCGAACAAGCAATGGACACCGGTTTGTGGGGTCGTCGGAGCCAGCCTCACGCCAGAGAACTTGGAAGAGGACGCTCGGGACGCAAGGGCCCCGGATACCGGAGCCAAATACACACGCCGACGAGATCAACTCGCTTTACTGTATGCATCATGGACGCTTTGATAGCGTCCCGGCTCCGACATGTAAGGTAGGTAGGTACGCGTGGTGCCCAAGCTGCGGTCAAGTATAAACTGGATTTCCTGTAGACTTGTACACAAGACAAATACTTAAACATCGCACACCTGTGCAACCTTTCCTATTTATTGCACACCACTCACCCTCACCTGTCGAAACAATCGAGAAGCAAGATATGGCCACCCCTGACACCACCATTCGCATCCCGGAGCCCAGAGGTCTCCCTTTGCTGGGAAATGTCACCGAGTTCAAATCCACAGACTCCCTACAAGATCTTAATCGCCTTCACGACACCTATGGTAAGTTAGTTTTGCATGCGTGAGCTGCGGTTCACGACGTCAAAGTCTGCCATCCCATGTACGCGGCACGGTCATACTGATCTTTCTCAGGCGAGATATTCCGATTGAAACTGCCCGGAGGCAAGACCTTTGTATGTACAGGTACAAACAGACTTGTCAACGAGCTCTGTGATGAATCACGCTTCAAGAAAAGCTTAAAGTCAGAGGTCGGCGAGGCTCGCATTGCCACTCATGACGGCCTCTTCACGGCCGAGAACGAGGAAGAGAATTGGGGCATTGCCCACCGCATCTTGATGCCTGCGTTTGGTCCCGTCGCGGTCAGGGGCATGTTCGATGAAATGTACGACATCACCACACAAATGACCTTGAAGTGGGCACGACACAGTTCATCGCAGCGTATCGCCGTATCCGAGGACTTTACCCGCCTAGCATTGGATACGATAGCACTCTCTTCGATGGATTATCGCTTCAACTCGTACTACAAGGAAGGAGTCCACCCCTTTGTCCAAAGCATGGCAGACGCGCTCACCGAGATTGGAAAACGATATCAACGCCCCGATTGGGCCAAGAAGTTCTTTCTAGGCTCCGAGCATAAACTCTCCGAGGATATCAAGGCAATGCGAAAGACGGCCGCCGAGATCATCAAAGCTCGACGGGCAAACCCCGAGAGCAACAGGAAGCAGGATCTATTGGCCGCTATGATGGACGGTGTAGACCCCAAGACTGGAAAGAAGTTGACCGATGACTGCATTACTGACAACCTCATCACATTCCTCGTCGCGGGACATGAGACAACTTCCGGCACGTTGTCCTTTGCCATGTACTCGCTACTCAAAAATCCCGCCGCATATCAGAGGGCACAAAAGGAGGTCGACGAGGTAATAGGACGAGGAGGACCCGTCACTGTCGAGAAGATCTACAGTTTAAAGTACATCCCTGCTGTAAGTMACACATGTTGCAAGTATACCATCAAGGCCGCAATCACTCTTGATATGTTCCTTACTTTCAATACTAAAACTCTTCGCCTAGGTACTCCGTGAGACTCTACGCCAGTGTGCCCCCATCCCCGCCTTCAACCTCGAGCCACTAGAGGACACCACTCTAGCTAAAGGAAAGTATCCCGTCAAGAAAGGAGAGGCGATAGTCGCATACTTGACCAAAGCTCACCGAGACCCCGCCGTCTTCGGCGAAGATGCGGATGAATTCAAACCCGAGCGTATGATGGATGACAACTTCAATCGACTTCAAAAGGAATTTCCCAACTGCTGGAAGCCTTTCGGTAACGGTATGCGAGGCTGTATCGGCCGACCATTCGCATGGCAGGAGATGCTTCTGGCCTTGACCATTCTGCTCCAGAACCTCGACTTCTACATGGACGACCCGAGCTATAGTCTGAAGATTGTGGAGACGCTGACCATCAAGCCCAAGGATTTCTACGTGCGTGCTTCTCTGCGGCATGGCATGACTGCGGTAGATTTGGAGCGTCAGCTACGTGGAGGTACAAGTCAAGGAGAGAATTTGCTTGAGAAGCAAAGTCGTTCGTCCACTCCTAATATTCCAGGATCTACCGAACGGCCGATGAGCATTTTCTACGGCTCAAATAGTGGAACCTGCAAAGCTCTTGCTCTCCGACTCGCGACGGACGCCAAATCTCATGGGTTCAAAGTGGCAAAAGTGGATGTGCTTGATGCTGCCAGAGACAATCTACCTATCAACCAGCCTGTGGTCATCCTCACATCCTCCTACGAAGGTCACCCTCCAGACAACGCCGCACATTTTGTTACCTGGCTTAAAAATCTGGCTGGGCAAGAAGCTCAAAACGTTTCATACGCAGTATTCGGAGTCGGAAATCGGGAATGGAGCCAGACTTTCCACAGTATTCCTAAGTTGGTCGATAAAACCTTGGAGGAGCGTGGTGGTGCAGAGCGAGTTGCAGGGACCGGATTCACAGACGTCTCTGACAGTGATCCATTCAGTGACTTTGAGAACTGGGAGGATGAGATACTTTGGCCTGCTTTGGAGCAAAGATACGCCCGCTCTAAACCAGATGACGAGCTTACTGACACCCGCTTATCCGTACAAGTCACGATGCCTCGTAGTACAACACTCCGCCAGGAGACCCGGGAGGCAATCGTCACCGCAACCAGAACTCTGACGGCTCCAGGCACAACACCTGTGAAGAAACACATTGAAATCAGACTCGCAACAGGGACAGTCTACCGCGCAGGCGACTATCTCGCCGTCCTACCTCTGAACCCACGACATACCGTTGAAAGGGTATTCCGCCGTTTCGGGCTCGCATGGGATGCGGCACTCATCATCAAGGGCGACAAACTTTTGCCACTACCTCTCGATCAGCCGACATCTGCATGGGACATCTTCACTTCCTATGTCGAACTCGGACAGCCAGCAACCAAGAGGAATATCCTGGCTCTCGCGCAGTGCACCMAAGACTTGGATGAACAGAAAAAGCTCAAAGACCTTTCAGGGAAAAGATTCAGAGACGAGATTATGAAGAAACGGATCTCCATCCTTGATCTCTTGGAAGAGTTCCCATTAATAGAGCTCCCCATAGCCCAATTCCTCGCCTTCCTCCCCCCAATGCGTATTCGTCAATAGTAAGTCCCACCCGACGAAAAAAAAAAAAAAGCAACCCATTCACCGCATACCACCAACTAACCAAAAACAATCTCCCAGCTCCATCTCCTCCTCCCCTCTAAAAGACCCCAACCTAGCAACCCTCTCCTACTCCCTCCTCGACGAACCCTCACTAGCAGGACACGGCGGCCGTCACGTCGGCGTAGCAACCAACTACCTCTCCAGCCTCAACCCCTCGGACCGTCTACAAGTCGCCGTCCGCCCTTCAAACCTCGCCTTCCATCTCCCCCCCGTACCAGAATCCACACCAATAATCTGCATCGCCGCCGGAGCCGGAATCGCCCCTTTCAGAGGTTTCATCCAGGAACGCGCAGTACAAATCGCAGCTGGAAGAATTCTCGCCCCTGCTATCCTTTTCTATGGCTGTCGTGGTCGAGCCGATGATCTCTATCGCGAAGAACTCGATGGCTGGGAAGTTGAAGGCGCTGTCCAGGTCAAGAGGGCTTTTTCGCGGGATATTACCTCTGCGGATAAAGAAACGATGGGATGTAAATATGTTCAGCATCGTATGATGCTTGAGAAGGAGTTTTTATATGAGCTTTGGAGTCAAGGTGCTAAACTTTTTGTCTGTGGGAGTCGGGAATTCGGGGCTGCGGTTGAGAGGACTTGTGTGGAACTTATTGAACAGTGGAAGGAACCTGGGGAGGATGCGAGGGAGTTGTTGGAGGGGTTTCGGAATGAGAGGTTTGTGATGGATGTTTTTTGATTGAGTGATTGATTGTATTGGGTGGGAGTTTAGGGGGATATATATTTGATTGTATTTATCTAAGTATGGAGTGCCACCCCTCTCTGGAAATCCTCACTCCGATTGTTCGAGATGTTAATTCCCGTAGTGCTAATGGCGAAACGGCCTTATATACATCCGCAAGGAATAATCATGTCAATGCTGTCCGAGCGCTTCTCGCCGTCCCTTATACTCAAAAGAAGACAGCTGATTTCGCAGACTTTACGCCGTACCGACAAGCTAAGCAGAGTGAAAATACCGATATCATTGCTCTATTAGATGGATTTCGCAAAACATAGGAGGTATCTATATCCATGAGATAATGGGTTCTTGTTCAAGCTGTCATTCACCTGCAGGATGTCCCCTATTCCAAACTTCGTGAGGACTGCCAGGATGTGTTTGTTCATCGATGGGATTTACAGTGGGTCAATGTTTTCTCTCGCAGAGTGTCTGGCAAGAAGAATGAATGCCTCCTGCAGCACCTGCATCCAGAAGTTTGTGTACTTGTTCTCGGGGAATGGTTTTAATGTCCACATCGTTGATTAATATGGCTTCCCTAGGAGATCTTCAAGATATGTAGTATGTATAGATATAGGGATTATTTGTCGTTGTAGAGAGTTAGAACTAGTTAAAGAAAGATTCGATTTCAAGGGTTTCGCTACTAGTGCATTCACTTACTCTTATAATTTACCTAATATGCATTCTCCGACTAGGTAGTCGCCCTATTTTTGTTTGCACTTGTATTCACAGCATTGCCGGGATGTTAATATCGTTGTAATTGTACAGTATATCAGTAATAGTCAACAGCAAAAAACGAATACAAAGCACAATGCAGAACATGAGAAGAACAAATCGCAAACAAAACAGAACGTGTGAAAGAATGAGAAATACACTTACCACAGCGCGAGCCTTGATCTCAAATGCTCTCCAGTCGAATTAAGTGGACGACTTGGGAAGAATCTGACCATTGACTCTGTCTCATGTAGGTTGTGGTAGCTTGGCATGCACATTTAGTTGTTGTAGTTTCAGCTGATACTACTCATGATAGTTCCCGTGCATATATATTATACAACCTCGCTGTTGGCTGCCACAATGTACCCTTGGCCATCTTCAACGACACTACAGTTCGCATTCGACCGGTCATCAATGGCGTTGGAACRGGAGTCGAAGTAGCTAGCGGAGAAATCATATTTGGCGTATATAATTTCCATTACTGGAGTCGTCAGGCATCCTTACTATGGCTATCAACACGGCTCAGGCCGGATGGGTGGTCTAGTCTGGGGTGCCGTCAAAGGAATAGGCAGAGGGATTGGCGGTATAGGCTACAGCCATGGCTTTCGCCATTCCGGGGCATGGATTGAGAGGAATTGAGCAAGCTCTTTTGGGTATATTGGGAGGAACAGCAAAGGGATTGCCGGATATTGATTTGGAAGACGGACAGAGTGGAGACGGTAAAGCTGAAAGTCTCATGAAGATCGGAAAGAGGGATTGGCATAGGGCGACGAATGGGAACGAGGTGTTGAAGTAGAGGGCTACAGAGATCGGGTACATCATACGGGAAGAAAAATTATGTGGATGAGAACCGGGAGGCGCAGATTCTGGAGCGGTGAGATGACTTGATGAGAAGGAATGCTAAGTGGTGACAGCTGCGATTGCAACAATGTGAAGGTCGAGGCATTGACTGCGTTGGCATACAATCAGAGGTTATGCAATGCCCGTGTCCTATGATCAACATCAACATGCAATGTTATCTCCTCCCCATGCTGCTGTACGCCTCAACTTGCATATCGGTGGAGACACGCTTTCCGACCCAAAACATGTGGGAATCCCAATTGCAGAAGGGCAGATCACAAGATAGTCCACCCCTGAAACCGCCATGTCGGGTTTGCAATGGTGAGGAGTCCTACCATTTGCCGCCGGGTGAARGATACGCTAATGGATGTTCAATTTTTGCCAAGTCATGGGGCGCGGGTGAAAGTCGGGAGGCAGGGAGTGACATTGGATGGTGACAGGGAGCTGGGAAGCCATGCATGCCCAAAGCTTCTCACATGTCAAGGACTTGAAATGGGTGACATTGCCGTTGCTGGTTTCATTTTGAATGTTTGTCAAGTTTCTCGATTCGGGTCACCTTCATCAACGCCTTCAAAGATATCCCTTCAGAACCGCCGCCTCCGCATTCAAGATACTGCTACCAGCAGCTCCAATGACCGTGTTGTGGCTCAGAGCCACGAATTGAATATCGAAGATGCCACTCTCATCCTCTCGCACTCGTCCCACACTCACAGCATAACCGCGATCCGTCTCCCGATCCAATCTTGGCTGCGGCCTATCCGGCTCCTCGCAAACCTGAATGGCCTTGCTAGGTGCCGAAGGGCATCCCAGTTGCTGTGCCTCACTCACATAGTCCCGCATAGCCTGCTTGACTTCCTCGKCACTGGGTGGTGGCCGCTTCTCGAATCTTAGCGACACGCACGCTGTGTGGCCGTCCAAGACAGGCACGCGATTGCAAGCTGCGCTGATTTTGAGGTTACTCTGTTCCTCAAACGCTGAACACTCGGCGTTGATTCCGCCTAGAATCTTGCGGGCTTCGGGCTCCATTTTATCTTCCTCACCGGAAATGTAGGGGACCACGTTGTCGATGATGTCCATGCTGCTAACTCCTGGGTAACCCGCGCCTGAGACGGCTTGCATTGTGACGACTGAGACTGTGTTGATGGGACCAAATTTGGCTTGGAGAGCAGCGAAGGGAATGACGATGCCGATGACGGCGCAGTTGGAGTTGCAGACCAAGAAGCCCTTTTCCAGCTTGTGGTGTTTCCTCTGGTGGGGAATGAGGGACAGATGAGGAAGGTTGACAGTGGGCACTACGAGCGGAACGAGAGGATCGCGGCGGTAGTTCTTCGCGTTGGAGAAGGTGGGGATGTTGGCTTTGAGAAAGGCCATTTCTGTGCTGGAGTCAGCATATGCCATGTTGAAGAGTTGTTGGTCCACTGACCAGTCTCCTCGGCAACATCGCTGTCCAGTCCGCTGAAGACAACATCCACCTCGCCAGCAAATTCCTCTGGTGTACAGTTCTTGACGACCAGCTCGCCCAACTCTTTGCTCATGGGCAAGCTTTGCTTCCACTTTACGGCATCGCGGTATTTGCGACCCGCACTGCGCGGACTGGCACCAACGGCAGTGAGCTTGAAGTGCGGGTGAAGGGCGAGTAGGAGGATGAATCGCTGGCCGACACTGCCTGTTGCGCCAAGGACACCTGGAGAAGGATCGTGTTAGGATGCTGTCCTGTGTGCTTGGACTCAATGGTATGACAACCAACACMGGGGGACTCACTAACCGCACCGCTTTGTAGGAAACTCCACTTTCTTCTCCATAGTCGCCATTCTGACTTCAGTTGCAAGGCCGTCTCTCTGAATCTGATGTTTGGCGGTCTCCATCGAATGACTCCGATAACGTGACGGTGAAACCTCGTGAGAACAAATCTTGGGACATGACGTGAAGCTTGCCCCACCTATCAAAAGTGTGATCTGAATGGGTGCCTCCTGCTACGATTGTTGTTCCTTGACAAGGAAAAGTCGCATGGAGATTACAACAAGGCGAGCTTATTCGGTCTACGATTTCGCACAGGATGCGTAACGAGATCACTCCCATACGACCACTTTACATCGCGGAGGGACGAAAAGAGAGAGTCCGCAGCGAGATCCGATATCGGCTTACTAGCGCCAAGCCGAGTGAGGGATGTCTCGAATTGAAGGGATCTCAATCAATAGTCATCAATCATCGTCAAATCAGAATCGCGACATGTGACCAGCATCGACCTCACCTGCTCCTTTGGCCTCCTCCATACTCAAGCAACCTCGTATTGATGAAGTCATGTTCACAGAGAACACCAAGCGTTGCGGCAGAAGCAGTCCCGATTCCGCAGAAGAAACTCTATTTATCCATTCCTCCTTCACACCGCCTTCAAGACCTCAAGCGAGTGCCCAACACCTGCCCAACTCAGTCGCGAATCAGGGATAAAGACATGATAACACACTGTCACAGACCTTTTCGATCATCTCACTCATCTCATGCAATTATTGCTACAACGAAATTCCAGCGTTTCCTCCCGCTTCCGGCCCACTTGATCCGAACTGAACCTGCAGTTTTATCCGGCCGCAACCTACCACTAAAATCCTCCTCCCGCAACACCCCTTGCGCAATATCATTGTTCCAGACCGAAGGACATATACTAGCGGCCCCACAGCCGGATGCACAGGGAATGCTTCCAGATACGATTTGTTCCGGATCGAGGCATTGCAAAAAAAAGTTCCACCGTACCAAGGTTCTCTCAACGCTCATACATCCCGCATTTCACGGACCTATAACAACAACAACACCACACACCCACCCAAAATTAAGGATACGACTCTAGCTTCGAAGAGTTAGGCCCGTTGGCCTCCCGCCAGACACCCTCTAGCTTGATGGCTATTGCGTCGAGTCGTAAGTTCTACCCTTCCATTTTGGAGCCCACTTTGAAGAGCCGGGTACCCGGGTCCTACCTCTAGCCATAATCGACACGGACATCACCAATGAATCGAATCTCTACCTCGAAGGATTAGGCGAACCTGCCTCCCGGAGGACATCCGTTAGCTCTACGGTTATTGCATCGAGTCGCGAGGTACGACTTTAACATTCAGTGGAGCCAGGTGCTCCAGCTGGTACTCCAGGCGTTGAGAATCCCCACGACTGTACCAGATACTCACAATGTCAATTGAAATGGGTCTAGGCTTCGAAGAGTTAGGCGAACTTGCCTCCCGGAGGACATCCATTAGCTTGACGGTTGTATCATCGAGTTGCGAAGTAGCCAGGTACTGCAGCTGGTACTTCAGGTGCTTACCAACTATCAAGTACCTGTAACCATGCCAGATACCTTACCCACGATGTCAATAGAGATGAGTCTAAGCTTCTAAGGGTTAGGCGAACTGGCCTCCCGCAGGACATCCGTTAGCTTCACCATGATTGCATCGAGTTGCGAGGTATTACCACAAAGGATTGGTAGGTATAGTGTTGTGCCACGTTGYCTGATTTTGGAACCTACAATTCTGCCAGGCACAGGTGAACCTAACGGACATACCTCTAGGCTTCGAACAGTTAGGCCAATTGCTCTCCCGGAGGACATCCGTTAGCTTCACCATTGTTCGTGTTGGATTGAAGATGCATGACTGGAGTGCTAAGCCAGGCTATGTGTTGTCTATCATCGCGCTGGAAAGCTGATTTGACCTCCAGACGCGGGCTGCCTTCTTCTCTCGACATTCGCTTGAGTTTGGACAACAGGACCGTCTCGACCACAAAAATACAGGCAGCTGGATGAGGCCCGCATAAGCCAACACCGCGGAAAGGTCTCCATCCTGGTAAGATGATGGATCCAGGGCTCAGCCTTGGAATCCATCCGTTAAGCCCGAAAACTCCAGTTTGCGAGTAATCCTCTGGGGATCGCAAAGTTTCGGTGGCGCGAGAGGCCCTCAACCCGTCAGGTGGATATTGGAGGATCTCGCAAGACGCCAGCTTCCACATGTCGATACATTGGATACCAAGCTTGTGTACCCAGAATCTCGTAAGGAAGCACTCGTCACTGCTTCTGTTAGCTACGCCGCACGGATCCCATTGCCCGGATTATCGACGTTCAGCCCCAGGCTTGAGACCCAGAAACCGATGATCGACTTATAGGTGGGTGGTGTCGAATCCAACAGGCAATGAGATCAGTTCTCTTCCCGCCCAAGGAATATGGAGGTGGAGGAGGTGATGGACGTTCAGAATGAAAAGCCCACAAGCAACGCCAAGAAGAACTATCAATAAGATAGAACTTCAAGCAGGAGCATCCTGCAGGCGGTGGAATGGCTCCCCGGCTCCGCAATCGCGAACGGCTGTTAAATTTTCCACTTCTTACCGCGCGCGGCAAGGAGCTTGGGCGCTGGTAGATTGGTCGAATGGGAGACTGGTGCGGGACCTCTCCAGGGGCTAGTTTAAAAAGACCGCGCACGTTGACTTTGACTTCGATGATGGGATCAAAGAGCAGCCACAATGTGTGATGAGGGTACATGTCGGACCACAAGCAGGAGACCAGGCTGTTGGCGCGGTGACTGGCTCTGTTGACGCTGCTTCCTCCCAGCGGAGGTGGTTAAAGCTGCGAGTCCCCGAGACGGGGCTTGAGCTGGACTGCGTGAAGACATATGAATTTCAAGCGGTCTCTCGATTGAAATGAAGGCAGGCAAATGCAAAAGTGGTCTATCGAGCCATCTCCATGGCTGGCGATTGTGCCGCTCCCGAGAATCTTCGTCTGGGCGGATGTGCACACGCTGTTACTGCAGGTAAGATTCCTCGCTTTCTAGTGACAAGCGTGACGTCGATGTGCCCCTTTCTGGCAATGGCTGTATTGTCGGTACGATCTTATTCAATCATAAACAAGCTCCTGCCTGGGGACCTCCTCATAGCCAAGAGCCGAAATCCTCCTCACAGCTAGATAGATCTCTTCAAATCTGTCTTGGTCAGGCTTATCGTGCTCATCCTTCCTGCCGTGCTTGTCGTGCTTGGGCTCGTCGACATTGAACGGAATGTCCGAGACCGCCTGGAGGAACAAATGATACAGGTGTGCTTCGTAATCTCGCCATTGCTGTTGAGTGGACGAAGCATGCGCTGGATTGGACGAGAGACCGACGGAAACCATCGGTATTCCGATCTGGTCGTCGACGACGATATAGGGGGCTGATAAGGTGTATACCCCTGWACAGCCCAAACGCAGGTCCTGATCGGTGTTGTCTTGCCAGGATTGAACTTTCTCCGGTCACAGGATGACGTCTGGCCGGCCACCATCATGAGCTTTGCATGATAGGTACATTCGAATGAGAGGGCAGAGCAGTGTTCTCCCTCCGGCTCACTCGATTCCTCGTTGAGCTTTGCGCATGGGCAGTGATGCAAGGTGTGAAGTGATGGAAAGCAGCACGGACATGATGAAAGACGGTCGACTCAAGACGAAAGAGCAATGCAGCACTGGGCTTCTCAATTTCACCTCTCTTTGCCGATCTAAACACGAATAGAGCAGCAGGCAACAGAATTCGTTCATCATTAAACATGCAGCTGGAAACAGTCTTGTATGAGGAGCACTCAGAAAAGTTCTCCATTGTCTCAATATTCGATACATTCGGGACTGATATTCCCCAGCGAATGAGAACCTTCTCACTCATCAATCAAACAAAACAAATTCGCTCGCTATTTATTATACAGAGTAGTGCCTTGCAAAGGCACTGGATATCATCATGCAGCCTCCCATTCGATACATTTCGCGCTCTTCGGAAGTTCTCCTCGATCATCTGATAAATATACGTTGTAGTCATGCAACTCACTCACTTCGCACCCTCCATGGCCCGAACTCTATCAAGCACAGAAGAGTTCTTCCTTTGCCCTTCACCCTGCTCAGATTGGAGACTCTTGGTAGGACTCGCGGCCCGATCTGCTCCTCCTAATTGACTGATGACTGAGCCTCGCTTTGCTGAAGCAGGACTCTGAAACTTCGTAGGCGAAGGTGTCCGAGAATGTTGACTATGTACCGAGCTTCTTTTCACTGGAGAAGGGGTTCGGGATTTGTCCAGCTGGCTCTGTACTGAGTTCCGTTTCGTAGGCGAAGGTGTTCTCACTCTTTCCAGGTGAAGACTTTTCGGCCTCTCATTTGCCGAGGCGGCCGCCGAAAGCTCGCTCCCTAGCTGTTCGCTTGCATCTTCAAACGGTGTGCTAGGTTGAGAGTACACGGCACCACCATCCTGATCCTCGCCCTCTCGCGAGACAGAAGGAGAGAGATGACTACTTCCAGGCGGTGTGATGTACGCAGAGCGCTTCCTCGTACTGCTGACCGTGGCAGTCTCTTCAGAAACCGTGGGCATCGTCTTCTCAGGAATCCTCTCAAGACTTGTCCTCTCGGTAGAAGCCAGTGGCGTGGCTCTTCCCTGCACTGGTACCACACCACCACCCAACCTCGCCCAGAACATCCTCTCTCTCAACCTGACACTTTCCTCCCAAGCACATCGCTGATCTTCTTCGCTGTCGCATCTCCATAGTCCATCCCGGACCATTCTCAAGAACCCGACAAAGTCGCACGCAGCTCGAAGTCTGCCGACGCAGTAGTCACAAAGTGGCTTGCTCACGCCATCATCCTCACTCACCCGGAATCGCGTTCTCCTGATGTATGGCTCGTTGCGCCTCGTTTCACCACACAGTGTGCAAGCAAAGTAGTGCTTGTTTTGCGGATATGGCTCCACCGCGAGACTGCCAGCCAGAAGTGAAGCTAGCACAGTCCTCCTGCTCAGGAATGAAAGACCCGGTGCTAGATCCAGACGCAGTGTCGGTTCAATGTCCTCGGTCAGTGCGCGCTTGTAGAACTTGCTGTCCTTGAGAGGCGGCATGTTGCTGCCAGGGCCAGCCGATGAAGGACTGGAGCTCGCCGAGAAAGAAAATGCACCGGGGAGGTTTGGCGAGGAAGCGGAAGCAGCGAAGTTGCCGTACGTCGTAGAGTTCTGTGAGGAGGTCTGGGCAGTGTTATTGCTGCTGTTGGTGCGGGAATGTGCTCCCAGACGCCTAGCCAGAAGGAGCAAATCCTGAAAGTCCGTGTAGGCAGTAATGTCATTCCGTAGCACCGGGCTGATAAGGGAGGCGAAGTGAAGAGGGTGTTCGGGGGGAACGTCCGGGAGCGTAGCAGCGTACGGGGAGCTCTGCAGTGCGTCGAACATGGCGTGGTTTGCGGTAACGGGAGTGGACGGTACACTGACATCTCTGGTGGAAGAGGCATCTTCGTGCAGCTTCTCCATCGTGCCCTTTAGATCATGCAGTTGTTCCTGCTGCGAGGCAAGCAGAGATTCCGTATCGAGGATCTGACTCTTCAGCTGTGCATTTCGCTTCTCCGCAGCCTCCGTCTCTTTCCGCGCGGCCGAGACCATCTTGTTGGCCTCTTCAAACAGCTGCACCGTCAGATTCTCCAGCTCGCCATCAGCTTGCTTCCTCGCCTTCTCCGCCACCTCTCTCGCACTACGCTCGGTCGCCAATTCATTGCGCATCTTGGCCAGCGTCTCCTCCATTTCGGACCGCATGACGTAGTATCCGCCTTGGATCAGCATGTCTATCCGCTGCTTCTCCACCTCGAGCGTGCTGATTATATGCCGCGCCTGCTCCAGCTCGTGTCGGGTCTGTTGAAGGGAGTCGTCGAGATTGGTCTGGTAGTTGATAGCATTCACCAGCTTCGTGCTCAACATGGCAACTTCATTACTAAGGTCTGGCTGATAGCCCGGCTCGCTGTTGTTGCTGCTATGCCCACTATCGGAGCGCGGTCCGGGCGAGGGTGTACGGGTGTCCATGACATCGTCGCGCGGGCTGGCCACGGCCGCCATGCCGCTGTTGATGGTGAGGTGGGTTTTGATATCCGGCGTCGATTTGGTCTGAAAAAAACGCAGGCGCGACAGTGCTGCGGTGGTGGTCGACGTGGCTGAGGGAATGGCGGTTGGGGTGGTGGAGCGGGAGAGAGTGGGGCGCGAAGGTGTCACATTGGCGGCAGCGGCATGGCCGAAGAGGCGAGGGGAGAGGTAGTCGGCCAGCTTGGTGGATTGCTGAGGGTTGACGTGTGTGTATTAATTGATCCTCGTCCTGTGGTCCGCGGTTGTGGCTGGRGGTCTAGACGGACCGCCCCTGGTGGTTAAGGTGCAGTAGGACTTCGTAGTGAATGGACTGCAGTCGCAAGCGGACACGGGGGAGTCAGGCAGAATCGCTCGTGGGGGGTCATGAGATGGATTTCATGTCATTACTTCCAGTCGTGTCCGTCTCGCAGCTGGCAAATTAAACAAAAGCAGGGCGGTTCGCGCGATGTGTGTTTGTGTTACATTCGCCGTTTTGACGTCTGCCGTCACCAGCGGGTTGGAACGTCGTGCCACTATTGACTTCATGTACCGAAAGCCAATCTCCGACTGAGGCATCCTTGCAGTGTCCGCAAAACTCTGTTTACTCGTCATCACATTTATTTCACATGCCTGTCGCTCATGTCCTCGAAATTGGTTGGCTGCTTGTTGGAAGGGGTTAGATTATCGCACAATACAGCACTCGTTGTCCGCCGAGACACTCAGCAACCGCTGGTGCCCCAAAATCCCAAGAAATCCCAAGAAATCCCAAGACGCTCGTCATTGTGCAAAGCCACCAAGATTCCCATTAGGCTCTAGCTATTGCACTGGGCTTGAAGATGGTAAACCCTATCGCCCCCCGGCAGAAAGATACTCTCAGTCCTCGTCGGGTACCATCCGACAACAATCTGTGCTTTTGCAACGGAGCGGGGATACCGCGTGCTGGGCGGGTTCCATGGCGCTCACGCTGAATAGGAACCAGCTCATGCCACAGCTCCTAACAGCATCGTTGCTCGGACGCCAGACGAACATAGCAAGCTCCCCTCTTAGGACAAGTCGCTGGCAGCCGGCGTGGCCATAGCAATCGACACCTCTGCGTGGCTGAGGCCGCGGGCGTCGTGAAGGCCGAATGATGCCTCTAGAACGACCACGCTCGTGATGGTGCTTTTCCACTCAGAGTGACTGCATCGTGAAGCAGTATGGAGCCACCATGTCACCCTCCAACCCATCGCGAGGTGAACCATAAGCCTCAGTCGTCTCGTGCACTTCCTGATCAATCCCAATCGCTGTCATCATCATCCACTGCCGCCTTCCTGGCACCCTGTCGAATAGTCTTATTCYCCCTCTCCATATTCTCATCATCTTCCCTTTTCTTCAACCTCGAGTCTCCGTGCTTGATGGCTCCGACCTGTAACAAAACCTGCTCCATATCTTCGACACCCGTGGCACTCCCCCTCAATTCCTTGCATGTCACAATTTGCCGCCTGATCTCCCCTTGGTTGTAGACCAACACCGTAGGCGTATTTCGGTCGGGGTATCCCTCGATACACAGGTCGGCCCTCATAGAACAGAATTTGACATCTCCAAATTTAACTGCCAGATCCCTCCAGATCCCACTCATCAACCTGCTCTCCGTGTTCTCCCCAGACGAGCTCGTCAACAGAACCAGTACCCAGGCTTCTTTGCTCGCTTCTGTGACATCTTTTGCATAGTCTGGCTTTTGAAGCGGGTAGACCTGATTGAAAACGCTGGCTTGTTGGAGAGAGGCCATTTCCGCCATGCGTTTMTGGCGATATTGATCGAGGAATGCTTCATCCTCATCTTCTTCGAGGGCATCGAGTTCGTCAMGGTCCTTGTCTTCCAGACGATTCTCATGCGCAAGAGCTCGAGCTTGGGTGAGGGCTTCTTCGATGAGAGGTGTAGGTGAGGGCGGTTTCTCGGGAATAATGCCTTTACTGCGGAGAATATCGTTCCTTGAAAGATGTGAGTGTTGAGTGGGGTAGGATGTGTGGGAGAAAATCTACCATTCCGTGTCGGCATTGGGATCGTCCACGGGGACTTGCACGGGCATGTCTGGCATATCCATTGGATTCATCGTGGCGGACTATCTTGGTGCGTTGTTGTGATTCCGAAGTCCAGGTGGGATGTTTCTCGCTTGCTTGCTTTCCATGTGAAGATGTGACGAATGCCAGACGTCCTTCCCCGGAATTCGAATCTCAGCCCTACGGAATTGAACACTTAGCACCACGACAGCAGCGGACGAACAACGGACCTCCACCTTATTCCTTTTTCATGCTGCTCCGATAGGAGCAATCAGCAAGCACCATGTCCCAATTCAATAAAAAGGACGATGAGGACGCCGGAGTGGTGAGGGTGGACCGCACATCGGTCTTTCAAGAAGGTACTTGTTCACTCACAATGCATACACCCCCTGCCACGCCACGCCATGCTGCTATGCTATGCGATGCGATGCGCCATGTTCTCCTCGGCGCGTGCTAATGTCTTTCCCCAGCGCGCGTCTTCAACACATCTCCCGTCTCTCCCCGCCGATGCCGCATTCTGCTCACCAAAATCGCCCTCCTCCTCTTCACTGGCGAGAAGTTCCCCACCAACGAAGCCACGTCCCTCTTCTTTGGCATCTCGAAGCTCTTCCAGAATAAAGATGCCTCCCTGCGCCAGATGGTCTACTTGGTCATCAAGGAGCTGGCCAATACCGCAGAGGATGTCATCATGGTCACGAGCAGTATTATGAAGGATACGGCGGTTGGGAGCGATGTCGTGTACCGCGCCAATGCCATTCGAGCTCTGTGCCGGATAATAGACGTATGCGAGACGGACATATTCGGTAAATGGTACAGGGAGCTAATGTTGGTATACAGGCCTCCACAGTCCAGGCGATTGAACGAAACATCAAGACGGCTATTGTGGACAAGACCCCCTCCGTCTCTTCCGCAGCCTTGGTTTCTTCCTACCACCTCCTCCCAATTGCACGTGATATCGTTCGAAGATGGCAGAGCGAGACACAGGAAGCTGCCTCTTCCTCCAAGTCTTCCGGCGGATTTATGGGATTCGGCGGATCTTCCCACCAAATGGCCGCGTCCAACACAAACTACATGACACAGTACCACGCCATTGGCCTGCTTTATCAGATGCGTTCCCACGATCGCATGGCATTGGTGAAGATGGTGCAGCAGTACAGCGCCGCCGGTGTCACCAAATCGCCAGCTGCGCGAGTTATGCTGGTTCGACTGGCTGCCAAGCTTCTCGAGGACGACCCTGGCATGCGAAAACCGATGTTGAAACTCCTGGACGAATGGCTGCGCGACAAGAGTGAAATGGTCAACTTTGAAGCTGCTAAAGCAATTTGCGACGTACCAGATCTCACAGACGCGGAGGTCGGCCAAGCGATTCATGTTCTCCAGCTTTTCCTCACCTCTCCACGAGCAGTCACCAAGTTCGCCGCCATCAGGATTCTACACCAATTTGCCTCGTTCAAGCCAGACGCTGTACGACAGTGCAACCCAGACATCGAATCACTCATCTCCAACTCCAACCGCTCCATTGCAACGTTCGCCATTACCACCCTTCTCAAGACTGGAAATGAAGCTTCCGTTGACCGACTCATGACCCAAATCAGCACGTTCATGTCCGAAATCACAGACGAGTTCAAGGTCACTATCGTTGAGGCTATCCGTACGCTCTGCTTGAAGTTCCCCTCCAAGCAGGCGCGCATGCTGGCCTTCCTGTCCGGGATCCTGCGCGATGAGGGTGGATATGAATTCAAACGTAGTGTGGTGGAAAGCATGTTTGACCTCATCAAGTTCGTCCCGGATAGCAAAGAAGATGCACTGGCCCATTTGTGCGAGTTCATCGAGGATTGCGAGTTCACAAAGCTTGCCGTGAGGATTCTTCATCTTCTTGGTATGGAAGGACCGAAGACAGCGCAGCCTACCAAGTACATCCGGTACATTTATAATAGGGTAGWGTTGGAGAACGCGATAGTTCGCGCTGCCGCCGTCACTGCGCTTGCCAAGTTCGGTGTGGGACAAAAGGACAAAGAGGTGAAGAGGAGCGTAAATGTCTTGTTGACGAGATGTTTGGACGACTTGGATGATGAGGTGCGAGATCGTGCGGCGTTGAACTTGAGACTGATGAAGGAAGAGGATGATGAGGTTGCTGCGCGCTTCGTGCGAAATGGTGAGTTTCACATTCCTGTGCATGTGATTGAAAGCCGTCTGACCTTCTTCTGCAGACTCGATGTTCTCTCTCCCCGTATTGGAAGATCAACTGGCTCACTACGTCAACGGCTCATCGGCCGAGGCGTTTGCCAAACCCTTCGACTTTGTCAATGTACCGGTCGTCACACGCGAGCAGTCCCTCGCAGAGGACCGAACGAAGAAACTCACAACCGCCACACCTACACTCAAAGCACCCACACTCGGACCTAAGAAGTCGGAAAGCTCTGCTGCAGAAGCAGCAGCCAATGCAACTGTCGTCTCTCAACGATACGCACAACAACTCTCCGCCATTCCAGAGTTCTCGTCATATGGCKCTGTGCTGAAGAGCAGTCCTATCATCGAGCTCACCGAAAGCGGAACTGAATACGTCGTCGCGGCGATCAAGCATCTGTTCAGCGACCACGTGGTTTTGCAGTTCAACGTCAAGAACACTCTTGCCGACTATGTTCTCGCGGACGTGAGCGTGCTGTGTAATCCTTCCGCGGGCGAGGACGGCGAAGCGAGCGTTCTCGAGGACGACGGCTTCATCATCCCTGTTGAGCTATTGAAGAGCGACGAGCCCGGCAGTGTCTACGTCAGCTTCTCGAAACCCGCCGGCCAGTTCATTACTGCAAGCTTCACAAACGTGCTTAAATTCACACTCAAGGAGATCGACCCTAGTACGGGCGAACCCGAGGACTCTGGATACGAAGATGAATACGAAGTCGGCGATCTGGAACTTACTGGCAGCGACTACGTTGTTCCTGCTTTCGCGGGCTCATTCGATAACATCTGGAGCAGTCTGCCTGATTCCGAGGAGGTATCTGAGACATTACAACTCGAGCACGCCAAGAGCATYGCAGACGCGGTGGAGAGTCTTGTTGCGAGCTTCGGTATGCAGCCACTGGAGGGCAGCGAAGTTGCTTTGAGCCAAAGCACACATACGCTGAGATGTTATGGTAAGAGTGTGTTGGGTGGCAAGGTCGCAGTACAGGTTCGGATGGCGTTCTCGGCGAAGAGTGGAGTCACGGTGAAGATTACAGGGAGGAGTGAGGAGGAGGGACTGGCTGCAGCTGTTTTGGGTGGTATTGCTTGAGTCGGATAGACTGGTTTGAGAACAGTTTAGAATATTGCGAGGCAAAAAGTGTGTTGCAGTTTGGGTCCTCTCCTGCGGCATGTGACGAAGTGAGTTTGAGAGAATGATGAGTCCCTGCTGAAATGTTTTAGGGATATGGAGCTGTGAAAAACCGCTGTCATTCACATACTTCGTATCATTTTGATGACCAGAACTGCCGGTATGTTGGGCATAGTCATGATGGCTCTCGTCAGGTACACCGTTCATGAGCGGACGTTACCGGATCGCGACTTTGCATTAAACTTCTCAAATCCACAACTGCGAACCTTCAATACGAATCCTCCGACGTTCGTTCCGGAAAGCTGCCTTGGATTTTTAGGCGCTGTGAGCCCACAGTATAATCAACATGATAGTACAAGTGGCCAAGTCTCTCGCCGGAWATCTTTACATGTTCAAGTGGATCAAGAGCCACCTTCCCGCCATGATCAAGTGTCCTGACAAGGATTAATCAACCATTTTGACTTATACAACAGCGAGGTCACTTCGACAAGTTCGTGGATTTCGACATCAAGCAACCTGGCGAGGGGTTTCCGTCTTCTCCATCATATCTGCGGATCTACTACCGCGTGAAGCGACCCTCTACGCAGATCTATACTGCGGACAGCTGCCAAAGCGGTTCCCGTTCCACGTATGGAGCACATCGCTACATTGGCMGCCACAAAAATCTTGTCCATGGCGAGATACTCGGGACTGCGATCATACACACTATCACGGCTTCGGACTTGCGAAGCCCTAGGTACTGCTGATCCGACCGTCGCTCGAATTTTAAGGTTGGACGTCTTGAAGCAGCCGTGCGACTACCATACCTAAGGAGATGCATGCACCACCTAGCTCAAGGAGATGGATCTCTCCAAACAGCAAAAATAGTATCCGCCGGTTCACGATGGGGCATGGCATTGGGGAAGGCAGAGGGATGTATGTGGAGAGGTATCCGGAAGAGTCCATTGAAGATAATGTCGAGGACCGTGGTCGTAACGTTGTATAGAAGCATGAAGTTGATTGAGCGGAATACAGCAACGACGAACAAGAAACAGATGAAGATGTGGATCAATCCGAGATCTTGTATGAGGAAACTGAGTGCGAGGCAAATGAAGATTAAGATGGAGGCCGAGACGAGGAGAACATATGGCCTGGGAGTTTGAGCTGTCTACACGCCTGGGTTGATAGGGGAGGAATGCAGGGTCTCATGGACAGCATAAGGTAGACCTTCTTAGAGCAAGCCGCGATCGTTTCATCAATGCGATAGGTGCCCATTCGAGGGCATGCAGGGCAAGAACTCCACTGAGATTTCCATACGAAGCAGCCCGTCTTCATTGCGAGCTCGCCAAGTTCTAGAGCTTGCCTTCGATTCCATTGGCGTAAACCAATGAGATCAACTTCTCGATCGATAGACGCGTACAGTCCTTCCCGAAAAGAAGTGAAACCTCCCTCAAACGTAGCGATCTACAATCGCCAATCCTGTAATGCAAAGGTGCCAGTCGCGGTAGGAATCATGAAAGGCATTAGCGCCTGATGGAAGCTCGCTCTTCGTACTGTACGAGTCGGCCCMGTACCATACGAGACACGACGAGATCTTCATCCACGGCGGATCACCAGCGGATCACATGCTGATGCAGCCGCGTAGCCAGTTCAGCGCGTGCGATACGCATGATTTCTTGCAGATCAGGTCCCAATACGGCGGAATACGGCCTTATCGACCGTCTCAAACGCCTTGGCTCCCTTGAATTTCCGCCGGACTTTCTCGGGACCTGATATCCACACAATCACACACGAGTGGGCGCTGTGTGCGGACTTTATCTGACATGTGCATCCAAGAACGAGATGACGAAATTGAGCTTCGCGTGAACCTTGATTTTGCACGACATATACACAACACGAGACCCATGCGTGCTCGTGCACCGATTACATTTGGATGGAATGCAGCAGGCAGACGACATGGACTTGTATTGCGACAACCAGGAGGGTGACAAGTTCACCCACAACTACTTCACAGCTACCTGAGCCCGCACGGCTTAATGTCACCGCATACTTTATACTGGCAACGACGATGAGCATTGCATAAAGTAATGCAAGCCGGCTGAAACACTCCTTCCATGCAACGGTGGGCGAGCAATGGAATGGATGAAGACGCCCTGCTCCTCCTGCCACAATCTGATGCCATACGAGGTCATCTTCGAATACCACAACCCTTCCACTTCCACGCAAGATGAGCGACAGTGAAGACTTCACGGCGCCCACAAGTTGGTGGTTCGCATCCACGGCATGTCCCTTACTAGCGGCCACCTTCGGACCTGTTGCCAGCGCCTTCAGCATTTGTGCCTTGGTCTATCACTGGCGAGAGTATATCCCACCTGGCACTTTAGAGGCATCCGGCCGCAAGGTTCTCGATCCCAGCTGGCTTCTTGCTTTGAATGCTCTTTCTCTGGTCTGCGCGCTGGTTGGCAATGTAGCGCTGCTACTCAACATGACCAGAAGGCTCAAGTTCTCTACGGCGCAGCCCAYCACCATTTCGGGCTTCTTCCTTGCAGGAGTACTTTTGATAGCAGACATGGCTGCGTTGACCTCTCTCCCTGCTCACTACGACACAGCCACTTCCCCAAAGGTTCCAGGTGCAAGATTCACACTGACCGGAGCTTTCTACTTCGCAATCTTTGCGGCCACATTGTACATCATTATTGGTCTGCTAATGTGTCTTACTGTACACGGAGCTCACAAGCGRTACTATCCAAAAGACTTCAATCTTACGCCCGCCCAGAGAACGTTAATGATTCAGACCATGGGCTTCGTTACTTATTTACTGCTCGGTGCATTGGCACTCAGCAAAWTTGAGGGCTGGAGATACCTTGATGCAGTCTACTGGGCCGATATGACTTTGCTCACCATTGGCTTGGGCGACTACTCGCCTCACACCACAGTTGGACGAGGTTTGATTATCCCATTTGCCATTGGTGGTGTGCTCATGGTTGGTCTCGTCATTGGAAGCATTCGATCCCTTGCACTGGAGCACGGGAAAGAAAAAATGGTTGCGAGAATCATCGAGAATAGGCGGGAGTCCGCTATCCATAGTGTGGACGGCCGGAAACAGACCATCAAGATTTCATGGTTTGCGCGGGCCGACTTTAGCACCGACCCATCGCTGTCTCCGGCACAGAGAAGAGAGGAAGAATTCAAAGTCATGCGTCAAGTACAGAAAAGCGCAGAAACGGAGCGCGGCTATGTTGCATTGGCAACATCKCTTGCCTTTGCACTCCTGCTTTGGTTCGCCGGAGCGGCGATTTTTATGGTTGCCGAGGAAAGACAGGGCTGGACTTATTACCAATCTGTTTACTTCACCTTCACTGCGCTGCTGACCATTGGCTACGGCGACTTCACGCCCGAATCGAACGCGGGAAAAGCTTTCTTCGTGCTTTGGTCGTTGCTCGCCATTCCGTCATTGACCATCCTGATCTCGGACATGGGCGACACGATCGTGAAATGGTTCTCCGATATTGCTACCTGGATCGGCTCTGTGACCGTTCTTCCTGATCCAGGCGGCGCCAAAATCACAGCGAAGGCCTTCCTGCAGCGATTCGATGAGAAGTGTGAGCAGATCCTCTCCAAATACACTCCGTTCGGTCGGAAGGTGGGCACGAAGCATTTACACCGGATGGACGCACGCGAGCACGAGGAGCTGATGCTCAGATCGCTTGCGGACATGTTGGAGGCGCACGTCGAACAGGACGAATACGACGAGGCCATGAATGCAGAGTTCAAAGGCGAAGTTCTTGAGGTACGTCTCAACGCCGTAAAGCTGTCACTCGCGGGAGCATGCTACTTCGGCCTCCGCACCTGGACCTTTGATTCATTACCTCTCACGATCCATGGCCTCTGCTTGGGCGTACTGACACACAGGGGATCAGCACAGTCGCTCATGGGGCAGCTGAGACCGTATACTGATCATTGATACACGAGCAGCGCGACATACACTTTTACAACTATGTCCTGTCCAGGGAGCACCACAAAGTTCAGAAAGACATTTTCGCCTCGCCTGCCAAGCAGTACTCATGGAACGAGTGGGAGTACTTTCTCAAGTTGATGGGCAGTGAAGAAGACCAACGAGACGTTCCGGGCACAGAGGATGTCGAAGGTTTTGTTCCCGGGCCTTTGCAACCTGGAGCAAGCTTCCGCGAGCGATCGACGACCGACGACATGATAACCGCAGAGGATGAGGGAAAAGATGGTGCTGTGGATCGCAAAACCGAGCTCYGTACACACCACGCTCGGCATGGTGAAGAGAGCAAGCATAAGCTAAAGCTACGTCGTCGTCCAACAGATGACCCTCTGTCGGAGTGGTCATGGCTTTCTGAGCAGAGCCCATTGATGAGCAGCAAGACTGAAAGCGAATGGATCGCTGGTCGTCTCTCTGCCGCTCTGGTTCGGGAGATGAACAGGCAGCGCAAAGGACATAAGCGCCGGCCCCCTGTGAGTATGGTACACCTTACCCACTCCAAAAAACTGTCTGAAAAGAGGGAGGAAACACAGCAAAAGTAGAAGACGTTTCGTTCATTGAAAACTGAATCTATGGAACAGGAAGCTATCAAATTGAAATTCCGCTGTCCTGCCTCGCTGCTATTGGCTTCTCTGGAAGCGCTGGCTGTGATGCATTGCTCGGGAAACGTTCTGACAGGTTTGTGTTTTGGGCAACATTCTTTCCATGAAGCAGGTCCGGCCCACTGAGGATGAAGCTCGCCCACTTCCACAAGCTGGGTTGTACCGCAATAACGACCACTATCCAGAAAAAAAGCTCGGCCGAAGAAACAAATGAGAGTGCACCACCTGGGTACGGCTTTTTCAAAATATGAACCAAATCCACCCATCCCTTCATGAAACGCTCGGAGGGTCGAGCTTCTGGATCCATGACAAAGGCAAGCAGGAAGCGAGTGTAAAGGCCAATGTGGACACCGCCAACACTTCCGATGCCTTCTTGCCATGTGCAGTTGGTCGCGCATACCGTGGCATTCTCTGTAGGGAAAGTTTGCAGATACCAGTTCGGTGGCTGGTACTTGCTGCTCGACTTGGTTTGTGGCAGAAATTGCAATGATGGGCGAGAATAACCAGTGGCCAGGATGCAAATATCACCCTTCTCGGTTGTGGCCTCGCCGTTCAGTTCTCCTGCCTTTGGACTGCCCTTTCTTCTTGTGAATTCGATTCCGTGTTCTGAAAATCCGCGGACATCCCCTCGGACCCAGCTTGCTCTACCCTGACGCATCAATTGAAAGATACGGCTGTTGACGATGGGGGTGCCCGAGAAAAGAGTGTATGGTCCACTGCTTGGAGGGGCCATCTCCCAGAACTCTCTGTAAAAGAAGAATCGAATCATGAATCCCAAGATCCAAGCCAGGATACCAAATCGGTCACCAACAGTCCCGGCTAAGCATGCATTCAACCTTGGCTCTCGGGGAATAAACCATCTCTCAGACTGTTCGATCGTTAGCGACATCTTACAATTTGGGAGACCGGGGAAACCTACCCTTGCCAAGACCTTTGCTGAAGCAGCCCCGTTGTCGCAAGAAAACTCCAATGCTTCTACTGCGCTGGCACCGCCTCCGATGATGACGACGTTCTTGCCCTTGACTGCTTCTGGGTCCAGCTCGGAGGAATGTATTACGCGACCCTTGAAGTTGTCTTGTCCAGCRATCTTGGGTGCGTAGACTTCACCACAGGTGCCCACCGCGGCGACGACGCCATCGAAGTAGCCGTAGGAAGGATCGTTCACCACCCACTTGCCATCATCTTCTTGCCGCGTCGACTCCACTGGGCAGTGGAAGGTGGTTCGTGATGCAAGATTGTACCGGTCCCACAATTGATGTACTTGTCCAAGGATTTCTTGTCGGTTGGGGTAATCCGAATCCCACTGTACGGCTGGATGGAATCGGTAGAACTGTGAGTGTATTTGGAGCCGGCTGGTTGTGTTGACTTTGGTCCAGATTCCTCCAACGCTGGACTCGTTGCCTGACTCGAAGATGTGGCAGTCCAATCCAGCATCTAGGATATGGCATGCAGTTGAGATCCCCGTGATACCGGCTCCGACTATGGCAATCCTTGGACGGCCACCTGCGCTCTGTGCTTTGCCATTCTCACTCAGGTCGATGAGTGATCCATACGAGGACTTGCGTTCGATCCCGAAGCCATCAAAGCTGTACATCTTCAAGGTGCTGGTGTGGAAGGTTGAGGTGTGAGTGTGGAAGATGAACGTTTGTAATGCCGGTAGGGCGAGGTCAACCTAATACATCCATCTTCATTCCGGAGCATTCAAGGCTGAAAGAAGATTGCCGAGCTGCCACCTACGTCTCGATGGGTCTACGTGCATGGTGCACGCCATCGCTTGGACTGGTTCTGGCATCTGAACAAAGCCAAAGGAAGCCAAAGGAAGCCACCGACACCAACTGGAGGCGCTACGGGCACAGGGACTTCTTCGACAACTAAGCTAGCCACGTCGATCTTCCCTGTCTCAGAAGGTCATTTCCGGAGGCAGGACGATCTTGGCGGATGCTTGTTGGTGCTGCCTCTGCTTAGACCGCGATAGAGGCACTCATCATCAATGCCGCGGCCAAAGTCGATGTTTGCCGATCGGCAACACATGGCCGATGCCCGTGCGTTCGCAACTGCAATACCCCTGCCTGTGCCCTTCTTGTTGCTGGTACCGTTACYAGATCTCCGGCGGCGTGAAGATCTTCAGGACAATTTCACTCGTTCAGACCATGGTCYAAGACCGACCTTCTACAACCCCGCGCTCACAGATCAGCGGTCTGGGCGATATGCAAGGCTATCACATGTGTCGACGCAGCAGATCATCGTAGCAAACCTGACACGACGGCACAAATGCCACCCGAGTGATTGAGAAGTGTCTCATGCAATAGACTGGGCCATTCTGGCCCACAACCATGCAACTGTCACTACCTAGTAGAGTCCCAACGGGCCAACGACCGGTTGATAGATCATTGGTCACATTTCCTGCCAACCTTATTCAGGCGATAGGGAAGCGGTGCAAGTAAAACCGTTGGACCTTGGGAACGGTTAGTTAAGGTTCATCGTAACCTAATTGCCTACGCTTGGGCCAGTCCTGCATCGAGAGGTGGGCCCACAGGGTCCAGATCTTCCTGCATCGCAAGGCTCTGTCAACTCGAAGTATGCAGTCACTTGCACATCGCGCCTCAACATGCTGCAGTTCGGTGGGTGGAAGAATCATTGGCCCAAATCATAAGCTGAGGTCTCAGCAGCTGCTTGCACAAGCGGCAAGCCACCCACGCTCATTCTTGGTTCCTGGGGATCGACCGGTATGTGCCGTAAGGCCACCGACGATGCAGCATGATCACAAACTGAAAAGGACAACGCTCGAAAAGCCACTTCGCCGATCATCCGTCGACAGGCCGTAACCTTGAGCTCGACGTCCGCTTGAGGAAATTTCGCAGTCCTATCATAGAGTTTATGTTTAAAATAATGGTTGGCTGATCGTCATGGCCCGAGGCAAGATCTTCATCTGACCCCAGACTGTATCGTTCCCAAGACAAGCACGGTCTTCTCTCTTCGATCTACATTTGCGTTTATTCGACAGATACCCAGCATTGTCAGAAAAGCCTGAACAGCAAAGGTTTCCCAGTCAGCATGGCGGTCAAAATTCAAGAAGAATTGAAGATCTCCGTCCACCAGCGTCGAGATAATGCAGGCGAAGAGAAGAGGAACAAGGCATTGAAGAAAGCCATCGCCTTTGCCAAATACCCTCTCCTGGTGAACGTCATCTATTTCGGTTGGAGATGGTTCAACGTTCTGAGCAACATTCGCGTCTCAAGCGGCGCGGAATCTGCTGCATGGATTGCATTTCTTTTGGTTGAAGGTACCTTTGCAGGTGAGATTGGACCMTGTCATATTGATACTACATGTCCATGGCTGACTGTATGTACAGTGAGCGCTCTACTGAATGCTCTTCTGGTCTCTGGATTGGGCAAGAAATGGACCCCGCAGAAGCATCTACGAATTCAAGGCAGTGATGTGCCATGCGTTGATGTATTCCTTCCATGCTACGGTGAAAGCCTTCAAATCATCTCGGATACGGTCAATGCCGCGATTAAGCAAGACTACCCTGCAGACAAGTTCCGCGTTGTCATTCTGGACGATGGTGGATCGAGTRCTGTGCGCGACCTCATCGCGGAGATCAAGAAGAAGAACCCATCTGTCAGTACAAAGAAAACATGCTCCGAGAGCAGTCATATTGTTACCGCTTCTCAACAGTTGCTGATTGATCTACTGTTTCCAGATCCAGCTCCATTATGGTGCTCGAGGCGCCGCAGTGAAGATCCACTCGAAGGCTGCCAACATTTGCTTCGGCTTGGACCTGGTGAAGGAACTTCCAGGAGGTGCAGCACCGTACGTCGAGTCACCATGCAACACTTTCACTGTCGATGAATGCTGACATTTGCTCCAATTCTTAGATACTTCGGAGTCCTCGATATTGATATGATTCTTGGTCCAGAATGGCTCCGCGCTACCGTACCTTTCCTCGAAGAAGACGACGGCGTTGCACTGGCAGGCTCTCCTCAAAAGTTTTACAACCTGCCTCACGGCTTCTGTCTTGCTCCTCGTTTCCTACTGGAAAGCGATGTGCTGCAGCGATTGTTCGATAGCTCTGGCAAGGCAGTGTGTCAAGGCACAGGATACCTGGGTCGCGTATCCGCTTTCGACTCCATTGGTGGATTCCCAACAATGGTCAAACAAGAGGACAGCTTCATCGTCAGCATCATCCTGGGAGCACACGGCTGGAGATGTCGCATTCTCGAAGAGGAGCATCAACATGGATTGAACGCTCTGAGCTACACTGACATGGGTAAGCTGACGTTTACATTCTACACAAGACGATTTTGGCTGACAGCTCCTAGCCAAGCTCCAAACGAAATGGATGACAGGAATCATGCACGCATACTCTTTGTTCACTCACCCAGTGATGTCCGACAAGCCTGTTGGCAAGAGGGTGGCTGGTCTCATTCCCGTCCTTCACTTGACCATCTTCAGGTTGTTCTTGATTGTCTCGCTCCCCACGATCATCCTGCTATCACGAAGCTCTTCCGTGGTCCCAAACAACAACTCTGGCAACTTTTTTATCACCTTGGTTCTGGCTTTCCTGGCCCACTCCACCGTCTATGTCCAGTCCTGGATCCTTTCCGATGCTGCTGAGGGTAAAATCGGGCTTGACGATGGAACCCGGCTTTGGAACCTCCCCTATCAGTTGAAAGGTATCCTCTGGCTCGCACAGCACTCCATATTCGGCGAGAACAAAATGAAGAGCTTCTTGACCACTGGAGCCGACTGTGAACTCAGCCGCAAACTTGCAAGCTCTGGCTTCTTCGGACGACTTACTCGCACGGTTGTGTTCGACGGCGCTTGGATGCATATGGCGTATCTCTCCGTCCTCAGCTACGTCCTCTATTTGACGATCTCGGAGACATCAAACGCAAGTCTGCTTATTGCTTCCGTGGCGTATCCACCATTCACCAAGATTCTGATTGACTGCCTGTACAACTCCGTCACACCAGTCATTTACTGCTTGTCAACCGACCCGAATCTGATCACAAGAGAATCACGACTGGAGAGGGATGAGAAGACTGGTGTTGCGAGACCACTTCTGTCGGCGATTACGCCACCACAGTCTACTTTCTGGGGAACTTTGGGTATCTCGGGTACAACATGGCTGTACTTTGCCGTCGCACCTGCGTGGGCAGCGTTGAGTTGAAGGAGATTTGGCTCCTTGTACGTCATGTAGAAAACATATAGTAGCACATTTACGAATCACGCGTTTCCAACAACTTCAAATCACAAATTCCAACTTCGAATCGCACTTTTCCAACTTTGCATTTCTTCAATCGTCATATTTCTTCGCTCGTCATATCGATCGATGATGCTGGCGAGAGTTCGGAAGGAGGCGAAATCGGCCGTGATGAGACTCTTAACGGACAATTGTATTCCACTACCAAGTTTGCGGTACCTGAGTACGGCAATACGACGTCAATCTCAACCAGAGAACCCGGCATTAACTCTTCAACGTTCATCGATTTTGCCGTCGAGAATATTCTTTCTTCCCAACGATGGGAAGACCCGATGGGACCGGGTCTTGATGTGGTTCCAAGGTTGAGGTGGAACACATGTCTTCAAACGACTTTAAGTTTTTTAGGGTTAGTGTTTTGGTTGGAACATTGTCTTATGGTAACCGCGACTACATGACACTACTTCATGCATGCCGAACTCCAGCTTTTCGAGACTCGGCAGGAGTTGTTCTGGAGAAATAGAAAATATTTTTTGTTCGGTAATAGCGGTACATTGATTTTTCCGAGGAGAATGGTGGAGCAGGTGTTTTGTAGGCAGGATATCTTTTTATGCTAGCATACTTGAGAACTTAACAAGTCAAGTGACATATGATGGCTCTCGACGACAGGTACAATAATATCAAGAGCGAAGACMTCTTTGTTCAGTGGAACAAATTACACAGTTGCCTACAACACAAGTACTAGGACTCCAATCAAACACAAGACATGCGAATACCATACACGAAGCGTACCTATCAAAGACTACTCAAATACACCACATCACAACCGAGACTTCCCAACAACGATGCCCCTAATAAGTTCATCATGCGCCGGGTTACAAGCCGTCCGATACTCAGCATACTCCCTAAACTTCGGATCMGCAGCCATTTTCTTCAACGTCTCAGTTTCCGCATACACGACAATTTCAAACCCACCATCCTTGGTCTTGGGGAACATGATGAGATATCCATCCGCAAAAGACGTCTCCACTGGTCGCTTTCTCGCCAGTTCAATTCCACGACCCCAAGCGACTTTGTAGAGTGGATTGTGCGTGACGTTGCTGAACTCGACATCTGTGCCGAAATCTCGGTCCATGTTGGCTTGGACGGTGGTGATGGGTTCGTTTTTGAGATGGGCTTCGATGGAACCCCATTGCTCTCGGATGCGCTCTTCTGTCCACCAGGATACACTTTTCGCAATTCGATCGGCTATGACGTCTGTGCTCAAAGTTCTCAATTCGGATGCAGTGGCCTTGGCTCGTCCGTAGACTAGAGCATTACCGCAGTGGTTGGGATGTAAAACCTTGACGCGTCCTCGAGTCTGAGCGACGGTGAAGTTGCGGGTCAGCGTGTCGGGACTGAGTCCTCGGGCACGAGTGAAAACTCCCCAAAGCCAGGTTGAGAAGCATAGATGCACGGAAAGTTTCTGCCCTGGTTTCTGCGAGGCAGCTCGCAGCTGCGCCTGTTTCTCAGGAGACAGATACCAGACCGATGTGGTCAACTTTGCGAATCGTGCGAAGAATGCAGCCATTGCTTCCTCGGAATGTGCGACCATTGGAGGTGCTTTACGCCAATCCTTCCATTCGAGGAGTGGTCGTGCATTCTTGGATCCCCACATCACCGACTTGTCCAATGCGGCTGGAGGGAGGAGTCCGGAGGGCTTGGAGGCATTGCCGTCGAGAGCTCGCGAGAGATGATGGGCGAAGATGAGTTCCAGATCGCCAATTGATGATCCATCCAGAATCAAGTGGTTCATGGTAATCACAATGAGAAGACCACCTTTGAAGAAGTTGGCCTGGATTCCAAAATTGAAGGTCCCGACGCCAGACATTGGGGCCTTTGTTACGGAGACCTCACCGCGTGGGAAGTAGTAAGATGGCCAGTGTTGGGCTTCCAGTTCGCTGGCGTCCAGATGTGGCATCCAGTTCAATCGGACCAGAACTTTGTCATTGTCCTCAATGACACACTTGATGGTTTTGCACGTCTCATCTTCGTAAACGACACGACCGGCGAGCGCGGGGATTTCAGATACCGTGCCAGCCGTAGCTTTCTTGAAGGCTTCGATGAAGCGTGCCTCGTCGAATTCGGGAGTCGTTTTAAAACACAACAGATCCGGGATCAAAGTGTTGATACCAATCTGATCTGCGGCAGGAAAGAAGATAGTCTGTGCTGGAATGGGCGTTGATGGCAACACCCAGAAGTCCTGAGCCTGTGCTGGTTTCGCTGCAATCGGCGAGCTTGTTGCTGAGGACATTTTGGCGATGCGTGTTTTTTTTGATCGGCGCCTCGGTATGAGAAGCTAACGAGAAAGAAGTGCTAGGAATGGTGTGTGGAAAGATTTTCACAGGTCCATTTTCAACAAACCTCCCCTTTCATCATAGATCGAGTAGTGGCCTGAGGCTGCTCTGGATCGTGATACCTTACTTATGAATAGCCCTCGGTAACTTTGCCCTCACGATTGGGACGATCATCGCTAGTAGCGACCGCACTTCGCGTATCCGGATTTTGGAAATGTGATGCTGATCATTCTCCTGCTTTGGGATCAAAGATGGTTTAAGATCAGCCGTTGCCAGAGTCAAAATTTCAGCAGAGCCCTTCTTCTAGACCACAATCCCATACGTTGAGTGAGACTGGGCTGGCTGGTTGGATCGATGCGAGTATTCATTCTCATAGTTTCTACCGCGGTTGTGAAAAGTTGATGTTCAAAGTACCATGTATACGATCTCCTTCGCATGCATCGGGTTGCAATTGCCCCTCTAGGAGAGAGTCCATAGCCTGCAGTGGCTGCGGCAGATCTGCAACTTCAGCTCACCTGCCGTAAGCCCTCCCGAKGTGGAGATAAGTCGTGATTAGCGCCCGCCGCTAGATGAAATGATCGACGGATCGACAGTCGTCACATACATATGCCAAGACGTGAGGCTTAAGGAGACTTTCCTGCAGACTTGAGGAGGTTGTTTTACACATTCGATTTGAGGGGTATAAGATGATATTCCCCGCAATCTGACCTCGGACAACAACTCCAGACGACGAGGATCACTTTTAGGCGACATGCACCCCACTCGTTAGATGCATGTGACCAGTTCAAAGCGAATGCCATCCTTTGAAGGCCACACGCCCGCCGATCGAGATACTCCAGCCCAGTCTACGAGAAGTGACCAATGAACGTGATGAGAAAACGTGATAAGCAGGCAGAGAGACGAGATGCAATGCGATTTTAACATCACCCTATTTCGTGGGCAAGCCATTCAGGCCTGCATGTCGGCATCCGACATGAACAGCAGCGAAGTTTCTCCCTCAAACGTCCATGGAGTTCGAAGGGACCTCGTCAAAGACAATCTCGACTTCTTCCTCGTCAATTTCGCTCCCATCTCCAGAAGCGACGCCTCCAGCTTCCATGTCCACCGCAGCAGGTTGACGAACATCGATTGGAGTGTCATCGATTGATATGAGCTGCTGCTGATCGCTGGTAGCTTCAACGCCAACAGCGGTGTCATCCTTCGTCTCAAAGTCTCCAATAGAGGGGCTGCCACAAGCCGGGTACTCGCCATAGTCCATCGTGACATCTGCTCGAGACTCCAGTGCATGTTCAACGTCAATCGCGGCGAGCYGGCCCTCGGCTGTCGTAGTTCCTCCATCCGATGGCACACCAACATCGTTCTCAGGCAGGCCTGGTACGTTTTCGGCGACTTTGCTGTCGGTTTTGAGCTGTAGATCAGCGTCGAATGGGTCTCCCGCTGTGAAGGTCACCTCCACCGCGTTTTCCTGACACATCTGCTTCGCGGATTTCTGCACAACTCCCTTCTCCATGGAAGAGAGCAGGCTGAAAGTCAAAGAAAGATCTCCGCCAGCTGGAAGTTGTCCGCCACCGCTCGACGAACCCTCAATCCCAGCTTTCTCAACAACACTCGTCACTCGACGTTTGTTGTGATGTAGGTTCATCACGTCTCCTGCATGCAATATTCTACCCTCTGGCATCGAAACCTCCGCCATCGCCTCTTTCAGCGGCTCCAGCTCCCCGTACAATTCAGCCATGGCCTGAAACTTGGCCAGCTTCTTGTCAGTTGGGAGGGTTGGCCTCGCTTTTGCAGTCTGGTACGCCAGCGACATGTTACCGTTGCGTCCCTTGGCAATACTGGCAAGATCTCTGGCGAATATCCATGGGAAAGACATGAATGGCACGTTGTCGAAGCTCAAGACACGACGCGGCTCTTCACGTCCACCCCTCTCAACCATCTGCTTCGACTCTGCGACTGCATCTCCGACTTCATTCGCGGTGACAGTGTACATGGCGACAATGAAAGGCTTCATCTTTTCCCAATCGCGCTCTTTCGAAGTGGTGCCTGCCTTCTCATAGCATTGCTCCATGAATTGCGATCGCAGACTTGATGAGACTTCGTCAATCGTTTCTGCGAACTTGAAGTCGTTGATCTCTGAGTTGTGTTCCTGGACGAAGGTGGTGAAGACTTCAAACTCGTTCTTGATTCCGTACTGCGCCATGATGCGACGCATGGATTCGTCGTAGAGATCCTTGACTTCCTTTGCATCCTCGAGATTCTGCTGCGAAGGTACGCATGCGCTTAGAATTCTCTGGTCAAAAGGCAGCTCCCAGGCGGGCTTGAAGTTGTCGAGCTTCACAGCATTGTAGAGCTGACCTATCACTCTTCTTGAGAAGTAGCTTGCACCTCTGGGTTCGGACCAGTGTGGTCTCCTCGACGGTCGCAGTCTGCGAGGGAACTTTGCAGGCATTCCAGTCTTGGGATAGTCAACCGCTTGGGAGTGAAGCCCTGCAAGCTCGATGCAATTCTCATTCTGAACGCCATCCTGCATCATGTCTGCCCAGCATTTGTGGGCAACTGCAATTTGACCGAGCTTATCATTCTTGATGTGATTCACGAAGAAAGACGCCATGTCCTTGACGGAGACAGGACCCTCCCTTGGTGGCGGCTTGGCGGTTGAGAAGTCCATAGCTGGTAGATTCCACTTCGACTCGTGAGGAATGAGTTCCGGGTCCCAAGAAACGATGTACTCATCTCCATCCAGATCACCGCCAGAGCACATATTGGCCAGGTCGCGGTCACCTGTTTGAGGCAGTACCACACAGTCTTTGAGATGATGCAGCGCTGGGACATTGACCGCGCGAACAACTCGAACGTCGCCTGGATGCAGTGTCGGACTGCGGGTGAGTATGCATATCGCTTCGATGACCGTATACCCACCCTTCGCTTCCGGGTCGGGGACTTGGATAAAGACCTCTGGGAGTGGTGGAGACCCATCTGCTGACTTGTCATTGAAYTTATCCAGCTTCTCGTCCTTTGAAAGTTCGAATCCGAAGTTGAGAGGCTTCGGAATGCTGATATCGGCCGGCTCGCGGTTGCTACTCGCCCGCTTATCGTCAAAGGTATTCAAGGTTTCCAAGCCCTTGGCTTTCCTCTCCCGATCGAATGCTTTCCCGCCATCGTCGAAGTATCCTTTTAGCGTACCAGTCTCGTCTGTGACGCCGAAGACGTACGCTCCCTGTTCGACCAGTATCCGCTGCTTCAGCTTGAGATATTTCAGGGCCCATGACCGCCAGAGGTGTAACCAAGAGATGATGAACGGCTCCTGGGTCTCCATGAAGCCGTCGCCGATAGCTTGGGATAACGAAAGCGTCATCTGACTGTAATCAATGTTCTTTTCAAGCAATCTGCGCGCCATTGCCTCATCTGTCATTGCCTTTTCCATGTCGGCCAACATGATCCTCAGCTTATTCATGAAGACACCATCGGAAATACCCAGCGCTGATAGTACCAGGATGAGTTGTACGTTGAGGTTGGCTGATGTGAATTTCGACACTTTGGCGACCTCCAGGCCATAGTAGGCCGCCGGAAACTTTTCCTGACTGGGCCTGATTTGAACTGACATACCCTTGACATCTGGATCAACGGCTAGAACACCCTTGCATCCTGCCATTCGAAATTGGAAAACCGAAGGACGATAGTCAAGCTTGTAGTGACCAGCRATCATGTCCGCTRGTAGTGTGGATATCTTACCGACACCATCCGTGAACTCGTATCCATTGCGTACCACATCATCGATGCGTTGAACATTGACCTTGTGTGGAATACCGCGGGTCGTCGTAAAGCATAGCCCAAGGCGGGAGATGTACTTTGCAACGTTGTTGAACCTGGTAAAGTCTCCCATCCAGTCACGAATCCTGGCCGCGCTCAATGTGTCGGTCGATGCGAAGAAGTACGCGCCGTGCTCGCGGAACTGTGAGCTGCCAAATGCAAGAAACTCATAATGGCGGCCTCCAACGATTATGCCGTTCGTCATGACTCGGAATACTCGCGAGAAGATCTCGTCCATGACACGATGATCTTGAGAGTGCAGTCCACCCTTGTGTCTCTCGTCGTTGAACTTCACCCGGAGGAAGCGGTCTTCATATTGTGCAAAGTTACGCACAACACGGTTCGATGTCTCCAGCACAGGCGTAGAAAAGTAGACAGTCGTTGGTGTGACAGTTGCCGAGGGAATCTTGGCGCAATAGCCAGGCCTCTGCTTCTCGACCACAGACACTTGGTTGTGCAAGAGAAAGATATCCTCGGGGTCGTACATGCGCTCTTTGCGGTCCGCCACCTTTTCGAGAATTTTGACCGCGCGTACCGGGTCCAGTGCGGCCAGTCTCGACAGAAATCCAACATGCATATTGCACTCGTGTATAACTCCCCGCGAAATGCATACCTCCAGTTGGTAATGCACAGAGAATGTCAGGTGAATAGTGTCTGTCATTTGCAGTAGATCGGCAAGGAATGAAGTGGGTTTCGAAGGGTCTAACACTTTTTGCAAGGAGTCTGCCCAGCGCCAGGAGGTGTCCAGATCGCTGTGGACATATTCGAGATCCTTTTCAAGATCGGCGCGTATATTGTGGTCAGCAAGTCCCTGGCAAAAGTGCTTGAAGAAGTCTGAAGATGCCACGGAAGGGCTGAATCTCATCCGGTATGTGAGCCATCTCCCAGTATCCAGAATGCAAGTCGTCTTCCGCAACTGGACAGGGCCTTTGCGACCCGCTGGATCCGCGTCAATGTCGGTCTGGCGGTACCAAGCATTGTACTCGTTCCACTCGTCGTTCTTCACAGCCCCATCGGTGTCATTCAGATCTCCATGCGTCTCCTTGATGTTCGAAGCTTTCCGGTGCACCTCTGGTGGGTGAAGGATTGTGATAACGACAGACACGTACTTGTCGGTCCCGTGCACGAGGATCATCTTATGCATCTGCGCAATGTCAAGCTCGATCATGAACTTCCGAGTGACGGGAGGGCAGTCTCCAATAGCAGGCATCCCGATGTCGAAGTTTAGGAGCACGCGCTTCTTCTTCAGGTCCAAGCTGAGGCTGGCGTTCTCGTCGGTAGGCCCGCTGATGGAGCTCATAATGTTCATGAGATGCTCATTCTTCATGGTGCCAAAGTCGATGCTGACGAGAGGGAGCATGATCTGCTCCGGGTAGGTGTTTGCTCCATCCGGACTTGTGTACATTGGTGTTGGCTTGTTCCTCTCCCAGGCCTGCCATTTGAAGTGTCGTTGGTTGCCTTCGATGTCAAGGTATGCGCCAGAGTTTCGGGATCCGACCCAAGAGATATCTTTTGGAGCGGGCCGAAACACCACAAATGCCTTGCCAGGAGTCCTATCAATGCGGATGTAGTTGATGTTTCCGTATTGCTCGAAAAGTTGGTAAACCATCCACGTAGTGTAGCAACGCGGTAAGTCAGCCACATTGATTGCAAGCTCAAATGGGTTCCGAGGAGATCGCGACGAGACTCGTCGGATAGATTGCGGAGTACGAGGGGAGATGATGTTGCCGTACCGCCGAGGAGTTGGAGAGCCCGCTGCTCGGCCGGTAGGCGTGAGCGCGCGACTGGTGCTGCGAGTTGGAGACCGCGGAAGCATCGGCGGCGTCATCTTCTTGACATGTGGCGGCATGGCAATGCTTCGATCTAGAGGAGTCACAGTACGCTCGAGAGAAGGCATACTGCCTTGGGTATCGGCAGTTTCCTGCGGCGGAGGTAGGAGCAAGTGGAATGTAGACATTCTCTGCCCACGACCTCTGCTTGAGCCTCTGGTGTTGGAACCTCCACGCCGAGAGCGCCTTGGCTTTCGGCCTGCAACTGATGCAAAGTTGTTTCGCAGAGAACCGGGCCGCGCTGGTGAAGATGACGAGGTGCTCGGTGCTGCAATGGACGGATGGTTAGAGGCTGAATGTGTGCTGGCGATGTCTCAGGTAGCCAAGAAGAGTGAGCAAGGGGAAGATGAAGAGGTGGTGGCATGTATGCACATGGGTGGCATCCGATTTGGGGGTTTGCACGTGGCAAGTGAGGTGAACAACGTACCTGTATCTCTTTCACGATCCAACTCCCTCATCGAATCCATGTCGGGGGTTGTCGACTCCAGCCAGTGCTCAACCTTGTCAGCTGTGCGCTCGTTGACGAGTGATCTGTCCATGTTGCAGAGTGGTAGATACCAGGCATCCAACGCGGTGTTTGTCCAATTGCACGCTTTGAGGTGATCTCGACGCCGGTACCCGCGACTTGTTTGCCTCGGACGTGCACGAGTACAGCACCTCGAATGTGACTGTAATTTTGCAGAGATTGACACAAAGAAGACGACACGTTCATAAGGAAAAGCGAGGGATAGCATTGCCCGGGGTACTTACCTATCAAGCTTCGGACTCGACTCGTCACGTAACTGAGCGCCTTCGACAGCAGCGACTTCAACAAACAGGAAGTGTGCCATCAGTATTTCATTCTTGACCCCCGTCACATAGGACCACTCCAAGCTCTGCAGCAAAACGCAGGACTTGTCTCCTCCATACCTTCAACACCGGATGCTGTACCGCCACGTCCGCAAAGGTAACGTCCAGCTCCTCGACATCATCCTGTCCCGGGACATCGTACTTCCAGATTCCATCGGGACCAAAGTGTGCCTCGCCCAGCAGCTTCTCCAACACCAACTCTGCCTTTGCCTGCTCATGCATTTCCCGCGCGCGTTTCACCGCCTCATCGTTGTCCGCCTTTCCACGTGCCAATGCCTGATAGACAGCTTCCAACACCCCCAAGCACCAACCAGCCCGCATGCCAATCTCTCCGCCCAAGGAGAAGCCCTCGTCGAATCCCGCTTGAACATGTTYTTCCTTGCTCACAGCAATGCCTTCGCGGTACCCATTGGTTACGTGAATTCTGCGGAGACGCGGAACGTCGGAGTGCTCCGTGTTACCGCGCTCCCCGCCGTTGCTGCTGTCTCGTTGGTCATGATTTATGGACGGTGAGAGCGTTGGCGATGATGGCGCGGAGCCAAAGACATCGTCAAGCGGATCTTGTCTGGTTTGATGACCATCTTGCGCGTCTTCTTCGTGCTCCCGTGGGCTGTTCATAAAGACTGTTGCGTCATGCTGCACAAAGGGCGGAAGGTCGCGAAGCATTGTCGGGCCATTGTTAGGTGTGGTTCGAGCAGATGAAGATGCGTCGAAGGTTTGTCCCTTGCTTGGTCGGCTTTTTGGCGGGCATTTGTATTAGGGTTTTCGAAGATAGGCTTGGCTTCAACTTTCTGGTCCAAACTTCCAAAGATCTGTCTCTGTCAAGACAAATAAGACATCAGACACAGGTGCAAGCTGTAGTACACACGCACTCATCTCCCGAATCAATATGGTCACCAACTTTCCGCTAACCCTCGGCATTGTGCATGCAGCACCTCACACAGCTCTACACGAGGAGAAGTCCCTCACACCTCGATCTCTATCTACCATCTCGTAGCGGCAAGTCTCCCATTTTGACCTGTCCTGCCATATATAACCTGGCAAGGTACCGTACAGGGTAGTTAACGAGGACGGGATCTTCCTGGCAATTCCTTGGTATCAGATGTTCACCTGTCAGCAGCCCGGTTCTTTGACTTCGCCAGCGGGAAGTACTGCCCGATATTGCCTGATCTACCCACCAAAGGCCTCACCTTTAGAGGCTTCCTCGCAAAACCGAAAGCGACTTCACTTGAAGGAACCGACCAACCAACCATCCACTTTCCCTCCCCGATCACATCCCACCCATCCCGCTCATGGGATCCATGCCCGTCATGGTCATATGCTTAACATGCATCCAAACTCCCCCAATCAAATGATATTCACAAATCGACACATTCCTCTGCGCAACCCCTTCATGCCGTCCCGTCGTCTCGACATTCGCAAACACCTCCGCTTTACCCAACTCCAAATCAACAGTCGTCGTGAAATCCAGCGCTCGGACTTTGAATTCGGGAAACAGCGCACAAGCCCTTTTGAGAGCATCCACGAATCCCTGACATGAGACGGGAGTATCGGATAATGCTGCACTGGTTTGTGCTTCAAAGTAATCCGCTTTGTTGACGAACAAAACTGACTCCGGGCCAAAGGTTCGGGAATTGACTGCGGCGATGTCGTTGAATGTCGTTTGCTCCAATTTGGAGGCTACGACTCTTGGCGAGTCGGAAGCTATTGCCGTCACGCGTTTGGGCGGGTCGTAGATGCTTGCATCGTTGCTTTCTGGGGGAGAAAGATAGCCACACATGCCAAGTCTTGGGGGTAATTTTCTTTTATGTGGGAGGTGGTATTCCAGTGCATGTCATTGTGAGTCGGTGTCGAGCTGCACATCCCATGTTCATCACTTGCCAGGTTAGATGGATTTCTGTACTGACCACGTAACAATTGGCCGTGGAAGCATGTCGGTAGAAGAGCTGAAGATGGTCGATGACAGATAGCTCCCCACTAGCTCACTCGGTCAATCTGGCTATGCATGGTCGGCTAAACTATTTTCAGCGCATAAACATACAACATTCACTTGCTTAACTTTTTACGGTGACAAGGATGTCCTAGTACTGACTTAATAAGCAGACATAACTTAGTGGAGCATGAGTCTCGCAGACTATAAGATTGAATGGCGGTATAATCGTTCTCTAACACAAATAATGTATAAGTACCAAGAAAGTCTGTATGTACAAAGACCATTTCACCCAACAACCATCCTCAAGATCATCCTCCACCCAATCAAGGCAGAATCCAAGAAGTAACCGACTTCCCAGGCACATTCCCACTCCAAACCTTGCCACTTCCAAAAGTAGTCGTAACATAATGCTCATCATCCAACGAATTCCAAATAACAACAGTCTTCGTCCCATCCGGGTTCCTACTCGCCACACTTTGAATCCCCTTTCCATTATCATTACCATCAGTATAAGTATAACTTCCACTCCCGTTAAGAATCGTAGCATCCTGAGGAATGTACTTGCTGAACTGAGCCATGACATAATAGTCATTCGTCAAAGTATATCCATTGCTATTCGCCGTGACGAGTCCGCGACAGTTCTGGCAAGCGTCGCCGTCGAGGTGAGGTCCGAAAGAATCATCTGTGCCGAGCGTCCATGCAATAGCACCAGAGGCCCAATTTTGAAGCGGTCCCATGGTGAAAGTTGCGACTTGATCCCAGCGTAAATCGGCGGTGGTGTAGCATTCTGTCATGTATTGCTGACGAAAGGTCAGTTATTTGGATTGAACAACATCGAGTAGAATAATGTACCTTTTTGTTGGGAAACTTTTCATGGAACTCGCTGAGCACATTCCAATCTGGCGTTGGGGCATAGCAATGCCAAGCAGTAGCGTCCACGAAATCTCCGGCAACATTCATCACTGTCTCCGGATAGTCCGGTCTGTCTGTACTACATGTCAGCAGTTGTCGGAGTCTGAGAAAAGTTCATTCAGATGCGAACCTGTGTTGTGATCGTACGCCCACACGGGGATACTAGTGTTTGCATTCCGCAGTGCAGGCCCAACAAATTCATTGATGAGGTTTGCTGATTCCTCGGCAAACACATACCTGTATGCAGCATCGAGTCAGTTGACCATTCATCCCTGACAAAAGTCAAGTTGCATGACTTACATAGTGGGGAAGTTGCTTTTGCTGTTCAGGGGCTCGTTCTGAATGGTGATTGCATTTACAGTTGCACCCGCATCGTTGAATGCTTGAATGTACTTGACAAAGTAGTCTGCAAACGACTGGGATAGGCCAGGATAGCCGCTACCCTTGGAGCCGTCGTTGAGGTTGGTTCCATCGTCGAGGTTGTTTCCTTGTGTTCCCAGGAGTTTCCGGCTGCGTTTCATCCATGCGGGTGGTGACCAAGGGGAACCCAGCAGGTGCATGTTCGAATTGAGAGACTTCATGGTACTGATCAACGAGACCATGGCATTGCCTCTATCTCCAAGGTTGAAGCCGCGGAGCGATGGATCGGCTTGATTGTTGTTGTCATCGTATGTGTACGCTGGGGCCCCAGAAAGATCAGAAGAAGCAATGGTGTGGCGTAGCAGGTTGAAATGCTTCATCTCTTCCAGCAGAGAGTTCAGTGAATCGCTCGAAAGTGAGCCGAAGCTTGTTACTGTTGCATCTGTAACGCAGCCGCCGAATCCAGTAACAACCTGCTTGTCTCCCGCACCAGTATCATCGATGCTCAAGTCCCATGTGCGTATTGATACGGAAGTATCCTTGCCAATCTTTGGAGCATCAATCTTGGAGTTCTTGTACGCCAAATCATGGTTCGTAGAGTATGCTTGAGCACCGTCGTCTCGGGCGCCCAATGGCAAAGCATAGGCCAGATGTGTCGAACCTGCGAGAGCAAGAAGGATATGAGAAAGCATGGCTGTGGAACGAGGACTAGGTACTGTCTACAAAAGCAGATGTACTGACCAAGGCCACACAGTATAACTATATACATGGCAGTCATCTTGCGTAGATTCATGAGCCCTCAGTAGGCTTCTGTCGATGGGTCTCAGCGCCGCCGATGCAGCACGCCTTACCTCCGCGTTACATCAATACTTCGCCAGACAGCGTTGACTGCTGCAGGTGGTAGCCGCATGTACGCCTCCTACTGGCTGAAAGTGCCAGTAGGATACGTATGCGGCGTCCCATGATCACATCCGGACTTTCTAGTGCCAACAGCGGGCCCCCTTCGTACTGCTCGTCGACTGCGGATCTGTGAGTTGTACCCAAATCGAGATGACAAAGAGGAATGCCTTACGAATTGCGATATATCGCAAGATGACCAAGTGGGGGCTATGGAGAACTGCCCAAACTCTACTGGAGTCACAATGGCAAAATCCAAGCTTAGGTGCCTGTTGGTAAAGAAGCAACACTCGCAAACAAGCATAGATCCGCAATTCTGCCAAGGCAGTAGACAGAAGATGAATTCGAGTCTTTCAATGACATGGTCATGGCCTGCCTCCACAACACAGATCGAGCCGATTATCAGGTGAAAGACTTCCGATTCCTACCGGTGTAGAGGTCGTGTGACTGTTTGAAAGACTTGATGGRGAAGCCTTGATCGTCGCTGCAAGAAGAAGAGCCAACACGTGGATATCGCCAAGCTTGCAGTGGCATGCCGGTCTGCCTGCATGTGACATATCTCGCCATGGTCGATCTTGCTGTGGAGAATCTCGACGAGCGAGGCCTGAAAATTGATCGTATGCAGTGTAGATAGCATTGTCTCAGTGTCGACTTGGAATAGATCCTGAGTCCGTTCCGTCAAAGGGAATAAGGCGCCCCGCGAGATATCGAGTTGAAGTTGGGGTTGTTCAAATAAATTTTTCTCGACGATCATATTCAGGAAGGGAAGGTGGGCAGGTGCTCCAAGCGACGCGTGAGGTTAACGTGGACGGGCAATTCGCGAGAGTTCCAGCCACCTCCGACCGCTCGACCGAGTGCTACATTACCATATCTGGACAAAGCCGCGGCCTCCACCTCATGCTCTTTTAGGCGTCCAAGAATAAGCAAGCCAGCCATCATCGTCATCTCGAATACATGTACAACCCAAGCATCGTGTTAAGCAGCCGCTTTTCCAGCTTCAAGGAGCCGCCGACTATGCGGCAGACGCGAGAATAGATCGGGAGGATCAATAACCAACCCGAAGGATTCTCGTGATCAAGCTCAAGGAGAATATTATAGACCATATCGTTGCGTTTCGCAACGGCCTGCAAATTCCAGGCGGGAGCGACTGGTGGGTGAGCGCGTGAATCATGAACCGAGATGCTTGCAAGCTCCCTCCCCCTTTCCACTGTCATTACCAGCTTGCTCAACAAGGACATCTTCAAACCCGCCGCAGAATCATCACATGTCGTCGTCTAGATGTGGGCAACAAACTTCGTATCCCAGTGAACTGGAAGAACTGCCGTTAGCTTTAGACACCGTCGTGCCAATCACGATCTGGGAACTACCAAAACAGCCAACGCCACTGACGATGCCTTGCCAACTTTACCATCCCAAGATCTTGGTCAAGGCCCGATGAAATTGAAGGTTACTCGGTTGTCGGCACTCCTTGCAGTGACTCGACGACAAAGCTCGCGAAGATATACATAGCTAGCTATAAGCAGAAAATCAACCAGCTTGCAGAAAGGAATATCTTGTTTAATAGCGTCTTGTTATACATGCTTTCCTCGTTGCAGAAGGTGAAACATCTTGGACCGCCCTAGGCATGCAGCAGTCTTCAATATATGCTCGGGAACGACGCAACTCACCGACCATCCGACTATCTCGCGGTGAAAATCGATGTGCTTTCTCAACGTTCATGTTGAGTCGAAGTCGCCCGGAAGTCCCTTAACAAGGACTCAAAAGCATCGCCATCATCGAGCAATCCCCAAGAAAAGGAAACCTCCAATCTTAACCCACCATCAAAAAATAAAAAATCTCTCCGCCCACAGACATCGAATCTGTACATATCTGCCCTCTAAACCTTCCGAAAACGACTCCTCWGCGCCACAACCCCCGTAATCTGCCCAACAGAATTATCCCCCAAAATCTCAAAAGTCTGCATCTCAGCACCCATCTCCAAATCCAACCACGTACGAAGTTCAATTCCCATGAGAGAATCCACACCTACAGTATGCAGGGGACTAGTACTTTCCAATTTCAACTGTGCCAAACCGAGGACTGTACCCAGTTTAATCTCTAGTGCCGAGTGGATAATCTCCATAGCTTCTTCAATCGAGCTGGTCTGCTCTAAGAGAGATTTGTTGACTGCATTGTTGTTCTTTGGAGATAGAGTCTGCTGGAGATTCTTCTCAATTTGGCCGACAGGTGTGATATTATAAAAATGTCCAAATTGAGGCCGAGACATGGAAATTGGTAAATCCACTCCTTGAGATATCATTCTCGCAGGCAATTCCAATCCGATAATAGCTTGACTATCCTTTTCCTTCGAAATCTCTCGTCGTGGATCACAGAAATAATCCATCAGGGCTCGGAAATCCTTTTGAGTGAGATCCATCCAATGGCCAATCTTGCGAAGTTTCTCGAGCATACCCTCTGTTTCAGCCACGTAGCCATCTTCAATCATCATTCCTAGATCGAGGGCTGTAGCTCGAGGCTGTGTACCGCTTGTAGCGAGTTGTCGGGCCAGGGCATCCATGTATGCGTTTGCTGCGGCGTAGTTTGCTTGAGAGCGAGAGCCTTGAATTCCAGAGACGGAAGAGATGAAGATTAGAAGGTCGAGATGAGGTGGGAGAGCAGCGGTCAGGTTGTTTGAGCCGGAAACTTTGGGTGCTAGACAGGCTTCCCAGTCGGAGAAGTTCATGTTTTCGAAAATTGAATCCTGGGACCGTTAGCTGAAAACATGCTCTCTCACTCAAGACAACAGATATCAAGAAAATACTTACCCGATATACAACGCTACTTTGCACGCAGCCACGAATCTCCGGCATGAATTTCTGACAGTGTTCGAATGCTTCGGCAACAGCGCTCGGCGAAGAAATGTCACATGCGGGAGCATATACCTTCACCCCAAGAGCCTGCAATTCCCCGGAGAAATTTGCCGCATGTGCAGACGACAGACCCGAGCGAGAAAGTAGCACCAGATATCGAGCGCCACGATCAACCATCCATCGAGTGATAACACGACCAAGACCTCCAAATGCACCAGCAATTACGTAGGTAGCATCTGCAGATAACATGTGCGCTGCATCGTTCCTCACTAACGCCTGCTATCAAATCAGCTTTGTTGAGTTTAGAAATTCATGGATGGAGTTACCAACTTACCTTGACAGTAGAGTAGTCTTCAATAGTAACGACGCTGGGACCAATATGTTCCGGATCACCATATCGAAGTATCAACTCAGCCTCATTTCCAATTTCCGCCGTGGAAATGGACTTTGGTGGTATCAAAATACCTTCTTTCACCATACACCAAGCCTTTTGAAATAACCGTGCGGCTTTTGCGGGTTGATTTCTCCATAGATCAGCAAGGTTGACTTTAGCATACATGGAATTTTTATTACGAGCGTGGAGGACAAGATTAAAATCATTGCTACCAGTTTTGCTCACAAGGTTGAGATCCACGAAAATTCCATTGTGAGCCAGAAATTGCATGGATGTCTCCGCAGTCGTGTCGAGATAGTTGATGATAGCAGTCACGCCTCTGCCGTCCGTAAGTAGCGAGATCTGCTGGTGGAATTTTCGAGGGTTCAGGATATGGTCCTCCGGTATGTGATAATTGGAAGCCAAGAACGATTTCTTCGCTTCATTCCCAACTGTGACGTATAACTCAACACCGAGATGTAAGGCCAGTTGAAGGCAGAGCTGTCCAACAGCTCCATTCGCGTGATGTACGAGTAAACTGTCTCCGGCTTCGAGTCGTGAGATATCTATCAAAGCGTGTACCGCCAGCATTGCTGGAATCGCCATTGACGCTGCTTCGGCATAGGACATGGTGTCGGGTATGGTGGCGATCTGTGTAGCGTTGCAGACGAGCAATGTTTGGCATACTTCGGGACCCACAACGCAGACTCTATCGTCGACCTCAAAACCATCAGGCCTTGAACCGGACTTCTCAACGACTCCAGCCGCCGCAAAGCAGAGTTCGCATTCGTTGAGTTGCCCAACCGCTACCAGGTAGTCTCTGTGCGTGAAGCCGAACGCCTTACTCCTKACTATTAAATCGTCTTGCTTGACTTTCGACGATACGTCATCCTTTTCGGAGTAGTACAAGGTATGAGGTTGGCCGTAGGTACCTATCTTGAGCTCGAGACATGCGGGAGAATTAACATCAACAGTCTTCTCCAACGTTGACGACAATCTCTCGGTCAAACCACGATCCAGCAAAGTTGACGGTACCACACGACTAATCTCGATTTGGTCATTGTGGACTCGGAATTCGTGCTCCATCTCGGCAAGGTCATTGTCAATCATATGAGACATGATCGTATCCAGATGCCGCATCTGCTCAGAGGATTTCTCTTCAAGATGCGCCACAACAAAATTCAGTCGAATGTTTTCCGATCGTAGACATCGGGCCAGACCATCTACCAGTCGAGTATCAGAGGCAGACGCCCGCGATCTAGGACACGTTACCCACAGGATATTATGGGCGGTTGTCAGGATTCGTTTCAGGGCCTCGAAGGTCTCTGATGCCAGACTAACAAGGAATGGCGAATCGACATCCAGAAGAAACATGATGTTATCCGTATTGCATATCTCAGTGCCCTGCATCAGAGCCTTCAGGCTCAGTTCCGAGCAGCGGGTACCACGACTTGTCAAYTTCCTCGAGATTTCTGCCCCTAACGCCTTCTGCGCTTCGACAGCACCATCGAGCAAGACAGTCCAGGCATACGGCCCACTGTATATTGGACGTTCAAGGATTGGCGCGCGAGCTATGAGGAAAGAGTTCTCATGAAGGCTTCCAGCCAATCCATCACTGATCTCAAGTATGACCCCCTCGAACCCGGCATTTTTGAGAGCACAGTCCCRCTCAAGGGGCGTGAGACATGGACTAAGACGCTCCGCAGCATCATGTTTCCGCCACCAGCCTTCCAGTAATCCCATAGCAAATGGTGCTCGTACTGAGAGAGGGTTTGTAATTTCAAACAAGACAAGGTAGCCGCCGGGCTTGAGGAGGTCTTTCACACGTCTCAAAACATCTTCCAGATCCTGTGTTGCATGAAGAACATTCCCAGCGATGACCACATCATGAGTAGCACCGTCTAGATCTTGCGATGAGATCCCAGCCTCGACATCAAAGACCGAGAATTTCATGCGGTCTGCGACATCACTAAACCGGGCTCGAGCTGCGGGAAAGAACGCCGAAGAGATGTCCGTGAAGTGATAGCTCGCGAAGCTAGGATACCCTCTTTCTCGAAGAACATCGAGGATCAAGGAAGTGCAGCTTCCTGTACCAGCGCCCACTTCGAGGATTTTGAGGGCTGGGTTATGGTGGGTCAACAACTCCAAGAAAGATTTCAATCCCGAGACGAGGGCATCGGATTCCAATGCCTCGGAATAGAAGTCCTGCCCAAGCTTGCCACGGAAAATGAGATTAAGAAGGTCGACTTCCCCCTTTAGAATCTGACGCAGCTGCTTGCCAACGCTGACGAGTAGCGCGCCTTGATGACTCGATGTTTCGACCTCGTGCAAAAACAGTTCCCTTTGCTTGGGGTTACGCTTTAGCTCGTCTAGCTTTTTCAAGTCAATCTCGCATGTGCTTCGWTCTTGGAATCGCGCCTTCGCCCATGAAATATAGTTCTTGAGCCATGGACGTGCCTCGTGGAAGATTATGTCACCCTGCTCAGATAGCTCCTGAATGAAATGATGGGCAACAAGATTCAAATCTCGCATCCTCTCTGGATTTCCAGACACATTGCTTGTTGGCTGTTGGCAATGTTGTGTGAGCTGAGAGGGTGACATCGAGGGAATGTAAGGGGCCCAGACCATCTCCGAGACAAGATGTCGTTCATCGGAAGAGGCCATGGTATTGACTGACCGCAGAAACGTCAACTCGGCCCGCTCCATCGCCATGAGAACCTCAGTCTCACCTGGAGCGGTTACGACAACGGTTCCTTCGACTCCACGAAAGCCACGAGGCTTGACTTCCCCACCAGCCCGAAGTGTTGCTGAAACGCCATTTCCGTTCAGTTTATTTGATATCCATATATGGCCAATCTTGCTGGGAAGTGCAGCGTTGTTCKGGTTTTCCGTCGAGAGGAAGTACGGAAATATGACATGGAATAAGCTGTCCAAGAGTGCCGGATGAATGACAAACGACGTGGGCTGCGTCGTTTTCTGGTCTGACATCCAGGTTCGTGTGTCCAATGTAGCAGATGTCCTGCCACCAGACGCGACTTTAATGTGCTGGAGAACCTGAAAGACAGGACCATATGTTGCACCGTTACCGGGCAGAATCTCGTCATAGATTTCGCGCCCCGAGAACTCATCGACTGGAGCCGAGAACGCCTCGTCGGATTCCTCAGATAAGCGTTGCACGTTGGCTTGGGACAAGACGTGTGAGCTATCAGCGTCCTTAACAACGGAAATGCGGCCGGCGCAGAGCTCCGTTGTGGAGTCATCTCCATATGTATAAACCACAAATTCATAAGCAGTGAGCATGTTTGAACTTGCAATCGTCCGAAGTGTGATACTACACTCATGAGAGCGGTCCTCGGCCACTCCCAACGGGTTCAAGAATCTAACATCTTGCAGTCGGTATCCCACAATCACATCATCTAGCGGAGTCAATTGTTTACTCGCTTCCAAAGCCATCACAATCCAACCAGCGCCTGGATAGAGAACCTCGCCATTGATGCGGTGATCTTTCACCCAGGGATCTGAAGAAATGCTGATTTGATGGCGCCATCGAGCTTCGCGGGGATTCCAGTCTGGATTACGAACTCCCAGAAAGTCCTGTCGAGGGAATTTTCGGAAACGATATGCTTTGCTGATGCGGCTCTCTATCCAGTGCGTCTGCGAATGATTGAAGGAATATGGAGGAAGATCGATTGCGAGGGGCCTTGGCTGCATAGACAGCTCATTCACAGCCAGAATATCTAGCGCATAACCGCGAGTGAAGAGATGTCCGATAGTTTGCAAGAATGCGCTGGATGCAGGAGTGCCTCGCCGGAGGCATGATAGATATGATGGCTTTACAGCCTGACCCTGGTTCTCGAGACACTCTTGAATGGCGGAACGTAGGGTTGCATGCGGGCCGACTTCGAGGATATCGTCAATCGTGACCTGTGGAATATAGACATGGCCCAATCGCTTTCGCCTCTTCTTCGCCAGAGTCTCTGTGGCATACCTTAGGGCATCCGAGAATTTGACCGGAGAGACCATGTTTCTGACCCAGTACTGAGGGTCTGCAGTCGCTTCTGCATATACGGGCTGCCCTGTGATTGATGAAATCATGATTGGTGATTTTGGATCTTGAGGTGAGCATTGTGAGAACTGCCCCATACGTTGAAGGTAGTCCTCAGCCAGGCTGGCGAGAAAGTGGGAGTGATATGGGATCCGGACCGTGAGACGTTTGTGAAAGATTTTCTTGGATGCCAGCACTCTCTCCGTGTCAATCAGGCCAGATTCGAGGCCAGAAAGCGTGGTGTTAGTAGGACTGTTGCAGCAGGCAACGACAATTTGAGGTTTGTCCCCGGAGCAGTTTTGGTTAATGATTTCTTCGGCCTCAGCAGCGGAGATTCCGACTGCCATCATTCCGTAGCTGACCGGCGAAGAGTTATTCAGACCGCTCACRACTTGTCCCCTGTAGAACGCTACTCTGAGCGCCTCTTCACGGGTGATGTGGCCAGCACAATACCTGCAAAGTCAGCTTTGCGTGACAGTCAGCCCAGGGGTTCACTTACGCTGCCGCAATTTCACCGGAGGAATGTCCCACGACTACGGCCGGCAGTAAATTGTATATCTTGAGTAGATCAACCAACGCTATCTGTAACGCGGTCAAAAGAGGCTGGCTGTTTTGCGAGTCGTTGATAGAAATGTCGTCGACTTCGCCACGGAGGATAGCTAGTCACTTGTATCAGCTTGCTAAAATTACGTCGACCAAGTTGTAAACTGACCTTCGATGGAATGTGGAAACCCAAGCCCGCACAGATACTCTGAGCTCTTCGCAACACTTTGCCGAAAAGCAGAGCGCTCAAACAGTTGCTGTCCCATTTTCTCGTACTGAGAGCCTTGACCGGTGAAGACGAACATACAACTGCGAGGCTTGGACGAGCTTACTGGCATATCAGCAATCACAGGGGCCATGTCTGACGGCACATTCAGCGAGGTCGTGAACGAACATCTCCATGGGAAGACGGTCCGCCGTGCCGAACATGTATAGACAATGTCGAGAAATTGCGACGTTGTCCACGGGGCTTCGGGTTGAAGGTGAGCTCGTAGATCAGCCAAGTTGTTCTTCAAGGAGACTTCATCCAGAGCGGACAAGCACATCAGACGCTCGATTTTGGACTCCACCGCAGGAACTTCAACTTGACCCGATGAAGTTGGCCTCTCTGCCCCCGAAAGTGAATGGCAGGTTCGATGCAGAATTCGACGTGAATCACATTGTCCGGAAGATGCGTCGTCCAGAACTGCTACTGCATTAGAGCCGCCAAAGCCGAATGAGTTGATCTGAAGTGACATGAGCAATGTCAGCTAGAGCTATGTGGGAAAGCATGTTCTGATGCCTTCTTACGCAAATTCTCCGGAGACCTTGTGAGGGCCATGGAACACTCTGWGTGGGAAACTAATCACGCAGTCAGACATATCATTTCTAGTGGTTAAGAGACCCAGCTTACGTGTAGATGATATTGCTGTGCTTTGATCTTCGAGTTGATGTTCTCCAGTCCAGCCACTGGTGGTATGACGCCGCTTTCCAGGATGAGCACGGTCTTGATCAGACTAGCCAAACCGCTGGCTGCCTCCATATGACCAACGTTTGCCTTTACCGAGCCGAGGAACATTGGCGCCGACTCTGTCCTGTATTTTGCAAACGCTTCGCCAATGGCATTTGCCTCGATTGGGTCGCCGACTGGCGTTCCAGTTGCGTGCGCTTCGCAGTATCTCGTGGGTTCCATGGAAATCCCCGCTTGGCTGTAAGTCTTCTCAATCAGACTGCGCTGACTTGATCCACTAGGTACCGTTATGCCAGGTGTTCGTCCATCTTGGCCTATTCCAGTTGCACGTATAATGGCACGCACTGTGTCACCATCTCGGATCGCATYGTCTAATCTTTTGACGACCACCATACCGAAGCCTTCGCCTCGAGAATAGCCATTTGCAGATTCATCAAAGCTGTGGCTACGGTTGTCCGGGGAAAGGAAATTCATGCTGGTCATCGTGTAGAAGTTGTCGGGCCCAAAAACCAGACTGCATCCTCCTACGAGGCCCATGTTGACGATGCCTAACCTCAAATCTTGACAACATGCATGTAGTGCTGTGAGACTGCTCGAACAAGCCGTATCGAGATTCACACTTGGGCCTCTGAAATCGTAAAACCAACTGATCCGATTGGCGATCATATTGGTTGCCAGACCGGAGGCTGCATAACGCCTCTCCAGTTCCGGATCCGCATACATGACGCTTTTGTAATCATCCATGAAGCTACCAGTATAGACAGCCGTTTCAGATCCCGCACAAGATGGTATGGTGATGCCAGCGTTCTCGAGAGCATGGAAGGATGTCTCCAGCAACAATCGTTGCTGTGGGTCCATGCACGCTGCTTCCGCAAGACCGATGCTGAAGAAAGGAGCATCGAAGCAGTCCAAAGGTGTCTCAATGAAGTGGCCACCGTCCGCATTCATGCTGTAGTGCTTGCTTGTGTCCGGGTGGCGGAAAGCGTCGACATTGAAGCGCTCCTTGGGAATTTTCGTTGAGACGTTGCGGCCTTTGCACAACATATCCCAGAAAGCTGTCGCAGAGGTACCACTTTCCGGGAAGTTCATTGACATACCAATGATGGCAATGGGAGTGTTGCTTTGGGGAGCTGACATGATTGCCACGGCGCAGATTAAGAGCGATCTGTTGATTGCACTGCCGTTCTTCTCTTCGCCGTTCGTCTTCTAATTGCCGACCAGAAGGATTGAAGGGCGTTCTCAATTTCAGGCCTTTCTCGCTTCCTGTTGAGTTGCAGGCGATTGGTTTGGATGCAATGAAATGTAGGCTTGCTGAAGTATCAAACTTTATATCGCTTCATTGAGGGGGCTTGATGATTCGCCAGAAGCTGATTGAACGGGTCTCACGTTCTCTGTCATGGATCAAGGCATTGACTTAATCCCGAGGAGTGTGGCGAAGTGTTGCAGAAGACAATTGTACCACAGGAGCAAGTGGGCAGCGGCAACGTCCGGTGGACCATGTCAGGCACGATTCCTTCGAATCCTTCGAAAGATGAGTGTAGGTCGGCTGCTAACTTTAGTTGCCGCGTCTCCAATCGATCGACATGCGATGATGCCACATCAGGAATGGACTGATCTGTGGATATCTATTAGTTCGCTAGTTCGGGATGCACCATGATGATGTCCCAACCGGTATACAAGTAAGTAGTTCCTGATTTACCGTACCCTGATAAAGTTATCAAAGGATTGGCATATGCGTGACGCGAGCTGCAACCATTCCAACATCGAGGATTGGACATTAGTACGGTCGAACTGCTCATTGGGCGCAATCCATCGCGAGCAAGATCTCCACGAACCCGTCCATATCATTCGCAACATGCGGTTTCTCTGCTTGCATGGAATGGGCACGAGCGGCGATGTAAGCCCCATCTTCCAGGATCAACCATTTGTAATGCTTTGAGTGCTGAAAAGCGGTGCGCAGATATTTGAGTTGCAAACGGGTAAGATGTGATGAGGAAACGCGAAGAAGTGTCACAACTAATGACAGTACAGCGCCGTTGCGATATCTGCTGTCGGAGCAGCACGTGTATGAGTTTGTCGACGGGAGGTTATCCGAAGGAGTCGATCCTGCGGCCGGGGTGGAAGAGGCGTTTGGTAAACAAGACGCCTACTATCAGCACTTCACTTCGCATTCATCCGCGAGCATTTTGCAGGCAGTCCGAGACGTGGCAGACTTTTGCACAGCCCATGGCCCTTTCCAGGGAGTCTGGGGATTTTCCCAGGGAGCTGGTCTTGCTGCGACAATCATCGCGGCGCGGGAAAGCGGATTCATGTTCGAAGATGGGCAAGAACTGCCTGAATTCGAACTGGCCGTGCTGTTCTCGGCAACGCTTCCTCTGGATTTGCAAGCTGCGCAGTCGGGCCAGATCAAACTGCTGAATCCTGATCAACATTTGGATGGCGTGGATCAGCCTCAGCTTCTTCGTACGACGACGGTGCACTTTTGGGATCCGACAGATGATGCCTATCCGGGAATGAGCGAAAGGCTGTTCCAACTCTGCAATCCTTCGCGGCGATTTGGTGTTAGGCACACTACTGGCCATGGCATCCCACCATCTTCCGAGCAAGAGCTGCTCGGACGAATGGCGCAGGCAATCCGTGAAGGATTCGAATTCGAATCTTTACACACGACGGATTCGGACGCCACATGTTGATCCACCGTGGATGATGTCTTCGAGGCCAGCCCATATCGCTGACAAAGACCACGATAGTCCTGCATTGGACTCTCGTAGCAGTCGATTGGCGCATACTGATGGATGTAGATTGTACACATGTACCAAAATCTATACAGTGGACTCACGAGCTGCGGCTCGGTGGGGCTGTGGCCGCAGCACAGATAAGACGATGGCCACAGTGGACCTGTCCAGACCCACGCCTCCAATGATTCTGATAGTGTGGACTAACCCGCTCCTTCCTCCCACGCTACATGATGTAAGATGTAAGCGCGCTAGCCATTAGCGGAAATAGGCTCAGCAGATCTAAACCTTAAACTCACCTGGGCGATCGCTCCTGCACTGCAAGCAACGCACAATGATGTGACAGATGGGGCCAACTGCGCTGTGCGCCTTGGGTCAGCACTTCAAGTTGCCACTTACTATCATATCCTGTCCGAAAGGGAAACATCATTGGCGGACATTGCAGGGCCCTGTACATTCGTCAACATGTCAGAGTCCAATGTGGAACTGGACGCGGAAAAGGGCTCTCTTGACAGCGGTTCCATCTCACGCAATGCTTCAATCCCACAGGCCGCCGGAGAAGACTCCAGGTCTCTAACGACTGAGCAAGGTGTAGGAGCACCAAAACCCCAAGAGCCGACAGATAAACAGCCACCAATCGATCATGGAAGCGTCGCTTGGCTGCAATGCTTGGGCGCCTTTTGTATCTTCTTCTGTTCCTGGGGCATGATTGGCGGCTACGGTGTGTATCTCGCAATCCCTCTCACAACTCCGTGATAATTAATGTCCCAAAGGTGCCTTTCAATCCTTTTACGAAGCATCAAAACTCCCACACTCGTCTCCCTCGGCCATCTCATGGATTGGATCACTCCAAGGAACACTCATGCTCTTCGGATCCGCACTCGTTGGCCCCCTCTACGATTGCGGATACTTCAAACTCTTGCTTCCAGTCGGCTCCATCTGCACAGTTCTGGGCATGATGTTGACCTCCATCTCCACCAAATACTGGCATTTCATCCTAACCCAAGGCGTTCTGAATGGCATCGGACTTGCTCTCATTTTCTTGCCGACATTGGCATCTCTCCCGACCTGGTTTGTCAAACGTCGTGCTTTGGCAATTTCTCTCGCAAGTTCTGGTAGCGGAATAGGAGGAATCCTCTTCCCCATCATTTTCAACAATCTTCAGCCGAGAATTGGTTTCGGCTGGACCGTTCGCACTCTGGCTTTCATCCTTCTAGCGCTCCTCTTGCTGGCCAATTTGTTTTGGAAACAGCGTACAAAACCCGCTGGACCTCGCAAACTCTTCGATGCTTCTGCCTGGCGTGATGGTCCATATGTTCTTGTCGCCATTACTTCCCTGCTGGGATACGTGGGAATCTACATCCCATTCTTTTACATGCAAGTGTATGCTACCAGTGGAGCCGTGATGGATGTCAAGGCATCTATCATCCCCTATCTACTTCCTTTAATCAACGTCGGCTATAGCATCGGCCGAGTCGTCCCAGGTGTCGTAGCCGATCGCATTGGTGCCTTCAACACCTTGATCCCCTGTCTACTGGCGTCTGGGATTCTGGCTTTTTGCTGGAATGCAGTGCACAGCGATGCCGGGCTTATTGTTTGGTGCATTCTGTTCGGTTTCATCAGTGCGCCCTTGGGTAGTCTTGATCCCGCGACTATCGTGGGTGTGACGCCAGATTTGAGCGCTTTGGGGGTGTGGATGGGTATGATGTTTGTTCCGCTGGGAACTGGACTTTTGATTGGCGCACCGATTGGAGGCGCCATTCTTGATGGTACGGGGGATTATCTGTACTTGCAGGTATTCTGTGGATGTGCTCTGATTGGAAGCTCCGTGGCGCTGGCAGCCAGTCGGATCTTGAAGACGGGGGTTGTGCTCAAGGTCAAATACTGACCTTTATGTAATTCATAGTTTAGTCCATACTTTGATGGATGTCATGTCTTTCTTGAAAGTTCTTTAAAGCCACTCATATACTCGACTCTACTTGACAGAAATAGTAGTCTCCACACGAATACACGCAGAATCCGCCCTATTTTCTGCACGTTCCGGAAACGTTTGCAACTGCAGCACCTCCTCACGTTCACCAAAAGCGCCTTTAGCAGTAGCACTCCAAGAAGCAACATCCTCCCCACCCATATAAGGATCCCTATTACTACCTCCCCTCTCCACATCCGCATCTGAATCATCATCATTCTTAGACTGATCTCGCGAAAAATTCGAACCTCGTCGCATGGACTGTAAAAGCTGCGAAACGCCCGTCACGGAACCCCGAAGTACATGTCCGATACCGCCTAAAATTGGCGCGAGGAGCGGGAGGCAAGCGCAGATTATTGCGACGCCTATGTGGATGTTTGTCCAGAGGTATGCTTGGGAGAAGGAAACTGTTGTTTTGTGTTGTGTGGTTAGCTAGGTAGGTAGGTGGTTTTGTAATGTATGTAATGAGGACTGTGAGGCTTACCGAAGGCGCTGCCTGGGATGTATGTGAGGGCGAGACGGATTACACCGGTTATGCAAACACTGGATTATTCTATGTTAGTTCATCTCAGGCTGAGGATATGTTGATTAGAGCTTACAATCCGCCAAAGACGAATAGTGCACTAGCTGAGATTTTCTTGTTCATCGGCAATTTCAACCTCCAGAGTACATTCAGCGGCGTGATGAGGATACTGAAATTGATCAGAATATCCACAATTTCGACTCCCAGCCAGAATTTTCCGTAATTACTAGATGAACAATCAGTACAAGCTCGAAAAACCCCCACAATACTTCATTCGTCATCTTCGAAGACTTACTAGCAGTAACCCTCGACTTTCGGATTCCAGAATTTGTGGACCGGGCGACAGTTGRCGCAGGTAGTAATGGTATAGACGATCCACCAGAGGACACAGATGGTGTAGAGTGAATATATTATGATGCTCTTGCCGCTGTTGTAGAAGATTCGATGGAGGAAGACTAGGATGCTGAGTTTTATGAGTGTTACGCTGAGTCCGTAAAGTGGTTCGACGGCGTATAGAGCCTGGGAGGTATGGTCAGTCAAGAAGTACATCTCGGGGTTACGCTGTAAGAACGACGCCAGATGTATCAGGGTGGGAGTTTTGCAACGAGGCTTTCCCTTCAACAAGATCTCTCGCTGTCTGGCGCGCGAGTCTGCTAATGAGGAGGTGTCCGCTATTCTTGGACCTAGAGACTGTGTCGAGAGAACAGTCTCCCAATCGAGGCGCGGGAATGAAGACTCTCGACAGATTGAAGAACCCTCTTATTAACAGCTCCGCACAACGCACCTGCAAGAAAGTCCTAAGTCTTGTGAAATCAAACGTAGGATCCTGAATATTCCTCCCTCCTCCACCTTGTACCAAACCCCAAACTTGCACTCCAAACCAAGCTTGGAATGTAACCAAGCCCCCCAGCAAAAGGTAATCGTCCGGGGAAAATGGCAGTCGTGTCTTGAACTTGGTCGAAAATCTCAACAACACAGCACACAGAGCCAGAATCTCCATAACCAGGCCTGAGATGAAAGCGAGCCGACCGGCATGGTTCAGACCAGAGAGTTCTCCCACCAACATTGCAAGTGAGAAAAAATCAATATGCTCGTTGCGAATGCGTGAAGCGTGATATGTTGGTCGACGCACGGAAACCGGTGAAGGAGGTTAACAGTAATCCCATGCGACACGAAGGAACGCCGAAGGACTGTAGGATTTGCATGTGCGATAGTCATTAGACGCCTGTACGTAAAATGCAACAGTGTGTGTCGTCCAGCTATGCCAAACTTTCACGTGGCGTCGACGATCTTTTCGAACATGGCTGTCCACCTGAAAGCTTCTTGACGCATGCCAACATCGAGTTCTCCGTTGCTTCCCTTGACATCCTCGGCTGTGATTCCTGTGCTTCTGAAGGATTCACAGAGATTGAGCTTGCTCTCGGTCGCCGAACGCTTCCGGGCGACTTGTGCGTGAAGGATTCTTTGCTTGTTGCTTTTTTGGAAGGATCCCAACGGTTCTGCTTCGAGGGATCGGTCCTCGTGACTTGATTGGAGTCTTGGAGCTCCGCTTTGGCAAGTGAATCCTGCGCGGTCGAAACCTTATATCGACCGCCGATCCGGACATGGATCACTTCGGAGACCCTTGTTGTTGAGCCGCGGGATACAGCTGCGGAGCTATGCTGCTGTGTTTCTTGAGTCCATTGATCTGATAACCAGATATAGGTATTGTCCAAAACTGTTCGGCATCATGGCTCCAAGCGTTGGGATCGCTTCAGGAAAGACCATGGAGGTCATCATTGTAAGTCCTGGAAGGAACTTTCCCGCAGCATTTCTCTAATTCAATGGCGAAGATAGGCGGTTCAATCAGCGGACTGATGCACGGGATAATGCTCAGATCTCTCGGCCACAACGTACGCATATTGGAGCAACAAGACTCCAATCGTGCCGATTATGGAGCAGGCATGGGGACGGGCCCTCAAGGCAAAAAGTTCTTGCAAGAGTACGATCGCACAGACGCTCAACTTGCTTATGACTGTCCTGGATTTAAATTCCTGGGCCCGAATAATGAGACGCGAGCGCTCGCGCCATCGCCAATGTATTTGACAAGCTGGACGGCGCTTTACTATCGTCTGCGAGGAATCTTTGACGGCCTCTCGAGCCCGTTTTGCACACAGCCCGCGGCTGCCCCTAATGGTTCTGGAACGTCCACGTTTGATACTCTCAAGAAGGTGGTTGGCGTGAAGCCTTCTTCACAAGATCACTTGAGAGTGGAGATTCAAGACATGGCTGATCCCGCTAAAGCGACCTATTCTCTCGATGCCGATCTGGTCATTGATGCAAGTGGTCCATATTCAGTAGTCCGAGCATCAGTCGTTCCCAGCGCATCAAAACCGCGTTATGCTGGGTTTGTGGCATGGAGAGGAACCGTACCAGATACCAAAGTAACAGAAGAGACCAGCAAACTGTTCGATACACGTTTCAACATCTTTCCAATGCCAGGAGGGAACTACTGCATCGGCTATGCAGTGCCCGGCAAGAATGGTTCGCTCGAGCCAGGGGAACGGCTGCTCAATTGGATCTGGTATACTACCGTGGCCAGCAAAAGCGAGCTCGATGCCATATTGACGGATAGGGATGGTCACACGCACTCCAATTCCATTCCTCGGGGTAAACTCAACATGGCCGTATGGGACAAACGTCGAGACTCCATCCGACCATCACTCAACAAAGCTTTCATGGAGCTGATGGATGTAACCGAGGAGCCCTTCGTATCCACGATCCGCGAGAGTTTTGTTGGGCGGAGGTCATTCCACAACGGACGCCTTTTGCTGGTAGGCGATGGAGCAAACCTCATGCCGCCCAATGCTGGACAGGCTACCAATAACGCGGCAACATCGTGTCTTGAATTACGAGACGTGCTGCATGGTAAAACAACTCTATCGGAGTGGGAGGTTTCGGTGGCAGATCAAGGCTGGCAGATGCGCCTCTTCTCTAATGTGATTGCGGCCCGCTTCTTGCACGGTGATTTCTGGGCGAGGGTGGCTTCTTGGCGATTGAGTCTGTTTTTGAGATGGTTGGGGTTGAAGCGTGCTGTTAGGCGCGTGTTTAAGCTGTAGTGAGGTGTGATGAGATAGTGAGGCTTGAAATGATTATTAGGAGACCGTGTGATGATGATGATGATGATGGATCAAACTCTTCCCAAAAGCAGTCTGACAACCTTCGTGTTGGTCCATTCTCTCCGCGAGCCTTGGTTGATATTCGTGCAAAAGTCATGAACATGCAGATATCCTCACTGAACGCAGTGAGCAGTTGGGTATGTCAACTGCATTGTTGCAAACTACCGCGTGCAGGTGGAATTCTTTCCACTTGCTACATCTGCCTCGCTGCGTCTTCTACTTGATTCCTCTGCACTTGCACGTACGCCCGGCTTCAGCGAATCTCTCTTCAAAGAGGAAACACGACACCCGAAAAGGGGTAGAAATTGGGACCACAGAACCGTCAACCATACTACGCCAATGAGCCGGCAACTAAAGGTCTCCCACTGACACGTAGAGACCGGCATTCACCCTGATCATGTAATAGGTCTCGTACTGAAGGAATCCATTGTATCGAGCAGATCTTTGTCCTTGCTGGAGAGCGGACGAAACGAAACGTGAAGTCCGCATATGCTCACGGATTTACGGCATCACCGGCAACATACTAGCCAGGGATCACGAGAATGGATACAATGACAAGTGCCTTGGCCATGTCGGGGTTCGTCGTATTCAGCTAATCATCATCATMTCGCATTCGGACTCGGGGTAAAAAACCATGCTCATATCTGTTGTGCAAGCGATTGCAGGTTTGATGGAGCGAGAATGATATCGATGATGGTGATGAAATGGCACATTTTCAATGAAGACGGCGGAGATGTTGTTGTTGTTTGTTGAAAAGGTGTTTTCCACGCTGGGTGCCACGCGGCAGCGCCAAGCCTTGCTCGGACTTTCACGCGGTACCAAGGATCTCTCCTTGACGATCACATGGGGGGCGCAGGGCGCGATCCAAGGGACCCGACCGTCTTCCTGCAGCCTGCTGCTTCGTTCTCCACAACCACAACATGACGATTGCAAGCGATTGAGAGTCCACTCTTCCTCCGCACACCTTTTTCGCGTATACCACGCGCATTCATTCATTCATTCACTCATTCATTCCTTCATTCGTTATGCCACATGCATTCTTCAATGCCTTGTAACACTCATTCATTCATTTTGCTCCTGTTCCTCTTCCTACGAAACGCCTATTCCACCGGCGTTGTATTCACATCTCCTGGAGGTGGTGCGACATGGCCACCTGGAGCAGTGACGATATCATGGACCGATGCGGGAGGAAGTCCGGACATGAGCGATCTAATCGCATACACCATAGAACTGATTGTGGGAGGGAATTCGGTCGACAATTCAGATGTGCTGCAGACAATCGGCAGCGCAAACGGGAGCGTATCGGAGGGACTGGTTCAAGGGGAAATCGCTGCAGAAATAGCTGCTTCGGTGGAAAATGGCTTCTACCTGAAGATGACCTCCAATACGACGGATGGGAACCAGGTCATCAATTACTCGAACCGATTTACCCTTATATCCATGAAGGGCACCACATCGCAGATCTACCAGGATGCCGCGAACGCTGCGAACGGCGTGGGAGATGTACCGAGCGCACAGTACAACGTTATCGAGAAGGTTGTTACTCCGACGTCCGCACCGTTATCCTCTACGAGCGTCTCCGTCACGGCTACCTTGACTCAAGTACCATCTCCTCCCAACGAGGAGGATGGACCCGGTTCCACCACCTTGAAAGTCGGACTCATTGTCGGTGGCATCTTCGCGCTAATCGGGGCGGCATCCATAATCTTCTGGATGAGATTACTCTGGCGGAGACGTAGGCAACGGAAACTGAAAGAGCAGGAAAAGCAGGCTAGAAGACGGACAGCGGCACTCATGGAATTCAAGGCCGAGTTGCCGGGAGAAAGCGACTACGGCTTGCGCTCGCATCCCTCGGAGCTGGGTCCAGATACCGAGCGGTTTGAGGCTGGTGGAAGGGAAAGAGCGATTGAGATGCAAGCCACCACTGCGGTCTTTGAGCTCGAGGGGAATCACACGCCCATACAACATGAAGCTGGCAGCGGAAGACGAAGTAAAGCGTACTCGTACCGGCAATCGCTCCATGAAGCTGGCAGTGGGAGACGGAGTAAAGTTTATGATCCGACGCTCACGCTCAAGTTTTGATACATATGTACATTTGCAATGAGACATGACTTCAAGAAGTGCCTAATGAGCCATGAGAGGGGAACAATCCTCGCAGAGGGACTGCAAAAGGGTTGCGATGACATGAATCAAGGTTCGTTCAATTCATTCCTTTCCACAAAGACGTTATTGTAGCCTACGCCGTGGAGTCAAGAGTTGGACAAACTCTCAAGCATTGGAACCCCCAAACTGCACTCCCCGACCAGCCTTTACAAGCAAAGTGAGCAAATCGAACAGCAGCGGCTCGAGCTGAAGACCCAGCGCGAGTGGATTCATAGAGGTCGAAAGGTCCGTCTTCCTCGAGCATCCCTTGGCCACAGTACCCGCAAAAGCCGACTCCACAAACTGAAAGGCGCTGACGAAACCGATGATCTCCCCGGTGAAATGGCCGCCGTTAGCCAGGTTGGTGAATTGAACGCTGTCACAACAATCAGTCAGCCCTACTACTACTTTCAAGTAAAGTCTAAGATGGAAACAGGACAACTCACCTAGCGCCATAATTACACCATCTCTCCGCGAGGGACGAGGCGTTCGCGTAGGTAATGACCTCGTCGTTTTGAGAGTGGTATAGATATACCGGGACAATCGGCGTCTCCTGCTTGACGGCTCCCATGATAGTTCTGTTCAAGACAGCTGACATGACAGGGTCGTAGAAGAGTCTATCACCCTCGGACTGGAAAGACGTCGACTGTACACGCACTCCTGCGTACGGTACGAGGCTCTGTAAAGGACAGTGCATATTCGCGAAATCCAAAGCACCTTGTCCAAAAGGAGTAATGATCCTGTCAAAAAGTGGCTGAAGCTCCGCACCGTATGCACTTGGTTTCAGCAGACCATCCAAGATAGCAGTGGAGAAACCCGAGACGGAACTTCCATCGATATAGCTGAGTTCTCCCGTGACGTTAGCAATCGTGCCGCCCGAAGCCCAGCCTTGAATCGGCAATTCCATGGCGTAAGTTGGATGAAGGGAAGCAGCCCAGCCAGTAGCGAGACCTCCACCGGAATACCCCGTTCCTACAATCTTGGGGGTCTTGTTCGTGAAACCCATCTCCCTGAACTGAGAGACTGCACGCATAGAATCCAAAACTGCCATTCCGGTCATTCGACCAGCGCCGAATGCCGCTTCGGGTCCTTCGTAATCGGGCGAGGAGACAATGTAGCCGGAGAAAATGTAGGCTTGGATAATGAGCATTTCTGCGGCTRTAAAAGCATCCTCATCCGTAGGATCGGCAAGCATCTGGTATGTGTACGAAGGATTGCAATTCGTAGTTGCGCCATCGTAAGCTGTGTGGAATGACACGAATCGATCGTTTTTGGAGTTTGAAGGCTTGAAGACTGTTGTGGCGGTGGAAATTGCCGAGCCATTGCTTGCTGTTGTGCGATATAGCAGCTGAAAGGTCTTGATTCCGATTCCTGATTCTGGAAGAAGACCAGCGAAGGCGCCCTGGACTTGTCGAGTCCGGAGGATTGCTCCGGGAGCTTGTGCCTCGAATCCTGCTGGAGGCTGGTAGAATGGATCTTCACTTGGCTTGAGAGGTGTCAACTGGCCCATCACAGCCGGAAGGGCCGCGAGCATGGAGACTGCGAATCGAAGAGCCATTTTGGGCGGAATATTCTTGCCCCGAAGAAGATGGAATGGTGAATATGAGGTGCCTGAAGCTGACTTCGTGCACGATTTCGAGAGTCGGACATCTTGGTGTATACTATCCAAAATCTTGTTTGAACTCTGCCAGAGCCTAGAGGCATCATGGCCAACGTCTTTCAAAGTTGAGCAAAGATCTTCGAAACTCAGATGGACGATCGACTGTCAGACCTTTCCTGTTCGGGCTGTCGCTGAAGTTTTCCCTCCCTATTTCAGGTGAATTAGGCAGGCCTGCCCAATAGTATTCAAGAGCGCGGCCTTGGACGCTCCCACCGTGCAACGACATCTCACGCACCCCGCGCGAGCCAAAGTATGAACGGCTCACTCCGCCGGCACTGTATGCTCCCATACGGCACTAGATGTGCGTTGATGCAAGAACCGAGGTGCTGCATCCTTGAAATTATAGCGACCATTCCAACTGATCATTCTCCTTGTCTTGGTCTTATTAGCTTGTGGATCTACAATCACATCTGTCGATTTAGTACTTCAGAGTGAATTCCGCCAGTCGCGACGAGACGAACTCCATCTACAACATGTCCAAGTCTCTCATAGTTGTTTTGTACAATCGCATGAAATTGTGAGTACCACTGCTCGCGCGCTTCCACGCTACGCCAACTCCACAAAGAAATGAACGCTGCGTGTTCTCCCGGATGTGGAGGCTTGTGCGCGTACCCAGAGTTGATGCACTTGCCCGCACTGCCTCTTCCAACGACGACGCCGAGCACGAGTGCAGTGTCGAAGTATCGTTTGGCGTGGATCTGTAAGAGACGCTTTGCCTCGAAATTGTCGGGCGTGCAAAAGGTGATGAGCTCGAGATGCTTGTCCGTTGGCAGAGAAATCAATGCACCAGTGCTGATGGTGAAGCTATGTTGTTGTAGAGGACCGCGCTCCATGTGACTCAAAAGACCGCGTTTCTGCAGGAAGGGGTTGCACACCGCCCATACATCCTCTGGTCGTTTCTGACGAGAGCGCCACACTACCGCACGGTCAGCAAGTTTCACACTCATTCTTGAAGCCTACCTATAAACAACACCACGACATTTGCATCCCCATGCCTTCGAGTCAAGTGGAGGGCCTCGCAGTTTTTCAGGGCTGTCACGTCTTGTTGGAACTGCCGAAGATGTCCTAATGCTTGATTGCCGGATGCGTCCAAAACGCCAGCCCTGAATGWCAAGCTAAGCGTGTCAACCATCGGCAAGGAAGCATCTGCTACTTGCTCGTCACCCAGATACGCCGGGCAAGAATACTGATTGATCGTTCCCAAGGGATGGAGGCCACCACGCGGCTCTGGAAAGCCGGCCGCTTTGGCTCGGCGATCCGCATAGTAATTCGCGCGCCAGGTCATGTCCTCTCCCGAAATACTCATGCCATTATCTCTACGGAATACCGGCTTGACAGGTTCGAACAATGCCAGGGGTGACCCGACTGGCATTGAACTTGATTGCGTTGTGTAAATCTCTCGAGACTGTTCCAGCCAAGGCTCCAGAACCAATGTACGTCTCAACATACTACCTTCAGACTGTTGTACGACCTCTGTCACAGCGGTCTGCGAAGCATCGCCATCGGTGGATTCGCCACAGATGATGCCCAGGAATATTGCGGGCTGCGCGTCATACGCTGCAAAGACGCCCGCTCTTCGACCCGGAGGAGAGTCGAAAGCGGGATTGGCCATGCAATGGGGCTCGAACCAATCACCATAAGCATTCTGACTTCCAGTCGCCGCGATATTCTCAGCGAATGCGGCCCATGCTTGGTCAAACTGGCGGCGTCTGTGCGAGACACGCGCTTCAATCACCGTACCCAGATGGACCGTGAGTAATTCCACAGTACCACTGAGTTGGAATGATTCCGGGGCCGTCCAGGGTAAGCAATTGCAGGTTGGATTGGACTCGAATGTTGGCACCAGGGGATCTAGCGCGGCCGATGCTTGGAAATCCTGCCATGCACGAGCGGAAGGCAGCTCAACCAACAAAATGATGACTGATGATGAGGATTCGTCCCGAATTCGTCCGCAGTGAACGCGAGCCTGGGGCAAAGACGAGCAGTATTCGAGAGCTTTCCGAAGAAGGTTGTTTGCCATCGTGCCAGGTTCCAGGAGATTGATGCCGCTTCTGATCTTCAATTCTAGGATGGCGAGTACAGGTCTCTCGTCGGTGAGGGTCGCCGGTACGTTCCATGCCAGATTCCGGTATGCTGGGAGTAGCTTCGGCGATGGGTCAAGAATGGGAGCCATTTTTGTACCTTTGACGAGTTGACAGGAGTCAAGGTTGTGGTGATGTCCAGCGAAGATGACGACCTGGGAGGTTATTCGTTCAAGTCGATCTTTACCGTTTTCTTGTTTTTGAGGTTTCTTACCAGAGCTTTACAAGCTTATAACATTGCACATGGATGACTAAAGCGGGCGAGTACTATTGTACTAGTAGCTCATTTATTCGACTTTTGTCTCCCTCTTTAAATTGGACTTTTCTCGGTATCCATAAGACATATAAGTTATGCGCGTATAATGTAGGAAGCTCGGTTTATCGAACGATGAAATGTTAGACCATAGACTAGGTATTATACAGTTCGGATTCTGAAAACCGTGACCACGGCATGCTCTTAGTTCCCAAAACCCGATTTTTGTTTTGAAAACCGGTGGTTTGCACCTCTTAATTCTCAAGGAGACGGAGGCAGAGCTTGCTTTCATGCATCTAGGTATAGTCGAATGTGGCTGAAAAGCTTATTTGACGTTTATAACCCCTTACAGACATCTGGCGAACTTCAAACCTCTGAGCAATGTGAAATTCCTCGAAGAGACGAGCAGAAAAGTAGGATCTTTGTTMATTATAGGGCAGGGTCGATAGAATCATTAGTATCTCCACGTAATGCAGGGTCATCACCTTCCATTCTTTCCTTTCGTCTTCTCATGACCATCTCTCCGTTTCCCCTCATGCGGCTGCGGAAGATGCAGCAGCTGTAGTCATTGGCAGCGTATCAAGCGAGTTGTAATACGCAATCAGACTTGAGCTGTACGACGCATATGCGGCGCTCTCAGTGCTTGGAAGCGGCATGAACGAAACAGTGTGGGTACTGTTCGCCGAACCTGAGCTTGCCAAGTCTGCAGTGACCTTCTCCTTGCCCTCCGGAATATCCACTCCACTCAACATGCGCTCAAACATTGCCAGAGACGCCGCAGGCTGGTAGTATGGAACCTCGTGGCCGGCTTCGTAGATTCTTGTGAATGAGAAGTTGCCGTACTCTCTTGTCTCACCGTATTGCTGGTCATTCAACATAAAAGGTTCGTATCCGGCTGCTGCGAATTCCTTGCTGTGTGTGTAGTTGAGTGCGAGTGAGACTGCTTGCCCTCCGAACCAGTTGCAGATGTAGTCTGYGTCGCCGTAGAAGAGGCCCACGCGGACTCCAGAAGCCACGATCGACTCCAAATCGGCCAGGAAATTCGGATAGACGAAGTCGCCGGTGCTCTGAAATTGGAAGTAGATGTCGGTGTTTGAGCTTGTGTAGTTGAGGCTGACGCCAAGGGCGTTCTGGATCTTCGCTTGATTGAGATAATCAGTATAGAACGAAGRCGGAGTTGGGTCGTCATTGGGGTGGCGAATGTCGCTGAAAGGGAAAGTCAGTATAAATCTTGGAGAAGTGAAAAATCGTAGCTTACTAGGTACCACGGCCTCCGTATGCGTAGTAGACGCCCTCGACGTTGTCACGGCACATTGCCTGTGCCTCGGAGCAGACTGCTGCAATGCTAGGGCTAGAGCTGGCGTTGAACGAGACTTTGCCTGTGTATCCATCTTGCACGTCCGCGGCAGCGGCAATGCAACTCTGAACTTGTTGAAGACAGCCGTTGACCATGGTGTTCGCAAACTATGGCACTTTGGTTAATCGTGTCCGTAATGCTACTTTTCGTGCTCGATCTTACCTTTGCATAGTTGTATACTGTGTCGTTGTATGCCTTGATGCCATATGTATTGTTGACGGCAAATTCGTAGTAGTGCTCAGCCTGGATGGTCTCTGAGATGATGCCGTTGATCTACAGTAGAAGAAGACAACGATCAATGCAGAACTAAAAAAGGTGGCTTTCGAAGATGAACTGGCAATGTCCTCCTGAACGTCTATAAGACACTTACTATTCCTAGGGTGTTGAAGTTGAGCGGGTAGCCCTTTGTAGTTCCGTTTTCGATCTTCTTGTTTTGCTCCTGGAAGTAGTTGAAGAAAGCCGGACCTACACCAAGTCAGCGAACCGCACAATCTAGGTCGTCAACCTCAGTCGATGTAGACTATCTTACCATAGTGTCCACCATAGCTCTCTGTCCACAAATTGAAGTTCTTTGGCTTGGTAGCTCTGTTTCCCTCCAAGCTTGGAAGACCGTCCAAAAAGGCCTGAAGCGTATGCCAGGCTCCGATAGCTGCGAGGTCCGTGGTATCAATCTCGCCAACATTTACCGGGTCAAGCACGGGATATGTACCAGTGGGTTTCGCGTAGGAGCTGTTGAGATAGGTGCCGGAGTAGTTGCCGTAGGTTGCATTGGCCTCTTGTTGGTAGGAGAAGGAGACGCCAACAGGCTGGCTCAGGAATAGCATGTTACTGACGTTGTTCCAGGAATATGGGTTGAGCACTGTCTCCAGGTCTTCCGTGATACGGCATGGACCAAGCTCTTCGAACAGACCGATCAATGAGTCGGAGCCAGGGCCACCGTTGAGCCACAATGTCAAATCATCCTCTGCTGGGTTGCGTCTGCTCTCGAAGAACCAGAAGAACATGTGGACATTGGGGGCGACATCGATGTAGCCAGAGTAAGAGTTAACTCCGGGAGTTGTTTCACAGACTCCCTCCTGACCAGGCATCTTGTAGCGAATGGTGAAATTGTTGGGTGTCGTCATCGTCTTGACATTGGTAGCATCCTTGGGGAAATAGACCTGGCGCTTGACATTCTTGAATTTGTCGTTGTTAAGAATGAACGATGCAGAGCAAAAGGGCATTGACGCCAGCAGCAAAGCCGCCGCAGTCGAAAGCTTGCCCATCAACATCTTGAGTTGGCGAAGATGGGAAGAAACAGGTCTGGACGGGTGGCCGGGGCCCTTTGTATGATTGCCGTCCGTTGCGAGTCGCGAGGCAGTCAAGATGGCTGGCGAAGGTCTATTCCTGTGCCACCAATCAACACTTACGTGATCGAGCGCCAGGACAGGAAGGTGATTCATAAACCCCGGAGCAGCGTTGCATTGCTTGTGCAGAACAAGCGCGCCGAGCACGCGGGGGAGTCCGCATTGTGACGTGGACTCACCAATCAAGGCCCAATGGCGGCGAGCTTCGAGAAAGCTTCGTACGCTTCGTGTCGGCTTTCAGCTTCCTATGACGCGGGTAAGATAACGGTGGTCGATGTCGATGTCGATGTCGATGTCGGTCTGGCCGAGACATTATCTACCTTAGAGATATGTATTGCCTCGTGTATGATGCATGTGCCAAATAGAAGAAGGATCAATCGCAGGGAGACTTGCAGGGAAAGTCAGACTATGCATTGTTGTGCCTGCCGGRTACATCCTAGCAGACATGCTCTTTGTGGTTTATGATCCTCGTCTGATCATCACACTCCGGTAACTGGCGGTGAACTGGAGTACTACCCTGTCCCTCTCACACTGATCGATAAACATGGGGCGGTACATGAGAAGGGGGGAAGATGTAGTAAAAGGACGATGTCTTGAAGTCGGATGTGTGAGATTGCAACAGGAATCTAGAATGGATGTGGTCATTGTGGTGGTGGCGCTGAGTGTCTAAACACTTACTCACAATACATACTMGCAATAAGATGCTCGAAGAAAGCGTGACACCCAACTGATTGCTTCATTATCTACTCCATAAACATCATAGAGTATTCTCACAGGTATAGAACAAGCGCGGAAGCCATGCGCTTGTCGTGACAAAATCTTGCACTACCCCAACCCTAACCCTGACATCATTTCTACGGAGGGAACGAAGGGAAAGAAGTGGACTTCTCGCACGCTACCAAATCACGGTAAGAATCAAGAGCCAAAGCACGTATGCTGTTCATCAAACATGGGATTCGCAAGTCTTAAATACAATCAAGCCGCAACAGCAGGATCGCTCCTCGCATGCTCCATCTCTTCCAGCTGATTATCCACCCTATCCAGCACAATCTGCTTGCTGAACGGCGCGGTAGTTTGTCGATGAGGGATAGGCTCCTCAACTGCCCAACGCAAAATATTCTTCKTCGAACCTTTAGTCGCAGCTTCCGTCATCGGACTGATAATGACGGTAAAAATGAGGATGACTGCGTAGCAGACCACCGCGACGATGAGCAAAAGTGCCCAATATGGGATTCCGGTCGTGCTTAGAGATACTGCTAGCCAACTTCCTAGTGACCAGAAGACGAAGCCGTGTAGTACTGTGGTTGTGAATCAGCGGCATTCAACTTTCCCAAGTTATAGGAGTTTTTACTTACGGTACACAGTCATGATGTGTGGATGGAAAAACGTAATGAAAGGTGCGCTCAAACACCACTGGATCGTCTTCGACAGCTCGACAATGATTTGAAGTCCGATGCTGAAAGTCAATACGGCAATGTTAGGGGCATTGTAAGCTGGGTAAAGCGAGTTGATGTCCTCGACGAGCTCGAACAGGGGCCGGCCAGTCATTGGATCGGGATGAATGCCGTTCTCCCAGCCCAAGAAAGAAAAGTTGTAGATGTTGCTGTTGAAAAGTAGAGCCAAGGGTGATGCAAGTGTTATTCCGACGGCGAGGAAGAGGATGGGATAATGACGGTACCATTTCGCCTGTGTCCATTTGAGCCAGCCGTGGTTGATGTCCGCATCCGCGAGCATAAGACCTGCCCAGTGAAGGGATGACCAACTCTGTTGATGTATGAGCGAGCTGACGTGATGAGCCTGGTAGATGTAACACTTACCCGTGCGTACCACCCTGCAACTATGGCTAGAGTGTAGAAGCCCGCTCGTTTCCAGGTCTTCTTGATGTCTCTGACCATGACAGTGCCCATCAGAACCACGAATGAGAACTGCAATTGAACAGGGATTGTCCAGAGTACCTTGAAAAGGTCAATTCGTGTTGCGACATCAGCAGCAGAATGCACTTACACCAACGCAATAATGGTTGACGACCTCTGGGGCACGGTTCGGGATGATATAGGAGAGTTCAACAATCTCGTTGAGAAATACSTGTCCAGGTCAGAAAATGCGTATTCCACACACGGCGCATTACTTACTCCAAAGTTCGCCTGAGGCGTCGTGTATGGCCAAGTACTGAATGATACGCTCGGCAGCCATTCAAGTTTGGCAACCAAGCCAAGCTCCATCAAGAAGTACTCGAGCATGATGAAAATGAAACAGGGAACAAGCATGCGCGGCGCTCGAAGCAACATTTTGTTGCCAATGTCCGCGAGATTGCCAGTCTTGAGATATCGCTGGGCCAAAAAGCGACAGGCGGTGATGAAAAAAGGGCCAATCCCAAATGGTGTCAAGATAAATGGACCTAGAACGTAGGCGAGCCACTGGTCGGCTTTGAAGTGTTTGATCTCCCCCGACGCCTCAGTCACGTATGGCCAGAATGTGAGAGAGAAATGTCGAAGAGTGACGCAGAAGCACATGACAACAACGAGGCCGGCCAAGTGGTCAATACGCTTCTGAGGCTCTTGTGGAAGCTGTGACTTTGAAGGATCCACGCTTGCGCCACCTGTCATGGCATCTGGAACATCGTGGGCCACAGTATTGCGCAGGACTGGGTACTCATTTGGGGCAGCAGGCTCGACTACCTCGTTCTTCCCAAAGTGCTTCTCAGCATCCTCTTTCTCCAGACCATTGTCGAGCTGAATTTGATTGAAGAATCGATGTTTCAGATCTTTCTCGTACTCGTTGATGCTGGACGCGGTCTTCTGGCTAGATCCACTCGACTCCACCTCCATCACCTCGTCTTCCTCGATACGAGAGGGTACGATGGCCAGTCCTAAGAGACTAGGTTTATGCGTAGGCCCCGCATGGAGTGATGAAGTGGACTGCGTCGGCGTGTGCTGCCGAGATTGATAGGACGGTGCAGGAGTCGCACAGTAGGGTGAGGAGTACTCGGGAGCTGGGGAGCTTGTCCCCAATGACTCAGGCGGGCTATAGCTTGCGGCAAACTCTGCACCAGTCGAAGCCCGGAGTGACTTCCTAAGTGCGTTTGCAGAGTGGGCTTTTGTTCCAGGAAATTGAATAGTCTTCAGCTTGTGCCACGGTCCACGCCGTATGAGCGCGTTGATCAGGGAAACGATTCCAATAACGCTGAAAGATGCTGCAACGTAGCCCGCCGCATCCCGCAGATGCTCTTGCGGGCGTGACTGTTTGTATGGTCTTGTAGCATCCGCGACGTATGGAGTAGATCCCCGGAGGCTGAAATCATCTGCTGAACATGGCATCGATATTCTGCATCGCTGGTCGTATTCTTCATGATCTGCCTTGGTCATCAAGCTAGAGTTGAAGAATCCTCGAACCCACTTAACATTGGCGACCGAAGCATTGACGGGTGGACCTTGCATGTAGCTCGCGTCCCCGGTCGACCAGTGTTTGAAATGCAAGGCCTCCGGCGTCTGTGGGAGAGTTCTTTCTTGTTTGGTCGCGTGGCGGGTGCGGTTACCATTGACGTAGAAGTCAACGGCATCAGTAGACCAGTCGAGGCCTATGTCCATGAATGTCCACGGTGACCGGCCTGGGTACCCTGGTGTACCACCCACGATCAAGCTGTAGTTCAAAGCCCGATCGTTCCCCGGAGCCTCCCCATTGACAAGCTGCATGATCTGCGCATCGGTCGCTGCGTCTTTATTGAGCAAGTCAACCTGTAGGCTCTGCGAGTCGTTGTATTTGAGGAACATTGACATGGCGGAGCCGCCGATCCATGGCTGTGCCGACCGCATGGAGGCTGAAAAGGTGCCACGTAAGATGTCTTTACGGAAGGAACGCAATTCAGCTCCATTCGAGAGGTGATCGAATCGCCGGCCTTCTAGTATCATCTCCAGACTTGGCTGCGTGCCGTCAATCTTGTTTTGCCAGTCCAGGGATCCGTTATTTCCCATGTACACATTCTCAGGACTGGCACCTTGCCGGTAAATCGCTTTCCATCCTTTTTCATTGTGCTTTGCATAGTCCAGTATTTCGAACGCATCTTGATCTCCTGGGTTGGTTTCGTTGAAGTATACAATGATGCTTTCCGTGTAAAGAGTATCAGTCTTTGAATCGATGAAGCCACATGGGCATGAGCTGCTGGAGGTGGTACTGCTGGCCGCTCCGATTGCAAGAGTTGCGAGAGAGGTCACCAAGAGAAGCAGCATGGTTGCAACACCTCGGCCGGGTCGAGTTGTACAGCGCTCTTACCACAGGCCAGTGCAGTATAAGAGTGAAGAAAGATTCGTCTTTGGTGGCCACTCAAGAAAACCACGCATCAGAGTTGAGATGGATCTCTGAAGGACGAGGATTACGATCGGCCAGGGTAAGTCTAGGTCAAATCATACATCAATGCGTAATAAGTAGATAATCATGACCGAACGCATCCAGGTAAGCTCGCAACCAGCGCCTTCGACATCCCACGGAACCTCACACCTATTACGTTCATCGGAAGATGCCCGTGATTCCGGGACTCGGGTTTATGGATCTAGCGTAGATGAGCACTCCAGGTGAACACAAAGGATTGGCGTGGCGAGCATGTTCGCGGAACGTGTGCCGATATCTAGCCTTTGCGTTGAGCATTTGTGATGCTTTGGGGATGTTATGGGCTCCACACCCACCTTTTGGTAATGACTTTATTGGGAAGAGCGGGAATGCTAGACAAACCCTATCGAACTCTGGTGGTTGTAAAACATTATCAGAGCTTAATGAGGGCTCAGGGAAAACCTTAAGGCATGTCCTTTGTTGGTACTTAGACTTTCAGGTATAGWTTCCCAGCAGACAATGCTCGTCAGCATGTGAGGACCGGCCTTTAGGATGCATCATGCGGATGATCTCTGAATCCACGCAATCCCTCCATGCCAGGGAGAGAGCGGCATTTCCACGATATCGCGCTTTCTCAACGGAGGGATCGCGCAATCTTCAAGCTCCATACCAGTGGACATCATGGTCTTGGGAGAGATTCGCATTGGCCCATTAATCTGCTGAGCTGCGGACCGTTGACGCTCCGGAGAAAGGCATCTGTGTGATGGATAATGTGGTGCTTTGTGTCGGACCACGTGGATGAATTTCCTGAACAAGGCGGTCTAGGCTATGCAGCGATTTGAGATGGAGAATTGGAGTCGTACATATCCATGTGGTGAACACAAGCATCGCGGCGAGGCACCCCGTTTGCCGCCCGCGGGTGGTGTAGAGGAACGAGTGAGGGAAACCGCTGGACGCGATGATGTATGAGCGGCGATGTCGGCTCGGATAGGGCTGATTTACGGGAAGGCCGGCCGCCGTGACGTTCCCGTGCAGGGATCATCCCAGCGGGTTTTGAAGTGGAGCTCAGATCTGTGACGTCCTGAAAGGTCTGCATGATGCAGTCTGCCTGATTATCACAACATTGAACCTACAACGGGGCCACCAAAATCCACGCTACATCCCACAATTCGCGGCCAATGCTCTCGACACGAGCAGGGGCGGTGTGATTGATGGTTGCCTGCTTTGAGATGGATCCCAGATGTCCCCCTCGCTACAACCACGACTTGATGATCAGAGTCACAATAATGGAGAGTACTCTTATCTCTTGAGCATTATCATTCTGGTAGCTATAGCCACATGTTGGCTCTCTTAGTGGCGATGAAGCCACTACCCTCAACGTGTTGCCATTATCTCAATAGCCACAGATAGGTGCTCCTCGCGGCCCAAATCGATGGTAGGTCAATACACCTGTGGAAGATTTCCGAGAAAGCAGCAATGGCGAAAAAGCATACTAACAGCACCACGGCATTTGTACCAGCAGTGCTGATACCTTTCTCCGCCAGAACAAGCCACAGCTTGATGCCGGCCGTCCAGAATGTCAGACATTGGGCCGTAAAGATGCCTGCCGAGCTTGTTAGCTGGATGGAAATGCAACAGACTGCGCAGTGTGAACTCACTGAACGACCTTTCGCCAAGCCATATGAAAGGTGCCAGGGAGAGGAACTTTTGAACGCCATCAAAAAGCTCAACAGCGATCATGATGCCGACAATTACCAGGAAGTCGTCAACTCTGGCGTATGGCCCAGAGGCAGCGAAGCTAGCGACCGAGTGACTCTCGGAGAGATCCAGGTATGGGTGCAGCTCCAACTCCTTGTTGACATAACGAGGAAGGAGGACAACGAAGTACTTTAGCGCCATCCCAGCGGCTGTGGAAAGAAGTGCCACGCCCCAGTATGGAACGCGCACATCCTCTTTGATTTTCAATCCAGCCTTGAGTTCTGTCTTCAACGTGGCGTTGATGGCCAGATCAGCGAAGAAAAGACCAGTGGCGGAGTACCATCCCCAGTACGACATCCAGAAGGACCCAAGGGCGAATAGCCCCAGACCTTGGATGTGCCACTTCGGGCGTGTGAACGGCAAGATCACCATCAAGAAGTATACCGTGAAGGACTGTTTCAGTGTCAGAATTTCAGCGAAGCTTGCTGTTGCAAATCGAGCTTACCTGGTAATAGATGACGGAAGGGACCCACAGCGTTGCAGTCGGCCAGGACATGTTTGCAGCTTGCGTGAACCAATCTTCGGTAAGCCAAAATAAGTTGAAGATGGCTCCGATAGCCGCGCCTCCATTGGATATCACAGATGGGGTCTCAATCGACTGATTGGGAAGTTTCGTCTTGAACTCGGCGATGTATTGCGTCCCGATTTGAGAGAATATGAGCATCGACAGCCCAGAGGCCACAGCAATGGCTAGGACCATGCGTACGGTTCGTCGGATAATAGTCGCTGCGTACGTTTGTCCCGTGGGATTCTCCAGAAAGGACACACAAATAGTGCGCATGGAYAGGACGATGAAGAAGTTGTATATGAGGCTGGCGTTCCACAGCGGGACGCTCAGCACATATCGTAAAATGTCCTGGTAGGCCGGTCCTGGTGTCCTGTCGGAAACCATAGTTGGGATAAAGGTCTCGAAGAAGATCCAGATGAAGCTGWGAATGACCAGAATTCCTCGGAGACCAGTGATGTAGGAGTGTCGACTTGATCGCTTCAGCGGAGCATCATGTTTGGCAGCCTCAAATGATGACATCGAGCTGACCGGCAACTTGTCGTCTGTCGAGCTTCGGAGGGAACTGTTGCCTGACTTCTCATCGTTGGAAGTGGACATGATGGCCGAACCCTTGAATGCTACCAGGAGACAAGGCTTGTGCTGCGCAAAAGGAACCAAGCAGATCTTATCCTTGCTGTGTCCAAAGTAGAGAGATGCCTTGACGATGTTGAGACGTTGTTCTTGAGCTCACCATGAAATTGGCCCAGATTGAAGTAATTCAAAATCGCTCGGTGCGAGGTACTGATCAATAGGGCTGATCACCGCTTTCCCAACAATGGTTCGCTAAGATGTGAGACGAACCAAACAGATGAAGTCCTGACGCAACGCCCTAACTCTGTTCCCTTACAGACGATCCTGGTGGGAATATGCCTCATCTCCAGGAATCAACCTTCTCGACCGCGTGGGATGTCCAACAACTTATGAAGGACTTCGTGGGTTGTCTTCCTTCACCGAGGTCTCGTTCGTACACAGGCCTCCCCGAACGTAATGAGTTTTTTTGCCACTGTGATTGAGGAAACGAAGGCATCGAAGTTCGGTACACAAGCTTCATTCTGAACCAAGGTACGTTCCGCTCGAGCCTGCCGAGCCGTCGTACGCTCCCGCCGATGCCCACATCAGACGTCAGTACCATACATGTGTCAGGTCGAGAAGAGTCGAAGGCAACTCCCAGAGGATCGCATATGGGGATTGGTGCCGCATGGAATTAGCGTTCGAGGAAGACTAGAGTTCCGCATCCTCACTCGGGACCCACCGATGATCGACCGGCATGGACCGAACACCGGCAATGCAGTCCAGTGCTGCATGAGTCTAAGTTAGTCTCAAGCCGCGACAATTATGCGAATCTACGCTACGAAATTGCCGGCCTCAAGTTTATGCCGCTTTGAGTCTTGAGAGAACGACGTTGTGCCTGTCTTCTAGCTTGACAGTAGTCCCCGTTGTGGAGTTCTACGTTATTGATCCTCCAGATCTATCTTGACTTTGGGCTAGAACTTCGAAGGACGACATCAGTAGCGAACCAGAGCGAAGATGCGATTCCCGTGCCTGGCAGTACCGTCCGGAGATGCTTCATACCTCGTGTACTTGCATGCGTCGTTGAGCCGCAACTACCGCACGATGTCCCCTAGTGTGGGATGGAAGGCCCGTAGGGATGTCGCCTTTGTCCTAATGTGTCATGGTCCAGGCACACCCGGTCCTAGCACCGCCGAGGAGAACTCCATTCCCCAGGCAAAGAGACTACGCCTCGAACGCAACGGCAGTTCAAGCGGACACACCACCATCATGGCTAATGCCATGGCTAGAACGATGTGTACCATCACCACCGCATGGCATACCAATACCTCAATCCCATATATACATCCAACTTGGACAGTAAAATAATAATTCATCCAGCACATCAACACATCAATACATTACACATCCACACATCACACACCAACACATCACACATCAACACAACCCACATCAAAACATCAAACACATCGAACACATCAATACATCTTCCGAGTTGTTTTCTCGTCTTCTTTCTTCCAATCTATTAGCATCAAGCGAGTCCTCAGCATATCTCTGGTTACAACACAGCTACCCATAAACATAAACACGAACATGAACACCAACATGTCAAAGGAGGTCGAAGCAGGAGAGCCATACTCCACAGGAGCAAAATCATCAATCACATCCCTCACATCCAAAGCAACACAAGCCATCCGATCAGGGACATCAATCCTCTCAGACTGGATTCTAGACTGGACCCCCTTCGTTCTGGTTGTGACATACTTTATCGTCACAACTGCGATATTCGTTCTATGCAACGAAGGAACCATCAAAGTCTTCTACTTCTTCTTCATGGCAACAAACTTCTACATTGCAGCCACCTGTGTGATCGAGTCCTTCCTCGGATTGACCCCGGTACGAGATGCTCGCAAGGCTGCAATGGCCGTCGAAGCTTGCAGCCAATTCCCCAGCGACCTCAACGGCAAGGCCAAGGATCTACCAATCATTGACATTGTCATCGTTGCCTACCTCCCCAACGAGAAGGACATCATCCGAAACCAGGTCCTTTACGCCTGTGAGGAACTCGTCTACCCAAAGGAGAAGTTGAACATCAACTTGGTCTACAACACACCAAAAGAAATCGAGCCTCTGGAGAGCGAGCTGGCTTTGTTGCCAGAACAATACAAGAACCTTCGGGTTATCAAGGTGCCCGGCTCCAAGTCCAAGGCAGACAACCTCAACTACTTCTTCTCTCTCAAGTCGAACGCAGATGTCATTGGAATCTTCGACGCCGACCACTGCCCACACCCACACAACCCCCGCTGGGCAGCTGAGCGCTTCCTTGCCGATGAGACCGTCGATATCGTCCAGGGTCGATGCATCGTATACAACACCAACGAGAGCTTCTACGCAAAGATGATCTCCATTGAATTCGATCGCATCTACGCCATCTCCCACCCAGGCCGAAGCCGCATGTTTGGATTCGGTCTTTTCTGTGGCAGCAACGGATACTGGAAGGCACCTCTCCTCCGCGAACACAAGATGGACGGATCAATGCTTACTGAAGACATCGACTCGGCTCTTCGCGCCTACGGTCTTGGCAAGAAAGCTGTTCACGACATGAACGTCACATCCTTTGAGATGGCACCCAACAACTTTGGAGCTTTCTGGAAGCAGCGCCTGCGGTGGGCTCAGGGCTGGACCCAAGCTTCTATCAAGCACATGCCATTGCTCTGGAACAACCCACCAACCGGCAGCCGAGGAATTGATCAACGATTCGGCGTCTTCTCTCTCTWGTTCGTGCGCGAGATCAGCTACTACCTCGTCACAATGCACACATGCCTGCTCATGAGCTTCCTTATCACGGGCTGGCCACACAATACTTCGGAGTTTGTTAGCCTCATCTTCTTTCGATACCCCATGGCGGAATGGTTTTTCTTCGCAACGTAAGTTTTCCTCCATCAATCACAATTGAGATACACGGACATGTCTAACATTTTTACAGAATTGTCGCTCTTCTGTTTACTCTTTACTTTACGGAGAAAGTTCGATCGGAGTTCACTACTTATTGGCAAATGGTGGTTTTCTGCATTGCATACATTCCATACTTGGTACTGCTGGCAGTCATGGGATTGTATGGACACGCTCGCCAGGTTGTCAAGTACAACAGCTGGAACCCAACGGCTCGCAAGTAATGGAATCATGATCAAAAATATAGATATAGATATAATGAAAGTCAAGCCAATGAAGCTTGTTCAACCAATATTTTTTGTTTACTGTATTGTTTGACATCCAGCACTACAGAATACTATTGACTGGAGGCTACGATTGACTAATAGTATAGACTACTAAGATTCACTACTACAATTGACTATAGAATACGACTGACTATAGAATACGATTGACTACTACGATTGACTACTACAGTTGACTACTACGCTTGACTACTACGACTGACTACTACGCTTGACTATAGACTAGATTAACTGTAGGACAGATTGACTATAGACTACAGACTACGACTGACTACTACGATTTACTACTACGCTTGACTACTACGCTTGACTACTACGCTTGACTACTACGCTTAACCCTAGGCTATGACTGCAAGATAGATTGACCACAGACTACAGACTACGATCAACTACTACAAATGCATACACACTACGATCAACCACAGACCACGAATACATTCATCAAAAGAAATCCCTATCACAGATTGAAAATCACACGAGAATAAATAACACAAACACCTCCAGCTAAACAAACAGTAGGTAGCATCAAATCAAGCCTGAATACTCTCCCATCGAAACTCGAACCCAAGCATTCCAAAGTCCATTCCTCTCTCTCTATTCCAAAAATCCAGATTTACACCACCACACCACATTCCACCCACGACTTAAAGCGTAACACCCCCTCCATTTCCTCGGAATTTCCCTCAAAAAGAAGTACCCGAGACACAGAAGAAGACACTTTTTAAACGAGAAACTCAATCCACCAAACGAAGTACGCATACCGAGCTACAAACCCCCATAATCRCACCCATCCATCACACTAGGGTAAAAAAACCATCTCAAACGGCATCTACAATCGGGCAGACTATAGATGTAAGAAATCCAAGCCACCCAACTGACTGGACACTTTCCCACGACTCGCTCGCAGCACACGGCAGTACCTTGCCCATTTTCAACCCACGACCATGGAAAGACATCGATTGTTCCTGAACCGAATAAATCACCACAGAAGGAACACCTAGATTCTTCCTCGGAGATAAAACTCTGTTCTGACAATTCCAAAATATGAGACATGTAGTTTTGTGGGGATGGGGAGCAGGGCATTCATTAGCCATATTTGCCGCCAGTCTATAAAAGTGAGACATGTGTTGAATGAATGCAGGTAAGTGAGTAAAATGTCTTATGTGATTGTAGATCGAATTCTGAATCTTTTGATGAGTCGTTGAGTCTAGGCTCAACGTCAGGTGTTTCGGATGCTCCACGACTTTTTGGTCGTGGTTCGGGTCATGCCATCATGCCTACCTAACAATCTCAGTTGTGGAAGTCTAGGCCCGCCCGGTGCCAGCGATCTTGTCTTTGATGGGAACGGACGGAGGTACGCGTAGCAATAATGAGGTCTATTCAGAAGGGCTACATAGTCACATTATGTTATCGATATATGCAGTAGGAGCTTCTTGTTGCTCTGATTTTCGCTGCGAGGGCTTGGCGATGAAAAGGCGGGTGGAGAGCATGCTGCTTTTGATTGCAGCAAAATACGGTGAGCTTCGATATCTTACGATGCTTATCAAATCCATGTCCATCGTAAACGAGACTTCCCATTGCAAAGAGCATTGCAGCAAACCATGCAGGAAAGCGATCTCTCGCAACCCTTCCAACCCGATCATCCACCGAGAATCACAGCGCTAATTCGTCAGGCCAATCTTGCTGCCATCCCTCACATTTTGACTCGCAAAAGGTATCGGAGACGCACTTGAGCGACATCGTAACAGATGTACTCATTGTACAACAGGGATGCACTAGGGACGTTGGTCGGCCCTAGCTTCTTCTTTGTGTCCGGCATGCTAACGCCCTCCAGCGATGGGTGAACGCACTTTGCATCCTTCCAGCCGGAAGGACCGGTGGAGCCCTGTCCCCATGTAGAATGGAGACCTTGGGCGAGAGCGTCGTCGCCGGCAGAGTATGAAGCGTTGGTGAGGGTTTGCATTGGCTTCCCAAGTTCGGCTTCGCACAGGAGCAGCAGGGCGTGACCACCGCTGAAAGAAATGTCAGTGCTGCCAACAAGCGATCGGACGAACCACATGGATGGTAAACTGACGAAATGTAACTTGCGCAGTAGTTGCCTGATTTGCTCGAGGCATCTGCGAGATAGATTCCCTTTCCAAACATGTATCCGGAAACCTATGCAATGACAGGTGAGGTTAGCGACGTCTTGACCGATGTCAATTTGATCAGCGCATTGCGAGAGACATCTCCCCACTGCCGGCATGGGAAGACGATGCACGCTATACGCCCGCCATCGTTTATTGACTTACAGGTGCCTCGGGAGGAGCTATGCGCAGTCCTTGACTGAGAATGCCTCCGTAATTCGTAGCGCCTGTTACCACAAGGTCAATTTGTGCAATACATCAGTCATTGGCAAGGTAGCTTACGGGAGCCATGCCACAATAGCCTGCGATCACCAGTGACCTTTCCGAAGCTCTTTTCAAAACGGTCGTGTTCGCCTTGGCGTTCGATGCGGAAGACGTCAAGGAGATCGTAGTTGATGCCGTGAACATTGCTGTTCACAAGATAGTCATTGATGTTGGTAAACTCTGGAGTGCCGCGGTCGATAGGAGTGGTCTCTTGGAGGCGCAGATTGTTGAAGCGCAAGTCAAGAGGATGCACGGTGCTGTGCTTGTCCGATTTCAGAATGGCGTCTGCATCCTTGAGATCTGTCAAACTCTCGAGAAGGAGGACCTCTTTCTTGAGGCGCTCGTGCGTGTTGATGATTGGCGGCCCTGAGCAATCGAGTTAGCAGGTCAGCTTTCAAGGTACGGAACATATGCCACTCACTGTTGCGTCCGAATTCGTGCGGGATGTACGAGTAATACCGATTGCTCAGATCCTCAACACCCGATTGATCAAGAGTGTTGTCGTCGAGTAGAGCGGCAAGATCCTTGAGAGCTTGATAACCACGTGTGATGGTTGGTTTCGAGAGCTTGCCCAATGGCATCTTCTTTGCGTCGTAATTCATGTCCGCCATGGTGGAGTCAATGTACTCCTGATTGAAGATAAGCTCCACGAGCGACTTGACTGGAGGAGCGAGTGTGCACTTCGCAGGTGAAGTGCTCCGAGAGCGTTCACCCTTATGGTCAGCAGGGCCAGCTTTCTCGTCGTCGTCTTCGTCTTCCTGCTTCTCATCTTCGTCTTCAGAGTCAGGCTCGTAGCTGCGCTCCAGAAAGACATACTGTCCAGGCTTGGGAGCGTTGCCGCGATCCTTCCAAGCCAGTCTTGACTTGTCCTGGAATGGAYTGTCAGTATTGTGATGTCGCGATGCAACGGATTGAAGTAGCTGAAAAGACTCACCTTGAACTTCTTCTGGAATTCTTTGATAGCAGTGTCAAGTTCTCCATCTCCCAGCTGTTTGCTCTGGCCACGCTCACCGACGCGACCCCATCTTGTCCAAGTGTAGAACTGGGTACCCTTGGCGTTTGTGAGCAGCTGCACGCGGTAGAATTTGTTGTTGTTCTTTCCAGAATTGGTCTGGTCTGCAGAGTGAGGGAGTCAGAAAAGCTCAAGACTGGCCTGCATTGGATACCACTCACTGAGGTTCGCGTCCCATATTATGTTGRCGTCGTCAACGTAGATTTGGAAGGAGTTTGCAAGTGGGCATACTTCATCAACCGGGATGATCAGATTCTTGGCTTTTGCGTATTGACCGTCTGAGACGTCCGTCTTGCTGTTTTCGTATTTGGAGTTTTTCTTGAAGCCTGGTTCTTCATCATTGCCTTCCTTTTTGACTTCCTTCTTCACCTCCTTCTTCGCCTCCTTCTTGACCTCTTTCTTGGGAGGAGTTGTCTGGTCAGCATCGGAGTCGCTGTCGTCCACCGGCTGAGCCGCGGCTTTTCTTCCGCGTTTCTTCGGCTCCACTTTGACGTCCACATCTGGAGACGCGGCGCGCTTGTTACCTCCCCTGGTAGTGACCATCTTGGTTGACTTTTTGATCCGAAGCGAATCTGCAATGGGACGGTGTAGGATGGAGCGGAGGGAGAATGAGATGATGTTGGCGGGAAAGAGGTGGTATTTTGTCGCTTTTGACCGCATTGGCCATCAGCAGGCAGAAGGGCAGAAGGGCTCCACTTTTCCGTGGTTGCCTGAGCTGCCGCCTTGAGTTTGCCTCAGGACGTGGAAACATCACCAACCACGGACGGCATCAAATGTCTTGATGAAACTCACCCTTCATCTCAACTTCTCTTCTCTTCTCTTTCCTCCTCTTCACTTCATTCCACAGCACCATGGCTTCCATCCTCGATCTTCCCGCGGAGCTCGTCATYGGCATCGCGTCGTACCTCACTACCGAGGAATTGGGTCCATTGTACGTTTGATCTCGCACCTGCATCCGCCAAATGGCAGCCGAAGTGGCGCTCTATGTCACTCATGAATTGAAGGAGATCAGAGCGCTGTATTGGTCAAGTACGGAGTGCATGCGACTGTTCCAAGCTAATAAACATGCCTACCTACAGACGTCGATCGTGTAAACAGCTGGAGCGCCACATGTTCGAGACATTTGCCAAAGAATTCTTCACCAAACGTCAATTCATGATCCAGCGGACATCCCTCCAGGCTTTGGTGGACATCTCCAACCATCCCACTCTGTCAGAACGTCTGCAGGAGGTCATCATCAGTACAGACGTGTTCGAATGTGATGAGATCCCGCGAGAATGGCTACTCCGGACAGGTCAAGCTCGCGACATGCTGGCCGAGGCTTTTTCGAAGCTCAAGAATCTGCGCATCGTTGGTCTACGCGACTTCAATTCCAAGGGTCGTGTCAGAGAAGGCGGTCCAGAGGCGCTTTGGAGGAGCTACGGTAAGTCATGCAGCCTCTCCGTGTTGTGTTCATGTTTACTCCAATTCAAGCTCGCGCCGGTCTTCCCCATCAAAGTTGTGCTGCCGTATACAGAAACCACACACTAACATCCATCTGCTCTGCAGGTTGGTCCAAGGAACCAGCAACCACGTTGTTGGGCATGGACTCCGACACAAGTCCCGGATCTTTGTTCTCGCTGATTCTTTGTGCACTCGGCATTGCTTCTTCATATCCTCCAGATGTTCAGGTGATCCTGCGGAAACACAACACTCTAGTACCGCATGCCTTTATAGTCAATGCAACCAACGCTCCGGTGATCTCGAAGCTCAAGACCTTGTTCCTTGCACTGCATGCAGACAACACTACCATTTCGCGCAATCCCAGCTGCGAAGACCTTTTGAGACGATTCCTGCATACCGCGACGGATGTTGAAGTCCTTCGACTCAACTTCGATTCGCGATGGTCGGCAGCGTCTCGACTTCTGACCTGGCTTGGAACCATGCCCAGCGCAACGGATCTCAAGCTAGATGATCCCAAGTTGTTGGACATACCGCCAGCGCCCCTCAGTCATCTCACATCACTCGAAATCGGCATGGCATCAGTTTCAGCACCCTCACTCACTCGCGCCCTCTCCAGATCCAACCTCAAATCCTTCAGCCTGTGGAGGGTCACCATATCAGACATGGATATGACACGTCCGACTGCCGGCCATTGGGAGCCCGACCTTTGGCAGCAATTTCTTGGGGACCTTTCCGGGGCAATGAACGGTTCAGACAGTGTTAAGAGCATCCTGATAGGTCTCATAGCGCAGGTCACTCGAGTTGTCTCGCATGTGCCGACTTGGGAGAAGGTGCAGTTCTGTCCCGAAGGAACTTCCGACAAGGGTGATTTAAAGGTCGAATCATTACACAAGGAGGTGAAGTTCCGCGCTCGTTACGGAATGAGCGCATCTCGCTGGCTCAAGGATCTCTCGGAGCGTACATATGTGCGCAGCATCCACGGTGCGCCGGAATCGCCAGAGGTCGACAGCGAAGACGAAGACGAACAGAGTGATGATGATAGTGAGGAGGATGARCATGAAGARGCAGATGACGAAGGAGATGGTGAAGAATGAGAGCCGCGGCAGAGTCCGATTCAGAGGATGGAAATGCGATGAGAACCTGCACCAATAGCATGGTCTCGCTGCCGTAATCCGAGTTAAAGTCAGATATGACAAAGGCAACATGGATACCATCGTCAGTCGCCATCCCTCACTGCCGCATGGTGAGTAGCGGATGTATTCAAAGCAGCSGTCCCTGTTCCATCACTATCCCTGCCATACATATTACATGGCGCTCAAGTCGATGACATCAAAGGATGGAGATAATTCGTTGCCAAAGATATGACTTGTCGAAGATGTGCCCTCACCGAAGGTGCCAGTCCTTTTGGCCAATGGACATGGCTGGTGTTATCACGACTGCTCAGTGGGCTCCATTCGATTCAATTCATCGGCCTCTAGGTAAATTGAGCTGGTGCACCGTGCTTTTTGTGCAAACCGTATGCATAGCAGAGATTGTGCACCCTGGTCCGGAGATAATTTAGCGCAATTCCGGAGGGACCTTTCTTTTACTAAATGCCAGCAAAGTGCAAATGATGATTGAGAGATTGATATCGAAACAAGTTCCTCGCGCGTGATGTGGGTATATATATGTTGGCAGATTTCGTCGATTCCTTCCGAATTTCATCATATCAAACACATCTCCTCCTACCATAACATCCACTCGACCTTTCCAAAATCATTCAATCCTCAACACACCACACCACCCAAACATGCCACCCTACCAAACCATCGCCCTAGCAGGCTGCAACGGCAACCTCGGCCCCTCCATCCTCCAAGCCCTCATCAACGACGCCTACCCCTTCACCATAACAATCCTCTCCCAAACCGGCAAAAGCCCCCTCCCCAACAACCTCCTCCCCCCTTCGATCAAAATTCAAAAAGTCGACTACACCTCCACCCCTTCCCTAATTTCCGCCCTCCAAGGCCAAGAAGCCCTCATCTCCCTCCTCCCAGACTTCTCTCTCCAACCAAAATTAATCGACGCAGCCATCGTCGCCGGCGTGAAACATTTCATCCCCTCGGAATTCGGCAGTAATACTCTCCACCCTCAAACCGCCGCGCTCCCACTCTTCAGGGATAAAATCTCCACGCGGGAATATCTCCAATCCAAAAGTCGAGAAATTGGTTGGACGGTGATAATTAATGGATTACTCCTCGACTGGGGCCTAGAATCTGGATTTTGGATGACTTTTCCTCCTCTCCCTACGAAAATCTACGATGATGGGAATGTTAAACATTCCACTACTTTAAGATCGCATGTGGGCAAAGCGGTGGTATCCATCTTGAAGAATCCCCGAGCAGCAACGAATCATCGGGTGCTATATATTCAATCCACGGCGCTATCTCAGAATCACATTTTGGAAATTTTCAAAAAGAGGAATCCAGGGGTGGAAATTCCTACCGTGGCGGTTCGGACGGAGGAGATTTTGGAGAAGAGTTTGGAAGGGTTTAGAAAGGGACCGGGAGGAGGAGGGCAGGAATTTGTAGAGGCGATTATGGGGTTGTTGATTGTGAGTATTTTTCGTGAGGGGTATGGGAATGATTGGTCGGGAGGGAATGATAATTCTTTGGTGGGGGTTGAGGAGTTGGGTGAGGAGGAGGTTGAGGAGGTTGTGGGGAGGTTTTTGGCCGATGTGGAAGGGGGGGATGGGGTTGTGGGGGATTTGAAGTGGATTGAGTCGAAGGTGCTCGGGAAGGAAGGAAAGTAAGTGGTACTTGTGTGGGAGCTGGCAAATCAGGCCGTGTGCCCCTGTCTTCTCGGGGCGGATGTATGTGAGGGTGGGTAGTAAGCTAGTTTTCAAGTCTCTACGAATAGAGAGATTGGCGGTTGTTGATTTTGAACTTTTGTTCGTCTTGTATGTTTGTTTCGTTGAAACTGTACACCTAGATGGATGGATAGATAGATGGATGAATATATACAGCCCTTCTCTTATCCATCGAAATGAAGTGAAGTTCTTCTAGACCCAATATCTCCAATCAAAATCACAAGAAGAAGAAGAAGAAGAAGAATCATAACTTCATCATCACCATCATCAAAAATCCCCCCCGGCCCTCAAAGAATGCCACCCACAATATCCGTGAGCCCATCCAATAAATCGCCCACCAACTCCCCCAAGCCCAACAAATCCGCGGCCTTTGTCAAATCTCCATCGGTGCGATTCAACGCCCTCAATCCCTCCAAATCGCTCACCCCCTTACCCATCAAAACACTCAAGAGATCAGGCCAAGGAACCTCTCCGACACCCGGTACATCCTGATTCGCTCCCTCCGTTGATGACCCACTGCCACCACCATCACCATCACTCCCTACAAGTAAATCCCTCCCTGACCTCGCCCCAAAAATCCCCTGCCCGACCATCTTCACCCACTCCCAATTCCTCAAAGCAGGAGAATCCCTCTCGCCCGCATCCCAGAATTCCCAACCCACGACACTTCCAAAGTCTCCTCCATATTTCGCCTTCAAAGCAGCAATGGTACGGGAATACGTCGCGATGCCATACCATCCACTACCCCCATCGTTAGGATTCGCCAGCACGCCCATGACAACCCTCGAAGCGGCGTAACCATTCGCGATGATGGAATTGTATCCCGCTGGGGAACTGCCATCGCCCCAACCATTGTAGAATTGAGCATTGTACCAATTGACTAGTTTGCCGTTGGGTTTGTTGGGCGCGACGGCTTGGCGGTCGAGGTCTTTGTAGTTGAAGCCTGAGAGCCCGATTTCTCGCGGCGTGAGATCTGAGGCTACGGGGGCGAGGGTTAGGATGAAGGAGGGTCCGAGGTCTTTGTTTAGACGGCGGAGTAGAGCCAAGGGGCAGGAGACTGGGATGGGTTCTTCGATGTCGAGGTCTAGACCTTGGATTTTGTGGGTGCGGAGGGTTTGTAGGAGGGGAGTGTAGTATGCTTCATTCTATATATTCATGTTTTGTTAGGTTGAGGATATATGGGAGGTGGGTTTTGGTCTTACAATCCCTCCATTCGGACCGGAACATAATCGGGGATAGGTTCCTTTGGCGGCACCGCCCATCATCATCATAACTTTGACGCCTTGTTTTTGCAGTTGGGCGGCTTCGGACCAGACGGGGTTGTAGATGGGATCGTTGGGGGAGTGGTCGTTGAGGGTGATATCTCCCGGTTGGGAGTTGATATGCAAGGCGGAGAGGTAGATGTGTGTGATGTGGGTCTTTTGTTGAGTCAGAGGGAGCAGGGAGAGTTTTCCCCCAGAGGTGGTGCGAAATGTTTGTATGTACATGACGGTGCGGGCGCCATTTGCTCGTTTGGAGAGTTGTTGGTCTGCGGGGATAGATGTGACTGTTGTGATGAGGAGGGCCAAGAGGGCTGTGAGATGGTGGAGAAACATGATGATAATGATCGTTGGGAACGGTTGGAAAAGCAATCAAGGCAAGAGCAAAAGAGACGAGAAGGGAGAGAAGGAAGGAACGACCGACAGGCAGACATTCAAACAATAGAAGGTTTGTGAGACAGACAGGAGAGCGGGACATGTGGCAGGCAGTAGGTCCTCTTGGCAGACAGGTCCCCTATAGCAGCCTCGTCTGGGCATCATCTGCAGGGACGGCGTGACATGTCTGTGTGAGATGAGATGAGATGAGAGAAGAGATGCCGTCGTAGAGATCGACAAGCAGCAGCACGAGGAGATGCCCGAAACGGTATACGCATGCCACCCGGGGCGAGACGGGGCGGGGACGGGGGGCCTTGATGCATCCCGAGGGGCCAGGGCGTGTCGATCTTGTCCTCGAGCAGATGTTTGCGACGTATTGTACGAAGGAGGTCACGATGGAACTCGACATGCGAGTAATGACGAACGAAACGTGTCGGGGAGGAAATGAGGTGAAGCAATGCGATGAGGAAGATGACGTCGATGATGTGGATGATGATGATGATGATGAAGATGAAGCATCTCTTCCCGTGTTTCCATCGAGGCAGGAAACGGCGGGCGGGCGTAGTTAGGAGTGGAAGTGGAGGGGAGGGAAGGTAGGGGAAGTCTAGGGGATGGAAGGAGATCGTTGGGCGGCTGGATCTGCGGCCCATGTGGGAGATGATCGTCTTGACTCGCCAAGACTGACCTTACACTCACGCGACACCCGGACGTCTCTTCCAACCTCGGCATGGCCTTGGATGGATATCGATCGACATATATGAATACTGATCGACATAGGTGGACATTGATCGACTTGACTTTGATGGCTTTGATGGACGTGGATAGATGGTGATCGATATTAAGCGACATTGATGGATGTTGATTAATATTGATGGATATTGATGGACTTAGATGAGTATTAACATGTATTGATGGAATTTGATGGAGCTGCATGAATATTCTCGTCAAACTCCCCTCCACCAGCAATTGATGCCCACCACCTCTCATCCAGCCCTCGTAGAATGATGTTGACAYCCCATCCCCCGCCAATACTTTATATCATCCCCACCAACAAACATCGCCCAAGATGAGCGGGAAGATGTGGGAGGTCGATCCCGAAACTCGCTCCAAACTGCTCGAAATCTCCAAGAGCAACGAGAACTCTCGGTGCGTCGACTGCGGCGCCCCCAGTCCTCAATGGGTACATGCCATCCCATCCCCATCTCCTCTCCACTCTCCCGCCCTCTAATCGATTGATGTCCCTCTAATCATCTCCCTCGATGCATGCAGGCCTCGCCCAAACTCGGCATCTTCTTCTGTCTGGCCTGCTCCGGCACCCACCGCTCGCTGGGAGTGCACATCTCCTTTGTCCGCAGCGTCACCATGGACGCCTTCAAGCAAGGCGAAGTAGCCCGCATGGCCGCTGGAGGGAATGCGCCGTGGAGGGACTTCTTCAATCAGCATCCCAGTAATACCCTGCTGGGGAGGGATTTCGACGCCTGCACCATTGCCGAGCGGTACGATAGTGAGGCCGGGGAGGAGTGGAAGGAGCGATTGACGGCGAAAGTGGAAGAGCGGGAATATGTGCCGGGGGAGAAGAAGGCGGTACCAGTGAAGAAGGCGGCGACGCCGGCGATGAGTGCGGCGGGCAGTGGGAGGAGCACACCGATGGGAAGTGCCCCACCGCAACGCGTCGCTTCCCCCTCGCAAAAAGCGAGGAATGAGGCATATTTCGCTTCCAAGGGGCAGGAGAATGAACATCGCCCCGAAGGTGTCGCGCCCAGTCAGGGAGGCAAGTACGCGGGTTTTGGATCCTCTCCTATGCCCACCTCTTCCAACACTTCTTCGGGAGGTGTGCCCACCGCGAATGATTTCCAAAATGACCCCGTCGCCGCCCTGACCAAAGGGTTCGGATGGTTGTCGAGCACCGTCACCAAACAGGCGGCTACTGTGAATAAAACGTACATTCAACCGGGCCTGTCCAATCTGGCCCAGGCCGATCTTGCCGCACAGGCGCGAGCGACGGCGGCACAACTCGGTTCGACCGTCCAGCAAGGTACCAAGGGCTTGGGAGATCAGTTTCAGAGATTCGTGGATCCTGATGCTGCGAGTAGTGGCAGCGGCGGGATTGCGAGAGGGGGACAGGGACCTGCGAAGAAGGACTTTTGGGATTCTTTCGGCGAGGCGCCTGCGGGGCCGGCGAGGGAGAAGAAGGACTTTTGGGATGAATTCGCCGCCGTGGGTGAGCAGGTGCAGTCGAAGAAGAGTGCGGGGAGTAGTAGTATTGGCACGAGTGCCATGAAACCCGGTGGCGCGAGTGGGAAGAAGGACGAGGAGGATGGGTGGGGAGGGTGGTAGGTCGGATTAGAAGAGGGGAATGGGTGGGAGATGAACATGGCCGGTCAGGTCAGCACGGTGTCTGGAGTTTGGAATGGTGAAGACAGACGGGAGCATCAGAACTGTCCATCGGTGGCGGCAGCAGCGGAGCGTTCGTTATTCAGCGGGCATGAAGAAGAGGAAGAATGACTTTTAAGCAGCGACCGGCGATACATTCACCACCTACCTACCTTGGAAATCCTCTCCACCTGTAGCGAAATCCACCATGATGCAAAAGATGGGCGATTTTAATTCATACGTCGTCCACACCCTCATATGCCACTTCTTTGTGGATTACATCCATCCGAACATGCATTCATCCGTGCGGCGACCTTCCTTCCCCAAGGGAACACCCGAAACGTCCAGTCGCGAGTTCAACGCAACTTTCATCATTGCTTTGAGGTGATTCGAATTCAAGTGAATGAACCCGCGCTAGCGCCAATTAGTGTTCCGCTTATTCTAGGCTGCTGTCACTGCTGCGGCAGCGGCGACTGCTTCCAACACTTCTTTACTAGCTTCACTCGACATCACTTCCTTTCTCATCAACACCAACCTCCGAGTCCCGCAACACCACATCCTCCTCCTCAACACCATCTCTGACATCGAACTCGGACTACAGCGACACCGCTTCTCAACATTACTCACCGACGTGCTCGACACGGGACTTCTCACAACATCATGTCTCCTGACTGCGACTGTGAGCGGTGTGTCGCTCGGCGGTCAGTGGGCAAGACTCCTCTGCACCTCAAGACTTATGACGACTCGACTGGACCTGCGACTCCTCCACCCGACCCGCCACCCAGGTTCTCGTACTACGATGAGGATGGTATCTGCAAGTCCGATCGCAGCAAAGTACCGGATTGCTGCTGTACACGCTGCAAGACTCGCGCCGCCTCCCGCAAGCCTCCCATCCACCTCAAAGCGTTCGATGACACCGTCAATCTGCCCTGGCACTGCGTTTGTAACTCTGATTGTAAGGCTAAAACTTGCTCTGAGAAATGTGCATGTACGAAGTGTGGGTTCGGTCGCAGTCGCTGTCACTGGATCTGCAGCTGGAACCCTTTCACCGAGGATGATGTGCCCCGGACTCTTCGTTCTCGCCACTCCATTCTCTATCAGTTTGAGAGCGCTTACAACAACTACCCAAAGTTAGTGGCATCCTATGGACGATTGGATTACGACACATGTAAGTCGGAGGACTTGAAAGCATTTGTCCAGCAACGAGGCTTGGTCGATCCCTTCCCACCGGGCTTGACACTGAAGAGCACGTACATTCGCATTTTGGATGCTGCAGACCGCGCTTACAGGTTCCGGTTCCTCGATCTGCCTCCAGAGATGAGAAATCTGGTTTATGACGAACTCCTCCTTCTGCGGCCTTACGGAGAATTCAACGGTTGTCATACCTCAATCCTTTCGACCTGCCGTGAGATTTACGATGATGCCTCGGCGATCATATTTGCCATCAACGATCTGAAATGCGAGTTCTCCTTGGACCACACTACTTACGATGGTGAAGGAGTCTTCGAGGTCGTGCTCAACAAGTCTCCCGGGGACTACGCCAGATTTTGTATACTAGAAGCAGACGACTTCTTTCTTCGTGCAACTTCACTCAGGATCCAAATCACCGCACAGAGACACGACACAGACGACAACTTCTACTACATGCCCATCTCAAACGGTCTGCTGGCTTTCGCGTCTTCATTCATGGAGGGTAATGCACTAATCGAGTTGAGGATTGACTTCTCCCTGGGCTCAACCGAGACCGTCACGAGCATTGAAGCCCATCGCATCTTATGGCCCCTTCGACGACTCCGCGGGATCAAAAAGGTGGAAGTAAGTGGTGATCTCTCAACAGAATTGGCGAAATCGATCCAAAACGACATGCAAAGCGACACATCTGTGACCAATACTCTCTTCTGGCAGCGGGATGTGAAGCGGCAGGCCAACCGGTATCTCGGATTCGACCCCCGTTATGGTCARGAGGATTCCAAACATGATTTCGTTGGTCTCCGGCATCAAGTGTACACTATTTCAAAGGAGCTCCCAGAGATTGATACTAGGTCCAGTCCTGTCGTGGGCCCGTTTTTCGAAAACGAGACCCAAGAGGTAGAAGCACAGAAACAGATCAGGGCTCTGGAGGCTTTGTTGGCGCTCATACCCAAGGATAAGTATTGACTGGTAGAAGGAAATGTCGAGGAAGGAGGGAGTGCTCGAATCAAGGCATGAATGTGGGTCGTCGATGAAGAACATGCTTCTTGTCCCTTGATGCTGGCAGCTGAAGTGGATCTCCCAGCGACGATGATTACTTTGGTTGCGGCTGACTGGACTTGAGAGATGCATGCACTATCAGAGGATCATTCTGCAGGGCCTTCACTTGGCGTTTGCGAAGTTTCGCATGCGGGCACTGTTGTATGCTGCGGAGGTGCTCATACTGCTACTTTGCACGGCCAAACATTCAACTTCATTGCTACTGGCAGTTGATAGTTCTACGCATGTTCAATAGGTAGCAGCTTTTTTTTACTTTCATGTCTGGCTACAAGTATATGTGTTTCCTCACCCTTCAACCCCAACTCGACACTCTTMCACCTCCAGCCCTTCAGAGTGAAATGCCCAACAACCGTCCCATTACGCTCACTTCTCAAACTCTTAATGTAGTAGCTAGTAGTTACTTGCTCTTCCTAGCACGCGCGCAAGAAAACCCGTTGATACAATTTTAACCTTTGGCGCTAGCGTGATAAATCCAAAAGTCGCATGGCCTGTTTATCCTTTCCTCTTCTGATTGAACACAACGGACCACGACGAGACCGTGACGTGTGTAGCTTCTCCCCCTTCAAATCTACAACATAAGTAGCACAGGATATCTGCCTCTAATAACGCATAGTACGGTATCTCTCTCTCCCTAAGCGTCGTAAGCAATTACCTGGATGCTAATACCACCGAATCGCTACCACGATCTTCTTTATCTTATACCAAGTATTATACTAGCAGCTTCAGCATATTATAAACAACAGAACTTAAAAAATCCGGGTAGCGTTATAGAATAACCTCTATTGTCTCTAATGGATAATTACTACTTAAATAAAGTCAGAATTACATTCTGGATGTACTACGAGAATAGAAAGGAAGCGTTGCTCTTAGACCCGTCGTAATAAACGACCATCTGGATTAGTCTAGATAGGATGATCTTCTACCTACTTCGTAGCATTCGCGGAATTAGGGAGAGTATAGTGTTAGGGTTGATTTCTTAGGGAGTGGAGCTGCGTGTACTGTGGAATTTTGTATCGTAGAGAGACGGGGCGATGGAGGCGAGTAGTTTGTAACCGGCATTGGGACACGATGATTACCATGATGAAGATAATGGTGCGATTAATGGTGTACTAAAAGTAAGCGAACGGGACTAGGTTGTTGATTTCGCGATTTTTATTTAAACTTGAGGGAAAACTTGCCCGGTCGTTGCTGCTCATCTCACGTGTTGAAGATCGACTCTTAATGAGTCGTATAGCCATCCACTAGCAATTCGTAAGAGCTCTTAAGATTCTTCCTGGTCTCGACGTCCAAACTTTACCGACGACAGCATTGTTATTAGCTAGCCGTAACGATGGTAGTAGTAGGTGCTGTACATAGGTATTGTAATAAGAACCCCTTCCTAATAGAGCAGGTCGACGGAAGTCTATGTCACCGGAGACGTTAAGGTGAGGAGGATTCTTCTTGACATAACGCTCAGCTTTTGAGTTTCGTTTCTTCGCAAGTCATACCATGTAGACATCTCATAGGAGGCAAGGTCCTACCGCTGGGTCCCCTTGCTCGACAGATCTCAAAGGACAATATTGTGCACTGAGGCAATTGATCGAAAACTAAACATCCGATCTCCAATCACACAGCACCAAAAGCCTCACCCCCCTCCTCCCGACACTTCAAATGCTCATTCTCCTCAACCAAACACTCCTCATTCCCCCTCGCAACTTGACTCTTCACCCTCAACCTCTCTCCAAACCTTAAAAACAAAATCGGCGTAAAAGCAAACACAGTAGCCACAGCCGCAAGGATACTAACAGCAACATTCGTCCCCAATCCACTAAACATCTGATAAGTAAAAAGCGGGAAAACAGCAGCTGTTAAAGTCCGCGCGAGACTAATAGCTGATACAGCAGAAGCTGCGTATTGTCCATAAGAATCCGTCGCGTAGCCGAAAAGCACGTATGAAAAATCATTCAAAGCAAAACCAATAAAAACCAGTCCGATCATGGAAATAGGCCAAGACACATTCGTGACTTTAGGAGGAGTAGTCCAAGCGAAAATCCAAAGTCCAATAGCCAAAGCCGGGGCCGCAATAGCGAAAGATTTTATTTTGGATTCCGGTAAGATTCTTCGATTTTGTTTGCGAGATTTTTTAAAAATGTGTTGTTCGTAGAATCTGGGGAGGATGTTGATTATCTCGCCGATGAGAATTGCGATGAAGGCTAGGGAGGAAGTTGTTTCGTTGAAAGTGTTGTTGAATGGGGGGGTGGTGTATGTTACTGTTAAGCCTTCTGTGAGGCCGTAGATTAGGCCGAAAGCTATAGCGCAGAGGACGGAGCAGAAGGTGACGATTGGTTCGGTGATGAGGAATATTAGAGGTCGGAAGAGGGAGTTTCGGGCGAATTCTTGGAGGGAGAAGGTTCCTGGTGAGGTGTTGGATTCTAGGGTGGTGTTGCCGGTGTCTTTTCTGATTTGATCTACTTTTGCTTGGAGGAGCTGAGTAGCTTTGCTTTCTCTGATGAAGAAGCAGGCGGCGAGCGATATTGCCGATACGATTGCGGAGATCCAGAATACCCATCTCCTATGCCCGGTGTCAGTTGATGTCTTCCCTACAAATGTGACAAGGATTGACATACCAATTGGTGCGCGCCAGGACGTAGGAGGAATATATCGGTCCCATAACAAGACCAATCATGCCCGACAAAGTGTATGCATAAACCACCCAGATCCGTCTCTCCGCATCAAACATATCTTCGAAATTCCCAAAAGCCACGGTAGCCGGAATGGCCGCAGCAGCGCCCTGGACAAACCTTCCAATATAGATGGCACTGCTCGCACCCGGCATATCAGAGGGCACAGCGGCCACCACGATGGAAGTAATGCAGAACAACGCCGTGGCTATAATGTAAATCGTTCTTCGACCAAATGTCTCGGAAATTGGGGAACAGAAAATGCCTCCGATCGTCTGTCCGATGAGATAGAGCGTGACGAATGCGAAATACGCCAATGTCCTGCTCATGCCATATTCTTCCCTGGCGGAATTGGCGACTGCTGTRCCGGAAGAGCTGAGGCCAGTCATGTATAATTCTAGCCAACAGATGATCGCGGTGGAGTAATATTTCGACAAAGGCTTCCAATTTCGGGGATGGTCTTTCGCTCCATTATTCCAGCACACTTTGTTGTTGTCCACGATATGGACTCCATATTCGTCCAATTGTTCGTTTGAATCCTGCCGTTCCTTGCTCTGTGGTGGTGTTGAGTCTTGGTCGAATAGGGCTTTTGCCGAGCGTGTAGAGGTCATCAACGCGGTAAAGAGGTTGTACTGTTGTTGTTGTTGGACGACAACCGAGGACGAGATGCAACTAGAGGGATCATCTAATGCGTGCATATCAAGGTGTACGCCAGCGCATTCGAAACGCCATTCGTGTACATGACGGCGAWGGGAAGGACTTGGAAGGGGTGTTGATGATATCATCATTCGCCGACGAGTAAGTGGGATTTCTCAGAAAAGATTCGTAATATGTTGGAGTGCATGCAAATAAGCTTCAACAAGATCAACAAAGATGGGGCAAATGCAATCGATCRCCTCCTGAAGTCTGGGGAATCGTGTCAAGCTTGCGTTGGCGTTGATATTTGTCGATCAAATCGCCCAATGGGCTCTCTTCCTTTCCTATTCGAGGCTACGGCGTCACCTCAACGCATCATTTGTACGCAAGGCGGATGAGAAATAAACCTACATGCTCCCCCATGCTCCCCCATGCTCACGCTTGCTCCGTCGACAAACGAACACCTCCATCACTGATGCGATACTGAATCGGCTTGAAAGACCCTCCATTGGATTGCAGGGCTGAACAAGCCGTCAAACCAATGATCAGATCCATCTCGGCAACAAAGTCAATGTGGTCTCCCGCTTTCGATGTGGGAGGATCAACCTTGAGCTCTCCAGTCGTCCCATCAATCACAACATTCATAAAGCAGTTGAAAGCGCAAGGGATCTGATCTTCCGTGATGCCAAACTTCTYAAAACAATGGGCGAGGTTTCCAAAACATCCAGGCGCCGGGTTTTGGTCGTTGTAGATGATGCGGAAGGTGTCTTGGGAGCAGGGCGTCAAAAGGAAGTCGTGCCGTTTGCAGGTATCGTCGACGATGTTCAGCATGACCCGGCTGCGATTGGAGTAGATGGGGTCACCCGTGCTGAGGAACAGCCGGCTGGCATAGTCCAATGTTCTTCCATTGGAAATGACCTCTTTGGTGTCATGACTGTTGTAGGCGACAAGGTCTGCTACTTGCACTCCTTTGGGATCGATGACTGTCAGACGTTGGCCTTTGTTCAGCTTGAATGCAGTGCCGGTGCAAGGGCTTAGTTCGACCGTGCCGTCTTCCAAGGTGTGTGTCGATTCCATGTCACTCTGAGTTGGGGTTGTTGTGATGTTGCAACTGCGTCGTGGTGGTTGTAGTATTCTGGCAGGTTATGTCATGAGATGGAAGATGGAGCCAATGATCTCGGAGCTCACTGCGATTACGCTTGCTGCCACAATTAGGGAAGGAAGTAGGCGAGTTTGCCTCCGCACTTGCATCGGCCGGATCTACATCTTCTCCACGATCTCAAATAGATCGATCAACTCACAAACCGTGCATCAGCCCGAGAGACTCATGATTGCGGTATGACCCTCTGTATCGTCATCGAACGCCAGTCAGTGAGGCCGGGAAGCATACGGATGTCGGGCTATGTGGTGGGTGTTCATCTTGTAAGAGGAGTTGTGATCGAGGCTTGGGAATAAATGCAGGAGCATTCACAAGATGATCATGCGACCAAGGCCTCTGCACAGTCTCATTCCCTTCGAGGAACTACCTACCCAGCAGCGTCACACTGAACTGGCTATATGCTCCATTCGCCACGACGGTCCACCCCACCATCGAACGCTAGTCAGGTCCTGGAAACCCAAAGAGGAGATCTGCACAGTGCGGAGGGAAGGTTGTGTACCAGTCAGTGCAAGTGCACGTGGAAGTCCGGAAATATCAAGATTGAGGCAAACATGGCCTCATATGTCGCACTTGAGTGTGTGTGTTTGGGGTGAGTCGGCCTTGCAGCTGTTGCTCCAGACATGGATGGAAGTCGCGGAGAAATTTTTTTATGCGCGCACGGACCTCCATCATTCAAATTATCCCTTGACATCACCGCTCTAAATATCGTAACATGTACGTCCCTTTACATAACAAATGCCAAATTTTGCAGCATCGGTACAGGCCTCATTGTTTGTCCATTTCTTTGTGCAGATACGGTTTGCCGCATAAGCCATTGACAAAGCTCTCGATAAATGGTTGCCTGTGGCTGTGCCTGTGCCTGTGCCTGTGCCTGTGCCTGTTGTGAGAGAGCGGGAAGCTTGCCAGAGTTTGTGCCGCACCGAGTTACAGAAATTCCACATGGCACATGTACACCACGCTTGTCGGCCTGTGATGAGGAAGGGGGACCTGATCAATGAAGGAACCGAAGGTTTGGGGTGGCGTACGAATGTGCGAGCTCGCCTTCGACGCTAGCCATACGTAACTATTATGCTGGTGAGTGGGTGGGCAAACACGATCCGATGTGTTTGGGAAAGGAGCTTAATAAAATGCGCTGGTCATCCTTGCGACATCTTTGAGCGTCCATCCATCACACTACGATTCGACTACTCCCACGCTTCCAAGTCCAACGTCAGGCGTAGATATCTCTGTGTCTGTCTCGTCGCATTGCAACACTCCAATTCTCATCATCATCATCATGCAAGTTGCGTTGAACATTTTGCTTTTCCTCGCCGGCTTCTCAATTGCAACATTTCTTGCGTTGAGGCCCAAGAAAGCCAGGGAAGATGTGGAAAGACTGACGAGTAACCTTCGCCATTACTCCGATGGATTCATACAAAACCTCAGCAAGAAAGAGCAGAGCTGTGGCGAAGAAGGTCTAGTTGTGAGCAATGAGGCAACAAATCTTCTCACAAAGTAAGCTGCGTAACTTCTTTCTCGATCATCTTGTACTGACCACCCCACAGGGAACAAATCGAGGAGATGTACGACATGAACGCATGGCAACGAACCGTCTACGAAGAATTCAAAACGACCATCTTAGCCAAAGGCAAAGGTTTCAATACATTTCCTTGCATCTACGCCACAATGGGATATCGAAGCGGGGACCACCGCTACGTTTTCCTTCATTCCGACGACCCATCAGAACCTCGAAATATACGTCTCATTGGACCAGCACTAAAGAGTTACCTTCGACTATCACGCTCTCTCGGACCCAACACCAGCCTGGTGATCATGGGTGCTCCAACCGAAGGCGAACAAAGAACCGTGGAAGAATACAACCACAATTTCTGGGAGATGCTTCGAGGATTGAGAATCTGGGATGCAGTCCCATGGCCCGCAGACGTACCGCAAGATACCGAGAGTGCGAAGTGGGCATTCTGCTTCGATGGCGAGCCTTTATTCCCCGTAGCACTCACTCCTGCTCATCAGAAGAGATGGTCAAGACATGCGCCTGTGCCGCTCGTGGCATTACAGCCCAAATGGGTACTCGACAATCTTCTCTCGACGCCGGAGAAGCGGGCTTCTGCGACGGGCAAGGTCAGGACTTTGCTTGCTCAGTATGATCAAACTGAGATCAGTCCAGATTTGACGCAGTATGGCGAGGTTGGAACGAGCGAGGTCCATCAGCTTTGTTTGAGAGACGAGAATACCACCGTGGAGTGTCCCTATGGTGATTTCGACAAGGGAGGCCCTTCGCCTGCATCCTCAAGACGAGCATCGAGAGAGTATGAATGATGATGATGATGTTGTTTGCATGAACTTTGAAAGCGTTGACCATTAGCGAACGGTTCGGGAAAGCGTATTCCAATTGAGCGAAGACGCATCGATATTGGATGCGCCTAAAATCCTTCATAATTTTTTAAATCTCTTCATGTCAGCTAGCCATCCTCTTCCTCCCGACCGTGAAAACGCATGAATCATCAATCTTGTTTCACCCCAATCTTCCCGACTCGGCGCAACCCCAACGCGCCTGTGAGAAATACAAGAACCATAAACGCAAACAAGGCCCAGAATACTGCACGATATCCGGCCATGAGGGCAGTAGGGGATGATTTGTCGGATTCATCCGAGGCGGCTGTGATGGATTCGGAAATGACAGAAGTTATCGTCAATCCGATTGACGTGCCGAGCTGCGCACAGGTATTGAATACTGCGCCGCCTAGAGCCTGTGTGCGAGTGGGAAACACGGAAGAGATGATGAGCAGACCGACGGTGAAAAGGATGTTGGTGCATACAAGTTGGAAGACCTGTGGAGTAATGTGTCAGCGAGGCGTTGCGATACATTCAAAAGGATAGGGGGACAAATAGGAGCTTCACGCACCTGTGCTGTGAATGCCATGTACCAGTACGGCCATTGAGGATCGATGAGCGCCATGAGAAGTGGTGATACGGCGGTCAATGCGGCGGAGCTCAATACCACCCATATAACCGACATTCGATTTACAAAGTAACCAGTCGAAATGTTGGTCACAACGGCTGTAATAAGGGCGGGGAGAATGCGCAGTGATGTCCCGAGGGCGGATATCCCTTGGACTTCCTGGAAACTGGTGGTTATCAGAGACAATTCCTGTATAGTGTGAGGTTATATGCTGAAGACTTACAACAAACTGCAGAATAGCTCCATGCTATTACTGACTGCGCTGGCAAAGAGTACCATTATACAAATACTCGTAAAGCTAGGGATACGCCAGAGGGCATTTGGGATGAGGGCTGGACGGTTGTGCTTTACTTGATAATTCATCCACCAGATAAACGCCGGGACCGTGGCTGCACTGACGACCAGTAGCGAAATATTGGATGCGCGTCGAATGCTCTTGATATCGGATGAAAGGATCCTGCCGTTTGTCAACACTTGGTAATCTCACGTCCTACGAGCCGGGGCAAAAACTTACGCCAAGACATACGACAGTGTCGCGATTCCAATGCTCAGAACGATTGTTCCCACCCAATCAATATCGAAAGCTAGCTGCTTCCATATCATGCGTGCAGAWCTTGGCTGAGGATCCCGTGGCAGCACCCAAAAGCCAAAGACACATGAAACAGCAGTAGTAGCCCCGGCAAGGTAGAACGCCGGCCGCCATCCGACAGTATCGACAAACACACCTCCAAGTACCAGACCAAGCAAGAATCCAAGCGGGGCTGAGAATCCCAGACACGAGAACCCGAGATTCCGTGGCCGTCCATGGGCAATATTTGTGGAAATAATGGAGACGGAAGCCGGGACCGCCATGGCGAAGGAAACTCCTTGTAAGCCGCGGAAAGCAATGAGTTCACCTCCAGTTCGTGCCAGACCACAGGCGATAGCACTCGCAACGAGCAGGATATTGGCCGCTAGGATCATAGGTTTCGTACCCACGACATCTGCGATAGATCCCGCCAACATCAAACATGACCCTGCAGTGAGATAGAAGACGGAGGTTGGCCAGAGGAGAAGACCTGCTTCGATTTCTAGGCCCTTGGTCATGGCAGGCAAACCGACCACAATAATTCCATTGCAAAAGCTAGAGAAGAGCTGCAGAAAAATCAATTGGATTATAACAATCGTCGCTCGACTCTTGGATAGGACTGGTGTTGTTTCGTTGTTGTTGTTGTTGTTGTTGTTGTTGTTGTTGTTGTCGACTAACGATACATCAGGCGATGTATCCACTGGCAAAGCAAGACTTTCATCAGATGATGTGGTAATAGGGATGCTGGTACTTTTTGCCCCGGACTTGGACTCGAGGGTTTTCAACTCGAGAACTGTTGTTGTTGCTGTTGTTGTTGTTGCCATGTTCAGGACAGACGGGATTTCGGTGAGCGCGAAGATATTGATCGAAGGAGCAGGATGCAAGGACAAAGAGAGATAAGGCAGCACGGTATATATAACGGATGACTAACAGAGTGGCTCATCAAGCCTTCAGATCATTCTCAAGCTCCGAGTTCGGGTACAAGCGAGCAGACTAGTCGCTAAGAGAGTGTCTGCCAAGTCACCGCCTTGCTAGGAGTACAGACAGGGTAGATATCTACAGTCGCCTTGACCGGTCCAGACAAAGCCTGACTGGCTCCACTTTTTCACTTGTAAAGACGGATTGAATTTTTAGACAAAGAATTATGTCGCACGTTTGCCTGACAATGTACAAAGTGCACGCACCATTACGTGGTAACATAACTCTGGCATCATACTACACATCCAGAACCAAAGTCCACCATACGCACACGCAAAACATCTGAACCCCTCAGGGGCTCACTACCGCTTGCGAATCTATCGAATTTCGCCCAAAGCGACATATTCTCCTCAAACTGCGACCTTCTGACCCTCTTCAATCTTCGCCGTTAAAAACTGACCCTTGACATCCAAAGTACTCGGACTCTTAAACACATCATACTTGGTATCATGCCACTCCTTCGCCGTCCAAGTCTTCCCATCAAAATCCGTGAATTGAGCATCATCATGCATGCGCAGGAAATACGCAATACTATAACGATCCTCCGTTTGTCTTCCAGCGAGGGGAACAACGCGATGCACAATACTCGCCAGCTTCCCTCCGGATAAGAAGCGTAAGAAATCGCCGACATTGACAATCGCATGCTTGGGCCGAGGTTCAAGGAACTCCCATTGCTTCGTTGTGGGAGATAGGAATTGGAGACCCCATTGTTGGGAAAGTACCAAGGTAATGGAACCGATGTCGGTGTGCTTGAGATGGCCTACGTTTGTGGGTGCAGTCGTGTCGTTGTTCTTGGGGTAATGAAGGAGGATAAGCGTGCAGAGGGATGGCTTGGAATCCTCGTGGTTGGTCTCGAATCTTGCTTCGTCGGTGAGGTTTAGTTCGGACGACAGGCGCTCAAGGATCAAACGCGTAATGGCGTGCGCTCGCTTGATGTAGGCAAAGAAGTAGTCTGGTTGTAAGCGGGAAGGAGAGGTAAGGTCTGCTGAACCCTTTAGATATTCTCGACGAGAAAGCTAAGAGGGAGGCCAGAGTCAGCATATTTTGGAACAGCATCAGGGGGTTTGAAAAGGAAAGTATATACCTTGATAGTTTCGTAGCCATCCTTGATTTCTGGCTTGAAACCCTCTTCAGTTCCCACGGGTATATAGCTGGGCAGGTCCATTGGTAATTGACCTGCTGTATTTTGTAGATGTAAACTTACCCATAGTTGTGACTGTTCCGAACATCTTGCAGCTTGACGTCAAGCGGCTGGTCAAAATAATCCTTCATTCTCCCCAGCATCCCTTCCCACTGTGCGCATAGCTCCAAATCGCTGCTTAAATCGAGATAGAAAAATCCTTGACTTTGACAAGCGCTGAGCAATTTCTTGCCTTCCACAGCATCTCCAGTTCGAAGACGCTCAAGAGAGATCGTCGTCAAAGACTTGGAAACGATGATGGAATCGCTGACAGCCATGGTCGAAAATCCGAGGTGGTAGCAATGATAAACTGAATGAGTGAAGGAAATTGGATTGCAAACTGTGCGATGGAGCCATGTAGCTACATAATGACACTGTGTCAAACCGGTGACCTTATAACTCGGCAGGATCAATTCAGCTCCACTGCTTATGAAAAGAGGCCTTTGAGGTGATGGTACGGGATAAAAGCCCTGAGGGAATGAATCTAAATCAAGGTTACATTTTTTGAGTCAACCGAAAAGGGAAAATGTAGATGCAGGGAAGCCGCACATCGCTTACCGAGATGCAGCTACTGCGCGATACAATGCCAGAGTGGAGAAACTCGCCGAATGGATGAAACAGTGGAGCAAAGTGCTTCCTTCCGGGTCTAGGCTGTTGGGAGGGTCTCATGCAGCCAGGAACACCCACTTGTTGGTCTTTCTGGCCCCTGAGTATTTGAACTCTGCCACGCCTTTGTGTATCTTTGGCTTGCGAATGGTTCATCATCTGTCTTTTCGGCAAGAAATATCTGTGGGAAGTGTATGAAATTCTCCAAGGGCGTCCAGATACGCCTTCTGAGTTGTGAGAATGTCAACATCTTCCCGTATTTCTGCATGCAGGAGAATACCCTGTAGATCTAGGCCGGCCTATGCTCTTAGATCCAGCTCCACCTCTTCACCGGTCCAACCGGCATCCCGAAGCTGAGTCGTGGCGCTGTTTTCTAACTAACACGAGGTTTTCCCGGCTTGCGCTGTTGGCACCAACGGCCTGTCTAGTGCCTACATACCCTGCTTAGACCACACTTAGCGGGAACTGTTCCTTTGGGTGTGGATATACATCCAACACATGTGCGAAGCCATTATTGTACAGCCCCTTCTTGAAGTTGCATCGTAGCGACTTTGAAGGAATGTTATCCTTACTGGTGCCGGGCTCGTGAGCTTTCGAGTGTAGCTTTATCGCACACAGTTGGTACAAGCGACAATCTTGAGCCAATGGGGGAATCTTAATGAGTATGCTGTGCTCTATATGAGATTCATGTTGATGGTAAAGTTAGTAATGAATTGGACCAGATAGACAGTTGCTTGATGATAGCGGTCTAAGCTATCGTATGGGATAGGAGATCAAGRGCCTATTGTGGGGATGATCAGAAGCTACACTCGCACCACAGCAACAGCAGGGGTGATACTTACTAGGAGTGACTCCGATGCAGGAAGAGGCTGTAAATAAGAGGAGTGGAGAATATGGTGGAGCTGATGGACAAGCGATGTCCTATCGCCCAGTCAGTGTTAAGCATGACAAGGCGAAGGAATATACGATGTGACATGGTGTAGTCAGTATCAAGCATGACAAGGCGACGGCCTCAGTCAGGCGATGTGGTATGGCCTAGACAAGATCAAGCATGACAAGGCGATGACCTTGCATAGGCGAATACCGGTGAGAACAGGTACGAAGGATTCTGCTTGTATATTAATCACCGCAAGCAAGTTGGACATCAAGACAGCTTGGCTATTTACGCCCTACTTCTCACAACAGCGATACAAAATGATGGTGCGTCAACTACTCCGTCTTCCAGCAACCATGCTAACTAACACAGGGCGAACGACGAATTGAAAGCTTTGAGCACATCGCCCAATTCGAGAAGAGACATGCCCCCATTGTCACCATGTTCAGCGGCGGTCTAGACAGCACATATCTGCTCTTGAGACTCCAACAGCTYGGCTTCACAAATATCCACGCAGTCGCAGTCGACGTTGGGGCTCCCATAGACAAAGCCGAGCTTACAAAATATGCCGCCCATTTCGGTGCGCAATTCAAGTGTCTCGACGGCCGCGAGTTATTCGTCAAGCAAGGCGTTACTTCTGCTATTCGTGCCCACGCCACGTACATGGGAATGTACCCCATCAGCAGCTCGCTGTCCCGTCCGGTCATCGCTCGTCTAGTTGTCGACTACGCCAACCTTTTGAATGCGAGTTTACTGCTACATACTGCAAATCTGTCGCAGAACAGTCTTCCTCGCCTGAACAATAGCATTCGACGCTGCGAGTTCTCTGGGCAGTTCGGCAGCCCATATGTTCTCTCGGCCGTCTCGCGCGAGAGGAAAGCGGAGGAATTGGCTGCTGTCGGACTTACCATCATGTCGGAACGTAAACTGAGTGGTGATGAGAATTTGTGGTGTCGGGAGTTTGAAGATGGTCCAGTGGATGATCCAGAAGATTTCTGCATCCCAGAAAAGGCTTTCGAATGGACGCGATGCTGCAATAACGCGAAGGTCCAAAAGCTCACACTCGACTTTGAAAATGGCAGCCTGGTCTCCATCGACGGAAAAAAGCTCCCCCTCATCGATGCCATCGCACTACTGAACAAGGAGGTGGGAAAATTTGGTCACGGTCGATTTGTCGGACTCGAACCCCTGAGCACCGACGATAAAGTTTTGGAGGTTCGCGAAGCGCCAGCCGCAGCCATCATCATGGACGCACTTCGTCATCTTGAGATCGCCACACTGGATTCGGACACGCTGGAATTAAAGCAAACCCTAGAACAACGATGGGTCCGGGAAGCGGTGTCTGGACACTGGGGAAGCAAGTCACATACCATGTGCGACACCGCCATCGCTTCGGCCTTGCTTGGAGTGGGTGGGAGTGTGACTTATAATATTGATCACATGCGTTTCTTGCCTTGCTCTATTGTCGCGCAGAATCCTCGCTATGTTAGGAACCGGGATGAGTGGGAACACAAACGGTCATTGCTACTGTACGGCAAGCCTTACAACCAAAAGATCCAGGGAAGCAAGCCGAAATCCTTCGACCAACTGGCACAGAGAAAAAGTCTCGGATTGGTGGTATGTCATGTAGTAATGCATATGTGGATGTTTGGCAGCTAACGTGTAGCAGGTATCATCAGCAGTCCAAGGCTTCAACCAAAAGCTTCCTATCAACATCCTGGTGTAAATTAGCACAGAGACCAAAGCCCAAAGCTGTATGCAGCCACCAAAATATCGCCTCATCGTTGGTTAATCTGTACATCGACGGCCGTATTCATCCAGAGAGATCTCAAAAGAAAGCAGAACTAGAGAGATATAGTTCATGTGACTACCTTACCCAATCTAGCTTTGGGTCTTGTCTTGGCATAAGCCGAAAAGAGTAAGGCGATACAAACTATCATCCAATGAAATTGCAATAAGCATCAAAGTTGCAAGGTCGGCTCTTGTATCCATGGTACGAGGTACATGTACAGTGAGCATTCTTGATTGGGTCACATGAGGCTCCCACAGTGCTCATTTTGGTAAGAAAGCTCTCTCGCTGATACCTTTGTCTCCATTCAACACTATCGGGTTCACAAGAAAATCAACACATGCATTCCAAACAACGACTGCCTATGTCCCGTAATCCCATGTCAGCAAATTCCCAACAACTCGTCTGAACTTTCGCTCGAGCGCATCACTACCAAATCCATCCTTCAGACCAGCCTCATTCACCACTCAAAGTTGCCTCAAACTGCTTCCTCATACCAAGAACAGTCTCGAGGTGAGCTTGCTTCAAAGGTTTGCCCTCAAACCTCGCCAAAGTGTACGCTGTGTTGATAGTATTGGACACTTCCCGTCCATTAACCGAATGTCGAACAAGTTCCTTCGACACAACATCCACATCAATATCTCTGTCACTTTCCGGAAGCTTCCTCAGAGCATTCGTCCAGATACGGCGGAGAGATTCTTTTCCAGCCGGCTCATAGCCCAGAGCGAGATGAACGCGGGACTTCATCGCTGCGTCAAACACTTTGACACGATTGGTGGTGAGAAATACAATGCCAGAGAAGTATTCCAAGTGTCGGAGGAAGACTGCGACTATAGCATTGCGATCCGTGTCCTGTTGGCTTAGTCCGGCGGCGCGGGTCTCGAGAAATACATCTGCTTCGTCGAATAGAACGATTGCTTTCCAGGAGGTGGCGAGTCGTAGGACGCTTTTCAGGTTCGCTTCGAACAGAGGCGCAAAGTTGTCTGTGTTGAGTTCTGAGAGGGAGGTGCTCAACAAGGCTCGGTGAGATTCTTCTGCGGCGCATTCGGCAGTCAGAGTTTTGCCTGAGCCTGGAGGGCCTGTGGTATTTTAGCTAGCAACGACAAGAGCATGAATTGTGACTTTTTACCGTGGAGAAGAGCTACGAGACCCTTCCCTTTTTGGTCCATCGCATCACGAGGATTGTCAGGATACCTGTGTGAGTGGACCAGGGCTTGTATCAGATGAATTTGCTGATCTGGAACGACCAATGAGGCGTATGGATCTGGCCTCCATTCAACTTGTTGCAAATATGGTAGGTAGAGGCGTGACCATTGCTTCCGATCCAGCGAGTAACCGATTACGAAAGGCGAACAGAGCGAGAGGTCGCTATCTGTGATTTCGTGAATTTTGACTCCTCTCTGAGTTTTGAAGTCCTACAAAACGAGAGACTCAGATGTTAGCTGAAGCGAGTCGAGCCGAGGCGACAAGACCTACCTCTGCAAAAGTCTTTGGGTCAACGATCACTCGTCCGGTCTCGGTGTATGGGAACCACACATGTTCAAAGGCATCCATGTCTGGGTCGAAAAAGTCCGATGGAGGTGGCTTCAGGTACTGCGCGAAACCGTTGTAGTAGTGGACTGACTTGGCCTTTAGATCCAGATGTTTCTTGCCGCGCTTGACCAGTTCGTCTTGACTCACACAGCTCCCATCGAATTGACACGGACGTACATCAAGATCGTCTATGTCGCCAGGAGTGCCTTGAGGGAAGTTATCCTTCTCGCGGATCTTTGTTATCTCCACTCCTCGGACAACATCTGTGCCATCAAAAAATGTGAACGACTGGTGGACTTCAAGGAATTTGCCATCGCATTTAGATTCAGAGTACGCAGTCTTGATGAGTTTCAGCTGCCAAGGATGACCTTGGACGTCCGTGATGACGATCTCTCCCGGCTTGAAGATGGTCCACACGCTGTCGAAATCGATCTGGCCCTTGTCGACCATGGCAAGAATTCTGCGTTTTTCTGGACCCATCGAAACATCCATAAACTCGCAAAGGATATCGAGATGCTTGCGGGCGACGGCGTCTTCAAGATTGTCCCTGTACTTGAAAAGGGAATCCCAGTGATGGTAAAGTCCTTTGAAAGGGCTGATCATCTCGAACGGGTTGGAAAAGTCGACCGGTATCGTTGGGTAGGATACTATCACTTCTCTAAAGGCCTTTAAGATGTGTGGGGAATTGATCTTGAGCTTGGTCTTATCGTATACGTGTTTGTCGTTGAACACCTGGATGACGACCAGGGCGAAAGGGTCGTCGAACTCGTGAAGGCCATTGTATAGATCGAGAGAAGAAACTTCCACTGTTTCGGCGCCGCCCTTGGATGTATATCGTTCTCTCCAGATCTTGAGTTCGCTCTTGGATCCGGTTTCTTCCTTGGCCGGTTCACCCATGGTGAATGATTTAACTTGAGTGAACAAAGGCAGTGTTTTGGGGGGATGGCTTACTGTGTTTTATATGAGGCATGCGTCAAATATTCCGCGTGCATACGTACACAGCCCACTCGCGGTGACCGGACTCGACGAAAGTTTGAGGCGGTGACGTGGAGCGCTGGCCAAAAGTCGTGTGCTTGGTATATCTCAAGTGAATGTGTCACGCAAAACACAGCATTATGATGTATCTTTGAGTACTCACCTCCGTTTCTATGCTGATCGTAGTACTCCAGTATGCTGGCAACCCTTGCTCTCTCGGGGAGCGCTAACACGCAAAGGAGCCTCTCCGTCCCTTCACGTCGCTAATACACGATCTCTGCTCGACAAGTACTGTACCAGTCGAGCAATGTACCGTGCCAATAAGAATCAATGCTAAACTAGCTGCGTGAGATTTCGCGAATCGAATCGAAGGGAGGCCGCTTCCTCGGGTCGGGTAGCATGCATGCTAACAGCGTCTCGACGCACCGGAATGTGAAAATATAGGTGACTAGCAAGCGAGCCGACACGCCTCAAAGTGAGAGACTTGCTCGCAGCTGATTTGGCCGAAGATCTCGCTCAGCCGTAGTCCWCTTGGCCGCAATTTTGCCCTCTGATGCGTCGAGACCAAAAAAAGATGGACCTTCTGGCAGACCATCCGCTGACAGTTCATGCTCTCCTCGCAGTCGATGATCAGCGGCGAAAGTCGTGGACTGCGGACAGATGGCGGAACACTCCAAAACCTCTGGAGAGGGTTGCGTGGACGGAGATTCGTCTTTATGGGTCATATTTTCTCATTTCCGACGTCAGCACCCTTTAGGGCTAGCTGCGGCTTCGTGTCTTCGGCAGAATGCCGAAGGAAGTGGGGCCGACGACGATATCCATGCCACCGATCATCTTAGACCACTTCTCCAAACATCAAAGGCCGAAAGAAAAGCGCGGGAAGTCCCATCACCATGAGGACGCCAGGAATATCCCACCGGTTCGGAAATCTCATCCTCATATGCAGGACAACCGCGTACCACGACGCGTCCAGTTCTCCAGCTGTGACAATTGCCGACGCGCTCGCGTCGCATGCGACGCCGGACGGAATGATCTCGACTCCCAAAGTTGCACGAGGTGCTACAACCGGGGGAGAGAATGCACCTTTGAGGCGCGTCTCCACCCTCTCCGCCCCGCCCCGCCCGAGCGACCTTGACTGCTGACATCAGAATAGTGGAGAACGCAGGTGAAAAGTGCAAGAGGCAAACGTGCACGCACAGGGAGTCCATGTGGAGAACAACCGCATTCCCCTGAAAAGCGTTCCCCGCACCCCTCGTCTGAAGACACGACCGGGAAGGCTCACGCACAGAGCGATGCCTCTATGCCGACCAAGGAGCAATGTTCTCTGCTACATCAACTCTACCTCAGCACATGGGAAACCGTCTTTGGGAATTGGATGTCGAGATATGGCTGTCCTTTCATGTCAGTCTGCCTTGCCCTCTGCCTCACTCCCATCTAATATTCTCAGGTTCGGTGATGAAAATGTTCCCGAGCTGTCCGTCAGTATATCTGCGCTGTGCGTTCAACTGGACTCCTGGATGATCACAGCAACCGAAACATCAAGTCCAAAGCCCTACACCAGGGTTGTGAAGCTGGCCAGCGACGACGAGAGGGAGAGCAAGATTCGCCAGTCCTTGGATCTGGCAATCTGGTCTTATGCAGCGAGGTGGCTGCCCCTGTTTCCTTCGGCGACCGCCAATGGGCCTGATGCCCAAGCAATTGCCAGGAAACTATGGAGAGAAGCTCGCGTTGATATGCTTCGTGTCATAAATCGACCATGCTATCGGTCAATGCTCACTTTGTACCTCTTTGGCTTTACTCCAATACCCGACGGAATAACAGACGAAGAAGAGCTGGACGGTGTCACTGCCCAAGTCTGCATCCAAGCTGCATTGCAACAGGTCTACTCTTTACGAGTCCGCCAAAAGAGCATCCAGTTCTCCGGATCCAAGTTTTCCCCCACCGTGATGACCAGGACTTTTACGTCCAGTCCTGACCGCAGCTTCATCATTGCGGAGAATATCGTCCACTGGGCTACTTTGACGTTCGATACTTCGGCATCACTGACACTGAGTTCGAGACCGATGTTATCGTCTGGCATCTTAAGTTACACAGATCTCTCTTGGTCCCTTGTCAAGTCATGTGCAGAGCTCTTCCATGCAATGACCCAAGAGTGGCATGCGATAGGTCTTCCCATGACGGACGCTCAGGCAAGCCAGGTCACGGCATCTGGAAATGCGTTCAAGTTACTCCTGTGGAAGCTGTGTGCAGTATTCCGAGAGGCTTTGAGGGACGGGCATGATGAAGCAGTGGTGAACAAGATACATGGGACGATACTTGACGCGATAGATCAGTTTAACAGAACCTACAGAACTCCGTTGGACGCATGCTATCGGAGGATGTCAGCATTCAGCCAGGAGACCAAGCTACGTTACCGTGAGTCCTCTTCTTAAGACCAGAATTGCTCGCTGATTTGCTGACTGTTTAGACGACCTTGAACTCCACATCACCTTGGCAATCCTCCTCATGACTGATGCAGTTGAAACACAGCATTCGAACCTGCTCACGCCACTCATAGATGCTCGAACGAATGCCGAACTTCACGGATTCAAGGCTCTAGTTTTTGGACAGGAAACCATGTACAGCCTACGCCACGGTTCAGGTCCGCCCTCAGATCCGCGATCTACTGATGAGGTCAATGAGGTTGTTAGTGTTCCTCTGCTGTCAATCGACCCGTATCCGCATCACGCTGTCGCTTCAGTCCAGCTCTTGCGCCGAGCTATTGATCGAGATCTCGCCACGAACAAGTTGGATGAAGAAGCCCACGCCAAGTTACTTGCTGTCTTGGCGCGGACGTTGGAGCTTCTCCCAGATAGTTCAAAGTCCGTCCAAGCCGCAAGGAAACAAGCCTTATCTCAAAACGCGGAAGGATAGACATTTCGGGGTCTGTCCATCGGCACGACGTCTGCGGTAGTCAAGTGCGATGGTTTAGTCGTGTGGTGACCCACTTGAAGCGGTCTCGCTACTCCAGCTACTCCAGTTCTACAGCCCGGCTGGGGAATTGGTGGGGAAAGTCGATACATGGCGCTCGGCTACACCCGGCCAAGCCCGATTTCTTTCCGATATCGACCGTACTGCAGTYGGAATCCTCGCTAAGACGAGGCGCAGCGCATGATCATCAAAACATTTAAGGTCTGCCAGTGCCTCGACAATTGGCACATCCCCCAATAGACCTCAGGACGATACCGCAGGCAGTTGCACTTTACATGCTGTTGTACTGTCACGATAACTTGAATGCAATGCACCTGTCCATGATCAACACGCAGTGCACATCAATCAATCAAACTCACCTCTCGTGGCAATACGGCACAGAAGATCACATCCACTATGGCATACCCAGCAGTCCTCGGAGAGTTGGGAGAGTTTGTCGATACACTGAACTGGTTGCAAATCACCCACGAAGAACGATGCCTACTGGAAGAAATCATGCACCCTGAGAGGTCCATGAATACCTCATCTCACGCAACCACAAGTACAATTCAACAAAACCCACGTCTGGAAACAGTCCCAGCCCATACGAGCCATTTCAGCTGTGACGAAACTCCCGACAGACGCCGGGGTAACCACACACGGACTAGAGGCATTGAAGCACATGGTGGTCAAGGAAGACTTCCCATTAAACATCGACGCCGCAACTTGGCAAGCAAGCGAGCGAAGGCCGCCGGCACTATTGACCCAAAGAACATCTACGAGTCCGCTGAGGGTGGTCATGATGCCTTTGTAGTCCCTTGGCAAAGCTCGGATCTGCCTCTGACGGGCAGTAAAGGGGGCTTTGAGAAGTCAACACACGATGATGCTGGTGAGGGAGACATGCAAAACGGCTCGTCTTCTGTCTCGGACTATTCGGTTTCGGGCGAAAGCTGTACTGAACAAGTCGACTGTTCTCACGACTACATCAAGATACCGTGGTGCGAAGATGGTGATTGAACATGTTCCGGGACAAGATGTCACGGTCAGAAGATCTTGGGGTACTTACAGCTCCTCGTCCTTCCGGTCACGAGTGTGTTTGCAGTCTTGTGGACAGCTTTGACGGTCACAGATGACGAGGCGAAGCATGTCGAGCAGGATTCTAGACTTGTGACACATCAGACACCCAAAAAAAAACCATTCAAACTTCTGCTCTGTCTCCACTTTCTCATCATTTCTACTCTGAACATCACATACCAGCAATCATGACCATGAAGGCAAAGCAGACAATCAGTCTTCAAGGTCAGCACGATGACATTCGAACATCCGCCAATTCGTGAGTGCTAACGCCCGGGAAGAGAAACTTCGAGCGCGACTCCGCAAAGAGATTCCCGTATCAAAGGAGCGAAAAGTAACATGGAAACTGGAGAATCTCGCCGCAGAAGCACAGGCGTTGCATATCGAAGGCAAGGACATACGTGCACATGTCGAAACAATCACCAGTCGAGTTGCGACCACTCTTCCGCCCTCATCACCTCCGCCAAATCGGGAGCCATTGTTCCGTGCTGACGGTCAGACAGCGCCGCCGAGCCAGTAAGTTTCAGACTTATTCTCCTTATGATATCCTCAAGCTCTACACGCATGATGGCTATATGGTCTTGTATCCGGTGGATAAACACTTCACAAAGGGAATCTCTATTCGAAGAAAGGGTTGCTGATCCCTTCCTTCCCCATACACAGATATGAAGCCGAACTCAAAGCCTACAATAATCTCCTGCAAGACTGGCAAGTCCACCAAAAAGACATCAAGAATTTCGGAAAGCGAGTCGATCGATTTGCAATAGCTTTGAAGACTTTGAAGAAGAGATATGGTTCTTCTGGGTCTGGCAAGGCCTTTTGCGATACAGACCATCAACTTGAGAGTTCGGGCAATGCTCTTCATAATCTTCAGGAGCAGAGGGGGGATATCGAGACGGCTGTGGCGAAGATTCGGCTGCCTGTTGAGAAGACGAGAAGGTGATGGATATGAATGCTGTTGATGTGTTGCTTCGGGATGAGGTCCATACATCTGACGGTTGTCAATTATGTGTCCCACTTGTAATACGTTCATCCAACCACTGAGAGACTTTCATCAGTTCACACTATGAAGTCCTGAGGGTACTCTCCCGCATTGTAAATCATGACCTTTGCAAGCTAGTTTGCAACTGTCTGAGTCTGTCGGTGAAGCATTGCTTTCGCCGGTCAAGCTTCGACGCTGAGCAGAGAGAGGCGGCAAATTCTGGGGGCCTGCGGTTCGATGCGATACAACGCCTCTTTAGAGAAGCTTTCGGCGACACCTTTGTGCTTCCTGGCCTCCTGAGTCCAATAGCGTATCGTACTGCTAAGATCATGGTCGTGCAGGCTGCTCATGAGAGGCTATTCTCACCCAACGCGTATGAACATGTTGCCTAAAGTACAGACTTCTCATTTTCTTCCGCCTCCACTTCCGCCACAGCCTCCTCATCCACAACCTGTATCGCGACAGCACACGTTACCGGAGCACCAGCCGTCACTCCACTGATACCCCAGACTTGACTACCCAGATTCCTTGCCACTAGGCTGAAGATTGTGACACTCATAAACGGACTTATACATCGATTGATGCAAAATCCGCATGCCAATTTGAACAATTTATCGCGTAGATGATCATTGAGGAATATGACGGCGAACGCAAACCAGAAGCTGGGTGTGAAAGATACGAAGATCAGAGGTAGGAGCTGTATGATGTCGAAGTGTGTGATGACGCCTTTGAGGAAGAGGGCCGTGTTGAAAACCCGGAAATAGACCATTGTGAGGCGAAGAATCTCCATCGCAGCTCCAATCCGGGTCACGGTGTTCATGTTTCGGCCTGCAAAGTAGAAGAAGTTGTTTGCATACGCGTTGCTACCCCATCTCCTCCTCTGACTGAGGTAGTGCTTCAGGCTTTGTGGTGCTACTGTCTCACTCCCTGCTTCTGGTACGAAGAGGGTGTGTAGATACGGTGCTTGAGATAGCATGCAGTAGGTCAAGCGTCGATCGGTTCCCAGGTATTGGACTTGATGCCGCAAGACGGGGAGGCTGGTGACAGGCTCGGCGTATTTCTCGATCGCTCCAGCCRTCTCTCTTCGCACCACAATCATAGTGATACATCCGGGCAAGCAGGTGACCTTGCCATTGTAATGCTCGGCTCCTCGACGGACAATCTGCCCAAAGCAGTACTGGAATTGTTGATACAGATTCCAGACCGACCATTCCAATCCAGGCTCATACTCTACAAACACAAAGCCACAAGCTGCAATGGCATTCGTATCAGCGAGACAGGCATCTGCCAGCTTTCTCAGGGCCCCTTTGTGTATGGTGCTATCGGCGTCTGTGCAGAACACGAGATCAAAGCCTGGAAAGTCATCATTCCCCGTTAACTCTGGGAGTACAGAAGTCCAGAGCTCTTCTCGCAGAGCTCGGACACCAGCATGCATATTCTCACGAGGGTAGTTGAATAAATCGTGGCATAAAATCAGTGAGTCTTTCTTGCCGGCGTTTGGGCTCTTCTCGATGCATAGAGTCGGTATGTCGTCGACAAAGCCAGCGTCGATCTGTAGGGTTGCGATCTTCCATTTTAGAGAAACGTACTTCCGAGAGAACGAGGCAACGACTCTTGTCATATGCGATTTGATGGGCCGATGTTTACCATCTAGTACTATGCACATCACCTGCCGATGACCGCCCGTGCCGTTGTCTCTGAGAGAGAACAAGGTCTTCACAATCTGTTCTTCTGATTCTGAGTATGCCGGAATGAGGCTCAAGATCCAGGAAGCCTTGGTTGAAGCCTCGGTTGGCCACCAAATCCGCTTCACACGAGAGTGCAGGCGACAGAAGATCTGCACCCAAACAGATAGAAAGTCTTTGGCCTTGAAGAACAGAATAACGGCCAGTACCCTGCAACTTAATTCAACACTCGCACACGATCATCAGTGAATTGAACATACCAAGCTCCAGAGTTACCAGTGGCACTCGCAACGATGCAGGCAGTGTTGAGTCCCAATACCACCAGTGTGAATGCCGTACGCTGGACTCGCAGCTCCCGTTTGGTCAAGCTTCTGGCCGGGTTGGAGGGCCCATCCGGGTCGTCAGGACCCTTTTCGACATCGAGATCAAAAGCTGCTATGCTCGGCACGGAGTAAAGCGTCGCAATCTCCTCTGCAGTGGGTGAGAAGATACCCTCAGTCATTTTGGCCAAGACCGACTGCTTTCGATCGCTGCCGAAGATGGTTTCCCACGAGTGCGACGCTCTCCTGCCAAGATTAGTGGGAAGAGACAGTCGTGAGCTTTTCCTTCGTCTCCGTTCAAACATGTCAGGCGTCCAGGAAACGGCACGCCGCGTAGCTCCTTTGGATTGAGCAGGTCGATTCTGTAGGCTTGCGGTCCGTATGGGATCTGCCGGAAAGAAGGACGCAAAATCATGTTGATCGATACCAGCAGCCCTCAAGCCAACATCTTGTGGCATCAGTACGTCGATAGGATCAACATATTGCGGGTTGAAATGGGATAGTGATTGCGGTCTATCCCTATATGACTGTCTGCGTTTGGCTGATGGCGAGACTCGCGTCCATGAAGATGGATGTGCCCAGCTGGAAGGGCGCTCTACCACGGTCTGATTTGCGGCGTGATGCCGATCTCCAGCTCGTCTTCCATACAGTGTCGGCTCTACAGAAGACTTGACATCAGGCGCATGCGATGAAAGCCTTCGGTCAGGCCGTGGTGCATGATCATCTGTCGATGCATATGAGATCTGAGCAAAACTGACGGATTGCCTTCTGTTGGAGACCTGCTGTCCCGTGCGAGATGTTGCATGTGCATTGTGGGTGCTCGTTTGACTTCCGAGGCGACTTTCAAAGGGCACAATCGGAAGTGACCAGTTGGGGCACGCATTCTCGAATGATGGTCTATTTCTTACGTGACGCTGAACTCCTCGTGGGACTGTCGGGCGACTAAAATTTGGTGCTGATGATCGACGCCCTTCAAACTGCATGGCTTCCTTGGACAAAGCCCAAGGAGGCGTAGACCTCGATGATGTTGATTCTTGAGGCAGTCAAGCAAGGGGGCGGGAAGCGCAATGGAGAATGCCATCTCGGCGTGCCGCCGAAATCGCAATGTACACGCCGCCGGTGTTGAAAGACGTCTCTCAGTAAAGCTGCCATTTCCAATTACTTTGGCTGGCGAATGACGGGCATGACAGGACAGGCCTTGGATGAAGTCGAGGAGGGAAGATGAGAAGGTTCACATGATCAGCGCCAAGGTAACCGCAAAACTCATAATTTCAATAAATACAGGGCTATCAAAACCACGTCACTTTATCAACGTTTAATCTCTTCACGACCGTCCAGTCAACCTGGTCCTGTTTAATACAGACAACAACACGGTCAAATGCAGCGTCGACACTCTCGGCATCATAAGCATCGTTTTCCAGCTTTCGGACACCTGGAACACGGTCTTGCTCCACCAAGGGATCATAGAAGGCCACCTCTTCGCATCCCAGAGACTTCAACTCTTCTGCAAAAGCCACTCCAGGAGAACAGTCCACCACTTTTTCCCCGGGTTTGAAGCCCACTCCAATGACAAGCACCCGCGGTAGGACTTCCGACGTGGCCAGGAATTTCTTTGCGGCGACACGAGGACGAGCCCAGGTAGCATCTGTAGCACATCGAAGCAACGGAAGCTCGTTATTAGCCATGAGGTAGAAAGGGTTGATAGGTATGCAATGGCCTCCAACTCCTAGACCTGGTTTGAAAGACTGGAAGCCGAAAGGTTTGGTCGCTGCGGCTGCCACTACCTCATCAATGTCGATGCCCTTGGCCACACATGCGTCCGCAACCTCATTCACAAACGCACAATTCACCATTCGATAACAGTTCTCAAAGAGCTTTGTCATCTCGGCAACTTCCGGGCTGGGAACCGGAACCACAGTTGCAAAGGCTTGCGAGTAGATTCGATTGATACTGATCAACGCTGGCGCAGACAGCGCGGATATAATCTTCGGGATGTCCCTAGCTGGAGGCTGTGTTCTTCCTGGGTCGACTCTTTCGGGAGACATTCCACAATGGAACTTGTTACTGAACGGATGGAGGAGTGTACGAGTCATGCCAACCGAGACACTCGACTCGATGACAATGGTGGATCCTGGACGTGCGTGGCTGGTGACCATAGCAATCGCACGTAGAAGATGATCTGTATTGATCGACTTGTCTGGACGTAGCAAGGTTGGTACAGAGATACAAAAGTGCGTTGCCTTTGAGAGAACATCTTGAGATGCCGAGAGCTGAACGTTTTTGAGCGAAGCGAAAGAGTCGCGAAGATAATCTAGGCGGGCTTCTGAGATGTCGAAGCCAATCGATGGGAAAACGGAGCCGAACTCGTGCAGCAAGATCTCGCCGACATAACCAACGCCTACGATGCAGACCAAAGGTTCTTCTTCAGCAGTGACGATTCCGCCACTCGTTTGAGAGTTCTGTTGCACGGACGCTTGGTTAACAGCTATACTTGAGGTTAGCTGAGGATCAAGCGCAGAGTCCGATTTTACTCACATGCTCATCAAGCTCATGTCCAGAGCAGATGAACGACGGCGTTGGCCAAACAACTTGGCAGTACCGAGTGTCTCTGCGGGATCGATGTGTGAAATCAACGTGGGGTTGCTGGTGAGTGCCATCATCTTGTACGGATGTGCCGACTTGGAGTCGCACGAAAAGCGGTCAAGTCGAAGTTGAAGTTGATGTTTCTAGGCAGACTGAGTACTCTGGATGGCGGTGCAGCTGCTCACGTCTCAGCTTAAGTAGCCGCTGAGAAAACAACTGGCCACGCAGGCCGCACACTTTCACCCAGGCATAAAGAGTACTCGACCGCCGGTCCTGGCTCCTCTCCTACTGGGAATAAAGCTGATGGAGTTACAATGGCGATTCCATCCATTAGAACGTTCGCTCCCCCGCGAGTTGCTTCGCAGTGTCTCTTTGATGCAGACAGATGCAGTCGACCTGAAGAAACTGTGACTTCCAGAACCTGGTCGGGGAGGATTTCTTGGTGCGTGGAGCCGGGAGACTTCTTCGTCTTTCACATACACGCCCAAGATGGGCTGTGCACCGTCTTACGAGAAGTCGTAGGTCCGAGGTCTACGTCCCGATCTGGCATAAGAACAACCCGACAGAGTGGGTTTCTCCAAAAGCCGCCTTTGTCCGCGCTTGTCGTCATCTAAGATTGCCGACCTCCTCGTCTTTATACACGCGCTCAAAGATCGGCTTAGCACAGTCTCACAAGAAGTAGCAGGCCGCGGGCCTCGGGCCTACGTCCCAATCTGGCATATGGACAACCCAACAGGCGGTTTCCTCCAAAATTTGCCTTTGTCTGCGCTTGTTGTCGTCAAAGATTGCCACGCTTTTCGCTAACAAGTGGACAAGCAAAACAGCGACTGGGACYTTTCGCCATGACGAACGAAGCTTCTCCTCCCTTTGTCTGCTCGGCCAAGTGTTTGCATTGGGAGTCTGCACCTCGTCGTTCCAACAACAATCCGGGTGGAGTAGACAAGCGTTCTCGGTCTGGCTTTCAGAGGTCTTTGCCCAAGTATTGAGACCCGCGTGGAACCTCCACCACCTGACACCTGTGCCTTTCGACCCGTATGGACTTACTTCTCTTTTGATCGATGTTGACTTCTTGCCCGACGCAGGATACCTTGCAACCAACAACGACATGATCCAGCAGGGGCAATCAGGAACAGGGGGATGTTGTGATATGGTGCCAGGCTGAATACGTAGGAAAGCCTGTACATCTCGGCGTCTATCTTTCTAATGCTCCCAGGGAATAGGTAATGAAGTCCTCCTCTCATCGGCCCCTCTACACAGAATTCTTCGCCATGACCCGCACCGGATGTGCTTCTGTATTGTAAACAAACTGATTGGTCTTGTTTTCCCCATGCTGAACATTCCAGATTCCGTCCTTGGGTGACTGAATCATAAATTGATACTTCAGTACCTCCGCCAGTAAGAAGCTTGACATGATATTACCAGTGCCGTTGCCGTCCGCGACGAGTACGTTCTTAATGTTGGCGAAGCCCGACCCAACACGCGTGGTCTCATTCTGAGCGATCAGATATGCCCATGAAACATCTCTCCAGTACTGATCGCCGGTAGTTTGATAGGCGTAGTACCACGACTCGACCGCTTCTGGGGTGAGCCCGTTGGAAAAGTACAAGTTGCTAGGAATGAAGAATCCAGCTTCGTTGTAGACATCCGTTTGGTTTGTGAAATTGGATGCTAGTAGTCCCTCGTCCCAGGAGTAGAGCGTCGGACCAATCCCACTCGCTGTGCTCCTGTATCCATTGGCGCAAAACTCGCTGAACAATAGACCGTATTTGAGGTACTGATCATTATTTAAGACGGTCGAACCTAGGAGGAAATTCCCACCAATGAAGCACGCCAGCTGCTCTGAGTATGGGACAACTTCTGTACCGTTGAAAGCTCCGGCCATGACGAGATCGGAGCGACTGCCAGGACTGCTAAGAAGATGGGCGATTGTTGAGTCTGCGGCGCTCTGCCATCGCTTGCTGTAATTTCCATATCTCTCCGGGTCGTAAACGTACATCTTGATGAGGTACTCATAAGCCGAGTCATTACCTGACGTCCAGCCACCATATTTGTCGAGGATCTCTCCGGTGGAAACGCTGAAAGTTCCACCTGTAAGGCCGGGCCAGATCTCAGGGCCCTTGAACCAATACGACTCCGCCCTTTGTGCCAGCAGCCCATACTCTGGGTTGCCTGCTTTACGTTAGCCATGATCTCGCGAGGTCATATGTCTCGGTAAGAATTGGAGAACCTCCATACCTGTGAGATCAGATAGTCGCTGCCATTCGAGCACCAATGTCCCAATCTCAGCAAGACCAGCTGTGAAGTCTCCATTGTCATCGCGAGACTCGTCGGTAAATGTCCGGTTGTCGATGTAGATGGAGTTCTTCGGCAGACCAGAAGGCGTGTTGAAAGCGAATTTGATCGTGTCGGCCAGACTTACTGCCTGCTTGAGCAGCGCGTCAACCTTGTCGTCTTCGAATCCGAGATGGGAAAAGGGTCCTTTGAGTAGGTCGTATGCTGCCAGCAAGCCTCCGAGGTAGCGAATGTTCGTCTCGAACAGACTGGTCGAGGCCAGCGTTGGGGAGTTGTTCTTGGTGAAGTCCACCGTGGTGATGAATTCGAGGATGATTTGGACGATGTCTTTTTGTTCCATAATGATGGCCGTGTCCAGCGCATCGACAGCCGTCATGCCCCATCCGTTCCTGCCATCGGTGAAGCTGWTGTTCTTCGGGCGCAATTCATCATGGGGGAAGGCATAGTTGTAATAGCCGTTCCAAGCAAACCGGAACATCTCCACAACAGCATCGGCGCGGAACTGCTGGTCGTTCGGATATGATGTGTAGTCCCAATTCTTACCGCACTGCTTTGGGTAGGCCTGGTCTCTGCAGTTTCCACCTATGTCGTGGGCCCGCTTCAGGACATGCTGATGCTTCGACTGTGCTTGCGATGTGCCAACGAGAGCAGCGACGGCGAGCACCGTCAAGGATAATTTCGCGAACATCCTGTCCAATCGAAAGGCCGGCGTGATGCGGCCGGTAGTGATGGAGAAATGGATGTCGGAGAGGACATTATTTAGAAGCGATCTTTTGAGGTGATGAAAGACCAGCGGGAGCACCTACCTGTACCTCTCCAGTCCCATATCCGTGAACACATGCCTGCAGCAGCTACCCTGGTCAATGGGAAAGGGCCATCCAATCTCCGCCAAAATCCGTCAACGTGGTCTRCAGGAACATGAATCGTGAATTTCGTCACGTCTACAGCCTCGTCGTCGTGATCTACGGAGCATCGATCGTCGTCGCGMTCCGTCTGACTTTGTTGGCGGGTCGCGTCATGTTCGTGAAGGCATTCTAGATCAAGCACGCGAATGAGGGACAAAGTGCGAAGAAATCTCAGACGCGGCTGCTGTGAAACTCAAAGACAGCCTGCCAAATCCAATGCAGGTACACTTCCCAAAATTAAGGTCAAGGATGAGGCAAGCTGGCGGTGTTTCACGAAGCGGGGGAGTTTCTCTTGTCCAGAATCCAGATGATGAAAAGGTCGCGTCGACCGGAGACAGTGCAAATACCTTACTACTAGGTAAAGTAGTGAACAGCGTGCCTCACCACACGAGCAAGCCCAGCGGCGGAAGGACGAGGTCCAAAAAGAAGGAGAATGTTAAATTCCCGTGCAAATAAGGAATCGACGGCAGACAGAGGATGCAAAAGAGTTCCATTCATTTGATTGTGAACCCCATAATGAGACCAAAGCTAGACCTTGCTGGTTGCCACTCTATCAGCAGAAAGAGTATGTAAACCATGGCATCCTTTCAACAACGCCATCAACCCACCGCAATGCATCCCAAACGTCGCTAAAGTGCACCACTCCCCATACATCCTCATTTACGTTCACATCATACCTCGTGCTTCATCACTACTACCGACCGCTAGTAGCTGCGACCGAACATCACCCACTTCTGTGCCTTGCTCTCACACTTCGGGTTGATGCACTTCTCCTCCAGACCTTCTGGCTGCACCTCAGGGATACAGAGAGACTTGGCGCCCATGGAAGGAGCACGCGCGTCAACCTCTTGACCCTCCACGTTGGCAGCAGAGTCCTTCTTGATGGTGTCTTCACACTCGCCACCCAGACAGTGCGATACGAGCAAGACATTCTTGCCGTTCAGTGTTGGAACAAAGTCCTTCCACTCACGAACAATCTTGCGGTGGTCGGCAAACTCCTGGTTGGCTTTCTCGAACATGTCCTTCTGGATGGTCTCGAGCAGCGCGGGAACCTCGGTGCCCACCGCATCGATTKGGATGGTGTCTTTGCCCTCCCGGTCACGGCGGGATGTGGTGACAACACCCTTCTCGAAGTCCTTGGGGCCGAATTCGATGCGGAGTGGCACACCCTTCAGCTCCCAGTCGTTGAACTTGAAGCCTGGAGAGTAGCCCTCCCGCAAGTCCGACTCGACACGAACGTTGGCGGCCTCGAGTGTATTCCGCAGCTCATCGACCTTGTTGTAGAGCTTCTCACGATCCTCCTCTGTAGTCTTCGCAGTGACGCCGACGGGAACAATTACAACCTGCACCTCTGCTGCTCTGGGAGGAATGACCAAGCCCTTGTCATCTCCGTGAACCAGGATCATCACACCGATGGAGCGGGTAGTGAAGCCCCAGCTGTTCTGCCAGACGTGAAGCTTCTTCCGAGCCTCGCCATCCTTGACCTGCTGTGTGGGATCCTCGACGGTGATGTCGAACATCTTGGCAAAGTGCTGTCCGAGACAGTGAGATGTCGCYGCCTGAATGCCTCTACCCACGGCTGGGATGAAGCCTTCAATGGTCTTGGTGTAGTGTGCGCCGGGGAACTGCTCGTTCTTCGTCTTTTGACCCTTGACCACCGGGACGGCCAGGAGGTCTTCGTAGATCGACGCGTAGTGATCCAGGATCTCCATGACTTCCTTTCCAGCCTCCTCCTCGGTCATGTGTGCAGTGTGACCTTCTTGCCAGAGGAACTCTCTGGACCGCAGGAAGGGCACAGCATGCTTGAACYCCCACCGCACCACGTTGTTCCACTGATTTAGCTTGAGAGGCAGATCACGGTGCGACCGAATCTTCTTGCTGTAGTAGCTGTACATGGCCGTCTCGCTGGTAGGGCGAACGGCCAATGGCTTGTCCAGCTTGGTCTTGCCGCCATGTGTGACCCATGCGACTTCGGCCGCAAATCCCTCGAGATGCTCCTCCTCGCGCGTCAGGTTGGCCTCTGTGATGAAGAGGGGAAAGTAGGTGTTCTTCACTCCCATTTTCTTGATGCGCTCATTGAAGTATCCCTGAATCAGCTCCCATATTGAGTACGAGGCGGGCAGGTAGATGTAGCAGCCAGGCACGTCGGTGAACTCGAGCAGTTCACCCTTGAGGATGACCTGCTGATACCACTCTGACAGATCTCCCGACTTGGGCTCTGTGATTCCAACCAGCACGGGTCCATCGGCCTTCTTCTTTGCCGGCATCTGCTGTGTCTTCGCTGGCTTTGGGGCCTTGGGCTCCTTCTTTGGCTTGTCTTTCTTAGGCGCGGTCGTCGCAGCGGAGCCCTCGATGTTCAGCTTCTCGAGCTTCTCCTCAACATTGTTGTCGGCCATGTTCGCGTGGTCGGCTTGCTTAATGTTGAATAATCGCGTGGTGTTTCTCAGAAATCGCAGAAGACGTGTGCGAGTGCGAATGCGAAAGATGTTGCCCCGCGAATTCGAGTCATGTTTTGTGGACATTGAATTCATGCACGAGCATTGAAACGTGACTGTGACTGTGACTGTGACTGATCCAAAGACCTTCTGCTACATGGTATTTATTTGTTCGCCAATCTGGGCACTCATCGAGTCATCKAGCACTCACCGGCGAGGGCAGATCYAGTGTACCTATACTCCAATCGTGCTGCACTGCCCGCCCTGTCCAATCTTTTACTCCGCCACGCCAGCCCGCCAATTGACTCACAACATGTCAGCCGATGGCTTCGAAGGAGTATGGGATCAGTCGCTCCCATATTGCACTTGAGTCCAACTTGCACATGCAAAACAGCCAAGAAGGCCTTTGGGTGAGGCACTTGTCCTTCCAGGTTCGTTTCGTTGATCTCTACTCCGAGGGGCTCGACCGTTACAGCTAACTTAACCTTCCCTTGGTAAGGTATGGTACATAAATACATAGCACGTATGCTCAAACTTCGTAGACCGGTCGTCTGAGGGTTCCAGAGCCAAGTTACAGGCTGGCGGCTCGCTCATTTTTTGAACCGCTCACACAGTCGAGTGAGATATGGCTGCTTTGCTTGATCAAAAGAGTGCGCTCGTACGAGAGGTGGTCCGCGCTCTGCACAACGCCTAGTCTCTTTGCTCCATCGCGTGGACGCCGTTCAAATGTCAAGCTGAGATTTTCGTCGCAATTCGTCTTGCGCTTATCACTGCTGCAAGCACATCGTTGTATGGCAACGTCGTCCAGGCTGTGCATCTCGCATGCGCCAACCTTCACTACCTAGGTAGAAGTCTAAGACCTCCCGGCGTTTGCGATTGCCGAGAGGGTGACGCCGCCGTTGAGTACCACCATCCTCACTAGTACAGCAAGGGGAGAACGCAACACTTCGAGGATGCACAGCGCAAGTCCAGTTTCATGAAACGCTGCTTGCCGCTGCACAAAGCCGTTGTCGACGGTCGTTYATCGTCGTTGCGATGCTAATCGGTACAGCGAAGAACTTCTCCTAGTCCTATCGAGATCTCCTCGTCATGTCCTTGCGTCGCGTGGTGAACAACGACGGCGCGTGGTTTGAGACATCCGGATTCGGCGGTTCGGACAAGGGTCAAGAAAATATCCCCTGAGTTTCACCACATTGTACTAGGTAGCCACCTTCACATATCGACGACTCGATGGGTGATGTGTTGTGGATTCGCGAGGAGCACCAAGAGGTCGCGTTCTTTTTGCACGGTTGCAGAATAGGTATTGTTGTTGACGGGAGTTGCTGGTTTTCCACACGAGGATGATCGTCGCAGTCCCAGTCACCCAATTACGGTCCCCGCCGCGCACAAACGGCGAGCCGTACTCCGCGCCAATGACGGCAGTCCTCCAGGGTTCAAGGTGCGGACCAATTTCCCGAACGCAGCACAGGCCATTGACACGCTTACTGTGCTTGACAAGCTCGAGCGAAGAGCGCAAYGCTCTCAGCAGGGATGAGCCTCCTTCCTCTCTTGGCTGTTGTTTTGCTCCTGCTTCTACGTCTGTCGCTCGTTCCTGGCCGCATTGCTCTCCCCACGCTCGTTTAACATCAACTCCGACCCCAGCATGCCCGTCCGCACCCACACTTCCACCCGCAGTCTGTGAGGTGCTCCGCCRTGAATCCACACGCCCAATCGGACGCGATCGACACCAAGAGAGAGAACCGCAGAGCGCGCCAGTCGGACGTCCGATGCACCCACGCAGCTTCGACAGCTGCAACGCGGGCTGGATCAACAAAGATGCCGCGGCCAAGTCAGGTCTAGGACATGAGCGGTCAGGCACCATGCATATGCCGTACCCCGATCACCCACAAACACATTCCACGCTGCATCGCAGGAGACGAAGATCAGCTGCCATCTCTCCCTCGACCGCGATATGCGTATTGCTTGCTGGTAGCATATCGACGGTCATGGCTCAGGGCTGCATTCCGCTCGCCGATTCCAATGCTTGCCGGGCGTTTGGTGTGGCCTCCATCTCGACGGATAGCGCGGTGGCGGGTCTATTTCCTTTCCTTTACTCGGTCGACAGCGTAGCTTCATTTGATTCTGGCATCGCATCGTACATCGCGGGCGGCTTTACTGAGCAGCGGTAAGCAACCGACCTACGACTCGATGTATCTGGGCCGGACTGACGATATCAGATATCAACAACTAATAGGCTGCGACAATGTTCAGCCGGGAAACACCACGGACTTCTACGCCAGATATACGACCAGCGTACTTTGCAATGCCATTGTACAGAACTCGATTGACGCCTGCGGTCTGACGGGAGAAGCAACGAGACCACTGTGCGCCAACGACTGCGCCGACTACGCTCTGAGTGAGCAGAAAATCACAGCAAGCAACGTTTGCGGTACCGCAGGCACGAATGCCATGACCCAAATCCGCGCGGACTTCACCAACTGTGCTTTGCCCGCCATGTCAATCACGGGCGACTGCATCCAGGCCGTAGATAACCAGCCCAATGACTGTGGCTATGACAACAATCTAGGCGGACTGTGTTCGTATTGTGCGGCGAGCTCGCCTAACGCGACGGACTCTTGCTGCGTTTTCTCCAACACCACCACTCGCTGCGAAGGTGTCGTTCTGCCAATTGTCGCCACCGCCTCTCTACAACCCATCGTCACTTTCACACTGACGGCCAGCGGGTCTGCTGATACTTCGACTGCAGGGCCCACTGTGGCGTCTTCTGAACACAAGAAAGGCCTCAGTGGCGGAGCCATTGCAGGAATCGTCATCGGGTCCATTATCGGTGCGATATTCCTCCTAGCATTGATCATCGGCGCCTGCTTGCTGTTTCGAAGACGCTCAAGTCGTAGTCCGGCTACGAGCGTCTTCAACCAGCCTGTTGGTCGACAGCAGCCTGACATGGAGTTTCACGACGGGTCCAGGGACCAACATGAAGGGCAAGCCGGAGTTCTATCTGTGCTTGGAGTCGGCCGCGTTGCACGCATGTCTGCGCTGGAAGGGACTAGTAGCTCTGAGCGTGCAGCATATGGGCTCGGCGGGTACCAGGAAACCTCGGAGGAGAACACGCCAGATTCCAGGCTCGCGCCACCCACTAAACGCAGCGGATCAGTCTCGAGCGGCTCGCAACGGATGGGCATGGGTGCGCATATAAACACCTCGCCCAGCTCCGCTGGCGAGTTCACTTCCCCAGAATCACGCGGGCAGAGCGAGCAGCTGGATTTCTTCAAGGACTACTACTCGCAGGATGAGATTCGTCCAAGTGATTTGGTCTCCACTTTGTGGGCCTACGAACCACGGGCCGGAGATGAATTTCAGCTTGAACGTGGCGATATGATCAAGGTGCTGGGCATCTGGGACGATGGCTGGGCAACAGGAGTGCGAGTCAAACAGAGAGCAGAAGACTGGCGCGACGAGTCCAAGATCCAGCGGGATAGTGGAGTCAGTAGTGGTCGGCGATCTAGACCCACGACCTCTGATGAGGGTGAAGTCAAGGCTTTCCCGCTGGTATGCGTCTGTCTACCGCAGCACTGGCGCAAGACCATTGACGGCGATTCGACTGAGGGATCTGGCCCCGGGGCATTTCCAGACCGCGGCGCCTAAACTCAAATTGATTACGATTCACGGATTTCACGGAAGGCGGTACAGTGCAGCGCTTTTGTTCGGGTGCTGTTGCCTGTCTCGACGCAAAACTCTTCCTCTTCAGAGCAGCGCAGCGCAGATATCACAAAGGTCATCTCGCATTGCTTTCCTGTTTTATACCCAGCCTATACGGCTTAGCGATTGATCTCCTACCAGCGCCTCCTTTTGTTGGCGATTTGGCCATGACGACCCGGCGACTTGAACACATCTTGGATTGAATCCGTGTGAAAAGTGCATTAGTCAGGATGCAAATGAAGTCTCGAGGTTGTGGCAACCAGCGTGCCAGAGACAGATACTATACTATGTACATATAACAGTAAATAGATCTATGTAGCTGCGAACTTTGAGTCGCCTTCTGCAATACTGTTCGTCGCTTGAACTTCACTCGTTAAATATGTAAAGACCTTCAACCATGTCCGTCATTTCCAGAACGTGCGTTGCTCGGAGTGACTCGTAGCCGTCGTGCCATGTTCATGGCACTTCTGTGACTCGTGATGTCTAGAGGAACCTTGGCAGTACTGAAGAACCTTGCGAGTGGTCTTGATTTGACTGGTATTCCGCGTGGAATTTCGGAACCGCAAAAGGACCGTTCGCCGAGCTTTTGGTCAGCAATGACGCCAAATTTACAAATGTTCAACCTGTATGAAGAATTTATCTGCTAAACAACAGCAAAGATGTTTCTCGTAAATGCTTCGACCACTGAAGCGTGGCTATTGGCTCCCTGCAGCACGAACATATCCCGCGATATTGTTCGAGGAGTCTCATACCTGCAAATTTTCGAAAACCTCCCCTGCGAAAATTTCCCAGCCGTTCAAGAAGATGTCTGAGGAGGGAACAACCAAGAAGGCCGAGTCCACGGTCGTGGCTGATTCGAAGATGGAACAAAAATTGCCAAAGCTCAGTGCGCAGGATTTCCGGGTGTAGGTCACATTGAAGCACGGGAGGTTTTGCCATTGCTTGTCTCAGAGGTCGCAACGATTCGCCAATTGATTTAGTCTTGCCCTCGTCCATGATTTGCCTGTTCAGCGATCGGCGAATTTGAGACATGCCAGCGAATATTCTCCTTTTACCGTCTAAGATACCTGCTAACACTTCCTGTCCTATGATCTAGGTACAATCGTATGGCTGAGCATATGGACATGTTTGTAGGTCGGGAATGGGCCTTTGATGCATCTGCTTTGACTGACACGAGTTTGCTATGATCAGCACAACTCATTTCGACAGACTTGGGATATGCTCCATCGAGCGTGCAGCAGCGGCCGAAGACCTTCTGGAATGTCCATTCGTCAGTTTTTGGCCGCTGGGGATCAATTCGCACACCACCTTACCGTACATCATGGTATTGAGGAACAACATATATTCCCAATTCTCGCGAAGAAGATGCCGTGTTTTCTACCAGATCAGGAGCTTTTGACACAGCACAAGGGCATTCATGAAGGCTTGGACAGGTTTGAGGCATATTTGAGGGACTGCAAGACTGGAGAGCGAGAGTTGAGGATGGAAGAGATGAAAGAAATCATGGACAGCTTTGGCACAGTGTTGTGGCAACACCTGGATGATGAGGTGAAAGCGCTGGGAGCGAATAACATGCGGTTGTACTGGACCAAGGGAGAGATGGCAAGTCTCCCGATATGAGATTGGTTTATTGTGCAACTCCACATAGGAAGAGCTCCTCGCACAAATTGTCTTCATCAGTGCTGCCAGGTAATCGATCTTTCAGCCTCTCTTGGAAGCGCGAAATTTTTCATGCCACTTTCTCTTTGCGCCGAGCGTGGTCTTTGTTTCGTTTTCATCGTTCGGGCTGACAATAGCACCTTTCGCATCGACCACACTCGCGGTATGGGTTATGCTGTTGCCACCAGGCTGAACAGTATACGATCCTTTCAGCACAGGGAGCTGACAGCTGGCACGCCATGACTCTGGCATGAGGTCCCTCCACGCTTTCAGAAACGCAGCGGTCTCTGTCGGTCTGCCTTCGGATCTTGCTTGAAGTAAACTCAGGCCTACAAACTGGATGCACTTTTCCTTGTCAACGGCGACAATGGTTTCCGCTATAGGCTGTGACACCCCGGCGAAGACTGCAGCAACCAAATCGGTGGGCCAGTCTTCGGCCAAGTCTACCGCATAGCCTGGGATGTCATTCTTTGAGAATGAGGAGCTGAGGTCGGTGCCCTCTGCTGTGGCCGCGGTAATCGCAGCTTGCCATATCTGGACTTTAACCTGTCCGCTGGGCACGAAGCATCCTTGAGGACTGGTCGATTCGAAACATGCTAGTTCAGACCAGCCAAGCTCGCACTCCGCTTGACTGAGCGGGATGTGGGAGTAAAGTTCAGCTCTGGACGTGCTGTTCTGTGACGAGTACTTGCCAGTCGAAACGTATGTGGGCAGCGCAGCTTTGATGTACGGCGCTGCAGATTGCTTCTTAGTGGGAAGGAGCTCGATCGTGGAACTGCATTTGGCCACTGTCTCGATCCCAGTCCTTGGTACACCGCCGCCTTCATCGGCACACTCGTGAGGCTTTGTGAGGTAAACGCTATTGGAGGAGCTGACCTGGCGGATGTCGTACGTCTTTTCCGGCGTACACAGGACTGCATTAGCATCCTTTGCATTTCCATCAGAGTTCTCTTTGGATTTGAGCTGCAGTCTGTGGAATCCTTAGCTTTTATCGTAAGTCACAGCACGACGCTTGGTCATACATTGGCGGGTGATCAGATGTGGAGAGAAGCTCGAGCAGATCTGCGGGAAGCTCAAGAAGGCGATAATGCTGCAAACTGTATTCGGGAAGCACAGTTATGGGCACGCCAGCGGTGGGGTCCTGTGTTGACATATTGGAAGTGATTGCAGCCTCGCAGTGGTCGCAACGATGGCAGCTTGTGGAGTCAACGTTGGGTGTGTATATTCGATGCCCAATGTGCTGAAGCTGAAGCTGAAACTAAAATGGGGCGCGTAGTGCTGGCGCTAGCAGGGATTGGGAACTCCGCCTCCGTACCTGCATGTACGGGTATCAACCAACTTATCCCAGTCGCTGCGCAGCTTCTTGGTGTGACCGCGTCTTGTTGTTTACGCATGCAGACGCGCAAACTTTTCTCCTCGCGCGGCGCACGATGAGTGAGTGGACTGGACCAGCCATGAATCTAGAAACAGAACRGCAACAACAGAAGTAACGAGACTACGATACCCATAACGATAACACGAACAACAACGATACCCACAACATGGCGACGGTGACGGCGGCGATGCCGGTGCTCACCAAGGAGCTGTCTCTATTCCACACCACCGACCCCCTGCTGGGCAATTCCCCCGTACTCGTCTTCCATGGCCCCTCTGCATCTATTGGCGCAACCAGCTCGCGCATACAGGTGCACGTCTTCACACCTGCTGGGCTAGGCTCCTACACGCGCCTGTCTGTGTCGCCCAATTCGCCATTCTACTCGGCTGTGAGCAATCTACCGCGAGAAGAGCAAGGTGATGAGGTGTGCCGTGGCCTCGCGTTTGGTCTCAAAAAGTACTTCTCGGAGCTTCCAGGCGCCGTAAGGAAAACATGGTGTGCGCAGTCCAAAGCTCCGTCACTTTCGGCGCTGTTTGGTGACGATCATATTGCGATTCTGGCAACTCGCATGACGAGAATTGAAAATGTGGAGGAAGTCATTGGAGATCTTGCAGAGGCCTTTTGCGAGCAGCGACTCTCGTGGTTGGATGTGGACGTCGTCCTTCCTCCAGGAACGATCAAGGAAGCATCTGGTATGGACGGATCGGAAGATATTAACGATGAGGAGTTGCTGAAGCAGCGATATGGGCGGTATTCTGAGCTGATCGCGAGTTTGGGTGAGGTTTGCTTCATTCCAACATCGAAGATCAAGCGCGCACCCTCAAAGGCGCTGGCTATCGGAAGGACAGCATCGTTCCGCCGGCATAACAAGGAGAATGTTCGCGATCAGTTAGCGGAGCTTCTCAACACCGAGGACAATTACGTGAGCCGAGTAGGGGATCTTTTGCGCTATTCCGAGGACCTGGGATCGGATCTGAAAGAGCGGCATCAGAGCCAACTTCGGGAGGTATTCTCGCCAGCCATTGGTCAGATCATGAAGACCAACACTGGGTTCCTGGACGAGCTTCGCAGACTAGTCGAGGAATCTGAGGAAACAGCCGTGCAAGACATTGAGCGTACATCAGAGGACGAGAATGGACCGGAAGGTGAGGCTTCTGCAGATGCCTCAACTGATGCGTCCGGTCTGGTGCGTGTTGCGCAGAGTCTCTGCGAGTGGCTCCCACAGTTTGCCGAGTGTTATACAGACTACCTCAGCACCCATGCCCATGCCTCACAAACACTACGCGCACTGCTACGGAACGGTGACTCCCTTGCCGCAGAGCTTCAAAACATTGGTGAACAGAAGCTTACGTCTCTTATGATTGAGCCGGTGCAACGACTTCCGCGGTACAATCTTTACATCGACAGTCTCTCGAAGCAGCTCCCCATCCGACATCCGGCATTGAAGCTGCTGCTCAAAGCGCGAGACATTGTTTCCGGATTGTGTGCAGAGTCTGTAGTCACGGAATCCTCTGCTGTGATTGATCGACTGCGTTCACGCACCATTGGCTGGCAGGCCGACGTCGATATTTCCGGTCGGCTGATAACGGCCATCGACTTTGTCGAGCTTGTGCCGCCTTACAGACTTAACAGGCGTGGTGGCACACGCGGTATCCTACTGCTCTTTACGGACGGCATGATTGTCGTGGAAAAGGCCGCCGCATCCAAAGCTACCGCCAGAAATTTGCTCACTGAGATCGAAAGTGGCTCAATGCCATCGAAATCGGTCGAGAGCCTCCCCGACGCTGGAAGCGATCTTCACTTTGTCCGACGATTGCATCTCGACGATGTGCAGTGCACCGAGAGCCATGATGGCCAAGCAATGCAGGTCATGACGTTCTTCCAGCTGAGCATGGGCGCGGTACCCGCCCAAGAGCCCATACTGGACTCCTGCCAAGTTCTCCAATTGGAGAATGCATACGAAGGCAGGGCCGCACGATTCGTAGAAGAATTGTCCAAGGCAAGGGTAGAAGGCCGCTTTTCCGAGTCCGAACGCGAGTCCAGCCGTTGGGAATTCCGTGCCACTGACCTCGCCTCTGACAGCCTTGGTCTTCTCAGTGCAGTTGTTGAGGATTCCAACAATGACCATGTGAGCTTGAGAAGTAGCACTTCGCTGGTCCGCATCCTGGTAGATATCGACCGCCATGCAGCACCACCACGAGCAGGCCAGAACGGCATACGCACGATAGTTGCTCTCTCGCCGACAAGAGCAGGTGACTGGAGAATGACCATCGATTCAATTGATGGCGCCGTCGGGCGCGAGCACCTTGAAGTTGCGGATCTCGTGCCTGCAATTCGGAGGAAGCTCGCTACGCTCATAGGCGTGCGCCTATCCATCGAACAGACGGCATCGACGGCATGCCTGCTGGCAAGGAATTCTGATCTGTTACAATCCATTGAGCTGCACAATCAGCCTCAGCAGGGCGATGATGATCAGCCGCGGCTGACACCTCGCGATCGCGTCCACCGTCCCAAGTCACCAAAGAAGCTCCTCTCCAGCTTTCTCTCCAGCGTCGGTCCTGGTAACGAACCACCGCTGCTCAAACGGGAGCTGCCTGGTCTTCCAATGCCTAATCCAAACTTTCGATTGTCTACCGTGGCGCCAAAGCCACCAAGCAGAGAATCGCGACCATCTTCTAGAGACCAACCATTCTCCAGCTCTACTGAACACTTACCAGCGCCGAGCCCTGCGAAGAAGCTGGAAGACACTCTCTCAGCCTACATACTGGCCCTTCAAGCCCGGAAAGGCAATATTGTGGGGAAGAATCTCAAGATGCGCGTTGTAGCGGACGAGCTCCAAGTTAGCGAACTTTATAACAGTCTCCTGGAAGATCCGAACATGATGGTACTTGCCGCTCAAGCTCCCCTTGATGTCCTGTTCGCCTCTTTCGAGAAATTCTTGAACTTGGTGTGGATAGAGCAGATTGGCCAGGTCATACCCAGCGTAGTCCTTGAAGAGATACAGCTCAAGGCTGAAACACTCTTCCCGGCCGACTTTGACCAGTTCTTCCGCACCACTGTTGCCAAGCTTGCTCCCCAAAATCAACGCGCTTTCAAGGCCATCATGAAGTTGCTCGCCGAATTGCTTGACGGAACCGGCAACGATGGTGATCGTGGCATCTTGACCGCTGCGTTTGCAGAGATTCTAGTAACAGATGGCAACCCTCACGACTACATTGCGCTCATCGACCGGTTTGTGGATGACACCGAGACTTATTTTGGCGAGCCTGTTGAGGCCCCAACCCATCAACGTCACGACACTGGCTCTGTYAACTCACACAAGAGAACCCGATCTGCCAACTCGGCTTCACTTACCAGCAATACTTCATCGTTGCGTAGAAAGTTTGGTTTTGGTACACTTACCCGCGAGAACAGCAAATCTGAGCAGGAGTCCAAGGTGGCGTCTGTATGGCGTACTCTCAGCAAAAGCACGCGTGGCGACACAAGCCCTGGCCCGACCCCAGTCAGCAGCTTTTCAAAAGGCTCTCTTTCTCGCGCCAGGTCGGTCGAGACCGAAGCCTCAACCATCGGGAGTCGGCCATCATCTTCAGATGGGCTCAAAGCGCCTAGCCATGGCGACGCTCCGTCTCTCGCTCGGACGCCTTCGAGTCACAACTTGACGACGATCGGAGAGCACCCGAGCTTCATACCGACGGGTCCACCCAGGAAGAAACGGCGTAGTTCGCTGTCCGATCTCAAGATGCTGGACTTCTCGCCCAAGCGGGAGCAGCTCGACCCACCAACTCCACAGCGGCCACAGCTACTGCACACAATGTCAGACAGCCCGGCTCTCCCAAACACAACGGTACCCTCAACTCCATTGCCGATATCTCGAGGCAACAGCAATCGGTATGGCACGCCACAGCAAGGCTCGCCCCGCTCTCGACTGCCGTCGTCATTCCGCCGGGACTTGTCACCTGGCCCAAGCAGAGCGCTCGGGCACAGTAACAGCGAGCAGCAGCGGCCAAAGACTAGCGGAGACAGACCAGATGTTGTGATCACAGCACGGCCAATATCGAACATCCCGAGTCTGATGCCCAAGCCTAGCTTAACACAGAAACACGCGCCGTCAACTCCAGCGCGAGCGGGACTGTCTGAAAGACAGGACGGCGGCAACATAGTAAAGAAGCCTTCTCCGCAGCCCGAGAAGACGGCGCTTCAACGCCGCATGACTGGTCCCGAACTTGCCTCGTCCCCTGCTCCGCGTAAGCTCCGCATGCAGTCTCCTCAAAAGTTACGCGAGCGCCTGCAACAAGAGCAGACTAATGTCGCTGCCACGCACATCACCCTCCAAGAGGAGCTCAGCAAGATTGGCAACGAATTGACGTCGACATCCAGTCCCGCCCGACCCGCCACTGCTCGTGGTAGCAAGACGTTTACAGGTCGTGGGTCGATCTCCCAGCCGAGCAACATGGATCTTGCGCAGCGTGTGCTCAAGATGGAGGGTAGCCTCCCCAAGCAGATGGACGAGCTCAGCCGGCGTATCAGCAGCATCCAAGGCGATCTCACGTCTTCGCTCAGTGTCTCGGAGCAGAAATGCAGAAAACTTGATGAGCTTTATCGGGAAGCCAATGGGGAGAACGAGGCACTCTATGCGCGCTTCAATGACGAGCTAGGACGCATTCTGAAGGCTGTGAGGGGCGGCGAGGGTGTGGAAGAGTTGAAGAAGAAGCTCAAGGAGGCACAGTTGGAGGCTGCCAATCTAAAGCGGGAAACGAGTCGATTAAAGCGAGAGAATGTTGGTCTGAGGGCGCAGATGCGGGAATGAGCAGTGTCCTTTTGCATGCCCAGATCGCTACTTCTCCGAGATGTTCAACGATTGTTTGAGTACGAAGTATTTGATAATGAGATACATATCGTAATGATCCATATGTCTGCCTGCAGTATCATGTCGCTGTGCTSACACTGTCACATCAATCAATCGATGTTGCCTACCTAGGTACCTTAGACTGGGTAGACCCTGAGCAGAATGTGTATAGGGTTGGTCACCTTAGGGTTGGGGTAGTGTCCCTACTATCTTTGCTCTGTACCGCGACAAAGTATGTCAAGTGCAGCATTTGATCTGTACGATTATCATAGCAGAAATGCGGCCCTCTCGACACGGCTATAGGTCCTTGCCAGTGTGAAAATGATTGGATAGAAGAGGATCGCTCACACATTAATGTTACTTGAAAATGTGTCTGAAGCAGCTTCAACGTCTAGATTGGGAGGGTCGGAAAAGTGTCTACTCGCGTGCGAGTTCGTATGGCCGGCAGGACCTGTACCACTTGACCTAGTCAAGCGATTGCTTCGAGATAGGAGATTTTGGTCTTGCGAAGTCATATGCTCATTCTCCACGAAAGGACAAGGCCTGATTGATAGAAGAGGCGATCCGACTGGAAGTTTCTCATACAAACGGCTCAAACTCCCGATCAAGTACGCTATTCAACAACAAGAGCAACAACAACGCTCATCGCTAAAAGGCCGCATCCAACTCGCATCGCAACAAACATCGCTCTAGTCTGTCGTTGGAATAAACAGAAGACATCATTCAATCTCTCTCACAAGATTAGAGCACCCACACCAAACACAGCGGCAGCAACTGCGCCAGCCCCGTTGTATACACCGGCAGTAGCCTGTGCAGCGGCACCCTTCTTCGTAGAAGTAGTCGGAGAAGGCGATCCGCCCGTCGAAAAGCCTCTGCCTCCACCGGGCTCGTTAGCCCCGGCGGCGGGCTTGATGATGAGCTCTTGGATTTGAGCACCGTTGGTCGCGTAGACTGGAAGTTCGACACTGGTCTGAGTGACAGCGACGATGCTTCCTGTTGGGGCATTTTTAACACCGTTCGAGATGAGTGCAGCGGCACCCTGAGGAGCTGCAGGAATGTCGAAGGAGTTGTTGAAGCCATCGTTGCTGATGAGACTGGAATTACAACGCGGTGGTTGGAGATTGGTGGCAGTCTCGTTCTTGGCGGTAATGAGGCTAATGTCCAGCTTGTTGAATTGGCCTTGCAGTCTGTCGAAGTCACCGAGGAGGCTAGCGGAGCCGTTGTCGTTGGCTTGCAGGAGACCGTAGTTGGATGACTCCTGCGTCCACTCGTAGACGAGCCCACCGGACAAGACAGTCATTTGTGGGCCGTAGAGGACCGGGACTTCCTGGAAGAGGCGAGGTGTGGGGTCGTTGCAACCATATTCGCTGAAGAAGACGGGAATGGTGGTGTTGCTGAACCATGATACCAACTTGTCATAGCCTGCGATCTGGAAGCTGGAGGCATCACCGCACCAGGAGTACGAATTCAGACCAAACATGTCCGAACGTGACATGTCCTCGTCGTCGCCGTCGGCATTGTTGCACTGAAGGTATGCCCATGTATCCTCGAGCACCTCCTGGACTTGGGCAGCACTGTAGCCGACGGGAATCTTCCTCGACGCCTGAGCGGCGATGTACTGCTTGAGATCGCGAGTGACGGCTCGAATGTAGGGTGGATTTGGACCGGCAGTGGGAATGTCGTTGATGATTTCGTTGCCCGAGAAGAAGCCCWAAGTGTTCGGGTAGTCCTTGAACGCTTCCACCACCGAGAAGATGTGCTCGAGATAAGGCAAGTTGTAGCTGTTCTTCGGCTGACTACGATCAATTGACTGGCCTGCCAATGGCGAGTTGACATCGAGGAGCATGTAAATGCCCACCGAGTTGAAGATGGAGGCGCATTCGTCGTGATTGAGGGTCGGGTCGACATTGTAAGAACGAATGGTGTTGACTCCCAGCTCTTGCATGAGCGCCGCATCCCTCAAGCATACCGTCGCATTGCTCAACGGATCTTGGGAGTTGGCCTCGCCGTACGCGCCTTGTCCGCCGGGCTGATAGTCAACGCCCACAATCATGAAGCGATCCCCGCTCTTGGAATCCGCGAATTGCTGCTGCGAGACGACAATCGGTTCGACGGCCACGGCCACGCTCGCCAAGAGAAGACATGCCGAAGCAAGCCTCGTGAGCTGAATTATCCCGTCAGTTGGGGCCAGATTATTACAGTACCTTAGAGGAGTTGGCACTCACAAACGCCATGATGCTCGGCGCCAATTGCGACAAGCTTCGAGTGTTCCTGGCAAAAGYTTCCACTTCTCCACCTGTTCGTCCAGGATCTTGAGTCGAGCTTGTAAAAGAAATGTAAAAACGAATGACACGGCTGGGTTCAGCCGGAGATGGTGAAGGCGAAGTGTGAATGTCTGGTGGGAGAAGTGCAGTGACCGTCACCGATAAGCAGTGGTGTCCACAGCCTCTTCCGCGGACTATCACACCAAGGAAAAAAAATATGATGATGCTCGTTTGAAAGCTCAAACCGTTGCACAAAACGGCGCCCTCACAGCCGACCGATTGTTCGGCACTGTTTCACAACGTCCGTGGACTTGTGCATTGCTCAAACGAGCGACTCCTTGCTGTCGCCCTCGCCCAACCTCGTCTTCCCTCAACACCCATTTTCAATCGGAACAGTATTTGCCACACGTCGTATACCAAGCAACCTAGACAAGCCGCAGAAGCTCAAAATACCTGTATTTACGCGCCATGCATGCAGCTTTCCCTGCAGCAACACCCGAAAGTCTAAGCGGCCCTCGAGACCATCGCCGACTCTGGGAGCAACAGGGTGGAACTGCTGAGTACAGTCTTTATACCGCATATGAAAAGCGGCTGGTTCTCATGGAAARCGGTCTTCGTTCAATATTGTATTTCGATGTCCGCCCGGGACACCAAAGGCGTTAAACATTAAGCTCCTATGAGCAGACCATCTCGGCCCAACACCTCCATGTCCTGGAGACTGTAGTAAGGTATCTACAAGCAAAGTCTCCTGTTCACGTACGTAGCTCTTGCCACTCGTGAAACAAGAATGTATCCCAGAAAATGCACCACCAACACCATCGCTTAAAGAAAACTCATCACTGGGGGAAAAAGAGGATCACTCCACGCTCTCCTTGAAGGGGGTCAGCGGACTTCTCCTCGTGGGACTCGCCCTCCGACTCCTGCTCGAAGTGGGCGCCAATGTTTCCTTGCTCTCGCTCCTAGAAAGCAGCCCTCCGCGCTCAAAAGGCGTGATACCAAGACCATGGGATGTCCCGGGCGGCGTGTTCGTGTCGAAATAGCCCTTGATTTTGGGCGAGCTTCGCTGGAAATCAGGCGATAGTCCTCTAGTGCCCGGCGTCATGATTCCGCTCGTTCTTCCATTTCGTGCAGCGTCCAAACTGCTACCGTTGCCGTGTCCGATGCTAGAATCGGAGTAGCGCTCCTCGTCGGACATTGCCGCGAGTTCAAAGTCGTCGGGATCCGCCTCTTCAAGCACACGATCGTAAGTGGGGGAGGAGTTGCCGAAGAACTTGCCGCCTACGTTGTGTCCCGGTTTCCTGCGCTTCTTCTGGCCAGTGAGGGACAGGACTTTATGCCAGAGGGAAAGCCGGCGTTCGCGCCCGCAGAGAAGATAGACGGCTAGCGCGAGGATGRGCAGGAATATTGCAATGCCAGGAGCTTGCCGCGAATAGCTGCTCGCCAGCAGTCTATCGTGCCAGTCGTTGCCTTCCCCAGCCATGGTGGTGCTGTTCACCAGTCGACCTCCTGGGAATTGAAAATCGGAAGGCAGTCTACTGCCCTCGATGTTGCTCCCAAAGCCAACTGCCATGGCGCCAGCAGCAGCAGGCATCTGAGAGGATGCATACAACACCATCTTTCCAAGTGTCCAGCTGACCTCCTTCCCGTCAATCTCGTCCACCGCCTGGAATGGGTCCAAGAAGCCGCGGTCCTTCGCACCAGCTACCACGGCGTCTGTCTTGTTCCCGGAACCCTTGTCGGCCTCTATACCCACTCTGGGAACACCAATGCCTTCGTGGAGCATGTTGATTAGCCAGCTCGCCTTGAAGCACACCTCTTCCACGGTCTTCTCGTCCACCTTGTGTCCCCACTTTTGCTTCGCCACGTCTTTTCCAATTCCTTTCCAATCTCTTGAGCAGAATTCCGTTACCTGCTGTTGATATGTCTGGAAATCGTACGCTTTATCTTTGTGCGCCATGGCAAAGATCTCGTGCGTAGTATGCCAATACTCTGATACTCCCACAAAATGATTCACGCCAAAGTCAATGGCGGGGGTATGCACACCGTTCAACAGACACGGTTGGTCGGTACATGCCTTCTCTTTCTCCAACAGTGGGTACGTGCTTTTGAGACATTGCGTGAAGTCTCCAGTACCAATGAGATGAGGCTCCTTTCCTTTGAGCTCCTTCGACCCAGTCTTGATTTCCTCGCCGGTCTTCTTGACTGTAATTCCAACAGGTAGACACGGGTCTGGAAGTTCTTTCGAGTTCGGTGACGCATCCAGTAAATGTTCCACGTATCGTCTTCTCGCCTCGTTCGCACCAAATCCAAGCCACGTTGTCACAAATACGCGATAGTCCAACGCTTCGCCATTGACCTTTCTTAGTCTCAGGAGTTTCAGATCATCGGCATGCTTTTCCGCCTCGGTCGCATTAGGCGCAAATGCAATCTGTGCGGATGCACCGCCCATGTCTAGAAATCCATAGGTGTGATGTCCATCTCCATGATTGTGCATTTGAGGCTCATCGAATCCACCGAGGAGGTAATTTGCGGCAATCCAACCATACAAGCCCTCGGTCTCGCCGGGAATTACTTGCACGTGGAGATTGCAGTCTGGAAGTTGGAATTTCGTGTTTTGCTGAAAGTAAGAGCACACGTGTTGTAGTACAGCCGCACGCTGGTCATCGGGCAACAGTCGCATGCCCGCAGTAGCTAAGAGAAAGACGGGCGTGTTTTCCACCTCTTTCTTTGGAACAATGTCCAGCGCAAAATCGACCAGGTCCTTCAGGTGATCGGGTCCCACAGACTCGGGTGTAGAGCCGAATGTTGAAATGCCAGGATGCACTTTCTTGATCCATTTCTTCTTCGTCTTGATATCAGGGAGACTCTGTAAATCCTCCCTGTCGCCTTTCCTCCGTGCAGCATTGGCCTTGAGCCAGCTGTACACATAGACCCGGGTGCCGGAACTTCCAGCGTCGAAAACCAATCCGTACTGGTGATCCTTGTGCTTGCCCATTGTGACGTTGTTGGGCTCCTTATCGCGTCCCGTATCGCATCCAGATTAAATCAAATTGGGTGTTTGTCGGCGCATGCTCGATTATTGCGTTGTCGTCGCAGTGAATGAAGGTCAAGTGGATAAGCAAAACGAGTGGGGCACTCGTCTAGAGTGTTGGGATGGAAGAAAGAAAGGGAGGGCAGAAAACGCGCGTCGACTCAAGATCCCTGGACGCATTCAAACTCTCGGGCCAGACCTTTCCAGATTGGCTTTTGAGCTCCCGTTGACGGCACAACGGTCATCGCGATTGGCTAGTCCTTTATCAAATGGATCGCAGCAACGGTACCTTTTGCGAAGCAGCCAACCGTACAAATGTCGATACCTCGGCCGATTCCCGACTTGCTTGAAGCATCTCTGCAGGCACTGGAACGACTCTTGGATTAACACCCCAGTGAGATCATCATTGACCTTGAAACCCTTGCCCGCCTTCGATGTTGCAAACGGCTGCATTGTGGAGGGTGGAGTTTCACATTTGCCGAATGATGTAGAGTGGAGTGAAGCACGAGCAGTGTGCCTTTGTGGAGCCGATAGCTGAACACACAGAGCAGACCCACGGGAACAGTTCCATGTCTCATTCAGAATGGATTGGAAATTGATCTCCTGCTATTCTATTCCTCTTCACATCCGATCATTCCTCCAACACGAATCGCACAAAAGCTGCCCCCMCAGCAACCCCATCATGATGCTTGCGTACCCTCTCCATACCATCCTGGTACATTGCATCATCAAAGATGCCCTTTTCATGCCTGTTCTCCAGCAGCTCMGACACAATGTCACCGGTAAACTCCGGATGCCCCTGAACAGTAATCAGCCTGTTCTTTGCATACATTCCTTGAACGTCGCATCGAGGCGAGTGTCCCAGATGCTCGATCCCTTCTGGATACTCATACACGATGTCGCGGTGCATCTGATGAATGGCCTGGACTCCTCATTAGCAGAGCTCCCAGACACTTCTGTTCGCAAAGGACTCACCAGCTCCTCGATCCCGAACAACTCTTTCCCCTTTGCCGTTAGCTGAACAGGCGTGACGCTGACTTCCCACCCTCTGTCACTTCTGTCCACCTTGACATCCAAGGCYCTGCCAATGATCTGATGTCCAAAGCATACCCCAATCAATCGTACGCGATCTTGTGCCAGAACGGTTTTGGTAAAGGCGACGAGTTTCAGAATCCATGGGTCGTTGTCGAATGAGTTATGCCCTGTTCGAACAACATCCCTTAGCGATCATCCACCAATGCTCGTGTTTCATCTCGTTCGCGAACGAAGAGCTGCCCGAGGGAGACCTACGACTTCCAGTTAAGAGAATCGCATCAACGTTCTCCAACTTGGGGTAATGTTCCGTATTGACCACATCAAACTTTGTAATATCCAATTCTGGCTTCTCTGACAGCTTCTGAGCTCCATTCTCCAGCAGCTCTTTGAAGAGATTCCCATATCCGCCGTACTTTTCCTTTGTTCGACCAATCGGCTCGTCGCATTCGAGCACCGCGATACGTAGTGGTGGTCGCATCTCAATTCCAGGATCTCCAAGATGTAGGATATGTTCTTCAGGCGGAAAGTTTGATCAGTCGCAGAATGACGAAGTGGGGAACTTTTGCCTTTGCAGTAAGGTAAGACCTTCTGCACGCGGGCGACAACGGCTATGATAGCGCGATAAAGGGAGATTTTCGGGGTGCTTCCACGTCGGCCACGGCCTTGCGCGGCCCATCACTCTTCATCAGGTCGACCATGGGAGAGATGACCGGTCATGTATTTGATGATTGCATTATAGTCGTTGTTAAATGGAAGTCCCGCGGCACTACATAGGTACGGTCATCTTTGCACGGCTTTGCAAGGAAGCGAATTGTGAACGCTCGTCGCTTGATGTCCTCAAAACTATCGGCATCTGTCTCACTTGATGTCGCCACTCACCCAGAGGCACGATGGCCAGGCGATGCAGGAAGTCAATCGACAAATTGGATGCAGCTGCGGTATAGCAATCAATCCATGTCGCCAATGATGAACGTCGTCAAGCGCTGCATGAATATTCCCGGGCAATTTTCGCAAAGTCGCGTGCTCGTCTGTCAAATATTGATCTGCGATTAGACTTTTATTTAGCKTGGACATCTTGACGTCCGCGATCTCATGCATTGTGCATAATTATCTACACATCAACCCCCGATCCCCATACAGTCTTGATGCATTGCTTTTGAAATTGCCACCATGGCACTGCAATGTTCAGCAAATCTCGACGACCTGTGCCATCGAGAGCAGCGCTCCGGATCCTTTACCAACTCGCATACATCTCATCTGGAACCGCAGTGGGCGTGGCGGCACTTTGCGCCGAGGAACGCAGGAGACGCACTCACTATGTGCAGAAGATAGCGGACAATGCGAAGAGGCTGAGGCAGAGTCCACGACATGTGCATAATGTTGCGGCGGCGAAGGCGACGCAGCATGCAGTGCATCAGGAGCCGGGCTTGGAGGGAAATCTTCGCAAGGAGCAGATCTGTGGAGATGATTTGGGACGAGAGCCTGTTGAAATGGAGAGTAAAGGGGCTAGAAAGGGTCTGGTTCGCTTTCTTCAGAGTGCTGGGAAAAATGGATCCGATGAGGCAGACCACAACATGCGTGTCCCCCAACCTCCCGCGAGATACGGGGTACATCGGCCTTTCGTCGTTCAACAACACACTTCTGGACGGCATGGGCAAGACAGCTCGGCACCCGTTCCTCAAGATATAGACCGCCTCGAGAGACCAATCGGTACTTCTGCGCCAGCAATCCGACTCCGCCGGCCCCGGCCAACGCTTCGCTCGGAAAACTGGAAGAGAGCTGCGGAGCTTTTGGAGCGAGACGAGCACAGCCCTCGCGAAAGTGATGGTATCGCAGCTGCTATTGGGCAAAGTACCGAGCTGTTCTTCAAAAACTTTGATATGTCCAATATACCTTGGACTTCGACCGAACTAGTGGCCAAATCACGCGTTGCAAGTCGCTTGCTGGAACAGAGCTTGCGCCATGGCTGCTTGGCAGAAGTTCGCCAGTTGGTCTCGTGGAAGCTGGCAAACGAAAGGTTGGACGAGCTTGATGTGACAGCTCTTCATGAAAATTGCTCAAATCCCGATTTTCAATTCGAGATGTTCGAGCTCTTTGCGAAGGTGTTTCAAAGCAAAGCCTTTGCCAAGCTACCAGATGAGTTCAAGCTGACCAAAGCCATGTCTGTCGCTGCGGATGCGACGTTTTGGGATATTGGCCTGAAAGCGTCAAACTGTGCTAAACCTCTACTCCGTGTTACGCTGAGGTCGTCGCAGCCCGACACCGTTGAACACGCCGTACGTGGACTCTGTGACGAATATCTTGCCACCAACCAAGTCCGCAAAGCCTACAGTATTGTCAATGCGGTGAGACTGGCCAAAAGCGCGCGTTTTAATCCAGAAGAATTCTTCCGGTGGAAGCAGGACTATGAAAGGATCGTAGCTCACGCTAAAGAACAAGGTCTGCTCTGGCTCTGTGAGAAATATGCCACACTGTTGATCCGAGCTGGCCGAGATCCCGATTGGATACCCCTAGTCGAGTGGATTCTGTCAGAGTGTCGTCGTAGCAAGTCATTCGCTTCGGTGAGAAGCCTGACATGGTTTCTGCTTGCTTCCAACGATTGGCGAAGTCTTGGTGACTCAGCCAAGGTGAATTTCGCCATCGCTCTCTCGGCAATTGGCAAGCAACTTCCGGATGCCTCAAAACTAGACGACGTATACAACAGCATTCCCAAGGCGCTCCGGGGGCCAGTATCTGAGGCATGGTGCGCAGATCGCTTGCAAGCGGTGTGGAAGACACAACGCAGTCTCGCGGCTGTGTGGGCTGAATACGAGCGCGCCAAACCATTTCAGTCTGAACGCTTCGGCACTGCAGAGCTCACGCTCATCCAAATATGCAACGATGCAAAGCAACCTGACGAAGCGCTGAGACTACTTTCCGCCACGCTCAAGCCTGAGGAGCATAGTAACGCTTCCCTTTGTATCGCTGCAGTGTCAATGGCACAGAAGTCCGCATGGACGCAGCTACGCGGTCTCTTAGACATGATCGCGGCGTCTAAGAATTTCGTCAACGACAGGTCAACAAGTCGCAATCTCAACGCCACAATCGACCTATACTCTCGCCACCATACCGCTGCAGAAACCTGGAAGTTTGTTACCGATATGATTGGAGCTATTGGATTCACGCCGAACCAAAGTACCAGTAACATTATGCTCCAGTGTTTTGTGAGCAAGGAGACTTTGGACTTGATACCTAAATGGGTCCGATATTTGAAGATAATTGGGAATGATTTTAAAATGACCTCCAGGAGCGCTACAAAGTTGCTTGACTGCTTCTACTTCAACCGAAGGCCGTCGCACGTGCTTGTGATGTTGTACTGTAGGACCTTGTCGAAGGAATGGCCATCGCTTCGAACCGAAGGGCTCAAAGAGCTGGTCACGAAAGCCATCGGGTACGACTTGAGGAAGCTTCCGGCTCAAGACAGACCGGCGCTTCGAGAGCGAGCTGCGCAAAATTTGGCAAGGCTGGCGGATCGAGGTCGTGCGGTTCGAGACCCTTATCGACCGACATCTCTGACGGACACTAACCATCCACGATCTGGTTCAAGTAGTACCGCTGCACAAGAAGATGCAGATGTCGACCAGCTCAGTTTCGAGCCTCCGGGACGCGAATCACAGGACGCGGAGGTTTTGCATAGAGGGCGGTCAGAGCTACCTAGCACTGGCAACGGTGTCTATGAAGCCAGTCCGATCAATGATGAGATTTCACACGCCTCAATAGTCTCTCACGGTGAGACTTGCCCCGGAGATGACGATGAGGATTTGCGACTTCAGTCCGCGAACGATCCTGCATCTCAGATTGAGCACCCAGGCCCTTCCACGGAGGAGCCCGATGACATTCACGGGGATAGACACCAGCGGCGTGTTGTGAGTGACATGGTCCTTGCACTCTCCCTGCGCCAGTACAGCAAAGTGATGGACCTATATCAAGTTTCCCTGTCGCCGACTGGCTTGCCAGCATCACCGCTGTCCCTCGAGCTGGCCACCGAGGCTAGCATCAGACTTCAGAACGGGGATATACGAGAAGCCACATCCATGATGGAGGCCGCGAAGGAAGCAGGCATGGAAGTACGCCGTGCCATGGGACCACTACTCGTGCATCGAATATTCAGCCTCAACTCCGACGACAAGAAGGATGCCAATGCACTTTTTAGCATGGTCATCGACTACTATCGCAGCAACGAGGAGAATGGGTTTGCCGTGCAACATCACCTTGGAGTCACTGCAGCGGACACACTGATCCACCATCGCCGGCCAGAGTATGGAATTCACATCCTGAACGCGGTCTATCGATCAGCATGGGTCGTTCATCGTCCTTTGGATATTATTGCCATGACGGTCTATCTCAAAGGCTTCGCAGCGCTCAAGTCCAAGCAAGGGATTATCTGGGTCGTACGAAACGTTCTGTCCAAGAATATGCTCATCGATCGCCGTTTTAACCGTGCACTGAAGCTCATGCTGCAAGATTTTGGGATCGCTTCGTCTGTGAGGAGGCCGTACACGCCGCATCGCCAAGCAGGGTTCCCGGCGAAGCTGAGAGCTTTGCGACAGCTCTGCATTCAACGAAGGCATCAACAGATGTTTCAGACGAAGGTTTTTGGGAATCGTTTGGTAAGAAAAATTTTGTATTGCGTTGAGATGGAGAGCAGACCCACAATTGATCTCGAGGATCGCGTCAAGCACGAGGAGGCGTTATTCGGGGGCCCGGCTGGACTACTGGAGGGCTCCGATCGGGACACGGCTGACGCAAGCGATCCCGAATTGCGCAAGGAAGGCCATGAGCGCACTGCGATGAAAGTCCGCCGAGGCAGAGACCAGACGGATGCAAGGAGGAATATGAGGCAGAAGCGCAATCGTAAATGGCAGAGATAGTACCAGGCGTTTTTCAAGACGGATTTGGTCACGAAGGACAGGACGCCGTCAACGTTTCAGTTTTATGCGACATGAAAGGGAAGGTGTGTTGGCATGTTCATCGGCGTACATTTGTATATTAGATATCAACTTGCATAAATCGTAGACTTTGAAAGTTAATGGGGAAGCTTGCCTAGCCCGACGTTTATCTCCTGGAACAGAAATCTCAATTGCAACAATGTCTCTCATTACTACAGGTCGCCTCTAGGTCAGCTAGATGCTCCCGAGGCAGCTGGTTTACCGTAACCATTAAACACGCCTGTTTCACTCAACAGCAATGGCAGCTCCTCGACCTCGAATGCCTCCCGGATCCCGAGCTCCTTGGGAGTCCATCCAAGCTCCCGGACACGACGAGCGCGACTTCGCGAATTCGCCCCAATGACCACAGTAGAGTAAGGGCCGAACAAGTCACCATGAATTTCCTCCGGAATCTCTTTCGTCGAACTAACATAGACCTTGCCCAATGGTTCTAACTGTTGGCCAATCATGGCCGCAATCTCACCCCATGAGATCTCCTCCCCGTTCTCGCAGAAGAAGTATGGGTTTCCCGTTGCCACGGAATCTGGCGCAGTCTGTGCCCACCGCAATACCAGCATGTAAGCGCGAGCGAGATCGGCGACATGTACTGTGGACCAAATGGCCTTGCCTTTGCCAACGTAGCCGGCGTACTTGTGTTTGAGGGCAAATCGAGTCAGGGTGGGCACTTGGATCGAAAGCTTCTGATGCTGCTTGACGACTCCATAGATGAGAGGCGGGAGCATGAGAAAGAGTTTGGCTTGAGTCCCAAACTCCTGTCGAGCTCTAATGATTTCCAGGTCAATGAGACGATGTGAGGCCGAATCTGGCAGTGCGTCAAGCTCTTCTGGCTTGTCATCTTGATACACAGTTTCGGAACTGTACTCAGACTTGGAGTCGTCGCTGAGGAATGACGTTCCACTAGTGTGTATGTATATGGTTTTTGTGCCTTGTGCTACCCTTTGTCGAATGCCATCGATCACAGCTTGAACCGATTGCATATCGTCAGCTGTTGCTGTGTGGATGATTACATCGCTCTGGGCAGTTTGCGCGCTGATAACAGCATGGTCGTGCAGTTGTCCCATCACAGTCTTGACTCCCATTTTGGTCAGCTCATCGGCCGCACTCTGACGTCGAACGAGCGCTGTAACATTGTAGCCATCTTTGAGGAGGTTGTCTAGTACTGTCAGGCCGATATAGCCGGGTCCGATCAAGAAGACGTTCTTAGCCATGATCCTGGTTGCGTGCACGGTATCCTGAATATTCCAAGGGCTGGGCACAAAACGGTAATCATTTTGTGAGGCTCGCCAGAGCATTGCTACGATGTGGTGAATGATGTCGGAAAGTATGCGGGGTGGGATCGACTGAAGAGGCAGGGCTAGAACTGCCCTCACCCCACACTACACACAAAAACCTGCTTCAGACACGCATTAAATGCAATGACACTTCGACGCGGGATTTGCCTTGCTTGAGATGGGTGTGATCAGCGGCCATTCCTGTCGTAGAAGGTACCAAAGCATCTGCCAGTGGGCGACCTGGACCTTTGCACGGGTGCCCAGAGTATATGCTTGCTGGCAAGACTTCTCAAACAGGCTTCGAGGCGCACCATCGCGGCAGACTCGCTACTCACGCTGGAATTGATCAGAGCTTCGAGCCTCGTATAGCAAGATCCGCGCAGATTCCTCATGAAGAAGGAAGATAGTGGCAGGAGGGCAGTGAAGATGAATGACTTGCAAGTCATGACCCCGAATTAAGGTCTATTCCGCGTTGGTTTATCCTGCTTCTCCTACCATCGTCAAAATGAAAGAGGTACAGGCCTCACGTAAATGGAATGAGAGCCGGACATAAATGTCATTTTCGTACCGCCTCTGTTCCATTACCTCGAGGCGCCGAGCCTCTGCATCAGTCTACATATACAGCGTGTCTTTGCATCGAGAGCTGTTCATCATGACCAAAGGTCCGCTTTTGCCGTAATTTTGCGAGAATCAGTTCGATGCCAAAGTATCAGCGCTGGGATGCTCGAGAGTACCCTGTGAGTCTGAACACCTTCCGATGCAAAGAGACGTCGTAAGATTGCCAACTGAGAGGTGTCACAGTAGCAAGGGCCTCCAAAGTAGGCATGCAACCGCAAGTGCATTTCGATAGCAAAGCGCTGCGTGACGGACTGTATAGCGGAGATGACAAAGGGTTGAAAGTTTGCGTGTCTTGCGATGCAACAGAGCAAGTGAGGTGGTGTAAAAGGAGGTATTTTTAGAAAAAAAAGCTTAAACGCAAGCAGATGCTGGCTTTGCCCGGAGGTCTTCCTCAGTAGTCAGGAGTCAGGAGCCAGACCAAGTATTGGATGGAAGTCAAGACGCGACCCGATATCAATCGATCCGCCTTGGCCGTCACGTTCACCCTCACTTTCCAAAAGTTGTCGCAGCGAAGCCGCATCCAAGACGCCTCTTGAGCGATTGCCTGAAACACCATCATCCATGCTCTCCAGGATATAGGGCCCGCGCGTCCGGTCATGGACATGGAGCGCTCGCCAACACGACAACGGAGTGGAAGCATCGAATACCAAGCCGAGATCAGCAAAAGTGGCCGACGAGGGACACAACTGCAGGACGAAGCCAAGATGCACGAGGCACCAGAAGCAGGCGAACCTCGTAGTTCAGAGGGTCTCGAGATGTCAATCCTGTCAGACTCTGAATCGAATTCGGATCACAGCGACGAGGAAGATGAGGAGACCGGGTTGACACGTAAACGGCGAAKGCGAAGGCGAACTGGACACAACCTAAACCTCATGTCCTCGGAGACCATCACCGCCGACAAGGAAGCAGAGGAAAAGCTGGCAACGGCCACTATGGTCAAGAATACTGTCATAAACGTGCTTTTGATTGCGCTTTGGTACACTTTCTCCATCAGTATAAGTATGTAAAGAAGCGGAGGCGGGCAGCCCCCATGCGTCTAGGACACTGACTGACATCTCCCAGGCGTGTACAATAAGTGGATGTTCTCTGCTGGAGACAAAGGTCTCGATTTCCACTTTCCGCTCTTCACCACCGCTCTGCATATGGTCGTACAATTCAGCCTCGCTTCCCTTGCCCTCTGGCTCTTCCCTCGCTTCCGTCCTCAAGCCGCTGCAGACGCCTACAACCTTGAGCAATCCCAGAAACGCGCTCAGACATACGCGGATGAAGAGCACGTGAACAAGAAACCTTTGATGACCAAGACTTTTTATTTGACGCGTATAACACCATGCGGAACTGCGACTGCCCTGGACATCGGTCTCGGAAACTTCTCCCTACGTTTCATCTCCCTCACATTCTTCACCATGTGCAAGTCCTCCGTGCTAGCCTTCGTCCTGCTCTTTGCCTTCATTTTCCGCCTCGAAAAACCCACCTGGCGCCTTTGCGGCATCATTATCATAATGACGGCGGGCGTTATCATGATGGTAGCGGGGGAAACAGCCTTCAATGCCCTAGGTTTCGCCCTAGTCATGAGCGCTTCATTTTGTTCGGGGTTCAGATGGAGTTTGACCCAGATCCTACTTCTAAGGAATCCCGCAACGAGCAACCCCTTCGCCAGCATCTTCTTCCTCACGCCAACGATGTTCGTCGCGCTCATGATCCTGGCTTTGCCGATTGAGGGACCTTCTGCGCTTGGGTCAGGGATTGYGACATTGGTGGCAGCCAAAGGGGCGCTCTTGGGGTTCTCGATACTCGTGTTCCCGGGATGTCTAGCGTTTCTGATGGTATCGGTGGAGTTTGCACTGTTAAAACGGACAAGCGTAGTAACCCTCTCTGTCTGCGGCATATTCAAAGAGGTGTTGACCATCTCTGCCGCGTCAGTGACGTTTGGAGATGAGCTTTCGCCCATCAATATCAGTGGGTTGATCGTCACGATCGCGAGCATAGCAGGCTACAACTATCTCAAGATAAGTAAGATGCGGAGCGATGCTCGAAAGGAGGCGCACAAAATACTGGAGGAAGATGATCCTGCTGGCGGGGGTGGCGGGAAAGTACGCAGAACAGACCATGAGGTAGACATGGATGCCTTTGAGATTGGCAGAGACAGCTCATCAAGCGCAAGGGTGGGTTTGATGCGTGACAGCTTGACGCTCGCGACGCAAGGCCCACCAGATGCAGGCCCCAGAGATCTGGACCGGTATGGTGCTCCTACGGAAAGGCCCGAAAATCTGGAGTGATGCAATGAAAAGAACATTTTTGACGGTCTACCTATTGTGGCTCGGGTATGTGCTCACAGACCGAACGTGAAGTGTCTTGGTGCTAGTCAGTACGAAGCAAGAGGCGTCAGTGCTCACCTTTGCTGTGCGTCATGATCATCAACAACACCATGAACGGCAGTAAACATCGCGTGCCGGTCGTGAGAAAGGACGGATCGAACGAGGACGAGGTATCGCTGTGCGGAACGCGGTTCTTTCGAGAAGATCACGACCTGCTTGAAAATGCGTACGCGAGGACACAGGGGCGCTTCGTGGGACGGGGAGATGAATTTAGAGACGGCCGATTCGATTCGTTATCGTTCGCTGTTCGATCGATTCGACTCGAGTCGCGTGCTAACTGTCCCGTGATTTGTCGGGGTTCTCAAAGGGTTGATCTGGTAAAAGTACACGCGAAACCGTTCAGTCTGTTTGTGAAGGATAGGACACCGTATCGTGGGCGAGTTGGACAAAGCCGAATTTTGTCCTCCGCCGACCGGTGCTGGTGCTTGCGTCAGTCTGTCATAGTTCATTCGGCGGTGTCCAAGTCATCGTGAGCAGGCGCAGGAGGTTGCTCCTCTTCCTTCACCTCCGYAGCTAAGTAAGTGTCAGCATTTGATATGGAGGTGCATAAGCAGCATGCTTACCCTTCGACTCCTCGCCATTGGTAGCGCCATTCTCGCGCTCATACTCACGCTCACGAGGCTCACGCTCTCGCTCCTCATCACGGTCTTCCATCTTGCGGTCACGGTCGCGATCCTCTGGGCTGCGAGTCCGATCACGTCGCTCGCGACGGTCCCTGTCACCGCCGCGGTCGTAGTCGCGCTCGCGTTCTCCCTCATCACGTCGGCTTCTCGGTGGGCTTCCAGATCGGCCACGGCCCCGCGAGCGTTCACGTCGGCTTCCACGGTCACCACCACGTGCACTGCCAYGATCACCGCGATCAGCACCACGCTCGTCGCGCCCAGTGTCAAATCGCCAGCTGGCCGATGGCGGCGTGCGTGCCCACTGCGCCGGGTCAGTAACCAGGCAGCTGTTGTATTCCAAAGTCATTCCTTACCTCAATCTTCAACAAATCGTCACGACCAATGCGCTTGTTGTGCATCTCATGGTAGGCATCGTCGGCATCGCGGCGGCTCTCGTATTCGACGAATGCGAAGCTGTGGATTCTGTTAAGCTAAACTCATCGGGGCTTGCTTAATGGGCTCCACTTACAGTCTGCTGCTTGCTGTGCGCGGAGCGGGGATATCGCAGCGCACGAGACGGCCGTAGCTATAGATCAGTCAGTAGGCGGTGATGTGGATAATTATGATTGTTCAGAGAGCGGATTCCAATGGCAATGATCCGAATAGCAATTGCTTCCCCCCTCTCCCCCAATCGCATCAACATGCGCACACACGACAAGCCGCGACCGCTTCATGATGGAGAATGGAAACGCGTTCCAATGCGCTCGAGTATGGGGATCGCTATGATACGTACCGTTCGAACTCGTATGCGAGATCACGGGCGCGCGTGCCGTGGCCAAAACCAGTGACGTAGAGGGTGGTGCTTCCACGTTGAGACATGGTCGGTATTGTCGATTGTCGATGACGGGGAATTGCGGTGGTGACGGATGTTGTTCAGTGCTTCGTGCGAGTCGGAGTCGAGCAAAAAGGCGGAGAAGGAGCATGCAACGWTTTCAGACTAGCGTATGATTTACGTCAGCGGACACAAAGTGTGGAGGGAGGAACATGCTCACTCTTTTACAAACATTTATTAACAGTCCAGTCAATGGTATCTACCGATCAGCATTTAACACCACCAGCGCCATTCCCATACACCGCCGTCCCGCTCGAACGCCATAGCAATTTGTCTACAATGATGTCGTTATTGTTCCGTCGCCAGAACCATCTTCTCCCTCTCGCTCCTGCGCTTCTTCAAACCCTTTTTGGAGTGCTTGCGCTCGTTCTCCTCTCGTCGTTTCAATGATTTCAGCTCCTCGCCCTTGATCTCTCCCGCCTTCTTCACGACCTTGGGCACATGTCGATGTCTTGCTATTCTACGAATCTCAGGCATGTGCTTCCACCGCTCTCGTAAAGCCTCGTCGTACTCGAGCTTTTGTCGTTCACGAGCAGACTTGATGCCGCTACGTTCACTGGCATTGGCACGCCACAGACGAATGTTGCCATCATCTGATCCCGAGAGAAGGTAGGTGGAATCGCCAGTGAATGTGCAAGAAAAGACACGCTGCATGCGTTTGGTGTGATATATGTCGCGGCTGTGGCCCGACTTTAGCGGTGTCCAGATGCGGATGCTGCGGTCGTAGGATGCAGAGACGAGTTCCTGACCGGTTGGACTGAAATCAACACACATGACCGCAGAAACGTGGTCCTTGAGCACATTCAATGCTCTGCTGAGATTTCTCGTATCGAACATGTAAATGTTGTGATCCTCGTTTGCGACTGCAAGATTGAACGGCTCAATTGGGTTCCATGCCACGCTGTTGCTGGACATGGTCATGATGCTTCTGTGAAGTGGTGATGATGTGCGCAAATCGTAGAGCACAAGCGAACGATCCGTTGCGCAAGAAGCTAAAAGAGAGGTTTCAGACTGATTGAATGCCAGAGCATTGATTGTGTCGATGCTGGTAGGCCAGGCTAGAGTCTGCGTGGGCGTGGTGGACGGCCGAGAGAGGTCGTAGATCTGAATTGCAGAGGAGGATGCAGCGGCAAACGCAGGTTCGTTGCGATGAAGACTGAGAGCCGTGAAAGCGTTCGCGCCGAGCCATGTTGCAGCGGGCTTGCTGTTGGCAGGTGTATTGTATGGATCGTAGAGCTTGACAGTCCGATCCGTTCCACAGCTCAACAATTGCCTATCCCGTGTCCAGCACATCCCCTTGACCATGTTCTCGTGCGCCTGTGTCTGCCAGACTTCGTCCCTGCTGGGCAGATCCCACACCTTGAGAACACCATCACCACTGCCACTGGCGAAGCGGTCCAACGATTTCGGATCTTTCGCAAGGGTATAAACTCCGTCCACATGCCCTCTTCCTAATTGTGCAACGAAAGGCGCAGCGAACATGCGATCCAATTTCGTGGCATTCAGGGCTCTTGTGTACTCTCGAGCCCGTTCAAAAGGATGTAAAGCGGGATCCAGGTTCCGCGGCTGTCGGGCGACATCGCTACCAGGCGCCTGGTGAGAGCTCGACGAGCGAGTAAGTGCTTTGATCTTCATCGTGAATCCATGACTGTGTAGTGTAGATATTTGTGTCGAGAGTGGTCCGTAAAAATAATTACATTTCTGCGCTAGCTTTCAGTGGCGGCGGAAAGCTCCCGCTCGCGCATTCGCGCGGACAGCTGCCCTCGTGCCTTCCATCACAGCAACATCAGTACTACGTACATCGCCATTCGAAATACTCCATTCGATTGTACGCCGCCATCTCAAACCACTCATCTTCTCAAATATTCTCCAAAACCCATCGTGCGACTCCAACATGGCGGTCGAGGATAATGCAAAGAGAATCGAGGAAGCCCGCAAGAATGCCAAAGAGCATCCGGAGCAGAGTGAGGCTATCTTCAAGGACATCCTCTCCAAGCCGCCTGGTTCAAACGACAAGGCTGTCCGCGAGTTCGAGAATGCTTTGATTGGCCTGGGAGAGCTGTACCGTGACCACAAGCGAACACAGGATCTAGCTACACTCATTCAAGAAACGCGAGATGTGCTCACCAGCTTTGCGAGGGCGAAGACTGCGAAGCTCGGTATGTCGATCTCACAGCTTGGGGTCTGCAGCGAATACTTATTTGGATGTAGTTCGCCAGCTGCTCGACCTCTTCCACGCGATACCCAACACCACCGACATTCAAATCGACGTCACAAAGTCATGCATCGAATGGGCTGTCTCGCAGCGTCAAGGCTTCTTGCGCCAAAACCTCGAAGTCCGACTCGTTGCTCTTCACATGCAGAAACAGTCATACTACGACGCTCTTACACTCATCAACAGTCTGCTCAAGGAGCTAAAGCGATTGGATGACAAGCTCGTGCTGGTGGAGGTCCAGCTGCTGGAGAGCAGAGTATATCACGCGCTAGGAAATGTCCCCAAAGGCAGAGCGGCGTTGACGAGTGCACRAACAAGCGCCGCTTCAGTCTACACCCCACCTCTGCTCCAGGCCGGATTGGACATGCAGTCGGGGCAACTGCACGCAGAAGATGGAGATTTCAACACTGCTTTCTCGTACTTCATCGAAGCGATGGAAGGTTACCACACACAGGAGGACCCGGTCAAGGCCACGTCCGCTCTTCAGTACATGCTTCTGTGCAAGATCATGCTCAACCTCAAGGATGATGTTGACACACTCATGACCTCGAAGCACGCCATCCGCTATGCTGGTAAAAACTTGGACGCCATGAAGGCTGTGGCACGCGCACACAACAACCGCAGTCTGGAAGAATACGAGCAAGCCCTCCACGCATACCGCTACGAGCTTGGAAGCGATCGGTTCATCGCATCGCACCTCCGTCGTCTCTACGATAGCATGCTGGAGCAAAACCTCATCAAGGTCATCGAGCCTTTCTCGCGCGTGGAGATCAGCCATATCGCGCACATGGTCGGATTAGACGTCGTACAGGTGGAGCGGAAGCTAAGCCAGATAATTCTCGATCGGGTCATTATCGGTGTTCTTGATCAGGGAAGCGGTGTGCTTGAGGTGTTTGAGGAAGCGGAGCGAGATACGGGTTATGATGGTGCGCTCAACTCGATCGACAAGCTGGGTAACGTGGTGGACATGCTCTTCGCGAACCAGGCGAGTCTGCTGGAGTAAGTCGTGAGGGCAGTTGATGAGCGAGCAACCGCACCTGCGCTTGTAGTATTAGGGTCACGAATCTCCATAGAGAGCGTGTAGAGCAATGCATGCCGGTTCACGATTTCATCGCCCTTGTAGCTGTAGGAGGGAACGATCTCGCTCACAATTTCCCGATTGGGTAGTCGTTTGACAAAGCGGYAATCAATGAGAGCAGCTCCGCTTTCGCTGAGATACTTACCCTTGTACGGAGTTTCGTTCGTCATCCATGGATTTGACTGTCAGCTAGCTTCTTTTTGCCTCTCACTGCTCAACTTCCGGACATCCTACATACCCTACCTGCGATCACTTCGACGCAAACAACTGAGAATATCCTAAAACCGGAACTTTCACCACAACACGCACCACATCTCCGTCACCATGTTCAAGCGTGCCATCGCCACCGTCCCAGCGACTGCCAGCAGGGCCCTGGCTTCGACCGCCGTCCGCCCTCAGTTCGTGCGCAGCATTGCGCCCGCAGTCCAGCAAACCGCCGCACGCAGGTCTTACCACGAGAAGGTCCTGGACCACTACAACAACCCTCGTAATGTCGGCAGCATGGGAAAGAACGAGCAAGATGTCGGCACAGGCCTCGTCGGCGCGCCGGCATGTGGAGACGTCATGAAGCTGCAAATCAAAGTTGACCCAAACAATGATACCATTACAGACGTCAAATTCAAGACCTTCGGCTGCGGGAGTGCGATTGCGAGCAGTTCGTATCTGACGGAGTTGGTGAGGGGAATGACTCTGGAGCAGGCAGGCCGTGTTAGAAATACGGAGATTGCAAAGGAGTTGTGTTTGCCGCCAGTCAAGCGTATGTATCACCTGCGGATGAACGATTGTCACTTCAGGAGCTAACATTTGAGAATCAGTCCACTGTTCTATGCTTGCTGAGGATGCCATCAAGTCGGCCATCAGCAACTACTACACCAAGAACCCCAAGGCCCGCGCGACGGACCTTGGAGGTACTGGCGCTGCCATGCCAAAGATTGAGATTGAGAAACTTCCTGCCGATGCGCCCGCTCAGGCGACTGCCTAGAGGCAGTAAAGCGAGAGATTGGAAGTCAAAATGGAATGAACGAGATTCTCTTTGTCCTGAATTTAGCGAGTTTGCACATATGATGGCGTTGACTGTATGATTGAGTGGGTATGCGGCCTACGGAGAGTGACTCCAAGCAGAGATGGACATATTCACTCACTCCGGCTTATGGTCTAGGTAGCGACTGAAATCGACATGTACGATCATTACAATTGTGCCCAAATTGAGATGCGCGAAGCAGTTTCTCTCATCTCTGCCATCTTCGTCCCATGCTCCTCGAATTGTGCTTCTTATCAGATCGGCTGAATGCCATCCGATGTATGGAGGTTCTTCCCTCGTCATCTGCAACCCGCACGCAGCAGACCAGCAGCTACCTGGTAGTGTCCAGGATTGGTATCGAACAAGGATTGACATCTAGCAAGCTCCACCACCCCAATATTGTCAGACGGTTGCCGTTTGGTGGTTATGCATGTGTGTCTATCCTAGGTAGGAGATGCGAGACCAATTCATACTCAAGCGCCTGTGCGCTATCCGTGTCGACCCCACCGCCTGTCTGTGCAAGCAGCCCAAATAAGATTCAAGTGAAGCAACGACACCCGCTTTATCACTCCATCGGCAGCCAGAGACTTGCATCAATCTGCTGTCTCCGCCCTTTCTTCTTCAGTCGCCATCTCATTGATGAAAGCCTTCACGTTAAAATCATCCCCGCAATGGGCTTTTTGAAAGATGTGGAAACCTTCCTCCTGCCCGCTGATATACTTGCCGACGAAGGCATTCCTTCGGTTTCAATTGCATGGCTGGACAACCCGTCAGGTAATACACAATGTCATACCATCACCAAGGGTCGAGAAAATACAGAAACTATATATCAAGCATGCAGCATATCAAAAGCCATCACAGCTCTTGCTGTTGCGAAACTCGTCGACCAAGGAAGGTTGACATACGACACTAAAGTTGTCGACCATATCCCACAAAGCATACTTGAAAGTATTGGATCTGAGTACTTGATGGTGGGTGTCACCGTCGGTAGGCTCCTCAGCCACACATCTGGTCTATCAGGCCATGGTTTCCATGGTTATCTCGGCGAAGACCTGCCCACCTACGAGGACATCTTTGCTGGACGGGCGCCAGCAAACAATCAACGCCTAAGATTTTCGAGCTTTCCGGGAAGTGAAATGAGGTACTCTGGTGGCGGCTACACTCTCTTGCAGGTCTTCCTCGAAAAGTTCACAGGAACGAACTTTGCATACTTCATGCGGCAAACAGTCCTCGAGCCTTTGGGAATGAATCGCAGTGTGTTCGGAGACCTATCTTACCAGGAGAAAAACTATGCCCAAGCACATTTCACAGCACACACACTCGGCACAACAGGACGAGGTTACCACAGATTCGCAGAGCTGGCAGCTGCAGGACTGTGGTCGACGCCCTCAGATCTTTTGAAAGCAACCTCCGCCATTCAAGCCTCCCTCTATTCCGGCGTTCCTGGTTCGCCTCGAACTTTTCTCTCCCAGGAGACCGCCCGCGCGATGCTCACCAAAGCGCATCCCAACCCTCCCGAACCCACCCGCCAAACAGCCATGGGCTGGTTCATCGACTCCACCTTCTTCGCTCACGCAGGCGCCAATGAACCGGGCTATACCTGCTACCTTCTCGCCAACCACTCCACCACCCMACAAACCTCTCCCTTCAGTCTCGCAATAATGACAAACTCCACTCTAGGCTTCCCCATGATAAAAAAACTGATAGCTGCCATATTCGCTATGAGACGAGTTTCCTTCTATCCAAACCTCCCAGGTGGAATCTCCAGTATGTCAGACTTTGTTCCCCTGACAGCGCCTGAGAGTATTCGTGTAGCGGGATGGGAGAGGTGGGCCGGACATTGGGGAGACGACTGGGAGATCTACGAGGATGATGGCTTGCCGATGGTCGCCTGGGATGGGTCAGAGATGCCGCATAGATTGATTCAYGCCGCTTCGGAGAGTCCTGTGGTAGAGGGGGTGCTAGGTTTCATTTTCAAAATCGAAGGGGTCGAGATGGGCATCAGGTTGGTTCCTGGTGTTGGTGGGACGAAGTGGATTGAAATAATAGGGGATTCTGTCAAGGTTTTGGAGAGATCTAGAGCGTATACGATAGAGCCGTAAACGGCATTGAGGCGATGATATAGCGAGCTCGCAGATTGAGAGATGTTAGCTTTTGATGACCCCTTGATTTGTCTGCCAAAGCATCCCGAGTCGTCACAATAGCGATTGCCCTGAGAGACTCACCTTCGCTCTTTCAGACCGTATACGAAAATGACAGAGAGCGAAACAGAGTTCGCCACGTTCAGGCACCTTTCATATCGTTTCATTGCTCCCTGGTATCCCTACAAAATCTGATCAAGATCTTCGCACATCATGCCCAACGCCTTGCCATTCACAGATTGGTGAGTACCACCTTAGTTGTGGTTCGCAAACTCCTGCAAAACAGAGACGTGCGAAAGTATTTCAATGTTGTTGCGTTATTGCAGCACGCAGGCAACAGTAACGGAGTTCCATAGGGATTGGCCATTCTCCTACGTCTAACATTTCCAGCCTCGAACTCAGTATTCAATCTACGAACCGCCGGTACCAGTCCAAGATCCAAACTGCTTTCCAGCGGCATCTGTGATGTTGTCCGGAACGTAGCCACTGCTCGCAATACCTCCCAATAGCAGGAAAATGGTGAATAGGACACCTCYGAAGATGATGACTTTGCGTGCGGCCGGGTGATTCGCACCGTATTCTGCCCAAGCACGCTGCGCGCCTCCCAGATTCTCCTTCAGCTTATCTGCACCGAGCTTGTAGTAGACCAGGCCACCAAGTGCGATGGAGTATCCGAAGAACTGGAGCGGGGAAACAGGGTCCTGGAAGATGACCATGGACGCGAGGACGAGGAGGATATCTTTCAGCACCCCGGAAAGGGTCATGACGAGAGAGGAGGTCTTGCCGATCTGAGAGGATATGGTCAGTAGGAAGCGAGGGGGCAATGGTTCGATCGGTAATGCTTACCAGGAAGACGACCGACACGTTCAACAGGAATGCAATCATCGCGTTGACCAGCAGTGTGAAGTATCCAACGTTGGCAACATCCTGGAGGGTCATGCGGGGAATCTCCGCGAAAAGAGAAACTAATCCATTCATAATGGCGCAAGCTGGAGCAAAGTAGTAAAGAGAGACCAGAGGGTCCATCTTGAACTCGGCAGAGGAGAGGAGGCGCTGCACCATGACGAGACGGGTTGCCTCGAACACGATTCCTCCCAGCTGGTAGAGAAAGCCGATGAGCACGAACTGCAGCTCGCCGTAGGACGCAATCATCACTCCAATAACAATAAAGGAGACGTTCCCGAGGGTCTTCATGTTGACCGGCGCGACACCGAAGATCCAGGAGGCAATGAGAACCGCAACGGGGGTCGTGGCCTGGCATTGTCAGTACCTCAGCTGCATGTGGGATTGRAAAGCATTCCAATTGAGCGTACCTTAAGCATCTGGATGAACGACACGCTCAAGTAGAGATATGTCAGGTTTCCACAGATCAATGACAGACTGAACATCAAGCCGATTGGCACAATGGCGCGCAGATAGATCTTGCCCGTCATGGGCACCTTCTTCCGCGAATCCAACACCGTGGTGAAGCGGGCCAGGATCTGGGTCATGAGCGTCGCAAACGCCAAATGCCAGGTAGTGAGGACAATGGGGAAGCGGAACCCCGCAGTATCGAGAATCCATTTGTTGAAGATGATGATGGACGACGAGAGCGAGATCCACGTAGCGATGTAGATTGCCGGGTGCAGGTCGTTGGATGGCGCGGCTGGCTTTTCAGTCGCTGGATTGACCGTGGGCAGCACTGGCTCAGAGGAGTTGCTGGTGGCACCCAAGCGCTCCTGCTCGCCGGACTGCCGCTCCTTTTCGGACATGTTGTATGTGCTTTTGGCGGGGGGTTCGCGCGCGGTGTCGCGTATGCTGTGGAAGCGACGGCGGAGACGAAGGGATGGCGAGCGTCAGGGAAGTGGCGGAGCTACCGTGACGCGAGACGAAGACGAGGGTGACACGCAAAGGGAGAGACAGGTGTAAAGAGAGAGACACGCAGGAGCAAAGAGGTGGTGAGAAGCCGAGACGAAGCGCGGGTCCAGTCGAAGAATGCCCGTGGCCTCCAAGAATCTCGAGGACCCTTGCGTGCWGAGAGAGTTCTCGATAAGGTACAACGGGTACTACCTAGCTAATTGTTTAAGTATGCGCCGGGAATTAAAAAAAATTGATGGGCATTGAAGAGAGGTGACCTTCATTGATGCAGTGGAACCTTATCTGCCCAGGGGTCACCCGTTTCCATCACAGGTAGAGATATTCTGCCAGTGTCGAATTCTGCCCACTAAGAGGTGTCGGTGGTGGCACACTGGTGATTCCCAGTCCGGAGAGGAGTGAAATTTGAGAACGCGTGTCGCAACACCCGACATGGTGCACTCCGATGGGCGTGCGCGGAGAACAGCTCCTGGCGGCCGATCCATGCCAATTGTTTGGAGAGCAGGCGAAGATCACCCAGACTCAGTGGCATCATGGATGGATCGGCGTCCAATGGGCGAGTCGGGACAATGTCGCCTCACACCGCCCACCACCCCCTAAGCTGCGACGCGCCGCAATCGCCCACGCTCTATCGTCGAGGTGCGATAGGTGAGAACGCGCTAGAGGCGTAGGGAGTCGCGCCGGTGGGGCCCGTTTCCATTTCGGCCGTTTCAACCTGCAAAATCCAGGGTTGCCGCCGACTTTAAACTTTTATACAGTCGAATCCATCTTGTGCCTATTAGCCACCGTCTCCTCCCCAACACCTTCTCCCTCTGCATCTTGTGCTTGTCAGAAACAAGCATTCCCCTTCCACCAACAACCGCAAGCATGGCTACTCCAGGACACAAGAGACAGTTGACCAAGGCGACGGGCGAGGAAATGTAGGCCTACATCCATTGCAYTGGCATCAAATTGCCCCTCCATCCCACTAACAGCAATATCACAGCGATGTTGATGTCCTTGTCATTGGAGCCGGCCCAACCGGTTTGGGTGCGGCAAAGCGATTGAACCAGCTGGTATTTAACGTGTAGACTCCAGTGCGTTGTCGCCACTGACATTGACGCCTCCCAGGACAGCGCCTCCTGGTTGATCGTTGACAACAACGAAACCCCGGGTGGTCTGGCCTCGACCGATGTCACCCCCGAGGGCTTCCTTTACGACGTCGGCGGTCATGTCATCTTCTCCCACTACAAGTACTTTGACGATTGCATCAACGRGGCTCTGCCCAACGAGTCGGACTGGTTCACCCACGAGCGAGTCTCTTACGTAYGCTACGCCGGCCTGTGGGTGCCATACCCATTCCAGAACAACTTGTCCATGCTGCCCAAGGAGGACCAAGTCAAGTGCTTGGATGGATTGATCGACGCAACGGTCGAGGCCCGTGTGGCCAACGACAAGCCAAAAGACTTTGATCAGTACATCATGCGGACAATGGGTGAGGGGATTGCGGACATCTTCATGCGACCATACAACTACAAAGTCTGGGCTGTGCCGACTACTAAGGTGAGCTGAAAGAGCAACGGAAGTCATGTCAACGCGGGATACTAAGAACCGCTGCAGATGCAAGCCGCATGGCTCGGAGAGCGTGTTGCCGCACCAAACCTCAAGCTGGTCACCAAGAACGTTGTGCTCAACAAGACAGCAGGCAACTGGGGACCAAACGCGACCTTCCGTTTCCCTGCTGAGGGCGGTACTGGTAACATCTGGATCAAGGTTGCCGAGACCCTTCCCAAGTCCAAGACTCGCTTTGGAAAGCATGGCGAGGTTCAGCTTGTCGACCCAGACAACAAGCGTGTGCTCCTCGGAGATGGCACCACCGTCAACTATGAGAAGCTGATTTCCACCATGTCCGTTGATCATCTCTGCGACCATATGCGTGGCCACGACGACCTTAAGACCCTCACCAAGGGCCTCTTCTACAGCACCACACACGTTATCGGTGTTGGTATTCGTGGTGAGCGACCAGAGCGTATTGGAGACAAGTGCTGGCTGTACTTCCCTGGAGATGACTGCCCCTTCTACCGTGCTACCATCTTCTCAAACTACTCTCCCAACAACCAGCCTCAGGCGAACGTCAAGCTCGCCACGCAGCAGATGGCCGATGGCAGCAAGCCTGAGTCCACCGAGGCTAAGGAGGGCCCATACTGGAGCATCATGCTCGAGGTTTCCGAGTCGAGCATGAAACCCGTCAACGGCGAGACCATGATCCCCGACAGCATTGCCGGTCTCATCAACACCGAAATGCTCAAGCCTACCGACGAGATCGTCTCAGTCTACCACCGTCGTTTCGACCACGGCTACCCAACTCCTTCTCTCGAGCGTGAGGGTGTCCTTACCCAGCTTCTCCCCAAGCTCAAGGACATGGACATCTACTCTCGCGGACGCTTCGGCAGCTGGAGATACGAGGTTGGCAACCAGGATCACAGCTTCATGCTTGGTGTTGAGGCCGCGGACAGCATTGTCAACGGCTCCGTGGAGCTTACTTTGAACTACCCCGACTTCGTCAATGGAAGAAAGAACGAGGAGAGGAGATTGGTAGATGGTGCACAGGCCTTCTCGAAGAAGGGTCTCCCAAGCCGGGCAAAGTAGATTTTTTCTTTCGGTTCTGATCATGATACATGCATGCGTGGAGTAGGTGGAACGGATGCGGCTACATTTAGAGCATTGCATGCTTTGCTTTGCGTGTCGTTTTTCTGAGTTGGGTCCTTGATGATGATATATATCCCACAAAAGTCAATCTAGATGCAACAACTTGCCTTCTTGTGTTGCTCAAAACGATGCACCCGTGTTATTGTGCGTAGGCCCTGTATTCTACAGCTTAGACAGGCGTCATGGGAATGTGGATCTTCTGCGGATGGCAGTGATATGATTGACACTACTAGCTAAGGTGAACCATTGTGCAGCTCGCCAGGTTGAACACTACTTCCTCATACTCATACTAAAGTTGTGCCAGTCGTTGAACACACTTTGATGAGTCTTGCCCTCACCCTTCATCCACATCTTCTGCAGCTTTCCATACATCGTATTCACCTGGTCCCAACGATCTGGATCCCCGCCCACATATATCTTTGCCAGAAACATTGAAGTCTTGCTGCATGCTGCTGCATGAACTTTGCTCCCTCCGAGAGTCATCTCTGTATGGACGGCGCGCAGCAGACCCAGCAACGGACTGCTCGCCTCCTTCTCGTCATCGGAATCATCGGAATCATTTCCGTCTTCATCCTCTCCACTGGACTCAGCGGCGTCCGGCACTTCAGGTAAGGCGTTCTTCCTGCACGCAGCAAACAATGTTTCCAGCACATTCAACGCCTTTTGGGCAGTCGGCTGGCTACTCGTCGTCCTCGTCAGCGTGCACAGCGGGTGCAGCAAATCAAGCACCAGCGGATTTGCAGACTGCGACTTGACAAACACGGTCAAGAGATCCAGCACCCGGTTCTTGAAGTTGATGATATTGGCCTTGGCGGATGCATTATCCTGCTTCGTGTTGGAGCCCTTCTTCCGTTCTGCGAAAATAGTCGTAAGATGTGGCTCCAATGCCATCATTTGTTCGTCGTCCATATCTGATCCATCAGAATCTTCATCTGCGGCTGCAGTACCCAGTGCTTCCGCCAATTTTCGGTCAAAGACAGTTTCCTCGTCTTCTTCGCCTTCGTTTCCGCTCTCGTCTTCAGATGCAGATGATGTAGTGCTGGAGGCCTCCCCATCCTCACTAGATTCCTGTGCACCAGAGACGACTCCGTTGACAATCTCGATGTCAGACGCATCCTCTACGTCCTCCATGTCGACATCTGATCCAGCTTCTTCATCGCTGTCTTCTTCTTCGTCCTCATCTTCGTCGTCTTCATCGCCTTGCTTGAAAAGCTCCTGCTGTCCAGCAAGACTCTCCTTTTGCGATAGAATATCGATCATAGACTGGAGTGCCTCTGGGGTGACGTCCGGTGCAAACGCCGCGAAGACCTGTTCTGCGAGCCTGCGGAACAGCATGGACTGTTTGGAGACAAAGCTCAGAAGCAATTCCACCAGCATAGTAGCAGCATCGTCATTGGCCTTCGGACTCTGGTAGCATGTGATGATGTCCTCGAGCACGCCTACGCTCTCGGGCTCTTGCTTATACACATTGAGCATGCCAAGAGCCAGAAGCAGCTGGAAGCCTGGATTGACTTTGGCATTGATTTCATTCGACACAGCCTGCTCTTCCGCATCCTTCAGCTGCTTCCGGGCGTCTTGGAGCACCTTCTTGGCCGATTCATCGATTTCAACAACAAGGCTCTTTCTAATACTATGCAGCTGATCGACAACAATTTTCAGGGCTTTAGCCGCCTCCCGCAATGGCAGAGACACCAGCACTCCCAAAGCGGACGTCAGTCTTTCGCGAAACACCACCTGGCTATCAGTGGCCGGTGGTATGGCCTCGCCAGTCAGTTCTTTGTACCCCAGGTCTGTCAGGTTTCGAAGCAACGACTTGAGCCATTTTTGCGATGTGTCGTCTCGGTGAGAACGCACGATAACAAGCAGAGTGTCTGATAGCACCCGACGTTTGTTCGAGGCATCAGATGGCTCGTCTAGATGGAGGCATTGTGCATTCACTGCTTCGACGATCCGCAGCAGTCCATTTGGTTCAGCAGCCGCAAGTAACGCATCAATCGTCGATTTAGTGACTTTGTCGACTTTGTGCGGCGCGACTTTCAAGACTTGCAGAACAATTTCTGCCGCTGCTGCTGGTTCCTTCTTGGCCCGACTGACCATCTGATCCAATGGAAGCTTTGCTGCAACGAACAACAGACGCTCGGAGCTTGCTCGTTGATCGAGAATACACCGAACAATGTTGACATGCGTGACCTTTCCAAGCAGCTCAACAGGCGCAGTTGCGAGTGCCTTGGTGAAGATCTGCAACCCCAGCGACTTCGTTTCGGGCGAGGAGGAGGCGTTGAACATTTGTTTCGCAACGCACTCTTCCCAAAACACAGCGAATTCCTTTTCGCGGCTCTCWTCGTATAAGTAGGCCAGGATGACAGCCCAGGCGAAGTTTGGCATTGTCTGCCGTGTACCAGATTTCTTCTTTGCGCCGTTCGCTTGATCGTCCGTATCAACCTCAGTCTTGAGCAGGGCTTTGGTTAGTGACGGTCGGTCCTGTGCAGCCAGTGGATTGTTGTGGGTCCAATGCCCTTTGGGCAGCTTGACCCCCGGAAATGTAGTCTTCACGGTAAGCCACAGTGCGACGCCTTCGGGTGTCTTGATGAGGTTCTTCGCTGCCCAGGATTCGATCAGAATGCGAACGGTCTCGTCCTTCATCCGACTTCCCTCTGGGGTCTTAATGAACTCAAGAAGAAGCGCACCACACTCGCTACGAAGCCAGTCCTTGTGCGCTGCAAGTTCGGCTATCGCTGCGAATGCATACTTTGCATTCGTCGCCGTCGCATTGGTCAAGATGTCGCTCTGCAAAATCGCCTGGAACGCAAAACGACGTCCAATCAGGTAGTTTCTCTTTTCTTCGCCGCTCTGCCTGCCTTCTGGGTTGGTCAAAGCAACGGCCTTGTCCACAATCTCGACAATAGAGGTGTCCGGGTCGACTTTGCGTCCAAGTCTCAACACCTCTATCAGAGCGACAGAGAATCCAGGTCGAGCGGCCTTCGCACCACTGCAGACGCCTTTGATCAGTCTGGTAGTGGCATTGCCGACTCGCTGCGGTTGATCCGGCGATTTTTCGGACAGCTTTTTCAATAGACTGCGGGTTGCATCGAGTCGAACTGACGGGATCTCGTCTCCTAGGCCCTTGAAGATCTCGGCCAATTCCTTGTCTGCTTCCGAATACTTCATGCGACGTGATGGATGCACCTGGTGTTCTTCTAGACCGGCCGATCCTCCAGCATCCGCGTGGGAACGTTTGGTGCCCGGCATGGCTGATCTGTAAGGGAGCATGGAATGCTTGGGTGGATAAAAGTGAGGTTGCCTTTGATCAAAAAAAGTTCCTAGAGGGCGTCGCGATCTCGGATGCTGTTCCGAAAGCCTAAAAACAGCGGGCTCTTCTAGGCATACGAAACGACCCCCAACTACACTACCTTATTCGGTATCTACATATCAGACATGCCACCTCACGCTCGACAGAATCTCGTTCAGACATGGTCGTCTAACTCTCAACGTTCAATTTCAAATTGGTAATCGCATGCTGTTCTATTCTCATAAGATTCTGCTCAAAAGATACAAGCTACACTGCCGCTGTCCATGAGGTGGGTTTGATAGGCGGCGAGGACCGCAAACAAGGGGGGCCACATACGACAATGACCAAGGGCGCGACGCACTGAGCGAGTCAACGAGTCACTACTTCTGAGTCTTCTTCCCGGCCTCATCTTTTGCCTTTTGAGCCTTTTGCTCTCCTTGCTCTTTCTTCTCCTCGCCATACTGCTTGGCCTCGTTCATCTTCTCCTGGCCAGCCTTGGCGTAGTCGTTAACCTTCTCCTGGCCAACCTTGGCGTAGTCGTTGGCCTTCTTCTCGCCGTTCTGCTTCAAGTCTTGTGCCTTCTCTCCAATCGAATGGGCATAGTCGGAGGCATTCTTCTTGCCTTCCTGCGCCTTTGGTCCGAGGAAGTTGACAATGGTATGGAAGACGTCCGTGGCAATACGCAGCTCAGTACTGATAAGGGCAAGGCCGGACGTGGTAAGGCCAGGCCCACGCTCGTTGTGCGAGGCGGTCTTCTTGTACTCGTCTAACGAGGCTGTCAGCATGCATGAGACCAAGGTGTCGAGTTGCGATGTAGCTACCTTGCCAGGTCTGCGAGACGTAGCTGTATGGCCACAGAACGTAACCCTTGGCTGTGTCGACAATGGTACCAGTCTCCTCCTTTACAATGGGGAACTTGTTCTCACCCCAGCTCAGGCCRGAGTCAGCGAGCTCGTCTGCCTTTTGCACATATGGCTTGGCGTAGCTGTAGGGCGTTTGAAGGTATGGCTCCACAGGCTTGCCGAAGCGGCTGTAGGCGCCATCGACAAGCTCAAGAGACTTCTTTCCGTACGGGTTGCTCTTGAACGCGCCGATGCTGTCGTTGACGGCAGGCAGGGAAGTGAAGTGCGAGATGAACTGCGACGAGTGCTTCTCGCCGTTGGCGAGTGTTTCTGTTGCGTGAGGCATGTTCGCTGTGGTCTGCAAGCGCCGCGTCAGTGGTGGGTGTTTGTCGGTGAGACAGGCAGCGGCGATGGTTGGCGGATCTGCTGGCTGGGATGTTCGAAGAGCAACAGACTCTTCAGGTAGTGAAGCAGGGATTGCGGACGTACTGTGAGAGGCGGGTGATGAGAGTGGTGCGGTGGTGGTGTGATCTACCTGGTCGATGTGCTATTCCGTGCTCCTGGTCAGCTTCCTGTCTCGCGGGCCCGCCATTGCGGTGCTGCAAATCACAATGCTGGTGCGGGCACTGGGCATGGGCATGGACGTACCGTTGCACTGATTGCGCTATCGTGCGTGAGTTTGCGGGCGTTCTGCGGTCAGCAAGAAGGACGGAGCTGGCACTGTAAGATCGTGGGGAGCTTTGGAGGGTGCAGGACAGAGAGAGGCGAGGAGGGCGAACAGGGCAGAGAAGGGATGCTGAGATTATTTGTTGAGAACGGTGCATCTACCTCGCGGCCTACGGATGGCGAGTGCGGTCACGGCTGCGCAGGAGCGTTCGAACCGCCAGGTTGGGCCAGCAATTTGCATGTGAAAGAAAACCTAGTCAGTGACGTTTTCCCTGGAGCCGGATTGGAGTGGACTCTGGAAGCAGCTGCAGCCAGCCGTGATTCCTAAACAGCGCTAGAGTATTCCGCGTTCTGGACTAACCACGAGCGGCCAGCGAGACGAATTGATTCACTCGCGACTGGCGATGGGGTTTGTCGGGAAGATGGCGACCACGGAATGCTGGATGGCGAGAAGGCATGGATGATGATGATCTCAATGGAGAGTTTGCTGTTGACCATCATTCAGGGCACGCACATTGGATCAGGAGATTATGATAAGGAACAGATTGTCGTCTTCGTTATCATGCTGCATTATTTTCTGGCTCTCGTTACACGCCAGATAACACACTAGCAGAGTCGCCAGCCAAACACAAAACTCCGCTGCCCACTTCCCAACGCATGCACCAATCGAGATCTTCCCCACACCCACGACTCCCTTTCGCGTCCTGGAGTTTCAAATGCCGCGCTCATTCTTGGAGGGCCACAAGATTCAACAAGGAACCTGTTTCTGTCTCGATCCTTCCTGCGATTGCGCTGAGTCGTTATCATTGGCACGCCCGGATAACACTCCTACCATTGACGATGGATTGTGGCACCCCGGCCGATTAATCTGCACGTTACCAGCGTTTCCTGGAATAGCGCCGCGGAGCCWCACCTTGATGTGGCTCAACCCACTGTTTTCTCCGCGCATGTGAAGCCAAGCTGCGGCTTTCTTGCATGTGCGTCTCCCCGATGCGCCGACGCGACTGTGGTGGCACCAAAGGCTCCGTCAGCGTTCGGCAGGTTGGCATTGATTCCAGCCAACGAGACGCATGTCCTGGATTGCCGTGCACCATTCCAGCTTTTCGACATTGTTCCAACTCACACAATGCCGAGCCTTACATGTGTGCCGTGCCGGGAGAGATGAGGGACTTGAACTTTCAGCTGATGACATCTGGAACCTCTCCGTGTAACGACCAGCGGTGCTCGCGCCTGWACTCTGACTTGCCCTGCTCACCCATGCAGTACTCATGCAGGCTTCAAGCGAGGAGCGTCGATAGMCGACAACTCCGCGAGCACGATAGAAATGTGCCGCAGGACTGGTGTTCTGCAGAGCAGGGCACAACAGCCAGATGCTCTCTCTCCCTCCCTCCGATCTTGACCTTTATGGACTCTCCGCTCAGCGACGACTTAATTGGCACAGATTATTGGTTTCAGTCAAGAGCAAATGGCGACAGTTGCAACAAGACCTTACGTTTCAGATCAACGGAGATGCATGCCTGTTAAGACGCCGTAGATTTTCCCGTCACAAAGTCGCCAGCCAACCCACTTTGAACGCCTTCGGAGCACCCATTCTGCGACATTGCGACATTGAACGCATGATGACGCGGTATCTCCAAGTGTCACACTGTCAAGGCAATCGTGCGAGTGGTCCATCTTGACAATGAGATTCCACGACCAGACTCAGAAGGGCATGTCGACTCCGAGTGCGCGGAAACTCGATGGAGCAAACGCCATGCCAATCGCGGACAACAATTCTGGTCCCGCCCCCGATGGTATGTCAGTCTGATCCGAGAACAGGCTGCACTGTACTTTGGTGTCGTGACTGCTCCGCTTGCTCACGGCTTGTGTCCCGACTGTGCTCCTCTGCGCACGACCCAATCCGAGTGTTATTCTTTACCAGATCACTCGGACAACACTCCTGATATTCGGACTCACATGCGATCCTGGTCAGATCGTGGGTCCGTCCCCGGGTTATTGGCTATGCGTTGGTGTAGGCGAGCGGTCCGACGTTTGACAGCTTTACACAACGCTCGTGATTCCGCTCCGAGTTGAGACAATGCCAGCATTCGTAGCAGCAGTGTCTTTGTGCTCTCCGCAGCATTACACTTTCAGCTTTCCAATTTCCAAAGCAAACCGTGGTAGGTTGCTGTCATGTCATCCAATACATTCTGCCTCCAGTAGAGACTGGCTTGCAGACCCATGCGTTGTGTCAAAATCGGCGGAGCGTGGCACTGGTGACTCGCTTGTGGTTCCAAACATGACGGCTGACTAGCATCTCAGCATATGTAGTAGCCACCAGATGCGAAATACTTGTACGAGGCCGAACAGCGAAATCTCAGCAATGTTGACATTCCCCGGCATGCAGATCGTCGAAAGCGTTCTGGTGCGTACATCTCATGTTAAATGAGCGTACAAATTCGCGCAAATTATTGAACTGCGCAAGGCCGCACGCCATCCACGTTACGCCGCACGGCAAGCTCTGAGGAGACCATTCACTGGTGCAGAGCGATAGCGAGTTTGTAAGGTCCGGCTCAATTTTGGACCGCACGCGCAATTTTCTCTGGGGGTAGAAGTCGGGGGCTGCGTACAGTAAGTATCAGCGGACTGGCTTACGACTTACCACCAGGTGAGAAATGGGACCAGTCTTGTTTGATTATATATTCTGGGTATCGTTTGATGTGACTGCAATCAAGAGAATACATTTACACCCTGGACTCCATCCTCTGACGTTGTACAAGCGGCTTCCAAGCCTTCCTGCACATAAGGTGCAGTAATAGTTGTACACAGTTGGAAAGTTCTGTTCCGGCCTTTCAGACAAAAGCAGGCATGTTTTCGATGCTTTGTAGAACGAGTTCCAATATTCTCGGCAGTAATACAAGCAATGGAAGCTTGGGTGCGCATTGTCGAACAGCTGTGGTGAAATGGTAGTGTCCGTTCTCCTGAAAATTGGAGATAGGGATATGTCAGGCCAAATTTCTGACTCGATGGGTTTTGCGGGTTTTGATGATTCGGTAATGTTGCCTTCTTCGGGGCTCAAGGAAATGGTACCTTCTAGTTGGGTATCGTGGTTTGTCGAGGGCGGGCGTATCGTATGCCCAGTGCCGGCGCCGAGTGGGTTGTAGCGGGCTCATATTCGTATAAGGGACATGGGTTGTAGACCAGAATGCTGTTGAACAAAGTAAAAAGGGAAGAAAGAAGAAGGACGATTCGCGGCCAGTTGGATATCTCTGTCAACGCCTCGCCAGAGAAGAAATCAATGCCAGATGCGGCACGCTAGAACGCAGCAAGATTTGCCTTTCCATCTTTTTGTGGAAGAAGTCGAAAAGGCCAGATTCGATTGTATGGAAGGCAAATGGGAAGCCTAATACGAGGCCATACGCCTTTGAAAGCTTTGGCCGATACCCTCAGCGATGTCCGCGCCGACGCTGAATGCTGGGTAGGAGTTTTGATGTTGCAACGGCGCTCGTGTGTGACCAGTAGGAGAGTCTTCCATCTCGTCGTTGCTCTGGCCGAACGCAAATGTCTGATTGCGGAAGAGCTTGTGACGTCCGGTAGCCTTGACCTTGGCCATGCCACGCTCGCATTCTTGATGGTGACGTTGATCATTCATCTCCACATAATTTTGTGGATAGCACTTGGAACGATGCTCCGCGAAAAACTTCGAATAACCACCTTCCAGAAGATAGAGCTCTGGATATGTGAGCTTTGGATAGTTGGCAGCGTTCACTGATCTATCATGACCGCGAATGAACTTGGCAGTCAAGGGGGCGCGGTGTACGCTGTATTCACAGTGCAAAATCAGGCAGGTATTGGCAGGCACCTCAGAGCCGAAAAGCTCCTGTGCCAATTGTTGTTTGTCGTTGAAATTGACGGCGTTGTCGATGTGGCCGCCGCTATATTCATACTCGAAGCGACAGTCCACTATCATAACGCGGTCGTAGTGGCTGTCAAACTTGGCGTCCAAGACATCAGCCATTGTATCCTGGGTGATTCGAGGTAGGCTGTCTGGCTCGCCTTCAGGGATAAAGTGGGGAAGCTTGAGGGTGTGGTCAGACTCCATCTCCATGTCGGAGTCGATTGCAGTCGGTCGTGTCTCAAATGCATCTTGCTCCTCCTTCATCACGTCATCGGGGTGCTGGAACATGCTGAGCGACCGACGGATTAATTTCCTCTGTGGCCGCATGAACGCAGCGCGCGAGGGGGCGGGTTTCCTACCATGGTTCGACGAAGGCGAGCCCATGCTACGGTTCGAGACGCTGAGCRAGGTGCGACGCGGCGGTGGCAGCATCGACCCCATGCCGGAGGGACGCTGATCGTCCACTGGCGAATCTGCGAAGCTTTCCAACAGGCTGGGCGTCGATGAGCACGAGAGACCGCTGGTAGCGACATGGCCRAAGTGGCCGAACCGGAAGGGTGGTAGCTGTGTCTCCGACGAGCTGGGTCTGTGAGGAATGCTGTATGCGGAGGGCCCTTTTGTTCGGGTCAGGGTCGGTCGAGTCACAGGTCTGCTGCGTGCACGTCTGGGGAACAATATTAGTGACGATGCYACCGTCTCGTCGGTAGTGACATTAAACTTACTCAGGAAGTTCCAAATAGGCAGGAGTCTGTACCGGTGGCGTCGGTCCTTCGCTGAAACCTGGTGTCGAATCATTGGGACTCATGAGATCGCCATCGCTCGGGCTGGTTTCCGGAGATGGCGATGGAAGCGTAACCTGAGCAACAAAGTGGGGAATCTTGTGCGGCAGCGGCGATATGTCCATGGCGTCGCAGTAGGGAGGCGACGACAGAATGGGTGGAGTGCCAGAAGGCTCAATGTCAACCGGTGGGGTGCTCACTCGTACTTTCCGAGAGTCAGTCTCGTCTTATCTCGGCAGACAGGTCTCATTCTTGCAACATACCAGCAGGTTCTCGAGGTCGAAAGAGATCTGCAGTGAACAATGAACGACGAGGTGTCGGAGCTTGCGGGCTAGAAATGAATGGAATGGTGAGCAGGTGTTCTAGATCGATTAAGCGAGGAATGCATGCTACCTTTTATCCTAGAGACGAGTAATCAGTATGCAGTTCCCGGAAGAGGTAAGAAGATGGTGGGGTAGGGTGAGGAAGACTTACAATGTGGAAGTTGGCATCAAGGTCCGCCGTGAGACTCGCGGTGGGCGAGCTGCCTCGAGCAGGCCGGAGCGAAAAGTAGTCTCGTCTCGCGGGCTTCTGCTGTGCCATGCTCATCGTCTTGAAGTCGAAGCTCGACGGGTTGTATGTCTGATACCCATGGTACACGTCCTTCCGACTGCTCCACGATGGGACCTGCTGGGGGTGCATCGCTGCCAGTGGTGATGATTCCATGCTGGGCGGTAGTGTATGTGAGAGTATGTCGACAAGAAAGTGGTATTTGCACTCGCTCTGCCTCGGACTAAGGGCGTTTCGTCGGGACCGGAGGCCTGAGTCGTGGGTTGTCGGTAGGTGAGGATGGAGCGTCGAATTGATGCAGGCTCGTGTTCCAGGGAACTTGCCTGGAGGGCAAGGTGGTGGTGTTAGAGAAGCGTGACACCTATTCCCGGGCCGTCGATATCATGCCGTTCTCAGGCTTTTTCAGACCACAGGCAAACGAATGTCTCTGGTCGGGCGGCGGCGGCGTCGTCCCGAGGCGGCTCTTGCTGCGCTGATATGGCTCGTGGACCGCGGTTCAAGGAGCACAGTCAGTGGGCGAGCAACAACGAGCGTGGGAGGTGCGGCGAAGGCGGAGGGTGGAAGGAAGGAAGAAGTGGTCTGAGTAGTACAAGTAGGTATGAATGGTCAGTGTGCTGCCGCAGGAAGATGGCAGTTGCTGGGGAAGCCGCTGCCTTGCAGATGCTGCGGGACCCGCCCGGTCTAAGCGCTTGCAACGAATACCAACAACTTAAGACTCGTGCGCTATACGTTCCTGCGCGGCGCTTCACAACGGGCGAATGATGAACCGCTCGCTGTTCGCATCTACCGAACCTGCTGGGTATGTTTGGAATCTTGCACGCAAGCAGTATCGGCGATGTTCAAGGATTCACGGTTCAAGACTAACGAGGCTAACGTAGATCACGATCATTCTCTCTGCTAGACTGCTACAGCTGCTAACAAGGTACCCCATCACTGATCCCGAACTCGGGTTTCACATGCATGCTTGGTCGCTGGAGAGCTCCGTGGGCAGCAGAGGAGAGCTCTGTTCACAAATCTGGTGTCACGGCTGCAGAGCCGCCTTTCAATGCTCTATAAACGATGCCCATTCCGMTCGCCAGCGCGGCTGCCCATTGTCATTGCAGCCCCCACCACGATCGATCGAATGTCCTCTGCATAGGCTTTCCTTTGCGCGCGCAGCCCTAAAACGAATGAGGGCATTCAACATGGTCAATCTCCGCCACTTGCTCGCTTCCGGTCCAATCACCTGATGGAAATTCCTTGCACTGCGGCCGTTGCCATCCACCATTGGCTCAACACCGGAGGCATGTGCGCAAAAAGCTTGCATGTCAGCTCGCGTGCGTTGGCGTAGAGCCAGGCTTATCCGAATTCTCCCTTGTCCAAACGATCGTTACTCCGACCTGCTCTGGATCCATAAATAAAACGTCATCGGAATTGCCCATATGCTCCCAAGAAGTGGACTGCATCCCGCTTGCCTATATGTTGCAATTGCAGCGCTCGGCAAGTCGGCTTTCTCGGGGACTCAAGGTGAATGCATCGCCTGATCGGAATGGCCGACTTGCCGCTAAGGCGTTGCCGCAGCAGACGCCCACCATGTGAGCTTGTCTGCCAGGGCAACAGTAGTGAAGGATGCGAGACTCCACCGCTCCCCTACCTACTGTACGTGGATGGTGATACGGCTTATCACGGATGATGCAACGAGACCTCTTCCTTGCAGCACATTGCGGGACAGGTGACGAATTGGTCAACGGCGTCGCAAGGTTTGCAAAGAAACGAGCCGGGACGACGCGACGAACAACCATGTAAACAAATCCAATTTACCGGTCCCGGCTGTTGCTCTGCAAATTCCGCCAAGAACACCGAACTGGCTTCTTTACTGCTTCCATTCGCACGTCGGCTTCGATTCTCGCCTCTCAATTTCATCGCCCAGATCGAGTCGATACATTCTCCGCAACTCCGGCGGTTGGAAGCTATGTGTCGTATTTCAGCAACTGGAGCAGGACGCCGCGGATTCCCCAGTGACTCTAGCATGCACGCAGCAGCATACAGCCGCCGTGCAGCCCGCCTGCGGCCTTCGCGCTGTGAAACATGAGATCAACCAGGGCGCCGGGCGGGCATTGCTGTTACACCAAACGAAAACTATCCCAAGTCCGTCAAGGAGACCTGAAGCTGCTCGTACGACGGGCAAGTTTCACCATACCTCTTCCCCACCTCAGCAAATGCGGGATCTTCAGTTTCAAGGTTCGGTAGAAGTTGGTCAAGAGTCAAGACACACGTAGCCGTTGTGCTATTTTCTTCGCAAGGTGCCGGGATGCATGTCACATCGAACCCACCGAGGCAGAATACAGCATCTCGACACATCGGAGTGTAGAGCGCAGCCCAGACGCCTACAGCTTAGCGATATTATTATCAGCCAATACGGTCAAGAGCAACAAGATGACGTCGATCTGACTTTCGTCCATGCCACTCCGCCGCGTGAAGGAGCTTTATTGTATCTACGGCTGACAACGGCAGTATCGCAACGCGTGAGAGACCCGTTGCGCCCCTTTGCCCCGTTGCAGTTCACAAAAGCGCCGAAGGGCGTTTTCGCCGACAATCGCAACGGCGTTAGGAACAGGTCAAGGCCGGTGCAAATCTCTTCACGCATCTTGGTATGAGTGATGCGTCAGGCCCCCTCTCCTATCGATCCATCGATATGCAAGATATCGCTCGATTCGAGATGCTGCAGAAGATTGGCAATCATTACTTTACGAACATTCTGAACCTCCAATCGCAGGGCGTTTCTATAGACATTTATCCATGCATCAAGCCTTGACACTACACTAAAAGACTACCTCCCGTCATGAAAATGTTCCTTCATGATCATCTAGCAAACTACACTTGGCGACACTGTCATCAGAGGCACACCTTGCGAGTCCAGGAAACGATGAAGCCAGCACCCACTCGTATGAGCGACCGTTGGCCGCATCAAGATCCCGAACGCGACGACGGCTGACACGCTTTCAACATCCCGAGATGCAATTAGGCACGTCTGCAAACCGTCTCCGATGATCGCAGTCGCGATTCCGTCTTCATTCCAACCTCATTTTGAGGTTTGCGGTAGAGATGCAAAGTCCCAGCGCCGTCGCTATGCTTTCAAATATCGATCATCAATCACATGTTCCATCTTTCCAACCTGTTCTCCACCTCTCTTCCCACTTATCGCAGTCAAACTTGGTCTTCCCCAGTTTCACGTTGACCGCATTATGGGCCTCGCACATCCATCTTCCAAACTCGTCCCTGTTGCTAACCCGTGGTTCATTGCCATCCCGCATCCAAGACCTGAAGTCGTCCGCACATACCCAGCAAGGATACAACTTTCCAAAAAGGCCCAGAAATTGTTTGGTCTCGGTCTGTTGCGTGAATGATGGTCTCTCGGGATACTTTGCTGTGAGAGTATGTAGCAATGTCCAAGTTGATCTACCAAGCTCTTCAACATCTGGGGGGCATTGTGCAGGCGGGGCTGCTGCTGGCATCTTGCTGGCGGAGGCGGATGTCGTAGACTTCATCATAGACTTCCATGAGGCAGACGATGTGCATGTTCGGCACCTGRGAGTCGTGTCAATGCCAATAGCTATCATCTGGCAAGTAATACACTGTCCTTACGGCTTGCCATCGGGTCCAAGAACAACACCTTTGGGCAGTGGCTTCGAATCATCACTTTGTGCGTTTGCAAGCTGCTCGACTGTGGCGTCCAGAGGCTGTGGGGGAAGTCCGGTGGCCATCTCAACAGTACAAAAGAAACGAGAAAGTATAGGGAATTCTAAGTCGAAACCCATGTCTTCCTCATCGTGTTGGAGGTCTTACAAATCCATGTCGAGGTGGCCAAAAGATTGTCCGTGCATCGGAAGCATGCGCACAGTCGGTTTAGAGTTCTCATGTCCAAGTCCAAATGTCAGGAGCTCCGAACGTCACCTCTTTCCAAGCCGTTCCCACAACATTCCCTTCTCACACAGTCACAATGGATGGCATAACTGCCGACTTGGGTAACTTGGGCGTTGGTCAAGCTCCGGTCTACCTTCTCAAAACCAGATCCTCCCCATCTGACAGCTACGAAGATTATTTCAACGCCGTCCAGGATGGCCATTTCAAGCCAATCTTTGTGCCAGTGCTGGAACATCTGTTCCGAGACGATGCTTTGCGAACGCTCCGTAGGTCATCTGAACGATTCGCTTTCGCAAGCGGAAGTGAAGCCACCTCCCGTCAAAAAGCTACCGCGAATCAAGCGAAGAGATACGGTGGCATCATATTCACGTCCCAGCGCGCTGTAGATGCATTCGCTACCGTCGTAGCAAAGCTGGATCCGGACAAGCGGGATTTGCTGTTTGACAAGGACATGCCCTTCTATGTTGTGGGACCCGCCACAGCGAACGGGGTGAAGTCTTTGGGGCTACACTGCGAAGTGATTGGGGAGCAGACCGGAAATGGGGACGCTCTGTCTCAATTTATACTTGGCTGGCACAAGACTTTACCGAAATCCGCCACACACTTGAACGGGCAAAAGCTGCCTTTGCTGTTCCTGGTCGGAGAGCAGCGGAGAGMCATCATCCCGAAAAGCCTGCAATCCGATGAACTTCCAGCCTCGGACCGGATTCCTGTGACTGAGATGGTCGTGTATGAGACAGGCGAGATGGCCACGTTTGAGGAGGAGTTCACCAATCTGCTCAAGCAGGCGAAATCTGCCAAGGTCAAGGAGCAATGGGTCGTTGTGTTTAGTCCACAAGGATGTGAAGCCATGCTTAGCGCACTCGGCTGGTTGGACGAGAAGACCGGCAAGTACAGTGCGGARAGGAGAGAGATTGTTTCTGGACCCACTTCTACGAAAATTGCTACCATTGGTCCTACGACCAGAAACTTCTTGGTGGAGCAGTTCGATTTCGAGCCAGACGTATGTGCAGAGAAGCCCAGCCCCGAAGGAGTAGGCGAAGGAATTGCGAAATCCGAGAGTCCGTGATTTGAAGATACCCTGCGGAGCAGCCACGAAAGGTTGACGAAGCTACAGCGCTCGTGTTACATCGCCTATGATGTGGTCCCTGCACGCGAGGGCTGATCCTAGGGGCAGGAGCATGCTAAAGTCTTCCTCGAGGTGAGTCTCAGATGTCAGCTTGGCTGCATCATACCAACAGTATCTCGCAGGCTTCGACCAACGTGATTTGCGGAACAACTTACGGCTGCACGCCTTCGATCGATACGTCACTGTAAAGTCGCTCATGGCCGACYTGAGTCGGTGCTGAGATGGTAACTGCACAAGAACATCTCTCACACGATTGTTCAACCACATTTACGAAAGGAATTTTCGACACAGTATTAGGACCTCGTTGTGCAGAATAACAGACGTTTCTCAAGATGCTCCGACTTTCGATACCCTCAAAAGTGACCTCCAACACCCAATTGACCCTTTCCAACATGTGAACGCTAACCCGGACCATACTTCATAACTCCACGAAACACAACATGCATTCGGCTAGAATCCCGTCACTTCCCAGATGCAGCAATCACCTGTACACTGGGCGTCCGTGGAACGTATCGTTCTCGCCGCCGGCGCCTCAGTTCTAACTCCGCCTCCATCAGCCTGGTTTGGCAATAGGACCTCATTTTCTCATCGCCACGGACCATTTCCGAGTTGAGGAGCTCGGTCAATGTTGATTTGAGATCGTATATTCTGTCGTGGTGGCCTGTTCGCGATGCAGACGTACGTTGGGCATTTGTTACTGAGCAGGAATGTGGGTTAAACTGCTCCAATGGAGCGAACAATTGACGCGGAGACCCAAAATGCTGTGCTTCCAGGCTGGGTGATGATGAGGACGATGAGCTTTCCGAGGTCGACATATCTGCAGTGTCTAGCTTTCGACGCTGTGCAAGGTCAATTTCTTGTAAAAGGCCACGGAAATTGAGTCAAGGCTTACTTCTGATGTGAGAGTGCGGGTCAATCGATCCAGGCTGGAGTTGCTCTCGAACTAACGCAAGGCAAGCTTGATAGCTGTCTGTCAGTTGTAGAGCTCATCCCCACACGCGTAGACATACTGGAGTTGGTTCGCAATGTAGAAAATCGCGCAAACGAGCCGGRAAGTACCGAATGACCCGCGAATTGTCTTGCGTGTGGTGAGATCAAGGTGTGAAGCGATCCATTGTTGGCTCGGTTGAGGTATTCGGACTTGGAATCTTTCTATATAGCATCTAGAGCTACGCAGTCAACAGTTGCATGCTCTGCATGATGTAAATAACAACGGGAGACGGGCGGCAGTTGTCGGACATAGTTAATCAGAAAGTCTTCCATCGGGTAAAACATATTCACAATTCTCGAAAACCATGACAAAGTACGCTTCGTCTCTACCAGTAGAGCGTTGGACAATACCGCTTCGTGTCTCCGGCTATGGCGCAAACGCATCACAGAATGATGAGAGCATCATAAAGTCAACATCCTGAAGTCGCAATCGCCACGAGCTGTGGAATCGCAAACGACTGTGGCGGATTATTGATTTCAAATAAGCCCTCTTGAGCAATGTGTGGCTTTCTGGATGAATTTGATGACGATGGGTCTCGATCCGAACAGAAATCAACGGCTTTGATGAAAGTAGGCTGCTTGTACTGTGARGAATAGCCAAGCTCGCTGGTTAATCAACGGCTTCCAACATTCAACGTATGTATTTGTTGCACTAGTCGATGCCGGCGAGTATCCAAGATCGGGGTTCCTGGCTTCGCGATGCTCGCGGGTAGACATGCTGCCTTGTGGTCCAAAAGGTGGATCTATGCGATGTCGAGTGTTTACCCAAAACTGTTAATATTCAAGATTCCCACCAAAGGCATCGCTGGATTCCTCAGATGATACCAATGCCGCCTTTCAATACTGCAAAGCGTTCTTAGCCTGCTCAAACATCTCGTTGTTTCCCCTGAACTTTGCCAACATCTGCCGCGCCTAGACACATACGTGTCAGTGCTGTAGTATATCAATCAGTGTCGTCGWCATACGCACCTCCCAAAAGCCCTTTCCATACGAGACTAGGATCTCCTCGCCAGCCCTAATGCCAGCTTTGCGTTTCTGGGCCTTGCCGGCGGGCAACACGAAGATTGCGACCCGACGCTCCCAACGTTGGCCATCGACTCTWTTCGTTGACTTCACCTGGATGAAAATGTCTCGAAACTCGGCATTGGGCCTCTCGGCAATCGATCTGTAGTCGTTTGCATGTCGCGACTCGTTGCCACTTGATGCCGCATCGACAGACAAGCCGAGTTCACGATCGAGGTTGAGATCGTAGTCCGAGTTTGGGTCCTGGTCAGCCATACTACCGGTATGAACGTGGCCAAGATACTACCTGTTGTCAGCATGTGCTAAGCCAACGAGCGACGATGGTGGATTCCACCCCCGTTGGTCTCTTGTCGTGCCTACGCGAATCAATGGCTTACCAGGATGATGAACTGATCAGGCTGGAGGTGCTCCGCAGCGAAGAGGCCCTTCTGCCCAAACGCCGGATGCTTCTCATCTGTGATTTCTTGTATCCTGACCAGTGGAGACGGTGCGATAATCAGGTTCGCAGGAACCTTGATCCAGCTGGCATCATCAGAGCTCCCACGGCTCAGTTTTGAATTCAGCTGCTCTGCCATGGCCATCTGAGAGTACGTCTGGTCTGTTAAAAATTCCACATCCTCCGGCCAATTTTCCGGCAATGTTTTGTTGACATTCTTGGTCCATATTTGGCCCTTTCCCTTACCATCTAGCTTCTGATTCAACGACATCGAATAGTCCTATGTAGCCCAAGTGTGAGCTTGTTGGGCGTAAGTGTCAAAGCCACCTCATTTTGATCTTGGTCGTGGTTGTCGTGGTTTGAGAATTGCGAAGTCGAATTTTGGTACCCAAAGGGTTAGGGTTGGGGTAGTGGACCATGACTTCCAATCAGTAYCACGAGGCATCTCGCTCGATTGATGTGTGTGTGGCCGCTTTATAGCGTAGAGGACAGTCGGGACGCCTTTGTGGTGACACAATATGTTGAGCACGTCGTTCGTCCGAAGAAACTGTATTTGCACTTTCCTTCCAAGTGTGATGATGCCTCCTGGATTGAACACTAGAGTAAGGATGAATGCTCGTCATTAACCACATCTCACACTCGTAAGCCGCGGGGAGCCCACCAAAACCAGTCATGAAGTGCAAGTGATTCAAAGTGGAACATGTAAACAGAACGAGGGGCAGCCAATCGACACTTTTACATTCGCATACGGTGCAATAAGGTGTCCGTCAAATCCGCCATTGATACAAACAGCTTCACCACGCCGCTCAAGGACAATAGCTGAAGTCGGTCTCTACCAGCCTTCCAACGAGCTCGAATAGTTGGCGATACCATTGTCGAGCATCAGCCGTCATCCATAGCCACGTCCGGTCTAGGTGTGTCGCTCTGCTCCATCGCCTCTGCCGTCGAAGGGCGTGAATCAATGCCCGACATGTCCACGTCTTCCGGCATCTGTGACAGCGGGGAACCCACTCGACTACTTCCCCTTGTATTGTCGTCCACCTCCAAGAACTTGTTTCTTGGTGGAGTAGCGCCTCCCATCTCTCCATTCTCCGCCGATGGTGTTGCATCACCGGCGTCTGTCGGCCGTGGCGATCTTGCATCCGCCTTACTTCCTTCCTCCCCGCCCTCCACGTCCTCCATCTCGTCCTCGTCCCTTTCAATCTCAGGTTCGTCCTTGATGCCCTTGATGAGCCGGAGCATAGTCTCTCCCTCGCGCGCAATGCTGTCGAACTGCTGTCGTCTCAATGCCCATGTGACCTCGTATTCGGCGCTCTCAGCCTGAAGCCCGTCAATTTCCTTCTCCAGCCCCTCGATCGCAGCGCGTGCATCATCTCGACTCTTAAGTTTGCGATCATCGAGAATCTTGGTTGCCAATTGATCGTAGCCCTTCCTCCGCTCCAACACCGCCTGTGCTTCCACCAGATGCGAGCGCAGTTCAACAGTGTTATCCCTGACATCCTGGGCGGTTCCGAGGATCTTGGCCTTTTCCGCAGCATAACGCTCTCGTTCGCGCTGGTTTGATGAGAGAATCATCTGAATGCGAGTAATGGACGACTCCAGATTTGCAAAATCGAGCAGCACATCTTCGCGAAAGCGTTGAATGCGCAGGTCGGCGGAGACATTGTCACTGTCATCGTCCTCGCCTTCGGGAGGCGGAGAGGGCAGGTAACTGATCGCGGGCCTGATCAGAGATGTCGGTGCGAGAAGCGTCTTGGTAACGCGCTGAAAGGGCCGCTCTTCGATTGATAGCAACCGACTCGCGTGGWGCGCATCTTCTTCTGCCTGAGTAGGCAGGATGGTGAGATCTTCAATCTGCGCCATGGCTGTTGCTTGGTTGATGTCGGAAGGATGAAACGTTCAGAGCTCAAGATTGGCTGACAGCATCCTCGTACAAAAATAGCCTTTCCTCCATTCACTTCCAACGCCGCCTTCCCTCCAACCTCGCTTTCATCACTCCAGCACTGATTCTGTCAGCACCAAATACCACTTATTTGTGTATGTTTGAGACCATGCGATCATATCCATGCGTGACGCTAGATCACACGCGCGGGAACCTCGATACGCGGTAAGACATCACGAAAGGGGCGGCTTGTAATCTTTGTCCTCAAAACCGTTCAAGACAACAATAAGAAATAAAGCTACTACCCCTCCTCCACGAAAGATAAAAGGACAACCTAGCTTCTTCCAAGATGCCGCCCGCTTCAAATTCGACATTCTCAACTTCGAGACCATCAAAGACATCCAGAACTACAGCGATCTCAGCGGCATCTACAAAACCCGATCCAACTCCCACTCTGCTCCAGATGGCCGCTCGCACTGCCGCCCGCAATATCACCGATATTGTAGACTTTGGTACCATGCCGTACGAGGTTGCAGTGAATGTCCTGAGAGGTATCAAGAATCCAGCCCAATTACGCGAGATCGAAGAGAACTGCCCGCACATTGCAGACTCTGATGCCGAGCTCTGGAAAGCCTTCATCGCCCGCGACATTCCAAACTGGGAGGCGAAGATGATCTATCCGCAAAATCCACGCTCCTGGTGGAAGGTCTACCGGAAGCTGATGCGGGAGGAGGAACTTATTGAGGCTGCTCAGGAGGAAGCGCTTCGCAAGCAGCTTGCCAAAGATACCATCAAGAAATCCGAGCAGTCCACCACCTATGTACCTCAAGTTGTGTCATTTGCTGCTACCGTCACCGACTCTCGAATCCATCCTCAAGCCCATACACGTGCCGCTGACAGCGGTAGTCGGTGGTCGAAGAAGACCAAGTCGGGCGGGAGGATTGTCAGCGCTATCCTGCGTCAAACTGCGGAGGCGCACAAGACTAGACAGCCCTTCCAGCCAACTCACGCTGGCAGCAGTCTTGCAGCTGCAAAACGCCAGATCTCGCACGCTCCTGCTGCTATGATACCTGGAGCACAGCGAGTACAGCCTAGGGCCTTGCTGCCTCATCAAGAAGCTCTCTTGGAAGAGCATCATCGCCATAGGTCGGACATCTGCGCGCCAACCAGCAGAGTCAAGAAATCCACGACTATCTCTGATGCCCTTGCGCAGAAGCGTGCGATCAATGAGAAGAAGTTGCGCGAACTCACAAACTCTAAGCCTGCCCCAGATCCGAAAGTCGAGTTCAGACCGAAGTTTGAGCTGACGACATCGAGAGTGGCGCAGCAGAACCACAGTAAGACGGAAGGAGGAACGAAAGCACGGGTGGAGACAGTGAAGACTTCTGTGACGCCCAAGGGAAAGTCAACCGAGGCGCGATCGATGCGTTCGCCTGCTCCTATTGCGAAGTCTGCTAGCCCGCAGCCCACTCCTACGGCGCAGCAGCCAGCTCCAGTCAAGAGGAAGCGACCCGCCACAACCAACATCTTCATGACTAAAAAGCAGAAGAAATGACCGCATTCAAGAGTCCTCCTGAATCGCAGCATCTGCAGCAGCGATAGCCTCTTTCGCCTTGGTGATGTCCTCTGGTGAACTCTGAGTGTCTTGGTCCTAGGTGCGCACAACGAGATCAGCATCCCGATCACCACAAGACCGAAAAAGATTGATGACCTACCAGAGTCGAATGGAGCTTCGCTCTCGCCTCCTCAATCTTTGTGCGAATTTGAGGGAACATGGCGGCGGTCTCGGAGAGAGCCTTTTTCTGAAATGCAGAATAATGTTAGCGATTGCTTTTTTGATTTCCACGCGAAGCGTTGCATGGTCTGGCACTTCACGACAGCACTGATATAATGGACGGGTACGGATAGACTACTCAGTGGGAGACATGGCGAAAAATATTGGTTGGATGAGCGGACGCGATTTAGGATCAGGGAACACGCTTTATACGAACGATGAAAGAGAGTGARAATCATCAGGTGCTCATTCGCCGTTGCATGTGCCATGGAAAAGGGGACAATTGTTCCCTACTTACCTCCTGTCTCAGCGTGTACTCGGCGTTCTCATCCTCACTCGTGGCGGCAGCACTCTCCAACTTGGCAATGTTGGCTTCCTGCTGCGCGTGTTCCTTATGATATGAGGCMTTCTCCTTCGTGAGGCGGACGAGGACGGAGGTCGCAATGGCTAATGGTGATGGCGGAGGCATTTTCGGAATGTGGATTCGTTGTGTTTTGGTGATTTGCCCGTGATCTTTGTTTGCGGCATTCTTGCTCTTGCACTTGCACTGCTGCGGCTTAGTGACGGCCCCCGCGACCCCCACGTTGATTTGATAAGAAGTCGATGGCGCGCCGAGATGCATCAAAGCGCCGTCTCCTAAGAACAGGTATAAACGAGCCTCTTCTCCTAAGTGATAAACTACACGAACAAAAGTATCCGCAATCGTAAGACCGCGACAATGCCTGGGACGAATGAGACGTTGCCTCTTTTCCTCTTCCTCTCCCCATCACATTTCTTAGCAAACATCGACCATTGACATTTCTCCATCTCTCACTCAACATCTCTCATACGTAGAGCCAGTCACACCTACATTCTAGCATCACCTGTAAGAGACAGCTGATGTAATATGCAGAAGCGCGACTGACGGCGACAGTGACAACACCATAATGGACGCCCCGACTCTCCAGCCAAAATTCCTCCCGAAGCCAGATGAGCTGGGTCTTGTGGCTGTTGGCTTTTCAGGCGGACAAGTACGTACATTATTCACCTGCAGGAACCCATGAGACAATATTGACCTCCAACAACAGTGCAAACCAGGCACCGATGCAGCCCCCATGGCACTCATCGAGTCTGGAYTTGYCGACCAGCTCCGCGACGACCTGAAATACTCCATCTTCTACGACGGCAAAGTCCACGCCTACAACGAGCTCATGCCAGCTTCTGACCCCGATTACCGCAACATGAAAAAGCCACGCGCTGTGTCCGCCGTCACCAAGCAGTTGAGCAGTCAAGTCTACGAACACGCTCGCGAGGGCCGTTTYGTCTTGACCCTAGGTGGTGATCACTCCATTGCAGTGGGCACCATCTCCGGCACCGCAAAGGCTACACGTGAAAGACTCGGCAGAGAAATTGCGGTCATCTGGGTGGACGCACACGCGGATATCAACACCCCCGAGACCTCTGACAGCGGCAACATTCACGGTATGCCTGTAGCATTCCTCACAGGACTTGCCAAGGATGATGCAGACAAGCCTTTTGGTTGGTTGGAAGAAGCTCACAAGCTCAACGTCAACAAGCTTGTCTATATCGGTCTCCGTGACGTAGACAGAGGTGAGAAGAAGATCCTCCGCGACAACAACATCAAGGCGTTCAGCATGCACGACATCGATCGGTATGGAATTGGAAAGGTCATGGATATGGCACTTGGATGGATCGGACGGGATACTCCTATACATCTCTCCTTTGACGTCGATGCCCTCGATCCCCAATGGGCTCCTAGTACTGGCACACCGGTTAGAGGTGGATTGACTCTGCGTGAGGGAGATTTTATTGCGGAATGTGTGCACCAAACTGGAAGTCTGATTGCGCTGGATCTGGTGGAGGTAAACCCGAGTTTGGAGGAGCATGGAGCACAGGAGACCGTGCGGGCCGGCTGTTCGATCGTGAGATGTGCATTGGGAGATACCTTGCTTTAAAGCAGCTTCGGATAGAATTGTGACTGCTCTGTTGGATACCTAAGGTAGAGCACAAGATTAACATGACTATTACATCCAGTTTATCTCGAAATCAGCACTGTACGACCCTTCGCGGCTGTGCTGCGAGAAACTTCCAGAGAGCACACATTCCTAAAGACTCGGGAGGCTTGTCGTGTTCATTTTGTTACTTTGCGGCAATTGGGAACAGCCCCACGACTTGTTGAAACGCTTATGAGGGAACTCAGTGGCTTGAGCTTTCTATCCAGCCGACCTTATAGACTCCTGCGATGGAAATAGACAGGCATAGGCCGCCAATTGTCCCACCTCAAAGACAGTGCCGCGGTTAGCAAGCAGAACACATTTACATATCTCAGCCCGTTCCAGAGATTGCACATCATCACATATAGACACACAACCTTCGCCTCATCCGCCGAATTGTTCACCAATATTGAAAAAGTGATTAAGATGCGCGATTTCAATTCGCTATACTATACAGACTTGCTTCGTCTCATCATTCGAGCTTCCTGTCATCCAGCAATACTTCGTTCCGTTTCACACGCCGCTGACAATTTATTTCTTGCCGGAAAGCTTTTCCGCCTCCGCACGATCTTTCTCAAGCGCTGACTCCTGATCCTGAATCTTCTTCTTCAGCTGCTCGAGCTTATGCTTCTCCTGTTCACGGACAAAGAGATCCTCGTTGGCCTTCTCTCTCTTGGTGAAGGCGTCACCCTGGGCTGCACCACCGGAGCGAGTAGCGCCGGTATCGCCGCCTGCCATTCTCCGTGCTGCGATGGAGAAGGAGCGAACAGATGGAGTGGAGCGCACAGTGCGGGCGATGGAGTTGGTGATGGCTGACATGGCTGGACTCTTGTCAGTGTTGATTTGAAACCAGGCGGCGTCGAGGCTGCTCACTTGGATTGAATTCGTGATTGCCTGTGTTTCAATTGTTTGTTATGTTTCTCAAGATGACGATGTCGTGGGAGGCGTGGTGAGCTTCCAAGTCACTGCACATGGTCCTTCGGGATTACTCCGGCGGCAACTACGTCAAACGTCAACGGCCCCTGCCGTTGAGAGCTTTCTAACACCTTCGTAGAGTATCCACAACACATCAATCTTTCAACAACCTCACAACATTTTCTCAACAACACTCTCCAACTCCAACAACCTTGCACAGTTGACCGGTAAGTACACGCTCCGTGTGATACTCTCGTTCGTCAGGCAGAGAGCTTCTTCCAGCCCTTCTTGCCCGTCATCTCACCGCCGAACGCGGGGCAACTTCCAACTTCCATGGTGGGGTCTCGCGTTGGCATTGGAAAATGTTCACAGCAGCCGCAACGGCGACAGCGACCACGAAGTTACTCAAGGCCGAGACCGATCCACATGAAAGCCTGGAAGTGGACTGTCGCCTCACTCTTCACTTCACTCAACTCCACATCACTCCACTCACAAGCCTCCTTCCATCTCAACGATATTCACATTTCTTCTCACCCTTCACTTAAATCCAGACACTAACATCAATCTTCGTTCTCAGAGATCCTCGACACAACATCGACCTTCTACCTTACTCTTCGGACACCACTCCACGCCTGAGCAATCCTTCACAGAACCTACCACGAACGTCAACATCTGTCAAGATGGTCGGATTGGGACCGCGGCGTAGGCMGAGCCGTAAGGGCTCTATGGCAGACATGCCACAGGACCTGATCACCGAGATCAAGCGTCTGGAAGAGCTGTTCATCATCGACACCCCCAAGCTCAAGGCAATCACAGATCACTTTATCAGTGAACTTGCCAAGGGTCTTTCGAAGGAGGGCGGCAGCATCCCGATGAATCCCACATGGGTCATGGGCTACCCCACCGGACACGAGACCGGTACGTTCCTCGCTCTCGACATGGGTGGTACCAACCTTCGTGTTTGTGAGATCAACCTCCCCGAGGAGAAGGGCGAGTTCGACATCATTCAGTCGAAGTACCGCATGCCCGAGGAATTGAAGACTGGAAACGCCGAGGAACTCTGGGCGTACATCGCCGACTGTCTCCAGCAGTTCATCGAGTACCACCACGAGGGTGAGAAGATCGAGAGCATTCCTCTCGGCTTCACCTTCTCCTACCCAGCCACACAAGACTACATCGATCACGGTGTGCTGCAGCGCTGGACGAAGGGCTTCGACATTGATGGKGTCGAGGGCAAGGATGTTGTGCCACCGTTCGAGGCTGCGCTTAAGGAGCGCGGTGTTCCAATCAAGCTGACTGCACTCATCAACGACACCACCGGAACCCTGATTGCTAGCAGCTACACGGATCCGGAGATGAAGATTGGGTGCATTTTCGGCACTGGTTGCARCGCAGCCTACATGGAACACGCTGGCGAAATCCCAAAGCTGGAGGACATGAAGCTGGATCCGAAGCAGGAGATCGCCATCAACTGCGAGTGGGGTGCCTTTGATAACGAGCACAAGATCCTCCCCCGCACACCCTACGATATTATCATCGACAAGGACTCGCCACGTCCAGGTCAACAGGCGTTCGAGAAGATGATTGCGGGTCTCTATCTTGGTGAACTGTTCCGCCTCGTCTTGGTCGACCTTCACGAGAAGGGCAAGATCTTTGAGGGTCAAGACGTGTCGACTCTCCGCAAGCCATACTCGCTCGATGCCTCATTCCTGTCCGACATTGAGAATGACCCATTCGAGAACCTTTCCGAGACCCACGACCAGTTCAAGAACATGATGAACATCTCGACGTCCAAGCCAGAGCTCGAGTTGATAAGACGACTTTCAGAGCTCATCGGCACACGTTCGGCGAGATTGAGCGCATGCGGTGTCGCCGCCATCTGCAAGAAGAAGGGTTACAAGACCGCGCACGTCGGTGCTGATGGCTCGGTGTTTAACAAATACCCCCATTTCAAGCAGCGAGGTGCCGTGGCGTTGAAGGAGATCCTTGACTGGGAGACCGGTCGTGACGGAAAGCCTCTCGGAAAAGGCAACGATCCTGTGGAGATCCTTCCTGCCGAGGATGGTTCTGGTGTTGGCGCCGCCCTGATTGCCGCTCTCACGCTGAAGCGTGTCAAGGAGGGCAAGATTATGGGAATTCGCGATGCCAAGAGTATGCTCGAGGCGGTCGGCCAGGGAGGTAAGTAGATGATGGGACGAATATGAGGACGATGGAGCTGGTCTCTGGATATCCCACACGATATGATAGCCTGGGGGTGGACACTCGACGGACAACTAAGATATTACGTGTTGAGGAAGTATAGGCTTATTCATGACTGCATGACAGATGTATCTCATTTCGTGCAGAAATTGTGAACAAAAGCTGTCACTGTCCCTTGAGCTTCATGACATCAAAAGTGTTTGCTAACACCGTCGAAAKCCCGTTGAATGACCCAGAAGCGGTTATCCGATAGACCAGTGTTTACAAGATCGTTGGTTTGGGGAGCTCGGTATTGTGCAGGACACAAGTGCTATCGTCCCACGACATGTACATGTAATTTTGGAGAATGTGCCAGGTGGATCGCTCGAGAAGCCAACCGCTGGAGAAGCGATGGGAATAAGCGATGGGAGTTACGACCTGCTCCTTGGTTGTTGGCTTGCGTTTTTGAAAGCCACTGTTTGATGCTTTGCTCGACATTGTGAGGACCACCAATTCAGGATACAGTGATTCTCGCTCGGTGAAAGAGGTAGATGTGCCTAGCTCGGTCATGTAATCCTATGATTGTGCCTTCAAACCAGCCCAGGGATCCTCAATGAAACTCGGCAAGAAGATTGCAAGATCGCCTCTCTCATTTCGCAYACCATTTCTCAGCGCCTGCAGAGTTGGTGCGCCATCACCATCAGTCTCATGCGCTGCGATTTGAGGCTCAGATCTGAATGGGACTTGTTGTGTGTTGTGAGAAGAAGAAGAAGAAGAAGAAGAAGAAGAAGAAGAAGAAGAATTTGCTGCACCCTCGGTGGATTTGGTGCTTTTGCGCTCGCCGATTGGAAGATTGTTTGCGCTTGTGCCTTGTGGTCCTCTGATGATGTCTGGATCGACGAAGCCGTCGTTGTCGTATTTTCGCTTCTTGTTGGGTGCTGTGCCGAAACCTGAGAAGCCCATTGCCGCTGCGATTGCGGGGTCAATGTCGAAGTCATCGTTGGAGTCCATTGTACTGGGCTTGTTTGTTATTCTTGACGTGTTGAGTTTTGACTTGCGTATTTGTGCGAAGTTGATGTTGATGAGATGGACATGTCACGATGAAGGGGTTTTAGATCATCTTTTGCGCTCGGACCACCTGAACAGATCAATGCCCACGGCATGGATATTTTTGTGTCTTCTACATCAAAAATCACACGTACTTCGGTCTCGAAGGAATGCCCTTCATTTGGTCCGCTGCGTTGCCTTCGACTCCGAAGAGCTTGTAGAGCCAAGGAAGAATCACGAAGAAACTCTCCGGCTCACCCATATGCTTCCTATTGTCAACAAATCGTGCCTCTTTTGGCGAGCCATGCTGCAAAGCCAGATAGTAGTCATCGATAGGGAATATCTCATCCTCAACGCCGTTCACAAGCAGCAATCTGGTACAGACTGGTTGGTCCAACGTTCCGTCCTCGAGCAGGGAAAATTTCATAGCCTGTGCCTTGAATTTCTCCAAATCATCTCCATATCCGAACTTGTATGCGAGCGTGGTTGCAAGGTCGAAGGGATATTCAAGATGGTTGACTTTGCTAAGCCATTTCGGTGAGAACATGTAGTGGCATCCGCCTCCCAGGGCAACCACCCCTGCGAGCTTGTCTGCGTGCGTGTGTGCCATTCTGATTCCATAGTAGCCGCCAGTGCTGAATGACCAAACGGCCCTTCTACTGTGGTCAATTTCTGGCTGCTTGTCGATCCAATCAAATAGACTGGACCACTGCCGGTCTGCTGAAGTTGGATCACTAGGATCAGCGGGCGAATCGCCGGTACCGGGAATCTCAAGCACAATAGTCGCCACGTTCATCTGCGCCCAACCATCGATCCAAACTGCGAGCTCGGTTCTGTAACCGTCCAATCCAGTGAGGATGATCAATAATGGAACAGGTTTGTTCTTCGATGCTCCGGAGGGCAAGTGGTAATAGACGGGCATCTCTTCTCCCTCATGCTCTAGTCGATGCGTGTGGGCAATGAGGACTTCTTCAGTTGGACGCTCACGTAGTCTTAGACCTTTATTTGCGGCCTTTTTGCCCTCCTGCCATGCATATCGCTGCCTTTCTGAGCGAGGCGCAGGGAAGCGAGCAATTCGATAGACTGCTGATGCACGCCTGTGGATTTGATTAGCCATGGTTGGGGAGTGAAGTTGATAACACCATACATGTAAAATTCAGAGGCCTTCTCATTGTTTTGCTCTCGCTCTGCTTTCTCTGCGTGGCCAACAAGCTCTTCTGCTTTTGGGAAGAAGGCTTCTGCATACTTGTCCCAGTCATAAGGCTCCTTTTGGTCTTMGGCGATAAGGCGTTCCACGATCGGTTCAAAGTCCTGGTATGCACTAAACATGAATGGATATATACCAAGCTTGCAGGGCATCTGCCATTTGGTTTGCCAMAGCTTCTCGAAGCTCTCGTGGTGGCCTGCTGGAGTATCGAGCGAATCTTCCACGAAAAACTTTCCACCTGGGGCAGCCATTATTGAAATTTATCTGGTAGAAACTGGCTCGTAGCGCAAGACGTGTGATGAAAAGGGGATAGAAACAGTGGATTGAACAGAAGACTGCGACTATCTTGATGATTAATGAAAAGCCGAAGATGCGCGTGGTTCAGCACTGTTGTGGATAAGAGAGCTGAAATACCACAACTTCTCGATACTCGCCTCTTTCTGGTGGCATGGTTGTGTACGTTTGTCGTTGTTATAGAGACGGCGGRGAAAGAGGAGAGCCGGCATGGTTGGCAGTTGGGAAAAGTGGGGCCGCGCGCGGAGGTCCGCGAAAGTGTTTGTCGCACACAATTTGTACAGTTTGCGAGGCGTCAGGAGGATCTTTCAGAGAGGGGATCGAAATTGGAAACGGAAAATGCATGGGTTTTTAGACATTGATGTAATTGATTGATTCTAAAAAAGAAAAGCAGGCGTCGATCTTGAGAAACGCCCCTTCGGTCCTCAGCGCCAGGGTCGGCGTTCGGAAGTCGCATAGGGGCTGCTGCTATAGTCAACTCCCCTGCTGTACTCACCGTAGGCCCTAGCGCCCGCAGAAGTGCTCGGGCGGCGAGAGCTGGAAGATGGCTCTCGGTAGACCTCTCCTCGACGATGTGAGTCGTAGGAGGTGCCCGGAGCATAGCTACTCGGATGGCGAGCTGTCGAGCTGCTTGATCGACGCGAGCTGGGGTGGTGGCCATAGCCGACGTGACGGTCGTAGCCAGCAGTGCTTGGTCGACGAGATGTACTTGGGTGATGGTCGTAGCTGGTTGGAGCCTGATAGCTCGACGTGCTTGGGTGGCGGCCGTAGCCGGTCGAAACCCGATAGCTCGATGTGCTTGGGTGGTGACTGTGGCCGCTTGGAACCCGATAGCTCGATGTGCTTGGATGTTGGCCGTAGCCGCTTGGAACCCCGTAGCTGCTGGAATAACCCGAGCCCGAGGTGGTGCCATGCTCGTAGCCATACGATGGGCGCGATGACTCTCGGTAGACTGAACGGCTGCGCTCCTCCTCTCGGAGGGCGCGCGAGGCCTGGGAAGCCGCCATGAGTGTCATTGGATTCGGTTGGTTGCGAGGTGCGACTCTGCTAGGCTGAAGCCCGATGCTGTGGAGGTCGTACGGACTGAACTCGTACAGTAGATCGCGCGACATGTTGAGGGCTGGATAACTTGCCTAAGAGCGAATGTAGGGGTTGTTTTGGTTGGTTTGAGTGGCTTCTGCTTGCGAGCTGCTCAAGAGTGTGGTTCAGTTGATGGCTGCGAGCTGAATGAAGACCGTGTGGATGACCTGTATGTAATGGTCGGGCTAGCAGCCTAGATAAATAGGAAACCCGCATGGTCGACGGCCTGGAGGAACCGAATGGCATTGTAAAGTATCAATTGAATGAGAAAGACAACAGGCATTGCTAAGGAACAAAGGGGGAAGGAGATGGGGAAGGGACATTGTGATAGCACAAAGGGGCGACGGGGAAAGAAAAAGGGCACAATGTCGAAGCATCAATGCTTGAACAACACAATGCCTTGGTGATGAGATTTCGTCTTGAGAAGATTGCTGTGAAGTCCATCAAATCTGGCAGATATGTGAGAATACCGTCATGATTGGCGCCTGGGATGTCCATAGGAAAAGGATTGGATATTGTCTGAGCTAGAACAGATCCAACAGAAATGTCAAAGAAGTGGTGTGGTTGTAGCAAGGGTGATGGTCCACGCGGAAGAAGAAGTGGGAGGTGGAGTCTGCTTTGGGTCATGTGATTCTGTGACTCCATCTATAAAGTGGTGGGACATGGGTATTCTTCAGTAAGGTACTTTAATCCTTCCACAAGTACAAGTACGTACATAATCTTCAAGCTCAACCCAGAAAGCTCAGCCATCGGTTCTCATGAGCGACCGTCATCCAATGTTCCCCCGCAGCCCCAGAGTCGAGCCTGGCCCAGACCTCCTTGACCACGTCAATCGCCTGTGCTGCTGGTCTCTGCGCATATTTCCGCGCCATGTTCAGCAGACTTGACTCGACAAAATAACGAGCAGAGATGATGCGGTCGCCATTTTCGCTTCCATTCCCGCCATCCACCAGCCGTAAATGACTGGAAACGGCGACGAGGATAGCAATCTGGTTCCGAGATGCTCCCGATGAGRTGGGAATGGCTTTGACCGTCTCAATCATATGAAGGGCAATGTGCGTCAGCCAACAGGCCTGCTCTCCGCTATCCTCGTCCATCCGCGGATTGGATGCAACCCCGAGCGTCGCGAGCGAAGCTGGGCCCTGTAAGCGCTTGGAAAGAAGCTGCGAGTATAGGTTGTACAGCTCGAGAAGTCCAAAAAACCTGTACGCTTCCGCGATCCGGATCAAATCGGTCTTGGACGTGTTGGAGTCGCCAAAATCGGAAATCTCGTCGACGGTCGGAAATTCTAGCGAGAACAGGTATTCCTCCAGTGATTCAGCCCAGCGGACTTCGCTGTCCTGGTAGGGATGGCCATTGCGAAACCTTTGGCGCCGCCGCAGTATGCGGCCAACCTCGGCGGTGGCAAAGTGAACTTCGGGAGAAATACCAGTCCAGGGGTGAGGGTGTACCGGCACGCTTGGAACAGGCTTACACAGCGCGGGAGCACCAAAACCAGGGAACGATGGCATCGTCACCGTTGGATCAACGAACGACATGGTCTGCTCCCAGTACCTGAACGCGAGGAATCCAAGTCAGCATGTGTCTGACACATTCATGGCGAGGGGAAGGGGGCTTGAGAGCTTACACCAAGCAGTTTTGGAAGAAGTCCTCGTGAAGCAAAGCGGTCCGATCCTGCAGATGTTTTTGCATAATGTTCCGAGCGATTAGCAAGTACTGCGGACCTTGTGAGGGTCCAGGATGCCACACGGAAGTCGAGCCAAGCAGCAGGATACTCATAAGGATTTTATCCAGTGCCAGCCGATCACGACGGTAGACTGCTAGGTCTTGCTGGAGGCAGCGCCAGGCCTGCGAGCGCTTCGAGATTCCCAGTGGAGCCATGTATGGATAATGGTTGGCGAGGTGCCCGATAGCCATACTTTGTATAGCCAGATTGACAGCCCGTGAGCTAGCACCAAGCTCGGCCACTATTGTCTGGAATGGACTTGCCTCTGAATCGAAAACCGACAGCAGCTGGCACACCTCACTGTGGAAGTAATTAACAAGGTCATTCTCGGAAAAAGAGGGAACTTGGTTTGGCGAGGACAGTCGATAAAAAGTGCCGAGGAGGGTCGTGGAAGGGCTTTGTCGAGCGGCCACCGGRTTCCGTGGTCTCGAAGTCGGTGAATCGGAAACATGCGTGCCCAGGCGAGCATGCCTTATCGCCTCACCTGACCTTGACCATCCATCGATGTTTCTCGGGACCTCGTTCTGGGTTTCATGTGCTCCCGTGCTGCCAGGACTTACTTCGAACCCAGGAACCGAACCAACTGCAGTTGGAAATGTCAATTATGCTCATCGACTTTGACATCGCACCCTCGCACTCACGGTCTCGGACATGACAGCCATTCAGGCACTTACATCATGACCGATGGCAGCTTCGTAGCGATCAGGCTCAAATTGGCGCTCACCTGAGTTCCAGTCATCAAACATTCCCGCTGGCCTCATAGACCAGCTTATGTCCTGAACATACGGAGGGCTCATATCGAATATGTCGTCGAAGAATCCCAGCATGTCATGATCTAGCCCAGGATTGACTTCTGGGCTTGCAGACATGTCTGTCATGTCGTTGGTCTCCGGCTGACCCGCCGAAACCTCGTAAGGCGCACGATCGAGTCCACTCTCGGTACTGCTTGGACTTGGCTGCATAGTCGGTGACGGCTTGGGCTGTTTTGGAAAGACCTCATGTTTGCTTGACCATCGCAATTGAGTTGCATAACCCGGACAAGCTACAGACGCTGCCGTGCACTGGCTGCAATGTGGCCTCGCTTCGTTGCATTTTATCTGTCGGAGCATGTCAGCTCACTCTCGGACGACTAGATGGCAATGGGCAAGGAAATTACCCGTCTTGTCTTGCACCTCGCACATCCTCCACGACTCTTTGCACTCTTCAATGTGCGCTTCATCTTTGCAAAGTACAGGAGATGCGGATACGGTCAGAGTTGGTGGGCGGGAAAATTGCCGAGTGCTGCAAGAACAGAAGAAAAGTGCTTCTTTACCGTGGGTTGTGGAAGACGTAACGCAATCGTAGTTCCGTGACGCCGCCGCGAAGCGAACAGACCCAGGACTCTGACTGATAGACCGCCTACGGCAGTGCGCCCTGCCTTTCGACTCCATTTCAGGAGCTAGAGAACTGGCAGGACCAGCAGCAGGTCATACGACAAGATAAAGAGAGTGGAAGAGCCAGGCGCATCCAACCAAATCCAGCAAAACTTCCCTTGAACGGGATTCGTTCATGGGGATGGATTCTCTTTCCCCTTTGGGCTAACTCATAGTTTTGGACGCGCTAATTCGGTGACCCCAGGTTGTGAATTCCAAGCGTTCCACGGATCGCACTCTTTACACAACATCATGCACGATGATCGGAGTATTTGTTTCCACACGCAGACATTTTGTGCATCAATAGGACTGAACGAAAATGGAGTGCCAAGCCAAGAGATGTGTCGCGTGCGATGCAAATCTCTGGGGACAAGGTTCGGCCCTTACCTGGAAGTCATGGATATGGCAATCGTAGGGTTGAGCTACTCAACTCAGATTCACAGGCAGGATTTCCTTGCACTCATGTGGAGAGCCTGATGGGCAAGGAACGCACGTGGACCACGATACGACTGTCGCAAGAGCCGGGCCGAAGAACGGCCAAGATTTTCCTTGCGGTATCTATGTGTTGCCTGAAGTCCGGAAAGTCGAGCTCAGTTGAGAGCGCTCGATCCGAAGAGAATGTCATGTTCGGGCTGTCGAGTGCCGAGCCGTTGATCCTCGTGATCGCACTGAGGTAGAGGATCWCGACCAACCCCCTTGCTTTAATCAGTAAGCACACAGGATGCGGTATGAGTGCTGTATCAACCGTAGTAAGTTGCCATATGTGGTAGGTCAAGCCTATAGATAGGGTCTGCTCGAGCCGAATGTCTGCCTTCTGAAGCATACAAATGTATTATCTATTCACCATTCACATTCCTCCTTTACAATCCTTCGTACCCCAAGACACCGATCCTGTTATTCTGACGTGTAGTCATGGCTACCTCTGTACTCTCCATAGCTGGTAACTACCTCGGATTTGGAGGTGCATCAACTCCCGCACACAAGAAGAGATTCGTTCCTCTGGGAGAGACGCAGTATGACAAGAACAGCTCTGTTCGCGCACCACCGGCTTCGTGGTATACTWCTGATGCCATGTATCAGTTGGAACGCCGCGCAATTTTTTCAAAGCGGTGGCTTCTCATGACCCACAAAAATCGACTGAAGGAGCCTGGAGACTTTGTTCGTTACACCGTAGCCAACTACGACTTCAACATTGCAGTCGATCGCAAGGGCAAAGTGAACGCCTTTCACAACGTTTGCCGACATCGTGCGTACCCTGTCGTCGAACAGGAGCAAGGCAACAAAAAGATATTCTCCTGCAGATACCACGGATGGTCATACGGACTTGACGGCAAGCTGGCAAAAGCACCCGGCTACCAAGACCTCAAAGACTTCGACAAAACGCAGAACGGACTACTGCCCATTCATGTTCACATCGATGCCAAAGGTTTCATCTGGGTCAATCTCGATTCCAGCCCAAATCCAATTCCATGGAAGGGAGACTTTGACGAGGTAGACCAGCAACCAAGACACAACGCGGTCGACTTTAACGATTACGTGCTTGATCACACCTATTCGATGGCAGGCGATTTCAACTGGAAGCTCTGTGCGGAGAATTTCAACGAATGCTATCACTGCCCTACGACACACCCAGATATTCCAACGTTCTTCGAAGTCGACGCCCACGACCTATCGGCAAAGGATGGACACATGCAACACGACTCTGGAACTACAGAAGAGCAGCGTCAAAAGGGGCTCAGCCTGTATACCACATACATGTTTCCCAACGTCTCCATGAACGTCACGTAAGTTCTGCTTGCCCTTTACGAGCTTGAATATGCGCGCTGACTCAACTTATAACAGACCCCATTTCATGATGATCCAGAAGTTCCTTCCGTCGGGTCCAACCACATCTACTATGAGCTATGAGATCTACCGCAACAGGAACTCGACTGATGAGGACTTCAAGCTGATATCGGAGTGCTATGCACGTGTCATGGCAGAAGACAAAGCTCTTATTGCCGGACAGCAGAAGAACCTTAACGCAGGAGTCTTTGCAAGCGGAGAGATGCATCCGAAGTGGGAGAAAGGTCCGATATATTTCCAGACCCAAGTACGGTCCGCTATACTAGAGCATGTTGAGTTGGAGAAGCGAGAGGGAGAAGAAATATGGCCAGCAAGACACCAGCCTTCGAATCCAGACGAAGTGAGCCAGGCTGATATTGATCTTTGCAAGACCCTTGATGCAAACTGCGGGAAAGGGAAGGACTTCGAGTGGTAATTGCAAGCATGGGGTTTCATATGCGATCTTGGTTCTTGAAATGGTCGATTTAGCGGGCCTCAGCGATGTTTATGAGTCAGGAGTATTTATGAGTAGCTATGATGTGATTCACTCTATGAGATGGACTGTTCTATGAACCAGTGCCCTAGTTTCTTTCTTGGCCTAGGAACTTTTGTCAGCAGCCAGATTTCATTTTCAAATCGCCCGACTTCATCCCTCACTTCAACGACTTCCTTTTAGCGAATTTTATCAACATGGCAGCTAAAACTCCGATCGCCGCCATTTTCGAGAATCTTGTAGGCTCCTGGAAGCTCCGGAGGTCCCTCAACAGCGCGTTGGCCGGATTTCCCAGTGGGATTTTTGAAGGGACTGCGACCTTTCGTGCTCGAAAGCCCACCGCTCATACCACTGCCGGGGAATTGCTTTACTCGGAACAAGGGGAGCTAAAGATGGAAAATGGCCTTGTTCTGAAAGCAAATCGAAAGTACGTCTATCGATACAGTTCCGATGAAGACAAGATTAGCGCGTGGTTCGTGAAAGAAGATACGAAGCAAGACGACGGGAAGGAAGAGGTCGATGATCTTTTCCACGACCWTGAAATCAACTCTGCCGGAACTGGCTGGACTGGTCGTGGAGAGCACCTGTGCTCACTGGATATGTACTGGGCATACTATGAGTTTCGTTTGCCCAAGATCGCCGAAGAAGGCAATGAGATGAACGTGTTCGGCGTCAAGTATAAGGTCAAGGGACCACAAAAGGACTATACGAGTGACACGGCGTATCAGCGGATCATGGATGAAGAATCTTCCTCTCTTCTTTGAAGCATGTCCCGCATGCAGGTGCACCGGGTAGCACACATGATGTGCTCGGCTGAGATATAAGCTGGCGGTGTCGACGCTCGGTCAGTCCTGGACTCTTCCCATGTACCCCAAATTGAGCACGATGGCATCGAAGTTGGAACAAGTACTCATCAATGACAGGCTGTCGACCGGCAATATTGGCAGCACTCTTTGCCACTACCTCGATGACGGCACCTCACTCTATTGTATGAGGGCGACATCATGCACAGTCAAGGCCTCCGTAGACCTTGACGAGGGACGACTCTGGGGTGTACTACATCTGCATGCCCCGTTCGGCGGAGACAAGATCTTCAGTCTAGAACGAATATCTCCCCACTGTCACACATTAACTATCAAGGTTAAAGTACGACCTGGTCGGCGTGTTGTACACAACAACGACTCCATCATCTTGGACAAGTGGACGGGTGGGAAGGTGGCCAACAAAAACACAAACACCGGACCTCAGCTCTTGCCATCACAGGATCTGGAGGACTACGAGGCGGACCGGGCATTATACACCTACGTCTTCAAGCGGTTCAAGAAAGTTAAGTCCCTCACTCTTACTGTCGACGGCGATCCTGCCTGGCCTGATCGCGGTGAAATCGAAGTCACACTCGCTTGCCTCCGTTGTTCTATCGAGCGAGCCGAGCTGGAAAATGTCAGGAGTCTGGTTCTATCTCCAATCCACCTCTGTGGCATCCTGCACCTCCGTTGGTCTGGTTTCGGTGCCCTGTACGAGACCCCATCACCTAAGATCGCTGCCAATCTTTGGCAGAGCATGACCCTGCTTGACATTCGTTTGCGCAACCCCATGTACCTGGACAAGCTCACCGAGGCACAATCCATGATGTACACCAAGATACTCCAAGACTACCTGCGTAGCTTCACTTACACTTTGAAGTGTTTAAGATTTGTGTGGCTTGATGGCGAGGGACCCAGCCCCATGCTATTAGACGACGAGCCTGGAATGGGGAATATACGGAGACTCTTCTGGCCAGTACTTGAGGAACTGTCTGTTGGTAACATTCTTGTGGCGAACAAGACAATCCAGGCGATACCTGATMGTGCGCCTAAGGTCAGGGTGGTGAAGGCTTTACGCAGTACACACCGATTCTCCAGGATCGATCCGGAAGATGGAGAGGCATGGGTCGATGTTGAGATTGAGAGCAGTTTGGACCGGCGTCGGCAAGTGGCAAGTTCGTGGGCGAGTAGCTTTTACAGCCAGGAGGGTTTATAGTGAGGTTTGAGAGCTTTGCAGCGAGAACATGAACTCCCGTGAGGAATTTCCACCACATCTCTTGACCCATATTCTCGCTTCCAAACATGTTCCGTGCACTTGTCCCTCTGTGGAAGCCCTGGCGTTGCTTGAAGGGACATTTCCCACACCGACTGACGCTATCCCCAGCGACCGACTCGCTCCCGCTCCCACGCCCGCTCTGTCAAGTCAGACCATTGCGTCTCGCTGCTCATCTTCCGACCACGGCCATGGGAGATCTTCTGGCCGACAATCTTCACCGGCTGCAAATAGTCACAGTGGAAGGTTCCTTCGAAGGTCGTTCCATGATTTCCAAACGTGATGGGGAGGACATTCTCGTCTGCTCTGGTTTGGATTTCACTTTCACCTGTCTCTCGGCCTCTCCAAATATATTCGAATCGCGGACTGGTACTGACTTTGAAAGCCGCGGTCTTGGATCTGGAGGATGCCGGGGGATAGATTCGCATCACGCCTTCGACCACGCCGAAATGGAAGCTCGCACAGTACCTTGGAATGTTTGCTTTGTTCTTGCTGATGGCGGCGGTGGCTTTCCGTGGTTGTATTCCACTGCCCTCCTCGTACTCCTGATATCCCTCGTACTCATCATCGCTTTGTGCGTCTGGCCCTCGAGCATCGTCCACGTCAAAGTCGTCGACGTAGACCTCCATTGTAAGCTTCTCGGGCTGCTCACTCAAATAGCACGCCAGCTCGGTACATTTGACAATCCACGAGCCCGTCAGATCCCAATCGGCCTGGCGTTTGGCCTCCGACAAGAGAACATCTTGTTGTTTCTGCAGCTCGACTCTGCGAGCTTCCTTTGCAGCATCAGCTCTAGCCTTGGCTTGTCGAGCCTCAGAATTGGCTTGGTCAGTCAACTTGTTCACTTGCTGCAGCACCAGATCTGCTCTTCCTATCACCGACCAAGAACCCGGGCCAAGCCAGTCACTCGTTCCAGCCAACATACTTTCGGGAGGCTCAACGGTCTGACAAGACAGGCCAAGCTTCTCGGCCCAGTATACCAGCGCATTGGATCGGGTCTGCACTWCCAGAGCTGAATTGAGAACGTCAGGATCACGTTCGAGTAATTCTTTGAGAGCTCGATGCGCATCGGACTCAATCTTCAGTTCTAGTTTGATTGAAGCATCTTGCCACCAGCGTTCCAGATTTTCCTCGTCCATCTGCTTGTGGTGGGTATCCAGTAAGGCTTGTACTTTGTCCAGATCCTGTTTGATGGTGATGTCCTTGCCGCGATCTCTGCCCCGGATGCGATCTTTGAGCTCGTCAACTTTGCCRGAGGTCTTCAAGCTGCGGAATGAACACTGAGCTTTCCAGTAATCCGTTCCCATCTGTCGAACGTGGGGCTGCCGTTTTGCTATGTTGCCATTTTTGATGCGGACAAGGGGTGGACAGTATTGGTCCACGTTCAAGTCAAAGGAGGTGTTGTAGCGACGTAATTTGCTATATGCTTTGGATACCTCTTCTGGAGTCATCATGAAGTTGAATGTTGTTGTTGTTCTCGATTAGTGTGGTGAAGCAATACAACGGGAGATGAAGTCGTTCGGATGGCTGCGGGATGACCCTGGCGGTAGCCGGAAAGTAACTACATAGATGGAAGCTCACTGCTCCAAATCAGTAATGTGGCGCTCTCTCATAGTATAGTAGTCACGACAGGTGTTTGCAAACACGCAAGATTGAGTGGCATGGTGGAAGTCCTTCATTGCAGCATATCCCGCGACGGGCAGGTAAATGATGTCTAGCTAGATGAGCCGTTCAAGCACCACATCAAGAAGACGATATGTCAGACTGCTTGCAGAGGCCTCTACCTGGACACGTTACAATACAGAGCGTTACATTCCTGCAAGGTACCAGACGCAGACGTAGGAGCCTTGTATCAAGTGCCCGAGCGCGGTTTTGTAGACTTCACCCCCAACGCAATCGTCTTCAAGAAATCACGCTCCTATCTTGCAAGAGCTGAATAGTTAATGCCTGGTCTGCCACTCGAAGCTCTTGGGCGCGAGGCCTGCATGGTATCCTGGTAAGGTATGTTGCAGCTGTGGGATGATCCTGTCATCAAGGGCAGGTGGCTTCTCATATCATCGGCTCAGGCGGCAAATACAGAATTTATCACCCCGGGCAGTACGCAATGTTCAGAACATGCAATCTTCCCTGATGACCAGAGCGATCATCACGTCCAACTTGCCCAGTCGATCCACTCACATCTTCAATCTCGCAAGGTATGTTGTCGGCATGCCGGTCTTCCGATCATGCCCCGCTGAGACCTCAAAGGCCAGGAGGCGGATAWTCAGGGTTCTCGAGGGCTCGAGCGGACAATCAATGCTTCATTCGATGGCTTGGCCCGGCTTTCGACAGGGCTGATATGCATACCATCTCGCCAAGCAAACTTTAGTTTCGCATAAGGAGCGAGTGCTCCACATACCTAGCTGGATTGGGAGAATGCTGCATCCCACTGCATATTTCGTGTATGGTTTAATGATAGCATAAATTGCTCGCGGAATGTGAACCGCGAAACATCGACGATGGTTCGTAACATGTCCGGATGCGCTGGAGATCCATCATGATGTGGGGTTGGGAAGCCGGAAGTGCGAGTGCCTGACGGTGCGATTCGATGAGTCTGCGGCTTGTTCCCCCCCGTCGGATGGTGCTTCGAGCCTCAACACCGCTGGGCGGGGAGCGGTGCAAACAACGAGGGGAGTAGAGTTTGCCACATTCATATCATACGAATAATCACCTCACCTGCCCCATACACACACGACATCCCCGGTGAGGCCGGCGTGCCCATCCCAGAGTCTTGACGGGGATCGTGACGGTTGTACTGCAGGGTCTTGGTTCAGCTGATTGTACTATCTCGGTGCCGGTATATCGATAAATCTGAGAATGACGGTGATGGTGGATGGCATAATTTACGGACGTGCTTTGGCTGAACTGCGGATGGCCTGATGAACAACCCCTGACTATTCTTCCACTATGCCGTTTGAGGTCCAAGCTTAGCTCTATTTTTGCGGCTGCAGGAAGGAGCACGCACGGGGCAGCGGAGCGTAACTAAGGTGTGTGCACTGGGAGTCTGTGCAGTGTTCGGAGTTGATCCACGAACAACCAGGAGCCTTTAGGTACTTTTGATCTCACAGTCGCTCTCTTCAGCCCTACATTCGACGGCGCTGCACTGCGCGGGCACGCTCACTGTTGGACTTCCGGCGACGTCGACTACTGCGGCATCCTCATCTACCATTGAGCAACGACGGATTTCAACTCAGCCTMACACATTTCACCAGATCCGGGCTCCACACACGCGCCCTTTCTGTCGGGGCTCGACTGACCGGGATCGCGAAACGAAACGCTCGCACGCAGCAACCCCGCGGGCCTTACACCTGCGCTTGATCTAGAACGACAGGACGCATCCACCGCGGACTCACGTTGCCGTCGCTTCGCCGTCGCAGCGCTGCGCGCGTGCTTTCGCCATTACTACTGCAGGTACAGGACCGACAAGACCGCGTCTTGGGGAATCTGCTGTGTCTGAAACGGTTACGCAACTAGCCCTCAGACAGGAGCTCGCGACGTGCCCGTGTCACGTTGCTGCCGACTGACGACAAAGCGAAGCAGCTCGACCCGCGCCGCTGCATTCCTCGCCAATTACGCTTGCGCCTTTGTTCTGATTGCTTCGCGGCCTCTTCGAGCGAGCCGCGCAAGTCCTGACACCGACCCTGCCTGTGTCCCGACGACACATCTCCAATGGCAGTCTCCCTGCTGAACACGCCATCGCGGGCGTCGACGTCGTCTGGCTCCAGCTTCATCCCCGTCACTCGACAGAACACGATGAGCTCGCAGGATGGCTCGCGCTCAATGCGCGCCTCCAAGCGCTACTCCGTCACTGCACTGTACCTATCGATGAATGCCAATCAGCGGGATCTCGAAATCGAAGACGACCTAGCAAGAGGTGAGCACGAGACTTCCGCCACACGTTCGCTCACTCGCCGGCGCGGCTAACAGGCAAATAGCTCAGAAAGCATTGAGAGACTTGAAGTCGAAGATATCATCCCAGTCCAAGAAGAACTTCGTGCTGGAAAAGGACKTGCGCTATCTTGATTCGCGAATAGCACTGCTCGTGCAGAACCGCATGGCACTGGAGGAGGTAAGCTTGTGTCGAGGTCAGTATCGATAGGAGTCGTATTAACGCTGCTATAGAAGGAAGAGGTTGCAAGCCATTTGGACGATTCGTTGGATCTCACCGAGGGCACCTTCCCAAACGATGAGAAGACACAGAAGTATGGCAATCTGCTCTTCCTGCTGCAAAGTGAACCCAGGCACATTGCACACCTATGTCGGCTCGTCACCATGGCGGAAATCGACCAACTTCTCCAGACAGTCATGTTCACCATCTACGGAAACCAGTACGAGAGCAGAGAAGAACACTTGCTCCTGACCATGTTCCAGGTATGCCGATAGAAGCTCCCCGACAAACCCCTGCTAATACTTTCAGTCTGTCCTCACTTTCCAATTCGACAACACACCCGACTATTCCTCTCTACTACGCGCCAACACACCCGTGTCACGAATGATGACCACCTACACTCGAAGAGGGCCCGGACAGAGTTATCTCAAGACAGTGCTCGCAGAACGAATCAACTCGCTGATTGAAATCAAAGACTTGGATTTGGAGATCAACCCACTCAAGGTTTATGAAAGCATGATTGGAAAAATTGAGTCGGATGGGGGTACACTACCTGCGAATCTGCCAAAAGGTATCACTGCGGAACAGGCCGCTGCGAATGAGAACGTACAGAGGATCATTGCACCACGCATCGAGATGCTCACAGAAATCGCCAAGTCCTTCCTGGACACCATAATCGACGGCCTCGACGAAACACCGTATGGAATTCGATGGATATGCAAGCAAATTCGAAGTCTCACTCGACGAAAATACCCCGACGCATCGGAGCAGAGCGTTTGCACGCTAATAGGCGGCTTTTTCTTCCTTCGTTTCATCAACCCGGCCATTGTCACACCTCGATCGTATATGCTGATCGAGCAAACTCCGGCCGAAAACCCCAAACGGACTCTCACATATGTTGCAAAGATGCTGCAAAATCTGGCCAACAAGCCAAGTTATGCAAAGGAGCCGTACATGCAGAGACTGGCGCCATTCATCGAGGCCAACAAGGAAAGGATCAACCGGTTCATGCTTGACCTCTGCGAAGTCCAGGACTTTTACGAAACCCTCGAGATGGATAACTACGTCGCTTTGTCGAAGAAAGATCTCGAGCTTTCCATCACACTAAATGAAGTGTATGCAATGCACAAGTTGATCGAGAAACACCAGACCGAACTCTCTCGAGAGGAGCAGTCGCATCTGAGCCAATTGCTCGCCGAACTAGGACCAGCACCCGCCCAACTACCGAGAAAAGACAACAGAGCCATCAATCTTCCACTTTACAGCAAGTGGGAAACCTCACTGGACGACTTCACAGCAGCACTGGACATCACACAGGAAGAGGTTTACTTTATGGAAGCCAAGTCGACCTTTGTCATGATCATGCGATCGCTACCACCAAATTCCATCGTCATGCGGAGGCCACTCCGCCTCGACAAAGTTGCGGAAGCTGCAGCGACGACCAAGAATGATTCCGTCATGGTCCGCAAGGGCATCAGAGCGATGGAGCTTCTAAACCAATTACAAGAGTTGGGAATCATTGACAAGGACGACAGTTACGCGTTACTCAGAGACGAAGTTGAGCAGGAGTTGGTCCATCTGGGATCGCTCAAGGAGAAAGTTCTTGTCGAGACACAAAAGTTAGACGAAGTCTTCCGCACCATTCGCGACCACAACACATATCTTGTGGGCCAGCTGGAAACATACAAAAGCTACCTTCACAACGTACGAGGCCAGTCCGAAGGAACGGCTAAGCGCGGTCAGTCAGCGAAGGTCCTGGGACCATACAAATTCACACATCAAGAGCTCGAGAAGCAGGGCGTCATACAGAAGAGCAACGTGCCTGAAAACCGACGAGGCAACATCTTCTTCAACATCACCAGTCCGAGTCCAGGAACCTTTGTCATCAGTCTACATTACAAGGGGCGCAATCGCGGGYTGCTGGAGCTGGACTTGAAGCTCGATGACCTGCTCGAGATGCAAAAGGAGCAGCAAGAAGACCTCGACTTGGAATACGTCCAATTCAACGTCACCAAGGTGCTCCAGCTGCTCAATAAGCGGTTCGCCCGCAAGCGCAACTGGTAGCATCTGCTCAAAACGACGACGCCTGTGCTCGTATTGGGTTTGTCATGTATTTGTATGATCTTCTGTTTTTTGGCGAAGTGGGTGAGGAAGAGGAGGAATTGATCTGCGTGTTTCCTGTGATACCCGGCGAATGAGTGTGATGAGTTGTACGATTATCAATCCCGGCGGTGGCAAGCAAAGAAATCAAGCTTGAAGGCCGACTAAACGGAAGATGCTTTACCAGATGTATATTTTTGCAGACCAGCTTTCTATGGTGGACGAGAAGGATTGTCAGGATTTTCGTATGGTTCTTTTGAGATAGCTGGGCTGCTTTATTTGCTCCGTCTCACGACGATCCAATACATTGAGTGAGGGTTGACACACATACTTGTTCGAGGAATGGATCGTGCTCCCAGAATTCCGTCAAACGAGGCTGTTGTATTGCTTACTTTCGTATGTGCTACGTCGGACGAGAACCTAGTGAAGAAGGTGTCGGATGACCCGGGATGTTGGAAAGTGATCACAAGGTAACTGTGACTCGCACTACCCATGCTTTGGGCAACCCGTCCCACATCTTCCACATTGATGAGTCGCCCTACTCCCTTGAAGCCCACGTAACAGCACACGACTGAACAAAGCCTACTGGAGAACCACACTTTCGCCCTCCTACTTCGAATTCCTAGATCTGGACCATGTCATCCTCAATAGCGATCCCCAAGCGCAAACAACCGATCCGCAACTCTCTCTCCAGCTCCTCCAGCTCGTCGTCCTCATACTCTCTCCACAACAATTCGATGCACTCGCCGCATGCTGTGCCGTCAACGTGCTTCTCTTCGGGTAAAGGCAAACAGAAGGTTGTGGAGGGAAGTCCTACAACTGGACAGCGAATCTCTGCGAGAAGGCCTTCGTTGATGGGTATGCACTTCCCTCCGTTGCTGCAGCACCTTGATGGTGGCTTGGGAATTAAGAAGGAAGAGTGATATGCTGATTCGTGGCACAGGAAGCTCCTTATCAGAGAGTTCCTACACTGTCATCAATCTAGGACATGAGGATGGTCCACCGCGGCTGGTGAGTTGGCGAGCTTTGTCAAACGGACCTGGAGAAACAGCACAGCTGATTGAGGGATCTCTCGCAGGTAACTTGTGTCAAGTCGGAGCAGGGCTTCGTTTGGAATCAGGGTGAGTTGATAACGTTCCCCATCACATCCATGATCTACGCGGCTGACAGGTCTCATCTAGAACTATTCCTCCCCTCCTACGCCGATTACGACTCGCAAGACTTGGAGCATCGTCCCGACCCAGTGCAAGAGATCATACTCACGGATGAGGAGGCCGCTGCTATGATGCCCAGGTGATTCAGCTATTGACGATTGTATATACACGGCGATTGAGCGTAGGTATGGAGTGCAAGCTGAAACAGACAGCTATGGTTACGGTTGTGGTTATTTGAGAATGGGTACACATGGTGCTTTGGGATAATCGAGCTGGTTTCTACCGGATTAGAGGCTATTGGGTGCTTGATCTTGTCAATTTCTACAACAATCTACCAACTCCAACTCCCCAGCACATCAACTGTCTCCAGCTCTCGAGTCACGCCGTAATGATAGATCGGCAGGCAGCGGCTAGCTGATAAGCGATAGCGTAGGTCGATGGCCCGGACCCTGTCGATCCCGATCCCGTGCCTTAGTTCCAGCGCGTCAAACGCAACAAACCCCACACGCGTGACAAAACACCTCATCATCATCACAGTAACATAAGCCATGTCGAACATATTCGAGTCTRGCGCCTTCCAGCATGGTCAAAGAGCAACAGAGTCCACACATAGAAAGATTGAACTCCAGAGTCCCGCGGATCTGACATATCTTATCGCGAACGTGTCACGAGCTGCTCGCGAGAAGTTGGACAAACATTTGCCGCCCGATGCTGTTGCTGAAGGAGGCGAGGATGCGATGAGAAAGAGAGTGGAAGAGTTGGTCGAAGAGGTGGGTTGATCACTTGAGCATTGGCAGAGAGGAGTGCTGATGAGGAGACAGTACATTCGAAACACCTTCAATGCTTCCAAGGACAGCATTTGTATCAATGGAATGGAGAGGGAAGAGTTCGAGGCTGAATTGGCAAAGGCACAGGAGGGAGAAGGTATCAATACACAACCACATGCCGCAAGCATTTTACGTGTGCAATGGCTGACATGAAGTGCACAGAGCTGGAACCCTTCGACACAAAACTCGCCCAACGTATCCAGGCCCTCTCCGCACAAATAGAACATCAGACACTCCAGCTAGCGAATTTGCGACGAAAAGCACCCCAGGAAACGGCGCAGAAATTCACACAATCTTTCGAAAAGCAATCAGAGGAATTTGATGCGAGAATAAAAGCCGCCGAGCAAGCTAAGCTCGAAGCTGCGAGAGCTACGAGGGTGGAATTGGGGAGCGTGGAACGAATCGAGGAGATGCAGAGTACATGGCAAAAGGGCAACGAAAGTCTCGCTGCCTTGAAGACGGGTCTGGGAGGGACAGTTGCGAAGATGGAAAAGGCAAAGAAGGCGGTGGATGTTGTGGAAGAGCGATGAGTTGTCATGAGGACTTGTGTGTGTTTAGGCGATGATACCCAACGAAGGATCTTGGAGTTTTGGCGCATGACGGGAAGAATGGCATACGCGATCAAGAGGACAAAAGGTATTCGAAACTACCAAAAACTGCATGCTTGACTCTTGATGATCACAGAATCTCCTTCCCTCCTTCCTGTCTATCAGGTATACTCATATCCACTGGCTTGCGTCGCGTTGCTGGTGATCAACGCAGCACCCAGGCATTCTTTTCCGTACGTTACATTGTCGAGTTTGGCAAAAGCCTGCCACGGCCCAATCGAGCTATCGTTGCCGCAAGAACAAAACAGCACGCCTTCGCCGACTCCCGTCATACTCCAGGATAGCTCGCCGAACCATGCGAGTTGAGTGTTCTTCCTGATCGGAATTGCATGTCAGCTGCGTTGCGAGAGGGATCCGACAGACGAAGCCAGCACACTTACCATCCCTCTGTAATGGCTCCCACAGGCATATATGCGGAATGGGGCAGCGTATATCCTATCCGACCACACGTTGGATCGATGTATCTATACATGCATCATCAGCGTTGTCCAACAGACATTCTCAATTGTCGAAAACATACAAAAGCTGCCCGCCAGGAACGCCAACAGCCAACCCCAATCCGCCGCCATCACCCCCCACTCCATACGCCGTAGACTTTCCTGTCGTGTTGGGACAAGGTAAACCCTGGACTACGGGACAGTAATCGGTCTGTGCCTTTCCAGCCCAGAGGCCTCCGGACGCGGCATTGATGGATGTGAGATGGATTGATTTCGTGGAGTGGGCTGCTATCATGCTGAAGAACTGGGCTGTGGAGAGGGAGGGGAGAGCCGCGAGAGCCGCGAGCAGGACGAATGATTTCATTCTCAATCTCTTCGTTTTATGCGAGGACAAAAAGAAGACGGTACCGTAGCAGAGATGAGAGTGTGGAAATGGGGAAGGAGGAGGGTGGTGATTTTAGCTATCTCGAGACACTTCTCGAGGTCCCACAAAAAAGCAGACTTATAGCCGCACAGGACTTTCTACCGCAGCTTTGGAGGGTGAAGAGAATGAAATGATTGTGTGCAGAAACTGTGATTGTGGTTGGGGTGGCACCTCTTGTACAACTAGCAACCACCCTAGTGTATGCAAGTCACCGTGTTCGAGTTTCAGATTGAGAGAGAGGAACTTCAAGTTCAAGTGACTCAATACGCCCGAGGAGCACTTGCTCTCCAAGTGCAATGCAGTATCAATCTGCGGTACCGCTACATACTACACAGGAGGAAGATCGGCCCAGTCGATCGCTTGACTGCCCATGACCCTATCTGGGTCCTGCAGTTGGACACCACCGTTGGAGCTCAAACAAAGCGTACACTCGAAGGGTCGCACAATCAAAAGCTGCAAGTTGAAGCGTCTTGCGGACGACTTTTGACCGTGATCCATTCCTTTAAATCTATAGCTCATCCTTTATATGTTGCTTACGTTCCCTCTCCGCATCCTCTCTCTGGAGTCTCTCCTGAATGCTCTCCTCGCCAGCCTGCGTGCCAGGAACCCCAGGTTCGACGACCTCCTCATTGGCACCACTCTGCCTGTCCTTGTATCGCTTCGCCACCTTAGCTATCTCATCGTCATAAGCCGTCCACTCCGGAACCTGTCTCCTCGCACGATCGAGTTTGGGCTCCTTGGTCTGAGGGTTGTTACACAGGTCAATCGTCTTGGCCTCCTTCAGACTTTCGTCAGAGCACCACGTCTCGCACCACAACCACTCCTGCGGTAAGCTATGGATCGGGAGCATGGACTGCATGTGATTCGGGAGATCCTGATCCAGATTGCTSAAGCTGTTTGGATCAGCGGAGAGTTGATGATAATTCTGTCTCAACCTATCTCCCGCAGCCATTTGTCTGAAGAGCTTCAGATCAACAACATACAAAGCGGAGATATGATACGGCAATCCCTTGAGGAAGTTCTTCCAGTATCCCTGTTTCCAGAATCGGAAACCTTCCATCTCGGTGCGTGAGTCGCACATGGGTGTGAAACCGTAGGGTGCGCCTTGAAGATCGTGCTGTACAAGCTCGTACATGTCAGTCCGCACGATTTGGTCGGCGTCCACGAAGATGACCTTGTCCAAGTCCAGAGGGAATAGTACGTCCAGGAACAGGATTTTGTAACCCCAGATCTCACGTTGCTTTTCTTTCTGTCCGCGCAGCCAGTGTGGCCATTTGTAGGTCACCATTTCATACTGGAAACCGTACTCTTCTGCCATGACAGGCAGGAAGTCTTTGAACGAAGGAGATAGGAATTGCTCGATGAACCAGAACTTTACGGTGTGCTCGGTGTGCTTCATGACGGACACCATCATGATGTTCAGCATACGCTCGTACAAGTGACCGGATGCGACGGAGAAGATGTTGATGTCGGCATGGCGGGCTGCGGTAACCTCAGACTTGCCCACTCCTGAGAACAAACCGGATCCAAGCTGTGCAGCTTTGGAAAGGTATTTGCTTGCATGTTGTGACCTCAATCCAGCTTGTGCAAGCAACTTGTCGGCACCCTCTGCGAGAGACTCCAATGTAGATTTCGAAGCTTCCAAAACATCCTCCGCTTCCATTCCAGGCTTGCGGGATAGTTGTGGAAACAGGGTGGTGCCTCTGAATCCCATTAATGCAATCTCGGTGGAATGCTCGCCAGGCTGCGCAGTGGCGCCTAGCAATCCTGCGCTATCGATGTTGAAGATCTCCTCACTTCGTCCTTTTTGAAGACCAAGATTGTACACGCCCGGGTTCGCCTTGAACTGGAAATAACCAAGGTTGGCCATGATAATTGTGTCTGCAAAGTGTGGATCGAGGTCTGTACCCAACACCAACTGAACACCGCGAGGAGGAGGTCCAGTTGAAGCATCTTTTGAATGACCTTCGATGAGAATATGCTTGAGCTCGTAGGTCGCATCAATATCGGAGCCGCTCCGAACCGCACTCAGCTTGATATTGTCCAGGTCATGCACAGTTTCCTTTGGTGCCACCAACCATGATGGTGGAAGGTCCATACCCATGTTGAGCAAAGCGTCCGCGGGCAACCCACTGAAATGAGCGCCATTATGGCTTAACGAGCCATCACTTTCAAACACAGGCTTCGAGCTAATCACATGTCTGTAGAAGCGCTTAATGGGAATCTCCTCGAGTCGATCCCGAGGGTTGAGGAATAGACTGACGTATACACCGTCCAGCTCAGACAAGACCTTGAGTATAGGTATCCATCTCTGTGCCGTCTCAGAAGCAGGGTCTATCGCAGTGTAAATTTGAATCGACGCCGTCTTGGGATCTCCCATCTGAATCGCGGTATGGGTCGAGCTCCATTTCTTGAATACATCCGTTCGCACGGTAGGAGCTGCTTCAAAAATGCCTTCCGGTACGTCCGATATCAACGAGAGCGCAATCAAGTTCGATATACGCGCAAATGCCAGTGGTGTAGACGCTTTCTCCTGAAGCTTGAGGTCCTCGATTGCCAAAGCAGCGGGCAGTAGGCGCTTCTTCCTTTCATGGTTATACAGGGTCTCGAGATCTACGGCCTCAAGCGTGGTCCACTCGGGAATTGGGCCGATCACCCTGCCATTGATGATCATGGCCTTTTGGCCCGGTTGGATGCCTAGGCTTGTAACAATGTCTTGAAACGGCGCCCACGCCTGTATAACAGCTTCGTCAAGCTCTGAAGTTGATGGACTTGCCGACGTCGAGCGGATCTTCTCGTAAATGTTCCTCTTGGAGGCTGCGTCATCTTGGGATCCATCACTACCCTCACCCCGAAGCTTATCGTATCCTGCCGCAAGAGCGGTGAGCGCCTTCTCGCCGTCTGCAGTTGCAAAGATTGACCCCAATCTCTGCGTCATGCTCGAGTTGCCAGGAATGTGCAGAGCAGCAACCTCAACGTTGTCATGCTCTTGGCGGAATAGCAGCGCTTCCATGAGCTGCTCGAAACCTTTAGCGCTGTCCAAGTCAGCTGCCACTGTGATGTGGACGAGTTCTCGCTCAATAGTGTCTGTGCTTGCAGGCAAATTGGGCAGGTTCTCAAGCTCGGGATAATCGCCAAGGTTGAGATGGCGAACAGCTTTATCGTCTTCTGGAACTACCAGTGGATTTCTCCTCAAGCTAGCGTRCTCGAGGAATAGATCTGGTAGATAGTCTGCGTCTGTAACGCTTCCATCATAAACAGCCTGCTGCACAATTCGCAGATCTGTACCGACTCGTTGGCTCATCGTCGACAGCCACTCCTCTGTGCGCGAAATCGGTACACCATTAGCAAAGACCAGCGGAGTAACACCAGTGTCTCCAAGCCTGGAAGTGTACGCCTGGGCTCTCTTGATGCGAGCATCAAGCTGCTCATCTTGAAGTAGTCCAGTCAGGGGTAGTGCATCCTTGTTCCGGCGAAGTTCGCGACCTTCAATAGCAGCCGAAAAGTGTTTCTGATCTGGTGTACCGAGCTTACGGCTGGAGGCTTCCACGACCCGCTCGRGATACGCAAGCGCAGTAGCAAGCCCGTATCTATCCAGCAGGTACAATATCGCTTTGGCGTGCTCCTCGCTAACCGGAGAATTGATGCGTGGAACGAGCCCAAACCTGATCGGCAGCTTCCTCTCAACAAATCCTCGAATGCTATCAACGACAAGAGCGGCATCGTTGTAGTCGCCAAAGTCGATCGACATTACAAGATTGTGCACCTCCTTCCGCACAGAAGGAAGCTGTCCAGGGTAAGTACGCTGTAACAATGCCTGCGCAGAGCCTGGGAATGCGGCGTATCTCTTGTCCTTTTCAATGTTGTTCATCCAAATGATGACATTTCCACCTTCGGTGTCATCCCGCCAGTCATAACGCTGCGTCTCTTGGCTGACCTGCGACYCAGTGATCGCCTCGTGAGATAGCAGCTCAACCGCTTCTTCGCCATTGAGACCAATCTCTTGGACAGAGTTGATCAGCTTTCGCTCCCGTCTGAGGTGCTCCAAAAGTGCATACGCTTCGACATCTCGAGCCATGATCTGAACTCCATTGATCCACATAATGTTGTAGCCAGAAGGCAGAATCTCTGCTCGATTCTTGGCATGTTCTGCGACGAATTCGTCGGAGACATTCGCAGCCGCGATCGAGCTTGAATGCTTGGGAAAGTCCTGCGATAGACGGAGGAGTGTTTCGAATGGCGAGTCACTGCCCATAACAAAGCTCGCGGCTTTGAGACCCAACCGCCTCAACTCCGAAGAGGACAGAGGACGCAGGTCTGAGACCTCTTCTTCGCTCAGGCTAGCCTCACCCGTACCGACCGTCGCGTCCTTTTGCGCCTCTTCATCTTGCCGGTCGTCTATGACAATGTAGTCTGTTCTCTTAAGCGCCAATTCAACGCCATACCCGCTGACAGCAAATGGCTTGCTCTCAGCACCCGTCGCTGCCTTGTATCGCACTCGATATGAACTCTTTCCGTCCCTTGCAGTTTTACTCAATGTCTTGTGGAATTTGCGGAAAGACGCTGAGCCTATCTCCGCGTACAGAACTGAAGGACGCTCGCTCAAGCTGTCCCCCAGAATCCTGTCAAAGGGGAGAGAGTGTACCTTGGGGCTTRATGGACCGAAGGAATGTGCGCTTGCCTCTTCCATCTCCGCAGAGCAGTATCTCTCTCCACTGAATGGGACGTGTACCCAATTGTCGCACTCTTCAGCAGCATCCTGCGGGATGGCCGGGACAATCGACGTGTTGTAGTATTGGTAATGCGCTTCGATTCGGGGCGCTGCGGAGTGTATTGACAGAGCATAGTCGAACAACGATAAATCCTCTTTAGACAAGTGCCCATCATCCTGTAGCAGAGACCGGAAGGAAGTGTAAAGGTCCTGATCGGTTGTGGAGGAATCGAAGAAGCCGTCTGCGATGCGATCGAGGAGAGGAAAGTAGGAGCTTGCGTTGGTGTCTGCCGCCGTTTCTCTGCCTCGGGTTAGCAAGAGTCTCGGTAAGTCTGGATTCGGGCGTCTCCTACAGTAATTCAATCAGGTATGGCGGTGCCCCAAACGATGTTCGCAGTGCAACGTTTACAGATGGAGCAGCATTGGCCCATGCTGCCAGCAACCCGCTGGCGACAAGGACCTTCTTCCACCCCGACGCGAATGCCATATTTCACAACTGAAATGAAATGCTCTCCTCAAGCATCAAGGGCAATTGTGAAAACACTTGAGGTGTTGAAATGAGGTAGGTGTAGGAGTAGCGGCTTTGAGCCCAGAAAAGCTACGTGTCAATCGATATGACGAACGCGACTGCCGCGATGTAGCAGGTCGCAAGCAGCAATGCAATATATTAAATGATCTTCACCACGAGACCGGCTCAAGGTGAAAGCATCGAAAGGCGAGATCCAGAACAATTCATTCACTTGACCAATGCAGAAAGATCGCGGAAGTGCTTACTCATTTGCCGCGATTAGCTCCATCCCGGTCGAGATGTGAAGCACTTTACGAGACATTATCACAGACTTGCAATAGTGCATAACATCCTCCAAGACTGATCAGTAAGTTGGACATGTGCGGCCAGGATGTCAAGACGCGCGTTCTATACTGGGACCATTCGCGAGCCATGGGTTTAATTTCATCCTCGCAACCGACGGAGCTAAGTACTGTGTCCTGCTATACTGTATACTGCTATGATTTCACAAACCATCACCTAGCTCTAGTACGCCACCATCAGCGGGAAGCCTTGAATCTCACGCTCAAAGTTCTTGTGCATCGAGATGGCATAAAAGTAGCTGCCCATGAAGTCGGCGGCACCTTTCACCACCTGTACAGACTCCGTGAACGTATCAGGTTGGGTCTTGGCCGCTGTGACGACACCATATGAGTCCGTCACGGTACCGCTAGTGGAGAACTCCATGCCTTCGAGCTCAGTCGCATCTCTTACGAGGTCAACGGCCTCCCCAACGGCACCAATAGCCTTGAGGTGGGCAAAAGCCTCACGAACCCAGTGAAGAGCTCGTCCCATCTTGCGTAGCGTTGCGACCGAATCGGCTCCGCCAGGAACGAAGATCGAATCGAACATTGTAGAACGCATTCCCTCAAGATGATGGTCAGGCGTAACGCCGTCACTAGATGCCTTGCTTTCACCAGCAGCGAAGATGGGACTTCGTCTTGGCGCGATCGTAAACGGCAGGGCGTTTGCAGCCTTCAGAGCAGCTACCATACCGTTGTAGGCAGCAGCATCGTAACCATCCGCAATGATGATCGCAACACGTCGTGTAGCAATTGTCGGAATCTCGGGCTCGAACTCTGTTTGACTCAGGCCTTTGCTCGTCTTGCCATGGTTTGATCTGCCAGCTGTCTGTGGAACCTCGCCTCCGACCAGCTCTGCCACAGATTGTGCCAACGGACGATCAATATCGGCAAGGCGTTGAGACATGCGGTTGTACACAATGGGATCCTCGCAATGATCGAGCTCAAAACCCAGGGCAAACTGGATATGCATCTGTTCAGGCTTCGACATGGAGTTGTAGAAGAGCTGTGCTTGATTATAGTGCTGGTTCGGGTCAGCATATCCCGCGCTGTTTTGTAACACATGTGGAACAAACCTCTCTGAATTTCTTGCTGCGAAGACGAGCCTTCATGCCCTCTACTTTCTGCGGGTAATCGACATAGGCTCCTTCTGATGGCTGTGCGGGAGGGCACTTCCCGAACCTGTTGGGCCAGTAGTTCACGGTGCCCTTTRTGATCGTATGCCGCATTTGTCCGTCCCTGTTTTCCAGATGTATGGTCAGTTACCGCTGCGAGACACGATCCAGTGAAGCTTTCGATAAAGCCATTGACTTACCGGTTATTGTTCATGACAGGGCAAACGGGGCGGTTGATAGGCAGCTCCTGGAAGTTGATACCTATTCGGCTCAGCTGCGTGTCCTGGTAGCTGAAGTTGCGGCCCTGGAGCAGCGGGTCATCAGAAAACCCAATTCCTGGTGGATTCAAGTCAGCTCAAATGCAAACGCCAAGTGAAGTGTATGACAAACCTGGAGGGATATGTCCGGTACAGAAGGCGACTTGCTCAGTCTGGGTAAAGTACTCATCGGGGTTGCGGTTCAGCTCAAGCTCGCCAACGTATTGGATGGGCACAAGTTCCTCGGGCCAGATCTTTGTGGCATCGAGTATGTCGAACTCGAACTTGTCTTCGTCGCTATTAAACACGGGGTGATCAGAAAAGTGCCATGATGGTAGGCGTAGACCGCAACGTCCCAACCCGATCTATGCTATCAAGCGMACTTACCCTTCTGGAATCACTTGTACACCAAAGTTCCATTTGGGGTACAATCCTGCTTCGATGGCCTCCCTTGAAAATAGCAATTTCAGCAGTCATTTCATGGCAGAAACCATTGCACACTTACCACAAGTCCTTGCGATGAAAGTCGGGGTCCTGCCCTGCCAGTTTGAGTGCCTCGTCCCAAACAAAACTGTGCACGCCAAGTTGAGGAGTCCAATGGAACTTGACAAAGTGTCTCTTGCCCGCATCATTCTCGAGGGTGAACGTGTTGACTCCGAATCCTTGCATCATACGATATGAGCGGGGAATGGCGCGATCACTTTGCTGCCACATGAACATATCTAAAGCACATATTGATTAGGATTGTTTTCAATAGACGAGTCCAAGCACTTACGTGTAGCCTCCGTGTGCAGATATTGAAAGTCCCAGAAGTTATTATGCGCAGATTGAGCCTGGGGGACCTCGTTGTGTGGTTCCGGTTTACCAGAATGAATAAGATCCGGAAACTTTAAGGCATCTTGGATGAAGAAGACTGGAATGTTGTTTCCAACCACGTCCCAATTCCCCTCGGTGGTGTAATGCTGCATTCATCGATAGTCAGCGATATTGAAGGCAGCGATTCATTTTTTGTGGACTCTTTTGTCCGATCGGACGGCAACCAGTTGAACCTGCCCTGATGGAAAATCCGCGAACGTCACGCACTGTGTCGGCGGATCCGCGACTTCCAAGGACAGTTGAAAATCGGACGAAAGTCTCAGTCGTTCGCGAAGTGTCTGTCAGCACCTTGGCAGAAGTGTACTCTGCCAGACTCTTGTGCATCTTGAATGTACCAAAAGCGCCAGCGCCACGTGCGTGTACCACTCTCTCTGGAATGCGCTCATGGTCAAAGCGATTGATCTTCTCTCGTCCAGCGTGATCTTCAAGGAGATGAGGCCCTGTCTTGTTTTCGGTAACGACCTTCAACGTATCATCTGGTAATAGGCTTGTCAGCTACAGACGTAGAGAAAGGCTTAGTTCCCACATACCGGTATTGGATTGGAGGACGCCGTAGTCAGTGGTGATGCGAGCCTTGGGGTCGTTGTAGTCTCTCGTAGCACCGGCAATATCGGATGCCTTTGGACCAGCACTGCCTCCCAGGGTCTGCTGTAGCTTGTTGAGACCTGCAGAGACGGCTTGTCCTGCTTCAGATGCCATATCGATCGTCTTTTGGCTCTTTTTGGAAAGCAATTGACGGTGATGGCGAGTTGTCTGTTATGCAAATTGGAGAGGAGATGATACGTGAGAAATTACGCGTAGAGAGAGAAATGCCTTTTCTATCGCCCCTGCCCGCAGTTGCATACTAATTGCATCGCCATTTGGTCATGGTGACAACAGCTGCGAGCTCGCGACAAAGAATGTAACAACCAATCGATACGGCGAGGGTCAATGGCGAGGGACGGACGCGTTATGCAAATGGGACGTCATGGTGAACAAACACAAACGCTGTGCTGGGGTCACTGGAACGTCTTCCCAGTATTGGCCACTTCATCGGAGTTGCCTCGCTTTGATGTCGCTGACACGGAGCAGGTAGTTACCAACTCATCCGAGACGTCGTCCCCACAGGCTAGCGAACCGTGGCTCCACTTTCGCATGTTCAAACTTTCACCGGAGGTGGCTCCGAACCGTCGATCGCTCGAAGTAGCCTGGAGGTACTGTACCGGGCTTCACTCGATACCAAAACTACCTTAGACACTTAAAGCAGGAAAACGCTGACTCTCTACCACATGTTACGAGTAAGAAAATACTTCTCCAGCATGAATTGGTTGGATAAGCCGAAGCACAGTCTTTCTAAGTTTGGGCATGTTAGAGTCTCTTCATTATCATCACGCTAGTCTCACGTTTTGCTCTCTTGTATCCCCTGGTCTCGTCCGTAGGAATAGCGTTTTTCTTCGAGGCGACGAGGACTGCCTTCGCATAGGACGTTGTATCGTCTGCGTTTCGTGCTGCCCGCTTAGGTGAAGATTCTGCCAACTTTCTCTCCTTCTGGTCACCAAACACATAGTCTCCGGCTCCACTGTTGAACGAGATTTGTGTTAGCTCATGGATGAGGCAATGTTCTAGTACCTGGGCCTCGTGTGGGAAGAACCTATAGCAGAGTCAGACTTCGTCAGCCGTAGAGAAGCCACACCGGGCCATGCCGTCCTTGACAACATTGCATGGATCTTCATTTCCAAAGTGGTAGGTGACTTTGTCCAAGCTGGCCTACATTGACGAGAAGTTGTCTGAGCGCTGAATTAGCCGTGCCTTTTCCTAGCGATCTATGCTTCATCGCCAACCTGACACAAGCTTATCATAACCTTCGGTGATAAAGTATTTCCAAAGTAGCGCTTGTGAAGCTTTCTCTCATGCGAGTCGAACTCCTCGCGGAGTTGAACGACAAGACTCGAATGACGCTTGGGTATCATCACTGATAGACCAAGCAGAAAGCCCTACAGCAGAGCGTGTCAAAAGCTTCGGGATGTGCATCACGAAGTGGGCGAAGGAATGTGATCCTGGGAAGTGCCCGGCAGTGTAAAAGCAGCTGAGTCTGAGGGATAGAATTGTAATATCTGAAGTATGGGGTTGTAGTGAAAGACTGAGCGTTCGGTTATACGATGAACCTGCCGTAGTTTGAAAGAAGTTGGTGCATCAGAAAGGGAGGCTCTGAACCCAACTCAAAATTCGATCGGGATGTCGCGGAGCTGAATGGCCACAGATCTCTTGAGGCTACCGGAGATACGGACCCCATACGGCCATTTAGAAAGAAGTCGCAATGACCGCAGACTTGACACGCAATCACTCGGAATCTTACCGGGTAGGCGCAGATGGAGGAAGCCAGAAATGCTGTTCATAATCAAGGTGCCGTGACCATCCTCTAAGAATCGTTTCGTGTAGTGGTGAAATTTCATTCGGCACCGCTCAGGTAGATATTCTTAGTATGATTGGATGGTGCAAGCCCTCATGTCGTAGATGTCGTCGTGGTGCCTATCGCGGAGGCAGAGAAGACCCCCGAGACGTACTTCGTATTCCCAGAGTATACTTCATCCGATGTTTTCGAGGGTAGCGAGACCTTTCCGACGGCGTCGTCCCGAATGTAGGTGTGCGGAGGAGGAGACGTTGACTTTGATCGGCAAATAGAAACCCTAATAAGGTAGCTCCGCTGCGCTGCGCCCCACATTCACATGCCTGCTGGGAAGATCTACCTACCTGGAACTCATTCACCTCACATCATCATTTTCGACAACACATGTTCTTCCTCCAGCTCGAGCCGGCCTCGAGTATTCCATTCCAGTCCGTACAATGCAAACCAGTTCATGACTTGATATGAAGCTCCAACTCCAATGATTGACCTTCCAACCCGTCTCCGTCGCGCAATCCGACTCTCCGATGCGGTCCTCTGCGCTCGAATCCTCCGCTCCCACCCCTTCCTCCTCCAAAACCCGGACTTTGCCAATAAATCCAACACATCTCTCCRTCTCGCCGCCTCTCAGGGCTCACGAGAAATTGTCCAGCTCCTCATAACTCTCGGTCACGACATTTCAGAAATATCGCGAAATGCAGACCACGATACCCCTCTGATGCTCGCTGTGAAAGCAGGACACGTCCAAACGGCTGCACTTCTCGCTCAGAATTTCCCGCGATGCATTCCAATTGTGAATAAAGAGGGTCTGGATGCCCTGGCATTATCTGCTCAAACGGCAGCATCCAATGCTTTGATTCCAATTCTATTGGAGGATCCCAATTTTCCCGCGAGCGTGCATGTTCGGGACTATGATGGAAATACGCCTCTCCATCATGCTTCCGCGTCTGGAGCACTGAAAGCTCTGCGGCTGTTACTAGCGAACGGAGCGGACCCGCTGGCGAAGAACAACTATGATTGGACTCCACTGGCGTATAGTCAGACGGTGGCGGCGGAGGTGTATATGAAGAATCTTGTAGCGGAGTTTGCTCGACGCAAAGCTGAGGGGGCAAAACTGAGCGAGGAGAGAGAGAGAATGCGGGCTGGTGGGGTGAGGCTTGTAGGTGGGGATAGTATGGAGGACATTGTGGACGAGGATGATGTCATTGGGGATGTGTTGAAGAGACATTGGAGCCCGACGGATGTGAGAAGGCCCGCAACGCCAAAAAGTAGTTTTGAGTGGGGGAATGCCCTGGGCCACGCGAGGACCAGATCCGGGTCTTGAAGTTCAAGTATGCCCAACGAAGTATACGACCAGTGAAGGGAGTTCATTAGAGGAGGAAGCAGCGTTTCAAATTTCGTAAACATATCTATGGATGAGAGGTCTATCTGCAATAAAGCGAGCCGGGTATCTCCGCCATGCCTACGAAAGCAATGCAACAGTCTCAACTGCAAGTTCACCATCCTCCACGACTGTAGAGATCCAAATAGTGTCCTACCGCCATCGTCATCCAATCATACCGTCGTACCCTCTTTCGGCGGTCCCAAAATACACAACACAATCCTATTGTGCCGGCCCTGGAGGACCCTGATCGCTGTTACTCCTCGAGCCACTCGAAGGTCCACYGCCAGTCCCTAGCCCTCCAGGTCCAACACCACCTTTGTTCATCCATCCAAACCAACTGCTACGGTTGGCAGACTTCTTCGCCGCATCCTCGTCTGCGGCCTCTTGCACCAAGCGTAGTGGACGAGGCTTGCTGCCCATCATAACCGCGCCACTGATCTTTGTATCTTTGTCGCCGCTGCTTGTAGTACTCCTGGGAGGAGATGGGAACCCCTGCGCAGTTTCAGAAGCAGCCATGTCAAGAGCTTCAAAGTTGGGGGAGTTCGTGACCATGCTATTGCGATTGCTGTGGAGTTTGCTATCGCGTTGAGGACCCACGCTCTCTTTCCCGGCTGAGCTTTCGTTAATGGTAGGCACAGACGAACCGCTGGGTACCCGAGAGAAGAAGGCGGATGAGCGTCCGCTTGGGGATGAGAGTCCTGGGCTAAGAGGCCCTACCGGATTGGATGGACCGCGATACATGTTGGTCACGACACTAGCGGCTGGCCAGTCGGAATTCGCACGTCGATGACCGCTTGCCATGCGTGGTCCAATCGGCACGCTTGGTGCAGTCTCAGGGTTTTCATTCCCTCTTGGAGCTCCACCATCACCTCCGAGCTGCTGGGAAAGTGGTCTAGGTCGCTTCGGGCCTGTTGAGGTCTTCGGACCCATGACGCTCTTGGCGCGTTGGAGGAGACTAGGCTGCTCGTTGTCCTTTGCGGGAGGCGGAGGCGGCAGGTCCTTGTCCTTGTTCGAGAGTGAGGGTGGGCCAGCCATGAGATCGGGTGTCTTGTCCAGGATCTGCTCAAACTGTTCGTGCTGGAGGAGGCGAGAGATGATATTGTTAATATACAATGTCAACGCCTTGTTCTGGTCCTTGAGACTGTTCACCTCGGTCCGCAGACGACGATCGTTGCTATCGCCTTCGCCCTCGCTATCTCCGAGTTCGTCTGCAAGACTAGTGCCTCTACCTTCTTCTCCAGGAGGTTCGGGGCTTCGTGATGGCGGTCTTGAAGCCGTGTTGGGGTTGTAGGGGCGGAGAAAGTCGCCGCTCAGCGTCTTCTCACTTAGAAGAAGCTGAAAGGACTCGTTTTCCTCCATCAGGCGGGCGTTTTGCATCTTGACTTCGTACATTTGCTTCTGCAGCTCGCGTAGATGCCCACCTCCCATGTGCTCCATCTCCACGACTTTGATCTGCGACTCGGCCAGCTCCATCCGTAGCGATTCTATAATCTTGTCCTTTTGCATAACCAGCTTGGAGTTGTTACGCGAGACGGAGTCGCTCCTTTGCATGGACGACGGTGCAAACTGCATATCTCCCGCCTCGGGGTTGGGCGAAACACCTCCACTGCGGCCGCTTGCTGAGCGTGACACCATCGGCCGGCGCTCATCGTCCAGACCCGCACGCATTTCCCTCTGCGCCAGCGTTTCCTTCATGCGCTGCAGTGCACTCCGCATTTCCTCTTCTCGGTTGGTGGCCTCTTCCTTTTCCTTCATGCTGGCTGCACGCTCCGACTCGTAAATCTGCTCCAGCTCACGACGGGCTCTTGTGCTCTCCTTCTTTGCATTCTCTAGTTCTTCAATGCGCTCCGAGTTCTCGTGCACACTCTCCTCTAACATCGCTTGTTCCTTTAACGATTCGTCTAGCTTTGCCTGCACTACTGCCATCTGCTTTTCCTTCTCCAGCGTGGCCTGCTCAGCAAGTGCAAGCTTCTCCGCCAGCTCCTCTAGTCGGGCATGCATCTCTGCCTTGGCATCTGCCTCCGCGGTGGCGTCGACGGAGGTGGGCTTCCGAGCAGCAGCACGAGCAGATAAGGGTGTTCCCGTCCGAGTGGAACGTGTTCTATTCAGGCCGTTGGTGGCTGTGCTGGTGGTGTGGTTGGTCGCAGTGCCAGTTGCGCTCGCTGGCCGCGCAGGACTAGATGTTGCAGATGTCGCCATGGCGGCATTGCTGTTGGGGGTCTTTCGTGCCGCGGTGGGCACCGCGGGCTTCTTATTTGGGGTCGATGCTGACATGATTTGATTACGAGCTGCTGCGCGGTCGGTGGTGGGAGCGCAGCATGCGGCGAGGCAACCCGAGCTTCTACGCTCTCTTTCCGTCTATCGCGTGTGGCCCGAAAGAGCTAAGTTTAGACTATGTACGGCGGTGCGGCGGTGAAGGTTGGAAGCCGCGATCGTACGTCGTGCGTGCACAGCCCAGGATTGCAGAACAACGATGCAAGATTTCCAGAATTGCGYGTTTACAAAGAAGGGAGGAAAGGATGCGGCCTGATCATCCATCTGTTGCTGGTCACGAAATTGGCACGCCATGCTAGTCGGTCCCCACCTGCATGTGAACATGAAACGGCAACTTAAATGCAACGACCAGGTGTGCCGGCCGGCCTTTCAAGTTACACGGCTGGTTGACAACGGCTGCCGTGGCATGACCCGGTTTCGTAGGCAACTCAACTTCTTGCACCGTCCAACTGCCGCTTCTTGAGTGCGATCTACTTGCCGTCGATGAGACATCGTTACCTACTCTATTCTTCACGTCGATCAGAACAGCGTAGGTGAGCATGACTCCCAACCGTCCTGGACTCAGGGGCTTCGACATTAATCCGAAATGCACAGGTTCTTGAGCCGAGTGGAAGCCGCGAATCGGCCCAGCCCGTTGTCGCCCAATCAATAATGAATGACCTGCAGGCATCCATCGACATCGATGATAGGCTCTTGCCATCMTGGCTTCTACAGCATCGGGCGCTTCATGGAATATCCCAGATTCAATGAAGAGTCCAGAGATACTCCTACAGCGTGCTGCCATTTCTAGCTCCACATTCAAACACTTACTTCTAGGCCTGGGTTATTTTTGGAAGWTCACTCTTCCCTGGGTCAACTTACAACGGACGAGATACTATCTATGCCTACATCTGGCGAATAGATGAATGTTTTGAGCGCTATGTTCACTTCCAACAAACACATTTCTCGGACTGAAACACAGCAAGCCAGAGTCTTCCAAAGATATATCCTTCTTCCAGACTACTGTGCGTCATTCGCCCAAGAAATAGAGACTATACTTAGGTAAGCTCTTTGGTAGTCATGGGACCGAACCAAACTTCGCGGGACAGCGAATATTGATACAAACGTCCACTGGTTGTTCTAAGACACCTCGCCATTGCCTATAGCGCGCAACATACTTTGCGAGGGACTTTCCTGCACGCAGCATTTCCTTGGACGCCTACACGGACTACCGCTTCCATGGACTCTGTGTACCCCGTTTCTCCATCCCTAATTCATCTAGAGAGCAGAATACATGATAGCCGATCCTGTCAGGGGGAATAAATGGATATCGGTGAGATGGTCGTAATGCGTTGTGACATGATGGAGGTATGTGTGGCCCTCTCGGCCTGGCTTAGGCAACCGAATCACGTTGCTGAATTCGTGAAGACTTGGGAGAGAGCCGCCTGTGGTGTATGCTACATGCCCAGGGGCCAGGCCCTTGATAGTGTCGAATTCAAGCTAAGGTGGTATGAACGGGAAAGGAATTGGTTACACACATCAGCTAGTGGAATTGTAAATGGGTTGGCCAGAGCGTTCGATATGAGGATCATTCATCGAGACAAGACATCTTTGTTTATGTCTACGATGTCCTAAGGCCTCGCTCTCTACAGACTCGACGATTCTAGGCCTGCTAGAATCCTAACCACTAGCAGAGTAGCAAATCAATCGAGGGGGCGGTTCGGGGCGCTGCTCATGTTGATGGTTTCTCATATCGACAGGTCTGGCCCGGTTGGCAAGCTAGAGCTCCCACTGCATAGCAACAACCACATGCTTACAGCTGATCGAAATGAAGAGCGACTGTGCTGAGATGAACTCAATTTTTTGGCGCTATAAGCAGATGGGTCACGGTATTACAAGGAGAAGAAGCATTTCGCCCCCCGTCATTCCAGAACATATGGGAGTGTACAGGGACTAAATATCCCAATCTTCGGCGTACTCGTTCCACTGCGATCGCTTCCCAACATAACTTCTACTCTCCGGCCGGCTCGACACCAGCGTATCGCCATCCATGTACATCATACCATACTCATATACCACATTAGTGGTTATACCTGCCTCTTCGATCTGTGTCATCTTCTGCAACACTTTACCTGCCAGCTGACGACAATGGTCGCTAAGATTCTGCGAAGCCTCGATCGCCGTGAATTTAACACGCCAGGTTTYCCATGAACTTTTCCTGTAAGTAGCGCTCATTTCACACATCTCGAAGAGCTCGGCTCCGGCGTAAAGAAGCCATTGCGCTGCTGCGCATGCATGCTTTTCGTAGTCATTAGGCAAAGCCTTGGAGTGATCGAGCTTTGTGAACGGTGCCCGATCTATAGTCCGCCCAGTAGTCATATTCATTCCGGCAACGAAAAGTCTGGCGCAGAATGCGGAAAAGTTCTCTAAAGAGGGCTCCGGCCTTTCCGCGCTGTCAGAATGGTGTGCGAAAATCCCTTTATAATGTCAGGCCTGCTCTCTATTCTTGCATTTCTTGAGAAACACAGTACGAACTTGATTCCCAAAAGGCTAGATTATTCTGTTCAAACTTTTCAACCATCACTTCGGACCAAAGATTGACCTTCTTCCCGTTGCYCCTTGTGACCTCACGATACGGCATTCGCGGGATGTTTCCAAGAACCTCCACGAGCCTGTCCTGGCCGGGATGGACTGCGGGAACTTGCGGCGCGAGTCTCGGCACCAGATGGAGGACGAAGTAATGCCCACTTAGTAGACCATCGTCCGGATTTCCTTCGGTGCGTTCCACCGTTTGTTGTGCAATGTTATGCTCCTCGCAGATMAGAGCATCCATGCGTTTGACCGCAATAACAGGTGTCAGTTTGCCATCAACGAGATCTTGAAAAATTTCCAGTATGGCACGATCTGTAGGATCTTGGGGTGGGAATAAAGGTTTCAACACAATATTCGAGTCCATGATGATGCTGATGAGAAGAGGATGAGAGATCTAGGCAATGACATGGGACGAATGATGTTCTGACTATCTAGATATAGGTGAGCGTTGTCTCATACGGAAGCGGGAAGCAGGCAACAGTGCTGGCAATGCAGATGGTGTCGGACGCAAGTGGCATGTATCTTGTATACCTTACTTTGTAGAGACCTAGCTTGTGGCGAGGTACGGCACAGGACTGTGAAATACTGAAGCCAGACATAGGCTTGTATCGAAATTCACACCGTCCTTCTCTGGGAGGCGTTGGGTATGGGGGATGTTATTGAGGTGGAGTTGGAGTTGGAGTTTGGGGAACGCATGACTCGACACATTGACTCGGCGGACCTTGCCGAACGACTGCATGACTTGTGTGTAAATACTTCGAAGCTCAATGTGAGGTTGCGATGCAACCATTTTCGCACACCCACCTCGTCGTCGCAATGGATCTCCGAACGGTGGTTTCAGACCATCTCATCAAGCTGGTAGGCGGCAGCGATGAGATGACCGTCGACTTCGTCGTAGAGACGGCGAAATCGGCAAAGTCGGCCTCTTCACTGCAGGACAAATTGTCGAGCATGCTGGAGTCTGATGACGCCGACCTCAAGCGCTTCAGTGATGACCTGTATGCGCGAGTCAGCAAGCCTGTGGCGGATAGCACATCTGCCGCGCCGCGAGTGAAGCCAAGATCGAGCAAGAAAAAGTATGCGCTGGTAGATATGGAAGTGGAGGAAGAAGCTCCAGCGCCTGTTGCACCGAAGGAGGAGAAGAGGCGAAGTGGTGATAAAGAGGGAATGTCAAAGCACAAGGAGCGAAGAAGATCAAGGAGCAGGAGCAGAGAGCGGCACAGCAAGAAGCTGCGCAGACGAGACAATGAGGATTTCGACGATCGATGGGGCGATCAGGACGAAGAGGATGAAGAGGACTTTCCATCGCCCCCTGCTAAGCGGACGAGATTTGCAGATGACGAAAAGGATGAGGGCCGTTCCAAATCGGAGGTGATAGACGAGGAACCAGAGGACGAAGAGGAACGGGATCGCAAGGAGCGAAAGGCGTTCGAGGAGCGACTGCGCAACAAGGATGCTGGCAACACCAAGAAAGTCGTGGAGAATAGTGCTGCTCGTCGCGAAGAGGCCGATGCGGCCCGGCGAGCACAGGCTGGGAAAGTCACGGCGGAGGAAATGAAGGATATCCGTTTGCGATCCAGACAGGACTATCTCAAGAAGCGATCTGCTCAGGAGCTGGCTCTGTTGCGGAAGCAGGTTGCAGAGGAAGCTGAAGAAGAACGGACCAACCCAGCACTCACTCAGTCGGAGAAGGAAGACTTCGCACGGAACCGCGAAGCGCTGCGCCTCGCCGAAGAACGTGAGAACATCGATGATCACTTCGATGGCTATGCTATACCGGATGACTACATCACCGAAAAGGGCAAACTTGACACGCGGAAGAAGCAGGATGCCCTATACAGCCGATACGTGGATCGCGATGCCCAAGGTCGAGAGCGTTATGTAACTGAGCACGRAGAGTGGGAACGAGATCAGCTTGCCAAAACCAAGGCGCAGATCATTGTTGCGGATCGGGTGCCGGAGCAGCAGTACGAGTATGTCATTGACGAGGAGCAGCAGATCAAGTGGGTGACAGATGCTGTGATGCAAGGAGGCTTGAACAAGATGCAATCGCAAGAAGAGAGATTGCTTGCACAGCAGATGCTTCAAGCAGAGCGCAAGGCGAAAACGATGGAGGAGAAGCGCAAAACGCTGCCCGTCTATCAGTATCGACAGCAATTCTTGGACGCCGTCAAAGAGTACCAGGTCTTGATTATCGTTGGTGAGACTGGTAGCGGCAAGACCACCCAGCTTCCACAGTTCCTGTACGAGGAGGGCTACTGCAAAGATGGCAAGAAGGTTGGATGTACGCAACCGCGTCGTGTAGCTGCGATGAGTGTCGCCGCTCGCGTCGCCGAAGAGGTTGGTGTGAAGCTGGGCCAGGAGGTCGGTTACGCGATTCGATTCGAAGATGCCACTTCCGAAAAAACAGCATTGAAGTACATGACCGATGGAATGTTGCTGCGTGAGTTTTTGACAGAGCCTGATCTTGGAGGCTACAGCGCTTTGATGATCGATGAGGCTCACGAGCGCACCCTTCACACTGATATCCTGTTCGGCCTGGTCAAGGACATCGCGCGAGGTCGGCCTGACCTCAGACTATTAATCTCATCTGCAACGCTTGACGCTCAGAAGTTCAGCGAGTTCTTCGATGGTGCCCCTATCCTCAACATCCCTGGTCGCACATACGACGTGGAGATGAACTTCTCCATGCAGCCAGAGGCCAATTACCTGTCGGCAGCCATCACAACCGTCTTCCAAATCCATCTGTCTCAGGAAATGCCGGGCGATATACTTGTTTTCTTGACAGGTCAGGACGAGATTGAGCAGGCCGAATTGTCACTCCAGGAAACCGCCCGAAAGCTCGGAAGTGCCGCGCCTGAGCTCATGATTTGTCCCATCTACGCGAACCTGCCGACGGATTTGCAACAGCGGATTTTCGATCCAACTCCACCCAAAGTTCGCAAAGTTGTCTTGGCCACCAACATCGCCGAGACATCCCTCACAATCGACAATATTGTGTATGTCATTGATCCAGGATTTGTCAAGGAGAATCGATACACTCCAGCGACTAATATGGAGTCACTCACCGCAGTTCCAATCTCTCGTGCATCTGCAAATCAGCGAGCTGGCAGAGCTGGACGTACGGGACCTGGAAAGTGCTTCCGTTTGTACACGAAATGGGCGTACTACAACGAACTTCCTGCAAACACGACTCCCGAAATCCAGCGCACAAATCTCATCAGCGTCGTGCTCTTGCTGAAGTCACTGGGAATCAACGATCTGATCAACTTCGACTTCATGGACCCACCATCACCAGACATGTTGATGAGGTCTCTGGAGCTGCTGTACGCCTTGGGTGCTCTCAATGACAAAGGAGAGCTCACCAAGATCGGACGCCAAATGGCGGAATTCCCAACTGATCCCATGTTGGCCAAGGTTGTCCTCGCTGCTGACAAGGAAGGTTGTGTGGAGGAAATTCTCTCAATCATCGCTATGCTTGGTGAAGCCTCTGCTCTCTTCTACAGGCCCAAAGACAAGAAGCTCCAGGCCGACGCTGCCCGCGCACGTTTCACCGTCAAGGAAGGCGGAGATCATGCCACATACCTCAACATCTGGAATCAATGGGTCGACTCCGATTTCTCATTTATATGGGCGAAAGAGAACTTCCTACAGCAACGCTCCCTCACCCGCGCGCGCGACGTGCGCGACCAATTGGCGAAACTCTGTGATCGAGTAGAAGTTGATGCAACAGCGACATGTGGAGCATCCAATCTCCCTCCGATCCAAAAAGCCATGACAGCAGGCTTCTTCCCCAATGCGGCGAGATTGCAGAGTGGAGGAGACAGCTACCGGACCGTAAAGAACAACATGACGGTGCATTTGCATCCTAGTAGCGTTCTGATGGATGTGAGACCGAAGTGGGTGGTGTTTTATGAGCTGGTGCAGACTAGCAAGGAATTTATGAGGAGTGTCATGCCGGTGCAGCCGGAGTGGCTGACAGAGGTTGCACCGCATTATCACAAGCAGAAGGACATTGAGGAACTGGGAGTTACGAGGAAAATGCCGAAAATATAAAGCAAGGTCGGGGTGGAACGATATAGATTGAGATGTAGGGTGAGCTCCATATCTGGAGTGTGCCAGCCGATCATAATGATCTGTGACCAACGTGGCACAGCCCCTTTCAGGATGTGGATCTGGTTTTGAGTTTGAGGGAATTACCTTTAGCGTGCAACTACATGTGGTACTTCCTCCTCGACGAATACGATATCATCTTCCCTGGATAGGGAGCCTTCCAGCAATGAAATGACCTACCGCGAACAGTGCTGGTTGTTGCTCACTGAGACATCTATACCGCCCTCCATCTGTCAACTTCCCCGGACCATCTCACCTCTATCGTCACTCCCGGACCATCGACTTGCCTATGGCCTCCAAATTCTGGCTAGCATGTGCGGCATGGCTCTGCTGCGATTTCAGCGGCTATAAATACCATGGCCAAGAATACAACGGCGGCATCGGCATTGCGGCTTTTGCAACCATCTGCACCATGACCGCCGACTGGAATATAACGGATGAATTACCCAGGAGTGATACTGGCTACAAGATGATAGCATTGTCTATGGTGATCTGGCCCGGGGTCATCTGGGGTTTGGCATCGTATGCCTTGTTGTCGGCCGCTGAAGACCAGGTTGCGTGTGTTTGGCTTATCACAACGCCTCTTTTTGTGGTTCTTCTGGGTCTGTCTGTACTAGCCGACAGGCGCATCTTGGATCGAAGGCTAGAAAACTGGCGTATTACAACGGGTTTAAGCTGGCTCGGTATCCTGACGGGTCATGCCCTTGGTAAAAGTAGCCTGGGTCGCAGTGTTGAACATTACACTTCTGGTCTCCTAGCAGCTGTGGTAACCTCTACTGCACTGGTGACAATCGTAGGTGCTGCGATGATGTTCCTCTCTGTGGCACGATTGGCTCAGAGTCACTCGCKGGCCATCCAGGTTCTTCAAATGAACAAAGGAATACCTACCGATACGATCATTCCATTTGGCTTTCCGCCACTTTGGGGAGCTCAAGGGCCATGGTTCGCTATTACATGGACCATCGGGCTCGCTTCATGTATCGGTGCTGTCGACCAGCCGCGAGCGCAGGCTCTACTAGGCTCCACTAGTGTCGCCATCGTACTTTCCATGGCATTCTTCCCGCCCTTCTCGGGCAAGTTGCTTGGATTGCGGTACGATGAATACATGCGGCTGCTTTCCATTCTCCATATCTCGATGGTATCATCACTATGCCTGTATTCCAGCTTGATCGCTCCTCAATCTCGCATACCCTAGTATGGCTACCAGAAGAGTTCATTGGAGGATCCATGCTCTCAGTTCTTGGAAACACCTCGTAATCCTTTACTCATTGCAAGGAGCTTGGCTGCCCGAAAAACTTCCTCGAGCTCGACAGCCATCTCTGCGAGTCCCGCTGCTTGCAACGCTCGCGCCTCGCATCAGAGCTGTCGATATGAGAAATCATCAACAAGAGTAGCGCCCTGATATACTCTCTCGATTAATTAACGTGCCACTCTGCTAGTGGCAAGGATTCTAGCAGGCCTAAATTTGTCGAGCCTGCAGAGAGCGGTTAATTACCCCTGTTGGGAAGCGGGCGCAGGATGGTCGTCGTAGTCACAGTTATCATCGGGGCGATCTGTATCTAGAAATTGATCGTATCTCTCCCATAGCATGCGCTCGGCTGCGAGCTCCTCGTCATACCGAGTAACCTTTTGGTCGAGCAATCGGTGGAATTCGGGCTGGTAGACAGAGTTGTAGTGCGCCTTCGTATATTCCCAATATTCAGGATACCATCCTGCGCATTCCCAATCAACAATGGCGGCGACCTCTCCATTCCGTACAAGGATGTTGAGCGATGCCAAGTCTCCGTGTGTGAAGTGTATGTTGTACTTGCGCTGGTGAATCTTCGCGACTTTGTCACCAAACACGGTGGATGTAGTTTCGATTGGTATTCCGCCACGGATGAAATGGTGGAACGTCGGGACGTCTTCGAATGGCCCAAAAAGCTTCACAGTGCCGACTCGGATATCTCGACACTGTCCTCCATTTGTGGAAGACACCTTCTGCTCACTCGGAGATTTCAAAGCTCGAAGTTGCTCAATATACCCAGCGACTTGCTCAGCGACGGTTTCTTTCTCAAGGTCCGTGAGCTCGTGCCATGAATCTTGCACGGTCTTGCATCCGCGCAGATACTCCATCTCAACAGCCAACTCGCCATGATGTTGATACGTCCTATAGATCTTTGGCACTGGAATTGACGTATTGGCGGCGACGAAGAGCAGAGCGTCAAGTTCGTTCTGTTTGCATGGCCACTTGACTAGTCGTCGACGACAAACGCGAGCGCCCCCGGGACGGCTCGAGCTCCCAAGGACGCCAAAAACAATGTCTCCGAGCCATATGCGGAATGAAAGAAGCATGCTGACACTCGCCAATTGTTGTTGTGTCAAGGTGATGAGTAGTCTCGGTATTGTGTTGCAATGCTATCAGCCTGGTCAATGCTTCGTATAGAGAGTATTGGGATTGGATCTCGAAGCGCTTCAAATGTGGCTTCAACCTCAAACGATGCGTTGTGAACGCAGTACGGAAACGCAGCCGGCGGCTCTTGGAGATGAGAGGCATTCCAGCATAGGAGACGCCATAGAACATACTGGACAGCATGGCTCATTCAAAGTCATCGAGTGAGGCTTGAGCTCATCGCGCCAAGTTTCGAATCTGCGTACCGACCGTTTCCACCAGGTCGAGGAGCACGCCCCGAGCCGTCTATTAAAGCACAAATTTATGCATCATTGTAGATATACAAAGGCAGAGACGCCATTCTGTCGGCTCTATTTCCTCCTGCTCATCACTTTTGCACACATGTCAATCAGCCCGACTTTGGCTTCGCTTTCAGGAAAGCTTGCAATCGCTCGCGCCGCCTTGTCGACGTAGTCCTGCGCGAGCGCACGCGTCTGCTCGATGCCATTGCTTTGGATCACGAATTCTCGTGCCTACACATGTCAGTACTCGATATCATCACACGTCTTTCGATCAGGCTCACCTTGGCAACATCACCCTCTTGTGAGAATTTCCGCCCAACAAGCACACCAAGCTCCTGGTTATCCCTCCATGCAAACAACAAGGGCGCAGTCGCCAACCCAAGCTCCAAGTCCGCACCTGCGGGCTTTCCAAGCTCTTGTCCGCTCACGGTGTAATCCAGCATATCGTCCACCAACTGAAACGCCAACCCAAGGTTCTTGCCGTATTGATAGGCCGCCTCTACAACCTCCGCAGGGTGCTCGCCCAGAATAGCAGCGGCCCGACATGACTTGCTGATCAGACTCGCGGATTTGAGATATGTCTTTTGCAGATAGTATGTGATTGTCTCTTCACTCCACACCGGCTTCTTCTCATCTAATGCAGTGTTCTTCAACTGCATGAACTCTCCCTCTACCAAGTTCGCGATGACCGTTGCAAGAAGCTCCGTCACCTCGGGATCTCGTAGTCTTGCCAATGCCACGGATGCTCTTCCCAGAAGAAAATCCCCGGCCAAAACCGCCATCTTGTTTCCAAACGCAATGTTGGCAGACGGATTCCCTCGCCGTGCGACAGACGTGTCAATCACGTCGTCGTGGAGGAGAGAGGCGGTATGAATGAGTTCGGTGATTTCAGCCAGTCGGCGTTGCGTTGGGAGAATCGAAGTGTCGTTTGCGAAATCGGCGCTTTCCACTGTCCGAGTTGTGAGAGGAGATGAGGGATTTGCGTCCTGGAGCACAGCTGAAGGGGCAATAGGCGTGTCAATTCCATTCTGCACATCCTTGGACACTCCTCGCGGCATGCGTGGGAGAAGAGCGGTTGCTTGAGACATTAACAGCACAAGCATGGGCCTCACGTATTTGCCCTCGGATTGTGTATAGTATTTGGACACGGTATCCAGCATGGGGTGTCCTGAGCCCAGTAACTGCTGTATGTTTCCCGTCATAAACTTCATCTCCTTTGCTACGCTCCGCAGTGGATCAATACCCATGGGACCTGCTGGTGGCGGCCCACTGAACATTTGTTTCGCAGCCGATACTGCGGCCGCCACACCGGATTGCCCATGTCGTGGAGACGCATGGTACGCTTTCCGTCGGTTACTGTGAAAGGTACGGGCAGAAAGAGGCTGAAAGCATCCTGGACAGCGTATTCGTGGTCGGCTGGTCGATGTAAGCGTTTCGATGAGGGCACGCGAATGCCGTGATCCAGACATGTAGTCGTCCCCAGTGCAGGTATGGAATGGCGGTTACGACGGCCTCTAACTGTAAGAAGTGGGTGTCGGGAAGGAAGTAGGTCGCAATGTTTGTCACGACAAGTCCATTGGCTATCGTTGTGTAACGAGCGATCAGTTGAGRTCGCCTGGAAATTTGAAAGTCTGGTCCGTCTTCGAGCTCATCCATGACGCTAGCAACAGCCCTATCCGCGAGGTACCATCGGATCTTCACTTGTACCTGTGTACTGCCAGATCCGACCCTCCTGGAGCTGCGACATGGTCCTGCTAACGATCACGCCGGCTGCGAAAGTGGCCATTGATGCGTATGTGAAGCATGAAGCAAACGAAGCCAGTGACGATGACGCGCTGAGGCAACGGGAGAGACTTGCCCAGGCCGAAGGTGGCAGTCCGATTGATCATCACGAACTGGTGTCCATCTCACGCCATCTTGTCCAGCATAGTGGTGGGTCTGCACGGCAATGGCGACTTGATGTGTTGTTAAAGGGCGCATCCATCTATCAGCCGCCTCCGCCGCCCAAGCCAGAGCCAGTACGCAAAACTTCCTCCCAACCAAAGCATGGTACATCGCTAACATGACAATAGACATCAGAATACAAAGCGCTCATGCAGCGATTGCGAGTACAAGAAGAACAGAGGCAGTATGAGCGCATGATCAATCCACCAGCCCCAGAGACCTTTGGAGAACGCTTTCCCAACGCTACCAACTCATTTGGGCATGCAGCATCTTCTGCCGACGACATTGATGAAGTGACATATGCGGATGTCAACAGACAGATGATATTGATCATCAATGTACTAGTCTCAATCATCTGTACCAGCGTGGCGGTGTGGATGGCCGCACGTCGTTGGAGTGTCCCACAGCGACTTGCCTTGGCCTTTTCCAGTAGCACCCTTGTTGCTGTTGCAGAGGTAGCAATTTACATGGGTTACATCAGGCGAATTGAGGAGTCCAAGACAAAGGAGAGGAAACTTGTCGAGAAGAAGGAAATTGTCGATACGTGGGTATTTGATGCGACTACAACAGGAAAGCAAATTGACTCTGGCGAAACGACTCGGTATAGAAAGGGGAAGCACAGGTGAAAAGTTTCTCAATTTTCGCGGTCACGATCGGACGTGCTCTAGCGCGAGTGGGGCGACGTCGAACATCTGTTCTGCGTCAGAAGCTGGACAACATCATCGTGCAATCAACGTAAGATGGCGACGAAGGACTTCCACCACCCCTTCCAGCCCTATGAGATCCAACAGCAGTTCATRGAGGCAGTCTATCAGTGCATTGAGCAAGGCAAGGTTGGCATTTTTGAATCTCCCACAGGCACTGGCAAATCTCTGAGCTTGATCTGCGGATCTTTGACCTGGTTGCGTGAGCACAAGCGCAAGACATATGATGAAGCAGTCGCCACTGTCGAGCTTGACGACGATGAACCAGAATGGATGAGGGAGCACGCGGTGGCATCTCGCGGCCAAGAGATCAGACAGATGAGAGCGGACTTTGAGGCGCGTCTGGCCAGGGTGCGAGAGCGGGAGAGCAAACTCAAAGAGCGGTCTGCGATTCCAAATGTCGAGCGGCCGATGAAACGGCAAAAGACGTCTCATGCCGCAGCTCAGGACGAAGACGATGGGGAAGACCAGTTCGTTCTGGACGACTACGATAGTGACGAGGAACGCAGCAATTCGAGAACCCACGATTTCTCGCCGGAGGTCGCCAAGCTGATGAAAAAGATGGGGTTGCTCCCTGAGAGCGATCAAGGACGTGCGAAGGACGACGAAGTCGACGAGCTCAAGATCTACTTCTGCTCCAGAACCCATTCGCAACTTACGCAATTCACTGGTGAATTGAAGAGAGTTGTGCTTCCGCCAGGTCTCCCCCTAGATGAGAATGATACAAGTCCTGTGGAAGAAATTAAACAACTTACACTGGGCTCTCGCAATAACCTCTGCATCAACTCGAAGGTAAATAAGCTTTCGACCAACACCGCAATCAACGAGCGTTGTATCGAGCTGCAGCAATCGAATACCCCCGCATCAAAGAAGTGCTCATTCCTGCCCAACAAAGATAGCGAGGATGTTGTACTCGATTTCAAAGACCACGCGCTGGCGAAGATCCGTGATATAGAGGACCTAGCTATGCTTGGTAAGAAGCTTCAAGTCTGCCCTTACTATGCATCGAGACCTGCCATTGGAAACGCCGAGATCGTCACTCTACCATATCCACTGCTCCTCCAAAAATCTGCACGAGAAGCACTTGGATATAGCCTCAAGAACCACATCGTAATCATTGATGAGGCTCATAACCTCATGAACGCTGTGGAAGGCACCTACTCGTCGCAGATATCAGACGCCCAACTTCAGCGAACGAAAAGTGGACTGATCAATTATCTCCAAAGGTTTCGAAATCGCTTGAAAGGAAGTAATCGATTGTATGCTACCCAGGTGGTCCGTGTTATAGACTCGCTGCTCGCTTTCACTAGCAGTGTCAAAGACCACAACAGCACCGGCGGCTCAGTCAATCCTAGCGCTCTTTTGGCAGGAAAATCTGTGGACCAGATCAATCTCACAAAGCTTGTACGATACATCAATGAGAGCAAGTTGGCGCGGAAAGTCGAAGGATACGCCGCATATGCCTCTCAGGCAGACCCTGCTCTACCATCGAAAACAGACTCAACGAACATCGTCGAGGCCGCCGATGTTCCCACCCTAACGCACATTCAGAACTTTCTCACAGCTCTGATGAATCCCTCTCGCGAAGGCAGATTCCTCTGGTCTAAAGAGGAAGGTTCTCTTATCGTCCGCTACCTCCTTCTCGATCCTTCTGCGCACTTCCGCGRGATTGTAGAAGACGCAAGAGCAGTCATTCTTGCTGGAGGAACCATGTCGCCGATGGAGGATTACCGACAGCAGCTGTTCCCATACCTCGACTCCATCACCACGTTCTCATGCGGCCACCTCATTCCGCCGAGCAGCCTCTTCGTCCGCGCCATCACATCCGATACGGATGGGCGGATAGACTTTACATTCAAGGCACGGAGCGATCAGACCGCGATACGGTTGGGCAGGGCCTTGATATCTATTGCCGAGAGGGTTGAGGGTGGAATGGTAGTCTTCCTCCCTAGCTACGGGTACTTGGAGACACTGCTCAAACTTTGGAAATCGAATGCCACTACTTCGAAGTTGGAGATGATCAAGCCTACATTCTGCGACAGTCGTTCCGGCTCTACAGACCGCACATTCAAACTCTACAGCGAGGCTGTCAGCACCGACAAACGTCGTGGGGCTCTCCTGTTCTCCGTCCTCGGTGGAAAGCTCWCGGAAGGCATAAACTTTGCAGATGATCTAGGTCGATGTGTAGTCGTCGTCGGTTTGCCATTTCCGAATATTGAAAGCCCGGATCTGAAGATGAAGATGCAGTATTTGGACAACAAGGCTGTGGAGAGAGGCGAATCAAGAGGGAAGGCTGGGAAGGAGTATATCGAGAACTTGTGTATGAGAAGTGTGAATCAGGCCATCGGACGTGTCATCAGGCATAAGGATGATTGGGCTAGTATATTGCTATTCGATGCTAGATATGTGAATGACAGGATACGAGGAAAGTTACCTGGGTGGATCAGGAGYAGTGTGGATGAGAAGGAGAGTGGGAACGTGCAGGAGGTGGTCGCGGGTGTTGGAACGTTCTTCAAAGGCAGGGCTCGCTGATAACAGGCCCAACTCAAGATACACTACAGGAATACTGCCGATGCCTTGCTGATCGGCCTCGACTTTGCCTGATTACCACTCCGCGTCCCAAGTCCAATGTCTCAAGCCGTCGCAGCAGATGTAGTGAGACTCGTGAATCCCAAGACATCTTTCTTGCCCAGGTCCACGCCTGCCTGTCTCATGATGAGATAAGCCGTGTTCTGCCATATTGTCAGCGCAAATTAATGAATGAGGTATGATCAGCAAGAGAATACGAACCCGATGGAAGAAGAAATTCGGAAGCATAAAGTTTTGCAAATACACCAAACTGTTAAACTTGACCTCCCCCTGACTTCCCATCTTCACARCAACCWCCKCGWTCTACACCAAGAAAGAAAAAATTGTCAGCGGTCTCACTTCAAAATGGTTCACAAGCAATGACAACAACAAAGCAAGATAAAAAAAACCTCACCTCATCCACAAACTTCTCCCTCTTAGCAGCTCTAAGCAACACCAAAGTCTTCTCAATCCTCTCCTGCAATTCCTCAAACGTCTTCTCATTATCTTCCATGGRCGTTTCCTTTTCCCCTCCAACACGGAAGAGAATGCCCTTGGCACTATCAGAGGCGAATTGGATTTGTTTGGTCAAAGGTAACATATCGGCAATGTGACCTTCTGTGAGAGTTTTCTTGTCGACATTATTGTCTTCGCACCATTTCTCGCCGGATTTTAGGTTGGCGGCGAGTTGCTCGAGGGCGCGAATTGCGATTGGGACGGAGAGGTCGTAGAGGGATACCATATTTATTGAAGTGGTAGAGTGGGTAAGGTAGTCTTGGTTTAATGTAGGGATGATATGGCGTGATTGAGTGAATGAAAAGTTGCGACTGCAGAGGTGATCTTTATAGAATCTTGCGATCTTGTTTCCTTGATGGAAGGAGTTAATAAGCTGTGGTTGCTAATCAACATGCATATACCTCGTGGATGTAGACACACCGCCATTGACCGATGACAAACCATAGGGTGAGTTGCGTGGGGCACAAATGCCGATCGTTACACATGATGATCCTGTGAACATCTCATTTCACAATTCAGTTTTACATTTCGAAAGCTTTGCATAACCATGGAAGAGAATCGAATCAGGTTGTCTCGGTGGAGCTGCTATCGAATGAGCACGAGCCATTGCAGCAGGGATACTTGGCTTGCATTGGTTCTTGCTTAGCAGCTGGTTCAAACTGCAGGCGTAAAACGATCTCGTAAAGTTGGTGTGACTTCTCCTCTGATCCCGAAGAAAGAATGTACGAAAGACCCCAAAGAGTCAGACCGCGGTCTGCTCAGCCCCAAACTCCGGACTAAATCCACGGTACAATCATCACTGACTCGACTTCGTGCTCTTCCTTTTCCTCTCGCGAATGGCGCCCTCCATCCTTGAAATCATTCCCTTCAATCCTACTCCCCTCTCACAGTTCTCCTCCAACCAAACCTCCATCCTCTCTCTGCACGCTCTCATACCTCTGAGAACTGGCATCTTCTTGCCTTCCTCGGCCTCGACTCTCGTCAGCGGACTGAGCAAAAGTGTGAAGACCTCTGTCCATATCTCCGTTTGCCAATATCGCTTGAAATTCTCTCGGATCCTGTATGTCTTCGTTGCGCCCTGTCCCAGACTCGCGCCCTTCTCCCCAACAGTCTCCATGTATTTCCCAAACAGCAAACTGTGTACGATTCCCGCAAGGCCGTGATAGTCGATTTGATATGTCCAAGGTCGCAGCTCACGCATTTCGGCGCAGTCTGCTTCAGAGGTCTTCCAGTCCGCGATAAAAGCGACGTCGGGCTTGAAATGCCTCATGTCGATACCACGACCAAAGTCGATGAGACAGACACCCTTACTAGACCAGCCGTGAGCACCACWCGGAAAGTATGTAGCTGACCAATCCGTCTCCAATCCGGGATCATCGAACCGCACCAAGACGTTATCGCCTTTGAGATCACCATGGATGAGCTGCTTGCTATGCATAGCCTCAGTGACACGGAGGAGTTCAACAGTGAACCACATCGCCATCATCTCATCCATACCACCTCCATTGCCGCTATCGAGACGCGCGAGGTTGACGAGGTCAAGCAGTGTTCCTTGATCTCGAAACTCTTCGACGAGGTAGCATTCGTCGCGATAGAGGTGCATCTCATGGGCGCGAACCATCGATTCTGCGGCACGGCTAACTCCCAGTCTTCTGTGCGATTGCCGCAGAATGTAAAACTCCCAGGTACTAGCTGGTTCTTCCATCTTGACGGCTTCGAGAGCTCTCCGGTGTGCAGTCTTGCCTACACGTGAAGCAGGTGCGTTCTCGTCATCTTCTTCTTCGATCGCAGCGGCGGCGCTGTTTTCGATCAGATAAACTGGAGCGAAGGTACCGGCTCCCAGCTCTCTCTTCACGATGTATGTGCCCTGAGCTCCGGGAAGGTCAATGACCGGGGGTGTCGAAAGAGTCTGTGCTGTCTTGTCTACGTTGACACTATTCCTACTGGCCTTGGARAGCGTGCGGACATACTTCTTGATCTCTGCCGAGCGTCCACAGCTTGTTTCGAGGTGCTCGTGATAGCCCTCGAACGACGATAGCGAAGGTTTCATCTGCGAAAGGATGGTCTGTCGAAGGAAAGGATCCATTGGGTTGCACTGGTCGTCTTTGATGATGGGTCCTTTCTGGATGCCGGACTCTGGCTCTTCTCTCTTGGCCTCTGTTTGTGATTTGGCTGTGCCTTGTCCCAAAGCTATAGTGCCTTTCGTGCTCTTTGTACGGATCGGCTGCAACACTCTGCGCTTGTCTTCCGCCATGTCAGCGAGCACATCTTGAAACGGACTGCTACAGGGCTCATCATCGTCCTCAAACTCTTCGGGCGTACCAAGGTTTCTGCTTGGAGTCTTTGCACCGAAGTAGTCTTTCTCTGTCCGAGCAGTGGCCACTCCCAGGGAGGACTCAGTTCGTTCGACTATGGGAGTCATGAAAGGTAGACGATGATTGGGAATGATTGACATGTCACGCATGTGGCTGACCGGAGGCTCGTAGTCCTCTGGCGGCAGAGGCACGTATCGTGTTTGCGGGTCTTCATCATTCACCGGTGTGGTGATGTCTTCCTCTTCATCGGCATATGTGTCATGCACTGTGCTCTGTGTTGAAGAATCGGCGCTTTYGTCTTCTTGCGGCACATGCTTGCTGGTGGTGAAGTCTGACCATCCTGTGTTGTCCCCATCATCAACGTGGTCGGACTGCTGGGCACCCATCAACTCGTTCCGAGTCTCATCGCCATACTCGCTGGCGACTGCAGACAGCTTTCCGGTAGCAGTGCTCTCGTCGCCGGTCGTGTAGTCGGTCTCATCACCACTACTCTCTTCTTCTTCGTCGTCTTCGCCATCAGTCGGCTCAGAGGGAGCTTGCTGCAACGGCTGGGAGAAGATGCCGTAGATCTCGTCCATTGCTTCTTTCGTGTTGATCGTCATCGTCGGCTCAGGTGCAATTGACTTTCTCTTCTTGATCTTGGGCCCAGTGGGAGAGTCCATGTTTAGCTGAATCGTCTTGGTCTCGTTTTTGATGTGCTTGACATCCATAACTTTGATCTTCCTCGTCCTGTTGGCTCTCTCCTCTCGTCTGGCCTTCTTCGCCAAGTCAACTTCTTGCCGCGAAGGGGGAGTGTTCTCGTCATTCTCATCATTGAGGGCGAGTGTCTTGACTGGGACGTTGCTCTGGCTCTCTGGCCTTGACTCTTGGCTGTCCAGTGGTGTGTCTTCGAAGATTTTGAATCCTCTGTCCTTTGACTTTAGAGGCTGCTGCAGCGGCTGTGACTGGAGCTCATCAACAGAGCTCTCTTGAGATTGTGATTCATCTTCGAGAATCTTGAATGGTTCAGCGCGAGGACTGGGCGCTTTTTGTGCAATCTTTGATGTCCTCCAGTCCTTACTCAACAACCCGCGATGCCTTGCTCTAAGCTCCTCAAAACAGAACTCAACAGATAAATTTCCAGMTTCAGGGTAGACAGCCTCGAGATTGACGAATACACATTCAAGCCTACCAGTCTTGTCGTTCAAGACGCACTGTTGAGCGTGACGACTATTCGAGTCCTGACGAGAAAAATGCTTCGGCATTGACGCGAGACGTGATGACTGAGTACAGAAGTATATATTTAGTCCTGTGTTCGTAAATACGTGATGGATCTTAGGAGTTTGGGAATGAGCTTACCTGGTCTTTGAAGATCATCATCTTCTCCATGCCACGATTCGTTTTGCCACCTCCAAGCTTCTCCCCTGCCCACGGCTTTGCTGCAACCGAATTCTCCTTCTTGCGGTCTGCAAGAAGCCCGATATCGTCCCATCCTGTAGAACTACTACCGGATTCTGGTCGAGAAGGGGCGTCGCCGTCCGAGAAGATGGCCATTTTGGATCCTTTGGGCTTCTTTGGGCCGCTCCCTTGGCCTTGCGTGGGCGCTGATGTAGGTGATACCGCTGCGAACGGATCAACTTTCGCGGCCAAAGCCGGTCGCACTGCAGGCAGAGCTGGACTTGAAGGTTCAGCGGTGTCTTGTGGTTGAGCGTCCTTTCTTCGCTCAAATTCTCCAAATTTGCGCATCAGGCGCTCAGCAGGCCGCGCTTCATTTTCCAGACCCATCTTGTAGATCTCCTCCGCCTGGCTCCATCTTCCTGCATTCTCGAGCCATGCAGCAAATTCCTCATAATACAATGCGAGACCTTCGCCGATGTTGTGGCGCGCGAGAAAGACGAATGCCTCGCGTGGCGCATCTGAGAATAGTCGGATGTAGTGGAGCCATATTTTAAGATATCGCGGGTCGTTCTTGTAATGTGGTGAAGATTGGAATGCCTTGGTGGCGCGCTCCAGCAGTGGCAGGAGCTGCGATTGCGGTGTCGCTTGGATAGAGGGATACGCGTCCATTGTCCATTTCACGTATCGGTCATAAACATCAAGTGGATCGTCGGCTTCGTCAATATTTGCCAGCTCCGTCTCAAACTCCGCGCGCTTCTTGATGTGCTCCGGGTTCGTTGCGGCGGGCGATGGGTTCGCGCCGAGCAGCGGTGGTGAATAGAGCTGCGCCAGCGCCTTTGCGGACCGGCCGCTCGGAAGGGCCTGGATGTTCTCCTTATGCGACTCAATCACATTGAAGTCGATGAGATCTTCCGCCATGGCTAGGTTGTGCTGTTGGGTTAGTGGGCGGATGTTTGTGCACGAGAGACGGAGACGGAGGAGCTTCGACGAAGTTTGTTGACGTACCAAAACATCCAGTTGCTAAGGCGGGATTAGACTTCACTAGCCCACCGATAGCCGACCTCACCTGGCGCCATCTTCGTGCCGCTCTCGGCACCTCCTATCACTCCTGCACCAGCAACAAAATGGCCCAGAAGAGAGCGATTCTTGACGCACTGCTCAGCATTATGTTCTCCACCTTATATGTACTTTCCGACTCTGGACTTCCGCAAAGTCTCTCATCACATGCTGGAAACAGCTAGCGATGGAGTTGCYGCTATGTACATGCCAGCTCTAGACTGATGGGCTGTGGGGATGACGCCTCTCCAGCGACTTGTGTATGACATTCGCTATCAATGATGCAATCGGTCATCTAGAGGTGAATTGKGCGGAGGAGGTTCAACGTTGTGATCTTCGTGACTTCGTTCAATGTCCTGAGACGAATGTCTGTCTACGACGCAGTCCAAGACGCCTCCAGTGCGTAGCAACGACATGTACGAACAGATGGACTTTCTTATACCTTGAAGCATCTTCCTCACGAAATCCATCAGTACACTTTCCTGCAACAGCAGTCATGAGCTCGTGCTCTTGGAACAGCGGGATCGATGCACACTGGTTAGCGACAGCTTCCTGATACAGCAGCCTCTTCTTCTCGGTTCAGGGTCTACTGCTTTCAGCATAGCAAGTAGCAGTCCTCCACCATTTAGGAGAGATTTCAAAGGATGCTATGGCGAAGGACACAATAACAGTGGTTTATCGTTATCTGGCGTTGCTCATTACGAAGCGCAGAGACGGTTTCATCTCGGACGAGGCCGACTTTAGCAGATCGTACAAGCCGAGATGGCATATGGTTTTCTCCCGGCAATGTCCCGTGATGTTCATGTCTTACTCTCACGGTACGTTTATGCTTGACCTGACCGTTTTGGTGATCACTCCTCTGATCCATGTGAATGCGCGAGATTGGACTTGGGGTGCACCAGTGAAATACTCTGTCTGCATTTCGACGACGAAGCTGACTTTTCTTCCACGTCGCAGTGGGCTATTTGGTGATGGCTGGCGTTTTGGGGTTGATCTTCATCCTTTGTTCCGTTTGGATCTATTACTATGTCCAGCTGGATGGCCAGGCGATGATTCAGAACTAGGGAGATGCGAAAGAAGCGTACGCGGCATACTCAACGGCTACGAGTACTAATGCTAGTGTTTGATATCAGCCACAGATGGAGGCACAAGCACCGCCGCTCGGAAGGCATATGCTTCGCCTGGTGCTTCGCATAACAGAACAATTCCTCTGGAGGGCCATCTGCCCATGACTCAACTCTCGGACATTTGGTGGGGCGAAGCATTTTGGCAAGATCGTAAGACCGGATGAATTCAACACGCATGGCTACAAACGCTCAGTATTCCGCGATCAAGAATCAGCACATATTCTCATCTCAGTGTACCATTGGCCTACCCAACAGCCTGAGGTCAACTCTTGCTTCACATCCAAATAACAACAAATATTTCAAGACGATCCTTCTACCTCATCGCCTCGACAGCCTTCTCAATGTTGTTGGCGACCAGATCGWAACTGTTCACAACCTGGCCAAAATATGGCACCTCCTCCACCTTGAACTTCTCCATTTCATAAATTTGAGCATCTCCACCAGTGGGTTTGTATGTAGCGGGGTTCGACGTCGTCGATGATTTTCTGGCTGAACTCATTTCTGAAGATGCGGGAGTCGGCGGAATATGTGTGTTGACCGGAGAWCGTGAGCTGCGGTAGTTGTGTACGGCAGTCGCAACTACCGGACTCATTGAGATGACTTCAAAGTCTTCTCCCGCAGCTGATTCTGCATGTCCTTGTGGTGTGGTCTGTGCAGCTTTAGGGAGTGGCTCGGAATGTGACTTGGTTTGCACTGTGAGATCATTCCTCTCGGATCTCTGTAACTTTTCCTTGGCCTGCTGTACTTGAAGAGCAGCGTACTGCTTTGTAGTGTGCATTTCCTTCTTGTGCAATACTGGGCTCAATTTTCTGAGTCGATTGAACGAGCCTCGCCGACTCCGATCATCGGCCGTCATAGGACTCACGCCTCGCGATATTGCGGGACTTGGCGGCGGGTGAAAATTCGCCGCCACAGCGGTTCGAAACCCGTGGAATTCTCGGATAGGTGATCCTAATGTGCCTGCTACTTCGCTCGTTCCAGCTTGAGCCGCTCGGTGAGGAGGCGATGCCGATAGCTCGGAGATGGTGTTGCCATTCGACACGCCACCCGGCGGCTGTGATTGTCAAGCGTGTTGCGGTGGTCTCGACTCGGGTGTGAAAACTGGGAGAGGTGGTGCACTCTCCACAGGAGACGCAGTAGGCGGCTCGGCGCTCGCTCGGCTATTGTAATGTCAGATTGTATCGCAAGGACGAGTCCCTTGGTACGGACCTCTTTCGTCGGAAGAACTTGCGGAACCCTCTCGGTTCTGAGTCAACGGGCGAAGTCGGCTTGATCTGGAAGGAGGTCAGTAAGCGCAGCCTGCGTTTGAGGATGATATCGCATACATTAGCCTCAGCACTTGGCTTGTTGGTGTAGTAAGCGCTGTCTGTTTCACTTCCTCCGGGAATTCCATCGTGTGCTCCAACGCGCTGCTCACTCGTCGAAGGAGGGGCCCATCGTTCCTCATCGCCGCAAACAACGACGTACCAGCCAACCTTTCCCTCTGGAGCGAGCCTGTCTCGCAGCTCCATCATCGCAGACCACTGGTCATTATTGACACCCTTGCCTCGTACATCCTCAACGTCGATGCCCAGCTTGACCTCCTCGACAATGTCAGCTACATAGGCGTATGGCTGACTTGCCGCGCTCGAGGACGTGTCGTTTGGATCGTACTGTTCAATGAATCTCAGCATGGGCAGATGCTGCATGGCGTCCGGGAAAAGCTGGTGGAAGTTTGCCAGCATGGTGCTCGTCGTGTTGGGTGCCACGAGCCATTCTGCAGCGGCATCGTCGAGGTTCTGCAGGATGATGTGGATCCGAATCAAGGGTCGCGGCCAGCGAAAACCGTGGAGCAGGTACACAGGCATGGCAAATCGTTGACGGTGGAACGAGGTGCGGTGCGGTCGTGCGTAGGGAATTGCAATTATGGTGCAGCAGTGTTTGATGTATGTGACGCTCGCGGGGATGGATGAATGGCTGGCTGGCTGGCTAGCTGAACGGGCGAGGGAGTTTTAGATCTGGTCAGGTCGAGGTCTGAAGCAGGGTAAAACCGTCCCGTGGTATCGTTCTCTTTGAGGCAGCGGCCGCAGGGAGTGAAACAATAGAGCAAGACGGCACGCAACGCAACGCAGCGCAACCGCAGCAGCGAGAGCAGAGTTGGGTCTGCAGACGAGCGCTGCCCCCAGTGTGTGACCCCAGAGCAGAGGTAACGAGTCGATGGAGCGCCCTTCGTTGGCTCTGCGGCTATCCGGAGCAGTTCTCGGGAGGATATATCCTATCGAACGCTTCCTGCTGCACACCCCGTCGCCGTCGTCACACCTCCCGCTGCCGTGCTCCCTGCCCGCTGGCGCATGCGGACTGTCCGGGTTACCGCTGTCCACCGGTTGGCAATGCTCGATCACGCATTGAGTGTGAAGAAAGCCACTATAGCACTCCTTGCGTCACCCTCGAATCTGGCTGGTGCAACACCTCCGTCCGTATGCTRGCGCGGTGCTGCTGGCAAGAGAGGAACCCTAGCAATTCCTGTATTGCGTAGACTGAAAGGTGTGGAGTGGTGGAGCGTGGAGCTGTCTCTAGGCGCGTGCATCTCGCCCAAAACTCTCTCCAATCGTTGGCGTATCGGTAGTCCGTCATGTGTAATCATCAAATCACCGTGACGATGATGACGATGATGTGAGAATTTGACGCGTGAAGTCAGATATGTATGTAATATGTCAAAGACTGTCAAGCTACTAATGAGGAGAGAGATCCTGGCGCGTGGATTGTTCGTGCATCTTGCTGCATCATGACTCGGTAGCGACGGTCGATCGGACATCTCCCCGGCGTCTTCCCAGACACATATTCATTAAGCAACGATGGTCTTGCATCTACTGGGTAAAAAGTCCTGGAATGTATACAATACCGCCAATGTCGAGCGCGTGCGCAAAGATGAAGCAGAAGCTCAGGCGCGTGAAGAGGCGGAAGAGCAGCGCATGCAAGAAGAAGATGCACAGCGCCGAATTGCTCTGCTGAGAGGCGAGGAGGTTGGGCCAGTTCAGCAACGTGCAGAGCTCACGGATGATGTCTCGCATCAGAAGAGGCGCAACAAACATGACGAGGATCAACGAGATCGCAAGCGTAGACGGCGAGGCGAAGACGACACTGATCGCGACATCAGACATGCCAGACAGGACACCGAAGCTGGTCAGAAAGCCACACGAAGTCTGCTCCGAGAGCGCGAGAAGGAAGCGCCTCTGCAGGATCATGCTGGTCATATTCAACTTATCCCCGCGCCAGACGAGGTTACTATCCGCAAAGCAGAGAAGAATGCGGAGGTAGAAGCTGAGAAGGCCAAGAAGCGGAAGAGGGAAGAGGATCAGTACATGATGAAGTTTAGCAACGCGGCAGGCTATCAGAATGGTATGCAGAAGCCGTGGTATGCAGCTGTCAAAGACGCCGCTCCTCCCAAGGATCTGGCGCTTGCAGAAGCTCAAGGTAAGGATGTATGGGGAAATGAAGATCCTCGAAGGAAGGAGAGGGAACGTGGGAGGATATCATCGTCGGATCCCTTTGCAGCGATGCAGCAGGCTCAGCGGCAGCTCAAGCAAAGTGCTCATGATCGAGAGGTGTGGCAGAAAGAGAGGCAGGCCGAAATCGAGGTAATGAAGCGAGATGATGCGCGGAAGGAGGAGGGTCGGCGGAGAGCAGACAGTCTTGATGATGGCTTCGCTTTGGACGCGCCGCCGGAGAGGGAGCGGAGTCGTCATCATCATGGTAGGGAACGCAAGCATCGCCATCATCACCGGCGCCGCCATCGCAGCCGTAGTAGGTCGAGGGAGCATGGCAGGCACCGCCGGCGTGACGAGACCAAGTAGCTATGTTATAATGATCATGACCTCAATGCGGTAGTGCCACTGTACCCTTTCAACGCCTCACTACTGATGGCTTCCACTTGAGAAACCTCAACGGTTTCTGCCAGCCTGCCGCTCGAGATGCCTCACTTCTTATCTTCTGTGACGGCAGGTAATTCGCTGGAGGCGCAGTTGAGCTGCATGGGAATGGTCTAGGGAGACTTCATCTCCAGAGCCCAGCATGAAGCTGAGCGACTGATGAAAAAGGTGGGTTGCGTCAGCTGGAGGCAGTGCAATACCAGCGACACGATGCCCGACCACATGAGCAAGCCCAGCGGTGGAAGGACGCGGTCAAAAAATAAGTATGATTTTGAATGTTCCCGTAGGAACGTTTCAGATATCAAACTGAAAAGAACACTGTGAAGCTGTTAGTGATCTGTAGAGTAAGATCGAGAGAGGAGATGGTAGACTCACGATACTACACTTGATCTAAGCCAAAAGGCAAAGAGAGCTAAAGAGAGAAGGTCTGGGTTGCGCAAAACGAGAAGTTTTATTCTTGCGATTGAGCTCGGACCAGTTTCTGTAGCGTGATGGAGCTCGCGTGTTCAGTATTAACTTTACGCAGGGGAGGGACTGGGTGGGCTTGGCAAAGTTCGATTCACTCATCTTCGCGCTACATCTACCTCCTGCCATTATGTGCTCGGGTATCGAGTGTATCACTTTGGCTACGTGAGGAAGGAGCAGCGACACATGAAAGTGCGAGGGCTGTAACAGGAGTAGAAACATGCTACATCTTGCCTTCCTCGATGTTGTGGGCTCTCCTGATACTGGGTCGGATTTGAGGCTGACACCACAATGACGCTTCATCATCATCATCATAATCACATGCGACAGGGACATACCTATCGAAGCTTCCATTCCTCTGTCGCTGAAGGGCGGCCTGTACTCACAACATGAAGGGATGGACTACTGCTCGATGGCGCTCTTCCGGACGCTCCTGCGGCACGGTAAACCACGGCAAATGTGACGGACCATCGAGAGGTAATACTCATGTGCTTCTCATCACATCGACTGTGAACTTTACCAGAAGACTGTGAGAGTATGCTCTCGCGCTGTTCAACGACTTCGGGGTTCGACCTGTCTCCGATACATTATCTATGATCATTGTAAGAACCATTCATTGCTTCCCGAAGCTGCTCCTCACGTCTTGGTCACAGCTACATGTACCGAAGCTCAGCACTTCTCGGTGCATCTGATTCTCCCCGATGATTATCTTCCAAGCCACTCATCACCGCTTCCCTTTCGATCTCACTCCATCACCTTCCATCATCATTCAGAACCTCACCTTTTTTTGCTACCCTTCTTCTCTCCCTTTCCCTCTCCTTTTCACCGCTCCTCCCAGTCCACCATTTCCACACCTCCCAATTTCCCCAATACCACATGCCCACGGGCACTATAAAGGCTGGAATACTAAATCTCGCACAATCCGGCCCAAAAATCCCCCAAAGATCTCCCTTCCACCAAGCCTTGACCAACCTCTCTCTCGTACAAGCCCAAGTCCCCTCGGAAAGACCACCTTCTACAAGCCAAGAAACCTTGCAATGATTCGGTAGAATCCTGGGAATGATCTCCCATCTCCCGATGCTGACGCCCCAATGTACGAGGATCTCCATGATGGTTTGGATGGAGATTATCAAAGCGATAACAACAGTGTATCTCCTCCAGCGGATCTTGAGGCCGTGCATGTAGATGTTGAAGGTAAGAGCGAGGAGCGTGGCTGTGAACAGAACGATTGGGCCGGAGTATATCCACATTCTGGCCCTTTGCTGTGCGGCTGCGATGGCTGAGTCGTTCCAGTGAGGATAGTCTCCTTGGAGGAATGAGTGAAGGCACATCTTGCTAGAGAGGCTGGGAGTTCTCGTAGCGGATGTTGTGCGCAGGTCGGCGAGGCACTTGTTGAGGTTATGTGCAGAGGTCGATGAGCATTCCGTCCGGCGACGTCTAGGTTCAATTTTATGTACGTCAAGACCGTATTGTAGCTCGTCGCTGTGGAAGGCACTCTGGTGGACTTTTGAACACTCGTGGAGGTGGGTAATACAGTGCCTGCCGGAGTTATCCACGATGTTGAGAATCACAAGATTAGAAGCAGCTTGACAGAATCCAAGAGTGGTTGGATTAAACAGCAAGCGCAGGAGTGATTTATGTCCGATGACTCAAAACTCGCGGCAACGTTGCATTTCTGCGCCCAGATAACTGTTGATCCTTCTGTTAACGATACTGCCTCGCTTAGGTGTCGTTACAGCAAAAACCACTACCCTAACCCTAACCCTATGCGCACCTTTCCAACGCTGAACAGGTCCCAGGCCCGGTGAATTTGAAGGTTGCCCCCCTCCTGCCTTAGGTACCGGTACCTGTAGCGTCTTTGACCTTGAGCAACATCGATGGCATGATTAAGAAGATGTTGTGTAATAAGACATTCGATCCTCCATATTTGACTCTCGGCAAGGCTGCTGCTTTTTATGCTTATAGCTACCTACTCGCAAGCGTTGCCGTCGATTCAACACAAGGAGAGGCGGCAATTTTAATTTCGCCGGCCCTTAGTCGTCGAATCGTCAAAGCACATCCTCCCACCCTCTTTCGAGGTTCTTACAACCCAGCAACGTCGGACTGAATCTTCATACCTTTCTAAACATGCCGAGCCCGCTAATCCCCACCATCACGCCCATGATCGCTTTTGCTGATGAAAACGTTCTACACGTGCCGTCTTATCTATTCCTTCTCATCCTCTCAAACTGTCAAGCGCAACCCACTGCTCGGGGCTCCAATCGCCGAAACCTCACATACGTTACACACAGTACCCTTGTACTTCGTCTTGTACTTGACCGCGCAGAATGGACAGCTTGTGCTTGCCTCGCCAGCATAGATGGGTGTGTAGGATGCGGCGCAAATGTCAAATTCGCCGAAGGTGTCGTATTCAATTTCGACGGCATCCGTTGGAGAGCGCTCGGCAGCGGTCTTGAATTTGCGGGCCTGTCGTAAAGTCAGCATGATCGTATCTCTCCTGGGTATTCTCAACTCACAGTCTCCTTGAACTTCGCATTTGTGCCCTTCTCAATCAGCGCGTTGGCAAAGTTCAGCACACTTCCCATCTGCTTGTTCTTGTTGGCAAAGTTCATAGCCGAGAACAGAGCAAGAGTGCGATGCTGAGGCTCGATGTCAGGAACGGTGAAGTAGGCGGACAGCTCCAAGCTACGCTTCTTGATGTCTTCTGAAAAGGAGCTCAAATCTGTTGCGCCACCCACGATCTTCCGTCGCTCTAGCTCAATGGACATTGCCACGACATATTGTGCTGCTTGGTGGACAGCAGCCTGTGCCTCTTGCGCCTGGCTCTGGGAGGAGACGGCGTTCACCATGATCAAGTGCAGCGCCTTCTTGAAGGATAGTACACCTTCCTCTAGCTTGTTGGCTTTCATTGCGTTCCTTCCGATAGAAAGTTCTGCGGCTTGAATCGATTCGAGGTCTCTTGGAATGAGTGGCAGAACCTTGCGAGAGTCTGTCTCGTTGAGTGTTCGGCGGACGTAATTAACAAGTGGAGGCATGCCGGCATTGGCAGGGAGGTAGGTTCGTGTAGCCTGGTAGATCTCCATGAAGCGGTCCTCGAGCGGCTTGAAGTTCACCGCACCGACTTGTCGGTTGAGGAGATTCATGGCAGTGTCAAAGCTACCAGCAGCAGCATGGTCTGCTGCGAGTGGTGAGTTTCGTGCCCAGAGATCGGCCTCGCTGCTGCCAGCACCAGCTTCTGCGCTCTCGACATTGACGAAGTCCTCTTCCACCTCTGGTACAGCATCATCGCCCAGGTCCCATCCATCAGCGGCATCGTCGTCGTCGCCATCGTCGAGTGCTCCATTTCCAGTGGCTTCCTCGTCTTGGAGAAGGTCCTCCTCGACAAAGCCATTCGTATCAGCAACAACCGCGTCATCACCTTCCGCCATGAGAGCCTTCTCAAAAGAACTCGTGCCAGTAGCCTTGGTTGGCCAATTGGCTTTGAATGTAGGCGCGACGGCTTTGGGAGGTGAAACAGGCTTTCCAACGCTTGGTAGGCTGATTTGGTCCTCGGTCAAGCCGCTTGCCTCAAGAATTGCCTGGCATTCTTCTTCTAGGCCGTTGGATTTGGCGGTCAGATATGCAAGAGGATACTGATCAACCTCCTTGAGCATCTCTATCCGACTTTGAACGTCACCCAAGTAGATGGAGTTCTGGAAACGGCTGGTCATGTCGCCTCTGTGCTCCGCAATCTTTGCCATACGCTGTAGCTTCTCCTGATCGCCCGTGGTGAGATACAGGAAAGAGAGTTTGTCAAAGTTACGCAGCTTCTGGTAAGTCATCTCCACAACCTGGTGGTTGCCATGTGCGAGCGCTTCCGAGCTCAGACGTTGCCAGAGTTGTGGACGATCCAGCTGTTTGGCCATCTCAACGGCGACATCCAAGTTTCCGCATTCAATAGCCAGCTCAAAGCGAGTCTGTGGGTCTTGGACGAATTGCAATGCAATCTCTGGGTAACCCTTCTTCTGTAGGTACGAAATGATGCTCTGACCGACCAGACTTGAAGTCTTGATGATGTTGAGCATCTCATCGTAATGCCTCTTGACAAGCGCCAGCTTGAAGCGGTACTCGGTTGGGTCGATTGTGAGGATCTTAGGCTTGGCGGCGCGATCCAGGCAGTAGACGCTGCGACCCTTGACACGTACAAGGTAGATGACATGCTCGAGTGTGCGAACAATACCGTTGTCTCCATTCATCAGTGCGTACTTGATGTGGTTGAGTGTGGAGTAGAGGAGCACGCCAGCATCGTCCCAAGTAGCACTCTTGATTCGAATAGTTTCGTGGAGAGTGCTAATTTGTTGGAGCGACTTGTTGACGATTGTGACGTTGTGCTTACTGAGCAGGGCGGCGTGAAGACCATCTGACGACCACACAACATACTTGACTCCAGCAACCGCAAGCTCGGCAAGCTGCTTCTTTTGTTGGATATCGTATAGGTATACGTGTGTTGGAGCGACGAGAAGCAAGCATCCGGTACCTCCAAAGACCATATCGGTTGTGCCCGTTGGGGGCTTGATGGTCTTCGTGGTGGAGTTTTGAAGGTCCTTGATGTCGATTTGCTGGTTCGCAGAGTTGAAGACGGCAAAGCGATTGCGTGCAACGAAAACTGCAGCTGATCCAGTCCCGCGATGTGTGCTGGTAGGCTCTACGGCTCCTGATGCTTCCCGTGGTAGGCTCATGAGCTCGTAAGAGCCACCTTCGGCAGGTGTCGTTACGAGAATGGACCTCTCAGCTGGGTTGTACGACACAGTACGAGGTGGGACCCATGCGCTGCCCAGCTTCTTCAGGTTCAGCATAGATGGGCTCTCGAGGTTCTTGGTGAAGTCGTAAGACCGAACGTGTTTGTCCTTGTTGATGAAGAAGATGTTGTTTTGGTGAACGGCAGATGCGGGTCGCTCGCGCTCAAGCTTGAAGACCATGACACCATTGTCGTGGCCTGCGGCGAAGAGGTTGATTTCTGGATGTGCTGCAATCACCCAAAATCGGTCGTTATCCCGCTTGAATGACTGGACGGAAGTTCTTCTGTTCAAATCCCAAACGCGAATGGTCTTGTCCTCGCCGACGGACAAGATGAGATCCTGATGTGGGTGGAACAGACATGCAGAAGCGTTCTGGAAGTGTCCTCTACAAGTATCCACCTCCCACGCCTTGGTTTCGCTCATCCTCCACAGCTTGACCAATCTATCATCTCCTGCCGATACAATCAAGGGAAGTGTGGGATGGAAAGCGACCCAATTCACGCCGCGATCGTGACCTTCCAGCACAAACTTCACCACGGCATCGGTGTTTCCAAACATGTCGGCCTGATTTTGGTTCGCGCGCGCAATCTGATCTTCAAAGGACATGGAAGTTGGCGCGGAGTGCTTCTTGCGCAGGCCTGAAATGTCCCAAACTCGCACTGACTGGTCCAGCGAAGCGGAGACGACCAGATCCTCCTTGGGATGGAACTGAGCGCACATGGTGTAGTGGTTGTGACCGGTCATTGTGCAGACTGACCTATTGTCAGCATTATCATCTCCACCACATCGCCAGCCGCAACTTACTCAATGACCTGTTTTGCCAATTCCATATTCTAATCGTCTGATCATCGGAGCTGGAAATGATCCAAGGAAGCTCGTGGTGGAAGAAGACGGTTCGCACATAGTCCAAGTGGCCATTCAGCGTGAACAGACACCTCCTGGTCTGATATGACCAGACTTTGATCTTGTAATCATCTCCTCCCGACACAAACAGCGGCTGTGTCTTGTGAAAGTCAATGCCTCTGACCGGGCCGTCGTGTTCCTCAAAGCGGTCTATGAGTGTGCCCATGCGGTAGTCCCACAATTGAATCGTCGAGGAGTGCAGGGAAACGAGGATCCATGGTCGCTTMGGATGAAAGGCAATGCCCTTTGCGCGGGAAGATTTCGATTCGAACTTTGTGAGCATATTGGGCGAGGAGGAGGTCATGGTGGGCTGTTTACGCGGGAGCACAGGCTCCGGGCATTTGCTGGAGGATGTTCCAGCCGGAGAGGATTGGCGATGACCGGGAGGTGATGTGCACTGCAGTTGTGGTATTTGAGAGATCCTGACGTGGGCTGGTGTGGCAGGAGGTGTTGTCGCGATGGTCCAATGTCAGGACAAGTAGTCTCAGGTCGCAGCAAGCGCCAAGAACGAAGAATGGGGGGCCAGGGCCAGCAGAGGTCCAAGCAGAGTACGTTGCAACGAACTCAAAAAGACACGCCTCGACAAGCTCCATATCTTCACGTGTACACATCCTCATTGATGTCTTCCATGGTGGATGGTATGGATGACTTGCTTTCCCTCTATTCACGTGCGAATTGAAGAGGATCAATCAATCTCTATCAATGTCATGGACAAGACGACGATGCTGCCCGTTCGGTGCCGYGGGCGGTTCACCATGAGACGGATCAACAACAACTGCCAGGTCACGCTGACTCGCGAGCCTTTCCCCCCCAACAAACGTCACCTCCCGGGTTCCATCGTCTGAAGGATGCATGAGTAGCACTGGCACAGTCGTGCGGCATGAGGGAGCTTCGCGACAGTATGCGCCCCGCCCGCCATTGGACGAGTGCTGCTCTGACAGCGCACTATCGGCTCGCGACGTGCAGCTTCGCCCGACAAAATCCGAATTCTTCGTAGCACATGCTGCTCTGGGGGACATCAAAACGCTTCTCAACCCGATTCACGCGCGACCAACCACCTGTCCGTCCTGCGTCTGCGCCCGGCAGTCACCCAAGCGACCCACCAATTACCCCCATCCACATATGCCAGCGACTCCGCCGCGAGTAATTGCCACGCCCCGCGCGAAACACCTCGAGTCCTGCAGGGAGTGCCCCGTACCCCTCGGCCTTTATATGCCTTCCTGCTGCCCAAAGCAAGAAACGCCGTCACTTGCCATCTGCTCCCACTGAGGAGGTACCGGGTCGTATCTGGTGTTGCCTGCCGCCGACAGCGCACTCTCACATCCCGCCAGCGAAGCACATCATCGCCCTGCGATAAGACTTCACGCCCGCCGATAGCACCCCTCACGTCGCACAGCCTCCAAAGATGCTCTTGCTCGCGTTCCGGAGACACAACTTTATCGTCAAGAGACATCACCGACCCAACCTGGGAGGGCTGGACGCACGCTGAGGCGCAAAGACTTTACCACGATCTGAAGACAGACACATAAGCCACCGCAAAAATGATGGAGACACTCTCCAGTCGCACACCGGATGCGCCTCGGCCCAACAGGCAGTGCACTCCGCCATGCACGCCTGCGCGCCTTCCTAAGCGTCGACTCGAGCGCAGCGCGACACCCGYATCCCGCGCAGGATCCACTCATCCCACCGAGACCATCAGTCCTGCGAAGAAGATCGCCAAACATTCTTCCACCGACAACATCAAGGTCGAAGAGTTGAATGAAGGCGATCTCGGATACATCAGCGACGTTGACATAGTATATCCCGACGAGCTGGAGGAGAACAGTACCGACAGTGATGCAGAAGACACCATGACCGACGTCAGCGATCCCGAGGCTGCCGGACTTACTCGGAGATTGTCGCGTCTGCGTTGTGGTGATGATCGCGAGGTAGATTTCGAGGAGTGGCGCCAGCAAGTGCATCTCGACAAGCGGGTGCCGCGTACCTATAAGCGCTCACATAGTCAGAGCGTGAGAAATGAGTCGGCTCTACCGGACCCCGAAGCCATGGCTGACCACGATGTTGGTATCAGTCAGCGAAGACTGCGACGCCGAACGCGTGGTCCAGGTGATCTACCAGCAGACCTACATGGCACCCTTCCAGCTTCACCGACTTCTGGATCTGGATACGTGACCGCTGTAGAAGGCAACACACCTGCCGCAATGTCGGAAATTGAAGCCATGGATGTCGATGGCACTGAGGAGTCGTAGGCCTTACGTGGTCGTTGGTGCCGCTTCTGGGCTAGTTTGCATTTTCATGAGCGATCACGGCAACATCAACAGCATTTTTATGAGGAGTCGACGTGAACAGATGACTTTTGACGCATTGCTAGGAGAACGATGAAGCACAAATTTGAATGCTCTTCCATGACGAAGACTTGCCATCCGCGAGTCATCATTGCTCGAGATAGAACAAGTTTGAATTGTCAGAATTGGATGACCTCAGCTAAAGATTCCAAGCTCGGACGCGAACACTCAGATCTATCCTGTCAGTGTCACCTGCGGCGGTCGTGGCTTGAAAGTGACTTCGCCATTGTGCCTCTTGAAGGCTGACATCAGTTCACGAAACTCTGCTACATCCATTTTTTGAGATATGCTTCCCAAAGACTGGCGGCTGGAACGCACGAGCATTGCACGGCCTCGCTCGAAATAAAGCACATCAGAGTTCATTCCAGAGATGCAACGAGTAGCAGCGTAGATGTGATTAATGTGTGGTGATCAGCGGTCGTCCACAGCCCAGCCGTTGCTCCCACAGGATTCGCATCCTTTAGGGTAGTCAGCTCTCACTGCCACGTTGGCTGAGCTAACAGTGTTGGTCCTATTCCTTACACTCGTAGGCTGACCGAGTAAGATGCTGCGCTTGGGCTTCGCGGCCATTGATGTTGACCGTGCTGCTTAATGCGGCCGCATGTGCATGTCTATAAGAGAGCAACGAGAGCCATTGTGTTTGACCTCTCCATCCAACAACAAACAAAAAAACACAATCATCAACAGTCGGTTTTTTTCGGTTTCCTTGTCTCATTTGTATTCCACTGTCTGTTATCACACACATTCACTGAGAAGCATCAACCTCCAGTCAACTCCAACATCAACACCAACTTCAACGTCAACATCGACATCAACATCAAAATCATGTCTGTCGCACRCTACATTGTCGCTGGCCTGGCCGGTGCCGCGAGCATCTCAGCCTTCCCCCAATCATCCGCGCCTCAAGCTTCTTCCATGGCAACCATCTACGGCAGCTCGAGCTCCGCCATGAGCTCTTGGTCCGCATCCCCCACAAGCACACCACCTGCTGTGGCCCTCCCAAGTGTCATTGCACCCYCTGCAAGCCCAGCCAACACCGCTGCTGCAGCCGCCGCGGCCGCCTCCAACGCTGCTCTGGCCAAGAAAGTTCTCGCAGATGTCACAAATGTCAACCGCTTCAACGAGCTCCTCACCGTTGACGGTCTTGGACAGCAGATCCTCGACCCAGCCACACTCAAAGACCGAACCGTCTTCGACTTCAACAAGAAGATCAACCCGCTCGGTGACGGCGGCCTCTTCGTGCTTGCTAATGAGAACAACTTCCCCATTCTCGTGGAGCAAGGAATCTCCACCGCAGTCGCTGTTCTCAACCCGTGTTCCATGAACAGCCCACATACCCACCCTCGCGCCACCGAATGGCTCACAGTCGTCGACGGCGAAGTTCAAGCCGGATTCATGCTCGAGAACGGCTTCCTCGCAAACCCTCAGACGGGCGCCTTGACGACTCAAATATCCTCCAACCTGACCGCATTCCAAGGTACCATCTTCCCAATGGGTTCCATTCACTTCCAATTCAACCCAACCTGCAAGCCCGCGACTTTCATTGCGACTCTCAACCACGCCGATCCCGGCACTTCGCAAGTCGCGCAGAACTTCTTCTTCTTGGATGACAAAATTGTGGATGTTGCGCTGGGCGAGAAGATCAACATTAATGGACAGAACATTGATCAGTTCCGCAACACTTTGCCAAAGAACCTTGTCCAGGCTGTCGATACTTGCCTGCAGCGCTGTGGAAAGTAGGAGAGACTCTTCCTATTTCTTACTATCCGAGACGTACGAATGAGATGACTGGAAACGGGTGGGATTGATGTTGTTTTTGGCCTGCATGCTTTGCTAAGTCTAGATGGGGTTGTTTTTTGATCGATTGCCTGGTGTTTGGTTTGTTTTGTACTTGAGTTTATAGAAAACTAAAGAACTGTCTTCACGGCACCATCTCCGACGTACTTTTCATACTTCATCTACCCTACACTAGGGGATCGATTGAGTGCAGATGCCGCAGGAATTGCTCAATAATTAGGAAACAAGAGCAGGATGTCTCCGAGGAACTCAGCTGCAGACGGGACCATCATCCTACCACTACACTCCGCAGAAAATCCAGCTAAAATCTCACTCCAACGCAGCAGATCCGATGATCGCAGCTAACACCGCACCGGCTTCGACACTGATAGGCAGACGCCCACCATTCCCGCGGAGTGCCGCCCAGCAAAAAGACTCTTATATCGCGATGAGTTGTTCAGAAAGCCAACGTCACTCCGCTGCTTCCGGCTGGAATCTGAAACCAACCACTTACATGCATCCTCACAGCTTAAGCTTTGCATAAAGTTTGAGCCGGATCTTGATTCTCACGGCAACGTGATGTGCTGGCTCGCTGGGYATTGGCCTTTTGTGTGAAAGCAGGCCGCTTCTGTCGGCAGGATTGAAAAGCATAGTTTGTTGGCAAGAGAGTAGAAGAGGGCGCGCTGGGCGCGTGGTTTGGTTCCCGGATGTGTTTCGTCGCTTCATTGTTTCATCATCTCTGGAATCAATCCCACGCATACTTCAATACATCTCGGTAGCCATGCGAACGCGCCATTATGTTTCGCTCTTCGCGTTGAGTGTTGCGTTTCTATTGCTGGCTCTGCGAAACCATCTCTACAACCTCTTCGAAGTATCGCGAACGTATGGAACGTTCCACTCTTTCCTTCAGCAACATCCGCATGTTCTGTTTCGWTACCCAGTCCAAGATGCAGCCGTTACTTTCGAATCGTGGAGTGGACTGGGAAGCATGGCTTCTGCCACACCTCTGCCAAAGATCATACATCAGATCTACCTCTCAAACGGACGYCCAAACTCAAAACTCTCCCAGTATGGACCTGCCATCGAGAGCTGCCAGGCGCTTCATCCAGAGTGKGAATTCAAGATGTGGGAGGATGATGCAGGAGCGGCATTTATGAAAGAGCACTATCCAGAGATTCTGCCACACTATCTGGGATATGGTCAGAACATCCAGAGAGCGAACATCTTACGCTATGCTCTCTTGCATCATTATGGAGGCGTGTATCTCGATTTGGACGTCACCTGTCTGGTACCGATCGATGCGCCATTACCAGCTGGCAGTGTCGTTAAGTCGCTCACAGAACTGCCATGGATAACACCCGGCGCGTACCCTGCTGGAGTCAACAATGCATTCATTCTCTCTCAGCCGCGTCATGCATTTCTGTCGGAGCTCTTGGCTCGCGTGCCCAGTCGGGATCTTTCGTGGCCGATGCCGTATGTGGAGAACATGCTCAGTACAGGGTGTATGTACTTTTCCAACGTCTGGACGGCATACACTCGCAAGCTTGCAAGCTCGTCGAATGTTTCGATGGAGAACAGGGTGTATATCCTGGCGAATGAGAGGGGCGATATGGATCCTCATATGCTGAGAGGAAAGATCACAACACCAATCTTCGCGCACGGAGGCGCAAGTAGTTGGCATGGGTGGGATGCGGAAGCCATTGTTTTGATTGGGAAACATTATGTTTATTTTGCGATGTTGTTGGCTGCGATGATCGGTRTGTCGGTTTTCGCTTGTTGGAGAGTGTTTGGCTCGAGCAGACCGAGACGTCGGAGGAGTTGGCATGTTGGAAGGCGGAGTGTCGATCGGAGGAGTATTGACAAGGATGAAGAGCAGGCGTTGATGAAGGATGGTTGATTCTTATCTTGCTCGATAGTATATTCTTATGACCTAATGATTTAGTAACGACATCAGCAGGGAGAGGAACCCATGTATTGCTGTAGCACTCAAGCGTGGCCCGACTGTATACACCCAATTCGAGTGACTTCCTTCATACACGCTCTAGCCGGTGTCTCGACGAGCTCGAATATCGTGTGAACACAGCCCGCGAGGTAGTTTTGCATCGCGCATGGAGCTGCCTGAGAAACGGCCCCAGATCCTCTGCTTCCGGTGGCGTTCGAGCACCGCAACGACATTCGTGGTTTGCTGAAGGACTCGCTGCTTTGGGAGCACGTTTATCGAATGTGTGAAGACGCGTTAAGGGTGTAACGAGAATCGCAGTTGAGTTCAAAAAAGTGGAATAGGAAGGGGAGCACGAGTCTGTCAGTGTAATGTGTGATGCGTGTTGTGTGAATGTTCATTTCCTCAATACAGCCTTCGCCACCTCATAGCTTCGCTCCCTCCTTCAAAGTGCCAATCTTGAGCTTAGGCGCATACTTCTTAAGCACGCCCTCGTTGTGGTACTAGTTTGAGTTGTCAGCGACATGAACAGTCGCATCTTGTTTGTACTATTGTCCACTCACCTTCCAGAACTGCTTGCTGGCATCCTTTCCTCCCACTCTCTTCAGGATTTTGGCGCCACCTGGGTGCTCATCCACAAAGCTGTCCATCTGGTAAACACCGTCGTCGATGATGATGTATAGGCCCTTTTCCACTGTCCCGTGTTCCTTGACCTCGTTGGCGGTAATTTGCTTGGACATTGTGGAGATCGATCGGTTAAGCAGGGTTTCGAGATGGATGTGTATCTACTCGTAAATGTGGTCGCGTGAGTTGTGGCGAGTCTCGGTACAATGGAGGATGTTGGTGCTAGTTAGATATGATCGCGACAGAATAATCAGACTGGAGCAGGTCGTGAGTGGTCGGCACTCGCGCGCAAGCCGAGGTACATCGTTTTGGCCGACTCCCGGAGCAACCGAAGTGAATCCGTTCCGCAAACAAGAAGTTACCTTAGGTAATCATCAACCTCGCCGGTAGGTATCGACTCTGGCATCATGCAGCATTTATGCGTTTTTGGGGAGCTTCAGCAAGCCAGCTCTCACAAAGTCACCGAAGATTATTCATTTGCACAACAGATCTGTCATCCGATTGAAACAGGCATCGGCATATGAAGTCTTGGCTGGCATCAATGCCAATGCTACGGTATTCCCCTTTCAGCCATCGCTTCCTAGGTATGATCATCGTGAGAGGCTGGAACGATCGCTACCAAGACTGACCGTCCCTCACGGCCTTGTTATGGATCACGCGGGTGAAAAGACCGACCGCGCCAGAGTCGCCTCGCCTCCACGAAAACGTGGAGAAGCTGGGGTCGCAACTTGTGGGGATGGTGGGCGGTGACAGGAACAACTGAATGCCCTGCTGAAGACTTCCGGCACATTCACCTATTGCGAAGAAGTCGAAGTCTTTCAAAGGTAGATACCCCGGCATGGACCAAATGTTAGGATGTGATACCGCGGATCCGTTTGACATAGGCGAGCCACCATCGCCTCGTTGCACATTCCCATCTTGGCACATGAGCCGTAGCGAGAGGCGTTTCAGAACTTGTGATGGACATACCGCAAGGGAGAATGTTGAGCCTTATCATTCCGGGCTCTGACGGCGCATTGGTGTGCTAGCTCACGCCATCCTGCACAAGTGGCATGGCATGCCATGTGCTCCTCTGCATGGATGGTTAGCGGAACTACGGTGCAGAAGCTTAGATCACAATCCCCTCTACTTGGCACGCTCTGCCCGGCTAAAGGTAGGTATAGATATGTAGACTACATTTTCCTTCTTCGCGTACGTTGCTCCGTTCTGCTCGACCCTTCTTCACCCGGACGATCCAAGGCTTAACAACAGTCCATAGGACTTTTGGGAGGATCCAGAGTCGACGTATTCCTATTCTGGTGGCGGCGCTGGAATATCGCCAACATGTCTGAATTCTATGAGAAGGACGTTGCTCTGCAACAGGAGACATTGCACGATGTTGAATCCAAGCATACACCACACGAGGACTCGAGCCACCACACAAGTCTTACGGAGGAAGAGAAAGCGATCGAAAAACAGCTGGTAAAGAAGATCGATCTTTTGGTAATGCCCCTGGTACTGGTGGTGTAGTAAGTCTTGATCAACACAACTCTCCATGATCTAGACCGTGTGCTCATCAAACAGCTTGCTCAACTATATCGACCGTAACAACTACGCTGCGGCGGCCATTCAAGGCATGCCAGCTGATTTGGGAATGACCGACGCACAGTACCAGCTTGGTCTCTCCATTCTGTTTGTGGGATACGTAAGTGCTTCATATCACCCCAAAGTCATCGTGGTGCCATGCTAAGCCCCCACAGGTATCCATGCAAGTGCCTTCAAACGCAATGCTCAACTACTGTGGCAAACCGGGCTGGTACATCGGATTCTTTACCATTGCTTGGGGACTCGTATCAGCCTTGACTTCACAAGTACAGAGTTTTGGCAGTATGCTCGCTTGCAGGTTGTTACTCGGTATTGTTGAGGTAATTGGAATCTTTCGAGCCGCACAAAAGATGGACCGCTGACTCTCGGATCTCCTTGCAGGCTCCATTCTTCCCGGGAATGCTTTTCTACCTCTCCAAGTGGTACACCAAGAGTGAACTCAATCTACGGATGTCGATCTTCTACTCTGGTTCTCTCATCTCTGGCGCATTCGGGAGTCTGATCGCGGCCGGAATCCTCGACGGTCTGGACAATGCTCGAGGAATTGCTGCATGGCGTTGGGTAAGATCAGTGCATCGAAAATCTGGGTTTTCGCTAACGTCGAGTTAGCTCTACATCGTCGAGGGTGCAATCACCGTGGCAGTTGGTATCGTCGTTGTATTTGTCCTGCCAGACTTTCCAGATACCTGGACAGGTCTGTCGTAAGTTGCGCCTGACATAGCCGCGAAAGACATGGTCTAGCGATTCGAATCCTAACAAGGAAGACAGGCCAGAAATGATGCTCGTTGCCAATCGACGAATGGCACTTGACGCTGGAGAGGCTGATGTCAATACCGGCGGCAAAATGTCCCAGCTCGAAGGACTCAAGCAGGCATTCCTGGATCCAAAGACTTACATCCTTGCTATTGCCTACCACGGCGTAGTCGGCGCTGCCGGATTCCAGAACTTCTATCCCAGTAAGTGACCAAGTCATAGACTGAAGGGTAGAGAGGCTCTCTCAAACCCCTTTCTCAGCTCCCACTTCGTTRCAACACAAACTGACCACAACCTTACGCTCATAGGTATCGTTCAAACACTAGGCTTTGAACGGGTCATTACCTTGCTTCTTGTCGCGCCTCCTTACGTGTTCACGGCATTCTACTCCCTGGCACACGGTCTGGCTAGTGATAAGTTCCAGAACCGATTCTGGTTCTTCATGTACCCCGTTCCGCTCGTTATCGTCGGTGCCCTGATCTTCATGTTCACGGAGGGATTAGGTCCTCGCTACTTCAGCTTGTTCCTGCTCAACATGATCTTCGTCATGAACGGAACGGTCTATGCCTGGATTGCGAACTCCATTCCGCGTCCTCCTGCGAAGCGAGCTGCCGCTCTCGCGTTCATCAACAGCGTTGGGAATGCGGCCTCAATCTGGACCCCATTCACATATAGTGGCAGCCAGGCGCCTCAATACCTCCAGGTAAGTACTGCACTGCTTCATATCCCGCAGGTGGTGAAAATCGCACCCTGCTTGTGCAAGTCCAACGCAAGCCATGATTCTAACAAATATGCAGGCCATGGGAATCAATATCGGACTGGTCGGCATTGCTGGTATTCTGGGAGTCACCATGTACTTCTACTTGAACATGCAAAACAAGCAGTTGGCACGAATGGAGAATGTGGACACGCCACTCACAGATCGCGATATGAAGAAGTTGCAAAAGACGGCAGAGCTGGAAGGGATCGACGTCCAAACTGCTCGCATGCTGCAAAAGGGCTTCAGGTACRTTGTTTGAGCTATGTACTGTGGCTGTTGGCGAACAGTGTCGATATCTCTTGTCAAACCAAGCAAATGAATCTCGGTAGGCATGTCTTTGCTAAGCGAGCGAGGCAGGGCATTTAGCCAAAGAACCATCCATCGATAGGATACTCGATCGCGGGAATAGTGACCTCACCACCCTCATCCAGTCCAACCGCACTGTCTCCACCGTCGAATCGCTCAGTGTTCTTCTGGATGTTCTCTCCTCCGATCTGGCGCCTCGATTGATTGGTCTTCGTCCCACGTATTTTCAACGTAACCATCAGAGATTTTGGCTTGCTCTTCTCCAATCCGTGTTGCAGCTTTATGCCCTTGGCTTGTTTCTCGATACCTTTGGGATGTTGCTTCGTGTTGGGATGCTGTTTCGTAATACTGCGTTGTTGATTCTTGTTCTTGTTTTTGGCACGGACCGCGGCTTGCATCGCTTTGCTGTCGAGCAAGCCGCTCTTCTTCCCGAGCTCCTTGTTGGATTTGCGAGGAAGTGATTTCTTTGCCTGCCGCATTGGCTTCTGGGTCGTGTCCTCTGGACAGAGGAAGTCGCCGTTTTCGTCCTCGATGAGCGTGTACCTCAAACCGGGATCTGGCTTGCTCCAGTCGAGAATGTCCGTTTCTGTGTCCATGCCGCTCGAAAAGCTCGACACGCTGTCCGAGTCTGTCGCTTCTGCTTCGCTACTTGTGCCACCATGTTGAATGCCTGATGCTTCATATCTGTCCCAATCCACCTTTGACTGCATGCTGTTGGCGGCCTTTTGGCGGCGGCGGAGGCCCGTCATCTTTGGTGGCATAGCTGCGGTGCTCTGAGTTGAGTGGATATGGTTGGAGTTTTGGTGGTTGTCTCAGCGAGGTGAAAGTGAGGAGTACCATCATTCACTTGTGGTGGCTTGGCAGGTCAGATTTACGCTAGCTTCAAACCTTGAATTTTGTAACATGTAATTTCTAGTTATATATGAGTTCATCAATGGTCGTATACCGACTACTACCATACGAAATATAGCTGGTGGTAGCGTTAATCAGTCAAGTCTTMGATTAGCCCACTGAGACTTTGCTGGTCATAGAGCATTTGTTGGTGAATGCTCATTGTGTTTATCCCGGTCTGCTGGCAAACGCACTGCAACTAGCTTCACTTCAGAGCTGTTCGCATCAAGATTTATGACGTGATCGGAGGTTGCGTCGTCACTCTCCTCTCCACCGTTGCTGTCGCCGCTCTCAACGACTTCACATACACATCCTCGACTATTCCCACCTCTCTTGAACAGCGGCTACCGTTACTGTCCACAGCAATACAGTCTTCAGCTCGTGGACGGCAACTCTCTACAATACTGATCAAATATCTGTCTGCCTGTATCAGGGATTCCGGAAGCATCGCGAACCCTTTGATGTGGCACCGCTAGACAACAATCTGCCAGACCGCGCGGTAAGTACAATACCTACTCTGTTCACAAGTCAGCCGTGACTAACATCAATCAAGATCTCGTAGCTCCGCTACAATGGCCGACGCAGACTTCACACGTGCAGAGTTCATCGTCGCCACTAGCCAGCTCAAGCCAGCGCATGACGCCGCGCGAGCCAAAGACTCGGCGGCCATCAGAGCTGCTCAAGACAAGAAGACTTCGAACGATGGTCTCAGGAGGCAAGAAATCGAGGTTCGCGCCAGGGAAATTCACAACATTGGAGAGTTGCCGAAGTGGACGCCCTATTGGAAGGTCAAAATCGCAATCCTCGCGGTGGTRGTCGCAACTAGCTTGGTGTTTTACTTATTCCCCGACTACACCTACTTGCAAATCATTGCCTTTTTGCGTCGCATCCTCCCCAACTACGACTATAAGCGAATCACACCGAAGTTCCAGGACTAAAGATTGGCGAGGATGGGGCGAACAGAGACACGAACAGACACGAAGGAAGTTATGATGGAAGTCATCGGAATGCGGTAAGGGAAGCATTTATTACCTGGAAACGGAATCGAAATTGGTAAAAAGATCGGGCTTAAGTGATGCTCGTATGAGAAGCCATACTGCATGCTCAATCTGCACATCATGCTCAAAATGTACATAAACTATTTAAACGACCGCCAGATGCATTCATTCCCGCCATGACCTAACGCATCGCTCTCTACAGAATCGACGATTTTAGGCCTGCTAGATTCCCAACCACTAGCAGAGTAGTCCGTTAATTAAGCGAGGGAGCAGTTGAGGGCGCTGCTCTTGTCGATAATTTCTCATATCGACAGCTCTGGACGATAGCACCTCCAGGACCATCCACTAGAGCAGGATGTTGACCCCAAAGTTTCGAAGAACAGCCGACCACATGTTGAGCTCGTCTCAAAACAGGCACGTGGTCCAATTGCAGAACTTCGCTTAGATACCTGGATCTTGAAGTGTCCCGTAGAAGAAGTACTTTCCAACCGGAGGAGTCAGATGGTCGGTCCCACGCATACTTTTCGGCGTGGCCCTCAAAAATCCATGCGGGAGCTACGCAGCGAGATTTTAAGCGCAAAAGCCACCTTCTTTTCCAGCTTCTGAGGGGGGAGGTGGAGGGGCAGGTAGAGCGTCTATGGACGAGAGCTGTTCCATTTATGCGCCCTTAATCGTCCTGTTGATGTGTTTGTCAAATGACTAGCGCTGGAATTCAAGTGAACGAAACTAAATCCAGCTTAGTGTGCTTTTAGTGTGCCATGATTTCATCGTGGGAACTGAGGACTCTTCCTTACAATGAACCCGCCAATTCCAGAGTCAAATCTCTCCACGCAGGGAAGTCCGGCGAAGATGTCACCAAGCCATGAGCGGGGCCAAAAGACGCCTTTTGTCTCTCAGCTCGGCTGTCAACCCAGCCGTCAGCTCGGCTAGCATGTCAGCTGTGCTACAAACAATCGATCCAATAAGCCACAGCTCTGGATCTTCTGACAGAACACATAAAGAACATATAATATGCAATAGCTGCAGAACTTGTTCAAATACAGACGTCTCTAATTACTCGAATATGATGGGTGGGCATCGAGTGTTGACGCTACTGACAGTCGCATGTGCAATATGGCCAACTCTTGGCGGAATTCCCCCCTTTTTCGGAAGGACGATAAACGACGAAAGTCCATGCTACGGTGACATCAAGCCACTCCAGGCGGACTATGTTATTATCGGTGGCGGACCAGCCGGCATGGTCATCGCGGAACAACTGTCGCAGAACCCCAACCTCAACATTGTCTTGCTCGAAGCTGGGCCTGATGGAACCAACGAGCCTCTTATGAACACCCCTGCATACGGACCCCGAATGACAGGTACAAGATATGTGTGGAACTTCACTTCGCAGCCAGACCCCAATCTTGGTGGCCGCACACCTGAACTCGCTCAAGGTCATGCTTTGGGCGGCGGTAGTGCTGTGAATTACATGGCATACTGTCGAGGATCACCATCAGTTTTTGACGACTGGGCCCGCATTTCTGGTAATGTAGGACTCAAGTGGAAATCGCTTCTGGCGGATTTCAAGGCTACATCACATTACAAAGCACAGCGTTCAGTCCACGACCAGTATACCGACACCGGGAGCAGGAGACGCCACCGTTGGCTTGTCCAAACAGCGTCATGTCTCTGTCCTCTGCGTCTACGCCGAGTTCAAGCATTTCGCTCGTTTCGCATGCTAACACTCAACGAAATTTTCTGAGAGACATGACCTGAGACTCTCCAGCAGTTGTGCTCCTGTTCCAAAAATCCTTACTGCATTGGTCATTCGCTGATAATTATAATCTTCTCGTTAGGTACATCAACCTGAGCGCTTATGGCAAAGGGCCGCTGGAAGTTACATCCTCCGTCAGTCCTATGGCTTTTCGTCCAAGTTCGTCGACGCATTGAAGGAGACACTCGGTCTGCGGAGCGTCGACATGAACGATGGAACCGGCCTGGGAGTTTCGACCGGTCCCGCAACCATAACAGCATCCAATCGTACTCGGGAATATGCGCTCCCAGCGTTCGGCTGGCAGATGGCTCATCGTCCGAATGTGCGCATGATTCCGAATGCATGGGTCAGCAAGATTGGATTCAGTGGCCGACGAGCTAGCAGCGTTACCTACTATCTCTCCCTGGATGATGGCACAATACCACAGACTATCACTGCGAAGGAGATCATACTGGCCGCAGGGGCGTTATCCTCTCCAAAACTCCTCATGCTCTCTGGCGTCGGACCAAAGAAACATCTGCAGGAGCTCGGCATTCCCATCGTGGCTGACATTCCAGCAATAGGCTCGAACCTCTACGATCATCACTTCTCCGCCCTCCAATACGAAGTCAAGCAGGAGGTCCAGACTTCCTGGCAGTACAGCCAAAACGCCACATTCGCAGCCATCGCCAAAGAATTATACAATGCCAACGGCAGTGGACATTTGGGACAGAGCGGTGGAGGTCCTTTTGCCATGGCTCGCGTCCCCGATGTGGTATTCCAGGCCGCGAAGGATACATTCCATCCCAACCTGCCCCAAGACCGCGCACACATACTGTTTCAAGTTGCCAACGGCGCTTTTGTTCCTTCTGCGGCCCCAAACACCAGCATCATCACACCTTTCGTTGCTCTCGTCCAGCCCGAAGCTGCGGGATCACTCCGTCTAGCTTCAAAGAACTTTCGAGATAACCCCTTGATCTTCTCCAATTACTACGGTAGCCCAGGCGACAAAGCGGCTATCTTGTACGGCTACACAAAACTCCGAGAGGTTATGCGACATCCACGGGCCGCTTCGGTCGTCGTGCAGGAGATTTTCCCCGGAGCGAACGTTACCTCGGATGAGGATCTTTGGCGTGCTATTCAGACCAGCGCCAGAAGTTTCCATCATCCGCTCGGAACGGTTGCTTTGGGTGCTGTACTTGATTCGAGCTGGAGGATCAAGGGATTGAAAGGGATTAGAGTCGTGGACTCGAGTGCTTTCCCAAAGATGCCGACCTGCCATATTCAGGCGACGGTGTATGCGTATGCGCACCATATCGCGGGGCTCATTAGAAGAGAGGACCGGGAGAACGGGATGTAGACGGTACGCGCAAGACTTGTTGTTCCAAGGCAGATGTCGACCAAATGAGTGAAGATTGAACGATCGTGGGAAGCAGTATGTTCCAATTCATGGTCACTCGTCGATGTGGGTTCGCTTGGCCACAATCTTTCAGTTTGTTGCGTGACGTCCTGGGCCACAGCGGTTGTCCCGCTCTCAATCATGTCATAGTCAGAGCTGTAGATATGAGGATTGTTGGTCGGAACAAGACCTCCTCAGTCATCCTAACTATGTTATACGGCCTCGCTCTCTGCAGGCTCGACGAATCTAGACCTGCTAGAATCCTTACTAGTAGCAGAGTAGCCCGTTAATCGACCGAGAGAGCAGAATGGGGCACTGCTCTTGTTGATGATTTTTCATATCGACAGCTCTGGTCATAGTCCCGCGGCCCGGCGGATGGTAAAGAGCGAAGCGAGGGTCAGGGTAGAGGCAGGAGGCAAAGGGCGCTGAGCCCACCCCTAATGACATCGAACTAAACGGGCTCGGAAAGAGTGGTTTTGCCATCGCACTTTTCCTGCGACAAGATGTACCTGGAGATGGGCGACTGATTTCACAGCCATCGTGTCGAGTTRCGCATCGATACTGCTATCGCTCTTGGTCAAGTCAGATAGGATCTGATCCCTCGTCTGATTTATAGCATCAATTGCTTCTTGGTGCCGATCCGGCGGTACGTGTCCCTGTAGAGGGAAGAGATCTCCCAGGCTCTCACGCATGCTCTGCATCGCAGCCATACCTAACGCAGCACTTTCCACGTCTGCTTGGATGGTCTGCAACTCTGCACGTGAGAAGGAAACGGGAAAGACAGTCCCTTGGGCTCCAGGGAGGGTTTCCCAGACGTCTTTCAGCCCCCACGCTTGCGCCATGTACGATGCTTCTCCGTCGATGAGTATGTTGCGTGCGAGGAGAAGAAGCGCGTGTGCTGGGGACTCCTGGAACTCGAAGCATTCATAAATTTTCGGGCAATCTTGATGCACTAACGTTCTGTACAATGCGCAGAGCGATTGGTGAAGGAACAAGTTCTGGGCTGCTCTTTGCTCGCTGGTGCCAAGCTGTGCAAAGTCTGGCGGTAGAGTGGGACGCTCGAGGCCATGCATGATGGGCCCTTCGTGGTCTATGAAATGAGGCTGGCGAGCCTGGAAGTACAGAGGAGATAGCTCTGTGGATTGCCAATCGATAAGTCCCACGATCTGGGTGGGATTGGCGGGATCCACAAAGATGTTGCCCGCGTGAAGGTCCCCGTGCCAGAGGTGTGCCGATCGTAAGCAGCGATCGGTGGGCAGAAGATGTTTGAACAACTGGAAGTAAGTTTCGAGGGCCTTTAATTTTTTCTCGCGTGTCGGCTGATATAGACCAGGGCCATGTAAAGACACGGGGGATTGCGGCAGTTGCGGGATGTGCTGTATACAAGCCATCTCTCTTTTCCCAATAGCAGCATGGTAAGCTTCTAGCGAGCTCCCTGGACGGAGTCAGATGAGCATCTAGTGCACAGACGGAGCGAGGACTTACATGGACCCCGATCAAATTCAATTTCGGCTCTGCCATCGTCGAACATTTCACGCCCTGTCGAGGGCCCAACGACAAACCTTGCGTCACTCACTTTGCGGCCCTCATGATCGATATAAGTCAATGGCGACTGAGCTGACCCACCGGCGTCTTCGCGGAAGTAGAGACTTCCGAACTGCTCAAACGAGACAGACGCCCATGATTTCTGCTGTGCAGCGATGGATTTCACGACTTCCAGCCTGTCTTGAATTTTCATTCCTGGCAGGAAGTGATCGAGCTCCATGCCGTTCATCTTCTCCATCAGAATGAACTCGGCACCAACAAGAGTCTCCTGCGCTCTTGAGCTCCAAGCATATACTTTGGGCACTGGGGTGCCAAGTACCTCGCGAGCCTAGCATATATGAGTACCCAATCTACGCAWTGATCATCATGGTGGTGAACGTACGAATTCCATCGTTGCAACTTCACTCGCAGTGGTGAAGTGAGGCTGACCAGAGTTGGGATTGGGGATTTTGGCGACAACTTCTTTGCCATTGTCCATGGAGAGGAGCAGGACTCGATTATACATGCCATCCGGGTACTTCTTGATGTCGATGCAGGCGTCCGCCTGTACGGCGTGGGCTGCCTGCCGTGCGAGTTCGCTGACGTTGAATGTACGGTGGCGTTTTGACAGCTCGTCCCTCTCATTTGTGACGAATCGGCCCCTGGTGAAGTTGAAAATCTCCGCGTCAGACGACGGACATTCTTTAGAGGTGGCCTCCATTGTTTTTTGCATCCCGTTGTTCGAGGACAGCTTTGGTGTCGAACTGTGCATTTTGTTTGCCATGACAGCATGGCCATCTCGAGCCTTCATTGCCACCTCCATCTTTCGAACCCGAAGCCGCCCAAATAGGCGATTCATTTCCCTGCGATTAGACAATTGCGTGCATGTACAGGGGATTTGACAAAACGCCGGCGTCAATCAGGTTATTCAAGAAGGAGACGCCGTCCGAGGCGGCTGCGGCCGCTCCGTCCCGTAGCCGCMCATCAGACTAAGGTAGCTTCATTGAGAAGCAGGGCGGGTAGCCCGCCGAGCGAGACTACATTAAATAACGCCCAATCAATGCAGTCCGTCAGCTGCGCCGCCGCTCGAGGGCATGTCTGTTGGACGACGACGATCTTCAATCAGATCTAAAACGGTCACAGCGCTTATCCTCACTCGCATGTTGGGAATGTGAACTGACAGATGGGCGATACGCCCTGCCGGCCCTTTCTTGAATATAAATAAGTTGTTGTTCCTGATGTTCTGGCTAAAAGAATTTATAGAGTCAGTCTACTTCCTGTGGAGTGTCACCCAGAAATCGCCCATTCCGTCCTGCAAATTGGTCTGTACTGTTTCAAGGTTGCCTTGATCTTGTTCGCTTTCGCTGACGATGCAGAAGCAAGCACAGACAAAGAATCAACTGCTTGTATGTCTCCCAAGAACTGCAGTCTTCCGCCAGGATCATACTGATCAGCGGTAGGTACAATGAGTCGGGCATTGAAGGACTCTCTGAAGGGCCTTAAGAGCTGGGTATTGGCAAGCCCGTCTCGAGTGGCAAAACTTGCCAGAGGCGAAGGTGCCCCTTGGTACCAGAGCGGCGCCTGCGCAGGCTGGTAACAACGATACGAAGATTGGGGTTCGTCTCGATAATGCCGACACCATCGTCAAAGGCGGAAAAAAGTTCAAGCGCTACAAATTCCAGGTCAACAAGGGTGCGGACAATCCAACCCTCAAGGCTCTTGCGGACAAGAACTCCCACGAGGTGTGGTCACAAGCCGATGTACCTATTGACGAGGGAGATCCGAAAGAAGTGGTAAACAACCTTTTCGACGATCTTGAGAAGAATCTCAAAAAATGACCGCTAGATTCGAAGCATCGGACCCAGCCTGTTTAGTTAGCTATCTGAATAGGACACAGTCCAAGAAAGAGGGTTGAAATTGCTTCCGGTCTTTGGAAGAAGTAACCGGCGACTGCTTAGCGGACCTTGWGCTACATACTACATAGGCTACTACGAACTCCTCCATGTGCTACGGCCTGAGGACTGTTGAATGAGCCCAAAATTTACTGATTATTTGGCACGTGGCTAGTTGCTGTGCTTCCTCACGCCTACAACACTCTTATCATTGGTGCTATTCGCAAGCTACCACGACGAGGAGATAATAGAGACATGAGCACTCGCTGATAAGAAAGAGGGAATTCTCAATTACAGAAGCCGTTCACACACCTTCTTCTGGTCTTACCCTTTCGGCGAACCAAATCGAGGTCTCGGGTCTTATCCCAACGGGAGTCACCGTCGATGTCTCTCAGACAAGATTGCTTCATTTCAGCGCCGAGACGTACTTATCAAGCGACCGAGAACCATTTAATCATGGTCTCCTTTGATACAGACACCTCGGTGGAGTCTAGCACCCATCTTTCTACTTTGTAGCAGTCCACAAATGTTTGTTAGAGAGTGACTGTGAGCAGGGCTTGAAGGGACGGTTGAAGCTATTCAGAAGCCGAAGACGGATACGACCGAGGTTGCATGTCAAGGAGCAGATGGAGAAGGAGGTGGGAAAATTAACCGTCGCTACAAAACCAAACTTACATGATACGATGGTCGCTTCCGCTTCAGACCTCCCATTCTGATCGTCGTGGTTGAATTTCAACTGCTCGCTAGCACCTTCTTGAGAGGGAGTGTGATCCATTTCGAGGCCATCATTGCCCAGAGAATTTACTCCCGTATCATCCTACGGACGTTGCCATCTTATGGCCGCTTGGTGGCTTAGGAGCTCTGAGGGGTAGCGAGTCTCGAAAATCTCCATTGCCAGGTCGTACCAGCCTTTACAGCCCGTTGGGCGATCGAAGAACTTGATGTATTCCCAGTACTCAGGATACCAGCCGGAATACTCCCAATCGAGGAGTGCGCAGATCCTTCCGTCTCGGACAATAATGTTACGTGGTGACAAGTCGGCGTGGGTAAAGACAATGCGATTTCCGACACGCATCCGGAAGCTTTCCTCTAGCGTCTCGCGGATAACTTGTGGTGTTCCGTTGGCTAGATTTAGTATGAACTCGTTGAACTCCTGCTCGAGGCTGAAAGGTCCTCCGGTAAAGTCTCTGATCCAGCGTAAATCGTGCACTGGCCCTTGGCAGGATCCGATGGGGTTTCGCGAGGTGTTCTGGGCTGCTCGCATCGTCGTTATGATGCTGCGCAGCTGCTGTCCAATGTCTTTTCTTTGCGCGACAGACATTTTGTCCCATGCATCCTCCAAGCATTCACCATCCACATATTCCATGTGGATACTACAAATGCCTTCTGTAGTCGAAATGGAGTGCACCTTTGGAACAGGCAGATTCAGTTTGTGAGCAAACAGGAGACCGTTGCCTTCTTCTTCTCTGACTTTTGTGCCGCATTTTTGTACAGTGTCGTTGTGCCTTACAAGCTTGCAGCCTTGCTCATTGGATGCCGTAGATGTTAGAACCCCTGTGTAGAGTCAAGAAGATTCTGCGTTGGATGACCTATCACTCTTGCCTTTGGAGTTCTTCCTCAGCTCTTCTCTAGATCTGTCCATGGTTCCTCGAAGTTATGCAAGAAGACGAGATCTCATAAGCCTTAGTTGAGGTTAGCTGTATGCAGGCCTCCAGGTTCAGTCGAATGGAAATTGTAGAGAGGAGCGAAAAAGAGCCGACATACAGAACCCAAGATAATGTAGTCGAATTTAGAGTTTGGCCCCACCCCACATCCCACACTAAGGTACCTAGGTAAGGTACACGTACTTTGGTACATACATAGATGCATCACCTCACAACTTGCAGCCACGTCTTAGTCCTCAAGGAAGACAGCGACGGGTTCGTCAACAACAAAGTCAAGCCCACTGTATCCTCTGGAGTTGATATGTATCCCTATCTGGGCAAGAATTGTCTGACGCTAACCATACACATGGAGACCTTGGTAGATTCGCGCACATATCCTGTCCTTCGTATCTCCCTCCACCCGGTACCCACAACTCCAACATGACAACGGATCTTAGGGGAAAGACTTTGTTGAAAAGTGCCGCGCAGCTGGTATAGCAGTCAAAAGGGGCCTGGAGGAGCTGGAGAGTCAAGAACGGCCAGAGAATTGCTTGCTACGCTTCGATCCCGCGAAGTACCCCCAGGCGCAAGAGGCGAAGGAAGCATGCAGCAAGTTACACGGCAAATACAATATGCCATTTACTGCAAGGCTTACTCGGGGGTGGCATATTCAAAAACGCCCTCCCCCAAGTGTGTCCCGAGAGCCGAGGACTTCAAACCCACGGTATGCCCTTCTGGACGCTATCCATTGGTCTCCCTGATGGTAAACTCATCTGCGTACGGATGACTTCAATAATGCCGTATAACCTGAGTAACGAGTCGTCTTGATCGCCGCCGATGAGGTTCCCGGATCGAAGCCTTGGGAGACTTCTCCATGTACTGAACTCGAGTGCAAGCGATCGATTTGCCAGCGCCCGCAAGAACATCGCGTTCGCGCCGCACGTCGCATCTCCAAACCGCGTGTGCCTTACTTGCAGATCGTCTTGGTGCCAATCACATAAAGTTGCGTTTTGCACTGACAGCTGCAAGTTATTCTCGATAATCTGCTTCTTTTCGTCAAAAGATTGCCCCTGTTTTCGCATCGCGTTGGCTTGGTTCGCATTTTGCTTGGCGTGGATGGTTCCGCTCGGCGGAAAGATGCGCTCGAGCCTCTGAAAGTGTTCTGGAATGTCTTTTGCATTTTGGAACGCTTGTTTGAGCTCGATTAATTATTAGACGATAACCGTTCCCAAGACTAACCCATCAGGGGGCTAGAATCGCGATCTCCTAGCAGGTCACCTGTGGAGCAAGGGGAGGTAAATTGGCGTTCGCTCAGGGATGTTCGTCGCTTACCTTACCCTCCTCACATTCCCCCTTTACCACCGCTCCGCGACAACAAGCTACGAGGCCGGCTAGTAAGTGTGATGTCTTCTATTCACCTGTAGAGCAAGATGAAAAAGCCAGAGCTGTTGATATGAGATTTCATCAACAAGACCAGCGCTCTGAAATGCTCTCTCGATTGATCGATAAGGCAATCTGCCCCTAGCAAGGGTTCTAGCAGGCCTAGAATCGTCGAGCTTACAGAGAGCGAGGCCTTAAGGCGTTGCTAGCATAACTGAGGATGTCTTGCCCCGATGAATAATCCTCATATCGACAGCTCTGGAAAACGGGTTGGACGGTCGCCATTGAAAAGCTGGAAGAAGTGTGAAATCAAGCCCGCCGAGCCGTTTTCTTGATCGTTCCTCGAGGCTGGAGGATCAAATGGAAAATATGAATCATGGAATCCCATCATGGCATGGCCGATGACGAATGTGGGTACTCAACGGGCAAACTATGCTAGCAGTACAGGAGAAGTTCACCGGATGTGTGATAGGTACAATGGCCGCCACGGCCACACCAGCAGCTACTCGACACTCGCGATTATTACTGAAACCACCTAGGCCAGGCTCAAATACCACGGCGACGTCTACAAGACTTCATGAATTCTCAAAGGGATGCACATCATTGGACCCTGACGTACGTGCATGAGGCAGGGTCCTTGCCGCTGTGTCAATCTTTGTCACTGCTACGGAGTAAGGTACCTCCCAGCTTCGGCCAAAGAGTCCCCGATGCACGCTATAGCATTAGAGATGCCTAGTTTGTATCCACAGTCACGTAGAGGACAGGAAGCGATGTTGATACCGTCCTCCGCCGATCGCTTGCACGGATCCAGCGGCCAGCAGGGAGAACGGCATCTTCCTATAGACTACTTCCTCGCCGGCTCTCTAAGCGAACTCCCCACYCCTTGCCCGAGAAGGGGAGAACCTCCATCTATAACTGAGACCCCGTTCCGCCTTCAGAGACGTATCGCCGAAGCGCCGAGATTGGTTCGGCCATACTCCACAGTACAAATGTTGGGCCTTCTTCGCCGACCTTGGCACACTTGATCGCTCAGTCTGCGGGGAAACCGTTGGTACCCCATGGGGTATCCACGTGCGTTGAGTGCGGCGGCCGTCTCCCGCGGACGCATATATGGCAGCGATAGTGCCCACGAACAACATAGACTTTTCACTTACCATCTCTCGCCCACATGGCTCCAACTCAAGAAGTACAAACCGACACTCAGGCCGGACACGATCAGAAGGAGAAGGAGGCGGAGGTGATACACCAGGAGCTTTCTATAGAACGAAACAATATGTGCCCGGCGGAATGGCTATCACGATACCCTCTCATTGCAGACAAATCGGAGACGGAGCTGAAGAAGCTTCGGAAAGGACTAGTACGCAAATTGGACTGGATCTTCTTGCCTACTATCACGGTTATGCTGCTTCTAGGGTACGACCAGCTATATGTGTATTCAAAATTCTTCCTAATTGAATCAGTTACCTGGACCGAATCAACGTTGCAAACGCCCGACTCGCTGGGCTACAAGACGATCTCGGAATGGATGATAAGATCTGGAGCTTGGGTATCAGTGCCTTCTACATTGGTGTGTCGCAGACTTGAATTGTCCCTTTCCGTTCCCTCTGCTGACCGGGCATCAATACGCCAGGGTTCATCATCTCGCAACTGCCCGCAACCGTATACCTCGCGCGTGGTAGACCACAAATCCAGATCCCGCTACACGTCATTGCCTGGTCGGTCATTACAGCATGCATGGCGGGGATGAAGAGTGGCTGGTCCTTCGTATTATGCAGATTCCTTGTAGGTCTTGCGGAGGGTCCATTCCTGTCAATGGCAAGTATCATGACCTCCAGCTGGTATACGAAGGAAGAGGCGCCACTGAGGATGGCTATCTGGCACGCGGGAAACATCATTTCCAACGTCTTTTCTGGTTTGCTGGCTGCTGGAATTCTCACAAACATGGAAGGCGTGGCCAATTTGAGAGCCTGGCAGTGGTTCTTCATCATTGAGGTACGTATGTATGATCTTGCGCAAATCCACGACATACTCTGACATATTTAGGGTGTTGCCGGTGCAGCGCTTGGTATTGGTGCATTTTGGGGAATACCGAATTATCCACACGACCACAACGTGCGATGGATCAGTCCCGAGCAGGCCGAGCTAGCTCAATATCGTATGCTCTGCTCGAACGGCGGTGTTACGGAGAATGATGACGGAGGCATGTGGGAGGGTGTCAAGCTCGCCATCTTCGACCCCTTTACTTGGATTTTTACCGTATTGCACACGGGGCTGATCCTGGCGCTCGCATTCAAGGACTTCTTCCCTTCGGTAAGATCTTGTGGATGTCTGTCGAATCGCTGACCTAGCTGACTGACCGTTTCAGATCGTCGCAACGCTTGGATATTCTGATTTGATGACCTACCTGATCCAGGTATGCCGTATGAAGAAGCTCCTCGGAATCGCTGAACTGACCCCCTATAGGCACCACCATACGTCTTTGCGTATATTGCATGTATTGGATTCTCATGGTCCGCCGGAAAATACATGGAGCACTGCTGGCACATCATCGCAACCTCCATGATGAGCATTATCGGTACCGCCATTGTTATATCTACGATGAACGTTGGAGCGCGCTACTTTGGCATGTTCTTCATGTGCGCGGGTCCTTTCGTCGGTTTGAATGTGAGTGATCAAACATGTGGCAGCTCGCAAGGTATTGACAATCTATCAGATTCACATTCCCTGGGAAACAACCAATGTCTTCAGCCCTCGAACGAAACGTGGCGCGCTTCTGGCGATTACCCATTCCATCGCTTCAGCGACGCACTGGTTCAGCCCGTACTTCTTCGTGAGTATCGAATGGTTGGTTGGTCTTGAATAGCTTCTAATGTGCACAGCTTCGATCCCAAGAGCCAATGTATGAAAATGGTGGCATTCTGATCATTGTTGGAGCTGTTCTGGGCATTGCTGGATGTCTTGTCTGTAAGTGGTATGTAAAGAAGCTCAACAAGAAACTCGACGAGCACGAGAGGGAGCACAGTCTACCCAAGGGCTGGCGCTATGTTGATTAGACGGCACCAATTTTGCCGCAATGAGGTGTACGGCTGGTTATTAACGAGTATGATGAATGAGATTTTCACTTGGAATGATAGATTCTGCAACGACACGATTATAACATGAATAACCCTGTTGAAATTTCGAGAACATTCATTTGGAGAGATTCATTCACTTGATTTGTAATGTGATAGGGGCTGTCATTCACTCGTAGAAAGGCAAGCAATCAAGTCATCAATTTTCACAAACCCAATTCAAGTGTAACGATCGAGGCAAATTTCCTTCGACCACCTGAAAGGTTGTGGCGGACATTACTCCAATCAGGCTTCGGTAATCTAACCATCTCTTGAAGGCGATGTACTGGGCACTTGTGTCGTCCAGGCTACGTTTCTCGCTCTCGCCCCCTGTCCCAGCATGGCGAGGCTTGGCATGATATTGCCGGGGACTCGGCATTTCGGTGTTTCGCCCGGCATTTCGGGCTGAGTTCGACATATGCCTGCCATGTTGGCCACAGCGTGTGACTGACTATGCCATAGTGAGCCGATGCTCGGCGGGGTTGGGTGACATATTGCTGTCAAGATCTAAAAGCCCATGACAGTATAGAATCAGTGCAGAAAGACGTGTGCTGTACATCATTTTCCACTCATTGTCATCCAAACCCATCAAGATGCTCGAGAACACAGACCGTACCTCGCTAGTGCCATTCCACGGCGGCAGCAATGTTCTACCCAACAGTCCCTTCTTTGGCAAGCTACTCAGACATGCTCGACGTGAGAGGACGGCGCTTCGCGATCTTGGATTAGGATTGGAAAAGACATATGGCGACTTGCTTGATGCTGTTCTGTCCTTTCGAGAAGTTATCATGGCTTCTTTGTCGGAATCCGTCATTGAATCGCTCGATCGTGGCGATGAAGTATACATCGGTGTTCTCGCTGCTGGAGGCTGGGAATTCAGCGTTGCAGTGATTGCTGTGCTTGCGGTGGGTGCCGCTGTTGTACCCATGTGTAATTTCGACTGACAATATCCTACCACCCTTTGACTAAGGCTAATTGTTCCTCCAGTTCCATCGGCGCCAGTGGATGAGCTAGTGTACTTTATCAATAAGAGCGACCAAGCCGCAATACTGACAAGTACTGCATCAGCCGTTCTGGGTCGCCGTGTTGTCGATGAAATCTCGCAGCATCATGGCAAGCGACTTCTCCATAWCTCTATTCTCCCAAACCTGCCAAACACTCCATCGCGAACACCTCTCCAAATATCCATGTCGTCAAATGCTCCAATGGACGAACGAGCTCCAGGCCTCGTCATTTTCACTTCTGGCAGTACGGGAAGGCCGAAAGGGGTTGTACATCGACKCAGCTACACGCACGAAACTGCACTCGCGATCGGTGAAGGCTACGACATCGATCACAACGATGTACTCTTACACATGCTACCGGTATATCATACCACTGGCCTTGGAACCTCGTTCTTCCCTTTTCTATGCGCTGGAGCTTGCATCGAATTCAGGGGTTCAAGCGGCTTCGATGCTGCATGGGTCTGGGAACGATGGACACGCGGTGGTCTGACTGCTTTGTCTGCTGTTCCAACCATCTACATGCGACTACAATGGCACTTTGAAAGAACAATTGCAAAACTTCCCGCAAGCCAACAAGCTCCTTATATCAAGGCCGCGAATCAGTTTCGAGTCTTCATGTGTGGGTCCAGTGCGCTTCAAGACAACGTTCAGGATTTTTGGACACGGATGAGAAACGGAATACCCATTCTGACTAGATATGGAGCGACTGAATACCCTGGCTGCTTGAAAGYGCCTGCGGGTATGGATCATAAGCTTTTGCCGCGAGGATGTGTGGGACTACCTGTGCCAGGTGTGGAGATMAAACTATCAGAAGGTAATACAGGGGAGCTACTCGTTAAATCACCCTACATGTTTGCAAAGTAAGTCGCGAGAGAACGTCGATGATCAGAAGTATCTAGATGCTAATCGCCTTATCAGGTATCTCTATGATCCACAAAGCACCTTGGCCGCACACGATGCAGACGGTTGGTTCAAGACCGGAGACATGGCTCGAAGGGATGCCAATGGCTTCTACTACATCGTTGGCCGTGCCAGCGTTGATATCATCAAGTCTGGCGGGTACAAGATATCCGCCCTCGACATTGAACGAGAGTGTCTCTCCTTGTCCTATGTGACCGAGGCAATGGTGGTCGGCGTACCAGACGACGAGTTTGGACAGCTTGTCGGTGCCCTGATTGCTGTTAAGGCGCCCATGCGGGCTACTGATCTGACTTTGGAGCAACTGCGTACAGATCTACGCAAGAAGCTAGCATCATACAAGCTGCCTACTGTTCTCCGCGTGATCGAGAATGAAATTCCAAAGGGAGGTACGGGGAAGATCCAGAAGAAGGCTTTGGGGCCTCAGTTCTTTCCTTCACCGGGGTATGAAAATCTTCCAGATGTACACATCTGGCGCAAGCGAAACAAACCTGAGCACCAAGCAAGGTTGTAGTTGTGATATATATTAGGGGCGTGAGCTGTGATGAACCAATTCGGGGAGGCTTTGCAGGAATGCCATCAATATTTACCAGTCTTACTTCCATCGTATTTCAGTCCATCACAGACAATACCCAATTCTCCGTGTGATAGAACTTGGCTTCAACGTTTGACTGCATGCTATCACATGCTTTGCGTTTTTCGCCGTCCCTGGTCCGGCCGCTCTCTCCTTCGCCAGTCAAGGGAGATCATCCTCTAGCATTCTGCCGAAGATTCCAGACGGTCTCCTTTGATRTCCGAATCTTGGTTCCAGAAAGGTGGTAGTGCTATCAAGTCTTCTACTCCTTTGAGTCGTCGTTGTAAAGCGAATGATCTCGGCGAGATTGTTGCCAAGTTAGCCGGAAATACTAGTGATGCACGGACCATGTCGCGAATCACACGCTATCACCAGAGGGCTCCCTTTCTCATCCTTCCATCCTCTGCAAACTTCCTCTCCTTTCCTCGCATTCATATATTACGCACACCACGCCGTGCGCTTGAAAGTGTTCTTGACAACACGGTCTTTGAGCTCTTGACATGTCATCGGGACCTAAAAACATGTCGGTTTCATTGCCTTTCTAGAACTATCACTTACGCCCCCTCATTCTCTCTTACATGCTACCACATGAGCACCAAGCCAATAGGATAACCATCCAAGCCATCAACCGAGATCTCGACCATCAAATTCGGCGTTCAGAGCACGTGGAATGTCGCCTTCCTTTTTGAGGTTATTGGCCCGCCAACGCCAAGATGAATGGCCATCTTGGTGCTCTTAGCATTTGGCAGACGGAGTACTGAAAACCACAGCTCAGAATGCTTGGTATGCATGTGTAGATGCATGGCAAATGCATTCAACCGCAGGGATTCCTGATAAGTCCCACGTGGGTTTTTTGCCAAACAACGCAGTGGATATAAAGTAGGTGATGCTGCCCACATACAAGCAACCCTGTAAGGTACTCTCCCTGTTCACTCTTCGTTCTCGTACTCTTGAGCTGTCAGTATGTGGTCTACGGGATTGCTTGTTGCTGCAGCGGCATACGCTTCGACTGCCTTTGCTGTTTCGAGGCCCAAGAACTTCATCTTCATCGTTCCTGATGGAATGTCTCCAGCATCTCAGACGTTGGCCAGGACGTACTTGAACGCACTATCCAGCGGCATGGGAATCGATCAGCTTGTAAGATTTTCAGTCATCACGTGGGAAGAAGTTACATTGCTGATCCAGTTCCAGCCTATTGGGAATACACGAACCCACTCGGCGAACAACCTCGTAACAGACTCTGCTGCAGCTGGGACTGCCCTTGCTACAGGTTTCAAGACCGACAACGGTGCTCTCGGCGTTCTCCCAGACGGACAACCCGTGGGATCCATCATGGAAGCAGCCAAGATGGACGGCTATCTCACAGCTTTGGTGGTGACTAGCATTATCAATCACGCCACTCCAGCAGCATACTCCTCCCACAGTGTAAGCCGGAATGCGCTTCCTCAGATTGCTGAGCAGCAGATTGGTTACAGCCACCCGCTCAACCAGAGTGTTGATATTCTTCTTGGTGGTGGCCGGTGCTACTTCATGCCAAGCTCTAACGAAGACTCCTGTCGTGAGGATGACATCGATCTTTTCAAGTACGCCGAGGAGAGGGGCTATTATGTTGCTCAAGATCGTGATGCTTTCGATCGTCTTGAGAAGGGGAAAGGCAGCATCCAGCTCCCTTACATTGGTCTCTTCAATGACGGTGACCTCGTCTACGACATCGATCGCAAGCAACAGCCCGAGTCTGAGCGCGAACCTTCTCTWTCCGAAATGACAAGCACTGCGCTGGAATCCCTCAAGCGAGGAGTTGAATGCCGCGGCCGCAAATGTCCAAAAGACAAGAAGGGCTACTTCATGATGATTGAGTCATCTCGCATCGATCACTCCAGCCACGCACACGATGGTGCCGCTCATCTCGGAGATGTTCTCGAGTATAATAGAGTCATGGATCTCGTCAAGGCCTGGATCGATAGTAACCCGGATACCATGATGATCAGTGTAGCAGATCACGAGACGGGCGGACTGACTCTCCCAAGTGGCTACAATGTTGGCGTACTGGCAGGTCCCAGCCAGTCTGTTGAGCATCTCACCGCTCGTTGGGAAGAGTTTACAGGTTCCGACCGTCGTGGCTTCTTGACCAGCGACATTCTGCCAGCGTATGGCATCACTGGTGCCACGGATGCTGAAATCTCTGCTCTCTTGTCCGCCGGCGAGGAATTCGGCCAGACGCTGGCGGATACGCTCAACAGCCGCAGTGGGTTGGAGTGGTCGACGGGCGGCCATTCAGGTGTGGATACTACCCTTTTTGGCTATGCCAAGGGTAAGATGGGTGAGGAGCTCAAGGTTGCGTTGGCGGGCAACCATGACAATGTCGAGCTTCCGCGCTTTATTGAGGATCTCATGAGATTGGATATGGACAAGGTGACGAGAGAGTTGCGAGCCAAGGGCACTGATTGGATTCCGTAGACTTGGCCTCTCCTGTGATACTAGAGGAGTCGAGAGATATTGTAATTCTCACGCTCTCTATCAATTCTTCGCAGTATAAATATACCACAAGATGCAGGCAGTCCGGGATAGTCTGGTTGCAGGCTTCCATCTTCGGCCATGTGTACCGGTCGATCGAGCAGTCTGAATACGAAGGACACGACCAGTAGGTTGATATATACGGAGCCACTGATCAGCGCATATCTGCTTGGCGGTGGGCGTTCACGTTCGTGACTACGCTCTGGTTCGCCAAATGTTTGGATCTCCAGTGAGATCAGCCAAAGGTTGAGGAAGATGATCATGATGCTTGCTCGGAGTCGAGGGAGGTTGAGACTGTGGTGTCTATGCGTCTTTTGTGCTCTCGCTGTGCCGCTCGAGCCGAGGCTCTGCACTTGACAAACTGAGGACGGCTTCATGCAGAGGTGCCAACACTGCAGAGCGCCATGCGGGATCCAGAAAAGATCATCATCCATCTGAAAGAGCAAATATGGAAGTCGCCGACCAACAGCCATGGTTAGCATCACTGAGAGCCCACATAACCTGTTCGCAACGCCTTTGCGACTAGGATAGTCTGAGCAATGGTAATATTCGCTACCATGTGCATCCCGCTTCACAGCGTCACGTCCCCTCTTTTCAGTGCCTCCCAGGCTCTTTGCTGATACGGATTGTACTTCTGTCCGCATGGCGGCAACCAGTAGATATGGTACTCACTGCCAGCCTGTCGAATCTGATCCAAGTCCACTCCCTCACGCTTAGCTTGCCTCTTTAAAATCTCGAAAGCCATGAAATCACTTCGACACAACTCGCTACTGGGCGACCCAGTAGCGAGTTGTGTCGAAGACCACGGAGCCAACAGCCTCGTGGAGCGCACGAGCTGCTCTGTCGCATTCCAGCACTAGCAGTGCGATGAGGGAAGCTTGGCCCTACAATCCACAATACCTATGTTCCATCTTGGGCAATTACYGGAAGTTGAAGATCAGACGGAGCGGACGGCCTTTGCGCGCAGGCATTCAATAATTTCAATGCTGTACCACACTTGTGAACATTCATCAAAGAGAATCTTCAAGATCCTTCCCTCTCCTCGTCTCTGGACCAGGGCCACGCAACACCAGTCGAAACTCCAGCCGATCTAGTTGCGCTGCTTCGACTGCAGCCACCTGACGTCGACGGTTATACAGGCATTGCACATGCCCTGTTCAACTGCGCTAATGTGGACATGGGAATGAGCTATGCGGTTCTCGTCTAACGGATGGCTCTCGACCCGAACGGCAGAAGAAAAGGGCTGTATATTGCAGGACCAATGTTCAATCCCTTGCACCTGTGAAGACCGCAGCTCGATTTGTGTTGGTCAGATCATCTTTGCTGCAAAGAACCAAGACGAAATCGCTGGCCAAAGCACAAGTCATAACACTTGTGGGAGAAAAAGATCAGGTAGATCTGGTAGAAGGCACTCCCACTCGATCGCTTCATCCAGACATGAAGTCATAACCATTCCTAGGTTTAGAGCAAGCGATGGGTACGCTTGCGGAAAGGGAAACGGCCGGATCATCCACGGGAGGGGCTAGCAATACCCCATAGATGGAATACCTTATACTCCAGAGTTGACGAAGAAAATCTTGCGTAAACGCAAAGATTTGGAGACAGACGTCAAGTCTCAGGGAGCCGATGACCTCAAGTCTCCCTGCGTATGGAATCATCTGAAGGTTGCGAGAGATCCAACCATTGCGTGGGGGTGGTCGTGCCTGTCGCAGGGAAGCGGATCCAAAACCACGAAGCATGTAGAACCATGGAGATCTTTTTCGCCAAAGTGCGCCTCCAAACCAAAGAAGAGGAGCGTTCCCCGGGAAGCGAGCGTCAAGGGCGGAGGAGTAAAAGCCATGAAGGACGTCAATCCTAGAGATGATGTCATTTCTGAGATTTATCAAAGTACATGTCCGATCTTGCTGAAGCCTGATGAGGTGGGTGGGCTGCCGGCACCCGGTGGTGATCACTGACGGTGTTTCTAAGAAAAACATGTGCCGGTCGATGCATGCTAGCAGGCCTAGATTTGAGAAACGCTAGAGGATAATAATGGCTTCGGTACCTCTCGAAACAAGGGCAGCTTTGTGATAGGATGGCCGGCTTGACTTTTGTCTGGTGTCCGACCAATAGATAACTTAATTCTCCGGCGGAGAATTGCTCGCAGGCCGGAAGCTACCTTTTCATCTCTAGGTTTCGACTGAACCAGCCGTGGAAGGTGGCATATGCAGGAACTCGAGGCAGTTTGAGCATTACAGGGAAGATTGCCATGCCACCAAACAGCATGATGAGAGTCAATGCAACCAACTCCAATTGCATGAACACCAAACCGGAGGATTCTGCAGGAACATACTTCGGATTCATCGGAACCATGGCGTCTCAAACCGGGGAGAACCACCTTATTGCAAATGCGGAGGGAACCATCGATCGCCGGAGAGGATCGATGGCTTAGAGCCGTTGCGAACCACTACTTTGAACCGTGGTATACCACTCCGCCTCGTTGTATCGACTGCACAGCTCAGGAGGTGTGTTATCGGTCGCGATCAGGTTTGAGATCGAAGATTTTGGCGTCGATGGGGAGATGCGCGATCTTGCGCAAAACGAATGAAGAAAGAAGGGATTAAAGAAATATGATCACGAATGAAAGGGAGATTGTGTGAGGCAGTCATCTGTCCATTGCTAGAGGAATGCTGTCGACTCAAATAGGTAGCTGTCTCCAATTGACCGAGCTCTTCTCAAATCAGATACAATAATATGACCATATAGCAATCCAAGCCATCGACCAGAACAGTTCTCAATACACATTTCTTCTTTTCCCCCATATTCCGACCATATCTCAACGCCAACTTCCCAACATTATCGGGAGAGTAATATAAACAAAACAAATCATAGTTCCAATGCCAAGAGCGAGAAATGCCGCTGAAACCTCCAACATGCCGGCGGTGAGGTTGGTAAAAAAAGAGCAAAGGATATCATACGRTCCAAAAACGAAGAAATCCTTGAACTTGACTCCGCGGAAATAGCAAATATGCGGATTGATGCAAGGCCAGCTTGAGACATCATCATCATCTCCGACTTCCGTAGAAGGAGGTGCGTCGTGAGACGGGTCTTGAGTGGTGTGGAGATGGTGGTGGGACGGCCGAGTGATCTTGCTGGAGAGAGGTGAAGGCGCCAGACTTTTTGGTTGCGGAGGCTTTGAGGGCTTTGGTGAGGTCCTCGGCGGAGAAGGAGTTGTTGCGTGGGATGGAGGAGTTTTGGGTTGGTTGAGGCATGGTGTCGGTCATTTTGTTGGTTGTGGTGTTGGTGGTAGAAGGTGCCGTTTTGTTGGTGTTGGTGTTGGAGAGGAGAGTGGTATGCTYTTGGTTGTTCTTGAGGAGGCAGTCTTTTGTGGGGTGGCCGAGAAGAAGATGCGGGTTGTCTGGGGTAGAGCTGGGGAGACTGGAAGATATTTGTAGTCTCTTGGATGAGTGATATGACGGCAGAGTGTCTTGCAAGCGGTGAGACAGAGCGTGGTTTCGAAAGTCAGCCAGCAAAGGGAAATCGGGGTTGATTAAGTATGTAGCACGGCACCCTTGCCTCCGAGGTCCTATAATTCTTTCACAGATACACCCATGCACGCCCTGGTTTCCGACCAAGAAAAGACTCCGGGGCAAGCGTTGGAACCTTCTGCGTTCCTGGCACCGCCGCCGTGGATCCGAACCAGTGCCTCTCCCTTGCAGGGCGGTGGAACGTACACGCTTCAGCGAATGGGAAGACCTGCCACGGCACTGTCGCCATCGGAAATTCCGCAACAGAGCCCGGTCTCCATGCGTTTTTGCCGACACGCATCCCCAATCGCCCAGCGTCTGCCAATCAGTCATGAAATCATGAAATCATGAAATCACAGCGATTGCGCATGCGTCTCACCGCTTGACTTTTCGCACCGTCTTTGCGAGCCCAAATTGCGGTCATGATGATTGCGCGCTTCTTCTGGAAGCACACACGAGCCGGGAACTCTGCCCGGGGTTATTACGGCTACTGCAGCAAGCCCTGCTTCGCTTTGCGTTGCTGTCGTGTGAGCCGCGCCGTGTTTGTCGCTGACAGTGGACACTCCATCGTTGTGCTTGGGGGGACGCACTTCTCGCGTGCGCTGACACGGGCCGCCGCTTTTGGATTACCTTAGGTACTCACTCACCTCCTCTCCTTTTTTGCCCCCGCTGCGGTGAGCGTGCGCCTCGAAGATCTGAGATCCGGCTGATGATGAAGCAGCACCGCCAGCGACGGGCGGTAGGACGATGCTGATGCTGGGGAGGTGTCAAACGTAAAAACGTCTGGTGGAAAACTTATTCGTCGTCTCCCCACGGGGCGTCAACCTAATCTCTCGCCCTGTTCCACGTTCAGTTGATCCCGGCTGCAGTGGCGGCGGGGAGCGTATCCGACCCGCCCTTCCAAGCCCGCGCCGGCGGTATCCTGCCTGTTCTTGGTCGGCAGCTCATCGTTCTGGGATCGGCAGGATGAGCTGCAAAAGCCGTCAAATGACACGTCTGTTGTTGTACATGGCGACGCAGGGTAGCACGCGACTCTCTCATATAGATTGATATTTGACCAGATAATGCAACGTGCCCGCCACTGTGGCACTGCTCCGATTCTGGCGGCTATCCGATCGACCTTGAAATGATCGAGACGATCGGAATGCAAGTTTCTGTTCCAGGCCGCAACATTAGCTGCAACACGCTTCGGAAGACTGGAAACACGACCAACGATGAGAWGATGACATCTCCTCTCATCACAGGTGGTTGTATCATACTACAATGCTTGGGATAGATAGTGTTGCGACTTGTTGGCCAACAAAAGTCGGCAGATGCAGGTGTCCGAAGAAGCACAACACACCTCTGCCACCCGAGAATAACTGAATTGATCATCTACACCAAGCAACCCAGTCCGGATTCTTTCTACAATCATGGCTCGTAGCACATCCGTATCGAGACCTCACTCTGACACGACATCGGCAAGCAGCATGCGACCTGTTAATCACGCATCTTGTCTGCCAGAAAAGTGACGGTACGTGATAGCACCACATGCCTCAGCGGGGGGGGACACACGACACTTTCAACCCCGGATTCCCCGCCGACAATCTCATCTCATCACATACCGCTCCTTCCTCTCCATGTATGCATGCATGTCTTTCCCCGCTCCCCGCAGAGGTTCTCCGTGCGGCGTGAGATGCCAGGATGGTTCCCGACGAGAAAAATCGGGAAGCCGAGGCGGAGAATTCTCCCACCATCTCCCCGAATCAGCAGACGGTGGTGGTCGATTGACATGACAATGTGCAATGCTTCTGCCGAGGCCTCCTGGGTTGGTCCCTGCGGATTCTCGTACTCTCCCTGTAACATGTTCCTGACGTGTCGTGTGTGAGCAACTCCATCGTTCCGATCGCAAATTGCCAACGCATGATCGCGGCTTGATTTGGGAGATGTTTTGCGTCACTGCGAGTATTTGTTTGGAATGAGACGGAATTCGGGGGGTAAGAAGTGGCGATTCACTTGAAAGTTGGATGGCACTCACTCCGCCCTCTCGTTCAGACCGACGGTTTTTCTCTCATTCTTGGAGGTTTCTGCTCTGGTAGTTTTCGGTCGTTCGAGCTGAGACATTTTGCGGGAAGAACAGTCGAAGCAATCGCTACCTTCCATGGTTGCTGTGGTAGAGTGGATTGGATCGGCAGGCTCAGGAACATGTTCTCATGCCCTCACCTTTCTTTGCAGTCAAGTATTAGCTTCGACACTAYCATTGTACTGTATATAGATGAGAGCGCTGTGTCTGCGGGAGTGGGTGATTTCCTGACTGATCATGATGCTACCATATTGAGATGAGCTGTTTCTCTCAACTCTTTCGAGAACGTGCAGCGAGATATACAATACTTACTGCACAAGCAAGTGCCTCACTCCTATTCTAATCTAGGCAAGTGACAGTCGTGAGGCGCATGCATCCTCCCAAGCCAAGGTAGAGGAACAAGCTCTTCCATGAAAAGGCGGAGTGTGGCCCATGAAAAGGCGGAGTGTGGCCCATCAAAAGCCATGCGTAAGCAGCATCAAAGGGCGCACACTGATTCGCTGGAATGACACTTCCATTGAAGCCTTGTCCGTGCATTCTTCCGGAGATCGTCACATCATCATCGTGGCTCGCGGGGCTTTGCGTAGACTACAGCAGTACTACTTACCTTTAGCTCGTGGCAACGACGCGAGCTGTGTGCTGAGAGCTGGTTAAGTACTTCACTTTCGGACATATCAAGATACCACCGCATACCAAACAAGGTCATCAATATGTCACCAACACAGCAGCATGAGCGTCTGCCAGGGACGAGTGAGGAGGAACCTCTATTGGGAGATCGAGGAGATGCCAGTCAAGTCGACGGAAAATCGCTATACTACAATCTCATCATGGGTGAGAATTTTACAGTGCAGAATGTCATAACAACACAGAGCTGACCTGCTATTTCCTACAGGCACTGGAGTGATGGTGCAAGCCGGCGTGTGGGTAATAGCAGCCATGATCTGGGGCTCCGTCTTCTCCGTCGACCTCATCCTCTTCTCCGCTCATCCCGTAAGTCTTCAAATCTCCTCCACATGATGACCATATCATTTGAGCTAACACGTCCTCTCTCTCCAGCTCCTCAACTCAGCCGCCTTCCTCTTCCTCATCCAAGCCCTCCTAATCCTCCAACCAACCCACACCGCCCATCAAAAACAGCAAGGAACATACATCCACTCCTCCCTCAACTCCCTCGCCCTCCTCACCGGAATCGCCGGGCTCATCGTAATCGAATATAACAAATTCGYCCACAACGCCCCACACTTCGATTCCGCACACGGTCGACTAGGTCTCATTACCTACATTCTAGTCCTTGTACAGGCCATCGCAGGAGCTACATCTTTCTACGCGCCGTCGTTGTATGGTGGCGTGGAGAATGCAAAGGCGTTGTACAAGTATCATCGTGTGGGAGGATATGTGACGACGTTGGTCATGTTGGCTACGATTTGTAGTGCGACTTATACGGACTATAATAAGAATGTGTTGGGTGTGCAGCTTTGGGCTTTGATTGTGTCGGGGGTGGTGTTGGTTATTGGTTTGGGAGCGAGAGTCCGGTTGGCTAAGTTTGGGTATTTGGCCGGAAGGTAGAGGAGAAAGTGGCGAATTGGAGAGATGGAGTGTATCGCATGGCTTGTKTGCGAAGACGGCGTTCAGCGATGCGAGTATATCAGCGTGCCTGTTCTTCTTTCTCAATTTCCTGTTCCCCTCTATCTTCTCATCTCCTAACACTCCAAGTGTTGATCTTCTTTTCTCCTTGTTCAAACAAGAGCCATGGCTGGTCGCAAATGTTTGATTCTTGAGGGTCGGAGTCGAGATCGGTGCCGTCGATTAGCGATCTTGCATAATCTGAGTGCTGTCTTCATGCATGCATATACTATGGTAAAAGAAGATATACCAAACCTTACGATCAGCCAACTCTGTTTCTTCTACAACACCGAACATAGCAACGAATATTCAATGAAGAAATTGATCAGCACCCACTCCTAACAATRGCTTACAACAACTTCTTCTAGGACACTGACTCCTCCTCAGACTGCCTTCGGAAGTGGATCTCATGATGCACGTATCTCTATTCACGGCTCGGGTGATCCATAACTTCAGGTCACCAGAGTCTGTCGAAGTCTTCCTGTATCAATCTATCAGTCTAGTGAGATCTCTTCTCCTTCCCACCCACTCCTCAGATTTCCCATTTAAACTCCCTTTCCCAAACCCACCGTCTCTCCACCACCATACCACAACGTTCCTTTCCTAAAAGTCAATCCCACCYCCTCACCAACTCTCCACTCGCCCTCCACTCCACCACATTCCCGTTCCAACCACCCATTGATCCCTTCCACAACCTCTACCACAGCCCTAGCCTCAACATCCTTCGAAAGAAACCTCCCCAGCGTAATATGCGCCGAAGGAACGACATAGCGACTCCCAATCTCCACCTTCTCATTCGCCAAGCCCCAGAGATCCCGTCGAAGATGATGATAAGTATACCCATCTCGCCCTTCTTCAGGAAGCGGCAGGAAACTCAAAGCCAAAGCCTGAGCGTCAAAAGATACCATTGGTCTTCCCAGTAAGACTCCACCTTTGGAGTATGGGAGATTAATCATCCTCTCCATCTGTGGCATCAACTTCTCCACCAACTCTTCAATCTCTTGAGCGGTGCGAGAATGCGTGACTTCTAGAGCTGTCATGTGTAGATCTTCTTGTCTCTGGACATAGAGATCTATCATCAGACGTCAATAAAATGCTCTCGACGCGCACATATGTCTCGCGATTTAAAACGAGCAGGTAACGAAATTGCTAAACATACCCGGAATAACATCTGCCAACCGTCTCTGCACCTCTCCCACAAGCTTCTTCAACGCTTCCGTCGGTCTCGCCCAGAAGACGAGACAATTCCTCGGATCCTTGAAACCCCGAGGATGATCCTTCACAAGAGAATAAAGAACTGGATCGATATCAATTCCACCAAAATCCGAGGAGAGGAATTTCGCGGTTTGGTTCTTGGAGCGAGTAGAACGGTGAAGTTGGTAGGCTTTCTGAATTTCGGTCTGAAAGATATTATCAGTGGGAGTGAGGAAGAGGCAGGCATTGGACTCCTGGAGGTGAGACATACGGCATCATTCTTGCAGCTATCGATGAGGATGCTGTAGGGATTCAATTCTTCTTCCAAAGAGGACGTGGTGGCCATTGTGTTGTTCGTCTCGCCAGCCGGGATGAGATGGAATGTGAGGTTCTTCCGTAATGAAAGAGTCACCGGTCAGATGTCGTAAGTGAGTAAGGTAGGGCGTAGATGTGGCGTCCGTTTGATCGCTTGGAGAATTCCCGGCGATTCAAAGTCTGGAACAGGAAGGAGCGATGTAGCACACAGTCCTCTTCTGGGTGGTTCACGACAACACGTCGATGAGGGTGAGTGAGGTGGGAGTCAGTGCCCGGGCAAGGCGATGGGCAGTGGAAGAGACAAAAGGCACAGACACAGCCAATCACGTGCGATGGAGGCATCCATAGGAGTCAATGCATACTGTTAAGCCCGCCATGCTTCCTCTACGCCAAGGCCAACGATCAACGTCAAGGTGGCTTCCCATCATATCATGCAATCTCACCTCACAGCATCAACAACACCAACAAGCGAGGACGTTTCAAGTTTTTGAGATCGTTGAATTTTCCACACCCCGAGGCATGCCGAATTGAAGCGCCCCGGAGCACATGCATGGCTTGGACTGGGCGGTGCATGTCTTTGATGTATAGTCCATGTTCCATCCCGGTCGCGCCAAATTTTGAAAGCATCCGCAGCACGCCTGTAACAACCCCGCGAATACCACTCGTTAGGCTGACCTCGAGCAGTTTGTATCTTCTGCTCTCCTCGGGTACAGCCACATGCGCATGCATAGTCCGTACGAAACCCAAACCCCACAGAACCGGAACCCCTCTTAAACAACAACACCCATCTAAGCGTTGTTGGCAGGCTCCTCGTCCTCGCCGGTGAGTGCGTTCCGCTTGGCGGTGACACGCTCCTGTCTCCGCTCGCGGGCGGCCTTGGTCTTCGCACGCTTGGCGTCCATTTCCGACTTGAGCTTCTCCTCACGAGCCTTCTCGGCCTTGGCCTTGTGGATCTATTCGTGTGTTAGAGATTGCTGGAGATTGAGATTGAAGATCATATGACATACGTGCTCAACAAGGGCACGCTTGTGCTTGAAGGTGTTACCCTTGCTCAGGTGGTAGAGCTCGTGGTACAGGTGCTTGTCAATCTTTCCGGCCGCGCGATACTTGACCAATAGACGGCGGAGGACACGCAGACGACGCATCCACATGACCTGACTGTGAAGGATGTCAGTGTATGTCCTGATACATCCATCTTGTCCTTCCCGTCTCAAATTCATTCCCCCTTCATCACTCCCTCCCTCTTGCCGTTCTCCTCGTTCCCACTTACGTTGGCATTCTGGCGTCGGCGGTACCCTTCCTCTTACCGAAACCACGGTGGCGTCCAATGCGGCGGGCGGCGGTCAACTCCCGAGCGCGGGCGCGCGAGTGCATGGTGACAGGCTTCTTGATGATGAGGCCATCGGCGATGTACTTGCGGATGGTCTGGCGCGAGTTGGCGTTGGAGAGCTCGTTGACCTCGTTGGGGTCGAGCCAGATCTTGCGCTTGCCGCAGCCGGCAACGGAGGCCGCCAGGCGCTTCTGCGTGCGGAGGTTGACCCTGCAATCATCAATATTAGGTGCTGTCCTTTCAATGTCTCCAWGTATGCGCGGTATGATGTTGTCGTCGGGGTGGTGGAGTGGGATATGGATGTGTGTGCTCAGGCCATTGCCGCCGGTCGAGCGCGGGGAGGCCTCATGACTGCAATATCCGGCGGCGCGGGCGGTGCTGAGGATGTGTAGAGAGCACTTCTGCACGGGAAGACTCACATCTTGTCGTTGTTGGGAGATGGTCGGTGGGTTGGGCGCTGTAATGCGAGAAACTGTCGCTGTCAAAGGCAAAGCGGAGTAGTAAGTCGATGAGGAAAGTGCGCACCAAACGCCAAGCCATGGAATTGTGACTGCCGGATTAAAGTCCTGGGACGAGACTTTCGGCCCAGACCCTTGACATCACCCGACTCCTTCTGTTTAGGCAGCCGCATAAGTACTTCAGCTCGCCACGTTCCATCATTTAGCATCCCATATATCACCTACCAACATGGGTCTTTCCAACAAAATGAACACTCCCAAAGATGAGGAGAGCCTGCCTCTCTACAGCAACCTAGAATACGATGMTATCAATCCAGGTCTCCCCCTTACTCTCCCCGAAGCAACCGCCACCCCAGATGTTGTGCGAGATTTCCTTGTTCGCCTTCTCGTAACTCGTCGGAGTCTCCCTCTCGACCAAGCACGTCGTATCGCTGCTCGCTGGAATATGGGTAGCGGACGTGAGTTGTGGATATACTCTCCCGCAATGTACAACACCATCTTCGGGCCCGAGGACGGCTGGGTGGTCTGCAAGGATGTAAAAGTGTTGTACAATCAAACAGAGCAGGCGAAGAAGGGGTTTTTGCGTCGTCATATTGCTGGTAAGTGACGATATTAGACTCGCCTTGTGAATGTCGAAGCTAACCTGATCAGACATTATCGCTGTCGTCTTGGTTCTCTGGATTGTCTCCCTTGTAACCTRGGCTATCGTTGATTATCATTCAGAAGGTCAACTGGTTATTATCGTTTTTGGTACGATCTTTGGCGCCGTGGGACTGCTGTTTGCGGTTGTCGTYGGATATGTGGAACGGAACAGAAATGCGGAGAATGATGTTGAAGCGGAACTTCAGCGGTCATTCTTTACCAACAACGGCACGATCCCGCAGCACGGGGTGCACAACTGATGGTCAGCTAAGCGTGAGTATTTGGCGCAGCAGTCCAACGCGATCTCCATATGAATTTGAGGGTTAGCAGAACGCTCATACAGCATGGCTATGTATTCGACCTACCATCGCACAGAAGCAGRGCTGTCGATATGAGGATTGTTCGTCGGAACAAGGCCTCCTTAGTTATCCTCACTATGTCAGAAGGCCTCGCTCTCTACAGGCTCGACGAATCTAGGCCTGCTAGAATCCTTACTACTAGCAGAGTAGCCCTTTAATCGGCCGAGAGAGCAGAATAGGGTACTGCTCTTGTTAATGATTTCTCATATCGACAGCTCTGCACAGAAGAAGGCAACTGTTATTGATCAACACTGGTCGAGAGATGAACGACTGAAGACCCACAGCGAAAGACATCCGACCTAAATCACTCATTCACAGCTCACGACTAAGCCCATCCAAAGTATGGCATACACAAGGAAATAGAGCTATTTGATGCGAGACTCCGAGGTATTACTGCACCGCATCCGGACGATCAATGATAAATGAAAGCACAGAAWGTACCGCATGTCAGCCAGAGTGCCGCTTCACCCAAGCATGCGGAATGTGACATCTGGGACCATGCAGTCTGCTGACAAAGCTGCATAAGCCGCATGATATTGGGTCGTCATACTGCACCACATCCGATGAACGTTGATATGTGTCCGCGCTAAATCTTCATGTCGGTGGGAGATGGGAAATGTAAGTGAAGGGCGAAGAGCAGACTACAAAAGTTGTTCAAGGGTATGATGTATAGGAGAACTCGCAAGGATTCGACTTCTCATCTTACCCAGTCACCTCGCCCATTCGTCTGGTTTCTTCACCCACGATCTTCTAGTAAGCTACCCATCCTTAAGCATTGAGCAAAACCGACTCTCGACAGCACTATTAGCACAGGTTGTTGCATAGGCGGCTCGGGCCTGCACACCCTCTCGACCCAACATCCCGAGTATTTGTCCTCGCACGAGACCCATCTCCTACCTTGGCTTCTCACTACCCACAGGTCAAGATCATTTGAGGGCCCTTAGACGATGCAGAGATCCTGCACAAAGCAGCTTCGGAAGCGGATATCGTGATTCGCTCGTTTCCTTGCTCGATTCCTTTCTCAACCACAGATCTCATCTCTGACACGCACTCTTCAATCTAGCAGGGCAAGCTCAACTCAAGAATTTGGAGTGAAGTTCATGATATCCGCGAGTTAATATCCATGCCTGACAATGCTTCTCATCGTATGGTTGATAAGGTGGTTCTTGAAGCTGCACAGAAGGGGTCAAAAAGCGATTGTATATCCACCGGACATTTTATGATAAGGGGAGTGAATCAGGAAAACTAGGAGTATCTTTTTACCGATGTTTGGGGGTGTGATTGAAGGCTGCAGAGTTGCTTGCTACCATAGGGATGGAGGTAAGGTAAAAAGGTGGGCGCATGTGGAGGATCTGATGAAAGTGCATTTGGGATTGGTTCAGGAAGGAGGGATTGAAGCGGACTGGGTGAGAGGGTTCGTATTCTGTTCCTCTTTCTCTCTCACTTGATGTAGACGGCTCACTGATGATGATCGTATTCAGGGATCTTGTCTCGTGTCCTCGCAAGAATCTTATCACCTGGACTTCACGAAACGTCTTGAGGATGACTTGTTGGCTTGTAAGATAGCAAGTGAGAAGTTGACGAGAAAGAGCGGAAGATCGGATAAGATCGAGACAGCGGATTGAATGCCAAGGCGGAGAGGACTCCGTCTTTCGATCCACTTTTCTATCGTCGTAAAAAACATCACCCCATACGCCGACATGACGGTGCCGTTGACCAGATTATCAGAGTCGCGCGCTGTATTGTTCACAGCCACAGTTCAGCTCCGCGAAGCTTGTTCTCAGATTGTAACGGGAGGGACTACTTCCCAAGTTCGATCAATTCCAGCGGCCACGTGGAAGCATTGTCATTCTTCGAAGCATTATCGTTATCCCAGCACGGAAAAATGAAAGTGTATCCCCAGCCGATGACTATGCCCCAAGATTTCTCGCTCCTTTGGTCTGGATGAACGCTAGGCCCTACTACCAAACGGAAAAAAAAAGAAGACAGCTGGATCTAACCAAGCTGGTCGCTTCCACATGCCTGAGCGGACACCTTTCTTCACCAAGCAACAATTCAAGAAGCCTCTGCAGGAAGAGCGGAGAGCTCGTCCACGTTCGTTCACATTCACCCTGCGCAATTAACCATCTGTAGCCATGGGTTCGAGCAACACAAGCAACAGAGCCGAATGGCGTATCGTAAAGTTCTTATGCGAATCGTGAAGTTCACGATACGTATTCGGCTTGAACGTTGAGCCATGGTATGCTACGCTTTTTGCGGAGCTCTGGTCGTGCCTGCTGGTTCAGTGGTCCACAAGCTCCGTCGAAACCGCTGGTCCGCTGACGCTTCCGCCCTGGCCGGCCATGGGGCGCATTTTTGCCAACTGGTATGCGCTCAGAGTACGCGCGTACGGCAAGCCTCTCACCGGCTCCTCAAGCTGCTTGACGTACATGGGACTTTGTACGAGCGTATCCAGGTTCGCGAGAAGCCACTCTTTTTGAGAAAGCCACCTTGACGCGAACTCGAAAGAAAATTCAACTTTGCATGGTCAATATCTCAAATCGGATCGCGTGGCCTGAGTGGACTGGGCCATGCGAGCCAAGCTATGTGTATGCCATAAGGTAGATACCGACAGACTTCAGCTCTGTTATGGTACACGCAGCCCGACTAGACTTTTAGGTAAACTTGTTGGTAGGACAAGTAGGTAAGTTTCATGGTAACGGGCGGTCTCTCCTACCGCAAATGTCTTAACTTTCGCTGAATTTTCTGGCAGGAGCGCACTGGATTGCGACACCTTCGGGCAAGCTGCTCTTCTTCATTATCCTCCGTGTCTTGCAGCGCTCTTGACCGCCTTCATCATCACTGCTTCGGCATCCCCCGCGGCATCTCATAGCTGAATTTACTTCTGCTCTTGCGTCCAAGCGGTAGCATTCTTCGTTTAGCGAGCGTGCGCCTCTTCCTTGACTAAATCCGTCTACGGGATCGCTGCCCGAAAGAAAAGCTGGCAATACACCACCGATCCATCCCTCCACTAGCATTCTTGGCATCGTGATATTCCCATCATGCCGGAAAGTATCAAAAGCGGCTTACAGCTGATCCTTCCTGTCATTGCCCTCAACGTCGCAAATGGCGTGGCTTTTTGTRATTTACTGGGCATCTCCGCAAGTCAGTCCCTCTACGATGGCCTGCCGAACTCGCGATCAGGACGCTTACATTTTCGTCTCCAGTCATTCCTACCGTCTCGCTCCACTTTGGTTCTATAGGTGCGATCGAATGGGCAACAACCTCACAACTCATCGGGGCAACAGTCGGGCAATGCGTGCTCGGATACCTCAGTGATGTCTTCAGCCGACGAGACATGCTCATCTTTGGCCTTGTTCTCCTGTTCGCCAGCACAATGGCTACCATCTTCTCGTTTCGCCTAGCCTCCCCGATTCTGTTCGTCGTTCTTCGCGCTTTCTCCGGCATCGCCGTAGGATCAATATCCAGCCTTGTCAACATCGCACAATCAGACATCGCAACCAAACAACAACGACTGAAGCTGCAGGGAATCCAGGGAACCTCAGTCGCCATCGGGAGCATTCTCGKCWTGATGGTTGGAGCGGTCTTCGTTCAACAAAATCGAGCTCATCATCTTTACTCTGTGGAGGCTGGGTTGACGGCCCTTGCTCTCGCTCTGATCGCATGTTTTGTCAAACCCCATCGCCAAAGACCGTCTTGGAAGGACCTTCGGGACGTGCTAAAAGACGTCGACTACGCTGGGATCTTGTCAGGAACCGGATTTATCGTGCCCGGCTTGATCATTATATCAAAGTACGATAGGCTCGCTAAATCGATCATAGCAGCTCTCGGCGCACTTACTGGAGTCTGTCTTGCGACATTCGTATACGTTGCTCTCAAAAAGCCTTTCAAGTCTCGACCAATCGTGCCCTTCTGGCTTTTCAGGAACCACACTCTTTCTGCCATCTACACGCAGAACCTGCTTTTTGGAGCAGCATACTACACTTTCATCTACTTCTTTCCAATCTATCTCATGACTGTCCGTCAGTGCAAAGCGTTGGAGGCTGCTTCGATGATGATCGCATACTTTGTCTGTCATGGCTTCTGGTCGGCGGCTTCGGCTCAGGTCATTCTGTGGCTACAACGGAGAGGTAAGTCAAATCACGGCCCAAAGGAAGCATCTGCTGACAGATATTGCAGGTCGCAAAAGTTACTCCACAGTCATCCTTCAAGGCTTCATTTGCTGGGCCGGGGCTGTTTCTGTCATCGCTGGCGGCGCTTATAGTACTCACCACGAACCCATCGTAGTCACCATTCTCATGGCCGCTACGATCGGCTTCGGGACTGGCGCTTGCTTTCAAAACTCCGTCCTTGCGATCCGAGAGCAGGTCACCGATGAGACTAACGCCGTTGCGCTCGGTGTCCGGAATGTTTTGCGATACCTCGGAGGCGCAGTCGGCACTGCCGTGAGCGGAATCATCATGCGGTCGGTGTTGAAGAAAAACATCCCGGAAAATCTGATGCAGTATAGGAAACACACCATCAGCTCGAAGGAATTGGACGACATTCCGAATGAAGCAGATCGAAATGTGGTAAGGAGTGGGTTTAGCAAGGGGATCACTTGGGTGTTTGTGAGTTCTGCTGCCTTGCTGGCGATTTGTATTTTTCTGTGCATCTTCCTGAAGGAGGCACCGAGTGATGAAGAGAGCAAGAAGGAGACGTTAGAACTGGTCGAGTCTCCCAGCTCCACAGCTTCGGGGGAGAATGTTGACGTGGTGCACGGTGATGCACATCAGGTATGACGATGCCCAGCGGAAGAATGACCTAACGATACCCTGAATAATTATAATTCCTAATAATGATGTCCTGCCTGAATGTTCTGCTATGAGATACTTTCTTCTACGCCCTGTCCTACAAGATGAAGGAGCCCCATACAAGGAACTTTCACACGCGATGATACCGTCACCAGATAAGTGATCATCCCCAACTCATCCCATCTCTACTCTCAAGCATCCTTAAATCCAGAACATCGCTCTCTTGTGCACATTCTTTCCCAAGGATTTRGGCTGAGCCTCTTGTGATCGGGACAAAATACCCTCTTCGCCAGGTTCGCCACATATCGGCGAAGTGTGCGGGAGGAATATACGAGACAGCGTTGAGTGAACAGCCGTGGATGAAGCAGGAGAGATGTGTACAAGATCTTAGCTGTCTTGATCGTGGAGAAAGAAACAGTATCTATAGATTTCATTGCGTAAAGGTAATCGATCGCCGGTAGCAGACATATCTAATGTTGAGCCAGCCAAGACTGTTGGGAGTGCATTGGGTGGGTCGGGATAGATCGGCGTAGACGACCTGCTTACCAGCTCATCCTTAACTCGGAGGGTATGAGATCTTTCCAACCGATCGACGACAGGTGTGCGAGTCTGACTAAGGTCAGTAAATTGAAGGAGGGAGGATGTGATGKATTCGTCCAAGATAATTTCTTCACCACTTAGAAGTTGCGCTTTACCTCTTTCAGCCGTAGCTCGAAAAGCAAACATTCATGGAGCACTTGAACTTACCTCGAGATTTTTGCAGCCCTGAGATCCTGCTTCAAGGAGATACGAGCACTCTCCTCGCCCTTCCACTCCTGTCAGGGAGCTGTTCAGGATGGTGGGTGAGCAGGGATCGAATGCAGACAGACACGTTGCCAAGACTTCAGCTGCGAGCTGAGCAAGACGAAGGAATGTGGTCTATGGATTTCAACCCTGTTATCCTTTTTCTGAGGGATTGAGCTAWCATCGTAGGAAGTGAAGGATTTTCTTGGCATACACAAAGCGTTCTGTCGTTCGTCCACCATCTCTTCGAGCCTGTAGAGTGCTCAGGTTAAGAAGCACATCGAATGAGGATTACCTGGTTTGGAATGTAGAACTTCATAGAGATCTAGAGGCATGTAGGAATCATTTAACGGAGTAGCTATATCGTATACATCCGACCTAGAAGACACGCATCCTCCGCCAAGACCATGGCTGAAGGATGAATCAATACGAGCTGATGCACTCCCGAGTCGTAAGCTAGATCCGGAAGAAGACCACAGGAGGCGGAAGGATCGAGTGGAGGAAAATTTATAAGAGCAACGCCACCCCAGAAAATGAGCTCCCATCATCATCAGTGCCCTTCCAATCCAATATCATCAATCACCCATTTCAAATGCAGATCACAGCCATCATCGCGGTCGTCATTGGCCTTGCCTCCGCTCAAATTCACCCCACAAGCTGCACTACCACCATTCTTCCAACAGGAATCGCTTGCTGCCCTCCCATTGCCGGCACGACTTCCACTTCCTTCATCGATTGCAAAGGCTGCACCATCGAGACCGCTCCGACGCCTTCCTGCCGAGCCCTATGCGAGTCTCCTGTCCCTACAGCTCTAGAGTCGACTACAACCGTTACGGCTTGCAGTCCAACTTCAACTGCGACCGTCACGACGCTGGTTGCATGAGTCTATACAAGTACGATCAACAGATTTTTGGGGGATATGGAGATTGCGGACATGTATGGGAGTTTACTGAAGTCTCTAGTATAGAGCGTGGAGGATGTGAGACTTTGACGACATTGATGGTCGACTCAGTGACGGGTTTCWCGAGAACATTACTATTTCAGAATGTCATTTGGATCTAGAATGCTTTATATTCCGATAGAAGAGGTTAGAGGACTTTTATATAAACTTKATCTTCCATTGTCAAGACAATCTACATCTACTCGCCTCACACGTATCAGAAATGGGGCGTTTTGGCTGGCCCTTTACTCATATTGTTTAGAGATCTCGCAATGAACTCTTCGAGCCGTAACCGTGAGAGAAACTAACCTTGAGATTTTTGCAGCATGACTCTTGAAGTAAGACCTTTGTAAGGATATAAGAATCACTCACTCGAGAGCATCGTGGCTTCAAATCCTATCAGAGCACTCCCTGCTAGCAGGGTCGTCAAAAGATGATAGAGTGACCACTTTATGGACAATTAAGGCGAGCCATAATGAGACTGCACAGAGGAACACATCGAAATTTCTCCCCAGCTCGACATCTATTGATTTTCCGACTAGTCCGGCGTTTTCGACCCAGCAGAAGAAACACTGCCACATGGTTCCTTTCTGTAGAGATCTAAGCTCTAGCGCTTCTGCCGTGTGCCGTGTGAAGCAGTTCTCGATACAACGGAAGCCTAGTATGTTGATAAAGTATTCAAAAGTCCATATGTCGCTCTTTTCGACGATCGTCTGTATAGAGCGAGCGTTCCTTCAGCAAAAACGAATGAAACTTGATCGGGCCGGGGAAATGGATGGTTTGCAGAGAGGTGGAGCATGGAGAGAAGAAAACTTTTGTGGAAGACGATTCGAAATCGGGGGCGAGTAGTGTAGTACTTACTGGAGAGGATAGCGTCACGTAGGACAACGACTCACCATTGACGCCGTTTGACTCACCATAATAGAACAGCGATAAGCTGGAACCGAGCAGACCTTCATAAAAACAGGTGCTGTTCCCTGCTCTATGTTTTCAGACAAGGCAGTTCGAGGGTCTGCTATGTGGACTAAATTGAGTAGAGAAAGAGAGAAGGTTTGCTGCTCAATACCAGCCAGGCTAAAGATCTCATGCCCGTTTCCGACTACTCCGTTACCACAACCAGATTATATTTACTTCATCGAATTCTCTCTACAGCTTCCTCCACGAGACGTCTCTGTTGTGGAATATGTATGCTAACAATCTTACCGTGCCGGCGGAAGACCTGTTCTCAGGGGCAACGAGAAAGCTTACCATAATATCAAACCTTAAAGAAGAATTTGAGGACGCTGACCATACCGGAACCWCCGGACGACTTTGAGGACTCTGCCCTCAATACGATGTATACATACGCCCATCTCTCTCTCTTCTCATTCGTCTTTCCTCTCCATACACTGTCTTGACGCAAGGAAAAAACTTCCACTTTACAACATTTTCAAAAAACCACCACACTTTTGAAACAACACTCACCTTTAACATACCACTCTCTCAACAACCACCCCCCTCAACTACACCATGTCGACGTCCTCTATTCCACCAACCACCACCACCACCACCACGGAGTCTCCCCCACACACCCACCCGAGCGGAACCTGCATCAAAACCTGCCGTGAATGCCGCCTAGCAAACATCATAGCCAAAACTTCCAACGACTGGGACGACAACAACAACACCCCAGCAGTAGCCACAAACCACACAATCCTTCCCCCCGACCCAAAACGCCCCCAAACATCCTCCCCCCTACTCCTCCTCCTCCCCCCAGAACTAAAAAACAAAATCTACAAACTAGCCCTCACCCGCCCCCTCGACACCACCACCAATGGCAAAAACCAAACCACCCTCACCTACCAAGGTCTCCGTCGCGTCCCATGTCCCTGCGACAAATGTTCCCGAACCCAAGACGCCCTCCTCCTCACCTGTCGAGAAATCTACCGCGACGCAGCCGGAATGCCTTACCACGCCACTCTCGCCACAGGACCTTTGAGATTTCTCGGAAGTGAAAGTCTCCTGAAATTCCTTCATTATACCACTCCGAGAAGGTTACAGGGAGTAGAGAATTTGATGGTTTGTCTTGATGAACCTGGGGAGGGATTAGAGGATTTGTATCCGATTCTTTGTGCCTTGAGGAGACGAATTCCGGGTTTGAAGAAGTTTGTGGTGCAGATTCATTTTTCGGCTGTGTTGCAGAGGACTGGGGAGGTTTATGGGGGGGTTTTTAGGGAGTTGAGGAGGATGGATTGGTTGGAGGGGTTTGGGATGGAGGTTTTGTGGGATGGGATTTTGGGGGAGGAGTATAAGGCGATAAGGGAGGGGGTTTTGAGGTTGGTGAGGAGGGTTGTGGGGAATGTGCCGGCGATGAGGGAGAGGGCTAGGGAGGAGGTTGGAGGTGAGGAGTAAATTGTGTGAAGAGTTTTGTTTTTTTGGATTGGATTGGATTGGATTGGATTGGAAATGTTCATTTTTGCAACGGAGTTGGTTTGCAGGGAATTTGGGTAGATGAATGAATTCGCGTACATACACGTTTTCTATCTGGACACAGAATGATTAAATGAATCAGCATGATAAACAAATGCCTTCGTTCCTCCTCCCGTGCCTCGCCGTGATTCAAATAGAAGATCCTGTAACTGCGATGGTCACCCTCCCAACAATAGTGAACTGTCTGCTTCGATTCATCTGTGGTGTGCTTTCTCTGTCGTGTTGGTAGACCAGTCCCGAAATCCCGAGATCGTCCATCAGTGACGAGATGTAGGAAAGACAGCTCGGATCTCACAGGCCGTGACGGAGGTTCAAAGATCAGCGAGCCATGGATGACATCTGGGGAAAACGGCATCCTTCGAACAGGACAGCACATCCATCCAATCAATCAATCCATCCCCTCCTCCTCTCCATCCACAACCCTCCCAACCACACCCCTCGCCCTCCTCAACTTCTCCCTCAATCCCGGTGTAATTCCCACATACCCCAACAACAACGGCGCCCTCTCCACAATCCCTGCCTCCTCCCCCCCAAACCCCCTTCCAGGATACACAACTTCACCCCAAAACTCCTCCCAAGGCGGCCTCTCCCCCTCCTCCACCACCTCAATCCAAGGCAACACATCCCCCAACCCCCGCACATGCTCCACCTCCCACCTCCCACAATCAGGATAAAACTGCCTGACCAACCCCGCAAAATACCTTCGATCTTCATGTAAAGCAGTCGTGGATCCACACACAATCAACATCCACAGCAAGAAATCATACACGGCTCGATCCCCTCCCGCCTCCTCCAACAAACACGCCATCAAAATGGGCGTGAGAAAGGCACGATTATGTCTTCTCGCGGAGGAAATACTGTCGTTTTTCTGCGAATCCACATTTCTTCCAAAAGACCAGGTGAATAACAACCCCGTTAATCGCGCACATTCTTTGAATTGGCTCTTCCAGCCATTTTCGGGAATTCCAGTAGGGGTGGTGGTTGAAGGGGAGCAGCGAGCGAGTCGCAGGGAGATTTTGACGCCTTCGCGGGCTTGAGGGCCCGAGTGGGTGTGGGGGAGGGAGGTGACGGGGACGGAGAGATTGAAGAGGGCGGTTAGAGCCAATAGGGCGTCGGAGATGGCGGGGGAGAGGAAGGATTGGAGGGTGGGGGAGAGGAGGATGGAATTTGGGGGGAGGGTGTAGTCGATTGATTGGACGTCTGAGAGTGCAGGGGTGGACATGGCGCCAAAGGGGAGGTGTAGATTTGGTTGGATGCGTGAGGTTTGGGTGTAATTTGCGAGGAGGAGGCTGTGGAGTGGCGGGTTAGCATTTGTGGTGGTCATCAGGTGGCGACGGATCTTCCATACCTAGCGGTGGTGGTCTGGAAGTGTTGGCCGAAGAGGTGTTTATCCCAGACGGTCATGTCGGGACTTATCAGAGCGAGGGCGTTGAGGTGATGGATGGAGGTCTCGRGTTGGCCCGTGTTGATCTGGAGGGGAGGATGCTTAGCGGGGTGAGGTGAAGAAGTGGTGGTGGTGTATTGGTTCACCTTAACGGTGGCCAGACGGATGATGGACCATGTCAATGCACACGCCGACTCTTCTCGATCCACCCCTTTGAGGGTGTTGAGTTGTTGGATGCCTTTGCCGATGTATCCCAAGGTCATGTTTTCGTGGAAGAGGCATCGGTATTCGTCCTGTCTGCATACTTTGTAGGCGACGGTCAGGAAGCTGTGTACCAGAACGGGATGGGACAGCGTGGCTTGGAAGAGAAGACTCTTGGGATGTTCTATAGGAAGGTGTCAGGAGTTGTGCATCGACTGAGTTTATGCAACTTACGCCACTTCCAATTGTGCAGATCTGATTAGATGTCAGTATCATCAATATCTCGTTGTGAGGAGGAGTGCAACTCACAACTCTCGGCCAAGTCCAGAAAGACACTATCGACTTGGACGGGGAAGGCACGAAAAGGATCCGGGCGTTCGGATGGGGAGGCGCTGAGGGAGTGACATTCCCTCTTGACGGCAATGAACGTCTCATCTTCTTCTTCCTGCTTCACTACTTTCTTCTTTCGACTTGTGGAGGACTTGGTCTTTGCGGGTGCGGGAGTTGCAGTTGCAGAGGCTTGGCCCGGCCGCTGCTCCAAAACCACGGTCCACGACTGCTGCCCACCACGGCCTCCCCTTTTCAGCACCTTCCGGGAAGTCCGCTCAGCATTGTGTTGAGAGGGATCATCTTCTTCGACCTGCGTCCTCCGGGCCACTCTTTGATCCTGCACCCGTTGTTGGGCATGTGAGCGAATCCTGGAGAGGGTTTCGGGGTCGACATATTTATTGGTGGTGAAGTTGATGATGGGAAAGTCCTCTCCCATCCTCATCAAATTTATGGATATTTCCTTCGGTGGTGGAAGGAATGGTCAATGTGATGCCAAATTGAGGATTAAGACGGCATTGGACGGTGATGATCAATCCAGTGCCGGGGTTTGGTGAATGGATGCGTCTAGAGCTGTGTGGAGTTTGAAGTGGAGTGGATGATGGTCACATTCCACGATTCCCAAGCATCTAGCGGGCGCGCGAATCCTTTTGATGGAATATCGCCTGCATGCACCTTCTACACTGATCTGCAGCGAGTTGGATGAGATGTGCGGGTTCTGTCATCGCCCCGAAGCAGCTCACGAGGTGGGATGGGACGGGACGGGATGGGATGGGATGGGGATAAGAGGGAAGGGGAGGCCTTATCCTTCGTGCGGCTGAGGAGTGGGAGGCGGAGATTCTTCCAATCAACCCATCAATTTCATGTTCAAATCTCATCAATCAWCCCGAAGGATCCAGATTTGATTCAGCCCTACTACTGCCAAGCCACCTGATTTGGGCGGGGTCTGGTCCAAAGAGGTCAAGTTTTGGCGAAAGAGGCGTGCACTCGTCGCTTCCGAGAGGTGTCGGCGCCTGAACCGATGGATGAGCAACAGGGATGTGCCCATCGATGGACGGACCATCCAAGAATACATGAGATCTCCCATACAGGAGCCTGATTTACATCCTCTACGCGGCGCATTTCCATTTTCATGGCTGGCAGGGTCCGCCACCTCGGCTCTCGTGAGTCGTATACCTAGCTTCGCGTGTCCATCGGCCGGCAGCCAATCCCGTCCCACCGGCAACGACGACATCAACAACAAACATTGCCATCTTGGCTTGATCCATTTCCTCGTAGCACACAAAGATGGTATACATGGCACAGTGGATTGATGAACGTCTGTACATGTGCGTATGAGCGGGCAAATATGCTGCCCGGCTTTTGGAGGACTCAATCTTCTCCACATCACAGCCAGCACAGCCACGCCGCCTTCGTAATCCTTGCAAGGTTGTGTCTTTGATAGATGACTGGATGGACCGGTTCCTCCCATCTTTCTGCGCCACGCATATCTTCCCATCATCCGGTTTGTAAGTCACTGCCAGCCACTTGGGTCCGCCATTCACCATTCCCGCGGTCGCAGGGAAGGATACAGCTGCCTGCACGATTCAGCTCGGGGAATGCGCCTGCCTGGTGGGAAGAAAAGACGTCTTGTGGACCACAGCCCAATCTCCTGACTCTCCCCTCCACCCCTCCAAACCCCCCAGAATGACCCCAGACATGACCAATGTAGTGGAAGCGAGCTCATTATCGGCCGTGACGGACATCGCCACCAATCCGCCGCCACATGCCCATGCTCCAACACATCTTCCGCCGCTGCCTCTCATCTTGTACATTGCACGAGTGCCCGGAAGCCGCGATGTCTTTCTCACGCCCATGAAACCGCGGGAGAAAGTGGTCACGGCCGAGGATGTCCAGAGCTCCCTCTATTATGTTCATGTCAATGGTGATGAGACAGGGGACAAGCTAGCGAGTGTTTCCGTGTCCTCGGTCAACACGAATGCTTCTCAGCTGTTGTCCGGGCAGGAAAATGGCGTCCGGCGAAAACCACTTCTCCCGCAGCGACACATGGCTCCTTTGACGCCGCCATATCCCATCGACGACGAGGACATGTCCACTTGGTCACGGACATCACCAGTTCCCCAGAAACCGAACCGCATTGCGCGCAAACCAATCAGCTCCAACTCATCAAATTCCTGCGATCAGAATGGACGAGGACTACCCAGCCGACCGCTTCCAAGTCCACCTCACGATGAAGAGCCATGCGAACCATACGACACATCTCTCCACGCCTCCAAAATGCATCTCCTCTACCACTCCGACCATACACAAATCCCCAATCCCTACTCTTCACCGGTGCAACCCATCGAAGCCCTACCAGAACGACATCCCTCCGGCTCCCTGACTCTGATCCGACGAGACCCGTCCTCCAACGAACAATGGAATGTAGCATCCATCCACGACCCTCCCATCCCGGAAGTCAGTTCTGCAGCACTTCGTAATCCGAGTGCAGCGAAACGAACGAAACGAGGTGGTGCTCCCGTCTATCTAGACATTTCCAATCCAGCCTACGCACAATTCATCGATACGAACAACCAAGCCACTTCTCGAGATAGCTTCACATCCTCAAATTCTGCAGAAAGCGATCCACCACCAGAAGGAATCTTTCGAAGAAGATTACACATGCCTGGATCACAATACGGCGAACATACATATACTCGATCTTCAAGGCCCGTCTCCGCATTCGCATCAAGTGAGGAAATCCTCAATATGCGTCGGACAATAAGATCTTCCGCCATGGACTCCAGCACGGACGTTCCCACATCCACCGCTGCTGCTGTTGATGATCGCAAGGGAAAAGGCTACACATTCACCAGTCCCTGGGATGGACGGTGTGAGTTCACCACGGGAGCCGCAGGAAAAAGTCTGAAATGTCGTCACATCCTCCCACAAGATCAGCATCATCATCATCTCAATCCCCGCTCTCCGAATGATGAAATCGTCAGCGAACTCCGCTTCAACCTCCCAACAAGTAACAAAACTGCCACGCCCGTACAAGAGAAGCGCAAATCTCACTTGCGGGGTTTACTCGTCCATCGTCGCCAGAAATCTTCTTCGGAAGATCATCATGCGGGAGGGGATGATGAGGAGGAGGAGAAGATGGATCTTACTCTAGGCCAGGAGAGAGCCGGAGGCGGGTTCCGAGGCAAAGAAGCCAAATTGGGCAAACTCATCATTGAACCTTCTGGGTTGGGAATGTTGGATTTGTTGGTTGCTGCCAATGTTGCGCTTTGGTGGAGGGCTTATGAGAGGTATTGAGATTGAGATTGACTTGGGCGAATGTTTGTGTAGAAATCAGGCGATGGAGTGTATGTTAGTGGAAGACTGAATATTAAATTCCCYCGGATTTAACTCTCCATAAGGCTGCTGCTTTTTATCATTATAGCTACCGGTTCGTAAGCCTTGTCGTCGTTTTACTAGAAGGAGAGGTAGAGATGAAAAGCGTATGTTCGTAAGGTGGTGATAATGTGTACAGGTGGATGTAATGTACAGAGTTCACAATGAAGTACCTCAGATCCACCATAATACACGCAGTTAGTTGCTCCACCACTCGTTCCTCTGGTAGTGAGTGACCTAATCCTCACTTTTCACTGGCCCTTACCCCCGCCGTTCTATTTTAGAATTTCTTGGCAATGTCACATGAAAGCCTATTAATAATAAAACCGGCTGCATTCAAAGTAAAGTAAGGTAGGTAAGATGTTATTTCATCCCAGAGCTCAGAATAATCAAATATTACTCTGAATCCCAACAACATCCCTCAAAAACCCCACCATATCATCCACACCCCTTGGTTCACTAACCCAGTGTCCTCCATCAGAATACTGGCGCCATAACGGACGCACGCCGAAATCAACCAAACGATCCCGCAGCTCCATCCCAAAAGAAATCTTAATCACATCATCATCATCCGCATGGCATAAAAGAACCGGAGTCTCGATCGCCGGATTCGGAATCCCATCGAGAGTGGAGATGACTTCTTTTCTCGGAAACCAACTGCTCAACCCGATAAAACCTCCCAAACGTCTTCGTCCCCCAAGTAAAGCATGAATAGCCACCGCACACCCTTGACTGATCCCCCCAACAATAATATTTTCAAACCCAATAACAGCCGCTTCTCCAGCGATGAGTTCCTGAATCCGGGCCATCGCGGGAGAAAGATCTTGCTCGTCAGTTTTTTCGTGAGGATTCTCTGTCGTGTACATGTCGAACCACTGCGACATTTCGCAATCGAAGCGTTTGGAGATGAGGAGGTCTGCTGTGGGGAACACCCACTTCACTGTGGGGAATAATTCGAGCAGTGTCTCGAGTCCAGATGCTTGACTTTCGAAGAATTCGGATGCGAATTCTTGGGCGATGCTGTCTCTTCCGTGTAGGAAGATGATTGTGTGGGTGTGTTCTGTGAGGGGGAGGAAGGTTTCCATTTTGGGTGGACGGGTTGTGTTTGTCGCGTTGTGTTGGGGTGGGATGGAAGTGGTTGAAGGTCTGGAAATGGAGATGGTGGTGGAGATGAAATGGTTGGTACTGTCTACCTTACCTTACCTAATTCCTCACGCCCCATAAGGTTCAGGTTCTTCACCGTATAAACTTCAGGCTCTTCACGCTCCTCACGCATTCGCAGGCTTGCACCTGCCTACATTGGCAGATTTCCAATCGCAGCAGGCGCGTCAAAGTCATGAAGAAGGAAGGTGCCATGCAGGGCATTCTCGAATCGATGCTCGCTCCTTGACAGGCCTCAGAATACCTCCAGTACGAGAAAGATGGAAGCAAAAAAGGAGAGATCTTCCGAGCCCTTCCTCCCTAACTTTCTCTCGAGCTTCCATCTCCCAGAAGACGAGTTGACATCCATCCATCTCGAATATCCATTCATCTCAAACATCCATCCATCATTGAAGATTGGGCTTTCAAACAGCTCCGTCCATCAAGCGAGGGTCCCGGGGATGGTAAACTGAGATCCTCGTGTTTGGAAAGCTCTCAAGTAGGTAGGTACTCCCTGTACATACTCCCTTGCCAGTAAATCTGGCCGTCAGCTCTCTGTAGTGTCTTGAAAGTGGAAGTGGAAGTGGAAGGTGGACGATGGCGCAAGTAATACAAGTACGTCCCACTTATGAGAAGACACGTGGACATACCTATACAGCTCGACCGCGCAAGAGCAGAGAGCGAGGCTTACCGGTCCAAAGCTTGGAATGCTCTCGAAAAAGACTTACTAAGACACGGTATAGGTGGTGGATATATATACCTCACCCCTCATACTTGAAATGCTCGACAAGGACTTACTATACTAAGACACTGTAAAGGTGGTGGATATATATACCTCACCCCTCATACTTGAAATGCTCGACAAGGACTTACCATACCAATACACTGTACATGTGATGAATATATGTACCTCATCCCTCGTACGACATCCGCAGACGTCAAGATGCGGTAGTAGCGACATCAGCTTGGTCAACATCATCGGCCTGTTCTTGCGCAGCAGCATTCCCACCACCAGACTATTGTTGTCCAGAACCGCCAGTAGTATTATCAGCGCCTCCATCAGCCTGTTTTTGTCCCAGTTCCCGCCCTTGTTCTTGATCTTGCTCTCGTTCTCGTTCTTGACCGTGTTCTTGATCTTGTTCCCGCCCTTGACCTTGTTCTGTTTGTCCAACACCACCACCACCAATCCAAGGCGGTCTACCCGGCTGCTTCGGCCCCCTGGGCGTTCCCTCTCCCCTCACCGAATCCAAATACTCCTTCCTGGACTGGAATGCAAGATAGCCATGCTGATTGGACTTCATAAACCTCGCATCCGTGTGCTGATAGGCGGCAGCAGGCGAGGAGAAAGAGCTCGGGCCAGACATGACCGCACTCTGCCTTTCCCCTTCCCCTCCTTCCATATTCACATCCAAATCCCCAGCAGCAGCAGAAGATGAAGCAGCAGCATGCATTTGGAACGGATCTTCCAGATACCCCACCACATCACCTCTCATCTCCCCTGTCCCTCCCGGTTCAAACATGCCCACTCCCAACACCGCCTCACCATCACCATCATCATCCTGACCATGCTCAGGAATGATTCCCCCACCAGAACTACTCCATCCCAAACTCCCTTCAATATCCCCGCGACTGGGTCTTCCCGCCCCTCCCATATTTTTCCTCGGACGAACACCCATCGGTCTTCTCCTCCTCCGCTTCCTCCCATCGATATGCACGAGCGCGCTGTTGCGATCATCATCTTCTGCTCTTCGTTTGATCTCATCGTGATTGTCGGGTTTGGTGTAGTGTTTGACGGCTAGGATGGGGACTTGATCTCGCTCGCCTTTGCGGTGTTTGATCTCCGATAGGCGTTCGAGGAAGGAAGCTTGAGATTTGGATTTGTCGGTCTTGAGGATGCTGCGGGGAATCTTCAGGGGACCGGTGGTGAGGACCATGGAGGAATCTTGGTCGTCATCGTCATCTTCCTGTTCTACTACAGGATTGGATGATGGGGTTGGTTTGCTGTGAGAGGGGATGGGATGAGATGGGGCGTTGCGGTCGATGAGCTGGACGGGTTTGCCCAATAGTCTTGCGCGAGAGATGCCCAGGACGTCCAAGATGGTTCCTTTGCGGAGAGGATGGGAATTGTGGCCGGTTTGAGCAATGTGGAATTGCGTTCCGAGATCCGTGGTCCAGTAGGCCGAGTAGACGGATTGCTCGAATTTGATCAACGGGTTGGAGGTGTGAAGGTCGAGGATTTGAAGGGCAGGTAGCTTGCCTCGCCTTTCTTCATCATCATCATCATCATCACCATCATCATCGTCGGAGGAGTCTTCATCGGAGGAGACGCGCGATTGTGGATCAACGCGGGGCGCACTGAGATTCTTGGACGTTTGGCCGGAGACGAGGTGGGGTTGGTCGGTCAAGGCGTCAGGCACGTGAGTGGTGAGATCGAGAGTGAAGTAGAGGGACTCGGTTTCGTGGGCCGAATATTCGTATTCCCACTCCCAATCACATTCGTCCCTTGACAACGACATGTTGTCATGTGTGCTCGTCGGTTTTGTCCCGTGATGACTGAGCTGTGATCAAGTCGAGTGTCACCATGTCGTCGATGCGCTTCGTGATTATTGGACCTTCTAGAAGCAAGCAGTCCAAGGATCGGCGTTCGGGCGTCGTGGCAGCAGATCGGCAGACGGCCGATCCCGTCCCGAAGATGTTCCCACCGGTTCGGAGACGGAAACGGCGGGGTGATGATGAGAACGGGCAGTTCGTGATTTGTATAATAATAATTAATCACGCACAATTACATACATGTGGWACGGTGGTGGAAGACATCAGATGGAATGTTTGTTGTTGCGGTCTTGAATCAGCTGCTAGTGTCCGCCGGTTCATTGTGTTTCCCATGCGAAACGAGCATTTCAGTTCCTCAATAGCCTTTGTGGCGCCCCCATCCTTCCTTCACAACGGTCACGTCGACGATTGCGCCGTTGACATGTTCTATTTCTGCGCGATCGGAAGACGATGACATCTAAGGTATGTATCAGTATCAGTCAGGCGGGGCGATCAATCGCAGAACTGAACGGAACAACAACAACGAGCACCATGTAATCTTCGTGTGATTGATATTGCATGCATGCATGCATCCTCCAACCTTTCCATGTTCTTTATTCATTGGTTTCAAATCAACCGGCAAGCGAAAGAGCCGAGCTGGGACCGATCTGCGGGCATCTTCAGTCGTTTGTTAAACTCCGCCGATTCCCGGACGCTCGCTTGAAGACGCCTGGCCTGCACCTCTCGCACCATTTCCAGCCCGAATCCTCCGACTCTTCCATTCTCACTCTCAACTCACTGCATCATCATTTCTACTCCACCAGATACCTGCGCACCTTCCCTATCGCTTCTCGTTCCTGCCTCAATCAACTCCTGTCTCCTACCCCACCCACCCCGCGGTCCGGCACCGCCTCCAAGCATCCCGTCAACTCACCTCCCCCCGGCCCACTTCCGCCGCTTGCGTCCCACCAGTTCACCGCATGTGCATAACAGCATAACAATACAACGCAACACAACACAACACCACGGCGACAGGAATAGGAATTCCACCTCCATGCATAGCACAACAGTCGCTATTCACGACATCCCCTCGACGACATCACGATCCCCCGCATCCACATGACCCGATGCAGCACTTTTGGATATAATTTCCGATAGAGATAGATAGCACGACATCCCACAGACACACACACACACACACACACACCATGAGACGCCCTTCCGCCCGTAAATGCTTCTTCGCATTCACCAGCCTGGCGATTGTCTACCTTCTACTCAGTCTGGTTGGCGTGCAGATTGGCAAGAGTGAGAGTGAGAGCGAACTCACCAATAATCCCGAATGGATCGCCGAGTCGAAATCATGGGTGGATCGGCAGGTTTGTCGCTGGCTGGGATTGTGTGGAACGATGCACATGTTGTACTCCTCGAGGTGGACGTGGCCGCACGTGGAAAAGGATGTCCCCCTCCCCACATCCGACAGTAATGATTACTGGTATTCCGACCAGGAAGAGCCGGCATCATGGAGTAAAGAGGAGATTAAGCGGAGGAAGATTCCGCAATATGTCCTGGATCATGCTCCCTATGTTCACCTCTTCTCTGGAGAGCAGTTCTGGCCCTGCGATATCGCCGACCATCTTCAACATACCACCCCGTTCCTCAACTACACCAAGATTGAGGACCTCACAACCGACAGCAACCTTACGAATCTCAACGAATTGAATGATTATGAAAAGGGAGAACACAGTAGATTCGTCTACCTGCAATCTCTCGACAACGTGGAAGAACGACCGAAATGGCTCGTCGGATCCGACGGAATCCCCCAACTGCCCGCCAAAAATGATGGAGATCTCGATCTCGACTACCCATGGCCCGACACCAACGAAGACTTACGACACTTTGACCTCGAAGGCGCAAAACAAGCCGCGCTAGACGAATACTTCCCCACGTCGGGGGAGATCCCTGCAGAGATCCTCCCCACAGACCGCACGGCCTCGCTGGATGGACGTTGTGGGGGAAACTCGGCCCAGACCTGCAAGGGAAGTCGATTCGGTCAGTGCTGTTCCATCTACGGTTGGTGCGGTAGTGGCGACGATTTCTGCGATGAAGCTTGTGATCCTCTCGCGGGAGAATGCTACGACCCCTTCAACCCACCTCGAGGTCCCCATCCAGACCTCCGAAAACGTGAAGACCTCCAATCCAAACGACACCGACCTCAACCCGGAGGCAAATCCTCCGCACCCGCCATTCTCATTGTGGTTCACAAACCGGGCGGCATCACCGATGCCTTTTGGTTCTTCTTCTACTCCTTCAACCTCGGCCAGACGGTCCTCAACATCCGTTTTGGAAACCATGTCGGGGATTGGGAACATACCGCCATCAGATTCCGCAACGGTCAGCCCACGCAGGTCTTCCTCTCCGAACACAATTTCGGGAATGCCTATACCTGGAGCGCCGTGGAGAAGTACCTTCCGGCGGGAGATGCTAGTGGAACCATGATTGGGAGTTGGTCCAATTCCACCGCCGCCAAGGAGGCGAAGAGACCCGTCGTCTATTCGGCATTGGGAAGTCATGCCATGTATGGCACTCCAGGATTACATCCCTACATCCTCCCCGCAGGCCTCTTACACGATGAAACCGACCGCGGCCCTCTGTGGGATCCCCGTCAAAACTTCAAAGCCTTTACCTATGACTCCGAAGCGAAAGTCGTTCGAGCCGCCACCACAAACCCGAGTGCTCCGACCGGTTGGTTTGATTTCGCGGGGCATTGGGGGGATAAATTCTACGGACTGGGAGATCCGAGGCAATATCGCTTCGTCGGGCAGTATCACTACGTCAATGGCCCGTCGGGACCGCGGTTCAAGAATCTGGGGAGGAAGGGAGTGTGTCAGGGGAGAGGCAAGGTTTGTAAAGTGCATGACTGGCTGGGGGGTAGAACGAAGGGTGGGGATACTTGGGAGGGGGATGAAGGGGATGAGGAGGGGGGTTTACCAGGGGGGAACAGCACGGATGAGGTGTGGTGATGAGAGGAGGAGGCCTCTTTTTTTTTCGGCTTGGTTCTTTTTTTTTTGTTGATGGCTTTACGATACCCTATGGCCTGGATAGACGCTGGATTGGTGTTGATTTTCTTGAAGATGGAATATATAGTGAGCGTTGTGTAGCTGGGAGACTTTGTCTGGGGAGTTGTGATAGATTCTCGATCGATTGAGAGGGAGGGAGGGAGGGAGAGAGTGGGGAACGTAACGTACAGTAGATGCATTTTGGGGTCTAGGGGGAAAGGCCTTGCATTTGGGTGGGGGGTGTATATGATGGGGGAAGTTGGATTGATGGATGGACGCATTGATGACTAGCACTTATTACTACAAAGAAATGAGCATACTGATGAACATCTATATCTTTTGGCAGATCTTTTGAGGTCTACTAGTCTAGAAGACACGAAGACTAAGAGGATTATAGAGGACAGGGGGCTAGATATTGCTTCAGTATTGTGGACAGTGAATGGTAGTATGGTAGAAAGGACGGATGGTTGGATTTAGTGGAGCGAGTTGCTAAGGAATGTGGCTGGATAGCTGATGGTCTATAAGCATTTCCAGCCCGTCCATGAATGCTTGCCACAGCCAATCTGCACAGCAATCGCCTGTCAGTCCGCCCAGGTCTTGGCACGATCCTACGTCCAGTACAAGTATGTAGGTATGTGGATGGTGTCTGTGGGGAAGTAGAGTGCCGGACCTCGGAAGGGACCTACGGCCCGAGCAGAGACGCTCTCAAGAGCGGTACGACAGACATATGAACTTCTCCGACAACAATAAACACAATCGCAGAGGCTTTCCAGACAACTTCGTGACAGACCAGCGTGTATTCGCATCATCCGGGGCACCTGTGAGTATCCAGCCTTGACACCTCCACAACAATGCAAATCCGAGATCGAACTTTCGTCATCAGTGGTGGAAGCAGTGGACTAGGACTCGCCACTGTCCAGGAGCTACATTCTCAAGGCGCATACATTGCGATCTTGGACCTCAACGAAGAGACCGGGAATGCAATAGTGGAAGATCTCAACAAACGGGTCCTCTTTTGCAAAGCCGACATGTCAGATCCAACCTCCACCAAAACTGCCGTAGACAAAGTGCTAGCCTGGGTGAAGACGACACAGAAACCAATCGGCGGTGTTGTTCCTGCAGCAGGAATTGGCAATCCAGGCCAATTGATCCAACAGAAAAGGRGAAACACTCCCTCTCGCGCGTCTCGAACAGGTCCTGAACGTCAACATCCGGGGTGTTTTCGACTTGATTCGCCTCCTTCTCCCATCCATAATCAACAACGCCCCAGCGGAACCAGACGGAGAGCGCGGAGTCATCATCATGATCTCGTCCGCAGCGGCCTTTTGATGGACAACCCGGTCAACTCGCCTACGCTGCCAGCAAAGGAGCCATTCGCTCCTCTACATTGGTTCTCGCTCGAGATTTAGCCCCGTGTGGAATCCGATGCTRTACGATCGCTCCGGGGCTCTTTGATAGTGCTATGACACGTAGGGCTAGTGAGAAAGTTAAGAGGAGTCTGGAAAGGGGGTTTGAGTTTCCGAGCGAGGAGAGCTGGTCGTGCTGTGGAATTTGCGGCTACGGTTAGGCATATTGTTGAGAATGGCATGTTGAATGGTGAGACGATTCGGCTTGATGGGGCGACGAGGATGTCTAGCAAATTGTGATGGGCATTACATTTGAAAAGACATGCATCACTCCGTCTGTGAGAAAGATCTGAAGGCCAGATATTTCTTCTCGCCAAGCCATCGTGCAGGCCTGAGGCAACCCTGATGACCGGACTCGTTCGGGCCGACAGCGCGGGGTAATGGACATGTCAACATCATCTGGGCAATAATGTAGAAACACCGCCGAGATTGTTTGTACATGTGAAAGGAAGGGGCTGTGACGATGGGCCGAGAAGCGTGCATGCCATGTAGAGAGCGGAAGATTCGGTGTGATGTTGTGACTGATCGTGGTCAAGCGTGTAGCCATTRTCTGGAGCATGGCCGCACGCAAGAATGTATTGTGCCCCCACGACAGAAGAGAAAGTCAGCAGAGCCACACCACTTTGCCATCAATCTTTTCAGTATGATGGCTAACGACTTGCAGAATCCAACGGCGAAGGGAGAATCGCCGCGAAGAGATCCGCTCTACGGCGGCATGTACTCCTGAAGAAGAAGTTGGCCAGCCTTTGCCTACCAATGGACCCAACGGTGATAATTCAGGCGTGGACGTGCTCGTCCCCAACGAAGATGAACAGCTCGACTTCTCACATCAATCTCGACCTCAATCCGGATCGCAGTCTGGCGTTGAATGGGCCCAGACCAGAACATCTCTACGAAGTCCTTTGGTGGGCGAAGACAGCATCCTTCAGCAAGTTTGTCAACAGATTGCCACACCGCACTGCGATGGTCGTCGGGTCGCTGACCTCGGCTCACAACCATGGGCAACCGTAATGGAGTATCAGAATTCCCTTCAAGCCACGGGCATCTTGGGAGAACTAATGTCGAATTACCAACATACCAATCGGATGGTCCAGATTCAACATGYCCCGGAATCTCACCAACGTCCAGGAATCTCTACACCGCAGTCTCGTCGGGAGCTCGAGTTGCTGGATCTAGATGATGATGAGATTGCCTTTTTGAACGCCAAGAATGTCTTCCACTTGCCCGCTAGAGATGTGTGGTGAGTAAATCTCATACGCTGCTGTCATCTATTGTTGATCTTGATCTTTGACTGACCAGAGTGTTATTCATGTGTCAAAGTAGAGAGATGTTTGAGAAATTCTTCACATTTGCCCATCCATACACCCCGGTCCTGGATCGATGTATCTTTCTCACGCAATACGACACGGGAAATCACTCTTCATTTCTCACGCAAGTGGTATTGGCAAATRCTGTACCTTATGCGAGTGCCGAGTTGATTCATCGCGCCGGTTTCTCTACCCATCAGAATGCCCTGCGAGAGTTCAATAAACGTGCGGTTCTGTTGTACAATTTCAACTGTGAGAAGCAGCAGCTGGCAATTCTTCAAGGCGCACTTCTTTTGGGGGTGCAATGGAATACTCATCTTGGGGATAAGGATTTCAGATATTGGATGTCTCAAGGTGTTAGGATAGCGATGCGCATGGGTTTACATCGAAGGTGAGGGAGCGTTGGTTACAGATTTTCAGGGGTTGTTTTTGGGCGCTGATTCAAGATTACCTTACAGTCACATCCAAGACGAACTCGAGGCCAAGTTCTATGCATTACTGAAGCGGATCTGGTGCATATTATGGGTACGCAGACGAAATTTGAGGATTGTCACCGTTGAATGCTGACGAAAAAATGATAGGTGCGGGATGTTCTACTCGTAACTACGGGTCTGGTCAATGAACGAAGGGTACCCGATGACTGCGATACCGTGGAGCTATGCGAAGCAGATTGGGACGAAGATGCAAGCAATATCCCCGACGACCTACGCTGTTGTCTCCCACACGTGAATGCCACCCAGAAGCAATTCCTGATCCATCTCTCCCATCTCGCAGTGCTTGGAAGACGGGCACATAAATTCGCCCTGTCTCGCAACCCTTTACAAGTCGACCACCATCAAGCCGAATCTCTTCTCGACGCGCTTCGAATTTGGCGCCAACAATTACCTGCCGAGTTGACGATTACATCCACCACGTCGTGGAGTAGCCATGGAATCTGGTCTTTGGTACTATCGGCGTGGGGCTCCCGTCTGGRATGTCACATTCACCGTACCTTGTGGAGATCACGCGTGCAGGTTGGAAATCAGACTTCTGCCATTTCTGCAGGTTTACGAGACTCGATTTTCAATTTAGATGCTGTCATTAAACGGGCTGTGCTGCACGGGTTATGCAAATTCTTGCCGCTTACTGTGTACGTTCTTATACCCGCTCTCTCTCTCTCTCTCTATCATCTAGCATAACCAGCTAATCATTGAACACAACAGAACAACTTCCGCAGCAGTAAACGTAGCCCTTGCAATCGAACTACTCTGCCAACCAGAAATATCCGCCGGGGAAAAGTCCGTATACGAAGAAGCCGTTAGGAACGGCATAACATTCCTACGTGATGTTCAAGAGATCTGGGCAACTGTCCGCGCGCTACTGAGTCTCTTCGCCTGGGTCCTCGCACGTAAAGGTTTGGTCTTCCCGTCTGGATTGGATCCTTTGGATAGTACTACTACTACTGGAAGAAGCATGCAAGATAATTTTTTTCCGCTATCGTTTACGGCTTTTGGAACGCCGAATAATAATAATCTGCAGGCTAATTTTGATGAGGATGTTGCTAATGCGCTGCTTTTTGGGAATGAGTCGTATTTGGATCTGCCGGGTTGGTCGGATGAGTCGATTTTTGGTCGGTTGTAAAACTAGCTATGCAGCATATCATTTTGATGATGACTCGCCACTACCTCCTCTGCGCTGACTTATCTCCCTCGAGTGTCATACAGATATATATATCATCTAAATTGGTGGTGGAATGTCTCAACCAATCCAAGATACCCTTGCAATTTATTAACATAACATCAAAGCCTTACTCCAGGAGTAAGGAACTTCAAAGGAATATCCACCATACAAGAACGTAAAAACTCCACGAATCCTTTACCCAGTGGATCTATACTCTCCGTACTACTCACCCCCGTTCCAAGATGTCCATGCACAACAAAATGCACCGCACATATATTGGGAAATTCACACCGCTCAACATGTGTGTCTGGCCGGTAGTCTGTTCCCATCAACTCTGGAATCAAAACGTCAGTCTCGTCGACAGTTTGTGCATCTCTTTTGCCTTACCGATAAGTTTTGCTGTGGTGAGAAACCTACACAACCAGTCCCATTTCTCGAGAGATTCTTCCGCAGAGGGAAAGAATAGACCGACGTTAACGTTGGCGCCTTTATCACCACTGCGACCAAACAGTATCGAGCCCAGCGGAGCTCTACTTGTCGGGCCAAAAGATTTCGGGGTAGTYCCGTTTGAAGCGGTAGTCTGGAGTTTATGCTCCTTGACTACACGTGTTGAAGGTACGTCGTCGGGAACAGCCTGTGATGCCGATCCAATGATATGCAGAGTCTGCTGTATGTGTTCGCGATGAACCAAACCCGTGTATAGCGTGACCAGAGCGCGAGGGTCTGCCATTCGATAGTCCAAATTCGGCGTCAAGGCTGGGTAGCCTTGTAGCTGATTACTGAGGAGCGGGCCAAGAAAACGACCTCTGGATAACAACTTTGCATCTTTCGCTTTGGCCATTACTCTACCCCCGGGGATCATTGTCAGTAATTACTTTGGTTATAACGTTAGTATCTCGGGGGGTTGAAAAGTACCTACCGCAATATCATCGTCGCCTCGGCCTGCGATTGAGGATTCTCAGAAGCCACTCCACACAATTGCAGACGGAAAGTTTCCAGTTTCGATACATCAATCATCTTGTGAGCCATACGTCGGAAATCTTCGACTTTGGCGGGTGCATCCCTTCCCGTGACATACAACAAGAACTCGGCTTGATATCCGGCTTGGGCAGTGACTGCTACTTTCAGAGTTGGAGGTGGCGGTAATCCTTTGATACCAGATACTAGCACTTCGTCCGTGTCGTACTGCTCCATGGCGATATCCGTCAAATCTGCTACTACGTCGGGGTTCAGGTAGGYTAATCCTTGTAATTCGTAGACGAATTGTGTTCGAACGGTATCTCGAGTGATTCTTATGACAATCCGATTAGCTCATTCATTGCTGGGATGTATCCCTTTTATCAATCGTACTCACATTCCATTCTGGCCTGGCTGCTTCTGGATGATCGCTCGGCCATCGTTGAAAATCTCGGCGATGGGGAAAGATAGGTCGAAACGGCTATCGCCCATGGACTGGTAGCCTGCAAAACTGCCTCCGGTCTTTGATTCCGCACATCAGCTTGGGTTCGTACTTTATTCACCAAGAAGTCCACTCACAACATAGCAACCACATTCGATCAAGTGTCCAGCAGCCAACGCTCCCGCCAGCGAATCCAGTGAAGAAGCTTTCCAGCCATGCCACCATGAAGCCAAGCCAATGACCTACATATTCAGTCAGTCAGTACAACAAAACAAGCAGATCTTTTTCCTGGTAAAAGATACTAACCGGACTGGCATCAGTACAACGACCCACAATAACAATATCCGCGCCCTGAACCAAAGCTTCCCGTATAGCTCCAGCTCCAATATACACATTCGCAGACAACACCCCCTGAGTCTTCTCTCGAAACTCCTTAAACGTCTCCTTTTGCTCCCGATGAAGAGGTCGCAAATCCAATCCCTCATCAAGACGATCAAGAACATCATCACCAGTAACATACGCGATTTTCCTGCTCAAGCCATTTTCCCGCAGAAATTCTTCAACTTTGATCGCCAGGCCTTGTGGATCGGCCCCACCGGCATTCACGACAATCTTCAGGGGGGTTGGGTAGGATTTGTATTCTGTAATGGCTAGACGGAGCGAGTAGAGGAATCCTGGCTCGAATTTCGCTGTGCCGGAGGTTTGGCGTTCTAAGGCTCGAGTGCCGATGTTGAATTCGGAAAGCCAGTCTCCGGTTATGGCATCGATTTTGGTGGGTCCACTTAGCATTGATTTCAGACCTGAAGAGAGATGAGTGAATTGCGTCAATTGCCGATTGATTCGATGGCTCCTCCTCATATGTAGGTATGCATTTGCTTACCATCTAGACGATCACCTGTTGAGCCTGAGACATTGCCGATGAGGATTGGTCGTCGCGCCATTGGTGATGATGGATTCTAGCAGCTGCTTGCTTTGAAAGTCAATGCATTTCTTGTTTGATGACTAGAGCAGAGCATGTATATCAGAACGGGCGGCCCATCAATTGCTGCTGCTGCTCACCTACGTTCGGCCCGAGCGACAACCGCAGGGACGACCGAACTTGGAGCACTAGACCCGATGTAGTAATTTCTGGTTGGCGGCAAGTTCCTACGGGCCGTGCGGATCAAGGCAATGAATGCTTCGTCTGTTGGAGCAACTGGGAGGTCTGAGATCCCGTAGGTTCTGATAGTCTCTCGAAATTGTATTGATCTCTACGTGATGGGCGGAGTCACTGGCAAAACTTACCCATCTCCAGCAAAATGGGACTTGTTGGCTGAATATGGAGAAACGTAGCCCAAGATTATATGCATAATATACGGCCCTGGAGATAAAAAGATTCCAGACTCTGCATATCGCCCTCATTACCAGATGACACTACCCCAACCCTAACCCTAGACATTCGACTATTCGCTGCATGCAATCGACGAGGAACACAAGGGAGAGGATACAGTCTGCAATGGACACTGAAATATAGGACACCGCTGTCGTTGGACAGCGGGTGTTGGACGAAACCAATCCGAGGTGTCTMTGCCATGCAGCGGTAGAACGACCAGGAAAGGATATCAGGATAGGAGGGGATGGAGCAACGCAAACATTCTGGCATATATTCTTATCTGTCATCTCAACCACCAATATGGTCGAGGCCTATTCAACCCGTAGCATTCCCATCAACAACAGCCTGTTTCTCCGCCCTTGCATCCTCATATTCCTTCTGCCGTGCAGTAAATTTACCTCCACCATCCTCCATATCCATAGTGAAGCTTCCAGGCTGTTTATCCCCTTCCTCCTCGGGATTCAGCAGACCCATGTACCACGTCAGATCCCGACCATCGAGCTCTCGGGTACAGAACCCATCACCCAGGAAACTGAAGCTGTTGTCCGTTTTGTATTCGATGTCAAAGTGCTCGTAGCGAGGCTTTTCTAGCACTGTGAGGTAGTGGATCCTGCTACCGGGCCAGAGTACCGGTTTGTTTGCAGTTTTGCCGTTTTTGAACCATGAGCTGCAGGGCCTTTTTTATCATTTGTTAGCATCTAGTCGTTGACAAGACTACTATTCATACTACCCACCCATTCCATGCAGTTCTTTGCAGATATTTGTCTGCATATCTTGTAAAGTCCTCGGCAGCGGATCTCTTCACTGAAAGTCGTTTGATGTATTCCGTCTGGACCTTTTCCAGCACTTGGAAGACGTAATCTGTGTAGAATTCAATCATGGGCATAACGGAGCCGTGTCCTACGGAGAAGTCAGTATAATGAACTATCTGTATGTGGTGACATTAACATCAACTCACCAAGTGGACCATATGCGCCGATGAAGATAAAGTAGTTTGGGATTTCAGCTGCATCACCGTGTTAGAATAGGGCGTGCCGGTAACATACATATCGACTTGAAACTCACGGGATGAGAGGCCCAGATAGCCTACGATATCTCCTGTGAACTGGTCCTGCAGATTCTTACCGTCGAATAAGATTGGAAACCCCGGCTTGAAAGATGTGTCGAACCTGTCCAGGTCAGAAAATGGTCATGCTATCTTACTCAAGCTGCTTGACAAACCCTGTAGCACAGATAATGCAATCGACTTCATGTTCGACGCCATTCTTATCGACGTAGCCGTTCTCGGCTTTCGGACATTAGTGTGTATATAACACTACGACTCAAGAGCGACTCACTGATCTCCTGAATCTCCCCGAAGTGGACGGTAGTTTTGTCCTGTGTGAGCGCTATCCACTTAGCCCAGATCAGATCAGAGGCAAGGAATGAGAGTAATTTACCTTCCAAGAACCCATTACCCGGGGTCGGTCTTCGGCAGCCAATGTCAAAGTCTTTGGGCATTAGATTGTCGATGAGATCTTTMCGGCCCCCCAGCTTGCGTGTCATTTCGTTGATTGAAAACTTGTAAGTATGTCAATATGTGGTCGAGAGTGAGTGATGGTAATAGCAGATGGTACCTACCTCTTTGGCGGCTTTGGACTCGGGGGTATTCTTGATGATCAGTTTGAAGCGGACATTGAGTTCGGACTCGATCGCTTTGCAGTATCGCTGATAGAACTCGGGATCATCAACGAATCGTTGCTTGATCTCTTCCGAGTACTTGAAATTACCGCCGGTCTGAGCAGCCCATGTTTGGGCAAACCTAAGACAAGACAAGGTGTCAGCTTGCTTAGAGTACTGAAGGCTTGGGAGTGGTTTCTTACCCCATTGTGATCCAAACTGGAGAGCGCTAATGATAAGTTTAGCGTTAAATGTGTCAAACTCATGTCTTGATGGGCTTGCTCACTGCTACCACATGAAGCTGTTCCACCCGATCCACAATGTTTGGAATGATCTGAACACCGCTGCTGCCAATCCCAATGTTCAAGACTTTCTTGTCCGTCAAATCATACGATTTATCCCATCGAGCACTATGCATCAGTTTGCCCCTGAAAGGGGTATTTCCCTGGGCATCGATGCCCTTGATCTTGGGCCAGCGCCATTTGCTAGAGCATGTCAATGACATTCCCAGTGCTGTTTAAAAGCAACTTACTTCAATACACCACCGCCATTGATCAAAAACTCGGCTCGATCTTTGAAAGTCTCGCTTCCGTGCTTGATGGTCACCTCCCACAGACCCTCTTCAGAAAGCCATTCGGCTTTTACAATCTCATGCTCAAATTTGACATATCGCCTCAAGTCGTATTTATCGGAAAGATCCTCAAGATATTGGTGAATTTGCGCAGAGCCAGAATAATAAGATGCCCAATCTGGCTTTCTGTCCCTAAATCATTGAAATCAGCCTGGAGACCCAACGTATTGGGAGTCCGATGGACGTATTCGACGCACCAGGTGAATTGATAGCAGACGCTTGGAATGTCGCAAGCACATCCCTCATATTGGTTCTCATACCAAGTACCTCCAAGCGTTTTCTGAGAACCATTAGTAAAGTCGTTGGGTTCTCCTTCGTGAAAATTATAGCAAACTCACGTTCTTTTCGTATACTACAAGATCGACATTCAAGGTCTTCTCCGACAGTTTCTTGCAAAAATTAACGCCAGACGCCCCCATCCCTGTGCACATCCAGTCATGAATTTGTCGTATTTGATGCAGCGGGAGGGTACGTACCAATGAATATTACTTTGATTGGTTGTCTCGTGCCCATTGGCACCTCCTGAATGGTCACATCACGGCGTAGCTGTTCCATGTTGGCCATCGCGACTGGTATCTGCAAAAGCTGTCCAAGGGCAGCTCGTCAGTAGTTAGTGAATCTATCAACAACAAGAATGGTGATGCAATATACGTTGGGCCCGCGTACATACATCTGCTTGGCTTACCGAGGACGAGCGGTGCTAGTTCTCGGCCCGAGAAGGGTGGGGGTGAGCTGWCCTGAGGACTGTTCGCACCGAGCCACTGTCGGTTCGTCAGGCCAGTGAAACTTTCACGTTCCTATTATTCAAGGTGCACAATCAGACCTCGCAGAATGTTCGAGCACACAGGAATTCTCCAGTGGGAAAGAAAGAACACGATGACCGGACCTTCCCACGTGAAAATGATCTTGGCATCGCCAAGGCAATTCATTGTCCTTGTGTATGCATTTACCATTCGTCTCATCCTCATTCTCGCATCAAGACTACTTTTACCCCCAACTCCGCGATATCAGTCGCTACGAATCGAGATACAGCGGGCCTTTCAAACATCTGCATCTCTCCACTTTCGAACATTCACTCACCGCTTGCCTGCCGAATATCCGCCGAGCGACGCTCGACCTGTCAGTGGAAGGGGATTCGCCGGGTACCTGGTGCCTGGACAGAAGTTACACAGCGTGGAAGATCTTGGAAATTCCCCAAAGAATGCCAAAGTTGTACTGTACGCTCATGGAGGCGGATATGCTATAGGCGTTGCTCGAATGTATGTTCCGTACATGAAAAGATGGGCAAATCTAGCCAAGGAACGTGGCATAGAACTGGTGTTTCTTTCCGTTGAATACAGTAAGATACTAAACAATATTCACGAAACTCGAAGTTTTTCTAACGATCGAACAGCCCTCAGCACGGAAGCTCCCCATCCCAGACAAAGGAATGAGTTCATTGCAGCTTATAAACACCTTCTTGAAGCTGGGGTGTCAGCGTCTCAGATCAGTTTCATGGGAGATTCTGCCGGGGGAGGCATCTGCACCAACAGCGCACTTCACCTCCCCTCACTTTCGCTTCCTCAACCAGCTAGCACAATCCTTGTCTCGCCATGGTTAGATATGGAGATGAACGCCTTCCAAGGAGGCTCACATGCAGTCATGAGCGACTACTTCGTCCAGGCCAATGATGCTGTGCCGGGTCTTGTCAAGCTCTTCATTGGTAAAGACTACAAACCAACCGATCCTGCCGTTAATCCCCTCTACCAAGACGTCAAGGTAATCGAATCACTCAATCCTCAACTTATATTTGTTGGAGCAGCTGAGTTTGCTCTCTACGACTCTAAAACATGGGCTTCTCTATGTCGGAAGGCAGGGGTGAAGACGAATCTACAGATTGAGTGGGGACAGTTGCATATCTGGGCTATGGGATCAAAGTGGATCGAGCCGGCGCTGAGGATGCGGACTGATAATCGAATATTAGATTGGATGGAGGGTTCAAATATGCAGTAGCCTGAATAATGCCACACTGCCTAATAAATCAGACGACCTCCTCTCTACACAGACGTAACATTCAAACCTGTACTGCAGGACGACGAGTCTGAATCTGGGATGTGCTACTTTGTGGTCAAGGTCACTTGGTATAAGTCTGGTCTTTGCTTTGGAGGGCCGACAAGACTCCTTTGTTGTTATACCTAGCACTRTATAACTATTCAACCATTTCAACAGTAAGATCATCAGGCCAATATGCATTGTCGACCCCATTGGCTCGAGTCCCCACATTGTAGCCAAGAGATACTGTATCTGGTGGAAAATTGATCGCAGGACGTACGACTTGAAAATCAACACCAAGAAGAGCCTTACTCCGGCGTCGTTCAAAAAAAGCTTCCTGTAGAACCGTATCTGACGCATTCTCTTTGAGCATACCGAGGTAGGCGGGCACTGTGACGTTCATCGAGTGGAAGTGACGGAACTTCTGACGGCCATTGCGGGTCCAGACATCTTGCCAGACCTCGTCGGGATATGTGCCGCAAGACTCAGCAAGCCAGTGATTGTAGTAATTTAGGGAAAAGTCGACGACGTAGGAGCCCCCTTTCTCGGCACGTTCGATCAAGGCTTGCATCACGCCCACGCAGCCAGCGATTCCAGTACTGGTATGAATCAGCAAGAAGCAAACATGTTACAACAGAAGATGTCTTACCAATAGTCAGAATTGGGAAAGACCGGAGTGCAAGGCTCGTCGTTCCCCATTGCCCGCCCGAAACCATAGGATATTCCGGTGTTCTGTAAGAAAGTGAGTGAAATGAGCCTAGTGGGGTGGCAATCAAAGATCTCCAACACTTACAGCATCACTGATAGGTTGCCAACCGCTTCTGTGCTTCCAAGGTCCATTCCAGCCCTGGGAATCGCTATTAGCCATGAAGTCTCGGGATGGAAAATAGAACGTACATAGGCATTCTCCCTCGCGTAGATGATACCCCTCTCGCGGTCTGCACACAGTCGTAACGTCCCTTCGACACCGAATCCGTACTTGTCGAACACACCAGGTCTGTAACCGTCAACAACAACATCTGCCTGTAGAATGAGCTGCTTAAGCTTCTCTCTGTCGGACAGCTCTCTCAGGTCTAAGAAACAGTTCCATTTACCCCAATTCAAATCGGGCTGCAGACCGGTGAAATCGGGCAAGTGTTTCGCAGTGACTCTCATGACACTCGCTCCCAATTCAGCAAGGCCACGGGTGGCAGATGGGCCAGCGATCACACGTGTAAGGTCAAGTACCTTTAAGCCAGCCAGCGGACGCTGAAGACCTGTCTGCGGCGTTGAAGGCCACCATCCGGGCGACTGGGCGGGATTTGGACGGTGATGTACTTCATAAAGGTTGACATGGGAGTTCGCTTGCCCGTGGGGAGACGCTTTGTACTGCTCGGTAGTCTTGACAACAGTGCAAGCCTGTCGAGCAGAACCGTCCAGGAGAGATTCGAGGTTCGCGGCGGTTTCTTTCGCGCAGACCTCCATATATGGTTTGTAAGACGTCTCTCTGTCGGTGACTGAGTCGTCTTCCAAGGGCAGACCAAGAGCTTGAATCGTAGGGTTTGGATTGAGGGAGCCATGAATATGGATGAATTGATTGTCTGATGTCCGATAGATGTTGGTAGAAGCCCGCCGATGGAACGAGGAGGCGAAATTGAAAGGATCCTGCAGAGTGAACATATCCTTGTATCGCTCGCTAAGATCACGGATAGGCGTAGGATTCACCTCGAAGTGGGCTGACGGGTTGATTGTCAAGACGGATGAAGACATGAAGAGGAGTTGACAGTGGTCCGTGTTGATGACAGCTTCCAGGGGAGACTGTCCGTACTTGCGACCCAACAATACATTGAGCATGGCCGCTTCGAAGCCTTTCAATGCCGCCATACTTTCGGCAAATCTCCAATTGATGGCAATACTGGGTAGTGGACTTCCTTCGAATTTGATGGTCTTGGCGCAGGTCGTAATCTCTTGAGGAAGGCCACTTTGTCTCTTGTTGTTGATGATGCCATTTAGGAACACATCTCTCGCTTCGTTTGGAACAGAATAATTGAATGTAGCCATTGCTTGCCACTGATATCTCACTTGCATAGCATTCAAAGCGCTTTGATTGAGTCGCTACCTCCTTATATGCAGGATGTTACGGTCATCGGAACCTGCGGGTATCTTGAGCAATGTTCAAAGGGTCGACACCTGGGTGCTGTTCTCGGCCCGAGCGTGGAAGTGTCAATCACTTACTTGCCCGAGTGAGACTGCCGTAAAGTCAGTCCCACATCCAGGTCAGACAGAGCAGGTTTCAAAAGCTAAGAAACAACGCTGGCTTCGGTAGATCCGCTGTGTCTATTGCACTTTCATCTTGTCCGCTTCAGCATCCAGCGAAACGATCCCGTACGACCATCATGCTCGAACAAGCAGAGCCCGAGAGGGTGAAACAGTACATTTGGATTGCAAGCATTGCGCTCCTCGTGATTGCGGGCATCAAGCTCCTCAGTATTGGCAGCCGCCCAAAGGATCTTCCTCCAGGTACAACGAGCCACGTCCCAACTAGAATCCAAGTCGTAAAGTAGCCAAAACTGAACAGTCTGCAGGGCCTCCAACATTGCCCGTCATCGGCAACCTCCATCAACTTCCCAAAAAGAATATTCATGTCACATACCAGAAATGGGCCAAGGAATGTGTGTAGATCCATCCACATACAGCACAAACTATGATTACATGCTGACATTCGAAAGACGGCCCCATGTTCTCCCTTAAGCTGGGCGACTCGACGACAGTGGTGCTAGCAGATGGCTATGTGATTCGCGAGCTGGTGGACCTGAGGGGTGGTAACTATGCACATCGGCCAAACCTGTGGGTGCGAGAATTGTTCGACGATTCGAGAATCATCATGCGAGGTTACGACGATCTTTGGAAGTTGGAGAGGAAGATGTATCATGCCTCCCTCAATATCAATGTTGCCAAACGTTATCTCCCTTACCAGGTATCTCTACAAACTGCTGATTGAGTCTGAGTTATAATACCGAGCTGATCATGACCAGGAGCTTGAATTCTTGCAGATGATCCACGACACGATCCAGAAGCCAGACGATTTCGTCGACCACATTGGACGGGCAACAGGATCCTTCGCTGCCTCCATGACCTATGGCTTCCGACTCCCCGACAAAGACAGTGATCTCACCCACGAGATGCTGCACAACTCTCATGGTTTCTTCACGTGCGTTATGAAATCACAGCTCTTCGACTACTACCCCTTCCTCCGCAACGTCCTCAAGCTGTTTCCACAATCGTGGAATCCATTGGCCAAAGAGGCACTACAAGCGTATGAGAGCGAGCGCAATGTATTTGCCAAAAGCTGGAAAGTTGCACAAGAAGGCTCTCTACCATGTTCGTCTCGTTCAACGTGACTGGCTTCGTTCCAGCGTCTGACATTCTGTGTAGGCTTCGCGAAGGATATCGCTCAAGCCCGTGAAAAGGCAGTGGCGGCGGGCGACGAGGGTCTCTTCACAGAGCATGCTGCACAGTACATAGCTGGTGAGCCGAATTATGCAGAGACAGTAACATGCACAAATCACTGACAATTTCGTAGGCATTAGCTTTGAAGGCGGAGCCGACACCACCCGCTACACTCTACACGGCTTATACAAGGTACATATGCTTTGCAAGCGCTATTCAATTGCCTCCAGATTGATGACAATAATTTCTAGGCATTGACAATGTTTCCTGACGCACAAAGAAAAGGTCAAGCTGAAATTGACACCATCTGTGATGCGGAAACATTCCCCATGGGCCATCACATCAAAGACTTCCGCTACATCAACCAGATAGCCAAGGAGAACATCCGATGGATGCCAACGGCGATCAATGGTGCCATTCCCCATGCTGCGCTCAAGGAGGACCATTACCGTGGCTTCCGTATTCCACAGGGCGCAAATATCGTCCTCGCAGTCTGGTCTGCGAACAACGATGATAAAGATTTCCCCAATGCGAGGGATTTCATTCCAGAACGTCACCCTGCAGAGTCTAGTTTGTTCGAAAGTGCGACTGCTCCCAAACCTAAAGATCGAGGCCAATGGGGATTTGGGAGCGGGAGAAGAATGTGTCCCGGTAAGTACAGTCAAGGGAAACCGATTCTACACGCAAATCTCGGCGCCCATATGAGTTGTTACAGTCTCGGAGAGAGTATCTCTCAGCCCTTCTCTACCTGTTATCGATGTGTGAGACACTGCTAACATTCTCGTTCATTGCTTTTAGGTATGCATGTAGCTACCAACACGCTACTTCTAGCAATCGCAAGGATCTTGTGGGCTTTCGACATCACCTACGCAAAGGACGAGAACGGCAACGAGATTCCAATCGAAAGAGATGCCTTTGTCGGCGGGCTGGCTGCAGCTCCCGCACCATTCAAGCACGTCGTCCAATCAACCCCTATTGGTCGTGAACAATCTGGCTGACTGTTCTTTTGGTACTTAGATGTTCTATTGTCCCTCGATCGAAGGAAAGGGCTGCGATTGTGGAGCGGGAGTGGAAGAAAGCTCAAGAGTCGCTACTTCTCCCGAATGGAAGTTACAAGGGAGATATACTGGCCGCAAAGTAATGATCAGAAGTATGCAAGTATAAGAAGGGGTGACATGGGTTTATGTAGCGTTCGGGCCCAAAATATGCAGGTTAAGTGCGATGCTTGTGAGCGGTACATGTCCTGTCCTACTCCGCTCTGTCAATCAGCTGCCGAGACTCCTGTCTGTGATATCTATCATCTCCACTTGTAGTGAGACGGTAAGTATCCAAAAAAAAAATGGAGAAATGGATTCTCAAAGAGCAATCCTAAATCTTTCTCCTACCCTACATAGAACCGTAATGTTTCACATCTTCGACAATCGAAGTGGATAATCCGGCAACATCCTCTTCATCACCTTTCCCGACCCCGTCTTCGGAATCTCATCGATAAAGAACACCCCTCCAGTCAAATGCTTATGTTTCGAAAACTTGCCCGAGATGATGTTGAAAACCTCCCGTGCAGTGATTCCCTCATCCTTCTTCACCACAAAGGCCCGCGGATACTCCGCGCCGTCAGGAGTTTTGGCGCCCACAACACTCACATCCGCGACACCAGGGTGTAATAGAATCGCAGCTTCCAATTCCGCGGGAGATACTTGCAAGCCTTTTACTTTAATCAGGGCCTTCAGGCGATCTATGATGTAAATTCTGCCTTCCGTGTCGAGATAGGCCACGTCTCCCGTCCTCAACCATTTCTTCCCATCCTCTCTTAGAAGTGTCTCTTCTGTCTGCTGAGGACGGTTGTGGTAACCTTTCATAATGTTCGCTCCGTAAACTAGGAGTTCTCCAGCCACGGCACCAGTGGGAATGTCCTCTTTCCAATCTTGGCCTTCCACAGGGACGACCTTGGCTTCACAGTTTGGATTCAAGAATCCCACCGATTCGGGAACGTTCTTGTCGTCGGGAGAGAAGCCAGAGATTGAGTTGGTGGTTTCTGTCATACCCCAGCCCTGTTTCAAAGGTAGACCTGGAGGCAGGAAGTCCCGCTCGATGAGTTGACCTGTTGCAGGGCCCAGGGGAGCGCTTCCTGTTAGAGCGTACTCCAGGCTATTCAGGTTGTACTTTCCTGGCGGCTGTTTAGACAGCTGGATCAGGATGGTTGGAACTCCGGTGAGTAGAGTTATGCGGTAGATGTCGAGATAATGAAGGAGGGATGTTATGGTGTACGATCGCATGACGAAGACTTTCGCTTGCGTGCGGGGGGCATTCACGCAATAGTAGATTTGACCCTGTATRGTTCAGCGAAAGTTGAGACAACAAGTGAATAGAGATACATACATAAGCATGGTACATTGGAAGAGGAGCCAACCATCGTTCGCCAGATCTTCCAAGGCGTTCGTGGCGAGCGACGGAGACGGGGTCGTTGGGATTCCATAGCGTCCGAACAAACACTAGCTGGGAAGAATTCGCCACAATATTTGCGTGAGTGATTTCAACGCCCTTTGGAGTGCCTGTGGTCCCACTGCTATAATTGATCACAACAGTCTTGTTGACGAGATAAGTTGGATCCTGGGACTTCTTCCACGACCAGCTCTCGACGTCTCTGCTAGATGCCCAGAAGGAAGTCCATGGTTGCAAATCTGTTTGAGTACAGAGAGTATCGCTATCCTCGGGATCGCAAAAGATCAGGACCCGACTCTGAGGAATGTCCGCTGAGGCGGCAGCCTTCTTAGCCGTCTCGGCACCGTCGATTCCGGTCAACAGAATGCTGGCACCCAGATCCTTCAATTGAGTCTCGAGTTCTCCAACAGAGGCCGTCTGTGAAACTGCCGAGAAGATGCCTCCAGAAGCGATTACACCCCAGAGGAGGACCGGAAAGTACAAATTGTTACCCGAGTACAGCACAACCTTGTCGTTTTCTTTGATACCAAGGTTTTGTAGCCCCTTACCGACTCGCTTGGCCAGTACCTCACCCTCTGCTAAGCTGTAGCATCGATGTGGTTGGTGAGCATCGTAATACAATGGCTTCTGTCTGAATTTCTTGTCTCCGGATGAAAAGATGTAGGAAAGCAGATCGATGTTTGGGATGTCGATTGTGTATCGCGACTTGTGAAAAGTGGTCATGGTCGCTGCCTTTGTCGTGATTTCTTGGAATGACCGCAAARTCACTGTTGTCGTGTGTTGTGGTAGGTCTGTACCGCAAACGTCTGCTGTAAGGAAGTCGAGTACTCACACTGCAAGCCTCAAGCTCGTCCTTCGGCCCGACAAATTCGATGGGCACCGAACACGAGCTCACAAAGATCAAATGAAGGCTACGCTGATTATCTCCTTCAACGTCGCTCTCGAAGTCGAGATGCATCTTCCCAGTAGGACCTCAGCATACTCAAACTTCTCAACTGCATGCAAGGCTTCAAACAGCAGTCAATTAGTCCACCACTTGATACGATAGCTATACCTCGATTGATAGCTGTAATCCAATATATTAATCACCACATTTCAACCATGAACAAGATTCCAACCCGAATCTACAGGCAACACAACCCCATTGATTCCCTTCCCTCCATCCCCAACCAAAAAGCAAACCGTACTAGCAACCTCATCCACCTCAATCAGCCTCTCCAGTGGGTTGACCTGCTTCAAAGTTTCAACACTGGCAACGCCTCGATCCTCCTTGGAATCAGTAGCAGCAGGCGCCACCACATTTACTCTAATCCCCTGCTTTCGATGATCCCATGCTAGACTCTTCGTAATACCAACGCAGGAGTAGCTATTCACAGCCTGCAAGCCATGGCCCGAATGAATGCCAATGTTACCATACGGAACAACATTCACGATAGCGCTACTTTGTGGTTGACCCGTGGATGCTTCGTGTTGAGACACGAGCTGTGTGATTTCTGCTTTACAGGCCAGCCAAATTTGTCGAGCAGAAGAAGTCATGCCTGATTTGAAATCTTCTACTGAGGCTTCCGCTGTGGGCTTCGAGGGAGCTTGTAGGAGAGTCAAGATGTTGATGCAGTGTTTGAGATGACCGAACTTGGATACGGTCGACTTGATGACTTTCTCAATTGACTCCAGGGACGTGGGATCGTATTCCATAAGCTCCACGGTGATTTTGCTGGGTAGCTTGTCTCGAATCTCCTTGATGGGAGCGATCGAGCCGTGGGCCAGGACGATCCGTGTGCATCCCGCTTGGATCAGATGTTTTGCAACACTTGCTCCTAGATCTGTTCGACGCATAATGGTCAGCTTTGCATGCTTGATAGTTCAGCAAGAGATGTAGGCACCAGTCCCTGCATTTGTGATCAAGGCAACGCCGCTGCACCCATTGTTCGCCGCTTCCATTGTTGATGTGATGTGATATGACCAAAATCAGTTTGCTGATTCGACTGCAAGTCTCCGATAGCAGGTGCTGCTGCGTGAGTTGAAGCTCTGGTTGTACGTACAATCTCGTGCTCCCGGGCCGAGTGAGGACGGAGCTGAGCTGTGAGAGCTGTCAGTACTGCATGTGGTGGTGTTCTCGGGCCGAGAGAGACTCGAGCTGTGAGCTTGAGGCACGGGATGGAGTGGAGTTTCTGTACATACATACTTGATATCACACCGAGCGGACATCGTATCAAAAGAACATACAGCCATAGCGATGTCACTACAAAACTTACCTGGTGTGGCTTTGATCACAGGTGCAGCGTCTGGTACGTCGATTGAACAGCGACCAACTCGCCTTATTCTTTGCTGACTCCCTTCCCAGGGATCGGCAGAGGTACTGCTTTCGCTTTCGCCAAGAGTGGCTGCAAACGCATGCTCGTAGGGRATGTTGACGAAAACGGGCTGGAGTTGACACGTAAAACCATTCTGGAAGATCAGCCGGATGTTGAAGTTGAGGTAGCACTCGTTGACATAAGCGATGAAGATTCGGTGCAAGGCTTTATCGATCATTGCGTCTCCAAATTTGGCAGAATCGACTATGCATGCAATATTGCAGGTATCTGCCCGGCACGAGAGTCGATTGCAGAGACAAGTGTGGAGACTTTTGACAGGGTCATCAGTATCAACACTCTCGGGGTGAGTGCAAGTCCCATAGTCAGAGACAAGATATCCGCTGACGGAAAACGATAGACATTCCTCTGTCATAGAGCTGAGATACGGCAGATGCTGAAGCAAGACCCACTGCCAACGTCAAGATTCAAAGGTGCGTGAAATGCAAGCTGCAATGCCTTTCTAACGGCTCGCTGACCTTCTCAGGGTCGATTGTTTCGGTATCTTCCATGGCAGGGATCAACGCTTCTCCTGGTGTCACGCCGTATAGCAGCAGTAAGTTTGCCATCATCGGCCAAGTGAAGACAGATGCGATGGACTATGGCCCGCAAGGTCTTCGCGTCAACTCGGTGGGGCCAGGATTCACCAATACGGAACGTCTCCGGGCCATGGCCAATGAAGAGCAGCTATCAGCCATTGCCGGTAGTGTGCCCCTTAGTCAACTGGGTCTACCAGAGCAGGTTGGCCAATCAATGGCGTGGTTGTGCAGTGAGGAGGCAGGCTATGTGAATGGGATCAACATGATGGTGGATGGCGGCGCCACGCTTTGGCGACAAATCAGCTAAATGGGATTCGAGCTCGTGAATGTATGTTCATACGTCGTAAAATGTAATATCTTGTGATGAAAAGGTGAACAAAGAAAGCGAGCGAGGTGCAAGGTGGAAGGAAAAGGAGAGAATTGGCGCCTGAGGCTGCAATGTGGGGTCGCCACGTCTTCACCTCGTGCTTAGGCTGGCACGTCACACCCGTGACTTTAAGGCAGCTGTTTCAATTGCTGCATTATTAGCCCTCCTTCTTTCACATCAATTCGCGGCACTTTGGTTAGTTGCTGCTTGGACAGATCACCGACATGTTCAACCGCGACGCCCTATTCGGCAAGAGACAGGAACCTCCCCCGCCCGGCCAACGACTTCCGCCCCGACAATCCTCTCAAGCCCCATCATATGATCAAGAACCCAAGAGAGACTATCCCAGCACATCCCGACCCGCCAGAATGAGGCTCCAACCCGTGCAATCGCCCGATAAGGCGCTGACCTACTCCAACATCTGCGCCGTGAGTGAGCAGGACTTCAAGCGGAGATCAGACGGCACCGACTACCATCTCCTGCTCAATGGCCAATTTGTCCTCTCCGCCCGTCCGGGACCCATGCCCCGAGGCCAGATCAGTCTGAATGAGATCCAAAGAACGTGGATGCGCATCGCTGTGACGGATGTGGTGGAGGTCGAAGAATTCCACCTATTTGAGCAGGGAGCCAAGAGCTATTTGAGCAGCATGGACATTGAAATCGGATTCGCGGGGAGTAAAGCACCTGCTGCTCCTCCCTTTGATCAAGACGAGTTGGCAGATGCTGTGACCAAGATTTTCCGCAATCAGGTCTTTGCGCCCGGGCAGAGCTTCTTGCTGGACTTTCGAGGGCCGAAGATGAAGCTCACCGTTAGGACTGTAGAGCTGGTGGATCTTGCGAGCTTAAAGGCAGGCGGAACACAGCAAACAAATCCCAATGCGAGAGGGTTGTTGATCCCCGAGACGGCCATCAACTTCTTCAAGGACGCAAAGTCACCTATACAGCTCAAGGGTTCGACGAGAAGACCGGCTGCCAACTCCGTCATTCGTCCAGACTTTAAATTCGAAGACATGGGTATTGGTGGTTTGGACAAGGAGTTCAGTGACATCTTCCGTCGCGCTTTCGCCTCGAGAATCTTTCCGCCCGGACTTGCAGAGAAGCTAGGCATTCAGCACGTTCGTGGAATCTTGTTGTTTGGACCTCCCGGAACAGGAAAGACTCTCATTGCTCGTCAAATCGGTAAGATGCTGAACGCTCGCGAGCCCAAGGTCATCAACGGACCCGAAGTTCTCAACAAGTACGTCGGTCAGTCAGAAGAGAACATTCGCAAGCTTTTCGCCGACGCCGAAAAAGAGCAAAAGGAAAAGGGAGATGAATCAGGTCTTCACATCATCATCTTCGACGAGTTGGACGCCGTCTGCAAACAGCGTGGCTCTGGAGCTGGTGGTGGTACTGGTGTGGGCGACAGCGTGGTCAACCAGCTTCTCTCCAAGCTCGATGGTGTAGAGCAGCTGAACAACATCCTCCTCATTGGTATGACAAATCGCAAAGACAWGATCGACGAAGCACTCCTCCGAAGTGGACGTCTCGAAGTTCACATGGAAATTTCCCTCCCGGACGAACCCGGCCGTGCCCAGATTCTCAAGATTCACACCACCAAAATGAAGGAAAACGATAAACTAGGGAGCGACGTCGACTTAGCAGTTCTCGCCAAAGAGACACGAAACTTCTCCGGTGCCGAGATCAGCGGTCTCGTAAAWTCTGCCAGCTCTTTTGCTTTACAACGACACATCAAAGGCGGCACCGTTGCAGCTCTCTCCGACGACATCAACGAAATGAAGATTCACATGAATGATTTCCTCGGTGCATTACAAGAAGTCAAACCGCTCTTTGGTGTGAGCGAGGAAGATCTCGACGACTGTGTTGAAGGAGGAATCATCCATTTCGGACCTCAAATCGACAAGATTTTGAAGAACGGAAGAGACTTCGTCGAGCAAGTCCGCACCAACACCACCAGATTACACTCCGTCATTTTGCACGGACCGCGAGGATCCGGAAAGACTGCGCTTGCTGCGAAAATCGCGCTTCTAAGCGAATTCCCATTCATCAAGTTGGTACGGCCGGTGGATATGGTGGGTATGAACGAGATTCAGAAGATCCAAGCCTTGAGCAAAGTGTTCACGGACGCTTACAAGTCACCTTTGAATGTGCTTGTTCTTGACAACATTGAACTTCTAGTCGACTGGGTACCGGTCGGGCCGCGTTTCAGCTCTGCAGTCCTTGCAGCGTTGAAAGGACTGATGGAGCAAAAGCCACCCAAAGGTCGGCCGCTCTTGATCCTGGCAACGACGAGCGAGAGAACTGTCTTGCAACAATTACAACTTGCATTCAAAGCGCAGATTGCAGTACCGAATCTACAGACTCAAGGAGAGCTGGCACATGTCATGCAGGAAAGCGGGCAATTTGATGACGAAGGTATCAGGAGGGCGATTGGAGAGATTGAAGCTACAACAGGGAGCAAGAACATTGGGGTGGGCATTCAGCAGATTATCTTGGCGATACAGACGGCGATGCAAGATCCGGATCGTGCTGGACGGTTTGCAGAGGTCRTGTGTGAGGCTATCAACGAGGCAGGGTATTAGAATCACTTGATTGAAATGAGATGAAATAAGCCTATCCGGCCTTGATGACTTCTGAGTAGAATGCTGTACGGAAGATCTCCTGAGCAGGGTGCCAAAAGCGAAACCATTTCTTTACCAATTTACGTTTGCGCTCCCGCATTTATTCTCCTCGCTGCTCGTTCGTGCTCCTCCAAAATCCGCACTACGCCTTCATGGGCGTCGGATTTGGCGACCGACGTTGTTACCTTACATCCCCAGAAGAAACTTACAGTCATATCTCGCAAAATACGTTCATTGATCATCGATTCGTTCAAAACTAGCATAAATCGTTCGCGACTGCCATCAAGGGTATCTCATCGCCAAGTCTGCGGCCGCCCTAACAACACTCAGCCCTTGTGCCTGTGTCTCCACAGTCCTGACCTGTCCTTCAGAGGCCTGTCTCTTATGATCTCTTTTCCGATAAGAGCCAAGGCGCAGACCTAAAATGCTACACTCGCCTCGTCCACTGCACTCCCAAATAGGAGAGTTGAGTAGCCAAGGCTCATTCATAATGTCAACACTACCCGCAGGCGGCGGGATCGCGAGATCTGATTGTCGAGATTGAGTCTTGTTCAGCTGCGATTCGTTGTTATTCGACTGCCGTAGTAAAGACACCAACCATGGGAACATGCACTTACGTATGATGCACCCCACCACTCGCCCATGATGTTCGTTTCATTGCGCGTACTCAACGCCGCGTGCGCGTTATGTCGCACCCAACTTTCATACCCTTTACACTTGTTGCTATGTAGCTCTGCCAGACTTACAGGCGCGACTTTAGTCACACCGTCGACAAGCGGCGTTTCAGTCGGCAGTAGCTTGCAAAAGGCATCAAAATGCTCAAAGTACGCTCCTTTGAAGATGTAGTTGTCTTGCGAGCAATTCGCCGGCGCATCGCAGTAGTCTTCGAGAATCCCGTTACGACCGAGACCAGCCCACTCTGCTGCTTCGCTTTCAGAAGCGGCGTTCCAGCCCGTGGCGTTTATGACTGTCGTGATGAAATTGTGACCGTCATCGAGGTATGATACAGTACCGGTTGATTCCCATAGACCTCGCAGGCCGGAGAGAAGAACTCCTTGATTGTAGGTATATACCATTTCGTTTCTCTGATCGCAGGTTGTTTGGCCAGAGGAGATGTGAAATCCATCGACTACCAGGCCTTGGGCATTCGTGAAGTTGTGTGATTTGAACCAGTCGTATTCTTTCACTGCGTTGTCAAGAAACACGGAGTCGTGGGCGCTGACTGCAGTCAGACTGGGCAAAGTCCTGTTTGTCTGGGTTCGGTAGTCTGGGTGCGGGTAAGGATCCGTGTTAGTGTCGCCAGGGAAGTAGAGATACATTGCAATTGAGCTAGAAAGAAAGAGCTCGTTGGTGATGGCATTTTTGTAGGGCTCCAAGTGCGGATTCCAGTTGATTCCACCCTCACACAGGGTCGTGTTGAATTTGTCCTGTACAATGTTGTAGAAGATGTGGGCGCGGTGTGCATACATATCAATGTCGGCTTGCCCAAGGTCGGACCCAGAGGTCGAGCCGTACTGGGTGATGAACTTGATTGCTTCCAACCACTCCAAGACCACCCACTGAGCATCGTCATATGCGGCATCAAATATCTGAATCGTATCTTCGGAATCAAAGTATGCCCGAGTCTGGGCGTAGTACTTCTGAATGTCGGCCTGAGTTTCTGACGACCGGGCGACATAGCTAGAATCTGAAGACTCGAGGCCGCCCAACGTCTCCTGCGTGGAAATCATAATGTTGTCAATCAGTGCTCCTATCCATTGGATCGTGCTAGGCTAAACAAAGACTCAGTCATCAAATTATCTGTCCGACGAGCGGATGCACCAACCCAGTAAGACCCATTCCAGAACATGTTCTGCATCGTGGACAGCGCCGCTTGGGTCTCGTTCAACCAGTATTCTCCCGTTTGATCGGGACCTCCCCACTGCCAGGGACTGCTTTCGCCATGATAATCCGCCCAAAACGGATTTTTCTGTGCAACGGCTGGCTTTGCAATTGACGATAAAGCCACTAAGTTTGCTATTGAGATATGGTAAAGCATGCTGAGAATCGCTACAAAGGTGATGAAGAAGCAAAGAAATCCCACGGCCGCCCAAGGGCAAGGGCAAGGGCGGATGCCACGAGCATCATATAGCGTCCTCATTCTATCCGGGCGCGTGGGCAGGAGGGTCGAGGGTAGCGAGGCAGGTACGGATGAAACGGTCCGAAATTGTCGATCTCTTCCGCAACTCTCATCTACCGTAGATCTAAGTATGCAGCCTCTACGTTAATGATCGGTCGTGCGACAAAATAGCGGCTACAGAAACGTCAGATCGACGCCCGTAAATGCCAACTCCGGAGTGCATCAGAGGACATCCCGGGCGATGGACCACGAACAGGTGAACAAAGAAATTGCTGCGATGGTTTGGTCCCTGAACTCCTGGTAAAATGACATGGCGGCAGGGAAATCCAGGTGATGTTGTAACGGAGGTCATCTGAGACTTTCATCCACCAGACCAGACATCCTTGTCGCGCATCGGAGCGTCGGCCCCACTTGGATGAAAGTCGATCGTCGTCCCCCGCAACGCGAATCTCGCACGCCACGACATCCACCCCTGCAAGTCCTGGCGGGCATGCGACGAACGTGAGAAGCAGCATGCCTTACAAAGCTCCGGTCGCGGCGAAGCCGAGCAAAGCCATCTTCGACCCGTTCAGCTCGTCCGCCACCGGCCACCAGCGCGCAGAAAACAAACTGAGCGGGAGTACGTCATGGCGCGAATCCCGGCATCGCAAGCTCCATCAACAATTCAACGGCGGAGCTGGGGGTGGGAAGCGGGTCAGTGACAGTGTGGGCGCCGGCAGTGAAGACTTTGGACGAGATGGAAGGACGGAGAATGGTGGATTTGAGAAGGGCGCGAAAGGGCTGCGAACGGGTGGACAGCAGAGTTTGTGGGCGACGATGACCGTCAGCAAGGGCAGTGATGAATCGAGTGAACGGCCGGCGAAGCGCATCAAGACAGAAGACAGTCCCGAGAAGCCACGTTCGACGAAGGTCGTGAATCCATATACTCCATTCCGAAGGGAGGATGGCAAGATTCGTGAAACGAGCTGGACGTCACCATCCGATCTATYGGAGCCCATTGATCCGCTACCGTCATCAGAAGAATCACGGACTTCCAWCCCAAAATTCGAAGAAAAGAAGGAGGATGATCCGCCGCCGCCGCCTCCAATATTCTCCTCGTTGACATTCTACGTCAATGGCTCTACCTATCCTCTGTCCGACCACGCCCTCAAGCACCTCATAAGCTCACATGGAGGCAACATGTCGATCGCGCTTGGAAGAAGAACTGTCACGCACGTCATCATCGGGAAGCCCAACAGCAGCGGTGGTGGAGGCTCTGGAGGTGGACTTGCCGGCAGCAAAATCCAGAAAGAAATCACTAGCATGCGAGGAAAGGGGATCAAGTTCATCTCTGCGGAATGGGTCAGTGAGAGTGTCAAGGCTGGAAAGCGGTTGCCAGAATCGAGGTTTGTGGGCATGAACCTTGCACCCAAGGGTGTTAGTGGCATTCAAAGCATGTTCCGAGCTGCGGCAAAGAAGTGACGCATGCTTTGATTCTTTTGCGGTATGGAAAGGTGGTATATGAGGGACAGTGGCAGTGAAGGCGCATCGGTTTGAGATTTGAGATACCCTGGAAGAACGGAAGCATAGAAATACAGCACTACGAATCATGCTCCAACTTACGACAGTCAATCAGAAGCACCTTACGAGACATGACTGACAGATCTCCAGCGTGATCCACCGTATCGTGCGTAGTGGTTGGGGAGCACATGAAGTGTTCCTAACCACACCAATGACCTGGTAGAGCTATGTAAGATTTGGATACGGGGTCGAWTATGTCTTGTGTAAACTGGTCATGACAACAGATACCCAACCCAAACCCTAACCCTAAGAGATTCGAGGTTGTGAGAAAGCAGGCAACATGCCACACTTTGGCTGTAGAGAGCTGCACTCTTCGCAAGGGCAGTACTATTAGGCAAATTTGCCGTGATTCATGGTCTGCGTTGAAGCCTACCTCATGTTATGTACAGAACAGCCTCGCCTCCAGTCTAATTCAGGGGCAGCTTCTTGTGTTTGTATTGCTTCCCTCCACCTCCATACATAGCAGCACAGTGTCCCTGGCCCACAACGCGGTACTCATGAATCATAAGACCTTCAAGTCCCACGGGACCACGTGCATGCACTTTATTGGTACTGATACCWACCTCGGTGCCGAAACCGAATCGCATGCCATCGCAGAATCTCGTGCTGCAGTTCCAGAATTTACACGCCGTGTCTATGCTGTTACAGAAGCGGTCTGCGACATCCTTGGAAGCTGTGACGATGGCGTCCGTGTGGTGTGATCCGTGGGTGTTGATGTGCTCAATCGCAGCGTCTACAGCATTGGGTCCTGATGGAATTGTGCGGACTGCGAGGATGAGGTCTAGGAACTCGGTGTTGAAGTCTTCTTCTGTGGCGTCTTGAAGTTGAGCAGATGCCTCCTTGTCAAGGGATGATGTGAGAGCTGCTTTACTTTGTGCATCGCAGCGGAGGATAACGCCTTTAGCTTGCAGAGCGGTTGCCACAGCTGGAAGGACTGTAGTGAGGACGTCTTCGTTGACGAGAAGAGTMTCGACCGCGTTGCATGCTGCTGGGTAGTCAGTCTTCGAATCGACGACGACATCTGCGGCCATCTTTGAGTCTGCGTCCGAGTGGATGTATAGACTGCAGAGGCCATCTGCGTGACCAAGGACGGGCATATGGGCTTTCGTCTGACAGTGGCGGACAAGCTCATTCGAGCCTCTCGGAATCACAAGATCGATGTACTGGCTGAGTTCGAGTAACGGGTCCACAGCATCTCGGGTCGTGACAAGTTGGATGGAGTCATTGGGGACATCAGTCTTGTCCAGCGCGGCGGAAATGGTGGATGCTATGGCTTTGAAGGATTCTGTGGATTCCTTGCCACCTTTGAGAATTSCTGCGTTGGCAGACTTGATTGCCAGGGACGCAATATTGCCAATGACTTCTGGTCTCGCCTCGAAGATGATCAGAAGGACTCCAATGGGGCATGTTTGCCGTTGAAGAATCAAGCCGTCGTCCAATTCTGTACGCAGATCTACTCTGCCGACTGATAAAAAGATCAATCAGCTAGTGTACGAACGAAGCGGTGAAGCTGAAGCGATGAAATGAATGTATCAACATGGATTTACCTACCTGGATCCGCCAGGCCGCGCACATCTCGAATGCCTTGGAGCATGTCATCAAACTTTCCCTTCCGCGAGAGATCCAATCGTTTGTAGATGCTGGGGTTCAACTCTCCATTTGCAGTAGACTTCTTCGCATTCTCCAGATCAWCAGCATTGGCGGCTAGAATGTCTTCCCGCGCAGTTGAAAGTGCGTCGATGATGGCATCGAGAGCAGTGTTTCGTGCATCTTCTGAGAGCGTCGCAAGGGTTCGAGAAGATATCTTGGCAGCGCGAGCAGCTTCTTCGGGGGAAGCGTTTGTGAGAGACATCTTTTAGCTGAAACGAAGATGCTATAAACAGACGCGATTTCCACGCTGTCGTTGACCCGATTCACAAAATGTGAATGTCCCGGCATCTCGGCCCACATATCGCGGCTTTCCCGCTTGCCGTGCCGAGCCCAGATGCGGCTAGACTGGTCGTCCCAACCTCCCCAGCCATCCGCCGCGCCTGCCACCTCACCTTTCTAACCACCGACATTTTCAAAACAGCGAATGCCAACGCAAACAGATGACGAGGCACGTGCTGGCGGTAGAATAAGTATACAGCCTACTCTTTTCTTACCCTGTCTTTCTATTCCCTCGCCACAACGACATCGCGTGTCTTCAAAACGTTCACACCCACGCAACGTCTAACCTCGACTGCCAGCAACATCACGCTCCAGCCATGATATCAATAGGGAGCTTACTCTCTCTGAGATCGCCTCTGCGACTGGCTGTTGTTGCAGCCCTTATATTTGCATCACCATCAACAGCACAGACATTTTCAAGTTGCAATCCAACAACACAGTCCGGTTGCCCCGCGAATCCAGCGCTGGGCAGATCTCTCACGATCGACTTCAAAGACGGCGAATCCGACCAATTTACCGCCTCGAGCAATCCCACATRTGGCCCCGATGGAGCAATGTTTACAGTCGCAAAACCAGGCGACGCGCCGACGCTGTCATCAAAATGGTATATTATGTTTGGAAAATATTCAATCACGACAAAGGCCGCGCCTGGGACTGGAATCGTGAGCTCAGCAGTTCTACAATCAGATGATCTGGACGAAATTGATTGGGAGTGGCTGGGAGGCGCAGTCGCCGAAGTGCAATCAAACTACTTCGGAAAAGGACAAACTACGACATACGACCGAGCAGCTATCCACGCGGTGGCCAACACTCAGGCCGAATTTCACACATACACCACCGAATGGACAGAAAACCAGATCGTCTGGTCAATCGACAACAAGGTCATTCGTGTGCTCAACGCCGGACAAGCCGGTGGCCAATATCCACAAACGCCAATGCAGCTGAAGATTGGAGCGTGGGCTGGGGGTGATTCGAGCAACTCTCAAGGCACCATCGACTGGGCAGGTGGTCCAACAAGTTACGGTGCTGGACCGTTCACCATGTATGTGAGCTCCGTTTCAATCGTCGATTACTCTACGGGAACATCCTACAGCTACGGCGACCAGAGCGGTTCATGGGAAAGCATCGTTGCAGCGGGCGGAGCAGTCAATGGAAACAGCGGAGGAAGTGTGACAGTCACCGACGCCCCGGCCATCACTTCCACTACCAGCGGAAATGTTGCCTGGGACGGAACCCATCGGACTAACACGGCGACTGTATCGTACACAACCCTGCCTGGTCTACCATCTGGGTGGTCTATCAGTGCCTCGGGAAAGGTCGTTCCGTCCTCGGCGACCACTGTGAGTAAGCCTGCATCGATTTTGCAAAATACAGACGAAGAGCAACGCACTGACGATTGAAACAGTTGCCAGCATACCCATCAACCTCACCTATGCCCTCGCCGGTTTCTGTCTCCTCGCCGGCAGCTTCTTGCACGGGTTCAGATTCTAAGTTCGTTACGGCTTATGATCAACAAGGATTCTTGACAACCGAGACTGTACCCGCGGGAGCATCGACAGGATGGGATAACCAGGGGCTGCCGACCACTGTTTATGCCGCCGCGTGCATCACCCCGCCTGCTGGAGGCAAAAAATTGGCAATCAAGCTTGCGGACTCTCTGGAGACGTCTGCATCTACCACGACTTATGCGGCGGATTCTTCTGCATCACTTATTACACAAGCCGTTCACCATTCTGGTGCGGCGAAATTGGGAAATAGATTGTTTGGAGCGAGCTGGGTGGCTGTGGCTACTTTGGCGATTGGGTTATTTTACACGGCATAGCGTTGCATATAGAGACATGCTTGGGTTGAGCGGGTTGAAAAGATTGTACAAAGCATGAGAGCATGATGAGTAGATGATGATAGTGTCTCGCGACATACGATAGCTTAATGTCCATGAAACGACTTTGGAGGAGATCAATATTCACTCATGTCTACCATCCATTCGAAGTGCGAGAGAAGGCCGTCTGAGCAGCAGTCTTGCATGCTTTTGACAGCAGCTAATGTTGCACCTAGAGTCAGCCTCATACATGCAGCACGTCCAGAGAGCTGCGTTACGAAGCTGCGTTACGAAATGGAGAGGGGCAGTATCACTCCGCTCTCGACATCAAGATCGAAGAAAGTCGTGTGAATTTTGCCAGAAGCACCGCTGTTTCCGATGCGCGAAATGTCATCAGCTCTTGCCAGCGTAGTCTCTCTTCCATATCCGGTCGAACTTCTCTTGATCGACAGCATAGCCTCTTGCAAATTCCCACTCCATCTCGTGCATCGTCTTCCCACACAGCACCAGACTGTGCAACGGCTTTCCCAGATCAGCCTCCATCAGCTCCTCCAATGTGCCGGCAACAATCTGTTCTCCTTCACTTCCCAATCTCGCAACTCCAATAGCGAGTTTCTCCCTCCCACAGACGTCTTCTTTCCTCCCCTCTTTCTCTTCCGTGCCCTCCTCCACCTCCACCATTTGACTCGCACACTGCGCGACGGTCATGAATCGCGGAGGCTCATAGATGATCTTCCCTCTCGCCATGGCTTTCAAATCCGGCTCTTTGACCTTGATATCCAACAAAACCAACGTGTGCAATCCCAGCTTCACATTCTCCGCGACGCGATCATAGAAGCTGTCTGGTCTCCACTCATCCGTGAAGAAGACCATGCTGACCGTCTGGCCAAAGTTGTACAGACTCAATCCCGTGGCACCCACGGCCGTCAAGATGGAGGCGTTTGGCAACGTTCGTGTGGGGATTGGAGGATCGTTTTGTCGACATCGCAAAACGAAGTCGGTGTGGGTGGTAGCGGAGAAGGGATCTCCCACAACGAGGAAGGCGACATCGACGGTGTCTGCATTGGCGAGGATGTCGTCGGATTGCGATTCGACCATCTCGCGGTCGGCGATGATTACTTCACGGCCATAGAAGGCTTCCTGGGCGTGTGAGTCAGGGGAATGAAAGAGAGAGAGAGAGGGGGTTCTTGGGAAAAGTGGCATACCAACTGCTCTTTGTCGCAGAGAAGGACTGCGGTGTAGGCTTCGAGATATACGCGTTCGGCTTTGCGAACAATCTCGAGACCTCGGGTGGAAATGTCCCGCTCGTCGGCCAGACCGAGACCAATTATGTACAACATTGGGAATGCGGTCGGGAGTTTGGGCAAGTTTTTATCGTTTCGTAGCAAAACAGACACTCCAGCATCAGAAGAAAGATTGGGATTTACCCCACTACGTTAATATAGCGTACGGCGCGTTTTTAAGAACAACTCTGCAACAATCCTTTTAGGCGATAGTGCGACGCTAGCATTATAGGGTATTAGAACCTCGGTAATTAAAGGTGTATTCCGTATAATAAGTAACAAGTAGCGTAATTTAATGTGCGCGTATAATATCCTCGCTTTCCTTCTTTAAAGTAATTTTATTTAAGTCTACGATACCTAAGTAATAATAGTAAGGATAAAGTAAAGGTATAATAGCATTACGCGGGTAGCTATATAACTCTCTATATAAGTAAGTAAGATCTCTAAAAGAGTAGTAGGATAAATACCTACTACTCTTTTAGCAACTCTTATTAATACTTAAATACTAATATTAATACCTACTACTCCTACTACTATACTACCCCTTTACTACCTACCTATATCCTCCTCTCTTCTCTATACTACTTATATAAAAGCCTAAGAAGGCGAAGAAGCCTAAGTTACTATACTTATAGCTAGGTTATATCGATACTAATAAATACTAAAGGACTAGAACTTTCCCTAAGAATCCGGATAATAATAGCGAATACGGATATTTTAAGTAGAACTTTATAAGAGTATAAGCTAGGAATTTAATACTTTAAGAGTAGCGCTAACCCGTATAATAGCTTAAGAAAATAGGATTCTCCCTTAACCGCGAGTAGAGGGAGATAATAGCTAAGCCTACTATTANACTTTAAGAGTAGCGCTAACCCGTATAATAGCTTAAGAAAATAGGATTCTCCCTTAACCGCGAGTAGAGGGAGATAATAGCTAAGCCTACTATTAAGTACGTCGAGATCTATAATAGCTTTACTAATAGGATCGATAATATCTAAGATCGTCCGAACTACGTCGACGCCTTTCTAGTTACGAGCCGGTCTATATAATCCTATTAGAGAATTATTAAAGTATAATAGCTAATAATATCGTAGTAGAATAATATTAACTAAGGAGGAGTATTACGGAGATTATAAGGAGCGGAAGGACTACGATAGTAATATAATTAAAGGCCTAAGGCTATTTCTAGTATATTTCCTACTCGTATAAAGGTATTCGACGCTAACGAGAATAGCGCTATATAATCTAGCGTAGATATTTAAACTTAGCCTATAGTAACTATATCTAGCGGGGAACTAAAAGTACCTACTAGTATAGCGATAGAATAGCTAGTAAGAGAGCCTATTAGAAGAGGCTAAAGGCGTATAATAGCAGACTAGAGAATATATACCGGCGACCTAAGCGTAGAATAATTATAAGTATAGCTACGAATAATTAGTTAAAGGGTCTGCGTTTAGGAAAGGATAAGTAGTCTCGTAGGTCTTAGAGTAAGTCTTAGGGTCGGTATAAGGGTAAAGATGTAGCAATGTATTAGACACCCGTAATTACTCGATTAGAGATAAGACTAATTCTTGTAGGTTAAATGTGCGCTATGCATAGGAGTTATGTATACGCTAAGCCTACGCTAAGCAGTTAGGTTATATTACACTCCCTTCTCTAAGGTTAGTTAATCTAGCTACCTCTATTAATCCTRTTATTATAAGRGCTCTTATACGGCCCTTATAATTACCTCCTTCCCCCTATACGAACTAGCCTTAGTTCGGGGGCTTAGGAAATAGAGGCGCGCGCGCGTCGTATACGTCGCGCTCGGGGTCCGTAGACTTTATATAGTAAAGTACCTATTTTCTAAGTAACCTTCGGGCTATTTATATAAAAGCCGGCTAGTTAAACTAGCTATATAGGAAGTAGCCGCTTTCGGAACTTTATCCTCCTTCTAGTAGGCTAAATGCCGTACCTAAAAGGGCGAGGGTTTAATTCCCTTAATAACCGCTGCTCGATAAGAGGGTTAATAAGTCCCCTACTACGCGGCGTATGCGTTACCGCTACTATCCGTAAGGGTCTTATATCTATAGATCTCTAAGTAGGTTATTTGCTAAGTAACCTACTCTAGTAACTACCTCTTATTAACATTCTTTCTATCTTATAGATTTCTCTTCTATATATCTACTCTTTATTATACCGCTACGTACTCCCTATAAGCGTCGCGCACCCGACCCGCTAGCGACTCCCGCTTAAGCGTCGGTAAGCAAGCGCCGCGCCGTCGAGGTGCCTATAGCCTATCGCCGCTATATGCGGTTAGTATACCTTTATATTAGCTATCGCTATAACGCTATCTTTAGCGCGTTTAAGCGTAAGTACGACTATTATAAGTAAGTAATACTTATTCGAGACGCCTACTCCCCTCTTACGTAGCGCTAACTTCCCTTAAAGGAATAATTATTATAAGTATAAACCCGTACCGGTAGCGATGCGCCTACGCTACGATAGCGTTATAGCTACGGCTTAAGAGCTTAATCTATTAGATACTGCTAAGCAAAAGGGCAGTTAGGAGGAAGCTGCTTATAAGGCGGCGGCAAATACCTTTAGTATTAAGTTAGATACTTAGATCCGTATTAACGAGCCTACCTCGGGTATACGGCGTATAAGTAGCGTAGTCGAGGCGCCTAATCTTACTCGCTTAACGAACAATCTTATAGCTATTACTTAAGTCGGTCGTATCGTAAGTATCTCGCCTACTCCTCGTATGCGTCTATAATACTAACCGTCTATATAGTAGTTAGAGATAATAAGGCAGTTTACTAATACCTTCGATGCTGCCCTTACTAGAAACGAGCTATTCGAGGAGTCCGAGGCGGAGGAGAATAAGTTCGAGTAGAGTACTTAGCGCGTTCTCTAGGCTTGCGTAGCGCATACGCCTATCTTATAGTATAGTCTATAAAGTAATCCCCTTTAGGTCTAACCGTAATAAAACTACTTAATTCTTATTACTCTTCTTCTATTTTRYTCCGCTCTACTTCYRAGCCTCTTTTACTACGCGGCCTCTACGTATACKCGGAGCCTACGCCTCGAACCTATCGAGAGCTTCGTAGTYTTTAATATATATACTAGGTTCCTACTAGTTATATTCTAATAGCTATCTACGCTACTTTACTAAATAAAACGTTTCGCCCTTCTATACCCTCTTATTAAGAATCTCTTTAACCTCCTACTACCTATCCTCGTCGACTACGAGTAGTATACGCTCCTCTTACGCTTTACTCTTCCGGCTAGAATATAGCTCTAATAGAGTAACGTAGAAGACATTATAGATCCTTACTAAGGTAGGTAACTATAAGCAATACGCCTAAGTCCTAATTACGTTAATTACGCGGTATAGGCCTAGCTATTTAGGTCCTATCTTCTTCTTACCCTCTAGCTTAAGGTTCTTCGTAGAGAGAAGCACTAGATTACTAATATTAAAGCTTATAGGCTTATAGCTCTTATTATAGTACTTTAACTGTTGCTCTTTAGCTTTACGCTATCGCTTAGTAAGCTCCTTATATACGCTACGTATACGCTTCGCTAAGTTAATAGCGGCCGGCATTCTCCCTTCTAAGAGCTCGTCCCGAGCGATGTCTTAGGTATTAGCGCCGTCGCCTAGAGGGCGCGTCGCTAGCTCTAGGTTCTATCCGTAGAG